TTGGCAGCGGGGCGCCCCTCGCCCCCGACCGGTTTTTTTCCAAAAATCGAGTAGGAATTTTTTTGAAAAGTTTTTCTCAACGCACGTTGATAGTGAATAAACTCATTAATCTACTAAATTTTTTTCAGAATTTTAATTACACTTTAAGGGGCCGGGGGCGAACGAGGGTGTGTGGGGACGCGGGGGCGCCCCGTTGCTAACCCTAAAACTAACAAAATGACACAAATAAGCACGCACGAAACAGCCATATTTCGAAAAAAGCTAAATTACTAAAAGCTAGGTCAAAATTCATTTAAAAAAAGACCCTGCTTAGAGAGGCACTTGCTGACCAGCCGGACCTCGCTCACTGACCAGCAGGTGCTTCAGACCATGGGACTTACTGACCACGGACCCCCCTGAGAGTTGGTCCTAGATCCCTGAACTGATGTCATTCATCTCAAAAAGTCAGAATTTCAGGCAGATAATTATTTATTCAGTTCTTAGTAGTTGTGAGATTCACTTGGAATCCTTTGACCAAACTTCCGAATGTACTGTACTTGACCGTCATTTTATCGCCGTACACTTTGAGAACATACACTGGCGGCAGATTTGCAGAAGCGAATCTGAAATGCAATAAATATTATAAGTATGAAGATTACACAGCTTCTCCATACGTTTCCGAGTAAACTGTCACACCATTTTTGAAAATGCTTATAGCCAGACTAGAAGAATCGGAGAAGTCACAGTTGTCCACAATGAAATTGAAATAAATCAGCTGATTCTTGAAGGTACTGAACGTTTGATCCAAGTCCTGTTGGCTGCTTATTCTACCGTAATCAAATGAACGGACGCTCACAATTCTTCCATCGAAGACCGTTCCCCATCCGGCTGCAATCCAACTGTTATATTTTCTTCGTATCAATATCCTCACCGTCGTTAGCGTCTCTGGATAGATCCACAGAGATTCCATTGTGATCCAGCAAGTACTGTTTCACATTTCCGTTCACTAGCAAAGGAAGCATATTTTGATAGTTATCTTTCCTTCAAAATTTGATTTCTCACTGGTTGACTACACTATTTATGATTACGTGAGAGTGGAAATCAGCGTTTCATTGTTTATCACTCCTTCGTAAATTTTCAGTGTTGCACCCTGCACATTGTCTTTCTGTACTAATCAAAAGAAAATGCGCCTACTTCTGGAAACACTCGAATACTTTTAACGTATTCTGGACGATTGTCAACTGTGGCGATCGCTGATGAGCCAGAATATGAAGTGAGAGTAAATGGGCATTGTGTATCCGAATAACAGTTTAAGCCGCGGTAGTAGATCAGATCTGGGCAATCTGGAATGTTAGCCTACTGAATGGGCATCAGTGGCATTTCGATTACCAGAGTGGTCCTGTGCCATGTACAGAACATAGTCAAACAATTGATCCAGGCCGAAAGTGTAGACTGAGAGAGCCTTTCCACTGCTGACTTTGGCTTCCCTGGTCAGCATGATACGGTTGAGACTTCCGAGGGATTTCGCGTCCGTCGAGTCTCCGTCGAAAACTGCCGACTGCCGAAGAAGAGAGGAATAGGAATTGTTCTTCAGGGAAAATGCCACTAATGAAACGACAGTTTCTGCTGTGAAAACTGTCAGGCCTTGGATTGGACTGTGAGCAACTGGAGTGTCACCCTTCAGAAGTTCTATTTTATTTTTAGTGAAATCCGGATCTGAATATCATGTTGACAGTTCAAATACACCTTATCAAACTCACATTTTGACCAGGAAACTTTGAATGAGAACAGTCCTTGCTGAGAAGACTTTCCCAGGTGAATACCGAAGCGCGGGGCCGTGAAGATGAACGGGAGATTGTCGTTGTTGTCTATTCTGTATTAAATTTTTTAAAAACGAAAGCAGAAATCGACAAACCCTTCGGAATCTCCATTTGCGAATTCTATCCAGATACCAATTTGAGTTGGCGCGTCTCTGTAGAAGTTGACAGTTGCGAAGAATCCTTCAGGAACACTGACATCCCATTCGCAGTTTTGCTGGGCAGCGAACGGAATCGGAGACATCGAGTCATTCCAGATGGACGGCCAGTACACTGGTTGGCTCAAGTCAGTTGGCGGGGCCAGTTTGATAGGACCTCGACAGTTGTAGCCTCCGTCGGAAGATATCAATCCAATCAATGAAAAGAGCAAAAGAAGAGGGAGATTCATGATGACTTCTTTCTTTTCGTGATAAGTTCAACCCATTTTATGTATTGGTTTGTTATCTTCTCCGCTTTTTTGATCTCTCACATGTTATCAGACTGAAAATTGGATGAAAACCGCGCCCAAATGGCATCACTCGTTTATTTGTAAAGAGATCAAATGGAAAGAATATGCAGCACAAAAATAAGAGGCAAGAGAAGGAAAGAGAACCGATTAAATGCACTTTTTGTAGTGGTTTCCACGAGTTCCGTGGTAGCACTCGTCCCGATTTGGATCGATGTCGACTGCTGCATTGCACGAGGAGTCGACGCAGTTGCTGTGGTGACGACTGCTGGATTCGAGCGAAGTGTTGTCGAGGAATCAGAATCGGCTGAAGATGGAAAGAGTTAGAGCTAGAGGACAAAAAAAGAAGAAAGCTGAGGGGACTTCCTTATTCGAAAAGCGATTTCTAACCATTTATAGTGGTGGTCAAGTCGATTTGGAATCCCGTCGTGTAGTTGCCATACGTTTGATACTGCACGGCCATTTGGTCTCCGTACACTTTCAGTGGAAGGCTGGGTGGAAGATTGGAGGAAGTGTACCTGAAATTGAGTTCAATAATTCAATGAAGTCAAGTCTGAAATTCACTCACGTCTCTGAGAACACCACTTTCCCATCGCGAAGGACCGAAGTGTCAAGAGTTGTGTTTCCATTCCTATCGAATGTTTTCACATTGAAAGTAAAGTACAGTTTCTGGTTGTTGGAAGTGGAGAACGTCTCCGTGGTGTCTTGGCGATAGCTGGTTCTTCCGTAATCGAATGAATGAATGTTCACAATGCGACCATCGTAGGCGGTTCCCCAGACAGCTGAAAGCTTGTTTTGGATTTTAAGATTTCCAGTGAAACTACTCACCGTCATCTGCATTTCTGGTGACTGGGAGAGAGAGTCTTCCAGAGTCCAAATGGTAAATCTTGAGAATATTATTCACTCCAAGTGGCAGTTGATTCATGAAATTGGAGCTGCTGCGAACATTATCACATGCCTATTTAGTTCTCAGATAAAAACAACTCACTTCAACGTTGCCATCAAAGTGCTGTTGCTAATTTTTCCCTCATAAACTTTGAGTGTGCCCTGAAAATCGTATTTATTACAGAAATGTTCTAGAAACTTACAGTTGTAAACAGCGGGAACTGTTTGACATAATCTGTTTTCTGCGATACTGTCGCTACAGCAGCGACCCCGTTTTCGGCGTTCAATGCAATGGTACAAGGGGAATTGTCGGCGCAAGTGACTCCGCTGAACTTTTTCACGTCTCCGGCAGCTGAAAATCCACACGTTCTTCTTCTTCATCCCTCAATTCTTTGCTCACTGACCTTTAATGTCCATTACCATGAACAGTGAATAGTTGAAGTTCTTGTTCAGTCCGAAAGTGTAGACAGTGAGCTTATTATTGTCCGAAATGATATTGTTGTATCTTGCGTAGTACAAGTTTCCGAGGTATCTTCCGCTGGTGGAGCCTCCTTCATAAATGGCTGATTGACGGAGGAGAACTTCTGAATTGTCCGGAAGGAAGAATCCGGCGAAAAGAACCTTGTTCGGAGAAGTGACGGTGGTTACACAATCAGTTGGAGCCTGGGTCATCGGCTGATCATCCGACAGATTTATATCCATTTGACATGCGGGCGGATCTGCAATCAAGCATGAGATTGAGCTATTCGCATTGATAAGCCTACATCTTGCCCAAACAACTTTGAACGAGAACCTTCCTTCTTTGTCGGAAACACGGAAATTCACTTTGAACTGATCGTACGTGAAAATGTATGGGTTGTGATCTTTGTCCTCAATGCTGAAACCTTGAAACTATGGAAAGTACGAGTTGCCTCGACTTACTATTGCTCTTGCGCGTTCGGATAAGTGCAAGTGATTCCGGACTCGTCAGCCGTGTCTTTGAAGAAAGTGACAGTCGCGTACATTTCCTGCAGTACGTTGATCTGCCATTCACAGCTCTGCGAGCCGGAATACGTGGCCGGGGCCATCGTCTCGTTCCACCATTCCGGATAGTAGTAGGGCTCATTCAGATCTAGAGGGGGGTTGATCAGCCTCTGGCCAGAACAGTCATAACCGACGGCAGCGGTCGAGATGAAAAGAAATGAGAGAGCGAAGAGGGAAGAGAGCATTGTGAGTGCACTGATTCATCCAGACAGACAGCCCTTTTTATATTCGGCCTTGAATTATATTTTCAGGAAAGGAGAGCAGGCGAAGTTGAATTGATAAGAATGGAAAGACGGAGTGTGATGTCATTCTGCAACCACACCATGATAAGGAACGGTGGGGACGGGAGAGTCTGAGAATAAAAGACAGAGAGTTTTGATAAAACAAACAGGCGAGGCCAAGATTTCTGATCGTTTGACCGCAAAGTTTTGTCATCCTAGACGGTGTGGCGTGACGTTTAAGAGATTAAGACAAACCGATCTAAAACTGTTCAAGTTTTCTTGCGATTCCGATTTAGATGCCTTTTCTCGCCGGCTCTTGAAATGTAATTCTGAACAATAAAATCAGTCATCTTAAGTCTATAAAGTTCCAGGAAAATGGTTACAAATGTGGTCCCGTTGTAAAGATATATCTGGATGATATCAGATATTGCGAAGAGGATTCGTCATCGTTCCTGGAACAAAATCACCATTTTTGTAACATATATCCAGAATGTTCTATCTATGATGACATCTGAAAGTGGGCGGAGTCCGATTCTCTCCATCCCAATCCCAAGGATATCCAATTCATTTCTGAGTCCAACTCAGTCTGCTCTGATGTATTCTCTTCCGTTCTCTTTCACCCAGGTTCCAATGACCCCCCGGTCCGATCCTGTTTTCACGGATTTGACTAACTTTCCAGTTGAGTCCAGCCTCTACTATACTCCTGACTCTGTAAATCTCACTAATTCTTCAATTCTCTGGGAGAACTACTACAAGAGTCTTTCTGAATTCCAGCATTCGTGGGCCTACCATGCTCCGCCAGCGACTCACTTTCTGCCTACGCCTTCTGGATCCCCGTACTCTGCTGCTACGTCACCGTCATTCCCTTCTCCGCCGGTCACTTATGCTCCAATCTCTCCAGCTCCTACGCCCTCCGGTCCTGTTCTCCCGGACACAATACTTGAAAGGCCAATCAAATCGTGTACACACTGTGGTTCAATTGAATCGAAAAAGTGGAAGAATGTGAGGACCAACATGATTTGCTTGTAAGTTTGACCCTTCCCCTTCCAAACCATAATAGTTTTCATTTTCAGAACCTGCTTTGTCTACGAACGGAAATACAAGAAACAGCGGCCATTGGATGCAATCAACAAGTACAACGCGAGGAAAGTGCAGAAGGAAAGAGGCGCTCAGGTAACTCGCTCATCTCCATACTAACTTCTATTTCTGTCTTTTCATGTATATTTTCAACCCGGTTAAGCTTTTCATGTACTCTTCTCTTTCTTATATTCGTAAAAGTCAAATAAATTGCTAAGACATAATGCTGTTCCATATTCGTTTTCAATTGCACAAAACTGTTCTAACTGAACTCATAATGAACTCATTCCCAAAAAATCAAGTGAAATGAATCAGTATTCATCCGACGGCACGCATCTGAAGTCTCAGAACAGCCAAGAAGCGCGCGGACGGCGGCGCGCTCTCCAGGTTTCTTCTGTGCGCCAAAACTTCCGATGCTTGCCGCCGGACGAGTACTGATTCATTTCATTTGATTTTTTCGGAGCGAGTTTATTGTGATGTAAACTAACAAAGAGACACAAAAAGCACGCACGAGCAGCCACTTTTCGAAAAAAAGCTATTTTCCCAGTGACCTATAGACATTTTTGCGAGTTTCTTGTTGCTCTTTGTTAGTTTTGATCATAATGAACGCATTCACTATGACAACGGATAAGATGAATCAGTTTTCATCCGACGGCACGCATCTGAAGTCCCTGGAACGCTGCATCTGAGACTTCGTGGACGACCTGCTCTCGCTCGGCCTGCGGATATGCTCAATTTTCAGTGCTTTCCTTGTTTTCTCTATGTCGGCGTAACTTTTTAACGTGAAATTTTTGTTTCAGTCTGCACCATCGACTGCCGAACGGCCGTCGAATTTTCAGGCAAATTCCAACGGCTCTCCCTCGGGGCAAGTACCTGAACGGCGTAGAACGGCGATGGCCGCGGGATCAGGAGCTAGAAACCTCCGCGAGACCCCAAAGAGAAATCACCGTGCGTGAGAATGGGAAGCGTTGCACGTCTTCAGGATACGTTATCCATGAGAAACATTAAAAACGTGACCAAACTGAATCACTCTACAACCGTTTATATACAGATTAGAGTTCAATTGAATTCAGTTTTCAATTTGTTTTTAGTTTTCATACCGGTAATCCATTGCATCGGAAACATAAAGGTGAGCTTTGGGACGCCTTCAGATCTAGAGAAATGCCTGTATTCAGAGGATGGATAATGATAGCAGCGATCGGAATGGAAAACCGCCGACTAACGGGTAACATTTCCGAACGAGCTATTCAGACAAATCCGATTGTTACAGTTCGGCAGAAGAGTTGAAAGAAAAGAATCCGTCTCTGAAAAAGGGGAAATCAGCCGAGCTTCCCGCCCATCTTCGTCCCAAGTTCACGATGAAAAACAGACGACCCGGCAAGAAGAAGAAGATATCGACAAAATCTTGTTCGAAAGAGTCGTCGAGGGAAGAGGAAGTGTCGGCGAAGTCTCCGGCTCCAGAAGCCGAGAAAATAGAAGATGAAGATGATAAACCGTCGGTGGAGAAGATGGAGGAGGAAGGAGAAGTAGTAAAAGTGGAATTGGAGAAGGAGAAGGAAAAAGAGAAGGAAAGAGAGAAGGAAAAAGAAAAGGAAAAAGAAGAGGAAGAGCAGAAGGAGCCGGTGGCCGGAGACTTCGAACAGAAGCCGCCGGAGCAGAACAGTGATCGCGAGAATTCGAAAGCGGTAGGAATGAAAGAAGGACGAGGATTCAGATGAATGTGTTGCAGGAACGGAAGAAGATTGTGAAAGTGGAGAAAGAAAAGAGTGCGATGAATGTAATGGCAAAGTTTGTTGACGATAAGAGCGAAGAGAAAAGAAAGAAAGAAAAGGAGAAAGAAAAGGCACAAACGTTGAATTTCTGGGAGAAAACGGAGAAGAAGAGAGAGGAAGAAAGAAGGAAAACGGAAGGATCGAAGAGGAAAAAGAGCAATCGGAAGAAGGAGAGTCCGCGAAAGCAGCCTTCGAAACGGAGAAAGAAAGTGAAAAAGGACGCAACGGTAAGGGACCCTCTGAATCAGTCTCAATCATCCCTTTTCCGATTCAGAATAGTGTCCACCATCCCCTGTCGAATACCGAGCGATCTGCCGATTCGGCTCCTCCTCCGGCTCCAACTCAATCTCCAGGTCTACCGACCACTCAGTCTGCCCAACAAGGTACGAAAACAGCTCCGAAGAAGGAGAAGCCGAAAGCCGAGAACGTGAAGATGGTCAACACGACGAAGACGCAAAAGAAGAAGCCGAGTTTCTTCAAGGCGATAATCGATAAGACCAAGTTCTGGATGCGCAAATCGGACTGTGTGGCCCAGCCGTGAGCACATTTATTACAATGAGTCGCAAAAGCAAAAAATCTTTCAGAACAAAGGAAATGTTGAGTAAATCGATCATTCCTCCCGATTACGATCCGAACAACCCACTTGACTTTGCTCCAGATCCACATTTTCTGTTCCCGAGCGAAGATGACTGGAAAAAGCGTCTCAAAAACAATTGCAGCAGTCGCGAGGAGATTTTCATTAACTTTCGTCCGTTCTGGATCAACAAAACCAACGAAGACGTCCTTCCGAAGAGCCGACTTCTGGTTCAGTCTCAACTTCTGGCTCAGTATCATGCGAACAACTCGATGTTTCTGAAGGAACTCCCCAAAAGAACGTTCTACGATCCGCTGAAGGAGCCATTGGAGAAACTGCAGGCAGTTGACAAGTTGATTGGAGTGGATCCGGCGGAGATGGCAAAGAAGAATCAGATTGACAGAATCACCTCGAACACATTCTACGCTACATTGCACTTGCAAATGTATAGAGAAAGTGCCGAGGGAAAAAAGAAGATGGTGAGTGAATTGTGGAGTGTTTGGGAAGAAACAATCTCGAATTCAGGAAGACTGCAAACGAAAACTTTCGATCGCTGGCGCCAAGGAACAACGATCAACGAACACGGAGGAGAAGAAGAGCAGCCAGCCGAAGTTGTCGTGGAACATTCCCGAAAAGTACTTGCTCAACATCTACAATCGGTCAGCGTGGCACCGTTTGTCTCTCATTACACTCGACGGTTTTCAGAAAGGATCGTCCGTTACCAGGCGGATCTCGGAAGTGGTTGCAGTCAGAATACGTGGCCGGGATGGTGAAGAAGCCTGCAAAGAAGGGAGATAGGCAGCCGAAAGTGGAGAACAAGAAGGCTTGAACTCGCAACGAATAAACTACTGACCCTTCCATCTTAATTGACCACTTGGGCCATTTTATTACCGGACGCGGCGCGAGGGCTTTGACCAAGCGACTCGAGTTGCACTACGAAAGTTGTGAACGAGATCCTTCACACGACGATCGACTTTTAATTAGACATGTTAAATCCCCCCGGAGAAATGTTTTGCAACAACAGATGCAGTTACCCAAACAGCTACTTCACATTTCACAGCCAATTTTCAAAAAATGCCTTGTACCGTTGACAGTCAAGGGTTCATGCCAATTTTCAAAAAATGCCTTGTACCCTTGACCGTCAAGGGTTCATGCCAATTTTCAAAAAATGCCTTGTACCCTTGACCGTCAAGGGTTCATGCCAATTTTCAAAAAATGCCTTGTACCCTTGACCGTCAAGGGTTCATGCCAATTTTCAAAAAATGCCTTGTACCCTTGACCGTCAAGGGTTCATGCCAATTTTTCAACTGTCTGTCAAGCGTACAAGGCATTTTTTGAAAATTGGCATGAACCCTTGACGGTCAAGGGTACAAGGCATTTTTTAAAAATTGGCATGAACCCTTGACGGTCAAGGGTATAAGGCATTTTTCAACAACATCGTCATCTGAAAGACGTTGATCTCTATGGGCTCAAAATGTCAAAGTAATACAGTTTGCTATGCTGTAAATGGCGACTACGAACGTCTTCAGGATAGTGTCAATACAAGACAAAGAAGATATTTGTGATCAGTAAAGGCTACAACAACTTAGTCGAAGTGATCAAAAATTGCCGATGACTTTAGGCAGTTGTTCGGATTCGCACAAACATTTTGCTCTTGCCGACCTCTCGATATTTTGAGTCACGTAGACCGATAAGAAATTTGTGCAGTAGAAGTCGACGACAATGGAAAGATGATGCGATTGGATAACGGGAGCGGCCACTATCAGTGGAGAGCAGCCGCGCCCAATTTACCGATAAATTCATGATCAAAGGATGATAACCGAAATCATCCATTTTGTGATTTTGTTCGTATAAAAGGAGAGCCAGAAGAGCAAAACTTCACTCCATCACTTCGATCGAAATGAGCAAGTTCCTCGTCTTCCTGTTCTCGGCTTTCTGCCTCTCGACGGCTGCTCCCTTCTCCAATGGGACCCTCTTGTCGTCTGCCAACTCGACCGATTTGTGTGCCATCGGAAACATCATCCATCCGACTGCCTCTTCTTCCTTCTATTATCCATCTACTTGGAGAGAGAACCAGACTGCTCCTGCCCTCGATGCCGCTAAATCCTGCAGTTGGCTCGTCACTGTTCCACAGGGACACTTCGCCAAACTCGTTGTCAGCGGACAGGTCTCGAAACTTCAACTTATTGATTCCGCTGGAAATGTTGATCAGTTCGTTTCTCACGTCGCATTGAAGTCTTCGAATGTCCCGTTTCCAGATCTTCAAACGAAACGATGACTCCGTACTACTTCACTTCTCCAAAGTTCACCATAGGACTCTCCAGCTCCAACAGCTCTGCCACTTTCGCTTTCAAGGTCGTTTGGGCTCCACGTAAGACTGCTAGTTGCAAGTATTTCAGTAGACCAATGCTTTTCAGTCCCAACCAATCTGGAGAGCAACTTCGTCAATTACACTGCCCTCGTGAAGGAGATCACTGCCAATGCGTCCGGATTCAGTGTGGGCTCCGGAAGCCGTGTCTCCCTCCTTCCGGTCCCTTCCAACCCGTCGAACCCGGTCTCATTGCGAAGTGTGGTCGTCTTCCAGGGAGAGTCTACAAACGAGCAGTACATCACAAAGTATACGAGTTTTCCCCAATCCATTCCGCCAATTTCCTCCTTCCAGTCTCTACCGTATCTATCAAAGTGGGCAGCAACTCGCTTCTATTGGTCAGGCCCTCACGATCGTCAACCTCGAAGCGAGCAACTCCTCCGATGTTCTCATCGTTCAGAACTTCCAATGTACACTTGCATCTGCTCGAAATCTTCTCATACCGTTCTTTTTCAGACACGAAGGACATCCACGACTACAAGGGATTCACGTGCTCCGCCAACAGTACCTGCTCAGTCCAGGTGAACTCGGGAATGAGATCTTCTGCTGCTGTGTCCGTCAACACAAACACCGAAGTGCTGACTGCCGTGAGAATGGACGCGGTAGCCAAACATCCTATCCAGTCCCTTCACCCGATTTCTTTTGCAGTCCGCTTCCCTGACAGTTTACTACGGATCGACTTCTGACGCTTGCAAAGTGGCGCAGTTCAGTGCCAACAAGATCCAGTCACTGCTTCCGATGAGCTTCTCCGGCAACTGCACGCAGTACGTCGTGAGCAGTGGAAAGGCATATCTCGAGATTAACAGAATGTGATTTTTGTGTTTAATAAAGTTTTAAAGCATGCAAATCGAATCATTCATAGACGCAACAATTCAAATTAGGAATTATGATGTGGATACCAGTACAGAGCAGCCGAACCGTTTGAGGGTTTCAATAACAAAAGAGCGATAACAACAGGGCCACGACAAAGAGAGATTCTGAAAATAGGTTTGCATTTGGGGAAGGAAATAGGGAAAGCCATGAACTCACTGTTTCCAGCTGAAGAGATGGCGTCCTCAATTTGGAAATCCAAATAGAATCCTTTCGTTTCAGTTCCATTTGTAAAATAAGAAACTGTCATGTTGGTCGCTTGAAAGGAAAAGGCACTGTTATCCGATTGACCGTCAGAAGCAAACCTGTAACATGCAAAACTTCAATCAAGTTTAGCTGACAAGGACACTGACCGAAACTCAGTAAGTCCCATTTCACCTGCAAACATAATCGAAAGTGTGGAATTGTGCGAAACATCGACATGAGTGACGTTGACACGGAAAACGAAATCGTCAGTGTCTTCTGAACAATATCTGTAATCAGCTTATTGATTCTGAGTGCCTACCTCTTCCTCCGATGACTTCATACACGTCCTGATACGTTTGTTCATATCCGTAGTACTTCGAAGTTATGAATCCCTCTCTTCCGCCAACTGCATCATTCCACCTTGCTGCAAAGAAAATGGAAGTTAGACACTACAAAAAACGCCAAGAGCATACTGTAGTTCTGATCTTCTGCCAACTCAATCAGCGCCGTTCCGTTCTCTAAGTAATACGTCATAAGTTCCCCATTGAACTTCTGTGGAATATTCGTTTTTGATTGAGCAGGACTGAAACAATAAGGTATTCTTGGAGTGAATGTTGTTCAGAACACACTCATAAGTAACGATCACATTCGAATCGTCGCCTTCTCTTCTTGCTCCAATGAACACTTTGAGCGTAGCTTCCGGACTCAGATCCAGCTTTTTTAGGTATTCATTTCCATCGTCCACATTCAAAGTCATCGCAGAAACCGGTCCGTTCGCAGCATTCAAAGTGACCGGGCACGAGGATTGACTCCAGCAAGTGATTCCTTTCGTTTCAGCCAATCCGGCAACATCTGCTAACAAGAGTTCATCGAAATAATTTCTTCAAATAGCTCACTGAAGTTGTCTTGAACTATGAAAAATGAGCCGACGACGTAGTACTCTTGAAATGTGAATACGGTCATCTGAGTTGCTCGGGAGACGATCGGTTTATTGGCACGAACTGCCTGGAAGAGAGTGCCGAGGTACGGCGACTCGATTGTCGGACCGTCGAAGACGAGGGTGAGGCGAAGAAGGGAAGTGAGATCGGGGTAGACCGAGGGGAAGGCGACAAGGCTGACCTGAAAGAATGAATGGGAACTGTGGGGACGAGGAGCACGACTGACCCTTGTCTCTGCCGTCAAAACTACTGAATTCTCGGAGAGCATTTCATCAAACACAAGGGCTTCGCTTGTTTTAGAGACGTTGTAGAAAGCGGGATTCGGAGTGGGCACTGTAAAATATATGAACACTTTCCTATTTGTCAGCTTGTAAAGCGCTCACAATTGTTCCATTGCACCTTGAATCCGAGCTTTGTTCCGTTTGCAATTGCGCCCACGCTCAGATCAATAGTGAATTGGACCCCAACGAAAATGTACGGCTGTTGCTCACTCGTCATTATTCTAAATGTTTTCCTTCATTTTCTGACACACATCCTCGCAGTTACGTTTCAGATTTGCCATTGCAATCGGTCACTACGAGAGTGCTGTCTCCTCCGATGTCGGCCATCATTGTGAAGAGAGCGAATGTCTGCGTAGGAATCGAGATTGTCCATTTACAGCGTTGATTGGCCGCATACGTGGCACCAGTCATATTCTCATTCCACTGTGCCGGAAAGTAGTAAGGGACGGACATGTTCAAGGTGGGACCGACTTTCAACGCAGCTTCGCACGCTCAAAAATTGTCATGTATTAAATGGATGACAACAAGAATCTATCAAACTTACCAACGTTTGAAGGTTGATCAGTATTGTAAAACTGATTATTCGCATGAGCTGAGATGAACACGATGGATAATATAAAAAGTACGAACATTGTTTGAGTTGAAAGACAATGAACCGCGATAGAATGACCTGAAGAGTCCGAGAGAAATGACTCGATTGTCAGCCAACCGCCCAAAAAGGTATCATAAGCCGTTAAGAAGTGCATAAGACCGATAGAGACGGCAGAAAAGACGGCGAAAGACGTCTGTTGTGAATCATTCTCGCATGCTTACATCATCTAGAACTGTTCCGAGCGAGTAGACAAAAGATCAAATCAATAATTTATTTTATTTCATCATCGGAATGGTTCATACAAAGTTTAGAACACACGAAATCACGAGCACAACGAAAAGACCGTAATGAGAGGAAGATTTGAGGAGCTCGAAATCCAGATAAAACCCGGTCGTCGGGTATCCGTACGCCTTGTAAGTAACTGTAAAATCGTCTCCGAGAGCACTCACTTCGTTGTTCAGACTGGGAGCATTCGTCGAGTTGAATCTGAATCTTTGAGCATATTTAACTAACTGGTTTGGGAAGACGTACAGTTGTCTGTAAGTATCCTTTCCGTTCTTGGTCACCACAACGCTCAGCGTAGCGTTATTTACAAAATCGGCAGCTCGGATTGTGAACTTGTAGTTGAATACTACGGCGTTTTGTTGGTATGGAGCGCGAATGTAGTCGAATGTGTCTTGGAGATACGTGGATTGTCCGGTCTTGTAGGATCGAGACGCAATGAATCCTTTTCGGCCGACTGCTCCGCTGTTCAAAAAGTCCTGCGAGTTTTGGGTCAAATTGATAGATGCAGACTGGCCAGTCAGCACATACGTCCGCACGTATCCGAGGAACTCTTGAGGAAGAACCAACGCACTGTTGTTCACACTGAACTGACAGTTTGATTCTGGAATAGAAAACTAAAACTCACTCGTAGGATGCAATCAGATTGGCTTTGCTCTTCGTCTTGCCCCCAATGTAAACGTCAAGGATTCCACTTCCAGATAGTCCTGTTATGTACTCTGCTCCACTTAGGGAGTACTCGAAGACAGTACTGACTGCGGCGATTCCCTGGGATCCGTCCATCGTAACCTGTCCACAATAGATTGGATTCGCACATACGACTCCCTGGTACTGCACAATGTCCTTCGTGTTATCGTAGTCTTGGAAGATCAGCATCGTTCTGCCAGTGGAATAGTACGGTCTCAGTTGCTGTACAGTCATGTACTGCCCGCTCGAAACAATCTGTTTGTTGCTGTTGTAAACCTGAAGAGCCGTTCCGAGACACGTGGAATTCCAATCGGCACCGTCGTAAATGATGATACTCCGAAGGTATTGGAGCATGTTGTCGTCGATTGGAGGCGTCACCACGAGCGAAACTCTCGTTTCGGCTTTGATTTGATACGGAGAAGTGGAGAATGCCCAGTAGGTTGTCGGTTGTGGGGCGTTTATGGTTACATTTTTATGGAATGGGTCGAAAAGGAGATCTGGAAAATATGAGAATGTTCAGAGGCAACCTATTGTGACCTACTCTGCCACCATTTCACTACGAATCCGAACTGAACATTTGCATCTCGAGAGTTCAATTGAATCTTTCCTCCATTGGCAATGAAAAAGAAGTGCTCGTCTGTTGTGATGTACACTCTGAAAAAATAGAATACTTGAGTGCTGAAACCGGAAAAGAGAGCACTCACACTTCTCTCTGGTTGGTCTGATCGTATACGGAAACTGAGACGGCTCGGTCCGGCGGAATCGTCATATTGACCGTCAAGATTACTGTGGCACTCCATCCTTGTGGTACATTAATCTGAAGCAAAAGTTGAAAATTTCCGAATCTTGAATGTTTCTCACATGATAAATACAATTGAAATTATTGGGGAATAACGGAGGAAGGGAACCAGTGAAGTTGTTCGGATACCACGTGTATTCCGACGTGTTCGCGGGGGGATCGAACTGTGAAGCACCGTTATTACAGGCTGAATTATATTGAATTAGATTGAGAATGAGAAAGGCCGATTACCAGGAATGTCAGCAGTGGACCACCCAATCAGAAAGAAGAGGAAGAGGAGAGAAAAAAAGTAAAACATTTTGAGCCGAGCAGCCGTAACGCCGGCGAAAGACGGAGAGACAACTTAAAAGGGAGACGGTGAATCACTCTTTTGTCATGGTTTGATAACGATTGAGACGTCATTGCAACTCATATCCAATAGACGTATCAAATGTTTTCTCTGTTCTTCTGAATATTACTCAGTTATCATGTGTAACATGGCATAACGTTACGTACGTTCATGAAAATGTTCAAGCAAATACGGAAAACATTCGTGTGTCTTGTGTATTGATAGCGACGCTTTGGGTCAAAAATGGAAGTGCAAATGATCAAGATTGTGTGTAAATACTTTTTCTCGGTTTCCATTGAATCTAACTGTCATCTATCAACCCTGATTTATTCAGTTCGAATCAGTTTGTCGAGAGTTTTAACAAAGAATTCCTTGGAAACGTTACCAGATATACATGAAATGATAATAATTCAGATATAAAATTAAGACAATCGAAAACGTGCGGAATGCACAATTGATCTGAAATTCAGCCAAAAACCCGGAAGATCGCTCGTAATTCGACGAGTAAACAACAGAAATGGAATGGCCGGAATGGGAGATCCACTTGTCGCCGTCGCCTTTTTCGTATGCACTTCGACTGAAAAAAATAGTTCCCTTGCTTTTAATTTCTACAATTCTTTGGAGTTTATCAGTGCACTAATCAAGAACAAACTCACTGATCGTAATAATGCATTCTCTGTGCATTATCGGAGACGACAATGTGAAGACTGCTATCAGCGGATAAGTCCGTCTCGAGAACACGGTAGGAAAAAGTGTACGCGGTAGCATTCTTGGACTCTTTTCCGATGAAATGGAACGAATCCTGCTGCAGTCCCTGTTCTCTCTCGTCGTGTTTCCAGTATCTCGAAGTGAAGAAGCCTCTCCGTCCCGCAAATGCCTTTTCCCAATCGGCATTCCATTTGTCTCTTGTCAACGTCAACGTGGCGTTTCCAGCCGTCAAAACGTAATATCTGACTCTTCCCTGCAGCTTCTGCGGCAGATGCGTTCTGTTGTTCGAGTTCGTGTACACTGCCACTTTTTGTGTGCCAGAGAGCCCTTCAAAGTATACTTGCAGCTCTGCTCCGTCCTCCAATTCGACAGAGATCAAGTATTCATCGACAAGCACGTTGTCAATGTGAGTGAATACAACGGACTTCCCGCTCAGAGCCTCCATATTCACGGTCTCGACATCGGAACCGTGAATCGACAATCCAGTGATTTGACTTATGTTCTGGTACACTAAAAACAAAAATATTAGGCTGATCATAATCAGATTCCTCACTTGAAGCATCCTGAACTATAACATGATGATGTGTGGGAATCGGAACGATCGAGAAGATCGTGGCAGTTGAGAAATTGGAAACCAGCTGAGATCTTGATTGGCGAAGGGAGTACAGACTGAAAATGAGAATAAATTCTGATAGGCTAATGAACCAAGTGTCATCAAACCTTCCGAGATAAGGACTGCGCAGATCGGGGCCGTCGAAGACTATGATTGATCGCAAGTAGGAGTCTTCATCCGATTGGTTTTCAGTCAGACAGAAAATCGAAACCTTCGTGGCAGCTCGGAAAACGACGGGACTGTACGTGTCCTCGTGCTCCAGAACAATCGACCGTCCGTTCTTCTCGAGCGTGTAATCCTTAACTGTCATGTTCTCCGGATCTACAAGAGTGTGAAGAAAAAGTATACATATTTCAGCATCTTACATTCTTGCCATTGAACGTTGAAATCGAGTTTTCCTTCGGAAGAATTGCCAGAGAACCAGCTGATATCGAGACTTGGAGCCACGAAAAGGAGGGCCACTTCCACGTGGACATCGAGGAATCTAAAAAAAGAAATGAAGCAGAGATTTGGATGAAGTCGAACTTTTCCGTGTGATTCGGTGATTGAGTGACAATGATAGAGGATCCGAAAGGAAGAGTGGCGTTTACGTAGAGAATGGCAAAGTGATTGTCCGGAATGAAAACCTTCCACGAACAAGTCTTATTGGCGAGCACGGCGGAGTTTGTTTCATTCGGAAAAACAAAGACGGAAGAGCTGTTCATGGGAACGGCGGGATGGATTTCTTCAAACAACGGACATCCTGTAACTAATCGGGTCTTTCTGGGCGCCTAGCCGTGTTGCTTCTACCATTTTCAGTCATGTTTTGAACTTCATTTTGACACGAGATGAATTTCAAAAACAGAAAAGTTAGCCAGAGCATAAGGGCTTGAAAGTGAACATTCTGACTTCAAACCCTGGTAAACCAGCAGAAATGTGTACACAAATAACCCGAAACGATAGTTGAATTGACCTGATCTCTATGGGAAACTTATGAATTCATGCGGTGACGTCATCGTTTCATTTTCAGACATTTTATTTGCGACCCATACAAAAAATGATTCATTCATCAGGATCCACATCGAGAAATTGGATGCTGAACTTGAGATTACCGTCGTCCGAAGGACCCGGGTACCAGAAGATGTCGAACTGTGGCGGACTGAAGAATCGGGTCACTTCCATGTCGTCTACGAATCTGGAATTCAGAGAATGAGAACTTGAGCTAGTGCATATTAACTTCTCAGTTTGATTGAGGAACGGAATCTGAGTGACAGTGACGTGGCCTCCGTCGGGAATCGTTGCCTTCAACTGAACGATCACTGTGTAGTTGGAGGGAATGTTGACCTCAAAGGAAGAATATTTCATCTGGAAATGGAACGGAAACTTTTACAATCCAAGCACAAGCAGAGTTCGCCGGATACTGAGTGAATGCCTTCGTAGGAAAAGTGTAGATGGCCGAAGTGTTTATCGGCCTTTTCGGAGTGATCGTTTGTTGCTCGGGACATTCTGAAATGCATCGTCATTTTTCGTGTTCCACCCTCACATTACCGTAATACGCCTTTTGAATCTTTGCCGCGACGGAGCCGAAGAGAGCTAAAAGTAGAATGCAGGAATGCATGACTGCACAACAAAAAGATACCAAAAGACAGATTTTCTTTTATTCCATGTGCCAGTGTTCAAACACTCAAACACGATGAATCGGACGGACGTCATGTTTTTCGGCGGAGGGCGACTAAGACTAAGGGACTAAGCCGATTGATTCTGGAGTCCTCTTCGTGTACGACCTGTATGCAAATACACATAATTACGAGCGGAAAGGGCGGCTCTTTCTTCGAGTATTTCCGCGCACTTTCTGGTTAGCTCATCGTTTCTTTCGCTCTACCTCTCATTGTAATACTCGTCGTTTCCTCTTTCCGTCGCCTTGCCCGTCTCTTCTTAATTTATGGGTTTGCTTGTGAGCATTTCGCTATCACTTCTTCCCATTCCATTCCTCAGAAACCATCACTTCTCTTTTTCCACCACCGGTCAGAACTTCATCCATAAATCAGGTGTTAATTGTGGGAGGTTCGACAAATTCGACGGCCGCTTTAATCGAATCATATTGCCCTATTGGATGCCAGGATCTCTTCTGCGAAACGGGTTTATCAGTGCCCTCTTCCCGTCTACCGGCGGCTTCCCACTCAATGATTCTCATACCGTTTTATGTGTATTCAATGCATTATTTATGAGTTTCTCACTTCCTTTTTTGGGGTCAAACTGGTAGTGATTGTGAGTACGCACTGATCCGATTGTAACGAGAACATGAGAGGGCGATTGAGAGAGAGAAGAAACTTTATCGAAACTGGTTGCAAACAGATACTTACTAAACGCGACATTATCAGCCAATCACAGAAGAAAACCAATCAATCAGTTGTGACCGTCTTCTGCCTCCAGGAGACGTGCCTTCGACCTCTCTTCTCCTTTCCCTTTGTCTATCTCTCTGAATTTCTCGTGTTTTGCTCGAGTTCGAGAGCTGTTTTTGTAGTCTTAAGTTTGCAATGATTTGCATTCTTCTTTGAAAACAAGAAGGCCTTGCAGCCACAAAAAGACTCCCTTCGGCCGTCTTCGTCGTGAATAGACAGCAGGAAATGTGGTTATTTGCTCGAGGAACTTTCTTTTCAAGCAGCTCTCCCAGCTACCCTTCCATTTTTGATACTCTTGGCTTGAAGCCTGTCACTCACTCACCGCTCCGTTCCATCATCGCTCATCCTTTTTCTTTTTAACGATTCTGGCCTACATTGGAAAATAATAACCGTTCTTCTGGCCCGCTAATCGTGCAAGCCGATCGTCGTGGTCGCCGCCGTTGTCCAGCTGATCCGCATCTCAAAAAAAAGAACTTGGCCGTGCCGTCTGTGTCTCGTGCTTTTCCGTACTCTCCGGGCCAAAAGAACAGTCAACGGGACGGGCGAATACGTCGCTTCCTCTCTCCCCGCCGTATTTATATTATACATATACACATACAGTGGCGTGCCCGGTCCGTTCAAGTGCCCGTTTTCTCTCGGTCCTCTGTCCGACGGCGTCTCTCCGATCAGTGCACTGCCTCCTCGAAGCACGTCTCCGTCTGTGATTCGAAGCGCAAAGAGAGAGAGAGAGAGAGAGAGAGAGAGAGAGAGAGAACCGGGGAGGGAGACAGTTATTGTGGTCAGCGATGGCCATGTACTACAATGGAAGCGTACGTTTCAAAGTTTTTGGCGGAGTAGCCGGAAGAGAGAGGCTCTCTGGGCGGTGCTCTCCGAATTACCCGCTCGTTTGTCACTCACTTCTTTCTTTCCTTTCAGCCTCGATGATCCCGAAATGAGTGATGGGCTCTTTGCCCGCGCCCGCTTTTCTTTCTGCCCCGTGCAGCCGCAACCCATAAATTTTTGATTATCCCCTGTCCGCTTCGACCTCAACGCCTCTCCTTTCCGGGGTACTAGTACTCTCTGCGGTCGCACTGCTCCAAAATCCGAAAAGTGCAATTGGCCGTCCGAATTACCTTCATTTTTTTCGTAGGGCACTAGAGACGGACGCCGACACACTGTTTGACTAACCTATTTAGGGAGAAAAAAGAACTATGCAAACTGTCGTACTTGAACTCGGCACGCCGCCGCCGTTCAAGGCTACTTGGTGGCCATTCTCACTGCTCTCCGAGTGCTCTTTCCCTTCTCATTACCGCGTTAATTCTCATCTGGCCTCCGTATGTTTTGCTTCCCCTTCATCCACTTCTTCCTCCATTTCCACGTTATTCACTATGAGTGTGTGAGTGTTCAGAACGTTCCCACAAATTATGGCATCGTCGACGATATCATTGTGTCCATTGCGTGTTTTTGTTGCACTCTCTCCTCGTTTCCCGTCCGGCCGTCCGATTTGCAAGGCACTCGCCAGCACTCTTTTTGCGACGTGGCAAGTGACCCCCCTCGCCGACCATCTGGCACGGCGCTTCGGGCGGCTCACTCGTTAGCGCCCCTCCCAATCATCATTCAGTCCATCCATAGCGCACCTGTCTCGCCTTCTGATTCTTCTTCCACATGATGCATCCAGAACTGTCCGAATGATGTGGCGATACATCCGACATTTAGGCACTAATAGCAAACGACTTGTCACTGCTTTTTTTGGCAAAACACCTCCAGTACATCTCCTTCTTCTCCTCCGTCTTCCTCTTTTTTTCCCCCATTGGCAGCTGGTAGGTACTGCAGCCTAATCGGTCTTTCTCCAATCGGACACTCGTTGCTCTACCCTCTTTGCCCGTTTATGACCGTGCCAAAGTGCCGGAGGATTAGCCTTCCGAAGGGGAGGAAGGGCCCAATCGGTGGTATCCGGCCGATCGGGCCCTTTCCTTGCTCAGGTCTCATTGGCTTTTCATGTGTTACGAGGAGAACCGTATCTGATTCCGCAACAAAAGAACCACATTTCACGCTTCGCCGCCTCAAACTCCCTTTTTGATGTCGGTGGCAATCCTTGTCCTGCAGACGTCGCTGCTGCTGCTTCCGATTGTTCTTCCCCCCCTCGACCTGTTCCTTCGGACACATTTTGACCCGACCGTCCAATTTTCTTCAATCTGCGCCAAGATGCTCTTTTCTTGAGCAATTCACATTACAAAAAGGCGCGTTTGTCTGCGTCTCCGGCTGATATTTGCATGCGCGCACGAATGAGCCAAAGAAAAGAATGGGAGGGGCGGGGAGCCGCAAGAAAACGCTTGAGGCGATCTTCTTCTACTTGAGATTCTGATTGAAAATGTCTTTTTGGTTTTTATTTGCCACAACATGACACAGATACGCGTAAATAAGACGACGTCAAGAGGGCGCAAGGGTCTGTGATACAACTGAATGGTCCGTCTTGAGATGTGCTCTCAGATCATCCGGTTTGAAAGTTGAACGAATTTTCTGTTGGTTCAAAGTCTTGCGAAAGACGTCCCGTTTCGCCCATTCAACTTGTACTATCATATCACATGACACATTTTTTTCGAGTCGTACAAAAGTAATACGAGTAGTGGCGAGTCATCCAGAAAATTCGGGACGCGTCGAGAGCGGTTTTGTCTGTTTATTTGTCTTTTCTGTTTTACAAGTTCGCGTGACAAGGGTCCACTTCGTTTTATTGCTTCTACTATTCCAGAATGCGTAGTCTTTCTCTTTCGTCTTCTTCTTCTTCTGCTTCTTGGTTCTCTGAAAAACAGAGGGCGGCTCTTTGATGCACCTTTCCCTTTTTTCGGCTGTGCTCTCGAACTCGTTATTGTTGTCTCATGATTCGATTTCTTCTTCTTCACAAGTGGCCATCGCGAAAGCAGCAAGTGCCGATTCGCGCCTTTCCCCACGGGGCCATTCGTCTCCGGAGGCGAAAAAGTGTGGGACTGGCAGCTTCCCGCTCGGAATCCTTCAGCTTCCATGAATCATTCACTTCGGCTGCACTGACTTTTTCACCCGTTTTGTTTGACATTCAATCTCGACGACTGGTAATTTTAGGTTCTGTCCTTCTTTCCCGCCCATTATTGTTTTACCCGTCTCTCCTGCTCCTCCCCCTCATGCTTCTTCCCTTTCCTTTCCCCCCAACAATTACGCATCCCGACGCCATCAGCAGCATCTTCCGTCGTCTTTTTAGTCGTCGCGTCATATTTCAACATCTTTTTGCTCTTCTTCGGCCCCAAATGCAATCACGCAAAACGAGGAGCCGTCCATGTTGGCTCGTTACCCTCCAGTCCGTCCTTTCCCCGGAATCCGGCGTCCTCTCTGAGCTGTGAAGAGCACTCTTTAGCTCGCGAATCTCTGAGTTATCGTAGTTTTTTGAAAATCACAAAAATATATTTTCCCATTAACACGGATATCTTCTGCCGCCACGTCATGCTCCATATTGCTCCTTCCGGCAGCTCTTTCCGGCTGACCGATCCCGTCCATTCTCTTGCTTCGTTTCCCACTCGACCTTCACCATTCCTTTTCATTTCTCGAGTAGACCACATCATTCTCATGTAATAATTATTCGAATACATTCTACTGATCTAAGTGGAACTGTGTATACCAACCAACCAACTTTTTGCTTGACGTGACAATTCGGAATCACTTGAGGAACATGTTCCGTGATTCGAGTGATGACTTGTCTTCTTCTTCTTCTTCTCCTGGTAACTCCTCTTCCAGTACCGCTCTCTTTTAATCCGCAAAAAACTTCCGCAAGTGTCGTTCCCTGCCCTTCTTTGAAGACGCCGCCCGTCTGCCAACACAGCCGCCATCCGCTTCTCTCAAATCATTACCCTTCTTCTTTCATAAGAAGAGTTTGTTCCCATGCTCTGGCTGTTAACCAACGTTTCCTTTCCGTCCTATCCCAATAAATTTTACTTCCAAAAGGCATGCGTGTCGCCTTCTGTACCATCAGATACACCCCTCGTCGATTATTATCGCTCGCCGGAACTTTTGTCCTACAGGTCGCCTCTTTCTCTCTCTTTTCTGCTCTCCTACGCCCAATTGGCGTTGACCCCGGCACCCGTCTCAACGTGCACTTTTTCGTTTCGAATACGATTCCCTGTGGCCAACGAGATACGCCCTCTTGTTCGAAGCCAAACCATGAATGTTTCACACATCCTCTCCTCGCTCTTTTTTCTTTGAATTTCTAATTTATTGTTTTGCCTCTTTCCGCTTCCATGCGAGGCTGACGAGTTGTTCCCAAACCCTTGATTAGAGAGAGATTTCGAGTGGGAACGACGTCTGAATCAGTCTGAAACGGGTTCAGAACACATTCGATTTCAGTCGACAACTTTCCTTTCCGGTCTGAAGCCTGCTTTCGGTACCAATTGGTGCTCCTCTCGTGACACCGCCACACCAATAATTCGTCGTCGTAAAGTAGAGAAAGACCTTCAAAAGTGCATAAAAATCGAGTGCCGTTATCAGTGCTCTCATACGTATTTGCATACTCTCATCTGCTTGCTCCAGACCGTCTCCTTCTCCCTTTTCAATTTTTTTGTCTTCTTTCTCTCCCCCGTTCTCCCCGCCATCGCCATCAATTTATCATCGTTCCTCGTACCATCCAAACGCTTGTCGCTCCCACTTTTTCTGTGCGTCTCTCCTACAGCTCCACTCCATTCGCTTCCCGCAACACGACGTTTTTCTCACAAGTTTCTGCAAAAAATCGGTCGAAAAGAGGGGGAGAAGGATGAGGAGAAGAAGAAGGAGAAGGAGAAGGAGTCTTCGCGTTTCCCGCGTCTTATCTGCTCTCGTCCCCACGTTCGTCGCTGATAACACACGTCCTTCCACGGTCGTTTCATCCGATTACCCTTTACCTGCAACCACTGTTTTAGCTAATTATTTCAGCCCAAGGCGTCAAACTTGTATCGTTCGGTAGAGTAGACCATGGCTGCTCTCGCCTCGTTCACCCGCAACAGTCGCAGTTACGGCCAGCAGCCCATCGACGTCACCGCGCAGGTAATCAGAAGGAAAAGGACAGATATTTAATGAAGAGCCGGTTTCAGGGCCAACGGGACCGGAGTATCATAAGTCTGGACGCACAAGGAAGATCAGTTTCACAGTGAGTTGCTCTAGATTCCTTTCTTTTGACATTCTCGTTTGTACTCCTTCCCCCAAATTCTCACCTGCTCCAAACATCATCATTCCATTCTGGTTCCACAAAAACGCATTCGTGCTGTAAAGTATTTGGTGTGTACTCAATAATTCGCACTAATTAGCAAACCGCAACACGTTTTTGTCTGTTCGAAAGAAGAATGATAGCACTTTGGCGGGTCAAAGTTTTGAGTTGAATTCCGTCGAAATACGGGGGGAAGATTTGAGAGAAGATGTTGCCAAAGTCGTTGAAGCACTATTACACCTGGAGAAACTTGAACGAACATGCCAAAACGGGGGAATTCACGAAAACCGCGGATGTCAAACTCGCGGAAACCAAAATCGCGGAAAAAAAAACCAAAATCGCGGATTCTTGCATGCGCCATACTTGACGCGCACGTGTAACCTAACGGCTTTTCCATCAAAACCAAATTATGAGTCCTTGAATACAACTTCTTTTAGTCAAGTATATTTTTCAAAGTTACTTTTGACGAGTTTCGATTTATTTCTCTTATTGTTCACTATTTTTGACGTGTTCGTCAGGTCAAAAAACGCAAGCTTACTGTAAATGCGCGTCAAGTTTGGCGCATGCAAGAATCCGCGATTTTGGCTTTTTTCCGCGATTTTGGTTTCCGCGATTTTAGCATCCGCGGTTTTCGCGAATTCTCCCCTTTTGGCATGGCCTCTGACTTTCGATGAAATGACACAAAACCGTTCAGCAGGATTGTTTTATCGAGAACCCCAGAGTGTTCTTCTTCGATTTCCCCTTCGAAATTCTCAATGACCACTTGTCAAGTACCCAAAAAAGGAATACAATACACGTCAACACCTCGCTAAGTACGTTCTCCCCAATCCTTTTTTGCAACTGACACAAACACAGATAGGTCATGTTTACCTGGGGAGAAATTCCTAATCACGGCTTCCGAATCTTTCCCAATCTTTCCGCGCTTCTCTCGATCGCTTCTCTCCTCTCTCTTGTTCGATTGCAACGTTTCGAGAGTGTGTAACAATGCTCCGAAGTCAATCAGTGTTCCCTGCGACCCCGGAAAATAAACGACGGAAAAGTTCGTGTCACGTCACTGATTCCACATCCGAAATGAAGAGGAAAAAGGCACTTTAACGATCACGCAGACGTTTTTAGTGCTATCCAATTTCAACGTCTTCTGATTGTTCTCTGAACCGCACTGAAAACAGCCAAACTACAGACGGTCGTTAAAAAAGAACGAGCGCGCACAGTGGTGATAGCGAAGTGCAAAACGAACTTTATTAGCGGATAATTTGAGTGTCTTTGTCACCGCTTTTTTAAGACCTGCATACCTCCATGAAGGCTGTCGCACGCGATGTTCATAAACCGACGAAATGACTTCACCATCCTTCGCATACCGTACTTTTTTTTTTATCTTTCTGGTATCACAAGGCGACGGTTTTGAGAGAAGAATCTGGTCGATTTCGTCGCGCATCGAGAGAGGGACAATCAATTGGATCTTTGTCAGTCTTCAACCTTTCGAAAAGTTTTACGGGCACATTCCGTGCCTCACTCTCTTCAGAATGTTCCCCCACAGTTTTGATTACACTCATTAATTTGCTGTTTTCTTCGTGCCGGTTACCTTGAGGTCCTTGCGGTCGGGAAAGAGGCGAATCGTAATGAAACAGAGGCATGAAAACAACTCGTAAAAACCCGTCCTTCTATAAAGGGATTCCCTCTCCCGCCAGGCTTCCCACTCCTTCTCATTACAGTCCTTTTATGTATTGATCTTTGAGAATCTTCTCTTTCTTTTTTGTATTTCATCAGCTCTTTGAATCTTGTTTTCGCGCCTCGAAAGCCTCGAGATTTGGTCGAGATTTGTCCTTAAGACTACATAATAATCGTCTGAAAATGTAGCATTCAACACGATTTCCCGCCATCTTCATCTGCTCTAAGCACCTCCCACCGGCTCATTCTATTCCATTCATCGCCATGAAAAAGTCTCTGACCGACTCGAACATCGCCACGTCTGCCAGGTACGTTCACACCACCAGGTTCATTACTTTCCGTCCGACAGTACCGAACTGCACTCTTTTTCTTTTTCTCCGTCTCTTATTCAATTCCACTGCCTTTCTGTCTCTTTCAAAAGCGGGCGGTCTCCATGCGAATGCGAATCGAAAGTGAAAACGAGGCGTCGTCGTCGGCAGGCAACAGCAGCAGCAGCAGCCGCCAGAAGGCAACGTACCTATTAATAAAATGGGCAATGATGGCAATTGATTTATAGAGAAAACGAAGAATAGATTAGGCGCAACGTTCGTTCGCCGCGGGCTTTCACTCTGTTTTGCATGGCTAATAAGGTGGAGAGAAAGTGAGAAAGTGAGAAGAAATTAGGTGTGTATACTCCCTTTTTGGTCTTCTCCCCATTTTGAGAATTCTCCGACCGGCCGTCACTTCTCATTGTTCGTTTATCCCCGCACAATGTCAGCTGATTCACTCCGTACTTTACAACATTGAACATTTTGTGACACTTTGCCTCGAGACGTCAAAAGACAAGAGAGATGGACAGTTCCGATAGAGATTGTCTTTTTGGAAGACACCCCACTTTTTGATTCATTTCTTTTTCTTTTTCTTCTTTCATTTATCTCTACAGCTCTATCACCTTACTTCTTTCTGACCAAATGTCGCCGTCTTCTATACAACTACAAGCGATTCGTTAATGTCATCGTTTCTGTATGCATTTGGTGCCGGTGACTCACAGAGCACATCTTGCTCCAAATGCTTTTCCCGTCCCAATCAGAAAGCCTTATAGGCGTGTTTTCGTAACCAGCAGACTCGATATGCACCTGATGAAAATGAAAAAACAGAACTGTGATATTATCCTCTTCTCACTTCCCCCGTATTATCCCTCCCCTGCATACATTCACCAAAAACCACAGTTTTTGCCACTTTTCATAAGTGGTTTTCACTGAATAGAATCTAGCGAATGGGGGTTGATTTCGGCCTATCACAAACTACCGTAGCCCTTCCCCGCCTCCCTTCCAATTTCGTATTTTTCAGCGAGTGCCCCACGTCGACGACCCTCGTCCGCCAGCTCTACTTGCCCCAGATTCCGCAGTCGGCGTCGTTCGCTGCCGCGCCATCCTCCTCTTCGGGATCGTCGTCCTCGGGATCCGCCCACCATCCGATTTATCACTCGCAGAACTCGCTGCCGCCCTCTCTCGTCGGCACATCGCCGCATTCAGCGAGCAGCAACAGTCTTGTGCAGGTGAATAGAAAACGAAAGTGCGAGAGTCAAAAGAACGAATGAATGCAAGCGGTCGTCTAGAAAATTGAACGCATTCTAGTTATATTTCAGTTGTGCGAGCGTCGACGCTTGCCCTAGAAATGTCCTTTTCAGTAATCCTTTCCGGAAGACTTTTGTCCTGTTTTCGAATTCATTTTGACTTGTTTTCTCTCTATTTCCCGGAACTGAAGCCTATTTCTCTTATGACATCAATATTCAGGGACACCGTAATCCGGCGCTCGGCTCGAACAACACCCTCACCCGCAGCTACCATCAGCCTTCTTCTACCAACTCGTCGACGAACAACCTCTACGGGCCTCTAGGTACCCTTTCCCGCGACTTGAAGCACGCCATCAACGACATCTCGCCGCCGGTGATCAACGCCTCCGCGAATCCGCACCTCGTCAACTACATTCAGACGTCGTCGTTCGACAACGGTTAGTTCCTCCCCTTTTTGTTGTCCATCCACGTCACTGATTCGGTGTTTTGTGGCTGCGAGGGGGTGTTCATTCTGATCTGCAGTCTTGTGACCGAAAGGGCTTCGAAAAATATCTCGAACTGGCGGTTTTTGGCCACTTGCGCAAGACGATCTTCGGCGTCGCCAACGGAAATTCCAATTTTCTCGTTCGGAAAGCACTGCTGCCGCCGCCACTTTCTCTCGTGCCTACTAGTACGTATCCGCCCGCACTTTCTCCGAATAGTAAGAGGCGAAGCTGTGTGTTTGTTGTGCGATAATCGATGAATCAAACTATTAATAAACAATGGTTGGCAACACGGTTACGAGAGAAAACAATCGCATTCTGGTTTCCGGAAACTGGACGACTCTCGCCTCTGACGCCCTTTCGATCGCTTTTTCCAGGTCCTTCTTCCTCTTCCCTCGAGACCATTTTGTTCGTTTTCTTCTCTTTTCTTCTTCCGCTTCTTCTTCTTCTTCTTCTCCTTCTTCTTACTTGCCGTCGTAATTCAAAATGGCCCCTCTCTCGGCGGCGGATCCACCAGCTGTCTAATGAACGAAGGCCCCGTATTACATTGTCCATTGCACAAAGAATGCAACGAGAAGCTCGTCCGATTCTTGAGCACTCACGCCGAGTTCACTTATTTCAACTGCCAAATAAAGCCAATTTTCGCCAATTCGGAGGCACGAGCCTAGGAGGGCATATTAATCCGATCCGAGAAAGGGAAAAGGAGAGAGCGAGAAGAGACCAGTGGCTACTGCCCCCGTCGGCCGCTCATCCATTCCCCTTTCATCTGTTTTCGCCTCCGTTTGATTGATGCCACTGCAAAACAGATATGCCCATCAAAATTTTCGAAAGATTTGAACTTTGTCACACCCGATTGCCTACTGTTAAAAGTGGATTTTGATGCGTTAGTCACAAGAAACGGAAACGAGAAGGCCATTTCCGCGATGTCCTTTCGTTTCCTTTCCACAAATGTTTCCCTTGAGCTCTGACGAATTCGAGCTGGAACAACAGGACGCCGCCGTTTTTTTTGCCTTCTGGAAATCGCTTTCCGTGAATCGGCAATTATCTCAACCTCCCGCGGCAGACATTTTCTTCTCTTCTTGCTCCTTCCGTTTCTTGACCTCTTTTGCTTCTCGTCTCTAGCTTTTTTGCTATTCAAAACTGGAATAGGAATTCGGTTTCTGGGGGCCACCGCATATCCTCTCCATCTCCTTCCTAATTTCCAGGCGAGCCAGATCCGCAGCCAAGATATCAGCTTTCCCCGTTTCCTCTTCTTCCCTTTCCTTTCGCTTCTCATCCTCCGTCGTCTCGCCTCCTCCGTCCAATTACCCGGCGACGAGGTTTTCGCGCGGAGAGCCCGCGACGCCTTCTGTGCCCCGACCGAAAAGAAGTTTTGTTCTTTCGGATGCAAATCTGATTTTGCCCTCTTCGTTTTTTTTTTCATTCCTTCGGGCGGTCTCGTGCCCTTGAGGTCTCCTGCCTCACTTTTTGCCGCCTCGTTTCATATTCTCTTTCTCACGCTCATCATCACAATCATTGTCGTCGTCCGAGTAGGAGAATTGCGTCGCCGTCGCCGTCGTCATCCTTTCAACACCGGCTTTCAATTGACGATAGCGCTTTTTTGAATGGCCTCCTTCTCGTCCGGAGGCCTCCGCCGCAATGAGAACACTATAGTAGCTGACTGAAGGGACAGCGAGCAAGAATATACGGCTTCTGCCTCCCCTTCTTTTTCTTCTTTTTCTCCGAGCACTCTTTATTTTTCAATTATGAACATGCAAAACTACGCTAGTTGTGTTTGTGCCCACGCCGTGAAATCAGTCAGATATAAAATCTATTTCTGTTCATCTAATGCAGCTGAAATCGAGTTGCGTCAGGGTGTGGGAATGTAGGTGGAATGACGATGAAATCAGTCAGAAGCCTGGCTCCAGTAATCCCTTCCATTTCCTATTTTCTTCGCAGTATTGAGTTACCACTTCACCTCCGCCATATTCATAATCTTCCTTTGATTACAAGAGAAAACCGGAAACAGCCCCGGCAGAAAACCAACGTTTTGTATTCAAATGCACACACAAATATTTGTTCGAGACGGTGGAAAGTAGTCATATTTTATTTCAGTGCCCTTCTTTCGCTATTTCCTTCCTGCCCCACGAACATTAATCCCCATCCATGTCTGGAAACGCAATTTTATAATGTATCTTTTGCCGCGTATAGTACTCCCGTCCGATACACTTCTGCATGAGACACTGCTCCTGCTGCTCTTTCCGCGGGTCTCGCTCCTCACCCATTTCTGTTTGTTTTTGCATAAACACTCACCACGACTTCGACGCTCTTTCCGCGACGTTTCTATAGTTTATTTCTTCTCCCCCTCTTTTTCTTCTCCATCTTCATCTCCTTCTATTTTCTTATACACCAATTTCGAGATAATATCATCTGCTCTGGAAATCCGTTGGCAATCCTATGCGGATTCGAGCTAGAGCCGCCGCTCTCGGCCGGATTATATTCTGTTGTTAGGATGAACCCGTCTAGAACGAGGGGGAGTTTTTTTCCCGTTTATTTTTCTGTCGCCAGAAGAATTCATCGTGATACGCCAATACAAAAACAATCATAACTCGAGACAGTTTCTGCCCCTTGTGCCATTCCATTCCAATCGGAACGCACTTTTGTTTCGAGTATCACGTGCTTCTGCCAGGCGGTAATCAGAAATGAAAAGGCAAAGTGCCACGTCACTCTTCTGCTTGTGTCAACAACACGGATGTTCGTGTCATTAGGGCCCATCTAGTTCTCCTTCCTCTTCTGCTACTGTCTTTCCTTCCCGTCCGTCATTGCCAATACTTGCTTCCAGTCTCTCTTGATAATGACAACCTACTCAACATCTTCTTCTTCTCCCTTTTCATCAGCTCTTCTTCATCTTCATCTTCTTCTTCTTCTTCTTCTTCTTCCTCCTCGTCTTAATTTGTGCCTATTCATTCACAGAACACCTTCTGATACGTGCCAAATGCAAGCGGATTATCTCGAGGTTGGGCTCACGTGTCTTCTGCAAACTCGATGTACCTCAACCCGATTTCCAGTTTCTTCGCACCCAAAGTTTTCAGTTTGATTCCCCTGAATTCCACATTTGATTGTTTGTCGATCTAATCACAGGATCACAATCGAAATGGAGTATTGTTTGCCGGTTTCTGGGGTGCTGCCTTGTTGGAAAGGCTCTCGAAATCGGTCAACAGACACCAAAAACAGCGGAAGACGGGAGTCTGTGCCCCGGCGGCAGGTGACGAAATCGGAACCTCCAGGTAGTATTCGTTCCCGACCAGTTCTTGACGGTCTTGTTTTCGATTCCGTCTTCTTCTACTCCTTCTTCTCGTCTCGATCTGAAAAAAAGAACTAAAGAATATGATTTGATTCTTTACGGTCGAAATAGTCTCGAGAAGGCACCGTCGCATCGCCATGACGATCCGTCCCGAAACTACGCGAAGTCACCTAGTTACCGCCAGTTTGCCACCTCATTTCCTCCTTCCATTTGGCCGTTTTTCTCTCGGAATTTCATTTAATGGCTGGCACAGGTCACCCCGACCTCTCCGTTTTATTTCCGAACATGTCTTGACGCACAGGTGATAAAACCTCATAAAAGAAGTCGGACGCCACTGCCAAGTCATCTCCATTACTTCGTGCGCAATTCCTTTCCGTGGGCCGAGGCCGGCATCGTGTGATTCTGCATAATCCAATCGAGCTTAATCCTCGTTTCCTTTCTACCTTCCTCTCACTAAAAACTCTGCATCGAAAGTTTCTCTTCCGCTTCTTTTTCTTCTTCTTCGTTTTCTTTTCACATCGTCTCCTTGCTTCTTTCTTTCATTTCACTTGAAGACTCCAAAAGTACACTTCTCCTTTTCCGCTTTTTTATTCTCTTCATTTGTGATCAGCAGTTGCAGGAGCACACGCGGCAACGCGCGGCTTTTCCGCGCCCGTGCACATACGTAAACTCTTCTTTCTTTGCCCATTTTCGCCTCTCGCAGGGTAAACAGTACGTCGTCTTTCTTCTGTCGTTCCAATGACGAAAGCACTCACGTAAACTGCCGGCCACTGTCCATTCCTCCTCCCGCTTGTTTGCCTACTGTTTCGATTTGATCTGTTTGCAATGAGCTGTTGTTTTTTTGTGGCTCCCTCGGGATTTGGTTTTGGCGCCAACACAAGTGGAATGAAACTAACGCAACAGAAGAACAGAGAACGGAGGCAAAACGATGATGGCATGGATGTTTTGTGGACCACCAGTAACCATGGCTTCTCGCATGTGCTGCAGATGTCTCTGCGTCTGGAGACACTCTCCAGTTTTAACGTTCTGTTAGTGTAGCGGGTCACCTGTTGGTCAGCTTTCCGCTTTTTCACATCTCTTCAAAACCAATGAGTTTGAGGAGCAAAAGTCGTCAGGTGTGACTGAGGCAAAGAGTTCCCCTCTTCCTCTCCCTGTTGTCAACTGAACATCCAGTTCAAGCTTCTTCTTCCTGATCGCTTCTTATCTTCCGCGCACTTGTCAAGATGTTGTTCACGTTGTCACATGTACGTGTTTGACGTGTAAGTGAATTCTTCTCATCAGACGCGAGCACTTCTTCTTTTGAACCCGTCAACATGCGCGATTCATTTGTGTGTGGTTTTTCCGCAAGCCGTGTGACCTGTGCCACCCAAATACGTCAATCGGTTCGTCACCAGCGATGCGGCGCCGCGTCCTTCCTCCCATCGCAGCTGTTCGGCGGTTTGCGCGGCTTTCCGGGGCGCGTCACCGTCGGCGTCTCCGATCCGCTCACATGTGTTCTTCCGCACTCTTACCGCAACCGGAATGGTTCGGCGGTTCTGTTTTCCCTTCTGCTCCGTATTTGGAGAGCCGCCCCAACCAGCACACGCGGCGTCCTGGGGCGGCACGCAGCAGCTCACGCATCACTCGCGGCTCCGGCGCTCCAGAGGCTCGCCCGAATACCGTGTTTGTTTTTCCGGTCAGTCAGCGGCATGCGACGGGCGCGAGCTTTTGCTCATTGCCAGCTTGCAGCCTTCTTCCCGCTTCCGCACTTTCCGCAGTCCCTTTCCGGGACACATGTTTTCTTCTTTTGATTCTCTCTTTCCTCCTCTATTCCTCCAGTTTCCACGAATTATTCAGAATTCTTGGAGTCGGTGGCTCGAAAAAGAACTCTCTTTCGTCTTTCCTTATATTCCTCTGCGTCATCAAGCTCCTTCGTTAATAATTCAGTTCGCCAAGACGAATATATTCTTAACTTCTTCTCCGCTTCAATTGATATTCGATCAGTCCCTTATCACTATGTTTTCATTCTTTCGTTAATTTCGAAAACACATCCCATTTTTTCAGGCTCGTACGACTTTCCCAGTGGACAAGCACAACAGCAACGGCGTCTCGGTGGATCCCAACAGCACTTGGCTCCACTTCAACAGACATCGTCGTCCCTTTATTCAAACCCGCAGTCGTCGAGCTCTCAACTACTAGGCCAATCAGTTCGGCCCAACTACGCTTATCAGCAGTCTTTGCCACGTCAACAACATTGCAATAGTCACCAGACTCAGGCCGTAAGTTCTTGATATTTTCGCCTCCCTTCACATGTCCCCTTGTTCCAGTTCTTCGGTACAATCAGAGGCCCGGTCAACACGACTAACATTGTGACGCCTCTCCGTGCCTCCAAAACGATGATTGACGTGTTGGCGCCAGTGAGAGATTCGTTGGCTGCACAGGCTACCACAGGAACCCTTCCAAGTGTAGGAACCAGTTCCTCCAACGGTTAGTTTCTTTTTCTTCCTGTATGCAGATACTCGGACATTTCTGACTTTTGACCGGAAGGAAGCCATCCCTCTATTTATATCAGCCCACCTTCTCTCTAATCTTGTTTTTCCACCTGAGACGCAAAATCGGATTTTGGCGGCACTAAATGAGCATACTTGGAAAACGAAAACAGAACAAAAAACGATACAGTTAGAAAAGAAGTGAGAATCAGAGAAAATCGAAATTTATTGGAATGGTGTTCTGTTCTACTGCAAACAAAAGAGCCCGCCGTTTTCGGAACAATTTCAACCTTTTCCCCTTTCTCTCTTCACAAAATCCTATGACTGAACTTGGTGAGCCCTTTCTCTGCTTTTCCGGTACGAGCACAGAATCGAATAGCTAACAAGCTGGCGTCCATCTATCATGTAGAGTGACAAAGTGCTTTCCGTCACCCGTCCGTCCGTCTCCTCGACGCGGAACATTTTCATTCGATTTGTGCTCTCCTCGGAATATAATGACGGATTTCCCTGCTTGTTATTCCGCCCATTCCATTTCCTTTTCGAAAAAGAAGAACGGCGGAGAGATTTGGTTGCCAGCAGCTAACAGCTATTACGACATTCGAACGAAAGGAGAGTATAATCGGTGCGTTGCCGTCGACTTCTGTTTCTTTCCCACTCACTTCTTCTCATTTCTTCTTCCTTCTTCTTTTTCCCGTTTCCCGCTCACAAGTTTGATTGGGAAATAGCATGGATGACGGCTCCTCGCTTCTCCCCGCTTCGTCGTCTGCTCCTCCCCGAAAAAAGGATCCCTCTCTCTCTCGTACATCAGACACGCCTTCTCTTTTCCCCTCTATCCACTGCTTCTGCTCTCACGTATCGCCGGCTGATAGTGGGAGGGGGAAGGAAAAGGATATCGGCACGAGCGACCCGACCGCTTCTGGTTTCTCCCTCCGGATGAATTCGATTATCGTATTTTGACGGCGCCCGCTCCCTCCAGTTTTTCCCGTTGTCTACTTACTGCCATGTATTCTAGTCTATTCGAGTTACGAGGTTCGTTCAGTTTTACTCTGGTAGTAGGGTTAGAATGCATACGGGTTGTATTAGTGAAAAGATCTCTGCTCACCGAGAGTGCTCAATATTTCGTTTTTATGCTCTTGTACTACGTTTTACAAGCCACATGAAGAGCACATGTGGGGGAGCGCACACATACACGCACGAGCTCATTATCGGTCACTTCGAGAGCACTACTGCCACGCTTGAATGGTTTCTGTTTTGCGTGGCGCTGTGCCAAGAGGGAAAGTAAGAAAACTGGGGGAAGACGGAAGGAACAGACTGCACCCGCTCCACGCAGGTGTATTCATTCTTTTTGTCGTTTCGTCGAAACTCGGGGCAGTAAAACTGCGGAGCCACATGCAAACGACAAGCTCTCGATAGGAGGACCTGCGTCTCAAGCAGTCGGCGTGCTCTCTCGACACGAAAGAACAACTTTCGACTGCTGCTGGAGCAGCCTGAAACCTGCCTGGTTCTGCTCTTTTGCTATCAGCAGAGACAGACAGTGCCACAGCCGAATCCTCCCCGCTCTCCATTCAACTCAAAAAAACAATACACCTGTGGCCGGCTGCTGGCTCGCCTCTCTCAGCTTGTTGTTGTTTTGCCCTCGGCTCCGCCATGTTCGCTATTCCGTTTCACCGACTTTACTCCTATGAAGGTATGTTCTTTTTTGGTGATGGTGGAACAAAAAGAGAGCGACAGCAAGCGGGGCGCCTGTTTGTTTTCACCCTGGTCGCCGGGAGAGAACAACCTGCGAAAAAACATAATACAAGCGTTTTTGTGTTGGTAAATATCTGTAGGACCAGAAACATTAGAGGAGAATCTCGTCGAAGGATTAGAGCCGTTCAGATCGGATGAATGTGTGTCAAAACACGCACTGTCTTTTTACTATTCCCTGCAGTTTTGTTACAGTCTCCATAACAACTGAATATTATTTTTTCTTGTCATCCTTTGTCATCCATTTCTCAGCATTTAAATCGCAAATCGTGGTTTCCTGGATGAGCTCCCAATAAGACAAACACGAGGAAAAAGGAGAAGATGGAAAGGAACGAGAAGAAGAAATTACTGTTTGCGTAGGCAAACCGGGCTGAGTCACTTGTATGTTTACTCTCTGTCTCGGGTATGATACGAACACTGAAAGCGAGGCTGCTGGAACTGTACTTTTTGATCGTTCTCCTTCCGCCCATTCGCTTCCAAAAACTCGCGAAAATATCTTGATCATGCAACTTCTCACGTGACCTAAATGATTAATAATTTAGCCTTTTGCACACCTTTTTCAAAACACTGTTTTCGGTGGGCCCCCGACTCTTTTTTTTGCAGCGCTCCACTAGTCACTTCCCCTCCCGTCCGACTCGACGCTTAATTAATTCGCGCATGCGTGCTCGTTGCGCCTCGAGCCAGTCAAATCAGCTGTCTTCCCTCTTCCCGTTTGTCGGCGCCGTCGTCGTCGTTTTTCTTCCTTCAATTCGATTAGTTCTATTCCACACCCACACTCTGTGCTGGAGTTCTGGAGCGAAATAAACTCTCAATCGAATTATGAATTTTCACATGCTTCGTTCTCACTTTGCGTTTGGTCTTAGCCCCCAAATAGGTCACCGACTGAGTGAATAATAAGCAAGTTTCGATCCAATTTGTCGTCCAAGGACGAGATGACACACGCAAAGTGCATGCGCCGGCACTAAAGTACGACCCAAAAGTAAACTGCCCGCCCGTTCGTACCTCTGTTCTTTGGCTTTTCATCCGCGTTATCCGTTTACCCTTTCTTTTTCATTCTCATCCTCGTTTTTTTGCACTTGTTTTCTGTTTAATTAGGTGTTTCCCATAGGAGAGTGGGCGATCGATCCAGTCAGCGCGTGTTAGTCATCGTTCTCTGTCTGTGAACAACACCGCCTTATCGTTTTGGTTGGGTTCCAGATGGTTTACTCTCCCTTTTTTCTTTTTTTAAATTCTGTTCCTCATCATATTCTTCTCAATTTTCTCTTTTTTTTTCGATTTTTCTCACGCTTGCCACTGTACTACTCATATGTCCCTCCTCCAATATACTGGTTATCAAAAAGGCGTTAGTACAATAGACGCTTGTGACCGTTTAGAAAAATGCACATGCAATACTGGCAGTTCAGTCATGTGATAAGCATTTCGAAATCGAGCACTTTATCTTTTTTCAATTCGGCGCTCGTAGGTCCGCAATTGTTCGTCGTTTGCGGTGTTTTCAGAAAATTCCTTTGGCGCGAATCTTGAACTTTAAAATTACGATTTATTTTTTGCCGGGACCTCAGTCGTCCTAATCTCACTTTATTTTTTTTTCCGTTCCTCGTCCGCTGTTGAAAGACCTCTAATAATTAGTGTAATGGCTATTATCTTGCGAGGACATGGGTGAAGGTCACAAAACGCGAAATTCGACACCGAAATGCCGGCGCTCTAGTCTCCATTTCCGTTGAACGAAATGTACGATGTGTGTTAGTATTTATTTGCTGCGGACCACTTTTTCGTGGGAAATGTGCTGCGATGAATTTGATAGTAGGATCCCCTCTTGTTAAAACTCGTCGGCGTCGAACGAAAAGAAAAGAAACGCGTTCGATTTATTCATTCGTCCTAGAAAATGAAGCGAGCGCGAAACCCCATAAATTTCGGCAATTTCGACCATCTGCACAGTTTCAATCTGCCATAAGGCTCGCTTTGCGTGTGCGACAGCGAAAATCCGACCCTGTCTAGCAAATACATGACCGGCCATCTGGGGTCGCTTTGCCCGAATGCACTTTCCCGTACCACCAGGAACATCACTAAAGATGGCGAGCACAGACAACGAGAGAGGCGTTTGACCCGGCCCGGCAAACACGAACAATGGTATCGGGCCCTCCGCGCGGGTGTCCGCTCCCCTCGGTCCTTCATCTTTTCCCCTCCGTCATTTTCACCATCACCTAGTTGTCGTTCGAATCGCCAATCTCTCGCTCATTCTCGCGCCTTCCTGCGTCTCAATATTCTCACGGGGACCCGACGCGTACTACGAAATGGACCGGACTGCCGGCTGGTCTCTTCAGAGACTGCTGTCTTATGTATGCGTCTCCGAACGGGCCATTGTCCCTCAGTGCGGCCAGCCACGACGACCGCATCGCCACCCTTACCAGTCACACCAACGGATGCTGCGCGACTGGCGAATTACTGCTCGTGGTCAATTTTCAGCGTCCACGTATCCCTTAGTCCTACTTTACCTCATTTCTCAGTTTATTGATCCGTTCACCAAATTAGGTCAGTGGTTTCTCCCGTTTTAGTACTCCTCGCGATGCGTATCATCTCTCATTTCTCACACATTCATTTTTAATAATCGAATGAGACGGGCGCTCTTAATAGAATTCCAATCATTAACATTTTTCGTGAGCGACAGGCAGTGAGCGAGTTGTTAAGAATTGAAAGCTTGATCGAAACATGATTGACACCTTTTTTGCTGAGACCACGCACCCGTCTCCTCTTGACACCAAGGCCATTTAGCATGGCCTCGGGTCGGACGAAAAAAAAACACAACGACGCAGGAAGGCAGATGGGAGAAGAAGGAAAAGTCGTGTAGTCCCTTCTTTTCTTTGGTGCAGCTTCAAGTGGCCGAGAGGCCAATTGAACGCACAACCTTGCAGTAATAACACGCTCTGCTCCCGCTTTTCTCCGCGTCTCAGCCGAGAGTGTGTTGCCTCGTTCGCGAAAAGTACGGATTTGAGACAATCGTTGCCTCCTACTTTGACAAGTGCTACTACTTCTCTCTATTTTCCCACCGTCTCGCCAAAAGGTTTCGCTTGTTTTCCGGGTTGTGACGTGGCTGGCTCGTTCTCTGTTCAAGAGGTTCTAGGATGACGCCAAGACGCGTAGAATAGGCGGCGCCCTCCTGAAAAGTTGCTTCTCTCCATGAATGATTACACAGAGTGTGCGTGTATTTGCACGCCCGCCGCGTCGACACCGCACAGACCAGCTGCGCGGAAGAGCCGCAAACGAAGACACAGTTGACCAAAAACAATGGCACTGTTATTAGTGTTCCCTTCCTTCGGTTACCCCCGCTTCCTTTCTTTCTCTAAATATTTTTGTCCACTCCTTCTTCTCATAATTTGATTTCTTTCGTTAGGAACCGCAAGCGTAAATTCCGGATCCTAACCCAGACCGACATCTGTGGTCCCATTCGTTAACGTGAAACGAGCACAACAGAGTTTGAGTGTGATACCCACAAACATGACACTTTTTGAGCCGTACACATCAGGATTTCGGCTAGGGTTCAGAGGTGAGAGCGACCGAGACGGCCTCACGCCCCAGATTATTAGGGCGTTTACAGTCTAAATGTCCGAGTTCAGAGTACAAAAAATGACGTGGGATCGTACCTGTTTTTAACCCCTGTTTTCATCGCACACTTCCCCATAATTTTCATCTCGTTTATTTCAGGCTCGTCTGTCTCGTCATCTGGAGTTGGATCGGGTGGATCTGGAAGTTTGATGACGCAATCGATCGGCGGTCCCAATAAACATTTGTCCGCATCACATTCCACCCTCAACACAACTACGACACACGATTCAATTATGCACACCAAAATTCCGAAGAGTCCGAGCAATGAAAGTCTCAGGTGAGGAAGGGAGATGACGCTATGGGATTGCGAAATGAGCGGAACTGGATGTTTGAGAAAACATTCCGCCGGTTCTTGTTTTGAACACAAAAAGTGATTCGTAATTCGTGGGTGAATTACTGATTACCTCGTTGCATCTTGCATGTTCTTGTTCTATTAGTTTAGCACAAGTGGTAACAAGTTGGCCAAACATTGGTTATTTCTGGAATTATCAGCCGCACTCTCCTCGATTTTTTAACTCAAATGCTTTCAAATCGAGAGACTCAAGAACACTTTCGAAAGCACGCGACGTTTCCTTGTTTCGCTCGTAAAACACTCCCCAAAAATGTTGGCATGTTTCGAACAAAGTGTCCTTTTTGAGACGACGCAAACACTCAAATACCGCTGCCCTTTTTGTACAATTTTTATCGGAGAAAGTTTTCCGTTTCTTGCGTCACAACTCTTATCGAATTGAGCAGCAGACAAAAAGAACAAAGGAAATATAAAAAATTTTGATGTGGAATATAAAGCAGTTCTTTCAGCCGATCGCACACTTCCTCGTCCGGAGGCAGCCAAGGCGGACACAACTCGAACTCTGGCTCCAACTCGGGATTTCGACCAGAAGATGCCGTTCAAACATTCGGAGCCAAGTTGGTTCCGTATGAGAAGAACGAAATCTACAATTACACACGGGTCTTTTTCGTCGGTTCACACGCCAAGAAGCAGCCCGGCGTGATAGGAGGAGCCAATAACGGTGGATATGACGATGAGAATGGATCGTACCAGCTGGTCGTCCACGATCATATCGCCTATCGGTACGAAGTGCTCAAAGTGATTGGAAAGGGATCTTTCGGACAAGTGAGTATTCTGGAAATTTAAAAGAACGGGCGGTAAAGATGGTTTTTAGGTCATCAAAGCATTCGATCACAAATATCAGCAATACGTGGCCTTAAAATTGGTACGTAATGAAAAGCGCTTCCACCGTCAGGCTGATGAAGAGATCCGAATTCTGGATCATTTGCGGCGACAAGACGCCGATGGAACGCACAACATAATACACATGCTCGATTATTTCAATTTCCGCAATCACAAGTGCATTACGTTTGAGCTGCTCAGCATCAACCTTTATGAGTTGATCAAGAGAAATAAGTTCCAAGGATTCTCACTGATGGTAGGCAGACATTCACTCGTTCATCTCACATTCACGATTGTTTTCAGCTCGTGAGAAAATTCGCTTATTCGATGCTCTTGTGTTTGGACCTTCTGCAGAAGAACAGACTTATTCATTGCGATTTGAAACCAGAGAACGTGCTTCTGAAGCAGCAAGGCCGAAGTGGAATCAAGGTCATCGACTTTGGATCCTCTTGCTTCGATGATCAACGCATTTATACGTACATCCAGTCGCGCTTCTACAGAGCCCCAGAAGTGATACTCGGCACAAAGTACGGAATGCCCATTGACATGTGGTCCCTCGGATGCATTCTCGCCGAACTGCTTACGGGATACCCACTGCTGCCGGGAGAGGATGAGAACGACCAGTTGGCACTGATCATCGAGTTGCTCGGAATGCCGCCACCGAAGAGTCTCGAGTCGGCTAAACGTGCGCGCACGTTCATCTCGTCTAAGGGATATCCTCGTTACTGCACAGCCACAGCCATGACCGACGGAACTGTTGTTCTTACTGGAGCCAGGTTAGAAAAGAAATCTAGAAGACTGTTCACCAAATCGTCGTTTTCAGATCAAAGAGAGGAAAGATGCGTGGTCCACCAGCTTCCCGATCATGGTCGACAGCCTTGAAGAACATGGGCGATGAGTTGTTCGTCGATTTCCTGAAGAGGTGTCTCGATTGGGATCCGGAGACGCGCATGACACCTGCCCAGGCTCTCAAGCACAAGTGGCTCCGACGGAGGCTACCAAACCCACCGAGGGACGGAATGGACTCCCTTCCATCACTTGGAGACCATGAGGTTCGTATTTCATCTCACTTTTTCAACTCCTGAATAGTTCATGAGAATAAGGTGAACACAACTTGTAGAAAAAAGCGGAGACATGTTTCAAAGAGTTGCCAAATATTGACTCGAATGCCAATATTTTGATGCGAAAAAAGTTTTGAAAAGTGCCGGAGACCCGGAGAGTGTAAGTAGTGTGCGTGTTACACTGACGTCCCACCCGTTCCGCTTTGGACTTCTCCGCTTTCTTCTCCCCACGGGTGTCTCATTGCTTCCCGTCTCCACAATCACTAAACACACTAATCGGGAAATGAATGTGTGCGGTGTGGGGGATTTTGTAACTATGTGTGTTCATTCTCCTCCACTTCTACCCCTATTTGTCCCCTTTTTCGGTTCTGCCATTCATATCTGCAATCGCATTTTTTCAGTAACGATCGAAGTCCACTCTGAGACCACTCCAACTCCACCGCTCCGAGCATAATAATCATTTTACAAGTGTCGATACGGTTCCATTGCATCAGCCATCTCCCAGCAGCTTCTCGGTCCAATTTTTACCGAGTCTCTCTGTATTTTTCTCTCCTGTCTCTTTCCACTTTCTGTTTTTTGACTCCATTCAGCGGGATCCCATCTCTTGTTTATCTTTTTCCTTTTTCGCATTTTCCTGTCACATATAGCATATTCTTTCAAGAAACACAACAGTGACAACGTAGTTGTATACTAGATTCTTTTTATCCTTCCACATCCAGCTTCTCGGCAATCCATTTCCCTCCTAATTTATACTCCAACCAAGATAACACTAACCCCGTTCTTTGACGATTCTCGTGTCCGAGCGCTTTCGAAGTTTCTGATTTGAGAAATTCAAATCACCGTTTTATTTTTCCATTTTTGTTTGTCTTTGAACCCTTCTTGTCTCTAGGATTGGCAGTGTCTCTCAATTCAATCATGACAAATTGTGTAAATAACGATTTCGGTCGTTTGTTGCATAGATGTGCAGGTCGCATTCTGAATCAGTCACTGTCTCCCTCGCTGCACCAGGCCCGCCCACTAATTCTTCCTGTCCCCTCAAATTCCCTCCTGTCTCCACTTTTTCCTGCGACCCTTTTCATATATTTTCTGGCTATTTGTTTGAATATATTTTGTCGGTACGGTGAAAGTGCGCTTCAAAAGTGACCTGCACGTTCCGGCAGTTTTTACCCATTTCAACTTCCCTTGTTGAAGCACACATCCCTTTTTTCCCACCACCCCCCTCCCCCCGATCCCAAATTTCCTTTATATATGAAACTGCTCCTTTTTCTTCTTCCTAGATGCAATTGATTGTCTTACTTCGCACGGCTTTTGGTTGTCTGAGAGTCGCGTGTCGCAGAAATGAGACTGACAGACCGCCGCCCAGACAGAGAATAAAATGACAAAATCACTGAAAAACAAGGAACTTTATTTGCAAACACATCTGGGGAAAGACGGGTAAATGGCAGTGAAAACCGGGTTTGTGATTCAAAAGGGTGGATTCAATTCTTGAAATCCAAAGGATGAAGCCGATTTTCGATGTTGAAAACGGGGCAGTTGACGCATCCTTTCTGCCAACCCAATCCGTGCCGAACGGACACCACCTGCAAAGGGGATCAGTATCAGAAGGGAGCTCAGGGACCACGAATACCCGATTACTGTCCAAACTCTTCAGATTGTCGAGTCGTATCCAGGGGAAGAGTCGGATCTCGGACATGAAAGTGATGACGACGTCGAAGACGATGCGGACGCACCACAAAAGGACCGCTCCGCCCGCAATCGTCTCGAGACGCAATTTGATGTTCAGATACTGGAAATGGGGGAAAATGACAATAAAAATTGGCTTTTCCCACATCATAAACATTGCAATTGATTGCAATCATTCGGTTGATTTGATGATAGTCCTCGGCATTGTGCAGGATGAACAGAGCGCCGACGAAAATGAGCGAGACGATGAGAGTGTAGAGGGCCAGATGACCGCCGAATTTGAAGAACTTGTGCATTCGTTTCCGAGTCAGTTCCGGCTCATTGTGCATTCTGAAAAAATCAAGTTATCCGGGGGGAAGCGGAAGAAATATCACTTCTCGCTGTGAGCTATCTGAGCCATTTTGGCAATGACAATTCCGTAGGAAGAGAGAAGAGAGAACATTGAAATGGCAATGATTGTGATGGCGGCAATGATGAGGGGACGTTGGCAGCTGTGGTAGGCGCACACTGAAAGGAACGAACGGGTTCGGGATGTATGTCCGAAGGGATTTAACCTCTGTCTTCTTTGGATGCATCCACAATTACAGTAGTCATCGGAGCATACGCAGCCGCGTACATTATTGAGAGGATCCAAGTGAATCCCACGACGAGAGACAGTCTTCGAATGCTGCAGATCGATTGGAATCCATACGGGCGAGTTACACTGATCTAAAGGGAACATGAAACAGTCGATCCGATTTGAAAAGCTTACTTGTCGAAGGACGATTACGGCACAGTGGGAAGAAGTCAGATGGACGACTCCGAAAGTGCAAATGTATAGGAACAAGGCAAGAACCATGTAGGAAGCTGAACAGAAAATTGGAGATAAAAGGAACAGACAACTGACCAGAGTAGGAGTTGGCGAAAAGGGAAGCGGCGGCGATGAGCACCGAGGAGAAGATGTCGGCCGCCGTTCGAGAGACGATTATACTGGAATAAGGTTGAAATGAATGTTGGAGGCCGTTACGAGACACTTACCTATATTTTCTGGAAGGGACCTTTCTGCCGAGTAAGGCGTAAACGATGGCGGCGAGAAGAGTGAGGGCGAAAACGAATGAGATGAGCGAGAAGATCGGGGTCATCAGAAGAATTGATTCAGTCGACTGAAAGAGCCCATTGGCTTCAAGCTCACGAAGCCACTCCATGCTTACCTTATCCAATCGGGCATGTCTCTTTTCGATTTGTTCCACTTCCCGCTCTGTCATCTGCAGCTCGCACTCATGAGCCAAACGGGTCAAGTTGATATGCACCATCTCGATGTCTTCTCTCACTTCTCACCTCTTTTTCATTTCAATCAAAACACGGATCGACGGAATCTGAGCGAATAAAACGCGCGTTTTTGAGGGAAGTGTGAAAACGGGGATATCGTGTGCTGCGACGGTCGTTCGAGTGTCTCACGCACCCGACCTCGATTCGTTTTGTATCGAAGCGAATGGCTATTTCTGGAGTGCCAAACAAGGCAAAAAAGGACTAATTGGGAAAGCGAGAGAAGGAAAGAGTCTCATGGAAAAACGAATAATTCATAGGGAAAAATGATACCGTGTGGGAAGAGGTAAACGACTGATGAACTCATTGCGAGTTGAATAAGGAAAGGACAAAAAGGCCGAAAAGGAACGAAAAAGAAAGTGGACATTGAAAGACGAGTCAGTCGGGCGATCCGTCCCTTCCGGGGCTCGTCCCAGAAAAGAGCACTAGTACCTGAGAGCCGCAGAGCAAGGAAAGGACAAACAAAAGCCCGAGTTGGTACGTGGAAGGCGAGACAAGTGGTCAAACTCCTTTGCTCTATGCCCGCGCCGGACAAAAAACGAAATGTTTTTGAACTCGGTCATCAGGTCACTTTGGCTGTTTTTGGAACGGACTAATGGGATTGGAGAGAAAGGAAAGGTCAGCGGAGGAGGCAAATGGATGTGTTTGGACAGGTGAACACATTCGGAGTACAGTCGGGATTCGTCTGTTTTTGGGTTGATTTCAACGGACCTGAAGAGCTGGAAAGGGGTTCTCGAGGATGGAAGGAAAGGTTGGTAACTAGGTTGTGTTTTCAGAATGACATTATCATTTCTCATTTGAAGTGTCTTGCTTAGCTTGCACAATTTTATAGAAAAAGTGCAACCAAAAGATCAGTCTATTTGCTTTTTTTTCCCGAATCGTTTCTCTCTCTCTCTCTCTATCCCTTTCTCCTTTGCCGAATTCAAAGAAAGGAAACAATGAGACAACAACATCTTCAACTTTTTCTCTCTTTCCCAGGTCCCCGGAAGTAGTTTCAACACTTGGCCGCTCGATGTTCCTCTGTGCAGCACGAGACTCTCGGCTCCGTTTAATCCAGGCAGAGCCAGATCATGCACACACGCGAGAGAGCACGCTTTCCGGGCATTGTTGCCACGACAACAGCTGAAAAGAGCCGCCGCCGAGTCACTCTCTGCTCCGTCAGCTTTTTGCTCGTTTTGACTGACATTGATCGTTCCGAATGGGTGCTTTCACAATGAACTCTTATTGGGTTCTTCGAGGCCAGAATCATTGGTCCGTGAAATCCCTCCTCAGTTGTTGTTTCCATTTTCTCTGAGTTCACTCTATTCCAACACTTTCTTCATTTATCTATTATGCAGAATGAACAGCCAGCCAACAGTCCGTCTGAAACCGGACAAACAACTCGACTGCAATCTGAGTCAAGACGACGGCGTCTGGATGATGACTTCCAGTTTCATCATTTTCACAATGACTGCAGGGTTTGGACTTCTGGAGTCGGGAAGAGTGTCCTCAAAGGATGAAGTCAATTGTATGGTGAAGAATGTATTCGACGTCATCTTCGGAGGTAACTTTATTCTGAATCATAAAATCAATTCAATTATCAGGTCTCGCTTATTGGATGTTTGGCTACGGGCTCACTTTCGGAGACTCAACGCATCAGTTTGGAAGGTTTTTCGGGTTTGGCGACTTCTTTTTCGACCCAGAAAGAGTTTCGGACGATGATTCGACAGACGAGGTTAGGAGGATGAAATGAAGATAATCGGCTTGTGATTCAGAAAGGAATACACTATTCGCTCTTCATCTTTCAAATGAGTTTTGCCACGACTACATCCACAATCGTTTCTGGTCAGATCCTTTCTCGTTCCTGTACACAATCACAGTGTTCCAGCGGGAATGTCCGAACGAATTCATCTGAAATCGCACTGCTTCATCTCTTTCTGCATCACAATCGTTCACTCGATCGCGGGTCATTGGGTGTGGGACCAAGAGGGCGTTTTCCGTAAAATGGGCGTCGTCGACTCAGCGGGATGCAGTGCGGTTTGTTTATTTTCCATGGCAACATGGAGAGCGAAAAACGAGTTGTCTGCAGGTGCACTTGGTCGGAGGGGTTGCGGGACTCGTTGCCACTTCATACTTGAGACCGAGGAAGAATCGATTCGCCAGGAACGGAATACGAACAGTGAGCGATCCGACGAAGGCGATTCTGGGATTTCTGATGATCTGGTGGGGATGGCTCGCATTCAACACGTCCTCGAATTACGCAGTCACTCACGGCCAATGGACGGAAGGAATGCGGTCCGCCGTGGGAACCATCATGGCTTCTGCGGGTGGAGGTTTGGTTTGAAATGATTGAAAGCCGAAGAAAAGACGGAAAATTCAGGAGTTGTGACGGTTGTGGTAACCCGTTTCGCCACGAAGAAGATCCAGATGGATATGCTCATCGACGGAATGCTCGCTTCTTTAGTCTCCAGCACAGGCGGATGTCTCTATTTCACTCCTTGGCAGGCAACTCTTGTCGGAGCAGTCGGCTCCGCTCTTGCTCTCGCCGCGTATCCACTTACAGAGTGTCTGAAGGTAATCGGTGGCCTGTTTGAGGCTGAAATTCGTTGAGTTCTCAGATAGATGATCCTGTCGGAGTGGTTCCTGTTCATGTCGTCGGATCGATTTGGGGAATGCTTGCTCCCGCCATTTTCGTTTACAGAAGGCCAATGAACTTTGGTCCTCCGGAGTGCAATTTTCAGGTAAGCCATATTTTTTGACATTTGCAGTTTTAAATGTTTTTTCCAACAGTCATCTGAAGAGTCGAACGGACTTCTGTACGGAGGCGGATTCAGTCTCCTTCTGCTTCAAATGCTCGTGATTGTCTGCATTGGAGCATACAGTGCTATCTGCTCATTCCTCATTCTTTTCGTAAGCACTTGTTCTCTCTGAGACGCCACTGGATACATTTCAGTTAGTGCAGCATTCGCCAATCGGGTTGCGTGTTTCTAAATATGAAGAAGAACTGGGCGCCGATCTTATTGAGCACGGGCTGGCAGGAGTCAATCTCATGACGTACACAGTGGAGAAGAAGCTCGACGCAAGGTGGAATTCGTCTTTTCCGCTTCAATGTAATCTTGTCTTTCTTTCCAGAACACTCTCCGCCGTGCTCATGATTATCGTTCGGTGGAGAGCAAAAGCGAAGATCGGGGCACTCCGACGGAAACAGATTCACGACAGCGGCGTCGCCACTCCAAAGCCCGTCGAAAACGTCGAGATGAACGTAATCCAACGCCGAAACAATCAATCTACCTGATAAATACCTCTTCCGTATAGAAACTGTGTTTCCCTGTGACGATTTCCCTCCAACGTGTCATAAATTCTTCGTTCTTCTTTCCGTTCCCACTTGTTCCATGGGATTCCGTTCCCTTTCCCATCTTATTCTGTGCCGTCAAGGACCGTCTTCCCATCCGCCCATTCCTCCGACTCCTTCGGCTCCTATTCCTTCCATTCTGCCGACTTTCCCATCAATGCAGTCGGTTCTTTTTCTACTTCTCGCCTCGGCGATTGGTACGTTTCTCTTGGAATGGGTCTCAAAACCCGTAATTATTCAGGAGTGGCGTCTGAAAGTTTTTCGGAAAACGGTAAGCTCAATCTGGTGAATGTGCACAATGAGCACCGTTCCCAACTGGCTCTCGGCCAGCTCACTGTTCGTGGAGTCAAAAAACCTTCCGCGAGTGTCATGAGAAAGATCGTAAGAACAAAAGCCGTAGTCATTCGAAAAAAAGCTATACTTCAGTCCTGGAGTTTCAAACTGGCTCAAAGCGCGAAGACGTTCGCGGAATCTTGTCCGAAGAATCATTCGACCGTCATGAACCAAGGGGAAAGCATTTTCTGGCACTTCTCGAACAATCTGAACACTCCGGATGAATATGTGAGACCGTTGAATCTTTGGAAACAGAAAACCTTCCGGCTTCAGGGCAACTTGGCTCCCGAGAAATGGTGGAGCGAATTCGAAACGAACGGATGGGACTCGTTGATCTACAACCACGCCAAACAGAGATTCCAGATCGGACACGCCGTCCAAATGGCGTGGCACTCGACCAGTAAAGTGGGATGTGGCTACTCGAAGTGCGACGTCGGAACGCCCGATCAGACGATGGTTGTCGTGTGCCGGTACTATCAAAAGTGAGAAAACTGGACGAGAATGGAGATGGTAACGGCTTCCTTTCAGAGGCAACATCGAAGGAGAGCCCATCTACGAACAAGGAGAACCGTGCTCCAAGTGCCCGGCCGAATACCAGAAGTGTCCGTCCGGATTGTGCGAGAAGGGATTCAGCGAGTCGGAGGACGATTAATCATCCCTCCTCTCTTTCCGCAATTATTTAAAATGCATCTTTTTTATCACATCACAATTTGCCTTTCGTTTCGAATCGCATTCTGAACGCATCCAGATGACAGTTCGCATTTGCGAAAAAAGAACGATCCGATAATAGATGGGGACAATGTTGATTTTTTCAAACCCATAACCGAACTTTAAAAACAGTTGGTATAAAAAGGGTTAAATGGGAAAAACAAGGTCATTCCACACAGACTATGCACCCTCACTTCCGGTTATTTTCTGTGCTCGCAACTGCGCTCGTCGGTCAGTTTATTTCTTTGAACTCAATCGGAGAAAGAGAGTCTCAGGACTGCGTTGTGAGTTTTCGGATACCGGGAAACAGTACTTATTGACACGTCACAACGAATTGCGCTCACTGATTGCCCTCGGAAAGTACGTTGCATCGAATACGACAAAGGAATCTGCCACAAACATGATGAAGATCATTTGGGACGAAGATCTAGAATCATCTGCTCAAAACTATTCATCCGGCTGCCCCTCAGGACATTCCACAAACAGAAAAGACATTGGAGAGAACATGTACTGGTGGATATCTCCAGCAGACACCGAGACAAATATGGATGTTCTGGGGAACAGATCATCCAATCTGTGGCAGAGTGAGTTTCAGAGCTTCGGATGGACGGAGAATCGGTTGACACAGGAGACATTCGAAACCGGAATAGGCCACGCTTCACAGGTAAAGAACTGCGGGGAATTAAGAAGACTGAACATTTGTAGATGGCCTGGGCCAACACACAAAAAGTTGGATGCGGAGTAACCAAGTGCACCGGTGACTCCATATCAGGAACTGAATACGTGGTAGTTTGCCAGTATTCTCCGGCGTAGGTGAAGTATTTAATTTATATTGTACAGCATGAATTTCAGAGGGAACTACATTGGGAGCAACATTTACAAGGCAGGGAAGACATGCTCAGAGTGTCCGGACGGAACTTCTTGCGAATCGGACACTGGACTTTGTGTATGAGAAAACATATAAAATAAACCATTTCTCGGAAGTGTATGAGTTCTAGTGTTTGCTGACTTCTCTCGATTTCGAGACTTCCTTCATTTTCGACGTTATCTTCTTCTCCTCCGGACGGGAAACTGGAGCCCCGGGCTCACAGCACGCTTCGTCGTTTGGCCCAGAAGGCTGAGTAGGAGCTTGAGACTGTGCAGATGTTGGAGGCTGAATAGTAGGCGCTGGCGCCGGAGATGCCTGAACCGGTGGTGCCGGAGATGCCTGAGCCGGTGGTGCCGGAGATGCCTGAGCCGGTGGTGCCGGAGATGCCTGAGCCGGTGGTGCCGGAGAAGGAGACGGCGGAGCGATAATGTTGACCAGCTGATGCGGCTCGGCCGGTTTCTTGGGCTCTGGTGGCGGCGGCGGGGGCTTCTTCGGTGCCACCTTCTGCAGTTTGTCGCGGTTCTCCTCGTTGTCCATGCGAATCATGACGGACTTGTGCCCGTCCTCCACCACAATCGGCTTGCGGTCCATCTTCGCGCCCTCTTTGTTCTTCGACAGAGCACTCGGAATGGGAGCAGGCGCGACGCATCCCTCAGCGGACGGCGACTTTCGAATGCGCAGCTCCATCTTGCGCATGATGCTCCGAACATCAGGAGGAGCCATCACAGACTGAGTGTGCTCTTCGTTCATTTCATCCTGAATTTAGAATGTCGAATCACGACGATGTTTCTGGAAGATGTTGTTCTCACCGTCGCAGCCTTCAGAGTCTTCTCAGTGATGCCTCTCTCCACGAGCAACGACACCGTCTTCTTCTCCTTCAAACCTCTAATCAGAAGCCCTTTGCATCGGTTATTATCGTTCACCGGTTCGCCATCCACGTCGATGATTCTATCGGCCACGTTGAACAAACCGGTCACTATCGAGTCTGAACTTTATTTTTCAAGTCTATTTCCCACAAGAACCTTCCTCACTTTCTTCGGCTTTGATCACAAAAATGCTTTTGAAGACATTCTTGATGCCGAGTCCGAATTTGAGCCCGGGACGGTAGTTGATTACAACAATGAAATACTCGTAACCATTCTTCTTTTCTCCAATGTTACGCTCGCGTTCCGTGGGCACTTCAAACTTTTCAGGAACCTGAAAAGAGTTCTGTTCATTGAGAGGGAATGAGTTTGGGATGACTGACAGAGACAGGAGTCAATTGCGCTTTCGGCGGTTCTTCCTCCGCGTTGGCCGTAGACATTCGTAAAATTTTCGGAAATTAATAAAAACAAAGATTCCATGATGTTGCTATCAGAAGGATTTCGATATCAGAGCAGGTTCGGTGAGTTCACGGGAAGTATTCTGCTGTCCTGCGAAGACTATAGTACCTGCCCCCACAATCAGTGAAAAGTGTTTTCCAATTTTTGGTCTCCGCTATCACAATACAACAATTTTCAGCTGAATAAACAGAAGGAAACTCTGCGTGTCACGTACCCAATTGTCTCTAGTTTTATAACTGTTTTGAGTTTTGTTGATAATAAAAAAACAGTTGTCAACTTGCTTTGAACATGAACACATTCCTCGTTCTCCTGTCCCTCTTCGCTTTCTCTTCTGCTCAGTTCAGCTCTTCTGCGCAGACTGAGATTGTAAATGAGCATAATTCGCTGAGATCTTCAATCGCTAAAGGTACTTTCGTGGCTAGGGAAACAACGGAACCGGAAGCGGCAGACATGCTCAAACTGAAGTGGGATAACTCGCTCGCAACATCAGCCCAGAACTATGCGAACACGTGTCCGACTGGCCATTCCGGAGATGATGGGATCGGAGAGAATATCTTCTGGTCGTGGTCCAGCGGATCGCTCGGATCTCTCGATGAATACGTGGGTCTGCGGGTCTATTCAACCTGATTTACTCCGATTTCAGGGAGTCACTGCTTCGGACTCGTGGCAACAAGAGTTTCAAGATAACGGATGGACTTCCAACGTTCTTGATGTCGCGACTTTCAACACTGGAATAGGACATGCCACGCAGATGGTCTGGTCGAAAACTGGATCAATTGGGTGCGGAGTCAAGAACTGCGGGCCGGATCCGAGCATGAACAACTGGAACCAGGTGGTCGTAGTGTGTCAGTACAAACAACAGTAAGCTCTGAGAAATATACTGCATCAAAGTTTGAAATGTACCTTTCAGGGGAAACATTCTGAACTCGCCAATCTACAAAAAAGGAAGCACTTGCTCGGCCTGTCCTTCTGGAACTTCTTGCGAATCCTCTTCTGGGCTATGTGCTTAACCAATGTCTTTCACTTCATTTTCTCAATAAATGACCATTTTTTAAGGTTCTATTTCACTAGGAATACTTGTTCTTTTGACCCACTCCTTTGTTTACTTCCCTATTTGTAATCGGCTCGTGATAATGACAAACTCTTCGTGCTGCCCACACTTCCGGCTCTTACAGTTCACTCTTTACTCGCTTATCACCGAAGTGGGCATGATTTATTCTAATTCGGCACGATAAGAACCCCTATAAAGCGTGCGGTCGACAGCTTACCTCACTAATCTCTTTCACATTTGTTTGTTAGTTTGACATGCGGTCTTGTCTTTCAGATGAAAGTTTTGCTGTTTCTGGCACTTGCTGTCGGCTCTTACGCCGATTTCACTTCGTCCGGACAGAGCGGAATCATCAATGCCCACAACAAACTGAGATCTTCGATTGCGAAAGGAACTTATGTGGCCAAGGGAACGCACAAGCCGGCCGGTGCCAACCTTCTTAAAATGGTATACAATTCTTTACTGAACTCTTTGACGGTTGTTTTCAGAAATGGGATTCGTCGGTGGCCTCATCTGCTCAAGCTTACGCCAACAAATGTCCAACTGGCCACTCGGGAACGAACGGAGTCGGAGAGAATCTGTACTGGTACTGGACCAGTGGATCTCTGGGAGACCTCAACCAATACGTATGATTTCGTTCTCCTTGAACCGCTGGACATGAAGAGTTTAGGGAGCTGCCGCCTCGGCTGCTTGGGAGAAGGAGTTCCAGGAATACGGATGGAAGTCCAACCTCCTCGATGTGAACCTCTTCAACACTGGAATCGGACACGCCACGCAGATGGCTTGGGCCAAGAGCGATTTGGTCGGATGCGGAGTGAAAGACTGCGGAAAAGACACGAACGGATTGAACAAAGTGACGGTCGTCTGTCAGTACAAACCACCGTGAGTCCTCGAGGAAACAGAACTCAGAAGATTGCGTTTTTTGCAGAGGAAACTACCTAAACCAGTACATTTACGTCTCGGGAACCACTTGCTCCGGCTGTCCATCGGGAACTTCCTGCGAATCGAGCACTGGCCTTTGCGTCTGATTCATTTCTTTTTGTACATAAAGTTTAGTTCAAACTCTTTCGTAGTCAATTACTTCCTGTACATAAAACCGACTAGCAGATGCCCTTTCGGATGAAACACATACAGTAGCGGCCACTGAAATATCCCTTTTTTGGTTTTTCCGCTATAACTTTTTTTTAGAGAAGAGCTAGGAACTTGAGGTCAACTGTGAAAACGTTGCAAAATGAGCCAGCAAAATGATCCAGTTTAGCTCTTATCGATAAAGTACATTAAATATGTCGGTAATACGCACAAAAAATTGTGGCCCGGATGCTCTTCTCTAAAAAAGTTATAGCAGAAAAACCAAAAGGGGATATTTCAGTGGCCGCTACTGTAAATGGAGGTTTGTTGAAGTGAAAAGGGATGTCGATTCCGAAAGGTCAGGCAAAGACTAACCGATATTCCCTGGGAATCCAACACGAAAACATTGCAGGGAACCTCGCACGGTTCATGTTTTGGCTCTGTTTAAAACGAGAGACGGAACCCTTCTCCACATTGGAAACTTCCTTCTTCTCCTCCAGAAACATTTGTGAAGCTAGACTAGTCTTTTTTGATTTTTTGTTCTATACCGATAGAACAAGCACAAGTTTGTATCCGCACATGACCCCCTATCCTGCTCGTCCTAGGCTTTCCCATGGTCATAGTTCGACCGGCAGTTGTTCACACAAACCGGTTACTTGTATAAATGCTATTCAACCGTTTTTTCGTTTACAGACTTGACAACAACAATGCAAACTTTTCTTGTGTGGGCCGCACTTTGCGTTGGTGAGTTTCAACGGCAATTTGAACGAATCGAATCAAACGGAGGGGTTTCAGGTGCATTTGCTCAATTCAGCTCCAGTGGGCAACAGGACATCATTAATGCTCACAACACTCTCCGCTCCAAGATTGCCAAAGGAACCTACGTTGCCAAGGGAACTCAAAAGCCAGCTGGAAGCAACATCCGAAAGATGGTGACCTAGAATAGGAGTACTAATATTATCTGAGAATCTCTTCAGAAATGGGACACCTCAGTGGCCACTTCTGCTCAGAACTACGCTAACGAATGCCGGAGTAGCCACTCTGGAGTTGCCGGACTCGGAGAGAATATTTACTATTACTGGACTAGTCTGCCCGTCACCAGCCTCGATAAGATAGGATTAAAGGCTTGTGCCGCTTGGGAGAAGGAGTTCCAGGACTACGGATGGAAGTCCAACCTCCTCGATATGAACCTCGTCAAAACTGGAATCGGACACGCCACGCAGATGGCTTGGGCCGACTCGTACCTCGTTGGATGCGGAGTGAAGAGCTGCGGAAAGGACTCGAAAAAATACGGACTGAATAGGGTCGTCGTCGTCTGCCAATACAAGCCACAGTGAGTCGCGCAAAGTGTGAGAGTAGAAACAGAAAGTGATGGATTTACAGAGGAAACTACTTAACCCAGAACATCTACCAGTCGGGAACCACTTGCTCCGCCTGTCCATCTGGAACTTCATGCGAAAAGTCTACTGGACTTTGCGCTTAACTTCTCTGATATAAGTTGTCATTCATTCCCTAATAAATCGTAGTCATTTACTGTTTTATTTTATACAAACACTCGATTTATACAGTTACAGCGGGAACTGGGGCAGAGGCTCATCGCGATACGGCTGGATCGAAGAGTCCTCGTAACCCTCTCTGGCCCACGGCGCTCTTTCCGAGGAGCAGAAAAAGAAGAAGATGATATTGGCAATGATGAGGAAAACGGCGTGGACGATGAAGAGTGTGGACCAGGAAGCTGAAGTGTAATTTGGGAGAAATGAGGGAAGGGAGCGGAGTGTTACCGTAATCCGTGTTCTCAGCAATCAGAACATTGAGCAAGGATGAGAAGAACATGGCAGTCGAGTTGACAATGAAGATGTTGACGAGAAGGAAAAGATGGAGATGGCCGGATCTCAGTTGATTCATTCGCAGATGACCGGCGTATGCACATCCGAGAAGAGAGGAAGCTAGTATGTACATGCCCTAAGAAGAGAATACTTCAGATGGGGAACGATCGAAGCAAGTACCGTGACAAGGTATTTGTGATTGACGGGATCGAAGAAGCCGAGCGCAAATAGGAATATTCCGCACATTCCGAATGCGATTGTATTGAAGAAACGCATCTTGTTCTTCTCCGCATTTCTGAAACATAATACTTTGGAATACACTGGAACTAAGAGAACTTACGCCAATTTTTTGTATAAATAAATGGAAGACACCGAAGTGACCAGGTTCAGAATCGGAGCAATGATTGTGAAATAGGCGGAAGAGATCTCGGAATGGCCGACGACTTTGTGGAAGAAAGTGGGTCCGAACTGATAAAAGAGTTGGAGAGCACAGCCGTACGCGAAGGACGTGAAGAAGATGACCCAGATGCGGAAGTCTTGGTAGATAGATAGATAGGGAATTCGAAGGTCGAAAGTACGGGAACGAGTGCGTTCGTATTCGAACATGGCCTAAAGGGAGCATTTGGAGTTGAAAACCATTCTCCCAAGAACTTACATTGCAGAATCCGATAGTAACTGCCCTCTCTTTGAAGTCCTCGTCGAAATGAATGAGAACGAATATGAAAAAGACGAGAGCGATGGTGATAACTGCTCCGTAATGAGCAGAATGCCATCCAATCGAAGAAGCGGCCATGTGGGAGACAATCGGATGAACGAAGATTTCGGAGATGTGCGCGTAGGCGAAGACGATGATCGGAACGGCGATGTGGTCGAACGGAATGAAGACTGAGAGCTTGCAGACGTACGGGATGAACGCGGCCAGGGAGAAACCTTGAAGAGAGTCTGGAAGACGTCGGCAGCTGTTGGAATACCTTGGAAGATTCTCAGGATGATGGCCAGCAGATAGGTCTTTGCGTTCACGCACGAGGGGAAGAACAGGGCCGGAACTACGCTCAGGAACGCACACATCACGAAGCTTCTTCTGAAATCCTACGAAATCTCGACATCCGTTCAGGTCCTCAACCTGAATCCCATGTTATTGTACGCATAGGTGATTGGAGTTGCCGCAATGACCGTGCCCACAGACGTTACAGTAATCAGCGACTCCTTCTGGGGATTCGAAAGGTAGTAGACATACTTGACGATGACGTCACGAGACGTCTGTTTCCCGGGATCATATTGGTTGTCGATCTCTTCATAAACTGAAATAGCCGTCAACTTGTTTTGAACTTTTTCCAATAAATCCGTAGTGTCATTTTGCAAGTCTCTAGTCCCTGTAGTCTTGCCTACAGTCAACACGAACGCAGTCTCTTCCTTCTTCTTCCCTTTTCTCATCCTGCTGCCGCCGCGCCCATTCGCAGTTTTTCTCACAGATACGATCAGAAATCAGCGCATTTCGCAACCGATAAGATAGCGGAGTATAAAAGAGGAGACCCACAGTCGGATTCGGAAGAGTTTCTGAATTCGTGCAGGAAGTTGACGGTCGACTGGTATACGGTCGGATTCGCGTATATGGTGCACATGCACAATGTGCACAGGAACAGGAAGAAGAACGGAATGTGCTGAAAACAAAGAGTGGGAAGAATGGAAAGACACGGGCTCACTTTGATGTTCTCGTATTGCTCGGTCCTTTTCTCATATTCTCCGTCTTCTGGCGATGTCGTTGGCGACACTGAGCTCATTCTGAAGCGAGTGAATGAAAGTTCGATAATCGATTGAAGCCAACTCACGAGTGTCTGTTTTCAGGCGGGGAATGCTAGGCGAGAAATCAAAAAACCGGGGGACTGTCGGCCGATTTGCATAATCTGCTCACTTTGAATTCCGACGCAGCACGCGCATCTTTTTCAAAGATCTCGGAAACAAAATGTGCAAAAAGAGGGAGGCGAATAATCCTTGACACCTTTTCCGGAAACACTGCGTTCTCATTGGACATTTTCTATAATTGGGCACACAATTTTTGTGTGATTGTGATAGTTCTAATTGGAAGTGTTCCGCGAACAGTCAGGGATTCCCTCCAATGATCAGACGCTTTATTTCCCTTCCGGTCGCTCCTTTCTCTCCATTCTTTTCGTGCCACATCATCGATCCCGTCGCCGCCATTTTATCACCTTATCAGCCACCTTCACGGTCACTCTCCTGTGTAACAGACCCCGTTATTCTCTTCTTTGTCCTCTTCGAACTGACCACCGCTAACAGCCTATTACAGCCCTTTGTGTGTGTCCCCTAGACGTCCGAGTTTGCCCCGTTTATTCGAGAATTCTCTGACTTCGAGGTCGCGACGTCACCAAGAAGAGAAAAAAAAAGAAGAGAAGAAGAAGAAAAAGGAATGAAAAAGTACTTGAGGGAATATGTTTGACTTTGAATGGCTACTGGTTTGAGTGTTCAGGGCACAAACTTGGCGAGAAGACAGAAAGAGTTTCGGTGAAGGACGCAAAAACGTCACAGATGGAAGGAGACGAAGGGAAGGAGTGGCAAGAAACTGGAATACCAGTTCCAAACTGTTGACGGCTGATCCTTTTGTCGCGAAAACATTGTACTCTTGAGAGAAAGATTAAACTATTAAAAGTTGCAAGTGTTCAGAGTTAAGTACAGATTGAAATTGAAATTGTAGGCAGGCTGGAAGCTTCTTCGATATGAACAGGTAATCGAACTGTTCTATTTCTGAACCAAAACAATTCTGACTCATTGACCCGACTTCACGACCTCTTTGTAGCCACACTGTGTAGTCCCCAATTGGCAGTTACCGTAAGGGGTTCAATCACAAACCTGTTGGTCACTTCCATCCAAAAGAATTCCGAGAATCCTTCATTTTCTGCTGAACGGAACCGTTTCTCGGGAATTAGGCTCATTTGACCGATCGAAGTCTGGAGAGAAGTGGGACTTCCAGTGCACTTGTCACAAACGAATCACGTGCGAACCAGTGTTTTCGTGACTTTCGGGGCCAATCCGTTTCGCAAACTCTTTTGTTTTTTTACAGTCGGGCAAGACGCAGACAAGACACGCAGCTGAACCATCGGAGGGGCGGGACTGGCCGAGACGACACGACAAGAAAACCCGAGGCGACGGACGACGGCGGCGATTCAGAAGACGATCAACTGCCGGGAGAACACTCGCGATGTGCAGCAGAACAAGTGTCGTATTGCTGGCCCTCATGGCCGTTACGTATGCCGCCACGGCCAGTGATCCTATTGACTCGGTACGTTTCCATCTCTAGAAGCATTTCGTTAATCCATGTGCCAGTTCTAACCGGCTTATGTGCAAGTTTGATCATTTCTCCAGAGTTCAGTTAGTCTGAAATACTAAATAGTCAATCCTCAAATCTAACCCTCCAGATTCGAATAACGGCAACGTATCGCCGTTTGTTTTTATCTTATTTCATCTCAATGATCCGTCTGATAGTGCAAAACAATGGCGCCTTCTGACCCTGATCGTTTGTAACCAGTCTGTTTCGACTGGCCATTCGCATCATGCGCCCAATCAGCTGATTCCTTTTTTATCACCTCGAAGATGTGTAGTTTGTGATAGCTGCTGTTATTGTGGCTTCTGTGACCAAAAATGTTCCCGGACAGGACGAGTGTAGCCTAGACAAAATGTGTTGTCGGAATAAATCGTCCGATCATTCGACCTCGCAGTATTTGATTCGATATCGTTCAGATCTCCAGCCAAGGAGCGGAGATTCTCAACAAAGCGAAACTAACAGGACAGTCGGTGAGACAATGCTCGTGTGCGGAGCAGAGAATCTGTGTGGAGGAGATGAAGTCTCAGGCGAAGGACTGCACTGTCCCCTGCTTCCAAAAGTTTTCTACTGTGAGTTTGAAGGTTTGGAAAACGTAATGAAGACGGAACAAAGTTGCAGATCACTGCCCGTCCGAATGATCTGAAGAAATGTTTCGACGAGAAGGATAACATCCTCGAGGATTTCCTGACCTGTTTCGAGAACCGCGTGGAAGCGTAAGACATTCCTCTGTGATGCAATGTGGACAGTTTGTGTTCAGATGTGTGAGTGACCAACACGGCCCACAGATCCAGAAGACCGACATCCGCGGAATTTTCAAGGTGACCGAAAAGAGCATCGCCACGCAGACAAACACGTTCCAAACGATGATCAAACCCATCAAGCACATTTTGGATGCGACTGGCGAGTTCGCTCTTTGCGTCAAAGACTGCTTCCTGGAGAGAAACAAGGGCGGCTTCTGCTTCGACAGAAAAGCGTGAGTACACTTGATCCATGGTATTTCGAGAATAGAATAGTGACCAACGAACAAATCGCCGAGGCCGCCAATCACAAACCACCGTTTTGGGCATCCGAACCGGTTCGGCCACTTGAAACTAATCATCAACAAGTTCAGATGTCAACCTTTGGTTGCCGAATCGAAGGCGAGACAGTCGTTCCGTACGTGCACCAAGAAGATGCACTGGAAGCGGGAGGCCGGAGAGCTGTGCGAATGCTCCGTGAACGCCGGCGTCGAGTGAGTTCCCCGTTGGCTTCAGATCCTCACTTCTCTTTGTTAGTTCCAGAGAGCTCAGACAGTACTGCGCCATGTTCAAGCTGATGGGCAGACGTGCTCCGATGAGAAAGACCCGTGGATGAAAGAATAGATGAAATCACTCGTATCCGCCCCTTTTTTTTCGCTTACCGGTGTTTATAGAATCCCACTGAACCTAGGAATCGATGGTCTCAACAAACGCAGTCAAAGCCTTATACCCATTCTCTTCTGTGTGTAAATTGAACGCTTCTAAAAATGCAAAGTGGTAATAAAATTTGATTTTCTTTTGTTGCAAACTCTTTGGATAACTCTCTTATCTGCCCTGTTGTTTGTCACTTATCAAACGAAATGCAAACAGTGATCGGTGTGAAAACTTCCGAGCGGCGGAAGATTTGTTTGAGCAATGACTCGGGGCCAGAGGGCATCTCATTTCGCATTCAGACAGGACGAAGACACCTGGACAAACAGTCTGGAATAGGGAAGGAAGGAAGCATCGGAACACAACATTCGACTGATTCGCACGGCAAACATCAGAACACCGACTCCGTGATCTTGGGATTAGGAGGAGAACAAAGTGGAACGAACGCCAGGTCAGAAAGTTATTATACAGTACACAGTGCAGATATCAAAGAATCAGCATCATGTTTGCTGAAGCGTACCCACTTCTTCGCAACCTCTTCTCGCTTCTTTTCGCCGACTTCTCGTATCTTTCCCCCGAATTCTTTCTCACGCTCCACACTCTCGACATCTGCGGTTCATTTTCTCGTTCCTAATCAGAGAAAGCTGATTATTTTGCCATTTTCCTTGTTTTTTTGCCTGAATTCATCGAAGTTCGCGCCGCTTTCGTCGTTTCCGTCATTCTTTGCTTTCTATTTTCGGGGGAATTCCCCCCTCGTCATCTTCGTCGGAAACGAGCGCCGTCCGATCGTTTGGCACGACGTGTGACCATCAAAGAGAACCGAGCGGCTCGTAAAAGATTGAACTGATGGCCATGTCTATTGCGAGGCGTCGACGCTCGAAAAAAACAGAAATAGATGTGTCTTGTGTCCGAATGTGCTCCGATTCCACTTGAGAGATGCGCATAATGCAGTGGGAGGATATGAATATCAAAAAGTTGCCCCGGGCGGTGTTTAGGCAGCTGTTCGGACAAATAAAGGTGTGGAGGAGACCACGGAGGATCCAGTTCGTTCGCTTCAAAATGGTATTTAGGGAACCTTCGAAGAGTACATACTTCTGTCTCCGCTTTCTTTCTCTTTTTTGATTTATCGGGGTCTCCTATCAAATTCTCCGACTGTTTGCCGACTTCTTCCTCTGTGTTGGCCCTTTACCTTCCGATGATTCGTTCATCAAATCACTCTTTTGGACTTTTTGAGTTTCATTGAAAAGCACGTTGTTTCGCGCCGTCGCCCCTATTTTATGTTCATCGTTACCTTAGAGATAACGTCGCGTCTGCGAGCACTAGAGTCTTCAAGGGGGTTACGGTGGTCAGTTCGGATGAGGGAGGAGACAGTACCCAGTCGACAGACATTCGTTGGCATTTCAAGTGTTTGTTTTCATTTGGGGGAGCCTCTTCACAACATTCGCGTATCAGCTGTGCCTAGACTGTTCTCTGTTCCTGCTTATAAGCTGCCGACCTAATGACTGCCTCGCTGAACCTTTGTTTGTGGATCCATTACAATGTTGTTCCTCATACTTGTTTGTGTTGTCTTTTGGGATTGTCTGCCAACGCATTCTGCTCCTTCGGTAGCTACTGAAAGCTCTACAGTACTACGACACTTATGTCTCCTTCTTTGTCTTGTAAATAAATTCATCCAAACTACATATATCTCTCCCCCGGAAGTCTTATTCTTTGAGTATTTCCGCATTTCGTTTTCGGGTCACGATCAGAAGGGTTTATAAGCTAACTGGGCAGTTCTCTGTGAGTAATACTTTGTTTACCTGTCTCATATATTCGCCCCCTTTTCTTTTCTTTCTCCGAAATCGAACAAACACTGTTCCCTCGCCCCGCTATCATCTCCTCACATTACCCAAATCCCCGTCTCGCATGACGTGAGACGCTTGATCGGGTCGTGGGTGGCAGCTCCGTTCCGCTCACTTTACATAAATAAGCACACCTCCTCCTCCATCACCTCAAAGTTATCTTCATTCAGAATGGTAAACTCTCAAAAGGACTACATCAGTGTCACCGTTCTTTTCGTCGTAAATCTACTCAATTATGTGGACAGATATACCGTAGCTGGTGAGTTTTCGAACCCTATTTTCAGTGTTTTTACTCTGGAAGTGCGTTTCAGGAGTGTTAACTCAAGTACAGACCTACTACAACATCTCGGACAGTTTGGGTGGACTTATCCAGACTGTCTTCCTCATCTCTTTCATGGTCTTCTCCCCGGTCTGTGGCTACCTTGGCGATAGATTCAACCGAAAATGGATCATGATAATCGGAGTGGGAATCTGGCTCGGAGCAGTTCTCGGATCCAGTTTTGTCCCCGCCGACGTAAGTAAACTATGACAAGGGCTCAATGACTCATCGTCCAATTCAGCACTTCTGGCTCTTCCTCGTGCTCCGCAGTTTTGTTGGCATCGGAGAAGCCTCCTACTCAAACGTGGCGCCTTCACTGATCTCTGACATGTTCAACGGACAAAAGAGGAGTACTGTCTTCATGATATTCTACTTCGCGATCCCAGTCGGAAGTGGCCTCGGGTTCATCGTCGGTTCGAACGTCGCCACTCTCACCGGGCACTGGCAGTGGGGAATCCGCGTGTCGGCCATCGCCGGCTTCATTGTGACAATCGCATTGATCCTGTTCACCTATGAACCTGAAAGAGGAGCAGCCGACAAGGCACTCGGGGACTCGAAGGCAGTCCTCACGACCAACACCACGTACCTCGAAGACCTCATGATCCTTCTGAAAACCCCGACTCTCGTCGCCTGTACCTGGGGATACACCGCCCTTGTGTTCGTCTCTGGAACTCTTTCCTGGTGGGAGCCGACTGTCATTCAACACTTGACTGCGTGGCATCAAGGACTCAACGACACAAAGGAGCTGGCGAGCACGGACAAAGACAGAGTCGCCCTCTACTTCGGAGCTCTCACCACCGCCGGAGGTCTGATCGGAGTCGTCGCGGGATCAATGCTCTCAAAATGGCTCACAGCCGGTTGGGGACCATTCAAGAAATTCCAAACTGAGAGAGCGCAGCCACTCGTCTCCGGAGCAGGTGCTCTGTTGGCTGCTCCCCTTCTGCTCATCGGAATGATCTTCGGAGACAAGAGTCTCGTTCTTCTGTACATTATGATCTTCTTCGGTCTCACTTTCCTTTGCTTCAACTGGGGACTCAACATTGACATGTTAACTGTGAGTGCCTTTCCCACCTGTCCCTTCATCTCATTTCCGTTCAGACCGTCATTCATCCCAACCGTCGAAGCACTGCCTTTTCCTATTTTGTTCTGGTCTCTCATTTGTTCGGAGATGCTTCTGGACCCTATCTGATCGGTCTGATCTCTGACCTCATCCGCCACGGATCCACTCTTCCCAAGGATCAATATCATTCCCTGGTGACCGCCACCTACTGCTGCGTCGCCCTTCTTCTCATTTCCGCCGGTCTCTACTTCGTTTCCTCACTCACTTTGGTCAATGACAGGCGAAAATTCCGGATGGAAATGGGTCAGTTGCTTCCGAATTCCGATCATTTCTTATTCATTACTTTCAGGTCTCGATGATATGCAATCCAAGCCCATCCGTACCTCAACGGACAGTTTGGAGAGGATCGGACAAAACGACGAAGTGGCCTCTTCCAGATTGTGAATTCCTTTTCTTTGCTTTACAACTTTCTGGGTTAATGTATGATACAGACTCACGGGTTCTTTTCGGATGAAAATCAAACACGTTTTACTTTGTATAAATGTTGAGCAATAAACAGTATAAATACTAAACGGAATGACAAGAAATAAGTTAGAAGACGAGACGGGCGGATCTGAGCGGACAGCTGCAGTAGGCGGCATCCGGTCCCGGTGATCCTGGCGGTCCGTACGGTCCTGAAATTTATCTCTTTCTCAATTTATTATCTGAATTCACCCACCGGTCTCTCCGTCCGCTCCTGGTTCCCCGTCCATTCCCGGCTGTCCGGCCGGTCCTTCTTCCCCCTCCGGTCCCGGAATTCCCGGCTCTCCGTCCTTTCCTGGCGTCCCCTCGACTCCCGCCAATCCTGGAGCTCCCGGTGCTCCCGGCATTCCTATCCCTTTTGTTCCGTTGGCTCCCGGTGCTCCGTCCATTCCCGGCTCCCCCTCGGCTCCCGTCTCTCCGGCATCTCCGGGCGCTCCCTCGACTCCTGGCTCTCCGTCCTTTCCTACCTCGAAGTTGTCGGCTCCTGGAGCTCCCGGTGGTCCCTGCTCGCCTTGGTCTCCGTCTGGTCCTGGCGGTCCTGGCTCTCCAGCCGGGCAGCGAATGCACGGAGGTCTCTGGTAAATCAGCGATTGGTCGAAAAGCGGGAAGTCGGGCCCCGGCTGTCCGGCGTCTCCGTTGAATCCGTCGTCTCCGGGCGCTCCTGGTTCTCCCGGCGGTCCGATTGGCCCGGCTGGACAGTTGTTCGCCTTGTTCATGCACCCGCACTTCGACTCGCCGCTTCTCTTTTGTCTCACCACCGAACGGTTGATTTCGATCATGTCATCCCAGGCTTCCGTTGCGAATTTCTGAAAGCATTTTAGAGTTAAACCAGAAATGGCACTGATAAAAACGTACATTGAACTCTGCCACGTCATCAAGAGCTGAAGAATAAAAAGTACGGAAATCGGCGTAGATAAGGAGTCCGGCGGTGATGTAGCCGACGACAAGGACGGACGAAACAGAGACCGCCGCGCAGATGAAGGTATTAGGCATCGCCGCTGCTGTTGCTGCTTCTGATGCTTCTGTCACTGCGAACAGGCCTTATGTACTATCGCACCTAATGTCCGTTTAACGACCGATCGCGCAATTCCCTCATAATTTCGAATTGCGCTAACCTTATACGAATTCCCATCTTGTTTATACGTGTTTATCATATGAAAACAACACAAATACAAAGCGAAATCTGGTGATGAACGGCAGCGAACGTTCTAGAAGCCGTACTTTTGTCTCGCCATTCTCTTCGTCTGCTTCTGCTCGGCCCATTTCTCCTTGAGCTGCTCTTCGCGAGCCACAGCCTGAAAGAAGTGTGTTGAGAAGCAGGAGGGCTAAACGAAGAACATCTTACCAAACTGGCCAAATAAGTGATTTGATGCTTTCTCCTCGACATTTGTCCTTGAGTCTGCACTTGTGGGACTGGAGCCGATGTCGCCTCGACAAACGCGCGATGTCCGAGGTTTTTGATGACGTTTGTGCGGACATCTGGACCAAGGGCTGCGTCCACATTGACGTCGACAATCGAAGAAGCCATCTCGTTGATGGAGCGCTTCTCCTCCGATCCGATATCGTGCGAGAATCTCATCAAAAGCTTGTGAGCCTGTTCGTCCGAAATCTTTCGGTGAAGCCAAGTGTTTGAAGACGAAGCGCCTTCCTGCTGAGCTTCTTCTTCGGGCATCTGGTACATTTGACTCGGATCTATTTCGTCATCGTCAGTGGGACGTGATGGGCCGACGACATCCATACTGCTATTGATAGCCATGAAAGGCACATCAGAAAGTGTCTCTTGTCGTTTAGCAGGAACGGACGAGAATCCGAAGAAGTCCATCGGACCATCGTCATCATCATCATCACTGTCATCTGCAATTTGCGGAGCAGGTGCTGGTGTGAAAGCAGGCACCACTGGAGAATTCTGGAATGAAACAAACATTTTGGCAAGAGAATCCCTGTAATAAGTACCTTCTTCGCAACAGACTGCGGGACCAAAGACTTTGCAAATGAAGACGGGCCGTCTGATCGGTTGTCTCTGCCCTTTGGCGCAGGAAGAGTGGCCAAAAATCCATTCCCCAGCTTCTGCTTCGGAACGACGCCTTTTCCTTCATCGTCACTGTCATTGCTCGATTCTCCCCCGATTCCAGCAAGACTGCCGAATGCGGAAATTACTACCTTAGCTGGAAAGAGAAAATGAATAGTGAACTGATCTGAGTGCTTACCTTTCTCTTTTTTATCTTTCTTTATTCCTCCTGCGACCTTCGCAATTTTCTCGCCCTTCTGCGCCTTTTTCGCCAGTTTCTTCTCCTTCTTGAGCGCTTTCTTCATTGCCTTCTTCTCCAATTTCAATCTGCTTTTTTCAGCCAATTTCAGCTCCCAATCTTTCGGTTTCACTATTTCTTCCAGAACATCTTCGTTATTTGGGTTAAAACTACTCAGAGATCCACTTTTTTCTGTAAACATCTACACGTTCATAAATAGGTGTACTCGTAACAACACCTTCGTCATTGAAAAAATCTTCACCGTTGTCGACAGTCGTTTTTTGAGGGGCAGCAGCAATCTTAACCATTATTACGTTATATTCACTATCCTCAAGAAAGACATTTCAATACCTTCTGTGGGGTTTCCTCTTCTTTGTCACTGTCCGAATCGCTTCCAGCGTAATCGACGAGTCCCATTTTGACTTATTTCTGTAAAAACTATTTTTTAAAGTGACAAAAATTCAGTCTATTTCGTGAAAAACATGACGAAAATCGATTTAGTCGACTTGTTTTTCGCAAAAAAAGCGATGTGTGCGAAAGTGCGCTCCACCGCACTTCGCGGGAAGCGAAACATTTTTGAATGTGGGTCACCGTTTTCGAAAAAGTTTTTCTCGTTTCTTGCAGTTTTTCTCACAAAATCGAGGTATTTTGCAGTGAGAATGCCGAGCGTATCACGAATAATGGCCGAAGAAGACATCTTCAAGATGACGTACGATAAACTTCGTAAAGAACTGAAGAAAAAACGCATTTCCGCTGCCGGAAAGAAATCTGATTTGCAGTTTAGACTGGTGGAGGTAAGTACAATTGAATTTATTTCTCAATTGACACAATCAAAACATGATGGTTTCGTTTTCAGTATCTACAAAATCAAAAGGAGGCAACCGACGAACAGGAGACCATCGAAGAATCAGAGGAGCCAGAGGAGCAACAAACTGCTGCCCAGGATGAACCGATGGATACTGAAGAACAGGAAGATCCGGTCAACCGTACATTCACAGTTGAGGAGGAGAATCAGGATGATCGGGCTACCAAAGCTCTCCGTAAGAGTCTGTTTGTCCGTTTCTGATAATCAATTTACTTGCTTCAGAGGAAGGAACTCCGACTAATCCAGTTAACTTGGTGTTGGACGAGGATGTGAATCGTGAGATGTGCGCCAACCTTGGAATTGATTTGGCCAATTTTGAGGTCAAATCTCGTACCAGAGTGCATCGAGCGTCGGCGAGAAAGTCTCTTCGCGAAACAGTTGCCTCTGAGCCACCGAAAGAAGAGGTTCCACAGCCCGAGGAAACACTCGAGACTCACGGTGTGACTCCAGTTCGTCAAAGCCAAAGAACGCCAACTCGAGGCGGTGATCGGTTCGCTTTTATACATGCGAAGGAAATGGAAAAGGAGGAAACTTTGGGAGAGCGTCGAGTAAGAATGAAAAAGAGACACGAGGATCTGACCGACAACGTTCCTGACGCCATCAAAAGACTGGCCACTCCGAAGAGTGTGAAGAAACGATCGCCGCTCGAAAGATTTGGCGCCAGGTGAGACTATCGAAGTGTTAACCTATTTCTAGACGGACTTGTTACAGCTCTGCCGCTAGAACTTGGAATCCAACGGATCCAACTCAAATGACTTTCCGATTCGGAAGCAATGCTGTCGACACTTTCTCCGATCTGGCCAATAATCGAGAGGAGACCGGAGAATGCTCTTCGTCGTCCACCGTCAAGAAGCCGGCATCCAGGGCCAGAGCCCACGTTGACGTCAAGCAACTGACTAGGATTCCGGGGTCGAGCCGCACACCAAGAAGCGTAAAACCAGTTACCCGAACTGAAGATTCCACCTTTGTTGAGTACATGTCCACTCCTAAGGGAACTACTCCCAGCCGAGGTAACACACTAACACAGAGTATTGCATGACTGCAAAAACAATTTACTCAGTTTCAGCTCCAAAACGTGGCGGATACACTCCGTTCGCCGGCAAGAAAGTGTTCGTCGACACGACGCAATTGACTGATCGCGAGTACACTCTGGCCAGCGAAGAAGGACTCATTCCGGGCAAGCCGGCCACCAAAACCTCTGCTGAACTTCGTCAGATGGAGAGCAAGAAGCGTCGCGATGATATCATCGCCCTCAAAAGAAAAATGAACATGAAATAATATGGCATTCATCATTTATCTCTCATTCCTTTTCGTACTCGTTACTTGTACTTTTCAATGTTCTAACTGTTGTCAAATATTCCTTTTTGTACAGCTTTCGCAACAATAAAGTTAAGGAAATGTTTTGCTTCCATCTCCGATTTCCAGCTGTTTTGCGCACAGCTAAACTATTTTCTCGTCTGCAGATTTGCGTAAAGTGTACTCACATTAATGTTTCATTTTTTCAAATTTAAATTCAGTGTCCAAAAACGAAAATGGCGTTGTGGGTGGACAAGTATCGACCGAAGCAATTGCTCGGAAAAGAAGGCGTCACATATCATCTGGAGCAGGCGAACCATCTCAAGTTGCTCACGGACAACTGCATGCCGCACCTTCTGTTCTGCGGGCCGAGCGGCGCCGGAAAAAAGACTCGCATCAAGTGCCTTTTGAGGTTGGAAAGATCTGGTCCCGTTCAATTATTCATATTTGCAGAGAGCTCTACGGAGTGGGAGTCGATAAAACTCAGCTGGTGATGAAGGCGTTCACGACGCAGTCGAACAGAAAGCTCGAGATCCAAACGGTCACGAGCAATTACCACGTGGAGATGACACCGTCGGACGTCGGCATCTACGACCGAGTCGTCGTTCAGGATCTAGTGAAGGAAATGGCTCAGACCGCGCAAATCGACGCTACTGCCCAGAAGTCGTTCAAAGTCGTCGTGCTGTGCGAGGCGGACTCGCTGACTCGTGACGCCCAGCACGCTCTCCGCAGAACCATGGAAAAGTATGCGAACAACTGCAAAATTGTGCTGAGTTGCGAGACGCTCTCCCGTATTATCGATCCGCTGCAGTCCCGTTGCATCGTCGTCAACGTGCCCTCTCCAAGCGATTCGGAAATGAAAACGGTGCTGGGCAACATCATTCAGAAGGAGAACTTCCCCATTCCGGCTAGCGTCCTCCAAAAGATTGTCGAGAAAGCGGACGGAAATCTGCGGAAGGCTATTCTGATGACAGAAGCGATGAAAATGGAAAACGAGAACGGAGTGTCCGAGAGCACAATAATTCCAGTGCCAGAATGGGAGACGTACCTCCAGGAGACCGCCCGTCTCATTCTTCAGAAGCAGAGCCCCGAAATGCTGCTGAAAGTGCGCGAGCGATTATACGAAGTGCTCTCCAGAGTTATTCCGCCCAATATCATTTTCAAAGTATTCAAACATCCAACCTTCCGAACCGTCTTATTCGTTTCCAGAAACTTCTCGAGTATCTGCTACCCCACTGTCCCGCCCCAATTGCCCGTGAAGTCGTCAGCGAGGCGGCCAAGTTCGAGCACCGCATTCTGCTCGGCCAGAAGCCAATCTTCCATCTCGAGGCATTCGTCGCTGCTTTTATGGAAATTTACTTGGCTAACGCCTCCAAACGCAGATGATCTTACAACTACATTTTCTAACCGATGAATTACCGTTACGGTTCCATTGATTCTCTATATTTAGCCTTGTACTATGATGAAATGAAGCAAAAATTATTCGAGTATTTACAAAACGAGAAATAATAAACATCGCACAGGATTCAGTGAATAAAGGTCGGTTTGCGATAAAGCTCACAATAAATAAAAAGGTAATATTTATGCGTCACTGTCCGTTTGGGGTTTGCTGCCCTGTGCAGACTTGAGAATACGGTCGAGCTGGGCAGCAGTTGCTTCCATTGGCTGAGAAGCGATCGAGGGAGAGTTCGGCTTCCCAGGCTTATCCTGTAAGCGATGATTGAAGCAATGTAATTGGGGTTGGGAGTACCTTGAGAAGGTTGGAAAAGAAGTTGGCAAGCGGACTGTCCTTATCGGCGGCTTCTTCGGGAACAATTCTTTTCTGCTGAGTGCCGGTGTTCGTTGTTGCCGCCAACGTGTCCATCAGTTTCTTGAGAAAGTCTTGATCCTCTTCCGCTTCGATCAACTGTTCTTTCGCCATTGGCCTCAGCTTGTCACGAGTTGGCTCAAGAGTTCCGTCAGCATCCGGAACCGACTCCTAACAATCGCAAAACGGTAAGAAAACCGTAATTTCGAGAGTCACTCACTCTGATAATATCTATTTTCTTCTCGCCGTCCCAACCGGCCGGGACAAAGATCGATTCCCTCTCGATGACCTGGGCAGCACTGGTGAAAGCAGTTCCGAAAGAGCGATGCACAATATACTTCTGGAGCACTTGAATATTCTTCGATTCTTTCGCGCTTGTGAACACGAGAGTAGCTCCAAGTTTGAGGCACAGTTTGCGTAAAGCGACAATAATCTTCGCGAACTGTGACTCAGTGAACTCTTTTCCTAAAACTTTCACAGAACGTTGTTATGCGTTTTCGACAAGTCGATTACCCAGATCGGATTTAGTAATGACAACCATGAAAGTAGCTCCGAAGTTCTCAACAAGAGTTCCGGAATCGAGAGGAAGTAAGTTGTGCTCGTCGGAGAAGTTTCCAACGACGGAAGTGCTCATCTGGGACTCCACCGGGTCCACGTACTCTTGCCAGAGGCGTTCCTCTGAAGAAACTACATTATTAAAATTTATCACAAAACTTACGTTGTTTTCTTCCAGCTTTCAGGTCTTCGTTTGAGAAGTGTTTTTTCGCCTGTTCACTGCACACATTTGCCCATCTATTTAAGGAATGAATAAGATCTGAAACAAACGAGCAATTGGCCTTTGCTATTCCAGAAACGATTTACTGGGGTTGTCGATGCTCGCAGAAAGAACAAAGATTGTTTCAGCTGGAGAAGCGGGCAACGCGTGCTTCAAAAGAGAAGCGCATGATTCGGTTCCGTCCAGCGTCCAAACAGGAATTTGGAGAAGTTCCGAGGGATTCAGATTGGCACCAGCAGTTCCCAGTTGATAAGCGTAGCTTGCGTCTCGTGCATCGTTTTGCACATGGAGAACGCGGTATCCAAGAAGAGACTTCGGCTTCACAGATCTATCTGCTTTGTCGAGTCGAGAGAGCAATGACGACTTGCCGCATCTATTATCGCCGAGGACAATCACAGCGCTTCCTTGGTTTGCACTTGTTTTTTTGGAAGCCAGCACCTCACGCCTAAAGAAATCCGCGAATTCATTATGAAATTCAGAATCAAATTCTCACCAGATACCGATTTCATCGTCTGTCGAGGAGTACAAAACCGGCAGAATTGCATTGGCGGTGTCGTCAATGTCTTGAATTGGTGCGCTGGGTGGCATTTTCTGTAAAATCGGTCCAAAATGCTTTATTTTCCGGTAGCGACACTCGAATTTAAGAGGTAAACGTCTGCGTCTCTTCACTTCACACGTTCTTTCTCGTTCGCGGCGAGATATACTGATTGCGAAACAGTGTGCGCCTTTGAAGTTGTGCAAACACCGCGGCGGCATTTTGCACACTTTCCCGATTTTCATTTTTCAACACTGTTTGAAACGTGATATAAATTGCTAAAACCGTTGTATATCTTTATTATTTAGCTGTGAAAGGTATAATTTTTTAAATTCAATCGAAATTTTTACAGAGCTCGACTCCAAATCGGGTTATTTCTTCTTTTATGCTTTATGAATTCGATTCAGAATATCCAACAAGTTAGTTTCTGTTTTTCTAATTCAGCAATCATCACGTGTTTTAGCTTCGTGAATTTCTGACCGTTTACAATACTCTTAGTGAACGTTGCTTCAACGCGTGTGCCCGTGACTACACCTCATCGACTCTCACCAAGGACGAAAGCGTCTGCGTCAGTCAGTGTGAGTTGACAGCTCTTATGCAAAGAAATGGGATGTATTTTATAGGCATTGACAAGCAGATGCTAGTGAACCGTCGGTTTATGCTAGTATTTGCAGAACAAGCTCCAAAAGTACTTTTCAAACAAGGAGAACAGTCCCCAACCGAGGCTATCAAAGCCATCAAACCAGCCCCAGCTCCAGCTCAAGAATCAGCTCCCGAACCCGTTGTTGAAGAAAACAAGTGACTTTTTTTTAAACTTTCACTCTCTCAATGTTTTTTTTCAGACAATGAATATCATCTCTGAACATGGTTTCCGTGTGGACGGAAGACGCCCCACACAAATTCGTAATATTAACACTCGGCTCGGTTTGAATAGAAATGCAGAAGGCAGCAGCTATATTGAGCATGGAAACACGAAAGTTCTCTGTGCTGTTTATGGTCCGTATGAGGGGAAGGCGTCGAAAAGACTGGAGGACAGATCCGTCATCGTTTGTCAGTACAGCACAACCACGTTCTCCGGTCTTGAGAGAAAGAATCGTCCTCGTGGAGATCGAAAATCGACAGAAATGAGCAGATTGCTCGAAAAGGCGTTCGAGTCCGTCATCCTGACAGAAGCTTTTCCCAGATCTCAGATTGACATCTTCTGTGAAGTGATCCAAGGGGACGGATCGAATCTGGCTGCGTGCGTCAATGCGACTTCTCTGGCTCTGGCTGATGCGGGCATCCCAATGAAAGGAATTGCATCAGCTGCCACGTGTGGAATTGTCGACGGCAAACCGATTGTTGATTTGACTTCCAGAGAAGAAACAGATCTTCTTCCGAGAGTCACTGTAAGAAATTCAGTTTTTTTTTCTTGTTCAAACTATTCCATTTCAGCTCGCTACCGTCTGTGGCCGTGACGAAGTCATTCTCGTCGAACTTCAGAACCGTCTTCACATCGATCATCTCTCCCACGTCATGGAAACAGCGAAATCAACGTGTGCCGACGTTTATGAGTGTCTCGCCGTCGTCGCCCAACAACATCTGAAGGCGTGTGCTCCGATTTTAGGCAGTTAGACTTTTCTTCTAGCTTTTATCTTCATCTCCTTTTGTTTTCTTGTTCGCCGCCGTTGTTAAATTTCTTTATCTCAATGAAGTTGGTTTTCAGACTGATCTTAGGTAAGAAAAATTGTGTTCATATCTCAATTTTCATATCTACCAATTTTTTCACATTTTCCATGTCTTTGCTTCAGAATGTGGAGTCGCGGTTTGGTTAGACTGCGAGGAAACTGGAAAACCTCAAACTCCCGATTTTCGATCAGTTCGCAGAAAGAGTCGACTGGAATCGATGGTAATTGAAAAAGAAAACTTGAAAATGGCACAGGTTTTCTACAGATTTTCTTCAATCAATATCATCCGCCCCAGCACCAACCGCACCCAAAAACAGGAAAGTTCTGGAAACAGCGTCGGAATTCTGCACGGTAACTACATAAATGAAACTATTCCTCAATTCCGTTTCAGTGGCTCAAAAAGCAACCGATAAATTCGATCGAGCACTTCGTATTAGCCGCACGAACGGCGATTGCAGTAAGAGCGAATGAGCAGGAGAAAGCCTTTTCAAAAGTTGACGAGTAAGCCGAACGGGGCATTTCTCATTTCCAACTTGATTTGCTTCAGCGTGGCTAAGAAGATTCTTCCCGAGCTGTACGACAAGATTGGAGCTCAAGAGATTGTCGAAACACTGAGATTCCTGTTGCAACTGAATCCGAATAGCCGAATTTGCAAGGACATTCAGAAGCTGTTCATTGAAAAAAGTGAGTCTCTTCTTTTTTTCTATCGATTTCCCAGTTCGATCTTCTAGACATCAGTGCTTCCGATCTCAGTTCTGTTCCGTTCGACACCCTTGTCATGATCATACGATACGCCGATTCCTCTTTCGATCAGCAAGTGCTCAACAGAATTGTCGAATCTCTCTCCTCCAGAATCGAACAGTAATCTCGCTCACTAATGCAGCTCCAATGCATTTATATTTCAGAGAGCTCGCCGAGCCGGCGACACTTTTGGCTCTTCTGGCCGGGAATGGATACGACAACGCCAAGTGGTTCCGTAATGAACACTTCCTCGCGAAGGCGGAGAAACTCGTGGCGGTGATGGGAATCGCCGAACAGTGTGTTCTTCTGAAGCATATGGCAGTGCTGAAACAACGAAATCGCCAACTGCTCGGCGCGCTCATCAACTCGATTTCCAGCTCCAGTCAGTGTTTGACAGTTTCTCAAATTGTCAGTATCACCAGTTCGTGCTCTGCGCTGACTTACTATCTTCCGAAAATCGCCAATAAGATTTCGGACGATCTGGCGAAAAATTCGAATGTTTTGGACAAATGGAATGACGTAATGAGCATCGCCGATTCGTTTATCCGAATGCGAATGGGCGACGAGAAGTCGTGGGATGTCCTGATTGGATGGGCGATTGAGAACGAAAAACAGGTGAACGCGGTTCAATTGAGCAGATTCGTATCTGGATTGGCGAGAATCGGAAATCCTTCCGGAAAACCACTGGCCAAAGCGCTCAAACCTCGGCTGGTGCGGGAAAGAACGAGCACTCCAGCGGCTTGGCTCAATATTGTCTATTCATTGGCTTACTTCCAAGAACTCGACGAGGTGCATGCCGACTCAGTACTCAATAAAAGCTTCGTGAAACAAATAATGGACTCCTCCTTGTATGAAATGTGAAAAGCCCACTCAACTCACTTTTCTTATTACAGGGAAGTGCACGACCGACTGCGAAAAGCGCTGACACTTCTGATGATCAGCGCGTCTGCGAAGATTGATATGCAAGGAAGATATAAGGGACCGACAGTTAACAAGAAGACTTTCGCAGAGTTTGGAATCAATTTCGACGTCAAAACGATCCAGAATGCACGACAACTGAAGTACTCGAGCAACTATCAAGAAGTGGACGGAGTGTTCCTGAAGTCTCTGTTCAAACTGGCTCCACAGGACACTCACTGTCGGATGCCCGGAATCGAAGAGTGCGGATCTTTCGTCGATGCGTACGTGATGCCCGATGTGGTCAGTTGCATTCTGAACAGATCTCTGAACAGATGGAGAGTTTTTGCAGAGCACGGGTCTTCTTGTGAGCACGAATCAGTGGGGATCGTCCTTACCGAGACCAGTATTCTTCTATGGATGGATTCAGACGAAACAGGTGACCGATTCATGTGTTCTGGACTGAAATTGAATGAAATTAAGCTTCAGAACATGACATCAGACGGAGAGAGTCAAATATTAGGACAAGATCAGCTGAGTCTCCGATTGATGCGAGCGACCGGCTACTATCCCATTATCGTTTTCAAATCAGAGTTCGATTATTGTTCGACAGATATCGACAAAGTGAACATGTTACGGGAGAAGATACACAAAAACAAATAGAATAGAATACGTCTAGAAAGACATAATAGTTGTTAAATATTATATTGTTTATAAAGATTATCCTATTTTTCCTGCCGTTCTGACTCCTACCGTTCACTTTGGTTCAAATACTTTTTTTCTTTACTATTTTTAAGTCCAAATAAAAATCTTGGCATCAGATGGACGTCATCCAACTGAAAACCATCGAAGAGGAGAGCGAATTTCGTGCCACAGTCGTCGCCGATGACATTTGGGAATTGATGTTGACAAAGGGAAGACCAATTTCAGTTTATGTAGTGTTCCGAGTGAGTTTGAGATCATGAGAACAAAGAAAAAACAACGTGTACAGTCGGGATTCACTCTCCCTAATCCTTTCAAACTGTTCTATTTGGCGCAAAACGAGGTTATAAGCCGATTGAACGCTAATTACGCTCTTGAAAAAGCACAAGATATGTGGTGAGTTTTTAATAGGTTATCTAATGAAAAATTACGGTATTTGCTTAAGGGTGGAGGGATCAGACGATGCACCGATGAAACATCGCCAAAAACGCAGCGTCATCCGCCTTCAATTCTTTTTACATCGCGACAGAGTGACTGGAGCTTTCGTACCAGCATACTCGTACATTTGCATCCATCAAATTATTAACCGACTGATTCTTTTACTTTTCAGATGGACCGACATCGAAAGTATTTATGAGTGGAACGAGGGAAGCGATCCGGCAAATGTTCGTGTCCTGAACAACCCAAATAGAGGAAGAAACAATTCCAATGGGCTTCACATTTTGTTCCCATTCCAATTAGTAAATAGATTTGACAAATACATCACAAGGATTTAATATCTTTTAGAGGATCGCGCACATTTTATCGGAGAAAGCCTTCGAGAGTTTTGCTACAAGAGCCTGCATCGTGAAGGTGACATTGCAATGTGTCTGCTGCTGTGAAACTTACAATAACGTGGCTTCGTGGAACCAATTCGACTGCCTCCACGTCACATGCACGGTGTGCTACAACAAATTGAGTTCACCCAAAAGATGCCCCTTCGATAATTACGAGAGTTAGATTGTCTCTTTCTAATCCACTTTTACACTTACGTTATTCCAGTCAATAGAATATGTCGGCTGAAAATTCGCCAGGGACCGTGTCCGATCGATTTGTGCCCAAAGGTCGACAAGGACAAGACGCAAGCAGTCGTCGTCGAGCCGTGCAACTGCTTCATTTATTGCGACAAGCTGCTCAGTGCTGTGAAGACCCACGAGCAGAATAGAGAGTTGTACCGATTGGTAGATGAGGTCAACCTCTGCCCGTATGATGTCTGCCAGACAAAGATTAAAACGTTCAAAACGGTTTTCTTGCCACGCGGATTGTAATCTGTACTGTCGGAGCATGCCAGTGTGAATGCGGCCTAGTTTTTCAGCCGCAAAAATAGATTCAATTGGTTTTCATTCGAATTAAAATAAGTTGCTGTATTTAATTGGCGCTACAACGGAATAAAACTCGCACGGAAAAGAACTGTTACGATTTGGAACTCGTAGTTGTATTTTAACGTTGCGAGTTCCAAATCGTTGCAGTTCTATTCCCTGCGAGTTCTATTCCGTTGTAGCCCCATATAATTGGCTCAGTGCAACAGAGCTCACTTTTTTTGAAATTATCTGCATTTTACTGTACCATTTCTCTTCCTTGTCGTATTGATTCCATGATCACTCAATTTTTTCTCTTGCTTCAGATATCTCCTCTGTTGCCATTCCGTTTTCCATGTAGATATGTTCTAAAAAATATACCCTCCTCTCGGCCCTTTCGCTTTAATTTCTACCTTCTGGTCATTTTTGTATAGTGAAGCGTAGCTTAATAATAATAAATTAATTAATTGAAAGTATGTCTTTATTTTCCAAATGCTGGTTCTCGGTGCCTAGATTTATTGCTGGGAGCACAATTGGAACAACTGAAATTATGAAATTTCCAGGAATGTCACGAGCAGAGAACTTTCCGGAAAATATCAAAAAGTTCATTGTCAAAAGCGCACCGCCTACGATGATTTACATTCCGAACTGGATCGACGAAGACGAGGAAAAGTGAGAATGCGCTGACGGGTTCCTTCATAAACGTCTCCGATCCTTTTCAGACTTTACAAATCGTGCATCGAAAATGCACCGCAGCCAAAGTGGCGAGTACTTGCAAATCGACGGCTCCAAAATTACGGGGGCGTCGTCGGAAAGTCGGCTCTAATTCCGGCAGACGATTTTCCCGTCGAACTGAAGTATCTGATGACGAAGATCAACGATTTGGGAATCTTCGAGAAGCCAGTCAACCACGTGCTCGTCAATGAATATCTGCCCGGACAGGGCATCATGCCGCACACGGACGGCCCCGCTTTCCATCGAATCGTCACAACTCTCACGATCGGATCGCATTGCCTCCTCGACATGTACGAACCGGTGGATCCACAGGTAGCTCAGAAAAGAGGCGTTTATTTACACATGAGAGTCTACCCATAATAGTCAAATTTTTAAAAGTCGTTATCTGTTAAAACTTCTGCAGATTTGTCGGTATTTTCCAGTCGTCAGTCTCATTTAGATTCGCCAAAAAGCTCGAATCGATATTAAATTCCCTCCAATTTTTCATCCTGGAGTCGTCGTGAGACATCGAGAACGCGTTGACTCTCTCCTCGTCGTCGACCGATTTGAACGACGTGATCCGTCGTAAATTAGCCTCCGACTGCGAATGGGACATCATGACAACGGGCGCGTCGCTCTGATGGTCCAAACGGACTCCCGATGCCGATCCGTGATAGTGGTGGTTGCGGATGTGCGAGGACTCTTCCGAGTAGAGCAGCGGCAGGTCGACCTTGTCAAAGAAAGGATCCTTGCGAAGATCGGGCGTCGTCATCGGGTTGTCGGCAATCATGAGGCCCATCTGAATGGTCTGATTCGATTGGTCGCTCGTTCACTCAGATCAATCTCACCGCAATGTTTCGGTCGATGAGCGCATTCGTTTCGAAGTCGTCGTCGTCTTCTCCGAATGGGTTCAGCATCACATCGATTACTTTCAACCAGCCCATGTAGAAAATAAACTGAAGAAAGGTCATAACAGGAAAATAAACATCCACTTCGTCGACGATCTCGTGCTTCTCAATAACAAGTTGTCTCGCAATCATGGACACCAGAAAGTACAAGTTGACGGCGAGGCAGACGAGCTGAGGGTACATGAGCGGGAGGGGCACCCAATCGTAGTTGCACACCCATTCGATGTTCGTCCGCCACGTTCGGATCTCCGATTCCATCTGAGCCTTGAAGTAGTCGCTCTCAATGTAGCCATCCTTCCGTGCTTTGTAGGTCATGCAGAGAGCCCAGTTGGCCGGAATCCAATACTTCGTTCCCAACTTGCTGTTGTACGTGGTATCGTAGCTGTTGTACAGTTCCAGTTCATGCTTGTTCATGAATCCAGCGGCTACAATAGTTTCCAACGTTGGAAATCGTCGTCGAGTCCGCATGCTTATGTCCCGAAACACGAGAATCTGCACGAGTTCGCAGTACCGCATGATGTTTCGCCGGTAGATCCGCGCTTTCTCGGTGGCTCCTCTAACATACAAGTTCGCCATTAAACCAACACTGAAAAGGTTAGTGTAAACATAATTTCTCTCCCGGCGCCCTTACTTGTCTATGAATCCGATCGTCTGGTAGAGCTTCGTCCATCTGTTCACGACTGTTGTCACGAAGAATCCGAGCACAAATTCAAGCGGAATGTAGGATAACCGCTTGTCAAAGTACCGTACTAATGCTTCAAATGTTCTGAAAGATTACTGTAGGACGTGATTTCCCGAGACGTCATTTACCGCTGACTGGATTCGCCCATTGCTGTCTTGTAAACAACCGATAGTGCACCGTAGATGATCAGAAAGAAAATGGACTCTATGTAGACGGCCTTCCATATGGAACCTTTCCATTTGAAGAGCAAAAGGAAGAACGTCCACGGATGTGACGTCATTATCTCTTTGTTATAGTTTATCGTCATTTTGAATGCACCGAACAAGTCTGAATGGGATCGAATGTGATGGGAAGAGAATGAATGAAAAGAAGAAGAAGAAAGAGTGAGAGAAGGAGACGATTCAGAGATCGGTCATAAGTTCGGCAGGTTCATCTACCATCCGACAAAGGCCGATCGTTTCGCAAAACTACATAAAATGACCGATTCGGGTGCTGATGACACGTGACCAAAAAGAGTACGGTAGTTGGTGAGAAGTGAGAAAAAGAAGAATTCCACGTCATTTCAAGTGTTTCTGCCCTGCTGCCATCTTCGTAGAAATGACTCATTTTCGTCGAATGGGATAGAAGAAAACGGGAAGAGAAGTAGACGGACGATCTTCGAATTGTGATGGGAATTTGATTAGAACGGTGACATTTTATCCCCAACTTCAAAATACGATTAAGTTAAGAAGACGGGTTACTGTGGTAAAAACAAGAGTTCGGGGAGAATGATTGTCGGGAAAGAAAGTGGCGGCGGATGGCAGAATGCGTGCGTGCCTTCGACGCGTTTATTGGTTTTATTTGAGTGGTTCGGAAGAACGGCATGTCAGAGATCAGACAGTCAAACATTGTCAAACACGGCGATGGAAAAGCAAACATGATATCGAAGAATTATGTCAACAGAAAAGGGTGGCGCGTGGCGCAGTAATTTTTGGACTGACTTCAGAGAACGACGGGTTCAGTCGGCGTCTCGCCTCCCGATGACACTCTTTCGCCGCGTGATTTCTTTGAACTTAACTTCGCTTTCATCCTGTCCCACACTGATAATTAGATGGTCATTACAGAATGCGTGCAGCGAAGAAGACCGATACGTCGGTTCGATGCTCCTGGAGCCACGCAGTCTGTTCGTGATGACCGACAAGGCGTACACGACGATGCTTCACGGAATCGCCGAACGGGAAACGGATCTGATTGAGCCGAGCAAAGTGTTCAACTGTCCCGAGGAGTTGGCCAACAAACGGATCGAAAGAGACACTCGCATTTCGGTCACGGTCCGCAACGTCGAAAAAGTCTCCAAGCTCGGTGTCTTTGACCTTCTCAAAAAATAATCTCCATTTTGCGGGTTTAATTTATTCTATTTTTATCTAATACAGATTTTACTGCTCCATTTCATCAAATAGACAATTTCAGTATTGGAATGTCATATTTCCATCGGAAAAAGCTTAATATCATTGCTGACCGACGTCTGACACTGATTTGTTTTGGCAGATGGGCGGTCGGCATATGGTGCGAGTTGCGCAATCGGAAAGAGCAAAGGGACAAATTGGGGGATGGAAACGCATTGGCGGTGCGCCAAAAGCCGAAAGATAAGAATTGCATTCGCGGCCGATCGACGGTGCTGACAGATGACGTGGCGGACGGCGAGTTGCGGGAAATTGGGCGGAAATTGGCTCCAAATCGGGCACTTCTTTTTCAGCTATCATTTTTTTTTTATCACTTTGCATTCTTTTTTCGGACAGGTCACAGAATTGCTCTCTCAGGTCAGTAGATCATAACTTTGCCGCGGACAAAGAAGACAACGAGCATTGTTTTGCCGCGGTGCTCTTTTGTTGTCACGTGATCAAGCGAACGGGCGTGACTGAAGAATGCTGGGAGGCTGGGGGACGTTCGCACTCGAGGGCGATCGAGGCAACGATGTTGCAGTTGGGTGAGAACTCGCTCACGTCTTCTCTCACCTTTTTCGAGCGGTTCTCATTTTTGCCTAAATTCAAAACATTGCAATTCGTCACGCATAGCTAGGAAATGCACAATTTCCGAGCCTTCCGAGCCATTTTGACCTAAAGCGGTTTGCTCCCGTAACATTTCCACCGTAACGATTGTTATCAACATCTCAAATCTTCTGCTTTTCCCGCACCGATTCATCATTTTTCATGGTTTCCCATTAGACACCGTAGCCGTCCGTCCGTTTCTTCAAAACATTGCCCGCGTCCTCCTTTTCCGTCGGTGCTCCTAATCCCATTTTGATGCATCGTCATACTCTTTTGCAGTCGGCTGCCATTTACCATATGTGAAAGAACGAAGGAGTCGCTTCGGAGAAAGTGGGCGTGGCTACAGTAGGACGCGAGCAGCAGACGACGGAGCAGCGGGAGTGTCAGCAGCAGCGCGGAAGAGAGAAGAAGAAGAAGAAGAAGAAGAGGAAGAGCACAACCTTCTGTGGCGACGAGTCGTCGAGGATCAAATTCTTTGCTTCCAATTAATCCGATCACTGACTTTGCGTAAGACGGTAATAATCCTTGGGGATTGAGGCGCCTCCGGAAAAGAGCAACACATGGATGACAATACGGCAACGCTGACTGCTCTCCACCAGCAGCAGTCACACAATCGGTTCGTTCTTTTCCAACTTTTCCGTTTTCTTTTTTCACATGCATTTACTGAACGCCTTTTTCAGTATATACAAAACTAGGGATGTTGATGTTTATGATCACATTGTCCGATTTTACTAACAAAAAAGGAGGAGACCTTGATAGTATCATACAATATCACTCGTCTCTTTCTTCATTCCCTTCTCAGCCATTTGATCTCTTTGTCTCCCAAAACGATCTCGATCTCCCGCTGCGTCCCATCCATTTCTCCCTTCAACTTCTCGTATTCAGATTCTCGAACCCGCTGGTATGTGTCGGACCGCTCGATCATCAGCCGTTGCTCCAAGAGCAGACGCTTTCCGCTTCCTTGGCTCCATTAGGGCACAATCCGTACGCCTTCAACTACTCGATTCCCCTTCCGCCGAGTGAAATCACTAAACTTCCGAAATGTAATATATCCTCAATACTAAGTTCCTATATTCTCAACTCCCCCCATGTTTTCAGTAGAACTTATTTCTCTGGATGTGAAACAAGAAGAAGAGGATCGGACCGAATCGACGAGTCCGACCGGATCAGCCGGCAATGTGAGCACGAACGGAAAGACTCAGAAGCCGAGAAGACAGAGAACGCACTTCACGAGCCATCAGGTACGCATTCCAATGCCCTCTTTTGAGCTACAATGTTTTCTGTTTCAGTTGACCGAGCTGGAGAACTGGTTCTCACGGAATCGTTATCCGGACATGGCGACTCGAGAAGAAATCGCTATTTGGATCAGTCTGACGGAGCCGCGCGTCCGGGTGAGTTGGCTGATTTTTACATGATTCGTTACATCAATCAACGCGTATCCCGATCGTTTCGCGGTCATAAAACCGTCGCGGAATGCGGTCACCATCTGCCAATTACCGTAGTAGGCATTGAAAAGAAAAAGAGGAAACAAATGGAATAAGGGAGTCGTGTAATGAGAAAATGAGCGAAACGGAGCCCGTCCTCCATTCCGCCAATGTGCTAATTGAATCCGTCGTTGTTTGCAGGTCTGGTTCAAGAACCGAAGAGCCAAATGGAGGAAGCGCGAGAGGAATTATGTGATCGACAACGGGCAGGGAGCCGCCAAATCGGCCGGGATGGGCCAGACAATCGGAGCGCAGAGCCTCGATCCGCTCGGATCTCTGCAGAATACATTCCCGCAGACACTCCTGCAGGGCAGCAGTCAGGTACGTTTTCCGCAATGTTTATGTGCTCAAAGTCTCGTTTTTCTCTCGTTTTGCTCGCCAGAAATGTTGCCTCTTATGGCATAAACAATCGTAAGGCGGACTCGTCCAGTCGATTGACTCCCTCGACTTCTCAAATGTTCCATGAAGGGATTGCTCCATTTCGATTACAGATCGACGATTCCGCAGTCGCCTCATCCTCATTCTACGGATACGGAGGCGCGTGGCAACCGTCTCCTTACCAGCCGAGAAGCAATCAGGCAGCATTCAACTGGCAGATAAAACCACAGGTAACTGGCGGGAAAACGGGATGGAAATGACATCTGAGTGAGTAGGAACAGTTTCAGTTCCAAACGATTCCGATGTCGCCGACGACGGCGAACCGATTCTCGACGCCAGGAATCACTCAGCTTCCATCGTGAGTTGTACTCTTTCTACCTCAAAGAATTCTGGTTATGATTCGGACAGTAATGACTGTTTGATGTTTGTATTCTCGCTATAAAGTAATGAGAAAGCATAATCTGAATCTTAATCTGAATTTTTTGGCATGTTATAAATGTTTTTGTCTGGGGGACTTTTAAAATTATAAAGGAAGTGCACATTTTTCGAATTATTGAATTTCAGAGCACAAGCGGCATTCTCGACTTCTTCGAACGATAAACTGAAGCTGATGGACGGTCTTTCGAATTCGCTCTCCTCCTCGCTTGGACAATCCTATCAATCCTGCCAGTACAGTGGTCCCCTCTAGTGTCCTTCCTTTCTTTCCCTCTTTCCTCCTTTCCCTCCGATCTCAATCTTCCGCTTTTTATTTTATTTTGTCTACTGTTCAATAAACTATTATTTTGTTCTTCCCTCTCGCTCAGAAAAGTCTTCTTCCAACTGCAAATAGACTCTGAGTCTCTCCTTCCCGCACACTCTTTCCCGCCAACCGGTTGGCTCCGTTGCTCCCGTTACCTTTAGCTCCAGACCTACTGTTTGAGTTCTCGGAGACATTGGGCAAGACCGAGAGATTTCAGAGACGATCTTGCACATTTCCTCCTCATTTTTGACACTTTCGCTCTTGTTCGAACGCTTGTTCCCTCCTGCCGCCACTTCGAAACGGCGCCTCTAATTGCATTCTGAGGGACATCAACGGACGGTTCCACTCTTCGAATATCATAATTAATGTCTCTCCTCCTAATCACACGTTTCCCGATCCGATATAACTGTGTTCTGTCCGCACAGAATCCATGCTTATCCTCCTCTTCCTCACTGAAACTCATTTTATGAATGCTTCGTCCTTTGTTTGCCCAGCCAACACATATGAACAAATAGGAAGTCATCATTACGTTGTCGTCGTTTTTTATATTGGCCGTCTGCCAAAAAACAAGAAACATCATCAGTTGCAAGGGAGAAGCGAAACGAGAAGCGCGCGTATCTCTCGATGATATCTCGGCGAGTCTCGTGCCGTGGCGGACGTGTCGCCCGAGCCGCGAACACTTTGTCACCTGCCGACAACTGCCGACGGAGCACTGCTCCCGGCCGAATATTGGGATTACATCCCCTCCGATCACAACTGGTTCCCTTTTCATTTCACAAATAGACAAAGTTACTTTGTTTGAGAGAATGAGAACAAACTCGCCGCCAGTAGTTGTCTTGAGACTTTCCAGAAATATCATTGTGTGCCATCAAAGTTTTGTTCAACATTAAAAACGTGCCTACAACTCCTACTTACTCTGGTGACTGTATCGTTGCGTTCGCATGCACCAAACCCTTGTAGTTATTCTATTTGACTACTGCTTCCAGAATAAACAGTCATTCTTCCCCGTTGTTGTATTCTCTGCTTCTCTTTCCATTCTCAAACCCATTATTTTTACAATGGGTTGCATTTTCGCCTCTCGAAAGAGACCACCACTTCCTGCACCTGCCCGCCCACCCAGGTACTTCATTATATTCCCACGGCTCTTTGCTTCTTCGTCTCCCTCCAAACCTGCTACATTTTACTTCTAATGGAGGGAGGGCACCCGTTCCTGACACTAATTCAATTTTTGGTTATTCTCAACTAGACAATAGAATGGCAATTTCGTCTCGTTTCGCTCCTCGCCTTGCCCTCCTAAATAGTGTGTTTTGTGCGGAGAGGACGGGCCAGATGATTCCATCTTCTCGAAACACCTTTGCAGACAATACAACTTCTTCGGTGCTTCTTCTCCCTTTCCCCCCGCCATCTTTTTGTCAGTCAGCTGAGAAGGAGACGCAGACGCTGCCGCGCGGAGGCATTAGTTTATGCGGAAAACGGGTGGAAAACCTAGCCGCCAAGCAAATTTTGTCTGTTGATATACGACCTGGTAACCCGAGAGTCGGTGTCTCAAGAAATAAGCTCCTTGCGTGTGATTCGCAACAAAAAATGAAGTTGGAAACGGGGAAGAAGACGCCTACTTGACTGGTTCTTTGAAAGTTTGTGGCTTCCAAGGGAACAATAACACAACAAGGCAGTCGTTACGTGTTACTTTGTGCCTCTTTCCTCCTGCTCTATTATTCATCCTTGAAATCTCTGTGTTATGCGTTTTTTCTATCCTTTCTTCTCATGTTTTTTCGTGCTTTGCCATATGTCATCTTCGGATGATGCCGGCAAACATCTGTAGTCGTTCGTTTCCTCATTTTCCATTATTTCCGCACACTTTATAAACCGCCATGGCTATCCCATTTCCGGCTCTTTCGCTGTCCAAATCGAGAAGCCGCCGCGTACTTTAGTAGTAGTACATCATCATCTCGAATTGCCTTTCTCATCTCTCCCGGGCCCGTTCATCTCATTTTTCCTCCCGTTTCCATGTGCCAAACGAGCACTCTGCGTCTCGTTTTCCCTCGCCATCGCCCCGAGATTTCGCATGGCTCTTTCCCCCAGACTCCTTCCTTTTCACATATTTTCTCGATTCCAAAAGTCATCTAGTCTCGCCTCCGAATATTGGATTTTCGGGCCCGCCTGACTCACGCATTCTGACTGTTTTCGATTAAAATATGATTCATTCGTCCCCCTCCCGCCTCCTTTTCCCACTACAATTCGCTATTGTTTCCGTTAGTTCCTGTCCATCTTCTCGAATACTTTTCCGTTTCGCAGGGGTAACATGGACCAGGCATGGTTGCAAGTGATCGATCGGATGGAAATAGAAGATGCGATCCGAATGAGAAGAGTCAGTCCGAAGATGGACTTGCTAGTCAGCAAGTCACTCCGATCTCGGAAGCACTTGGACATCGAAAGGGACTGCCCGTCGGCCGTCCATGATCCTTCTGCCATTGCTTCTGTCATCGGTAAGTGTTCCGACTGTCCACTCCTTAAAGAATTATCATTTTTAGCTCAATGCTCTCATAATCTACGGAGTATCGACCTGAAGATTCGTCGCAATCAAATGTTCTCGACGATCCCCAGCAACGTGGAAATCCGACGTAAAGTGATGGTTGCCATCATCGAGAATTCGAATAAACTGAAGAAACTTCACATTGACAGGTCAGTCATCTCTTATCTCTTTCCAAAGTATTCTCCTGATTCCAGATGCCGTCTCACCACAGGAGCTATCGCAAGTTTCGGAGATTTGCCAGACACAATAGAAGAAGTGAGCATAACGAATTCACTCATAGATTGTAGCGAATGGGAAGTGGCAACGATCATCAGAAAGGCGTTCGAAATGTTCTTCACAAAGTGCAGGAAGTTGAAGTTCTTCGAGGTTTCGGTAAGTAATAGGCATGTGATTGTGTTGACACAGCTAATAGAATTAAAGGGACGTTGTCTGAGCAGCAGTCACTTCCACGTTGATCCTTCGATCCTGCGGCTCATGTCCGACACTGTGGAGCACTTGGCAATTGCTGGCAGCAATCTCCGCATCAACACGTTGGCGTTTTTGAAAACTAAAAGGTATGCACTTGAAAGTGAAAGCTCAAATGTGTGCATTTTGGTGTCAGACTGAAAACTCTCATCCTCCAACGATCGTTCATTTCGCCAACCGATCTGGAATACATTGTTGCCATGGCCAACACTATCACTCACCTTGATTTGTCGTTTTCCGTCAATCTCAAAGACTGCCAAGAAATATCAAAATTAAAGAACCTCAAGTAAGTTCCTATTTCCAGCATTATCCCTTTCATTCAACTATGTGCAGACATCTATCGTTGACCAACAATCGGGACAGTGTGCTCGATGATTCGGTGGCTCTGATCGCTCGAGAATGTTTGCAACTGGAAGAACTCTGTCTCAACGACTGCTCCAATCTGACTCCATATTCTCTCATTTATTTGGGAGAGCTCAGAAACTTGTACAAGTTGTCATTGAGCGGAGTGCCGAATGTGGATGACTCCGTCTGCCAGCAGATTGCACGATGCACCAAGATCAACTTCTTGGAACTCAATCTGTGTAGAAAGGTACTGCCCGAAAAGGAAGTATGCTTTCGAATTCCCATTGAGTTTCTTGCAGGTTCAGAAGCGAGGTCTCCAATGTCTTCTCTCCAATCTGACTGCTCTGCAACATTTGGAAGTGATCGGAATCCGCGACTACTCCCATCAACTGCTCACAACTCAGCTGACTCATCTGAAGACCATTGTCTGTGACGATCCGATCGTCCGATTCTCTTTCACTCTCCCTTCTGCCGTCCCTGTTAGCGCTTAGATTCCTGTCTTTCCAAATTTCCGGTTATTAGTGATCTGAATTGTGCACAATCAGACATTTCGATTCTAGTCACATTTATTCAGGATTCTATCGATTAGCTTTCAAGTTCAATTTGTGTGATTTTCAAATAAAACGGTACTCGGTTTCTTGCAATCAGTCCAGATATTTGACAGTCAAAAAAATGACGCTGGCGAGGAAGATGAGCGGAAGTAAAAACATTGCCAAGACCTGCAGAATGATCGAATCGTAGTCGATGACCTCGGTCTGGAAGGAGAATGAATGAGGAAAGGTTCGAGAAGGAATCTGACAGGATCCTCGTAGCATCTGTACCGGCACAAGTCCTCTTTGACGCACACGAATCCTTTGCCGCAGTCCTCGTTCAACTGACACTGCGTCCAATGCTTTCTCACTTCATCTCCGTTTACATTCAACTGTCCGATCACCCACAGATTTCCGGTTTCGTTGTGACAAAACATGAAACTGTACTTTTCGCCGACCGGACGATCCAGAAGGCAGTCGACGTTGGTTCGGAAAGTCATGCTTCCGAAGGCCATGTCATGAACATTTGTTATCTCTGGAAAGGGCATGGCATGGGCTGGAATAGGAATGATGCGTACTGGGCGGACAACTGTATCCCTTGTAGCACAATCCTCCTTTCTGTTTGCTGTTTCCCGAATAAACCATTCCTTTTTCCACTTCTGTGCACTTTTCTTGTCCGTACAAAGGAGTCAGTCTATCAGGACACGTCATCGGATCCTCAGAGTCGGCAGGAACTGAAATAAAATGGAATTCTACTGGAGAGTGACCGAACCCCACGTCCGCAGCAGAGTTTCGTCTCGTAGTCACACCATCCCTGGTAGGTTTGCAAAGCGTCGGTGCAGTCCCTCATTCGGGTACACGGGCGGAAAGGAAGGTTCGGAACGCCTCCTGTACATAGTTGAGTTACTGGAAAGGGAAAATAGTATAAGAAAGAACGGGAAAGAAGGTGGAGAGGACCATTGCGAATGCATCGATTCCCATTGATTCCGTGCACTTTTGAGCAGTTGGAGTATCCTGTCGGACAATCGGTGAGACTTTGACACTTTGGATTCGAAGCCAGCGATTCTGAAGATTCTGAAGCTGGTGTGAATTGCGAGAAGAGGAACTGACTATTTTGGGTGGCATGAAGAGTTCGCACTAGGAGCAACCCTACCAGAATCCACATCAAAGCCGCGACGAACGGAACAATGAATTCAGAAAATACAGAAGGGTAACACGTTCACGTCACTTTCAGATTGAAATGTGCAAATCCTCATGTTCGGTCTGGATCCAAAGCTAATAAGATCTTAGGAATCCGCTTCGCTCTCATCCAATTATTTGGTTCGTTGTTGTTCTGAAGCGGGCAGTGCTGCTGGAATTCAAAATAGAAACGGAATTCGCACGCCCCTCACCACAGATCACTCTCCGATCATTTTCCGTTTCCCATTCAGGACAGTCCGACGTCATTCTCGTTATAAATCCTCCGGAATGATTCCCCAAGTCACCGTCATTGTTTTCAGCTTTTTATGTGTGTAAATATGTAATCCTCGAACATTAATTCATTGTAACCATTGTAATTAATTTTTGTCGCCCTGTGGTGAACGTCCAATTCGACGTCTCCGGAGGTCTATTCTTGATACGAATTTTTGAGTATCTGCTTATTTTCGCACCTCTTCTCGTCCTATTTTTCCACTCGACACCGTATTAATTCCACATTTCTATATTCGTCCCGAGTGGAAATTCTCAAAATCATTAGCCTTTTTTTCGAAAAATGGCTCCAGAAATTGTGCTCCGATCAAACGATCCCCCAAATGAAATAACACATAAAATATGCTCAGATCTGGCACGTCTTCTCTCGCTTTTTGTTTGAATGTGGCCGCGCGCCGACTCGTCATTCTGATGTTTGTCTCTCACTCGTTTTTAGACTGGCCGAATCACGTAATCAGTGCCGTTAACCACGTATTCTGCCAGCTAATCGGGACAGTTGGAGCATGAATCCGCGTGAGCTCTTTGTCCCCCCGAGCCCTCTATAAAACCGTTTCCTTATTCACCTCTTCCCCCAATTGCTTCTTCTTCTTCTTCTTTTTCTTCTTCTTCTTCTCTCTTCCTTTCTTTATGATTCCACCTCCACTTATCTTTACGAGCGCTGTCTGCCTTCTGTTTTCTGTTCGTTCGTTTTGCTCATTAGTTCCATCAGCAGCAACAGCCTTTACATATCACCCGAATCGTTTCTTTCATACACTGTGTGTGTAATCGGATATTCTTTCTCCAACTCTTACGTTACTTTTTAATCTCTTTTTGGTTCCTTCTTCGAGGCCCAATTTCCGAGCAGTCATAAAACGGTGGCATATTTTAATTTCACAAAGGACACAACCCCGCCCGAACAGCCCTTTGATCCCGTCGTTTCTTCTGGACGAGCTCACGTCACCAGAATTCGGACGATAGGGAGAAGGAGACCGTTCTCGGTTTCTTTGTGTGAGAGAATGGCTCCTTTCAGGGAAAGACCGAAACTCTTTTCCCGATTCACTTTTTGCTCCGCTCGAACTCTCACCTTTTCCGACTCTTCCGCTATTTCGGGGCCTCCTCGCCAGGTACCAACCCGTCTGCCCGAGCGGATCTCTGATCCCTTGCTCTTTCTTCATGCTCGTTCTTCTTTTTGCCCGCCCCCTGCCCGTCTGAAACATTTCGCCTGCGTGTGTTCCGGAACAGCGAGCCTGCCCCGATTAGAAAGAACAAGTTTCCGTCGCTGTCGTCCTCGCATTCATCTGTTTTTTCGGCGGATGTCGTGACGTTCGCCGAAGGAGATGAAAGGAGACCTAATCAAGTTGGAGCGAGAAAGAGTAAGATAGAGAGTTCATCTCGACTCTTCTGATGGACGTCGTCTTCCTCGCCTCCTTCTTGGTTCCATTCTCTCAAATTTCCGGTCGAGTGCCTGTTTCCTTCCTCACGCTTTTTTTCTGTCTCTGCATTACCCCCAAAATTAATAAGAGTTTCTCGTCGTCAGTTCGTATTCAGATTGTACCTGAATAGGCCGAGCGAGGCGGGAGACAAATGTGCCTCCAGTTGAAGTGTAGCTCATTCATCTTCCCTATTCCTCCTCGGCAACGTCTTCTTTCCGATGCTGATCATGTCTCCTTCCTCTCCGACGAGCCATTTCCATTGGCATTTGCCACCTCATCAACTTCAGCCGGCCGCCCACCCTGCAACCCGAGAACTCCGCACTTCATACAAGTTTGCGACGCCGACTTTCCGCGTTTCGAGTTTCCGATTCCACGTCACATTCTGTCTTCTCGAACCGAACTCTCTTCTTCCGTGGCCCCGCCCCCAACTGTCCCCGCGTGCGGCTCGCCTCCATTCTCGTTCGCCGCCTTCCCGTCCTCACCTCTATAGATACTTGTGCTCTTCCCTTCACTTCCCCAATTTTTGAATTTTCCAGGTAAAATGTCCACTCGGTGGTTCGTCTCCTTTGCAATTCTCTGCGTTCTTCTCACCGCACAAACGTCCGAAGCAATGTGAGTACGGTAGGAAATGAAGACGTCGTCGGAAGGACGGCCTCAGGGGAGGTGCAATCGGGCGGAAATCCGCAGGCACTTTTGAGCAGAAACGGAAAGACCAAAAAGTCTCTGGGGTGTTCTAGGGGCACTTTCGTTTCTAGGGACAAGTGCTCACTCGGATGTTTGTGGGCTCTGCAGGTTGACTGCCGGTGCAGATTAGCGCGTGTCTAGAGTCTAGACACAACAGTGAATCACCCCCGATTGTTTCGCCCAAATCTCTCTTCTCCATTTGACGTGTTCGGGTGTTCAGGTGAGAAATGAGTGCGTCAGCCACGCATTCACAATGCATTCGAACGAGAAACCAAAAAACATGTCACAAATTGTCAAAGTCGACTACTGTAGATTACTGAATGGGTGCTTCGTTACACTTGAGTCATTTGCAGGCCGCGTCCAGGACAAGTGTCGCTGAGCAGTACACGGAACTGCTTCTTCTCTCCGATGGGCTGCGTTTTCGTACCGAAGATGTCTCGCATCCGGAAGCTCTCCACCGACTTTCGCAATGAGATCCCGCCGCCCGACTACGTCTAAACTGCTCCACCGTGCTCCGCGAAACGCGTTCCGCCCGTCCTGCAGGGCGGTAGATCTGATTTTTGCCCCATTTCCCTTTGTACGCATTCCTAGAACTTCTTCCGATTCTGGCATAAATCTACCGTGTTATTACTTTCACAAAAACACCACAGATCACAATTTGAGAAGAGGGAAAGCAATCAGACAATGCACACAAATGAAGGGCGAAATCACAGAATTACAATAGACAAATTGGCACTGGAAATGGAACACGGCTATGAGACGCACTTTGCTATAATTCATCCTTGACGTCTTCATCGTCCTCTTCGTCGACGTCGTCTTCTTCATTTTCAGTCTTTTGTCGCTGCGCTTTCAACGCTGAAAGCAGACAATAGAATGAAAGATGGTCGTTGTGACAAGAAGAAAAATAATTTATTTTGAGCAGGGTGTTAACAAAAACCAAAATATTCCCGTATTCAGTAGCCTAAAAATCGTTTTGCTTCATCAGGAATCGTGTCCGGATTGACGTAGAGATCAACTAGGATGAGAGCAACGACGGCGATCGCCGTGAGCAAGTAAAGCACCGGAGAACGGTGCCAGACGACGAAAGTGATAATGATGACGAGGGAAGAGAGGGCGATGATCTTCAGCTGCTGATCTACGGGCATGAGCGGCCGCGTGGGAGAGGCTGAACGGGACAAGTGAGACGGTGAATCAAAGGACCAGTAGGGTGCTTGGGTTATGGGAAACCCCAGGGAAGAGACTTATGTTTAGATGGTTCCTTTTTCATTAAAGAATCCTTACCTTCAACGTCAATTTGGCACGTCTGCGACTCGTCTCTCTTGTACCCTTCTTCACAATCACAACGGAAGGATCCTACTGTGTTCACGCACAGTTCGTGTTCTTTCGTGCAAGCAGACTCATTCGAACACTCATCAACATCTGAATTTTTTGTTAGCGGTGAAATTGGAAAGTTTTCTTTACCTGTGCATCCTTCTGCTTCCGTCATCGTCCAGCCGTTCTTGCATTTAGAGCATCCCGTTGAGCTATCCGAAGTGCAACTTCCGAGGCATCCTTCGTGGCATTCTAAAAACCTACTTTTTACTTTGTTTTTTGGACTGATCACTCACTTTTGCAGACGATTCCTTTCTCCGTCTTCGACTCTTCGAAGTATTCGCTGTCGCAATGCCGGCACAGATTTCCGGTGTATCCTGCTCCGCACTTGCACTTTCCACTGCCTTCGCGGCTTCCATCTCCCTGAACACAAAATTTATGTAAATATAAACAAAGTCAGATGGCTCGCACGTGGCAGGATCCCTTTCCGGAGCACGCATCGATGCCTTCGTTCAGTCCCGGGCACGGATCGCAACTTTTGCCAAAATGACCATGTGGACAGCACACTGAATGTTTGTAAGATTCTTACTGCTAGAAGATAAGTTACGAAGCTTTGCAAATCACTTACATTTGAGTTGTTCGACACAAATCCAAATGGACATGTTCTTCTGCTGCTGATTGTAGTAGAACTCTTCGATCGTCTCTTCGTGATGCTCAAGTTGAGATGCACACTGAAACAGGCGCGTACAGTGGTTCCGGCGCGGCGGGACAAGCTCACTTTGAATTCAATATCGCTGATTCCGATAAACTTGTCCATGTTGGGCAGCGACGCCTTCTTGCACACACCTTCGAGCACTTCGATCAGCCGAGTTTCACTCGTTTTGTACTTTCCGAGGTTCTTCTCTTCCCAAGCAGTGTCTCCGCCGGCAAAGTGGTGTCGTGCTGTTTTCTTGAGACCCTGAATATGAATAAAAGCTACTTAAATGTCACATTTTTGCAAATTAACCTCATCGAATGTGTCCACCAAGAAGTTACACGTTCTGCATTTCTCGTTATTGATGGCAGTTTGTTTCTGCGATGTGACAGCTGCGAATATTGTTATCAGGACCACTATCCGGCTCATTTTCACCCTGAAAAAGCAATCAAATCGATACAAATAAAGGTAAAAGGAGGAACAAACCGTTATTTTAGAGAAGTACACGCAGTGTAACGCGCGGCCGAGGTGTGCACTGCGAGGGTGAGTTGGCCGGTTTCTCGGCCACAGCGACGGCGAAACGAAAGAGCGAGAGCGAGTGCGCTTGCGGAGAAACACGAACAAATATTGGCTTTATCGGGATTACTTTCAAAGACGGCAATGAACTATTTAGTGGAGAAGAGACAAATGACAAATAACACAATGACGGGTGAATAATTACACGGAACATTTCAATTGTTCGCCACGAGGGAAAAGAGCCAATGAAAAGTCTACTGATGATGATGACATTGTATTTAGGCTTCTCGAAGTTTTCAGGTGTGTTGAATAGGTTAGATTGCGAAAAGTCTGAACCTGATGACATGGTGTTTTGGAAGTATGAATGATGCAGTCAGTAACCCTATGGTCGTTTCTCAGTTCCCTATTTTCTCAGATCATCTCAAAACGTTTACAAGGATAGTGTCTTTCCCAAAACCCCCAGACGATCTCAATCAGTCACTCTGACTCAAAAAATACTCCAAATGGCTCCACCGATACTTCGAAGCTGTCTCATTTTGGCATCTTGTGTAATCCCGGAGAACATGGTTCGTGAATCGGAAGGCCGTCCGTCCTTGTTATTCTTGACACTTCGCACGATTCGAAGGGCGGCGCTGACCCGTTGGGAAGATGATTCGATTTCGCGAGAAACGCCGATGGATCTCAGTGAAAGAGCATATAAAGCGGGAGTGCGTCGGACGGTCTGGAGGACAAATACGAAGCCGTAGGCGATGTTTGAAAACAAAGATGAGCCGACACAAAACAATGAAAAACGAACCCGTCGGCTGCGGCGGAGGAGGCTGGAGACACAGTCTTTTCAACTCGCAGTTCGTGTCAAAAAGCAGCCGTTCGACCTCGTTTTGGCCGTCCCCATGCGCTCATTTGCAGAAAAGAAACCATGCGGCTCATAAAGTGTTTGTTGCCAGAAACGGTGTGCTCGCCGCAGTGCCCTCGGCGTGCTCCTCGGGCGCGGCTTCTCCAAATGTCCATCACTTGTTTGCTCTTCTCTTTTTGCGAGCCGGCCGGACGACAGTCCTTTCGGCTCTTGATCTAGCCTTTGTTCCAGCGCCCTTTGCACCTTTTTCCTCGCGTTTCTCAAGAGCTGACAGCAGACGGGCGTATCATTTTTGGGGAGAGTGACACCCTCTTTCGTCAAGTCAAATCTCCCATTTCACATGAAACAAGACATCAGCTCGTGTTTTCCTTCTCCTTCAAAGATCAGATATATTTTCCTCTTGTCTGCCGATGTTCTTCTATTTTTAACATTTTCAAGTGATTTATTCTCATTCTTACAATCTTGGCTAACGCCCTGAAATCCATATTACCTTTACAACTATGAGCTGCCTTAGTTGTTTCAGGTTACTGTAGTCACATTGGAATGGCAACTCTGAGTTGAACTCTAATACTTCTTATTCCATTACCCTCTGCTCCAGTACTTCTTCTTCACATAGCTCTTTTCTTTCTCGCATAATGCCACGTCATGCTGCCACTTGAGGTCCAGTTCCGTTTGCCCTTGTTATTCCTGATAATTGTTCAGTTCAAAATATCAAAAATCCGCGTTGAAGTGTGCGCCAAAAAAGTGGTCAAGTGAGGCGAGAGAGCGCGGGAAACAGTGAGCCCTCAGCGCGTACTGTCCGTCTCGGGGGAGGTCGGTGTGTCATCTGCTTGTGCTGTGCCGTTTCTGGAGAGCATGGCAAGCGAGCGAGGCAGCGTGCGAGACGGAGAGACGCAGACGGAAGTGCGAGGGCGCGAGCATGCGATGACAACATTCCGGATCGGCAGTCAACCGGACGAGCCGCCTGCCCCGGGGAGCATCCGTTTCCCTTTGCGAACGGCGCCCGCCCCTCGGCTCCCCGAACCGCCGAACCGTCCTCCTTCTGCGCCGTTTCCGCACTCATTCTGCGCAATTGCAGGCAGAATTCATACGGCACTCGGGTACACACTTCTCCGCAATGAGGTTACTCCCTTCCTTACTCTCGCTTTCTGCTTTTCTTGGCAGTGCTCTCGCAGTCGGAGTGGTTCCCATTCCTAATGAGCACGCCGCGAGCATCAAAGCGAAGTTCGATGGTAAGCAGAGAACTGAAGCCAGTCTTCCTATTCTGAAACGGTTTCAGATTACGCGGAACACTATCTGCTGCCTGAGGACTTCCACAATGCGGAGACGGCTCCGGTGAAGAAGCCGACAGATGCCGAGATTGAATCGATGCAGAACTCTTTGCTTTTCGAGGGAGACATCATGGGAGTACCTGAAATTGAAAAGTCGGATATTCTGAAGAGACTCAGGGACGATCCCCTTCTCGATGAGGATGAAATCTTCAGAAAGCCAGTGAGTCCCTACAACTAATTTTCTCACTTTCCTATTCATTTTTTATAGTTTCACAGCGCGTTGAACTTGGTCACATATCCAGATAAGCTGTGGCCGGACGGACAAGTACCGTACATGCTGGAAGAGGGAATGACAAATGAGTGAGTTCTTGTGGTTGCCACGTCATACCGAACTGTACACATGCAGCCAACGGACTGCCATCGCACAAGCATTCGATGAGTACAAACAGAAGACGTGCGTTCGATTCGTTCCCAAAACTGACGACGACTTTGACTACATTTATGTGAAGAGGAACGTGGCATTCGGATGCTCGTCGTACGTCGGACGGGCTGGAGGAAATCAGACTGTCTCCCTGGAAGTGGACAAATGCTTCTCCAAGGTAAGAAATATTCAGAAAGCATCGTAAACTACTCCTTTTCAGGGTATCATTGCTCACGAACTGATGCATGCTCTCGGCTTTTTCCACGAACACTCACGAACTGATAGAGACGATTTCGTAGACATTATGGAGGACAATATCCGTCCGGGAATGATGAGAAACTTTGAAAAGTATCCACGGAAGATCATCGACTCGCTCGGAATGCCGTATGACTACGAGTCGGTCATGCACTACCACAAACTGGCGTTCTCCCGGAACGGAAAGCCGACAATCGTGCCGAGAGACAACGAAGCGGACGTGGGACAGAGATACAAACTGTCGGAGATGGACTCGAAGAAGGTGAACAAACTGTACCAGTGTGGAGAATACTCGAAGACTTCCTCAACTACCACTACATCCACCACAACCACCACAACTACCACAACGGAGGAACCAACGACTACGACAGAAGAGGAAGTGGTTGGAGAGAAGAAGAACGAGAAGAAGAAGTCGACGACTACCACTACCACCACTACAACCAAGAAACCAACAACCACTACAACCACAACACAAAAACCAGTGGAAAGATCCAGAAATAAGAGTTCGTTTTAGTACAGACTCGAGAAACCAAAAATATTGTTACTTCAGAGTGTGAAGACCTGAATGCCCATTGTGGAATGTGGGAACAATTGGGACACTGCCAACATTCGGTAAAGTACATGACCCACTACTGCAGAAAGGCGTGCGGACTGTGCGAAGTGGAGGTGACCACGACGACGACGACGACGGCGAAGCCAGTGCCACGTGGCAAAGAGAAGGAGAACAAGTCGTCGACCACCTCCTCGCCCGTTTTCTTTTCCACCACTCAGAAGCCGAAAAGCACGACGTCGGCGGCACCGAAGTGTGAAGACAAGAACCTCTTCTGCAGTTATTGGGCCAAGATCGGCGAGTGCAACAGCGAGAGCAAGTTCATGAAGATCTTCTGCAAGGCGTCGTGCGGCAAGTGCTGACCTCTCCGTTTCCTCCATTCAACTTATTCCGGGTTTTTGTCCGTTTTGAACCTTTTATCCGGTTCTGCTCCATCTACTTCTCAAATGTCTTTCATTTTAATTGTAACGACCATGTCGTATCCGCGTATCCTATTTCATTGTTTCACATAAATTATTGATCAAATGTATGAAAGAAAAGGAAAGGAAAGAGTTGATAATACACGTATTTAGAAAAGACCGAGAACGGTGTCGTTCGCCAGACCCATATCGTACAATTGCTTCAGTTTTTTGAGCTGAGCGTGCTCATCAAATGTTTCGAATACCGATGGTGCCGAGAACACGATTCCGATCGTTCCGCCGAGTGTGGCGCCGAAGAATCCGTAGAGGAGGAAGCGATCGACGACGCTCGCAATGAACTTCCAATCGTCGCGGAACTGCAATCCATCCAATACCATCAACTTTATTAGTTTCTCTTTTTCTCTCTCTCACCTGCTTCGTTATCTCTTCGTCTCTGCGGTTCTCCGTGATAAACTCGATCGCATCGATTGCTCTCTGAGCTTCTGGCGACAGCTCATCATCCAACTCGTCACTTTGGATTCGCACTTTTCGGCAGCTATCGGGATTATGAGTGTGTCGGCACAGTGGATGATGCTCTCCCGCTCTCATCGGATTCTCTTCCACACTTGGACCTTGCTCCAGTAGTTTGCGATGACCTTTTTGAATAACATTCTTTCGATGAGGCCTTTGCATACACATAAGGAGAGGCAGCCACTGAAAAGAAAACCGTTGAAGAATTTGATGAGGAAGAGAAGAAACTCACATCGAGAAAGACGGTTCGGACCCAGGGAGGAAGGCGATGAGTTATCGGGCTTCGAAAGTAAATGTTACAGATAATGGTGGTCACCATGATCGTGATTATGTTGAGAACGAAAGTGAGCAGAAGATACTTGGCAACCAGCGGGATGGAAGAAGACGTGGGCGGCAGGATCTTGGAGACGAGCAGAAGGAACACGACAATAGACAGCAGCACGTTCATCGTCAGACCCATTTTCTCTCCGGATGCGGTCGGAAGATAGAATACGGTCACATTGAGGAAGGCCATCAGAACGGTCGGCAGAATGAGCACGACTGTGTAGAAGAGGGTCTTCCTCCGAATTCTGATTTGGAATTCGATCCTGCTCCTGTCCGATGTCAAAACTGCGGGTCCATCCATCATATCCCAGATGGAACTGGTCGAGTATTCTGAGAAATCGACACGATCCGATGTGAGAAAATCCAGTTTTATTTCATCTTTGTTGTACTGCAACAGAAAACAATTACTCTTACTTCTCATGCAAAATTGTGGATCTCACCGTCCAGCTTCCGAAAGTCAGGCTGCACAGTTGATCGTCAAAGGGAAAAAACTCGACGTCGATTATGCAACTGCTCTTGTAAATGGCCGGAGGAACCCACAAAACAGTGCCAGTGCTCAGAATGAGCACATTGCACATGAATGACACTTCGTAGTTGCCGTCGGCACTGAAATAATCGCCTTTAGGCTTTAGCTGAAAGATTTTTGGTACTTACTTATTGAAAAGGACAATATCGGGTAGCCAGACCTTCTCGGGCGCCACTCGGATCTGCGTGATGTTACCGTAATCGCGTGGATCCCATTTCAGTTGGAAGTCATTCCATTTCATGGTCAACCACACGTTAGTATGCATCACTTGCTCTTTCTCGTCCACATTTATCAACAGAACCAGCTGCATTCCGATTCTCACGATCATCGGCAGTTCGGATCTGTTCCGCACGGGCTGAACGAGCGAATTGTATCCGCGGAAGAGATCGACCATCAGACGGTCCTCTGCGTCGATGTCTTCTGCGGACGCGTGGCTTACGAGACATCCTGCAAACCGGATGGCTCTTTTCTTCTCTTTTTCTTCGATTCCCCAATTACCACCCTCTAACTGGCCCCGTTTCATTCGTTTTATTTGTCGTAATTGAGGAAATTGGAGTTTGCCGACTTCTACCGTATACGGCCGTACCCTTTCTTCGTTAAAGAACATGTTCGTTCGGCTCTCTCGACATACTACTTTTTGTGGCCCATCCATCGCCTCCGTCCACTCCACTTCCACTACCTAATCCCCGCCAAAGGCATCAAAATAAATCCGTCGGCGGTCGGTGCAATGCATTTTCGCTGCCTTCGTTTTCCCCCTCCTCTTTGGCCGCTCGTTAACTTTTTGTGTGTTTGTCATTCCATTTCAGGTTACTCACGCGACGTCTTTGTCTGCGAGACGGAAGGAAGAAAGCAGTGTTCTTGTCACAAATTGTCATACGAAGGCGCTCAGGGGAATTGGCGCCTGAGGTCGGCGGAGAGCAGAAGTTCTTGAAAGGAAAGGGGGGGGGGGGAATAGTTCGAGAGCATTCGCATGATGAACTCTTTCTCTCTTTCTCTCTCTTATGACGTGGAAGAACAAAGAGGGGAAGTGGAGTGGAAATGCAAATGGAAATGGGTCCATTATGAAAGGGGCCACCTCCGGAAGAGGGGACTAATTGAATGAGAAGTTGCCGGGAGTGGAGCAGAGTGCCACCCGCGAGAAAAGACAACTTTCCATTACAAGCAAAGGATTGATTCGGAGCATGTTTTGCTCGAAAACATACCTGTCAAGAGCACCGTCAAAACGAATTTCGACCATCCTCCTCCTCCGAAAGGCATTCTCTCGCTGCACAAAACAAGGGATTCAGCTCATTAGAAGTGCGAAGTGGGCGAATAGAAAACAGAAGAATGGGGGTGCGTCGTCGGCACTCGAGTGCTTCCAAGAGGGACGACGACGACGACGTCGCAGAAGAATCCTTGGGGCGACGACACGACTGACTGGATTGTTCACAAACAAATGATATAGAAGAGAAAAGGAGCAGGGGGCAGCAGACGCGAGCACTGCAGGAGGAGCCGGAGCACAAGGAGAGTGAGTAGTGTGTAAAGGAATGAAGGCGGCGGCGGCGATGGCCGAGCGGGACCCGCCTCTGAGCTCGGCTCGAGGAGGCAACAACTGTTCTGGCTGGCCATCCGATCTGTCGTCGCGGACAACCACGGTGCACCACGACCATGTTTTCATTTATTTTTGCCAAAACACACCTGGAAAGGGTGTCGAAATCTACAAGCACGGAGGACAGGCCATATAAATCTCAACATATAAAACTTTTGGGAGTGGAAGTGGACAAATGAAAACGGAACATCTAAACACAATAAATGTACAAGAGAATCATGATAATGGGGGGCAAAGAAAGCTCGATCGGGAGGCAATCATCAAACTGAAGATCTTTGTTGACCAGATTCGGGATCACGAGAAAATGGAGATTCGGGGGTCGGTGGGCCCTACATTTTGTACATAATAACCGGATAGTCCGGGCTTTAAAAGACCGGGCATGCCGGCCCAAAAAAGGGAATGTTTTCGTTAATTCATATTAGATTTTTAAGAAAAAATGGTTAAAATTAATCGAAATCGATTCCCGGATAATTTGACTATGATACGGTAGGTGGAAGGGGTGAAGGAACTATGCGGGGATGGGCAATAAATCATATAATAGACAGACGCAACAACAAATAAGCAATACAAAAAGTTATTATAAATATCGTGTTGTCTGTATTTGGAGGTAGGGGATAACTGGTATGATACGACTGGAAGCGAAGGGCAAAACAAAATGATAGATAAAGGAAAAATGAGTATAGGAGAACAATATACACATGGTGTTAAAGTACGGGGCGCGAGTGTTCTACGTACAGCTCATATACAAGCAAACAGGTCAGACGGAAGAGTTGCGGCACGGCCAGAAGTAGAACTTCTTCAGAAGGCGTGATGTTAGCTGAAAAAGACAATATTCCGGCTCAGACGTGTCAAAGTACGCTACCTCTGGCATCTGTTTCATAATATTCGATCCTTGTGACGTTTGGAATCCACACGCCACTTTCTTATTCACTTCAGTGAGAAGTTCGACGACGTCCATATCGCCGGCGTGCTCGGAGAACACTTCGCAGACGGCCTGGATGAACCATGAGCCACGTGCACTGTTCCTCCATGACACGTATTGAGCAGTGGTGGCGTAGGCAATGAGCATGTCCGCCTGACTTGGCTTCTTTCTCCAGACTTGCTGAAAAAATTGCGCTTGCACACAAGGGCAATCCGATTAGCCAATTTAGAATGGCAGAAGGAAAGAAGGAAAGCGATAATTGAAGAATATCCGATTGATAGTTCAATTTGTGTGTTGTCTGCCAGGGGAAACTCCTAAACAAACCTGGACTTGTGGTCTGACGCATCCGAGAAAGTTGAACAGAGGACCGTCGTGACTATTGTTGTTCCAGTTTCGTCGCATGAGCGCGGACACTCCGTCTACGGCATCCAGCACCGGGAACCCAGTATCTCTGCGTTCTGAATGTATTTTTCATTTGAAATATCAAAATTTCATACATTACCGCCTCGGCAAGCCTGCACAAATACTAGTTTCGGTTTATTGGCTAAGCGGGGAGCATTGGAGGCGTTCAATAGGTCGTAGATTTCCTGTACGTTCACGGAAGTGTCATCGACACCTATTATCACATTTTCTTCTCCGTGCGACAGAATCACGAGGATCGCAGAGTCTCCGTGCATTTCACATTTGGCAAAGTCCCGAACAGCCAGAAGGATCCCCTGAAAATGATTTCTGTTTTATTGTCTCTGCCTTCCCGTTCCTCTTACTCTCGCTGTCAAATTGTCCTTGCACATAACAGTGTACCCCATGCATCGGAACAAATTGGTAATATTGTCCTTGTCGGCCTTCGTGCCATTCCTTGTTGGCATCTGTTCGAAGTGTTCGTTATTGATGATCAGGCACATTCCGCGAGGATTCGAGAAGTTTCTGTACATTATCTTCTCGTCGAACACCCGAGTAATGTGCGGCGCATCGACGTAGTTCATGGAATCCTCGTTGAAGATGTACTGTCCACGGGTGGAAGCTTTGCTGAATGAGCGACCAGCGCTGTATCCGAGGGAACCTCCGGTGAAGGAGGAGTTTGCTGATGCTGGAAAACGAGAATACTTATGCGAAAAAAACTACAATTTATACATGGCTGACTCGGGAAGACAGCAACAGGAGAAGTGTAGTTGTGCCGATCGGAAGAATGGAGAGCACGAGAAGAGCGGGAACGGGAACGTGCTCGCGAATAGACATCTTGAAAGGTCGAAGTGAGCGACGAAATGGAGGAGATGCTGTCGCGATGAACACGGGTCGGAGAGGTGTACACGACGGGACTCAGCGCTCGGCTGCGTCGGTGACTTCCCGGTGACATGGGTATTTCATAGTCCACCGATGTATCGTTCGCATCGCTGAAATAAAAGAAATGACGCGAAAATTTGCGCACACTGTTATGAAAACCATCTAGCGAGTGGCTCGAGGACTCCGGCAAGTTCTGTGTGTCCAGTATCACGGAGAGCATCATAAAATGCGTCGAACGCCACATCTCCGCGTCTTTGAACCGCTTTTACAACTTCTTTCCGTTTGTCGCGATCCGTTCGGCATGACTGAAAGTGGAATGGTGAAAGAAATGGAAACAAAACGCGGACTCACATTGATGGCATCACCGACGTCGGCATTGAGGACCTGCTTGGCGATGAGCGTCTCCAGAATATCATCCACTCTCAATTGGGTCGTGAACTTGAGGATGTTCCTCTCCAGTAGAGTCCTTCTATCCTGACGCATCATCATCAACGGCGGTTGATCTGCCAACCCGTATGCAATTCGATTCTGGGTTTTTGGTCTGCAAAACGCAAGTTTGAAAAGAGGCTCGTCATAAACAATATACGAAGATATTCTCTTGGATTGTATATCGCGTAACGAATTGAAGAAAAGAGGAGAAGGAAAAGTTTGGCAAGCAGTTTATGACCGGAGAAAGAGAGAAAGAGAAATCGGAAAAAAGTTTACGACAAGCTCTTTCGAATACTTCGACTACAGATGGAAGAATGAGTCACACATCTGGCGCACGGTTCGGATTTCCATCGGCGGAGAAGATAATTGGGGCGGAGCAGGTGTCGGCGAGACGGACTGTACCGAAAACAAACCGGACGTACCAAGGTCGTCGGGAGAGTGACGAAATGAAGAAATGGGTGGTACGAACTGGAAAGATTGCGATGACATCTGATTGATGAGAAAGCCGACCGACGAAACGGTTGTGAAATAAGAAATCGGCGGACTCGCTTATGCAATTGAAAAGGTTCCCATTTGCCTCCCTGCAAGCACATAATGGCCAGTTTGCGTATATTAAAACGGCGACAATGAAAAGTCAATTAGGCAGTATGACGAGGAGCCCGCTAATATTCGATGAGCTGCGTATTGAACAAGGGTTCCACCGTTACGAGGACCGACAAAGAATGAACGGGGCGGTGCGGCTCAAGTGGATACCGGACGACTGCCAGAGAAGGACCTTGTGCACGGGGAAAGGTCACCGAAACATGTTTTGCTTCGGTTTGTGCGCGAACGCGGCATGACACGGTCTGCTGCAAATGTAGACTAAATAATAAAGACGGCTCCTAGCATTTGAATTCTTTTCAGACTGCTCGCAAGCGCCCTTCCTTCGCACCTGACCTTGCGGCAACCTCCTCTTTCGTCCCATTTGTATTGTAGAAATCTATGATCCGTGAGAACTTTGCGGCAAACTTCAGACGATATCGTGCAATGTTACGGTTGTTGGCAAACTACTCACTTCTTTCACATTCAAAGAAGATTCTCGCATTGTCCAAGGTAATCGTTTCGGTATTAGAATGGGGTAGAAAGGCGATGCTTGACGAAACAGAGAAACGACTTTTAATCAAACCAATCGATTAATTGAAATAAAAGAGGACCGAAAAGGAATTGCTCATTGGCGAAGAATTGTGGTTCGAATGCTCCCATTTGGCGGCTGCTGTTAATTATCGATGGGGCGCGTTTGCACACCCTCCCGTTCGAGCCTTTTCTGACCATTGAGTGCTGAGCATTGCACATACAAAACAAACAAAACAGAGCAGAATGTAGGTAAAAAAATGAAAACAGGCTATAGGAAGAATATGCACCGGTCAACACAAAAACATGATAACCAGGGGAAACATTCATCAGTAACGCAACCGTTTTTAGTGTACGCTCTCTCTGACTGTCTGAACTCAACGCTTGACCAGCTTTTTGCTCAGCGAACAGTGCGAGTATCCAAACGTTATCCATTTTCAGAAAACTCGCCGGAATGCCGAATAAATCCGCCCCAGAGCTGTCATCCGTTCTCGTCGACAACTATCATTTCTTTGTGCCAGCGGTTTTTCTTGCTCTTCTTGAGCTGTTTTTCTCTCGCTTCTACGACTCGTTTCCAGAAACCCTCAGATACGGTAAGTCACCGGTTAATAGCCATCCGACACCTCACTCACAGAGTATTCGTCACTCTTCTCCATACTTCTCATTTGCTCAGTGCCGCTTTCCGTGCTCAACCCGACGGCTTGGTTCTCCATTTTCATGACCACTTTCGTTCACATGCTCTTTCTCAAAGGTGCTTCTGATGCTCTCATCGGTTTAATTCTTACTTTCCAGGCTTCTTCTCATTTGCTCTTTTGTCTGCGCTGGTCCTGTTTCTCGGTCTGGCCGTTGACAGGATCAGAAGGAAATCAATAGAGCCTATCAGTCCTTGCATCGTCTGACTTTGATATTCAATGAAAGATTCATTCTCTATTTACTTGGGAACGAAAATGTATTGTCCGATAGAAACTGGTTCATAGTACATGTTGTACCATCCATTGCCACCGTTCATCTTGGTAATGAAGTATCCGTGGCCGGAAATGACCGACTTGGAACGATTCGCTTCACAATTTCCGCCTTTGAACTGTCTGAAATAGAAAAAATAAATAATTGTGGGGCTGAAAACCAAACGCACAGATTTTTGTTGTAAACGGCACTTTCGACAAACAAGAAGTTCTTGAGGTTGTGGATGGTCTCGACTTTCAAGTTATCCAACTTGTCCAACTTGCTCAATTGGAAGGTCTTGTCGTTGTACATGTAGTGGACGTCCTGATCCTCGAACGACGATTTCACAAGAGTGACGGCGAGGAACAGGTACGCGTCTCCCTCCTTCTTCTGCAATCAACGCCGATCACTCTCGAGAACTTCCCCTTTCCCTCACCCCGTGACTGCTACATCTCGTCGACGCCGGCACTTTGCAAGCGGCAATTCCATTGATTTTGCCCGTTGATCCGACCCAAAATATCTTTGCGTACATTACTCGGTACTTTTCGTTCTGCACCCAGAACTGTCCGCCCGATTTGTGCTCTGTCACCGGAAGACTCGCATCGCACTTATCTCTTGTGGCGAACTTTATCTCGAACTGAAAAAAACGGATTTCTTTCCAGGAAACTGTTCGAATTCTCACTTCATTCGAGGAAACGAAGCTAATGAAGACGGCGGCAATGAGGAGAAGTCTCGGAAGGCGACACGTCTGCAAAGCGATCGATCGGAAGAGGGAACGACGGAATGGATTACCATGCTCTATGTGTATTCGTAGTATGAAAACTGAAAGCAATAATATTTAGCTACTGGTATCTGAGACTGTTCCAATCAGTCCACGTGTCAGAGAGGGTTACGTTTTTTATTCAACAAGCACGCAGGGGAAAAAGAAAAGTTCAATTTAGTTCTAACGGCCTTTTCTCGTTTTATCCAACTCGGAAGTGAACGACGCGATTGTCTGAATAAGAGGATGCTGAAGGCACTTCTCTCTTCAAATACCTGTCCATTCTCTTTGATAGCATCTATCTGCCAATCCACTTCCACCTTCTCATTGTCTATTTCCAAATTATTATTATAGGCTCCATTATCAGCCTCATCCTTAGCGACCATCTGAAATGCTCTTGTTAATTTTCATACAATATCCCTCATCCTCACTTCCAATAAATCGACTTTCTGGTACAACTGCACTCTGTCAGTGTGTTCGTACCGCTCCGGATCCGCTTCCTCTCTTTCTTCCCTCTGAACATCAGTTATTCGGTTCCCTCTTTTCCCCAGTCACCCACCGTCTTTCGCATTCTGAACTTCAAGTATCTCGTCGCATTCGTCTTCTTCCTCCACATCTTCTGCACGACAGACTCTGCGAGCGGCCGTTCCTCAACCGAATCCGGATGTTTCTCGTCCTCGAGAAGCCTGCCCGGCAGGTCCCGTTTCGTCTGATCCTTCTGCAGCAGTTCCAGTTTCTTTTTATGAATTCTCATCTTCAGCTCGGCAGCTCGAGCTTCGAAAGTCTTTCGCAATCGAATCCAGATGAAAACGAGAAGGGCGGCCGGAATGACAGAGTTGATTATGATCTTTGTGAATTCCTGCCACTGTCGGCCAGTTGATTCACGGATGCTGCAGCAGAGTATCTTGATTTGGGGTCAGGGAGGAAGAAACTCACTTCAAGTACCGTTCCGTGTATCTATTCAGACGGAGACACCAGTCATAACACATGAAGTCTTTTGGATACTTCTGAACGTTCTCATTTCACTCTCGGAAGGCAAGGAACTACCGTACCTCACAGGTAGCCCAATCCTCGTAACCATATCCGAGAACAATGCATATCAGAAATATAATGACTGAAAAGTCTGAAAATCGCCTTTCAATACCAGATTTTAAAAGAAACGCACTCACATTTCATTCCAGGAAAAAGCGAACTGAAAAAAATTACTGAAGACTGAAAATGTCACGTTTTATTCAATGTTCAGAACAAGAAAAAGATTATATTTTTAGAAAATAAACAAATAAAGGGAATCTAGGTAGTCCACCGGATGGGTCTAATCGAGAAAACGGAAACTGGAAATGCTAGCAAAGAGTGAGAATAAAATAACACGTCATGAGAAACGGGTTGGTCAGTTAGAAGAGGTCGAGTAATAGTTTTGGTCCGAGTACGGATGGAGCAAAGTGTTCTCGTTAGACGGCGGTGGGTGCGGATGCTGAGGGACCGGCGCCGGCGTTCCGTTAGGAGTCTGAAAACTGACGATATAGAGGCGGGCGGAGGGCGTAGTGGAACAATGCTAACGGAGGAATCAAACGTCAAACATTCATCACACTCTACCTTCATATTCAAGGCCTCACTACTAACAGCAAACGAGACATCGGATGGAAGGGGCACATGATCTATCGGAATATTCACTACACAACCCATTATGTCCCATTCGGGGGACAGTCTTCCCGATTTGAACAGCTTTTCCGATTGAATTGAAACCTGAACGAAAATATGTGAAAACTGTAAAAGAAGGGAAATGAACTCACGATGTAGATGGTGGCCATCGAAGAGATCATTGCGGTGGTGCGGAACGGGAAGTACTGCACACCGTCCGTGTACATCGGATAGTGGAAGAACGCGGGAAGCGAGACGAGCGGTTCTCCTCCGATCAGACGGAGAATCAAGCCGACGAAGTAGCCCGCGAGCGAGCCGTACGTGTTGCTACGTGGCATGTAGACAACACAAACGAGTTGAGGGAAGAGAATGACGTAGACGAGGTCGGCGCAGAGGTACCAGAGACCGTAGATCGACTGGATGGTGAGAGCCATGACGGTTGCCATCACGCCCACACAGATGATGGCCACTCGCATCACAATGATCACTTCCTTCTCGGAAGCGTGCGGACGGATCGTCAGTTTCCAGATGTTGTGTGCGAACATGGAAGCGGCAGAAAGGACGGAAGAGTCGGCAGAAGACATGACAGCGGCGGAGACAGCCCCCAATCCTGAAGAAGGACCCGATTAGATGAAAGTGAGAGGACAGAAGTACCGATAAATGCGACCCATCTGGGAGTGAGGTACTGGAACACGAGGGGGACGACCATGTTTCTCTTGTCAGGAGGGATCGACTCGACCTTGGTTCCATTGTTCCATGGGGAGTAATCAGTCATTCGCCAGTCAGTGTTCCGTGCGATAGCACCGATGAGTGCGGGGGGAATGGCCATCAGAATGCATCCGACGCCGGCCACGAAAGAGAGCGTTTGAGCTCCCGAGGCAGTTTTCGAGGAGAGAACTCTTTGGAAATATACTTGCCAGGGGATTCCTCCGAAGATGAGTAGCAGCATGCAATCCCACCAGAGAGAGGTCTCTTTGAACCCTACAATACTTCATATGTACTTGAGAACATTTCCGATTCACAAACCTCCAATCTCTCCGATCCAGTCGCCGGCATTCCTCGAAATATCTTTCGCTCCGTCGTGGACCATCGCGGCCGGCACGCAGACCCACTAAAAGTACATTTCATCCGATTGACGTCATCAAGAAAACACTGACCAATCCGACGAAAATGCAAAAAAGTTGGACGACGTCAGTGTACGCGACGGCATAGTATCCGCCAGTGAATGTGTAGAAAACGGCGATGCAGGCAGAGAGAGTCACGGAAGCATTCATGTCGATTCCGAGGATTACGGAGAGAGTGGCGCCTGGAATGAGAGGGATTTTGATTGGAAACAGGGAGAGGACGGACCGAGAGCCGACAGAATGGCAGCAGTCCAGAAGGTTTCACCGAGAAGAGCAGGAAGGTACATGAGTCCGCCGATTCGCTGACCGTACTTGTGCTGGAATAGAGAGGTAATCGATGTACTAGACATGATTTTGATACCTGGAAGGGGTCCAGCATTGTTATGTACCCCTCTTCTCGCATCTTCTTGGCGAAGAGAAGCCCTCCCATCACAAGTGAAATGGCGTATCCGACTGGAGCTTGGCATCCGAGAAGACCTGCGATCCCCGTTTACTCTTCCATCAGAACCCATCTGCCCACTCACCTCCGTTATAAAGCGCTTCTGCAGTTCCGTTAATGTATGCTCCGCCCACCCACGTGGCAGTCATAGTGAAGATTCCCACGAGAGTTCCGATGTTCCTGCCGGCTAACATCACTTCTTCCGTCTGTGCACCTGCTTCCGACTCCAACTCCTTTGTGCTCTTCGATTTTCGACCCGCCCAAATACCGACGATCAGAATGAGCACGTAGAAGAATATGATGGCCACGATACCCAAGACGTCGGCCATGGCTGCCCTGCAAGCGACTGATGAGGAGGGGAGCAGAAAGAGTGAAAAGTGGAAAGTGAGAAATAATTAATTATTTATCCAGATATCGCAAAAGATATTTGCCAGCACCCAACCTCCTTCTTTCCTTTTTCAAATCGTGGGAAAATGCGGGCGAGTAGGCGGCAACGTTTCGCTTTGATTCACTTGTTTCTCTCCTGGATTAGTACGCATTCACATGACGTGGCCTCACCTCAGAAACCAGAAGAAACATCGAATTCAATTACAACTAATGAGTTGGAAAGCGGGAAATTGAGGAAATTGAGAAAAAAGGAGGTCAAGTCGAGAGCGAATGCTCATTCGAATGGAGAAAAGTAAAAGGAGAAGAAGGAGCAGGGCGGGGCGGAGGCGGAATGCTTAGAGACCGCCCCGAAGACGTCGACGAGGAGGACGGTGGAAAGGAGGACGTCATCCGGGATGCACATGATTTACGAGCAAAGAAGTCCCCTTTTGTAAGCCACGTCACGCGGTAGAGGAAGGCGTGAAACCGGAGGAAGGGCGCCGGAAAGAAGCCGGCTCATCTGAGAGTATCTCATTACAGAGAAATGATTTCACTTCTGAGACCTTGGAAGGGATGAAGAAAGGACTTGTTATGAAGGAAAGACGCTTGAAGAAGATGAAGAAAGGAGGCTAATTGGCTGCTTGGATTCACATTTCGATGGAAAAGAGTCAGCTGAGCACAGAGCGAATTGAGCCAATCTACACGTTTCCGCGAGAGAAACGCTTTCATAAAGGTACAGTAATCAGGGAAAAAGTAGAAGAAGAAGAAGAAGAAGTCAAAAGAAGAGTTAGGAAGGAAGAATGTTTGAGTTCTAGCTGGTGATTGTGTGGATGGCGGAAGAGGAAGGCTGCGGAGCAACAAGTCACGCTTCGCCCAACGTCTTCTGTCTTTTTTGCGCCGTCTGAACACTTCGAGCCAGTTCGCAATTGAATTTGCAATGATTTTGGTGCGAAAGAAGCGAAAGACGAAGAAGACGTCACTGCGAAAAACAGAAAAACGAAAAGAAGGCGGCGGCGACGAAGAAAGTTCAAGTTTCCGTAACCAATTCAAAAAGACGGCGAATCCGAAGCGGAAGAAGCCCGACGGAAGTGTCGAGATAATCGTCAATCAAGGCAAGAAATGGCAGAGAATGGAGTGGCGAAGGCTCTAATTTCAGAAAGAGAACGAGTTGGGAAACGAGAAGCGAGGACGCAGAAATTGATGGGTTCGTTGTTTTCCATTTCAGAGAAGCGGCTCGGATGCCAAAGGAAGAAAACGTGAATACGTCACGATCTTTTCGAAGGAAAACGACGAATGAAGGCTTTCATTGAAAGGAAAGAAAGGAAAGGGAAGGAGAAGAGGAGACATATAATTAGATGGGGGAAGATTGAGTTGAGATTTCCGAAATGGGAAAGAGCCGCTGGATTCAGATAATGGGGCGAATGATTCTCACGCTCACGAGAGGGCACCAGAGATGATTGGAAGCTCAAAAGAAGAGCAATTTCAGATGAAGGATTCTGGAGAATTCACTCGTGGAACACCGAAGCCTCGGATCTACTGCAAATGTGGGAGAATGAAAGGGAAGGCGTGAGGAAAGTGAGTGAAAACACAAAAACATGACACCAAACGTGGAAGGCGTGAACAAATTGTGTCCGTGTCCTAGAGCCCTCTTCGTCGGAGATGCTCCCGTCGCTCCCTGGAGACCGTTTGCTCGTGAGCTCCGCCCGTCTCGTGTATACATCATTCGAGTTTTTTGCCCATTTCCCGCACGCCGAATGAGCCAGAAGAGCAGCAGGCTCGACAGCAGCAAAAGGAGCCAATCCATTTGACACCGACGGCGAGCTCGGCTGAAGGAGCATCTGATGAAGAGTCCCTCCGACTACAACAATCGACTCGTTTTGCGACGGCGGCGGCGGGACGCAAGAAAAACGGAATTACGTTTTCGTTTTTCACGCGCACAACTCGCCTCCGAAATCTAGTTATTCGACTGCTCCTTCTCCGAAATTCTTCGCGGCTCACCGAGCACTTTGTCCTCCTTCCAGGAGAATCTTCTCCTTCTTCTTCTTCTTCTTCTTTTCTCCGAAGTTTTCACAACCTTTATGCAAATCACGAGAAAAGCATTCATCGAAGTTGAGCGGTCGAAAAAATGGATGTGGGGGATGGATGCAAAAGGAAGGGACCAAAACAAAAAGGAAAGGAAAGAGCTGTCGGAGACGACTTCTTATGAAAGTTTAATGGGTCTTTTGAAAGACATCGGATTCGTATAATTGGAGACGAAGCGAAGAGTTACAGATGTTGCAGATTCATCTCGTGGACGTGAACTCCCGAAGGACATGGAACCATACCAGTGGATCAGTTCATAGAAAACCATTTCATGCAAACGCTCCTCAAGAAGCTCTTATTCTTCGCTTTATTCGATACAATCCAAGAGAGGATGTCAACTGTGAAACCTGTCGAGTGAGTCAGTCCGATCGCGCCGATCTTCAGTGCACAGTCCCGTTGCAGGGAGAAAGATCAGCCCAAATCGATCGGTGCTCTTGCGTGGGCGGAATGCGAAAAGATCTTGAACCGCGTGTTCGACACGAGAGTGCTGCCGCCCAACTTCCCGCGGACCCTCCTCATGGAGTACGTCCATCCCATCCAGGATCCATCCAAAATGAGATCTTCCAGACTCTACGTAGCTCGGACGATCCTCTTCGCCGCGTTTACACTCGGTATCCGCGCGGGAGGCCTGCCGTTCCTCTACTTCACAGTTCGCGAGGTCCTCGGACACTTCATCATCTTCATGCTCACTTACATGTTCCTCCCACTCGTCGGACTCAACATCGCCGTCCTTTTCAAGAAGGAGAAGCTGAATGTGCACGAGTACCGTGTTCTCATGATCGTTTGGGCATTCCTCTGTGGCGTCTTCTCGATGATTGCCAACATTCACTACTCGCTCTCCGACTACGGACCTCCCAATTACTTTATGCCTGTCATTATCGGACTGACTGCTCATGTGAGTGAGCTATTCATCGAAACTTGAATTCGTTTTGGTTTCAGCTCATCGGAAACCAGTTTGACAACAATCGCAAAGCGCTGGTCGGAGTGAGTGTCGGAAGCGCCGTCACTGTTTCTCTGAGCATGCTCATCGTCACCGGTAACTGTCTCCTTTCAATATATCATTCCCCGTGTTTTGATTTCAGGTGATCTCTCGTTCGGCTCTTTCTTCTCCCTCTTCTTGTGCAGCATCAATGCCATTGTGGCTCTTCAGTTCATGATCTACGACCTTCTCGAAGACGGTGCCGGCGCCAACGCCAGTTCAGCGCTCACCCATGTCATCGGTGTCGTCCTCATAATGCTCAACTTCCTTATTCTCGTCCGTTTCACCGGAACCTATGTGATCGACCCAACCAGTAACGATGTGGCCAGAGCAAACCCTCTCCACACTGCTCTTTCCGCATAAATAAAATGTTTTCAATAATCAGAATATGTTTAATCCATTCCCCCGTCACCTGTCAACTATAACTCCTTGCCTAAATACATTACTCTCCCGTTCCCAATTCCACTATCTTATCAGGGCTCTCAATGTCTTTGTACGGTCCTTTCCGACTGTTATCACTGCCCGAAAACAGAGTCCTTACAAGAGATAAACGCGCGGGAAACTGGCCATTTGGTTCTGTTTCTCTTACGGAAATGCTCTCCATCGCAGTATTTTCTTCCTGTATCTTGCTCGTCTTCTCTGAGATTTCCGTGATCAGGTCAGCATCTGCCTTCTTTTGGAAGCCATTAGAAGCCATTTTCCTTTTTAGCATAGAATACCCGCTGAGGAACAAACGATTTTGCGAGAGAATTCCTCTGAAACTGGGTGCTTTCGACGATCCGCTCGCTGAGAATCTGATCAGAAATGGATGTGAGCCTCCGGTCAGACAGAACGAATTGGAAGCCTCGTTCCGAGATGCTCTTCTGCAAAGCTCTGCGAATGCAAGCGTTTTCCAGCAGATTCAGACGCTGGCAAAACGAGGATTCGTTGATTGGCAGGTACAGTATACACAAAAATGTGAAACCATTATATTTGAGCAGACATTCAAGCAGAAACATCTCGATATCTCTTCTACTTTTTCGGGATTCGACGGGTTCCTTTTCGTGGAGGACTTCTTCCCGATCTGTGCCAATTCGACCCTCTCCATTAGAATATGTTTCACAAAGAACCCGACAAGAAAGTTCGGAAAACCGAAAACAGTGAGAGAATTTCCCCTTGATCTTTCAAGTTGGTTTAAGATTCAGTTCGAAATGCCCGACGGAAAAGTGTTCCAATTGGACTTTTCCACCGGATCGATTGCCACTTCAAACTGTACTGTCATGGTGAACTGATAATATTTATGGCAAACTGTCCTAAATCTGTGCTTCCTTTTTCAGGGAAACTCCGCCCGCTGCTGGGCGTTCCCCAATTCGTTTGTCTTCCGATTCCAGCGCGATTCTTCCGGAGACAGCTCGATGCTCTCTTCCGACTATTGGACTCTTTCCATTATTGTCCGCATTCCTTTCTTTCCCGTTCATGCTATTCTTTTCAGATCGCAATCGTGTCCTCCGTTCTTTTGTTATCACTTCTTCCGATTACATTGCTCATCTACTGTCGCTTTTGTAGCAGAAAAAAGTTGGAGAACAGAGAAAAAGAACCAGCAGACGAAGTTCGTGATCCCGAACGTCTATTTGGAACTGTTCTCATCGATCAGAATTTCCCATTTATCGACGACAATCTGTGACAGTTTATTGGTTTTCTTTTATTAAATGACAATACAAATAACACATTGACGAAAGTAACACAACAAGAACAAGATAACAGAAATGGGAAATAAGGAAGGTTGGCGTTCTTCATTCAGAGAACGCCTTCACTACCGGTTCGTACTTGGTCAGATCGATCACTCTGATCAGGTCCGCAGCGGTTCCTCCGACAGAAAGGACCGCGGCGACATCCGGGTTGAACTGTGCACAATGGAGCTCTCCGATCGTCAGCTTCTCCGAATGAACTTTGTCGATTCCTCCGTTCGAATCATCCGCTTTCCACACATTCATCATCTGCAAAGCGTTCTTTACAACGTCTTCATTTGTTGTCAAGCAATACCTCGTCCTCTCCCACAGTTACCAATAGTCCTCGTGTGATGGCTGACATCGTGAGTCCTCCGATGGGGCCGTCGTGTGCAACGCCTTCCCAGAGACACTCTCCTGGCTTTCTCATGTCCAAATGCCGCAGTTTTCCGTCGTCCGACGAAACGAAGGCGGTGAAAGGATTGAAGTGATTCCAGAGAACTTTCTCGATCTGTCCGTCGAACTTCCACGCGGCTGATGCATTTCCAGTAGTGTCACGACAATCAACGACTTGAACGTGTCCTCTCATGGTTCCAAGCAGCAAGAATGTTGATTCATTCGAATGCCACTTGATCGTCTGGACCTCTCCACCTCGGTCGGCAATGATCTGTGCAGGTTTCGCCTCGTCCAGATCCCACAGGACGACGGTTTTGTCGGCTCCTCCACTGGCGAGCACGTGAGGAGTTAGTCGGTTCCAGGCGAGCGAGATGACGGCGTCGGAATGTCCCTGAGCACTGTTGTCCCTCTTCTTCTTCGTCTTTGACTTCTTCTCCTTCTTGCCAAGCGTGAGGAAGGGAGTGGCCGTGTTCATGATATCAAGATCCCAGATGTGGATCTCAGAATTCATCGTTCCAACAGCTATCAGGTTTCCTTTTCCTGTTTCCTCGTTTCCCGGATCGTGCTGGACTGGCTCGATGCAAAGAGGCGGAGCGTCGAGAATGTAGTCGTGATGACAGTACCAATCACTGTCCGCCTCGTTGTACACGTAGCACTCCAGAGTGTAATCTCCCTGAAAACTATCCGATCACTTTGTCAATTCCTTATCAGCTCTACCTTATCAATCTTGGCGACGGCGACCATATTATCGTCCTTCCGCACCATAATCTCGTCTTTCTCCTCTTCTTCATCAGAATCCACCTGAGCAGTCACGTACGGGTCTTCCTTGTTCGTCGAGTACATGGCGATTCCCTTCATTCCTTCGCCGTCGCCTTCCTCCTTCGAATCCTCGGTGTATCCTTTCATGTACTTCTTCTCAAAGTCCGTCTCCTCGTCCTTCATCTCGACGTCTCTTCCTCGGAGCCCTTTCTTCTCCTCGCTCTCCTCGCCTTCCTCTTCGTCGCTGTCCACTTCGTTGTCCGTCGACTCCGGAATCGCTCCCTCGATCAGTTGTTTCAATTCTTCGTCATTCAGCTTCACTTTGTCGGGGATCTCCTTTGCGACTCCCCTCTGGATCCACGAGAGATCCGAAACCATCAGTACACCGTCCATGACTGCAAAAATATGCTTTTTGAAGTAAAGTTACCATAATGGAATTGCAAAAAACTGAAATATAGTAACGTTTGGAAACGTTGGAAAAAGTAAACAGTTGGACACTTTCAAAGGAAATCTCACGTTTTTATTGGTATTTATGCGACAAGAAATCGAGATCGGGCAATTGAACGGGTTTTATGGACGCAATGAGAATATTCCCTTTTTCGTCAGGAACAACTCCGTACATCCGAAGGAATGCGTCGAAAAACTCAAGATTGGCTGGAAATCCAAGCCATTCCGAAATCAATCGGGAAGGAACCTTGGCAACGGGAGTTTTGAATGCTATTGAAATGATACGCATTGCAGATTGGCGCATGGAAGAGACGCTGTCGGAGAGCGAGTGCTGCAGAAGAGGGTCCAACGACCGGAACAGGACGAAGAAGCGACGGTAGTTGTTGGAGTAGAACGAGGTTAGCAAGTCTTGAACGAGGCAAAACGTTTCCGCGGACAGTCTGCTGCGAAAGAGATGGAGGTCTTGGAGCAGCGTCGGTTTCCAATGAAGCTGTCGGAAGAAGAAGCATGCGGATATACGCGAGTCCGGAACAACGTCTGCAGAAGAGGATACTTCTTCGAGCCATCTGAATTAAACCGAATTTATAAAATAGAGCAGGATGTGAACAACCTTCCGAAACACTCTTCCAGCTGGAAATCGTGCAGCTTCTGATCATAACTCGAGCACTTATCCATCTTGCAAAATCCATCCGTTTCGATGTAGAATGGAAGCATTTGCTGAAACCACGAAAAAAAAGTAGTTGATAGAAGGATTTCTTCTATCACCTCCATCAGGAGAATCGCATTTTTTCCATTCAAATTCTGCATGATCATATCTTGTCGAACAGAGCGAAGACGATCGGATACGAATGAGAATACAGAAGAGAACTCGGATGACGTCACTGCTTCTCGTCTGTCTGGTATAATCATTATTATCTTGGTCATACAGTTGCCAGCCCGGCAAAAGGGAATATTGTAGCACCATTAAACTACCACAGCCGGGGTAAATTAAACCGTGTGTGGCCCTTATAAGGTACTGTTCTAATTTATTTTGCACACATTCTGGACGCCTAGAACCTCTCGAAAACTGACAGAGGATGCGCGAAAACAAGGTGCGTACTGAGCGAGGACCGTCTATGTGAAAGACCAGACAGTTAACCGCTCAGCCACAGAGGATATGTGGAGAGAGGGACCACTCACCTCTTAAAGGAGAATACAACTCGAGCAGGTAGTTGACAGTGCGCACGAGGACGGGAAACGGACGCAGCAGCTCTGGCTTGTTGTATTTGTGCGTGTCGGCGGCGGATCGCGAGTACTCCTTCACCATTCTTTCTGGATCGGCGATGTATTTTGATGGAGGGCCGCGACTTGAAGAAATTGTTGCTTCCAATTGATTTATCAGCGTATTTCGACTGCGAAACTGTACTTCTAACGAAGGGCACATTGCAGAGCAAGTGGCCATCCTGAAAACTGCTCCTCAATTAAGATGAAGCGATGAAAGTCGGAAAAAACGATTGCAGAAATTAGTCGTCTCGCAATCTCCTCTTTTATATATATATATAATTCAATGTCCGACAGGGCGCGCTTTCCACACGCATTAGGTCGATACTTTCGAAAACATTCGTACAAAACGACTGAATCACGCCAAAAGTAGAACACTCGGAATCGCGAGCCAGTACAAGATACCAATGCAATAAAAATTCCATCCGCGTCGTATTTAGAACAAGTGGAAGATAGAAATTGGAACCCACCACCTAACTCGTTCTTACAGAATGCAACACTAGTAGTATCCGCAGTGATAATTTATTGAGTCTCAAATTACACGCCGAATATAACAAGAATTTATTGGAACAACAAAAACAAGTGACAGATCACTGAGCTGGGATCTCAACCTCTCCGTTGGCGATCGACTCGATGATGTCGTGTGGGTGCTGTCCATCGATGGTGCATCCAACGGACTGAGCGGTACCTGAAATGTGAATAATAAAATATGAAATAGTGAAGACAGCATACCGAGAATCTCCTTTACGGTTCCCTCGAGTTTCTTGGCCATGGATCTCGGTCTCATGATTCTGGCGATCTTGATGACGGTGTCAATAGTGAGATCTCCATTGTGCTTCACTGAAATGGTAACGTGCAAACTTTTAACCAAATTTCTAAAACTTCAGGTTGGGGACAAGACAACACCGAATACCCAGGAAAAATCAAACTCACGGAGCATGAAAATCACTTAGGGTTACCAGTCTTTAAGTCAAGAAAAAACTCATGAAATAAAAGACCAGGGGATGAGAGCATATCGACTCCCGACCCAACGCATGAAATGCGTACCGTTCTTGACCTTCTTGCGGTCACGTGGTGGCTCCTTGAGCTCCTTGACGATGAGCGAAGCGGCAGATGGGACGACATCGATCTTGGCGACACGGTTTTGGATGGTCAGTTTGCAGGTGACCTTAAGACCCTTCCAGTCTTGAGTGGCCTTGGCGATGTCTTCTCCGATCTTCTTTGGCGACAGACCGAGCGGTCCGACCTTCGGGGCAAGAGCGGAGGTGGCTCCGATTTCTCCTCCGACGCAACGGAGGTACACTGAAAATTGCATCATCGAATTTTCGAAATTTATTTTTTAAAATTATACTCTGTACTCTTTGAATTTGATGACGAAATAAATTTCAATACTTTTCGAATTTGCATAAAACTGGAAGTCGGCTTTGAAACCATCAGCATACAAAATAGCTTATTCTACTCATTTTAATTTTAAAATGTTACCAATCAGTGAGCCTACTTACCGATCTTAATCTCAGTTGGGTCGAACTTTGGTGGCATGTTGAGTGACGACTACCAGGGATACCGGCGGTGACAAAAAGTGAGAAAAGGTTAGCTTCGGGGGTTCGCGCCTAGAGTTGGCTACGTATCACACCGCTGAACGAGTCGCTACTCAGCGAAATGTCTCTCCCACATTCAAACAAACATTTGCGATGAAGCGCGTTTGCATTATGCGCATTCAAGTTAATTTCCGCGCGCGAAAACAATTTTTAGCGTTCTCATGCAAATTTTGATGTTTTCAGTTAAATTGTTATCAGTTTTTTAGAAAATGTTAGAAAAAATAGTTTTATATTAATTTAGACTATAATTTCGCTTCCAATTTGTGTTATTGTAGCAAATTTCTTTCATAGATGTTTCATTTTCAGCTAGAAAAATGAATGAAGAAGATATCGTTTATCAAGACGACGAAGAATATTACGACGAAACTGGAATTTACGATGGTTACGAAGAAGGAGGAACTGAGTACATAGAAGTGGATGGGAGACTCGTCCCACACAACGAGGTAGATTTTGACGTTTGTGCGATTTTCTTATTGTTTTGTCAGTTTTTCCAGACCGACCGAGCTCAACCAGGGTCTAGTCTGGCTCATCAACTCAGTCAGATCGGCGAGGTTCGTTTCTGTTTGAGATAAGATCCCAAACCTCTTATTTTCCAGTCGAACATAAAAAGGGAGCCACTTGAGAGCCCGCCTCAATCGCACCGTATCTACATTCCTCCTACACAACGATCAGCTCAAAGAAAAGTAAGTTTAGATGTTCACAATTTATGATAATCCTTTTGGCAAGCTTTTTCAGCCAGGCCCCAGCTCGATAGGAATCTCTCAATTCGATTCTCAGAAGAACGCTCCGCCTATCTACTACAACAGAACTGTCACAAAAGCTGGTTAGTTTGTTTCGATCGAAAGTAGTTGATTCAACCTTCTTTTTTAAGTTCGAAAACCTGCAGGCGCTGAAGTGTTGGGTACTGAGCAACGAAAAGCATTTATTGAAATGAAGGAACAAGTCAATCAAGTTCGTATGAAGACAAAAAAGTGGGATTACTATTTTTATTTATCTTTCTAATGGTTTTAATTTCCGCATTAGGAAAGTTTATGCACCTGGACAACGGAAGCCATGCAACTGCACCAAGTCACAGTGTCTGAAACTGTATTGCGACTGTTTCGCCAACGGAGAATTCTGTCGGGACTGCAATTGCAAGGATTGTCACAACAACATAAACTACGATAGTCAACGAACAAAAGCCATTCGTCAGTCATTAGAGCGAAATCCGAACGCATTCAAACCGAAGATCGGAATTGCGCGCGGAGGAACAGCCGACATTGAGCGTCTTCATCAGAAGGGATGTCACTGCAAAAAGAGTGGATGCCTGAAGAACTACTGCGAATGCTATGAAGCGAAGGTTCCGTGCACTGAACGATGCAAGTGTAAGGGGTGCCAGAACACCGAATCGTACCGACTCAACCGGTACAAGAACGGAGGATCTTCTGGACCTAGCACGAGTGCTCTCATGTCTCTCACGCACGGCGCTTCAAGCACCGCTACTCCGGACTCTGGGCCAGGAAGTGTGATAACCGATGATATGGGTGACGACTACGACGATCTCCTGCCACAGAAACAGAAAATTGAGATGGATCCGAGACGCTTTCCCTGGTACTATATGACTGACGAGGTTGTGGAAGCGGCCACTATGTGCATGGTGGCTCAAGCAGAAGAAGCGGTTCGTTCCGGTGATTCAGGACGTAAAAGCGACGAACATTTTCAGCTCACTTCTAATTCGCACGAGAAAGGACAGACTGAAGAGGAGAAGATCATGCACATGGAGCGTCTAGTGCTCCGCGAGTTCGGCCGATGTCTTGAGCAAATGATAACGAACACAAACGAGGCGACGATGGGCCTGAACGCAGAGAACTCTTCTGATCAAGTTCCCGGTCCATCCACTAGCACTTCGTGATTTCCAATCTCCTCTTTTTATTATAATTCTCACATTCTGGGTACGATCTCGCCTTGTTTCCCACTTTTGCCTTTATTGATTCACAATTTTCTTTCTTTTCCCTAGCAAATGTCAAATAGAGGGACTCAATTTTTGCCAAATTTAATTTTGACTAATTCCCAAATTTTAATTTTCGTTTTATTTTCATGACCTTATAACATAAAGTCGTTCCGAATTCACATATCTGTTTAAGTTGCTTGGTTGTTCACTCCTTTCTATTGTTTCTGTCTCATTCTGTCACTCTCGCAGTTAACTTTCATAAACAGCCATGCCAGATGAGCGACTGGACGAGGACGACTGCAAATTTCTGGAGACAGCGTTCGAGCTGGCACAAGAAGCCCTGGATGGCGACGAGGTTCCGGTTGGATGCGTGTTCGTTGTCGATGGAAAGGAGATCGGAAGAGGCAGGAATCGAGTGAACGAGACGGGCGATCCGACGAGGCACGCTGAAATGGTGGCAGTAACCGAAATGTGGAACAAATACCGAGGAGAATGTAAAGGAATGCTCCAGAAATCCACTCTCTACGTGTCATTAGAACCGTGCGTGATGTGTTCCTCGGCCATGTATGAGCTAGGAATTCGGAAGATGGTGTACGGAGCAAACAATCCGAGATTTGGAGGTGTGCGCAGTGTCGGCAGTGCGGAAAAGTACAGGATGGAAGACAACGTAGAAGTTGTGGCGGGCGTCTGGTCGGAGAGATCCGTGGCTATCCTGAAGGCGTTCTACGAGAAGCAGAATCCATTCGCGCCACCCGAGAAACGGAAAACCAAAAATCCTGAACCTGAATAAAATTGAAATCGCTCCCTCCCGCCCTATTGTTTCTCTCGTTTAATGGTCATGATCCTCATGGTTACTTCTGACTTTAAACTTTATAAAACAATCGTCTTTTCCAGATGTCATTATCCAGATTATGGAGTGCCTCGAGGAGTTGTGTCCTCTTGTTCTCCCGCCAGTCGACTCCATTTTCCACGTTCCCGTCGCTTTGGAGAAAACAAGGCGTTCTCAACGTACAAGTCGTTAGGCAATTTTCAAAAGTAAAATCTAATTTGCGAACGTCTTCAGTAGATTTTTTTTTAAATTTTTCAGAGACCGAATCGGATGAATAACTCGGCTGATACGAAAAACTACACGTTTTACGTTATGAGTCTCGTCATCGTTGCCATTGGATGCACTTTTGCCGCCATCCCGGCATATAGAATCTTTTGCGAACAGACCTCTTTTGGAGGTCTGACGCAGGTTTAAACGCAGCCCCATCTAACATAAACCTCCTGTTTTGCAGGTGGCAAAAGACTTTGACAAGATTGCCAACATGAAAAAGTGTGAGGAGCGACTGATCCGGGTACAATTCAACTCGGACGTTCCCTCCAGTATGCGATGGGAATTCAAACCGCAGCAACACGAGGTGCCGCATCCCATCTTTGATCTACCGGAACTATTGACCGAATTTAGATCTACGTGCACCCGGGAGAAACGGCGCTCGCCTTCTACACCGCGCGCAATCCAACCAACAAACCGATCATTGGCATTTCGAGCTACAACCTGACTCCGTTCCAGGCTGCCTATTACTTCAACAAAATCCAATGTTTCTGTTTTGAAGAACAAATTTTGAATCCCGGGGAGCAGGTCGATTTGCCTGTTTTCTTTTACATTGATCCTGATTACGTTAATGATCCAGCCCTTGAGTATCTCGACTCGATTCTTCTCAGTTACACTTTCTTCGAGGCGAAATCCGGACTGAAACTGCCGGACCCTTTCGATCCGAAGAATCGGCCCTCGATTGCCCCATCTCCCGATAAGCTTCCCGAAGCATCAAAATGATGTCTTCTACTGAAACACGTGTATGTAAAGATAGGCCATTTAGGATTTTTATTTGTTTTTCGTTTGATTGTTGATTGATTCAATACAATTATTTGAGCGTCATTGTCCCATTTCGTGCACGTTCTTGGTTTTCAATCGCCCTACTCATATCTTAACATGTCAACTTCCAACTAACCAACATTTTCAGAGAATCAACTCGCTAAAATGGCTAAACGCGGCAGAAAGCGTCAGCTGAAGCAAGCAGGCAAGGAGAACGCTCCTCCGACACCACCGAAACCGACAATTGACCGAATGGCGCTCTTTTTCGAAGAAACGGAATGGATGCCGTCCGCCGCGGTTGATTTTTATAATGAGCACAATGATATTGGTGTGTTTGTAAAACATTTTCAAGCTCAGATTAAAATTTCAGAGGAGAAGTTGAAAAACATCGAAAGTACGACTGTCTTGGTCGGCCCGTTTCGGAAGTTGAGAGGGGAAACGAATGTGAGCGGAGTCGAATTGATAATGCTCGATCGGGAGTCGACTGATCTTCCGGAGATGCAAACGTTCATGAGATGTGCGGCCGGGCGGTACGCATTCTGGAGAGACACGCCCACCGAGAAGAATCCCGTCATCGTATTTGTCGACTTGAAAACTGTTCCCGAGGTGACCGTTATCGGCAACAAAGTCGAACATGCTATCCTTCACTTTTGCGAGAAGTTTGCGAGATTCGGAGAGAAGCCAACCACTCCGAAGAAAGTGAAAATAGAGACTTTGGGTTTGGAGGACAGCGAGCTGATAAGAGTCGAAAAGGAGATGAGTACGGCGATTCGGAACCGGAAGACTCAGACGGTCGGAGGGATCAGCGGGCCAGGCCTCGTTTTGGTGAATAATAAGAGCAAGGCGCGCGGATACCGGGATCTCACGCGAAATCCGAGTATTATTGGTGCATTTTTAAGTAGTCTAAATCGGTTTTTTTTTTCAGACAACGTCGAACTTTTACTCCGCTCATTGAGACTTGTCGGACTGAAGGAGCACGAACAAAGAATTGAAGCTGTCATATCCGCGCTCATGGGAGAAGTGCAGATCTGCAACGACGAAGGAGACTTCGGAAATGGACTCGAACTGGGCCACTTGCTTTTCCTCGCGAACAAGCAATCGGTAGGAGTTAAAGAATCGTTTAAACGGGATCCTGTCCATTTACAGATAAAGGACAACATGCTGCAACTGCTGATGACTGCCTACAAACTGCTGGGTCGCAAGGATTTCCTTAATATCCTCCTTCTCACTCTGGAGAATCGCGAACTTCCCTTCTCCAAATGCTATTAACTTTCATGGATATTTTTTATCATTCTCTCTACTATCTACCCGACTTTTCTGAAAAGTGTAAAGCGAATTGTGATTTATTGAATAAAGTGTCTGATTGCAAAGACTTTTCCAGAACACGTTTCTCCTTCGGGAAGATGGTATCCGAGTCGAGGAGGACAAAAGTGGAAAAAGGTTTCTCAACTAATAAAAATTGGACTTTGAATAATTGATTCATTCTTTTATTCATCGCGAAAGATCGGTAAAAGAAGGTAGCACCAGAAGGAAATATGGCTGTAAGATGAATAGGAAAAGAAGGAAACCAACCCCGCAAGAGGAGGGGACAGTTAAGAACTTATACAGAAGTAGTAGCTGAGATTTGAGTCTACGTTGGCGAATGGAGAGCATGCTGAGAGTTGGGAGGCGGTCGCGGTAAGAGGAGAACGGGATATTGCAGCGCTGGAGGATGTGGCACGAGTACCAGCGAAGGAGTTTTTTCCAGGGAAGAGGCGAGAACCGAGCGACTTTCTTCAATACTTATTTAGAACACAATACCGAGAGAAAACGATCGGAGAAACCGGAGAATTTCCAGCCACTCCTGCAGTAGCAGGCTCCCGAGCACTTTTACCGTCAACTTTCCCCAATTGTAAGTTTCACCACGATTGGATTGTGTGATTTGGAGGTGTACTGCTTCGTTATCATTCTATAAATGTTTTGCTCTTCACAGTACTGTTCAAGCTGAATATTGGAGAGTGATTGAACTTTTTCGCGGTTAGCATTTCGTCGTTTATTCAGTATTCCGAGCAAGTAAATGTTGACCGAATCGATTCTTGGAATCTATCCAGAAAGCGACAATGTTCACTGTGAAAGCTGCGAACGCAGAGAGAACAATCGACGAATTGAGATCATAGAACGCTTTGAAGGCGACGTTACGGTAGATGAAATTGGTGATGACAAACTGCCAGGAACTTTTGGTGTTGAGAGTAAGAGCAATTGTGGAGATCTCGAAGCGAGTGATGACGTGGCAGAGAGAGAGGAGAGAAAGAGAGGAGCAGACGACGAAAGAGAAGAGGACGGAGTAGAAGTACGGAAGTTGCCAGAGATGAACGTAGAGGAAGAGACGGTGGATGTCGTGCTGAAAATAAACGGATTCGGGCAGAAGACCGGTGGAAGGGCAGACTAGATACTTTGAAAACTTCGAAAACGAATAAAATGACAGACGAAAAGGCAAAGTGGGAGAAGAGGAATCTGGAGACAGAGCTGCTGAAACAGAAGGGAATTGAAGTGAAAAGGGAAGAGAACGACGAACTTGGCGAGATATTTGCGAAGAGTGATGAGGAAGGTCACGTTGGAAAAAAGAAGGGAGACTCCGAAAAGTATTCCATTTGAGGAGAGATCAGTGACATTAACTGAAATAGACTTGCAATCGGAAGGGAACAGGGACGGACTCACTCGTGGCGTAAGTGAAGAACACGGACAGCACCGACATCATCGCCGGCAACCTTTTCCCGGGTTTAGTGCGTCCTGAAGACAGGACTACCAGAAGAGGAGCAGCCAGGTACTCGATCAGATTGGAAGCTGTTGTTTCCTGGCATTCGAAGTGGAAATGACAAGGATTTGAGGAGGACTTACCTGGTAAAAAGCATGAAAGTCCAGGATGAGAGTGATTGTGAGAAGGAGGGAAACGGGGAAGGCTTTCCAGTCAATGGAAGTGCTCCAGGCCTTGCAAAAATCAGGGAACAACAGTTTTCCGATTTGGAACAGAATGAGGGAAATCACTGATTGACACAGAATAATAATGAATGGAAACTCAAAGTAAATGGCAACCACAACCATTCTGTACATGACTCCCGCAGTCAGAGTCGTCGCGAACCAGAAGGCCATTCTGCATATGAGCTGTGAAAAAATGATAGAGTTAAAGAGAAACTTACAATAAAAAGTGTCGGAGACCGCATGTACTCGACGTCCGTTTCATACTGTCAACTGGACTGATCGGTTCTTTATCAATCCGTAGAAAAGTTTTCAAAAGTATGCGATGATTTGGGCGCAAAACCATTCATTATCGTTTGTTATCCATTGAAACTGACGGGAAACCTTTTATTATTACAAGAAACCAGTATTATTATGCTTTTGTCATCCACGGTCCTTTCACAATTTCTGGCTCGTTGTCCCGAATGCAAAGGGCCCTCGCGGCGACGAAAGTGACGAGTAGGAAGATCCTGGAGGAAAAGAAATTGTTCTCATTCGTTCTAAACGGAATCGTTACCAGTTGAGAACTCCTGGATATACGTCGTAGAACAGATAAATGGAGAGATAATAGGCGAGGAAGGTCTCAGTGACGGCACGCACATTCGACACGATCTGCATGTTCAGGGCCCCGTTCTTTTCGAGGCACGAGAAGGCGGTGAAGTGGAAGATTACGCCGGCGATCATGGAAATGACTGGAAGAAAATGGAATAAAGAAGATAAGCATATGGAAGGACTTACTGAACACAATTATGAATAGGGGATGGGCAGAAGTGATCATGTACATGAAGGCGTCACGAAGTTCATCCTGAAAGATTGGATAAGAAAGAAATGAAGCAAATGGAAGAGGGCACTCACGCGAGCCATGTCAGCCAAGAGATAGAAGACGAGTGAGTTGAACGAGTGCATGTAGAGCACTTCTGTGTACTGCAACCACGAATTGTTCTTAGCAGAAGAGTCGTACTCACGTTATAAGTTTGCAGGTGTTCTTCAAAGAGAATGAAGGCTCCGGCTTGAAGAGCAGCAGCCGCGAATCCGTAAATGAACGAGTAACGGTCGAGTGAAAAGTCGAGGTTGACTGAAAACTGAAGAGTTCACGGAAGTCTCGGTGGGTTGGGTGCACCTGAAACAGCAGAAGCAACCGCCAGACCAATTACGATCAGTGTCTTATTCTGGTCCACTTTCTGTTGTCTGCTCCGAGCAGCCAATCCAATAAGAATGAAAATCGGAGTGAGTCTCTTCACGGAATCGAAGTTCGGCATTGCGATTCCCTCGAACGAAGCAACGGTGATCCACTGGGAAATTGTGTAGAGGATGGAAGGAACGACGATGTGACGGCCTTTTTCGAAACAGTACGGAGCCACTTTGAGGATGCCGAGCACTCTGAAATCGAAGAGAATAGAGTGAAGATCGTGTGACGGACAGACCTGGAAACTTCAATGACAAACAGAGTAGCGGCCGCTTGCATCATCAGAATCACGACCGGATAGTCGAAGAAGAACCGCGTCACCATTATTTTGGCCATCAGCGAGCAGAACACTGTGGCACAAACGAATGTGATCATGCTGAAAAACAACGGTCTTTTTATGCCTTTACTTTTCAACGTCTAAGATTCCATAACACAAAAATATTGCCTTGAATGATGGTAGCATGTGTACAGTAACCGGAGCAACGAAGGAAGAATAGGTCTGATTTTGGAGCCGAGCCGAGAGAAGACAAGGGGATAGTGACATTTGATGGAGAACGACGGCATGTTTCCAAACTACCCCGGCACTTTGTGACCCGTGTGTTTTGTTCCCTGTGCCTGTTTTCGTGCAATCTTTTCTTCCTGATCGGACACAAAACTACGCAGATTCCAATTTATTTCCTGGTGCACCAGGAAGGGTCCGCCTCTTTCCGAGATCAAAAGGACACTCGCAATCCCGCGGATGATCTCGACGGGTGTGGGTGGATCCGAATAAGTTCGGAAGACGGACGCGGTCCGTTCTGTGCTCGCTCACCTCCTTCCGGCCGCCGTTTTTACAGCTCTCATCGTTCGAATCGAAGACACTGGTTGTTGGGAATACTCTGGAGGCGAGGAATCGAAGCGGATTGAGGGAGAAGTCGGGGCGCCGTGCGACGACAGTTCCTCCGGTTTTTATCGGAGCCGCGCATCTGCATCCGCGAACTAGATTCACATCGGATTCTGCGTGCGATTGGACAGAAACCAACGTCATTTATCGATTCAATTTCTCTAATACAACTTTATTGGAGGACAAGTTCGGAGAAAACAATGGGAAAGTTTAATCTACTTGGGAAGGATCTCTCGCTCTTCCTCGGCGAAAATGGTCTCAAGATTGAGGGTGCCGATGTCGAAGGTCTTCTTTGGAACCTTTCCGCTGGTGATGTAAGACTTTGGCAGCTTGAAACGAATCTTGCGGAGTCCTGGCTGCAATGTAATTCCTGTTAACTGACGGTACCAACAACTCCCTGATTACCTTCAGCTTGCTGTCATTGCAGTCGTGGTATACCTTGAAGACGGGGTCGATGTCCGTCAGTTCGGCAGTTCCTCCCTTCAGATTGAACGCCCCCGTTCCGTCGGTGTATCCCTGGTCGAGCAGGTCATCCGGATCCGGTCCGGAGTCCTCCTCCCACAGCTTCACGCGCACGTTGCTCGCCGGTTTGTCTCCGCAAATCAACTTTCCCTGGAACGTGACGCACTCTCTCTTTTTTTTCTTCTCTCCGAAATACCTTTACGGCGATCGACTGATCTCTCATCGCAACGACGACGCCGACAAGCAGCACGAGGAAAACAATGCTTCGCATGATCTGGAACAATTCGGATGAGTCGGGAAGGGAGGAAGGGAGGAAGGGGGGAATGAGCCGGAGTATCGAAACGAGAGAGAAAGTTGTTGACAACCGGGCAGATTGACGGGCCAGTTGTCGGCCATTATCACCGGAGATTGTTTGTTATCAGAGAAGCTTCATTCGAACAAAAACATAATCGTTTCGTTGAGTCGACTGATAACTTTTGATGGGAAAGAGAGGCCAAAAGACCAATCAAACGCGAAGGAAGTGGAGAAAGATCATTTGTCCCGAAGAGACCTTCTGATCTTTCTGAGCAATCGGAAATCGGTGACGCACGTGCCAATCCGAAAGTCTTGTTGTTCTCCGCTCTGTCCCGTGTTTCGGTGATTCATGCTCGTGCCCCCTTCCCATTAAACTCCTCCCATTCCCGCCAACTGTCATTCAGTTCGCATTGGCAGTATCTCTCCGTGCTCTTCTTCCATTCTTTCATCAGTTTCTCCTTACCAATTCCTTCTCTCTTTCAGATGAAGCTCTCACTTCTTGTCTTCGTCGCTCTCTTCGGATGCACCATGGCCATGCGTCAGCAGGTTCCTTTCCCTTCTCTTCCCTAGTTTTCAACTGTTTCTTTCATTCAGGCGGTTGCAGTTTCCGGCAAACTGTTGTGCGGCGAGAAGCCGGCATCAGGAGTCAAAGTGAAGCTGTGGGATGAGGACGACGGCCCTGATCCGGACGATGTTCTCGACGAGGGATTTACGAACAACGACGGAACATTCCGACTTGAGGGATCTGAGAGGGAACTGACCAACATCGATCCAGTGTTCAAGGTGTACCACGACTGCGACGACGGAATCATTCCCGGCCAGAGAAAGCTCAAGTTCCGCATTCCGTCCAAGTACATCTCGGCAGGCGGACGTGCTCAGCAGACATTCAACATTGGCATCCTCAACCTGGAGACCATCTTCCCGAAAGAGGAACGCGACCTTCTGTAAACAATTATTTCAATCGGACCCTGTATTCAATAAAGCACTATTTGTTTTACGCTTTTCAGAAAAGTCGGGTAGATATTGATGAAATCCTTGCGACCCAGAAGTTGTAGACGGTATCAGCAGTACCGAACAGGAAACATGTTGTCCTCTGGTAACCGTATATTGACTTCCACTTCATAAACCGCGTGGAAGATGAAAGTGGAAGATAAAAAGAAAGTGTCCAAATAGGGTCTATAAACTCTCCAAAAAGTCAGAGAAGTGTCCAGAAAATGATTCAAATTTTTCTGTGCTTGTACTGTGCACCAATTGGATTCAAAGATGTGGACAGCACTACATGGCTCTACTGTTTGCAAGTTTCTGTTCGCCTACAAGTTTCAAAAGTCTTGTTATTGATAATAAACGATATTCGAGAAAAGCGATATTTCTCATTTCAATCACGCCGCGCAAAGCTGCCTCTCTAAATGTTTCTGTCGGTCGAGAAGAACGTCGTCTCACCAAGCCCATCTTTCCTTTTTCTCATTAATTTGAATCCTGAGCGATCTGCTCGTGACGGATGTGCAAATCAAACTCCGCCAGACGTTTCGAGAAGGATAACAAGCGCGGATTGAGAGCGGACGACCTCAGTTCCATCAATAAAAAAAGTAATATAACGAGAATTGTTATCGAGTAATGACTAGAATTTCGACAAGAGAACGGAGCCATGAGGCATAAGTGAGAGGGATACAATCAAAGGGAGTGAGAGTGAATAAATACAACCTGGAAGTGTTATTGCTATGGGAATGCACGAGAATCCTCAATAAATTAAACTAAATCTACATGTTTTTTGGTCTAGGTGGAATAACAGGACGAGGCGGAGGGGGAGGAGCTCTTCGGACTGGAATAGCGGGAGGAACGGGTCCAACTGATGCTTCGCGAGGCGGTGGAAGAGGGACAGTAGGCGGTGGAGGAGCAGAAGTCGGCGCCGATTGAGTGAACGGATTGAAGAGACACGCTTGAGACGGCGGCTTGTTGTTGTTTGTTTGGGCCGGGCGACTGGTGGGAGGAGCAAGTGGAGGAACGTGCTCGTACCAAGAACTGTTGGCGAGAGAAGCGGACGAGGCACGAGTCGGCATTGACGTGGACAGGACGTCCTGCCGTTCAACCGGCCATCCAAGGTTCGCCATGCTGATTGCCTCGCTTCTTGCGGATGGCGGACGTGGCCGATCAGGGGCCGACCCAGTCAGGTTCATGCTCATCAGACTGATTGAATCTTCATCTTCATCTGAAATGCAAAATGCCAATTTGAATATTTATTCGATTGTTGCAGACCTGCGAACTCGAAGCCTGCTCCATCGGCTCCGCTGATCAGCGCTTCTTCCTCTGCGGAAACTTCGAACGTCTCCGTATCGAAATCGGACAAGTGCGGTTTGAGAGCGTAAGACCAGTCGGGGGACCTCAGTTTCACTTCGATCCGCTCCGAGTTGATGAGCAATCCGTCCATGCTTAGAGCAGCTAGAGCCATCTCCCCGCTGTTCAACACAATCCACAAATCTCCGTTCTCGAACTTGCTCAACTGCACCATGGCTCCCAGTTCCTTTAGTTTCTCGTGTATCGGCGGAAACAGTTGCGGAGGGAACCGGGCTTTTCCCACCACACTGACAACAATTGTTCCATCTGGCGGGCCCATCGACCTGAACGGAAACAATTCGTGGGAACAAGGAATTGTGACTTACTCGACGACATCTTCAATCAGCTCCACACACTTTTTTCCGTCTACTTTGAACGTGTCCACCATAAATACTGCTCCAACCGGCCTGTGATCCGAAGTTTTCAGTTCTGACCGATCGTAACTTATCAGTCGAGTATTCCTTTCACTTCTCTGATCCTTCCACAGTATTCTATCGGTCCACGCTGGTGCTCGACACTTTTCGCTTGTGTCGTAATCGTCACTAAAAGTATCGTACTTGTATGTCGGGGCGAACATCAGCTGTCCTTCGTTGAAACCGACGAACGTCTGAAACATTATAGAAACACTTAGATGTGTTCGTCCGAGTCTTCCTCACATTTCCCTGCGCTTTTTGCTGAGTCAGCTGATCGTACTCAACAAGTTTTGCCAGATCTCCGTTGCGCACCGCATTCTTCACTTCTTCTCCCGACATGCTTATTCTGTAATTGAAATCTCCGAGCCAGAATATGACGTCGTGCGATTCGATATCTCTCCCTAGGGGGAAACGGATCTTCTTCAAAGTCGTTGCAAAATCTTCATTTCTGTCTTTTATTTCATTTTGGCCGGCAGCGAAATGGGAGCAGATGAAGCAAATGGACGTGGAGAAGACGACGATTCGGAAGGCAACTGATCCTTTGTTTCCAGTGGCTCCGCCCATTCCGGTCTTCACTGAAGCCACTGCGAAATCTTTGAGATACGGAGAGACACGTGGCCGAGCAAAAAGGAACAAACAAACTCCAACGAGCTGCTCAGAGCCGATGAGCACAAATGGTGCCTTCTCGGCTAGCGTCTTCCGAATGCTCTCGCACCACATTCTCTGATTCGTGGTGCTCGCTTTCACCATGTTGCTCGCATTCAGATCGACGAGCTCTTCAACTCCGATTGCCACGATATCCGCCAGTTGTTCGTCCTCTACAGACACCAATCGCATCATTGAGTTGGCGAAAATCCAATGGGAAAGACTGGATTCATTGCGGAATGCAACGTTGTGAATGTTCTTTCCACCATTCACATTCCACGTGCCAACGAAAATTTTGATGGCATGCGGCTCAGCGACTTCAGGGCTCCGTTCGACCAGCTGAGAAACAGCATCCGCGTATTCTAAAATGAGGAAAACTGAAGAGAAAGGAGACAATATGCGGCACGGAATGAAAAACTCAAGCACATTGTGTACGCAGACAACATAAAGATATCTCACTTCACAACATTCGAGGCTTACCATGATAATAGTAACTCTCTAAAATGATTAAAAGATATATACTGCCACAAGAATTTGAAACCGGGGAGCTAACGCTCGAAAGCGGCTACGCCGCTCGTTTCTTTCTCATAACCGTTAGGAAGTTCACGTGTTTATTTCTCAATTTCTCCGTCAAAATGTTTGTTTTAGAAATGAAAAAATGACCGGACAATCGGAGAAAGAAAGAAAGAAACGGACAGACCCCGCTAGCTTTTTATTAAATAAGAATGATGATATTAACGAACTAATTTTCCCACTTACCTTGTATTAAACTGGGCGGCAACAGATTGCAGGCTCTGTCGAACAACCGAGGATCGTAGGCAGCTCCGGTGAGGAAGAGATCGAACGATTCTTGCTTTGCGCCGTCCATCAGGTTGTTCTGGATGGTTCTCGCGAGCGAACGCGACGCGTCCTTCAGCTTGCTTTTGCCGTCCAGTGCTCCAGTTCCCGCGTATATCGTACTGCACTGATCTCCGTTCTTCTGCCACAAGTCCTTCAGAATCTCTTCTACTCTCTGCTCGACATTCACTTTTCCGGCGTTCAGATTCAGAAAGGCCACTTGATCGTGTGACATCTGAAGGCCGATCGCAGTTTGGACGGCATTCGTGCGATCGAGACAGTCGAGACAGTTCGTCCGAATCACTCCGGATTGCCGTCTGATTAAGAGAAATTAGATCAGGGGAAAGATCGTGGCGCCTACTTTACAATGTCCTTTCCCATTGAATAGAAGAATCCGTGTTTCTCCATGTGTGGCACCAATTTCTTCTTGAGCAGCAGTATCGCTTCATTTGAGATCTTCATCTGGGCATGATAATCGAAGTCGATAAAGTCGACGAGCGGGGCAAAGTGAGAGTTCTTGTGCTGCGTCTTGAATGCTTCACTCAACACCCGTTCGCCTTCCTTCCTTCCCAGCAGATTCACAATCGCAAACTCTCCGTATCGGTGTTGCAGTTGAGACAAATGTCGGTGATATGCCGGCAGACTTGTTTCGAATGCTCGCAGTTTCACTTTGTGCGAGCCAACCTGTACTCCAGGCTGCTCCCAGAAAAGAGGAATCGATCCGCGGACTTGGAGCAATGAGCATTCTTTCTCTTCAAAGAGCAACAACTGCTCAGTCTCCACGAAATTGGCCACATTTCCGAGATAATTGGCGCCGCGCACGTTGAATCGCGTGCCGACCCTCTCGCAACTGAGCCGAGATATCAGGGCGACTCGTCCAGTATTCGCGCCCACGTAGACAACACGAACAAGCACAGATCTGAAGAAAGAGGAAATGAGCTAAAAGTGGATTGAAGTGACCCACCCGGCCATGCACTTCAGAAGCCAGTTGTCAGTGTCAATTGCGTATCGTTGAAATGAAAAGTGGAGACTGCGGTTCCAGAAGAAACGGGCGTCACTTCCATCGTGAGAATCCCTATGTTGAGCAGAGCGAGTGAGATCATAGGATTGAAGGGATGAAAAGTAGAACATTTGGGAGGAAAGAAGCCGTTGTAACTGAAATGACACGGGTTCCGAGGACACAAAAACGCAAGAAACTCACATCGACTATTCGGGTGTCCACGTTTTCAACAGAGCCAAATGTCCGAAGAGAAATAAACTCGACGTTGGTCACTTTCAGAATGTCTGCTCCATAAAGTTGTCCGACTGAAAGCACTCCGGTGACTGCCACGAGCACAGACTCATCTTTGCTGATTGCGAGCACTCCGAGCAGTCCGTACGCGTCCACAATTTTCTGGTACGACCTTCGTTCAACTTCTGTCGAGTCCGAGTCTTAATTATTTCGTCGTTTGACAGATCCTTTTTACATTCATACCTAAAGTGGCAATGGCACCACCCTGAAATAGGAGTGATCCGTCGAGTCCGTTCTTTTCGACCAAGATGGACGGCTGGAAACGCGCGTCGTTCCGCCGCCATATCCGAATGCCTCGGACTGACATCTTCAACAAATACTCATGAATTCAGAGCCTCCAACGGGAAAAGCAGACAAAAAATGATATACACTATTTAGTGAAAGGAAGAACCTCAGTGATGGTGGTGAGAATAGAATAACGAGTCTCAGTGCGCAGAGGGAATAGTGCGCGAAAGAAGGAGACACAGAGAAGGGTGGGAGACGCAGGGAGAAGAAAATATCGACGAAGGAGGGGGGAAACGACGGGGAAAAGCCCTGTGAGGAAAAAGAGAAACCGACTAACTATATGTGTTTTCTCTTCTGAATTCCCCTCTCGCTGTCCCTCTCACGAGAGACAATGTAGTTCAGCGATAAAGACGCTCGTGGGAACGAACTCTGGCGCAGGTTAAAGGAATGTCAGTTTATTCAAGAAGACGGTAATTGAGAACAGGAAAAAGTAAAAGCACAGACAATATAATAAATATATGATGTGAGTTAGCGCCAACTTTCACTGGAAACATAAACAAAAGAGACGGGTAATTTGAGATCGACTGGCGACGATGGATCACTAATACTCCATTTCCAACAAATCATCATTGTTCGCGTCATTTTTTGTAGTCACAATCTGAACAGCAGCGTAATGTGACTATCAAACTGAATACGCTTGGCTGATACCTGTCGCATTTTTTCAGTGAGATTCTGTAGAAGGTGAGAAGTGGTCGGGTCGTCCATCGGATCGTCACCGCCTCCAATGAACTGTCCGTCGGAACTTCCTTCGACGAGAAGACGTCGACCATCTTCCTCGAATCTTGCCACGAGGCCTCTTTCAGTTGGTTCTAACGAGACATCATCTCCGCAGATCTGAAATGGAAGAGGAACTGAAATGGTTGTAACTGGGGTTGTATGATCTCACGTGTTTCACCATTCCCTCGATTGCCGTTGTGAATGTGGGGAACGAGGAAGATGCAGGCAAATCTGAAAATTGTGGATTCCGATTGCACTGCAAGATCCAACCTACATTTATCGGGCACCGGGTTCGACTGTGCGTGCATAATGGCGGCGACGACCGAGTCCGCGTACATATCAGTGACTGGATTAGAGTCCCAACTAACAACCGCCACGTTGTCATTGGCGTAAAGATCTACGTTCACTTTCGACTGAAAATTTAAAGCTTAGGTTGGAATGACACTGAAAGAAAGTTCTCACCGCGAACACATGAATGGAATGTGTGGGACTTCCTTTCCTCGTATCCTTAATCTTCGCCTGGTGCACAATGTGAGCGTCGTCGTTCAGTTGGTTCAGATTGAAGAGAAGCAGACGGGAAGTTCCGGAATAATGGACTGAAAGCTTCTGCGAGAGAGTCGAGATCCGGAGAGAAGTGTAGGCGCCGAGATCACTGGGATTCATAATCGCGTAAGAGAAGTTGTTTTTGACGAGCACTCCGCTGATGAGTTGGGTGTTGCCCGGCATGTTTTGCGCCAGCGATCCTACCACTTTCGCTGTCTTTTGTCCGCGGAACTGCAGTTCAAGTCTCTCCGTGTTCCGCGGGTTGTGCACCTGTAATACATACGCTTGATTTTCAGCACGCTAAGCTCATTTCCTCTCACCTCAATGGGAATGTTGTCATCCTGGAACTGCCTTTCAATGCTCGACTTGAGTCTGCTCATCTCGTGCAGTTCTCCGTGCACGAGCACAAGGTGCGGAGGTTTGAGAGCTTTGACAAAGTTCGATGTTTGATGATAATCTGTGTGGGCGGAGAAGGACACGTATCCCACTTGCATTTTCATAGGCAGCTTCTCGCCGCTCAACGAGACAATCTCCTCTGGCTCCGACAGAATGTGCTGGAATGATACCTCAGGTGTGATTTCTGATTGGGTCCTATACCTTCGCGAGTGTTCCTTCCACACAATATCCGGCAATAATGCATCCGTTCTTCGTATCGGTGCACCAATTCTCGAACAGCTCTCTGCTGAATCCACTTTGCAACATTCCTGGAGTGGCGAGCACAACGCACGGGCCCGCATCTTCGAATTGATCCATTCCACGGAGTGTGGAAACGTGCTTGAAAATGAACGGATTCTTAACGGCGATCTGCTTTTGAATACGCGAGTTCATGCCGTTTACGAAAGTCTGATAGACAGACATGCACTTTTTCGCAAGGGACGACGCATCTGAAAAGTACCGTTTCAGTCGAGGCATCAAGAGAGCGCTTACAGTAGACGGGAATGTCGTGCAATTCCTGATGGGCCTCCCAGTATTCATCGAGAATAAGCATCAGTTCCTGTGCTGGTCCGATGGCGAATGCAGGAATGAGACATCTGCCTCCGCGAGTGACAATGTCGTGCACCATCTGAGTGAATCGCTTTTCTCTCACTGCTCTGTCCTCGTGCGTTTGGGTTCCATACGTGGATTCCTGTGCGTATTGTGATTGTGCGAGACATCTTTTCGGGAATTAGCTTACCGTGATGAGAACCTGCGGAGAAATGGACGGTATTTCAGCAGCGCACAAATGTCTGTCCTCGAGACACGAAAAATCTCCGGTGTAAAGGATACGAACACCGGCGATCTCGACCATGAACTGACAAGCTCCGAGCACGTGGCCGGCTACGTATGGCCAGAATCGGATGCCGTTCACTTCTTTTTGCTCACGGAAATCGATCGTCTCAATCTTTGCCATACTTTTCTCCAAATCGTCTTCCGTGTACAACTGATTACGATCTGCACCTCCATACTTCGATATCTGAACATTTCACTGGTTCATATCATGTTTTCCACTGCCAAAACGTACTCTCACGTAATCGCCGAGGAGCATTCTGTAAATGGCTTTGGTGGCGTGAGTCATGAAGCATTTTCCGCGGAAAGCGGTCTTCTGGAGCAGCCACGGAAGAGCTCCGCAGTGATCGAGATGGAAGTGAGTGATGAGAAGTAGGTCGATGTTTGCGATTTCGATAAAATCAACGAACGGAAGGGCGTCGACTCCGTGCAATCCGGGATGCACTCCGCAGTCGAGCATAACTCGTTTCCCCTTGTACTCGAGCAAATGGCACGAACGACCGACTTCTTGTCCGGCCCCACTGAAGAGGAATTTTGAAAATAAAAAAAATGGAAGGACTTACAGTGGGGTAAAGTGAAGGGAATCCGAGTTGTCAGTAACGTCGTCCATTCTGAAAATGATCATGTGGAGGAACATTTCAATGGAGGGAAAGCAGTTCGGAAAGTTATTCAGAGGATAGAGTCGAAACCTCAATTAAAACATAAAATAAAGAAAATAAGTAAAAAAGTGGTGTCACACAAAAAAGGACAATTTATAAACGATCTAAAAATGCACATATCATGAGAAAAGAAAGGATAAAACGTTGAATACAAAGAATGAGTCACTCGAAATTATGGAACGTATAGTTCGATCAATGAATTGGGGAGAATCTGCTGAGAATTGCCATTTGAATGAGATTTCGGAACATGAAGCGAGGGTGTACATGAGGAGCAGAAGTCGAATATTACAGGCACCGCGACATTTTTCATAAAAATCATTATTATTATTACTAGGTTATTTACACGGTCACATGTTGTACGGAGGAGGCGGTGGAGGCGGCATCTGCTGGCCGTTCTGAGGGCTGGTCATCATGTTCGGATATCCGGAAACATCCATAGGCCGTTGCTGGTTAGGAGGAGAAATATGCATCGGAACAGACTGAAAACAGAGGGAATGGAGGGACGAACGAAACGAGAACTTACATTCGGGGGCGGCATTTGGTGCATTGGAGTACGTTGCTGGGTCATCGAATTGAGAGGCGGAAGGGATTGGGACAATGGGATCGGAGATCTTTGGGGTGGTCCTGGCTGCTGCTGCTGAGGAGACTGCTGTTGATAAGGGAACTGAGGAGACGGATGCTGCTGATACTGAGGCGGTTGTTGATAATGATGCTGAGGGATTGGACTCTGCTGAACCATCGCGTGATGATGCATTTGTTGGGGATACGGTCCCTGCTGTTGCTGCTGTTGCTGCTGTTGCTGCTGTTGCTGCTGCTGCTGCTGCTGGGGTGGCATCGGATGGTACTGCTGCTGGTGCTGGATCGGTCCGAGTTGTTGTGGAGAAGGCCCTTGTTGAGGTCCCGGTGGCATTTGCTGCCCCATCATCGGCACCATCTGTTGTTGCGGAGGAAACTGCTGTGCTCCTTGCTGCATGTGTCCTCCCATTCCTTGCTGCTGCTGCTGCTGCTGCATTTGTTGCTGTGCAGCGGCCGCCGCTTGTTGCTCTTGAAGCTGTTTCATCTGGAAATCAAATGTGTTTTCCAAATACATTTCCCGTTCTCACTCTTCTCTGATGTTGCATTTGCATTTGAAGAACTTGTCCTGTAGATGGTTGATGGTCCAGATTAACGGGGAAATGTTGCTGAGAGAAGCGAAGTGGCTGGTTGGTGGTGTTTACAGTATACGACCGGACGTGTGCAGAATTCTTAAAAATCTTGAAGGAATTAGTGAAACAAGTAAAGTTAGTTTTCTCACATTTGGTAGTTGTGACTGTTGAGAGGAAGATGGCACCATTGATCTCTGCTGCTCAGAACTGTTTTGTTCCTGCTGTTGTCTTTGCATTCTTGCTTGAGAAATGAGCTGCTCAACCACCTGCGGAGATGGAGCATCTTGGACATCAGATACTGAAATAAAGTTATTATTAGATCTTTCTCCTCGTTCACCCGAATCGCTCACTCTTCTGATGCGTTGACATCATGTGGTTAGACAGCCCCGACGACGTTTTGTACCGTTTGGTACAGTAAGTGCATTTGTAAGAAGTAGTATTAGTCGCCGGATTTCCAAAGTTTGGAGGGGTATTCGGCACGACAGGCGCGCTTTGAGCATTAGGTGCAGCGCCCATCGGAAGAATTCCAGGAAGATTGGAAGACGTATCTTGCGGAGCTGCGGCCATTAATTGAGATGCCGTAATGACCGGTTTGACGTCTTCCACCGGGTAGTTCGTAAGACTTTTCGCGTCTTCGGACACCACCACTGCGTGAGCGATTTTCATGTGCATACGTAGCGCAAACATGTTTTTGTATCTTTTATTGCAATCGACTATATGGCATCGGAACCTGACTTCATTGTTACTGAAATTAAATCATAAGCACTTTTAGAAGGAACACTTACATACTCTGGTCCACATTCATCGAAATCCACTTCGGACAGACGTTTCTCTGCATCTTCAAGTGTAACTGGAAAGTCAATAAAAAGGGGTTTATCGTGCTATCGTCTTAGTGAAAAATTCTTACTGTGTCGTCCCTGGCGAGCCATCATTTCCCGATAAACACGATGTATCAAGTGGTTGGGATTGTGTTGCCTCTCGCGCTGTCCTCGTTTTTTGTAATGATTAAATGAAATTTTGATCGGTTCCGGCTTTATCGGATTCGGACGGTACGCTGTTCGGAAAACTCTGCTGTAGTAGCTGAGTGGCAAGTTATTCGGGAGCGACGGAGGCGGCTGTTCTCCCGGCACAACATTCGCTGCTGCTAGAGCCTTCCGTTTCACTTCTTCTTCTATCATCGCTGGAAATTGATTTATAAAGAAGACGTAGGACTTGGATAACTTACGAATATGTGTGTATTCTATGTGTGCGGTTAAATCATACTGACTCGCAAAATGTTGGCCGCAATTCGAGAAGCCACACTAAAGAAAAGAATGACGATCTGGTAAAACTATATACTTCAGACTAACCTGGTTCACTTGCATCAAACAGTTTGCCATTTTTTATTTCACCGAATCTCTTGTTCTTTCGTAAACGCCTACGAAAAATTGGCAGTTCGAATGGCGGTCTAGAAAATGTTCGGCCACGCAAGAGGGCTCAGAATGGCGGTCATTTAAATAACGTTAATGTTCGTTGGGGTGGAAAATATGGACCATTATATGGCAGTCGGAAAATGTTCTCCATATCTTATAGTACCACCCTGATTTTTTTTAGAATTTTTCAAAATGGTGAAAAAAAAGGAATTCCCTAGTTTGACTGGCTGCTGTTCAACACGCTGAAAAGTTTTTAATCTGACAAATCTGACACAATACATCTGACACATTGCATAGCAATAACGTCACAGGAAGGAAGAGAGAGAGAGAGCTGACTTCTTGCATTGCAATAACATCAGAGGAAGGCTGGTGACGATCACAAAGGTGGAGGAGGCGGGACCGCAAAAATTTAAAATAGGGCCAGGCAGATGTACTATGAGTTATAGTCTATGATACTAGTGTAAAGCGAGGGTCCCTCCAGAAAAATAACATCGTAAATAATAAATAATAAAATAATCAAACCTCCAGGAAAAACATGTGGGCCCCGAAGGGTCCCCTCAGAAAAACAATGGTTCCTGGTCGGACTTCTTGAGAATGGATGATAAAAACCGCTCTAAACTAGTCTGAGACGTGTCTGTACTTTTGACCCATTTACAGTATTCCGATCGGACCCAAACTTTGCAAGCTTCTTGGATTTGAAGTATTGAAGTATTTTAGGCCCACGTTTCCAGCACTGGTACGGATGCATCCTTATCCGAGACTGCGCTTCAAACTTTAGCCGACTACTTCTTTCCCAACTCATCGTGCCGTCCGTGCAACATCTCATATCAACACCAAACGGACGGGCACCTGTTGGACGGAATCAAACCAGCAGGTGTGATAATGCGCGTCGTTGTGAGGCAGGAGTCGCAAGAGAAATGGGAGAGAAGCCCCCGTGTCCCTCCTCTTTCCATCATCCAATCAGTCTCCGGGACGTTTCGTTGTCGAGCCGAAGGGTGCCATCAGACGCGTTTGCGAAAGCGAGTCCGGATTGTAGAAATAATGCAAGATAGTAGGTCTAGAAGTTAGTGACGAAACAGGAACAAAGAGTATCTGACTCACTACGGGGTATGACAACATTCTTACTGTTGTCCCTACTTGTTCTCATTCGAAATAACTTTAGAAAACCATGGGGCCTGTAACGAGCAAGAAACACGGATAAAATGTAGATATTTATAGGCAGAACGAGGCAACGGTGTCAATGCTGATCTACGTCTCGTTCTTCCTCGCCATCTTGCCTCTCCTCCAGGTCCTCCAGCAAATCAACCCAGTCGTCCTCTTCCTCCTCGTCTTCGTCGTCTCCCGACTCCTCGTCTACCACAACAGCATCCCGTACTTCTGGCAATCGTCCTATCCCGTATTCAATGAGTTCATTCCAACCACGTCTTAGCAGATGGAATGGGATTCCGGCAGGTGCTAGTGCCCGAAAGTCCCCGACTCTTGCGAGCTCGCGCTGCTGCCCCTCCAATTGATGATTGTCGAGGAAGTCTCGCTCCAGATTACCATTCAAACGGTTTCTCACTGAACATTCAGATGAAAACGGAAGTTCGTAGCAAAACCCACAGTTTTGTAAGCGGCGGGCGTGAATTCTTTCGTTGTCAGGTTCCGTGCCGTGCTGCAAAATAGATTTCTATACTTTTCAAAGAAAGTTGTTTATTTTATTTACCACAATTCGCCATGCATCAACGAGTTTCTCAATCTCCGCCCCAACAGCACTCCCACCCATCTTATTTCTGTCAATTTCATCGAATGCTTTTTCTACAGTCGAATGTTTCTTCACCTGCACATCATCAACAGTTTCATCGCTTCTCTCAAACGTTCAATTCTGGGGGTTCTGTATTCCAAGAACACAGAGACGCCCTCTCTCTCCCGTCTTTCCCATTGAATTCTATCGAGTTGCTAATAATTACCGTTTTGAAACTGTAGACTACGTGCGAATTTACCATTATCGCCCTATGTGCTGAATCTAATTCATTGAGTCGTTTTCCACACTTTCCGAGGATATCCGCTAAACTACCACTGTTTGGTGAGTTCATTTTTTAAACGAATAGAGATAGAAATATAAAATGAAGCGAGATGGGATATTTCCAACGAATGTCACGGAAATTCTAGGCTCAACTCACACTGACGAGAAAATTCGCAGCGTCTTCGTTTAGATAATGGCGAGTTCTGTCTTCTCTTTCGTGGAACTTAATCTGCTTTTGCTCAATGATCAGTTTCTCATTCTCTTCTGTGCTTCCAATTTTCAGACATAACATTATGAGTTTATGAGCTTGGCTCGGGCAGAGATTTCCTCCGTACAGGCCTGAGAACAGCTGGAAGAGTGTTTTATTTGGAAAGGGAGTCAAATGGCTGAGGAACCTTCGGACGAGAAGATCTGAGAGCTTCCACTGCGAATCGTCTGAGCGATGGAACGTCGAACCACGAACAAATGAGCACGTTGCTTCTTGGCGATTGCGGATGACGTCCGTGCACACCGCCGAAAGTGAGCAACCATCCGTCGGAAGTGATTGCCGAGTCGTGAAAGAACACTGGCTGCGGCAGAGAATATGCGAATTTCGTCCACGAGAAAGTGTCCAAATCAAAGATCCAAACATCGGAATGAAGTGGTTGCTAAAAGTGAAAACATGAAGTCAAATGAGAGGCGCTCATTTTCTAACGGGATCGTCTTCGTCGAATTTGTGAACTCCGCCGGTGATGATTACTTTCCTATGGTGGCGAACGAGAGTGTGACATCGACGGCCGACAGGGAATCCCGCCTGCGGATCGGCGACGGTTGTGATCTCAGAGCACTCGTTTGTAGTAACGTGGAGAGCAGCGATCTGTCAATATATAGTTTTCAGTGAGAGCGCATGTGGGTTCTCTTACTTTGTTGAAATCGAAAATTTCAGCGGCGTTTCCTCCTCCGAAGAACAGAAGGCAATCGCTTTTTTCGTCGTAAACTGTTTCCAGCCTGTATCTTCCTGGTAAATCCTGAAGAGACTGAGCGTCCTTCAAGTTTCTTAGCAATACACAAACCTCGTTGAGAGCCTTGAGCTCGAAACGCCACGTGAACTTTTCGTCGTCTTCTTCGGCTTCCGGATTTTCTTTTACGGTTAGCGAATAGACTTTGAAGTTGAAGACGCTTCCTTCCGTTCCTCCCACAATATAATACTTTCCCGCAATCTCTCCCGCACACATCGCGTGCCCGTAAATTGGACGAGGAATGTCACCTTCGGGTTTCAGTTTACGGAACTCCACAGTGCAATTTTCATTGTCGACGTGGGCAAGATAAAGCCGGTTTGAAGAGGAAGTGCCGAAGCGTGTGCCGCTGCCTCCGAAGAGGAGGAAAGACTTTGAGAACGGATGAAGTTGGATGACTGCAATATGATAGTTTGATGAATTGAAAATTTGAAATAACCGACTTGCGAAAGAAGCCAGGGTGGATGGCATGGATCCCTTCGCTTCATAGCGTCTCCATTCGAACGTCGCCAAGCTCATTGCCCACACTTCCTTGAAAATGCGACCCCCTTCAGCACTCGTATAACCTCCGAGCACGTAAAAGTAGTCGTTATCAGTGAAGCATCGGTGTCCGGAGCGTACCCTGGGATCTGAGAATATAATTATCAGGGTTTTTTCATTTTCTGAGAGTGAGCAACAATATTACAGTCATGTTCGTTTTCAATGATGTTTCTGAACGGCGTTATGAATCTATTTAGCACACCATCTCGATTTCCCTACAATCATTCTTGCTTTATTCTTTAATTTTAATGACAACATACCCCTTTTTCTGATGGGGTCCACCCAATAATCTCGACCATCCAGAAAATTATATCGATTTTTTGAATGAGACTCTGACGATAGAAAAGAGAAAGTTTTCAGTGGCAGAGGTGGCGACTTCTCGCTTTGAAAAGAGTGTGTGAAGACGAGAGCCGCAGGGCAATGCAAGCGCGCCCTGTCGCCAATCGACCGCGTCGCGAGACAATCAGCGCCGCCCACACTCGGGCTCCCACTTTTCCCATTTCTTCCTCATGTTGCGATGCTCCGTTCGCTTTTCCGTTCTTCTGAAAAATTCGCCGCAACGACTGACAATCAGAAGCACAACTTCTGCGCCGGCGAAAGCAGGAGGTACAGCGATTTCTACCAAAAGTCAATAATTTGAATTTCTCGCTTTCAGAGAGCTTTTCCCAGAAAGACTCATTGAAAACTATTGATCCAGTGGAGAGCTACACCGCGTTTGGGAACATCCGCCAGAATAAAGATGTTTTCCATTATACCAACAGGTACTTTCTTGGAAAACCGCCAACTAAATACGATTTCGTCTTCAGAGACAGCGGCCGTGGCTACTCGCACTATTCGACGACGGTTTACCAGCATCGTCCGTACATTTGGCCGCCGCTGAGGAAGTTGTACAACTGGAATTACGTGATGGTTCTCGCTGGAATGGCAATTCTGATGAGCGACTTTGAATGGTATCTTGTGAGAAAAACTGCCCGCTAACCGGATAGCATTTTCAGGCTGAAAGAGCAGATTAAAGGTGCATCCACCACGTTCCGCCCTGAAGCGTCTCAGAAAGAAGTGAGCAGCTCCTGCTAGTCCTTCTAATACCAGCTTGTGTGTTGTGATTTCAAGATAAAATAGTCAGTTTCAGTTTTCTGAATTTAGTTCTAATTAAGTATTTTGAATTCGAGGTTTCCTTCTCAATTTTATTTTTAAAAAAATTAATTTTACAGGAACAACCATCAAATGGCGGTGAAGTGGAAGAAGCCAAGGAGAAACCGAAAAAGCAGAAACTCGGGTTCAGAGAAAGACGAATCATAGAATACGAAGACAGACTACGATTGTACTCGACACCAGATAAGATTTTTAGATACTTTGCAACTCTGAAGGTAAAAAAAATGTTTTTTCAAATTACAACCAGATAAGGTTTTTGCAGATAATCGATCCAAATGACGAGAGTGGTCGTGTTTTCGAAGTGTTCATGACTCCGGAAGATTTTCTCCGCTCGTTCACTCCCGGTGTGATGCAGCCAAGACGTTGGGGTCTCGACAGTTTCAAGTCCTATAATCCAGAGGTTTGCATGGGCTATCAAGATTTTTCATCCCAGTTGTTTCCAGAAACATCGCCGTCATAAGTTTTCCGATCCAAACAGCATTTTCTACAAGCTCGGCGAGAACGGACTTATCAACTTCAGCGATTATTTGTTTCTCATGACTTTACTTTCAAGTATTCATTGCACCATAGTAGCAAAAGTCACCATCTCTTTTCAGCATCCCATGCCGATTTCGCACTCGCTTTTAAAATCTTCGACGTGGATGGAAATGGATCACTGGATAAGGAGGAGTTCACAAAAGTGCAGCAACTCATTATGTCGCAAACAACAGTTGGACAACGTCATCGTGATCACGTCACACCGAACACATCGTACCGGGTCGAGACGAACTCCGCGTTGGAAGCCTATTTTTTCGGAAAGGATGGAAAAGGCAGTTTGTCATCGGAGAAGTTTATTGAGTTCCAAGAGCGCCTCCAGCATGATATTCTCAAAATGGAGTTCGAGCGTAGAGATGCGATGGATACTTCTGATGGTCTCATTACCGAAGAAAGTTTTGCACAGCTCCTCCTTCTTCATGCACAGATTGGTGAGAAGAAGCAGAAGCACATGTTGAAGCGAGTTAAGCGCAAGTTCAAGGGTGAAAACGCGAAGGGAGTCAATTTCGAAGAGACGAAGGCATTCTTTGAATTCCTTTATCATATTGATGACGTTGACATTGCTCTTCATTTTCACAAGATGGCAGGAATGTCAATTGACGGCAAATTGTTAAAACGAGTTGCCGTGAAAGTGACGGGTATTCCGCTCTCGGACCACGTTGTCGATGTGGTCATCACTCTGTTCGATGATAACCTGGATGGGAAGCTGTCACACGAAGAGATGATCGCAGTGATGAGAAGACGGATGCGCAGAGGATTGGAACGACCAAGAGATACAGGCCTTTTCCGGCTGTTTGATGCAATGCTCGAATGCGGAAAAAGAGCATATCATGCTAGTCCTCTCCCATTCTATTAGTGGACCCTGTAAATACGTATTTGTACCAATGAACATTTTCTTCCATTGTCGTTGAATTTTTTTTGGGCACTCGTGTTAACCGGCACTCAGAATATCTTGAAGCTTACTTTTTTTCTGTTGTTTTTATTGTAATTTATAGTTTTGCAGGTAAACGATCATGTCTCTTGCTTTGAGAAAGACTTTTGGCGTCGCTCGCTTCTCCATGAGAACCGCCAGCTTCCAGGCTGTGCCGACCAACGCCGGAAAGGTCCCACCAACTCTCGAGCAATTCGACCCGCTCAACCCAGGAGAGTGGCAACTCGGAGCTGGAGGAAAGATCTTGCCGCGTCTCCCGGAGGGAACCAAAGTCGGAAACCTTGTCATGGGAAAGTACGGATTGTACGACCCAGTTCTCAAGAAGAGAGTCGACACCTACGCCAATGCTCTTCTCGAAGGAAAGAAGTCCGAGGAGGCGGGACCATTCGACGCGGCTGTCAGCAGAATCGCCAAGGTACTCGCCTATACCTGCTTCGTTATCGCCATCTACAACCTGCTCTCGTTGGCCTACGGAAAGCCGCTCCCACCACTCAGCCACGTCAAGGCCCCAGGATCCTAAATTATCCCTAATTCGATCGCATTAATTTCTGTAGGAGGTTTTATTTTCGATAAAACTTGTGTCGATGTGAATCAATAAAATGACAATTTAGCTACAGAGCGGTATGTGTGCGTGCGCAGGTGTACGCAATACGTGTTCGAATCACTTATCCTATCTTCCTCAGAGCTCATTTTCTGTTATTCTCACTTATTGCTGTCCTGCATTCAGAGATCTTATAGAAATGGCGCTAAACGCACCGAGTGGGAGTTGCTGCTCGAAAGTGTACGTGCATCCTCTGGTCATCATGCAAATGTCCGAACATTATTCGAGGACTAAGGTTCAGCAAGGAGCCACTGTTAAAAAAGTGTTCGGGGCGATTCTCGGAAAGCAAACCGGAAGGCAAGTGGAGGCGATCAATTCGTTCGTCTTCAAAATGGAGACTGAAGAAATGACAAACTCGCACTCCTTCAACGCCGATCATCTCACTGCTAGAGCTGAGCAATGTAAATTCGCCAATGAATCGATATAAACATCAGGAACGTTTTATTTTCAGACCTCGAGGTATTTCCTGAACTTCAAGTGATCGGAGCCTATTCTACCGGCGAGGACGATAGACTGTCTTCCGACGATAAGGCGATTATGGCAAAGCTGGCAAGCACGATGCGTAACTCGGAGAAAGCGGGGCAAATCGACGCAACTCTCTTCTTGAAATTGAATTCTGTCACCACCGGATCGACTCGCAAACTTCCTTTGTTCGCATTCGAGGGAGATGTTGCTGACAGTGAGAAGCACCGACAAGTCGAGTGGGTGCTCGTTTCGGAAGAAAGCGAACGCATCGGAGTCAATCACATCGCCAAGTTATCGACGAAACACGGAAAAGATGACACTTCTGTGGGCAGAAAGCACGCGGAAGCCCAGAATGCGGCTATGAGCATGCTCCAGAATCGGGTTGATGTATGAGAGATTTCATGGTTAACTTGAGACATATTTTTCGGTATTTCAGTTGATTGTGGCCTACTTGGAGAAGATTCAGAACGGATCATTGCAACCGAATTTTGAAATTCTGAGGGAGGCGAATTTGCTGGCACAGAAACTTAACACAATCGATAGATACGCTGCGGATTTCGGGGACAACTTCCGAAAGGAGGAAAACACGATGACGATGTTCTCGTTGATGCCGAAGTTGACGGCTCTTCTGGGAAGCATGCAGCAAGTGTGGTCGAAGATATCCGTCCAGAGAACGGACGTTCTCACCGATGACGGATTCCACGGAAAGTCGGTGACTCGATGGGCCCACTCACTGGACAAAATGAGATTCAAGCAACAGATGGGGCGCCCACAGCAGGCGGATGTGAGTGATTTACAGACGGAACGGTGAACCACGTTCTACTTTGCAGGATGATGATTACTTCGACGAAGACGATATGGAGAACGAAATGAGCGGCCCTCGTAGAAAGATTCATGCTGCCGATTCGCCGACCGGGTTCCGCAGAAGACGTGCTCCACCAAGAGGTAACGTAATTATTACGAATCTAAGTTTTCTAAAAGAATGATAGAGTTTGCAGCTATGTCGAACATGGCGAACACTGCTCGCAATGTGAACAATCTATCTTCTGTTGGAACCGACGAAATGGAGTTGTCCGGACAAGAAGACATTCCGGGACCTTCTGGATCGGGCACTCATTACATTCCGGATGCTCCGAGACCGTCCGCCACCGGAGCCAACGAGTCCGACGAGTCGAGCCAAGCATTCTGAACCCTTCCCCTCAATATGATCCTCTCTATTTATTTGTACTAAACGTTCCATTCAACTGATCAGTAATCAAGAATGTATTCATCTTTTCAAAGTTTTACCATTCTGAAAGGTTTATTGCCTGGTACTCGGCCGAAAATGGGAGTCAGTACACGAACGAAATATTCAGAAAGATGCTGAGAAGTGTGATACTTCGGCACAGTCGAACAGTGACCAGGAGCAGTTGGATCAGAACGGAATGGAAACGAACAATTAAGAATGAAAAAAAAGAAACGGTCTGAGCTTGAACTGAAACACGGAAAGAATTGCGTATTCAGGGTCTGTTCGGAAATCAGAGTCTCAAATCGGCCGATAGTCTTCGAGATCTTCCGACAGCAGTGAAAATATCCACAGACGCATTGCTAAACGAACTGCTGACGCCTTCTGCGAATTCGAATCCGCGAAAGTCAATTCAAATCGTCGATGATATTTCGAATGAAATTTGCAAAGCAGCTGATTTAGTAAACGACATTGAATCCTCTCCGTTTCTCCTTTCTATCGTCCGTTTTCAGGCAGAATGCGTCCGTCAGTTGCACAGTGACTCGGAATTCCGTGAAGCAGCAGAAGACGTATCAAGAGACTTTTGTGAGCTTGTGGAGGGTCTGAACACGAACGGGCCGCTCTATAACAAACTGAAATCATCGGAAGCGAGAGACATTTTGGATGACGTGGACCGGAGGACTTTGACTCTGTTACTCGACGACTTCGAACAGAGCGGAGTGCACCTGCCGAACGACGAGAAGACACGTTTCGTGCAGCTCTCTTCGGAGATCTTCGACGCTGGAGCAAGGTTTCAGGCGAACTGCGACAGAATGGTCGCCGTCAAAAAGTAACCGAATCGGACAGCTCGTTTCGAATGAAATCGCTTACAGGTTTGATCAGGCACAGTATGGACTGCCTTCTCAACTCTACTCGCCGGTTTCCAATTCGTTGGACAGGTCGAAGCGGAAAATGGTGTACAATACGTTCTATCGACACGACGATCGGCAGGAGACGTTCCTTCGATCGCTCATTTCTTCACGCCATCAACTCGCTCTTCTCACCGGTTTCGCATCGTTTGCTCACCGAGCGCAAAGAAATTCGTTGCTCGAGGATTACGACACCGTCCGAAACTTCCTTTGGGGAGTCGTTGAGGTTCACACAAAGTGTACGTCTCTCTGAACTCTTCTTTTGTTGCAGCAATGTCGTGGTGCGTTCGAAAAGGAACTGGCCGTTCTGATCGACGTGGCCGCGCAGTGCAGTCAGCAGGACCGGAATGCGAACGGCGACGTGGCGACGATTGCCGAACACGATCTGCCGTTTCTGATGCATTTGTACAGGGTAACGATCGAGTAAAAGAGACGCGTCCTTCACGAAACAGTTCAGGAGAGCGCGTATGACATTGCGAGGACGACGCAGGAAGCTTCTCCGTTCTTCACTTTCTCTTCCGTTTGGAACGGATTCTCCACACTCACAGAACGGCTTTATGGAGTCCGTTTGGTAGAAGTTCCCGTTCGCAGCGGAGAGATGTGGGACGTTCCGGGTGTGATGAAACTGGTGGGTCCTAGTGGAAAGAAAGGTCAGATCAATACGAACTCGGGTTCAGAAGGCAGTTGATGAGCAAAATAACGAGTTGGGAGTCATCTACGTCGACATCTCCACTCGGCCAGAGAAGGCTGTCGGCGACTGTCACTACACCGTCCGATGCTCCAAACAACTCTCCGACGGCTCGTGGCAAATGCCTATTCTCGTCCTCTCGCTGGGGATCGTCGAGAGCCGAGACCACGAATGGATGAATTCTCGGGTAGAGAGCACGTGTCATCCTCTATAAAATGCTCGCTTTCCAGGTGAGTTTGCATTCTGCCGAAACAATGTTCCATGAGCTGGGACACGCGATGCACAGTATTCTGGGAAGGACAAAATATCAACATGTGGCAGGCACGAGATGCCCGCAAGACTTCTCGGAAATCCCCTCCAATCTGATGGAATACTTCTTCAGTGACTTGCGAGTTATGACAGATGTCATCCGGAAAAAGGATGGATCCAGTGATCAGTTGTCGATCGAATCGGCTGCCACACTTCTGGCTTCTCGGCATTCTTTCACTGCCATCGAGACTGTCCAACAGGCCGCCTACGGACTTTATGACCTGGAAGTGCACGGTCCCATCGCAGCTCCACAGATCTCTTCCGGACGAATGAGCACAACGGAACTGTTCCACGATATCATGAACAAGGCGATGCCGCACGTGCAGAGATCGTCGGACGCGGCGTTCCAGCACAGATTCCATCACACTGTCCAATACGGAGCGAAGTATTATTCTTATCTCGTGGCTCGAGCATCGGCTTCTCTCATCTGGCAACAGAGATTCCAGAGCGAGCCGTTCTCTCGGAAATGGGGAGACTGCTGGGCAGAAGTGCAATCTCACGGAGGAGGACATCATCCGTCCGTGCTGCTGGAGAAGATTCTCGGCTTCCGACCGACCGAGAACGATCTGACGCTCGCGCTCTCGAAAGAATCTCACCATTTGGCCAATCTTGATGCAGTCACCGTTTAGGGAACCCCCTTCTCTAGTCATTTGTTCTATCGTTTTCTGTTGGCCATCTTTTCGTTTAATAAACGCTCCGCTCACTTTTTTCTCTTCAAAGTCCACTGGCAAGCATCGGTCTTACTCTCTTCCTATCTCTCATCTCGCGTCCCGATTGTGTTTCTGTCGGCGAAAGGACAGTGAATGCGCGCCGCAGAGACGCAGACAAAGAGGCGGTACGGTCGGGTGCAGACGGCGCAAAGCAACTGTCCCCGGGCCTCCGCCGTCGTTTGTCCTAAAATCTTTGTTAGATCGGACTAGAGGTTCAAAAAGTGTGCTTCCAATTGGCTCTCCTCTTTCTGAGGTGCTCTCCGGAGCCCTTTGTGCCGCCCATCATCCAGTCCGTCACTGGCCCTCCGACTAATTCACTCTATTTCCTCTTCATGGCATGACTTTCTCCATGAGCACATTCTTAAAAGAGACAAACTAAAGCGTGCTTCTCCGTCCCATTTGTCTCCTTCTTGCTGGCTTCTGACTGCTCCGTTCTGCGAGCTTAAGTGCGGTTTGTATGTTTGCTCCTTCCGTTCTGACATCTTCGAAAACATTCGTTACAGCGTTTTTGTTCTCTTCCCGAATAGACGCGGCAATAGAAAGAACCGATCGAAACCTCTATAGTCGGAGTGCACTTTTTACGTAAGAGAAAATTCCATTTTTCGATTGATAAGGAGAGTAATATGGTCTGATGTCCTCTCGGTGTACTCTGCCGCCTCTTCTCTAACATATTGTCGGAAATAAAAAGAAAGATTAGGTCTCTTGAGAGGGGTCCATTCGCCGCTCGCACAAATTGTTCCTTTTTTCTGTGAATGCAACGGCCGGCGCTTTACCCTATGAATTCCGGCCATCGCGACGCGCGTTCTGACGTCTTATCATCTGTGTTTTGGTTGCAAACCCTCCAACAAAAAATAGCGCCGCCTCTATCGAATCGACTTTCCTCGACATAAGAAACGCCTATCAAACTTTGGGCTTCACCTTCAAACTCATTTCCATTGCATAAGCGCATTAGCGGGAGGAACGAAAGAAAGAGGGGAAACTTCAAAGTATGCTTCCGTGTTCGAAGTTTGCACTTGCAATTGATCTTTGTCTTAGTCGAGATGGCTTTCTTTCCCCATCATATGTTCCACTTCGATCTTCATTGTATCAGAAGATAAGTTGAATCCTAGTTTCTCAATCTTTCTCGCTCTCTTTGCTTTTTTCATTTCTGGCGCTACGACGAAATAGAACTCGCACGGAATGGAACTGTTACGATTTAGAACTCGCAGCTATATTTTGGCGTTGCGAGTTCCAAATCGTAACAGTTCCATTCCGTGCGAGTTCTACTTCGTTGTAGCGCCTCATTTCTGAATAGTTTTGCATCATATCCCGTCTTTCGTTTTCTTTTTCGAGCTGATTGACAAATGTTCGTTATCAAAAATATATCAAACGTCAAACGGTATTGCACTGATAAGCCGACCTCCTTTTCCTCCCCGAGAAAAGGTAATCAGTCACAAAACGGGACGTGGCACGCCGAACTGTAGGCATTCTTGACTTAAATTATAATAGTCAGATTAGACATGGTTTTTGTTTTCTAGTAGATGGTTTCATTCACTGGGCTCATAATTGAATTGCTCCATAGTAATTGTTTTGCTCTTCCTTGAAAAGCGACTTCCTTCATATTTCTCTCCTCCCTTGAGCCGTCATCATTACCGTCTAGTCTGTCTGGAGAGATGTTCATTTGAGCTGGCTCCGCGGCGCCTGGCTCCCCTTCTGCATGCATAACAAAGTGTCTACCCCCCATTCATTCCGCTGCTTATCACGTGAAGCATTGGCCGCTCTGTGCACTTCGTTCTTGCCGACGACTCCATCGTTTCCTTTTTCGCTTTTATGTCCGCTTCCTTCTTCTAAATGATCTTCTCGTTTTGCAGGTATGGTCGCTCATTCCTCGGACGGGTTATCCGCCACGGCTCCAGTCACCGGCGGAGATAATATGGTTGACGCTTGCGCGACTCGCGACGAGAAGCCACAACGCGTCGAGCAGGCTTCGCAGCAACTCTCGGAGGAACAAACGGTTCAGCTTCCGACTGTCGACGCGTTCCGTCGAGCCATCCCGGCTCACTGCTTCGAGCGTGATCTCGTCACGTCAATCAGATACTTGGTGCAGGACTTTGCGGCGCTGGCGCTGCTCTACCTTGCTCTTCCTCTTTTCGAGTACTTCGGATTGGTCGGATATCTTGTGTGGAATTGCTTGATGGGAGTCTTCGGATTCGCTCTCTTCGTTGTTGGACACGATTGTCTTCACGGATCGTTCTCTGACAACCAAACAGTCAACGACATCATCGGACACATCGCGTTCGCTCCACTCTTCTCTCCCTACTTTCCATGGCAAAAGAGTCACAAGCTTCACCACGCCGTAAGTGAGCACCTATGAATGCAAGACAATTCTCTCTTTCAGTTCACCAATCACATTGACAAAGACCACGGACACGTGTGGGTCCAGGATAAGGACTATGCGAATTGGCCATGGTGGAAGAGGATGTTCAACCCGTTGCCGTTCTCTGGATGGCTCAAGTGGTTCCCAATTTACACGGTCTTCGGATATTGCGACGGATCTCACTTCTGGCCGTACTCTGCTCTGTTCGTCCGTGACTCTGAACGCGTCCAGTGTGTGATTTCTGCCGTCTCCTGCTTCACCTGCGCCTACATTGCTCTCGCCATCGCTGGATCCTACTCCAACTGGTTCTGGTACTATTGGGTGCCACTCTCCTTTTTCGGATGTATGCTCGTCATTGTCACCTACTTGCAGCATGCCGATGAAGTTGCAGAGGTGATCATCACTCAAATTCGGTCCAGAACGTCTTGAGTTTTTTCCAGGTCTATGAGGCTGACGAGTGGAGCTTCGTTCGCGGGCAGACTCAGACTATCGACCGTTACTATGGACTCGGATTGGATACGACCATGCATCACATCACTGACGGACACGTTGCTCATCACTTCTTCAACAAGATCCCTCACTACCATCTGATCGAGGCTACCGACGGAATCAAGAAGGTGTTGGAGCCATACTTAGAGACCCAATACGGCTACAAGTATCAAGTGAACTACGACTTTTTCGTCCGTTTTCTGTGGTACAACATCAAACTCGATTACCTGGTGCACCGAACCAAGGGAATAATGCAGTTCCGATCGACTCTCGAAGAGAAGATGAAAGCCAAGTAAAGAGAGCCGTCCGGAGTACAACAACTTTCGCGTGTTCACCGGGTCGCTTCTCGTCTGTTTCCCCTCTTCTTTTCCTGACACATATTATACGCTTCTTTTTTTCTCTGCCGCCCTTTTTTAAAATTTAATTTCGACGATTTCATAAGTCACTTTTCTTTCACATACCACAAAAGATAACAGAACATCCGACACACTAGGGTGTACTTCGTCCTTTTGCAGCCGTTTTATCAACGATCGATCAGTGGTGTTCTGTGATTCCGCACTTTGTTCACCTGCTCCACTCCGTTTTCTCGCCCGATTGATTAGAACTGTTATCTTGTGACAGTCCTCTTTTTGGAAGGGATTGGTTGTTCTTTGTTTCGCGTTTACGTTTTTTCTGTAGTTTGGACACTTGGTTTCATCGAACAGCTCCTTCGAATTCCGGGAAATTTCTTTCAGATGTGCTCAAGATCGGTGGAGCGCAATTGGCAGACTTCTGCGGATAGAGGAAAACTTAAGCACAGAATCCCGACTATCACCCGTAACGCAAATTCAGTGCAAAACTTGTAAAGTCCGAGATTGAGAGTGTTCACTTTCTGCTACCGTTATCCTGTCTGCTTGAATAGAGTGTGACAATCCCGTAGAAAATTCGAAACCCGTAGAAACGCCAAAATGCAGAAAACTCAGAACATTTGACTCCTCATGGCATTTTTTAAACGTTCTGTCAAATTTTCATGTCGTAAATGATTAGTTACTAAAGGGGCGAAAAAGGCAATCAAAAATGAGTCAAGACAGTGTGCGCGCACCTTGCATTAGGCCCCTCCTACGGGATTTGACATTTTTCTTCAGGATTTGACTCCACGGGTTTCGAATTTTCTACGGGATTGTCACACTCTCCTTGAATACAATTATCACCAGAAGGCTCGTGCCGATTTGATTGATGAGTGTTTCGAAAAATGTCTGCCGATCCTGCAAACGCTCCGTCTCCGTGTCTCTCTTCCGATGAAAATGATATGGCGCCGATGAAAAAAGTGCACTGTCGGTCGGCCGTCTCCGCTGATCACCCGCTCTCAGAGGGGGCAAAGGACGCGAGTACGTGTGCTGGGCCGAGGCGAGAGATACGGCGAGGAGCGGAGATGGTTTCGCAGAATAAATCACGCCATATTGTGCGGCGGTCGCTTCGGTTCTTCGGCGGCCGAGACTGCCCTCCTCTCGTAATGAGAGACGTGTTTCAGACCGGACATTATTTCCTTCGAGACGCGGAGAGACACTGCACGCCTCCTTTCCTCTCTCCACCAGAACTCTGGCCTCATGACCTACAGTATCAGTCGTTTTTGAGAAATCATACGATTCTTTTCTTCCATCTGTGGAGCCTACAACCACCTCTATCAGTTCTCATTCTCTTCTTTTTCTCAATGCTTTCTCTCCTAATAATGCCAATCTTTGTCATTACAGTAATAACCGAGCAAAAATGACAATTGCGACAAAAGTGAACACGAGCAAGAAGGACCAGTCCAATCTGGAGACGATCAAAGTGCCCGATCTGCCTTCGATTGGTACCATCAAGGCTTCGATCCCGGAGCACTGTTTCGAGAAGAATGCTCTTACCTCTATCCGCTATCTCGTGCAAGATTACCTGCTCTTGGCCGGTCTCTACCTCGCAGTCCCATATCTCGAAGGATACCTCGGATTGGTCGGACTCGTCCTCTGGTACTGGGCCATGGGAATCGTCGGATCTGCCCTCTTCTGCGTTGGCCACGACGCCGGACACGGCTCTTTCTCTGAACACGAATGGCTGAACGATCTCTGCGGACACCTTGCCCATGCTCCGATCCTCGCTCCGTTCTGGCCGTGGCAAAAGTCTCACCGACAACATCATCAGTACACTTCGCATCTTGAGAAGGATAAGGGACACCCATGGGTCACCGAGGAGGACTACAACAGCCGCACAACCATCGAGAAGTACTTCGCCGTCATTCCAATCTCCGGATGGCTCCGATGGAATCCGATCTACACTATCGTCGGACTTCCAGACGGATCCCACTTCTGGCCGTGGTCGCGTCTTTTCGAGACCACCGAAGACCGTATCAAGTGCGCCGTTTCAGGACTGGCGTGTGCTTTCTGTGCTTACGTAAGTCTCTAGACTCTTCGGAACGGAACAACTTGCTGCCTTTCAGATTGCTTTCGCTCTCTCCGGTTACTCGGTGTACACTTTCGTCAAGTACTACTACATTCCACTTCTGTTCCAAGGACTCATTCTCGTCATTATCACGTATCTTCAACATCAAAACGAGAACATTGAGGTATACTTTGTATCAGGGAAAGTGATAAGAAAAACCTATTATGCTTAGGTTTACGAGCCAGACGAGTGGGGATTCGTGCGTGGACAGACTCAGACGATCGACAGACACTGGGGTTTCGGACTCGACAATATCATGCACAACATCACGAACGGCCACGTGGCTCACCACTTCTTCTTCACCAAAATCCCGCACTACCATCTGCTAGAAGCCACGCCGGCCATCCGCAAAGCCCTTGAGCCACTGAAGGAAACGCAGTACGGATACAAGCGGGAAGTCAACTACGACTGGTTCTTCAAGTACCTCAACTACAACGTGTCGCTCGACTATTTGACCCACAAAGCGAAGGGAGTTCTGCAGTACCGAGTGGGAGTCGAGGCTCAGAAGGCGAAAAGCTACTAATCCATTTCACGTGTCCGATTGCCATTTCTCAATTTACTCGAATACTTGGTGTCACATTGACTCTCGGTTTCCTTTTTGTTTTTCTTCTTTTCAATAACAGGTTCCAATGAACGAATGTGAAATTATTCTGGTGATTGATGTAAGTGCAAAGTAGAGTACAGGTGTCGAAAAATATATTTATTGATGTACCATCATAAGTTATATAATAGTTATCATTGAAGAGAAAACCCTAAACATCGACATATCGAGTACAAATATTGAAGAGGGGCGCGGATTGACGGGGGCAAACTAGGCGGTACAATTAGGGTTGTCTATGCGTATCCGTTTTTGATTGGTTCTTCACGGTATATACAAAAATGCGGCAGGAAGAGTCGGTGTGAATGGAGGTGGTCGCGGTGTTCGAACGATTAGAGACGACGGGCCTTCTTGCGGAAGTAGCAGCAAACCATGCACTGCAACCGAGACTTTCTGTTCGTTTGCTCATGATCTCCTCTTCGAGCCCCCTCGCCCAATTCGCTATTGTGATCTATTGCGGAGCGGAAACCGGTCGGTCTCGCTGCTCGGCAGCTCCCTTTTACCCCATTACCTGTTGTCCGTTGTTCTGTCCGACTTGGCAGACTGATTGTCCTGGGCACTGGTAGTTCTGGTTGCACGAGCCGATTTGGACTCCTCCGGTGCATCCGCATTGGGCGTTCTGTGGAGCCTGAGTGGACACGTATGGAGCTGGGGTCGGCAGAGATCCTGGCTGGCTAGAGGTGTCCCAGACGCAAACTTGCGAGGAGACATCGAAGACTGTTCCTGGGGCGCATGGCATGCGTTGCCATCTACCGCAGAAGAGGTTGTTCGGGGCCGGCTGGCATTGGAGGAAGTGGGTGCGGGACTGTGGGTCAGTGGCCAGTGGGTCGATCATCCACGAGCAGATTCCCTGGTACTGGGCGTTTTGGACTCCCGATCCTTGGACTGAAAGAGTAAACAAATAGAACGGGAAGTGAGGGGAGAAAATAATACCGAGAGGGCATGGCTGTGGCTGGACGACTGGGGAAGACTGTTGTGGGCAGTATTGCTGCTGGGTGGTGGTGGTTTGGCAGTTCTGAAATGGAGAGGTGAATTCAAAGAGGCAATCGGATTCACTCGTACAGCTTGGATCTGGGATGGAGAGCATTGGCACTGCTGCATCTGGGAAGGAGCCTGGGTGGTGGTGGTGACGGAGTCTTGCTGGCAACACGAGATCGAGACGAGGATCTGCTCGTTCTGTTGGGTGGTGGTGGAGCAGGTGCAAGCTGGCTGATTCTGTGGGCATGGGCACGATGGGTACTGCGAGAATCTCTGAAAGAGGGAAGAATGAGACGAGGAAGGATCGGGAGGGAACTGACCAGTGGCTGTGGAGCGGATCTGCGGACCTTCTTCGGGGCGGAGATTGGCTCAAGGATTTCCGGGGATGGGCAGACACAGTTCTGCTCTCCGTTCGGGCAGGCGCACTGTCTTGGGGCTTCACGGATCTCCTCGACGAGGAACTGCATGGCAGAAGCAGTTGGGCAGAAGTTGTATTCGGTGGCATTGGCGGACTCGCAGAGCTCCTAACAAGAGAGAGAGAATGAAGAATGAAAGGGGAGAAGGGAGGGAAAGTATTACTTGTTGTTTGTTGACAGATCGGACAGTCTTGCACCGACGAGCCGAGGCGACGAACTCGTATCCAGGGAGGCATTCGCGAAGGAGCCAGATTCCGAGATCTTTTCTGGAAATGTGAGAAGCTCGAGTGGGGAGGCTCGAGTGCTTTGGCTCACCTGTCGGCGGCGAACGAGGATTGGCGCACACATTCAACGTAGCGGGTCGGGTCACCAGTGGCTCGGGGAAACGAGGGCAGCTGGCAAATGTCGCCAAGAATGGCTCTCCAATACTGCGGAGTCTCCTCGCCACTCTTGGATTCGCAGGAAGCGAATGCTGAGAAAAGATAAGAGATAAGGAAAAGAAGGAAAGAGAGAGGGATAAACCTGCAAGCGAAGCGCATCCGATAATGAGCAGGAGGCGCGCCATGTGTAGTGAGAAGAAGCTAGTGTGATGCTCAATCGGAAACTCGTCGCGCTTTTATACTCGTGGGCTCTGGAGCACACCTGGGAGGGCTCCTCTCGCGCGGCGCCCTCTACTGGGCGGAGCCGCTGCTCCCGCCCTAATCCGGAACTCATCAGTGGCATACCGCGCGGAGGAGCCGCGGCAAAGCACGCGCACACAGTCGCTCACTTCTCGCGTATACTTGTAGGGTGACAGTTTGCGGGGGAGGAGGGATGATACTCGCATTTCGATTTAGATTGAGGTCCAGAAACTTGCGGTCAAACGTGCATGTTTGTGGAGGGAAACCAATAGGTAAACAAGGCGTGCAGAATGGCAACGTACTGCAGACAGTGTACTTTAGCCTCGGCCTTGATTTTCGAAGAAACCGTTTGAGTTTGAGATAAGTAGGTGCTTGACGAGCCAATTCACCGTTTTTGTGTACTCCAACTACAGTAATCCGACGATTTCCTGTCGCCAGAAGAGCACTTCTGAACGAAATGGTAACATGTTTGTTGTGAGATCAAAGGTTTCCAGAAGGTTTCTCACGTCATCCTCTGGTTTCGGTTATTTGTTCGGTTCCAGCTCGATCTTCTTCTTTCGTGCACATACCCAGTTCTCAGATGTTCTAGACAATGGAATGCGGATCAGTTTCCTCAGACAATCTCTGATCGGTGGCCATCGATGTACGTATAATATGCCCACTCATCCCCCTTAACAATCAGCGACGAGTCGAAAAAAGGTTGGCGCGAGCTCGTTGACGCCGCGTTGCCGCATGCGCGTCCCCTATTCCAGTTTGCCACGAATCGTCCGAGGAAGCAATACGAAGAAGATGAAGAAGGAGAAGAAGCGCAGGGCGAGGAACAATGTGTGTCGAGTCACTGCCGAGTGCTCCTATTGGTTTTTCAACAGCCTCGCGGGTCCCTCGTTGGCGCGAGAACAACGAAAATGATACTCTCGGGTGGATCTCCTCCGCGCGGCATCAGCTCCTGCTCGGTCATCCGCGCGCGCATCCCGTCGAGTGGCATCTCGCACTGTTGGCAGTGTTACGACACACCCAAACACTCGTACGCGAACAAGATTATCTGACATGAACTGATGCTCTCATTCCTGGCAACCCGTCGGTTCCCACGGCACTTCTGCCTCCGAACCCTCATTCTCTCCATTTCCATTTGCTTCTATTTCGGACAGTCTCCCTCCCGCGCACCTTCTAGTACCCTCGACGAAGAGAAAATCGGGGCTGTAATCAGTCAGCTGTTTGTCGAGTTCGCTTGTTTTCTTCGCGCGCCCAAATATAGGGCACACAAGACGGTCGGCGTCACCGATGAATGCGAGAGAAAGTGCAGCTTGAAACACAATAGCATCCGTGATCGAGCAAGGAAGTGCCGGCGCGCGCGCGTCCGGAGCCTTCCATTCACCATCGGAACGGCCGAGGAGGACGACAAGAGACGTGTGGCCCAAAAACAATACTGCTCTGTTCGGTGTGCTCTCAGCTGTTTTTGTGTGTGCTCAATGTGCGTTTTTTCGCACCACATTTCCTTGATCTCGTCATGTTCAATAGATCGGAAGAGCGCATTCGCGCTTAATCAAAAGGAGAAGCGAGTACAGTAGCCGGAGGAGCGGAGAAGGTCGGGAGCCGAAATCTCATCCGGCGAAGAAGAAGAAGAAGACGGCACTTGAGAAACAATACGCATTGTTTATCGCCTCTGCCCTCTCGTGCCGGTGAGAAAGCGAAGCATTGAGGAGCGGACAACGAACGCGGAAGGCAACTTTTCGGATCTGGGGGATATTCAGATGGAGAAGAAGAAGAGCGAGATATTTGAGCCTGAGCAAACTACGATAGAGACCACAGATTGAATTGTGTCTGCCCATGATGCTGTTCTTTTTTGAAGTGAACCAGTCTGCTTCTTCTGGAGCGAGTACTTCGGAGTATGTTCCGCTGAGCCCGGCAGTGATCGATGTCTTTGTCCTGGAATGTTTACATGGCAACATGCGGTTCCCCCCCACCGGACGTTTCACGGCTCCAGTCTCGCCGACTAATCATCTTTCGAAATGATAAGCGGGTTACGGTGTGCCAAAAAGTGACGACTCTCCGCGCGTTTCGCTCGAACAGGATGTGACACATCTGCGTTCCGATTGCACTCGAATTCTCGCCCAACCACTCACTTACCAGTTGGCACCCGACATTCCCAAATTGGCACTTTTGACCTGGTTTTCGTGTCAATAAAGTTCGTCGCCCTGTCTCGGGTGTATCACTTTTATTTGCCAATTGCGCAACCTGATTTCTGAGCAACGACGAGAAGACTCGCCACTACCGCTCATTCGGATTAACTATAATATTTGTACTTCACAGATTTCGGGCCCACGTTTTTTGAAAATGCTTCGAACTCATCAGAAAAGCTGGTTTACTGTGACGAGCAAAGACTAGAGAAAGAGGGGAACGAGAGTCAGTTGTACTTATGAACCCGGACTGCCCGCCGTTCGTTTTTTGCAGGAGCGCGCACTTGATACTGGATCACTAAAGGGCCGCAACACGCGACGAACAATTGCTGGAATGTTGTCGGCAAGTGCAGGAGTGATGAGCAATGAATGGCTGGTTTGGAACACCGAAGAACACAGCTGACACGCCCTTATCACTCACTACCACACAAACTACAGCGTTCCAGTGGAATGCACTTGGATCACTTCCTATTTGCTTATACTTACGGAACCAAAAAGAAACTGAAACTTTTTGAAAATGCAAATAACCGAATGAATCTGGCCTAATCGGGTTACCGATCCCTTACCGAGTATCGGATGTCCTTCATTTCGACCGGAATGTCCTCTTCGAATCGACGGCAACTTCGAGTTGTTCTGGCTCGAAATCCTCCAGATGCCTTCGCAAACTGCCCCATATTCCCAACTCTTGATGTCATTCTCCAATGCCCCTTTCCTGGATGGACGCTCGAGGTAAAGGAAGCGTAACTCTCTGCGAGTTTGAATGCTTTTAGGTCTTGAAAATGATAACGGACGCTTTAAAGTGGGATGTCGTTCCAGTTGTGACTCCGACAATCGTAGGAGGATTGGATTGGGGAACGATGACAGTAACAAATGGCAGCTATAAGTTAGGATAAACAGAAAGAGTTTCAGGGGAACGGAACGTGGACGGGAGCGCTCGGATACCTTCAGAATGGGACTGCGGACGCCGTCGCCCTCATGTACCAGAAGACGGATCTTCGTGACGAGTACTTTGAATACTCATACCCAGTGACGAATGTGAACGAATCCTTCCGCTAAAACACCGTGTTTCTCTTTAGGTTCAGCCCGTTTTCGTGGTTCGGAAGAAGGCAGAAACCATCGGGTCAGTTCTCTGGAACGCTTTCAAGCCATTCAGTTACGAAGTGTGGCTTTGTTTGTTGGGTACGCATTTCGGGTATTTTCCTGATTTCATTTGAAACTTCAGCAAGCCTTCTGATCAACTTGCTCTTTTTCATTTTCATCAGTGGAATCGAGTTCAAACTATTATTCAGAACTTGTTTTCGGCCGTACGAAGTGTGTCTCTTTCCGTATTTCCCTTAAAAACTGATATTTCTTCAGATGTTTTGGCACATGATTCAATTGCAGCTGGATGAGAAAAGCGAAGACATGCTTTTTTACACTTTATCTGGAAATATTGTCCTTTTCGTGTTTGCTCTTCTGCAGTCCGGCATTCTGATTGATCTGTACAAAGGAATGCTTCTCACCGCGCTCATCACTTCCAGCGGAGACAATCCGTTTACGAATGCAAATGAAATGATCCAGATGATAGCTGAAAAGAAGTATCACTTGACTACGAACTATTTGGGAAACTGGTAATACTTGTGCTTATTAGACGGTAGGGGGGAGGCAGCAGCCATTAGTCAATTAGTTCGTGCAAACTTCAAAGTAGATAAATTCACGGAACAAGCTCAATTCCCCTCTGTCAGGTACTTCGATGACCTGGAACATTCCGACCAACAGCACTTTGTCCTTCTGCGATCTGCCACTGCTTCCAATCCGGTTGTCCGTCCCTTCTTGCTCCCTTCCGCTCTTCCAAATCTCCATTTTCAGGTTGCAGCTGCGAGTGTTTCAGCTGCTCTTGATCTCGTAGACACTGGAAAGTATATTTATCCGATTCAGCAGGACTCGCTGGCAATGCAAATGAGCAAGGAACGGTGCAATTACGTGTATGTGAGCGACGGAATGCCACAAGTCTCCTCGTATTTCGTTTTCAAAAGTAACTTCTCCGGTGTTGCCGACTTCAACCGTCAAATCATTATGAATCAAGTGTTTGTACAGAGAACATTCAGCAAATATTTCAGCGAGGTTTCCACCTTATCGCTCGCCGCCAAAGGAGCTTTTCTCTTTCTCTTTCCAGGGCTTTAAGCTGGGATTCATTCCGAAGTGCGCCACGGGCGACGAGACGCAGACGGATGCGTCGAAGCCCTTGGACATTGAATCGGTGATCGGAGTGTTCACAATCGGAGCACTTGGCATCGCCGCTTCGATCGTCGCCTTTGTAATCGAAGTGGGTCAACACTCTCCGCCGTCCATCGTCTCAAACTTTGCTCCCAGATCTATTACTATTGGCACATGCGGATCGTGGCCCGTCGCGCCCGGATGCGTGATCCATGGAACGTGCGTCATCTCGCTCGCATCGCCCAATTGCACTTTACCACTTCGCAGCAATACTCCGACATTGACGTGATGCGCCTCGTCGATGCCCTCAACACGTCGTCTCCGTCCTCATCATGAAGAAAGAACTGCAAACAGTGCCCTGACTCATCTGTTTGTCTTTTCCTCTCGTGTTGTCCAATGATTCACCTGATCGTTTCCCTTTATAATCCCGTGCTTTTATCAGTTTCAAACCATTCTCGGTACTCTTTTCATTGTCCACTTGATGAGCCAATCGACACACTTTTAATATTTCTGTCATTTGGCATTTGAGTTTGGTAGAATTGTTCTGAAATGTAGAATAAAAGAATATAATATCAGTGTTTATATCCCTAAAACAATTTATTCGTTTGTTTCAGTCATTCCCAGACATGCCTTCGTGCCAATGTACACATAGTCCAAGTGTCGTACATTCTGTCCCTTACAATCTTTTGATCGATACGTTATCACTTGCTCTCTAATAAACACTACGATTCCCATCCGTCCCTGCCAACGACTACAAAAACAGACTCCCCCTCCCTTCTCCTTTCTGCCTTTCTCAATTTCTTTCCCACCTTGCTCCGAGTTTGCCTTTCACTTTCACTCTTCACTCATATTTACCACTCGTTTCCCTTTTTGCAGCCGCCTTCCTTCATACTCTCGAAATGGCAATCACCTGCACCGACATCCCCAAGTTCATCTGCGCCGTACTTATTCCGGTAAGTTCCTTCTTCTCATTTATCCCTTTCCTATTCCGTTTATTTCAGCCGATCGGAGTGTGGATGGAAAAGGGATGCGGAGCCGATCTGATTATCAACATTGTTCTCACCATCCTCGGTTATATTCCAGGAATCATCCACGCGTGTTTCATCATCTGTTGGTACTAATCCCTAAGATCACACTCTAATCGTTCGGGTTTCATGTTTAATAAAAATTTTCCCTTCTTTATTTCATTTTTTGTTGAACTTTTGAATTTTGAACATTAGACCGCCTTGCACACATACACCGAGGAATGGCCACGATTCCAGTGGATCTTGCCGCCATCTGTGACTGCCGAGATCAATCGGCAACGCGGCTGGTTAGTCATTGTGAATGCGTCGTTCAACTTTTTCGATTACTTCTGGAGGACTCTGAATATCGGTTCACTCCCTCTCCTGCAGCCAAAAGCGTTTCTACGTCTCTATCGACTTTCCCCGCTTGCCAGCTCGGGGAACACTTCATTGGGAGCAGCGTCGCGAGTTAAGACCTCCAACTTGCTAGTAGCTTAGTTGCAGAGATCTTCATTTCAAATCAACGGATCACGAAACGCTAGACAGGATATGAGGACGATGGGGAGAAAGCTAACAACAAACTATCTGACAATTTGATTCACATGGCAGCATGCCTGATTTCGGCACCTTCCGCATGTAGAAGCAGCCTTTTCTTGGCGACGCCCCAACGATAACCAGAGAGGCCTCCGCTGCTTGCGACGACACGATGACACGGCATCAGATAGGCGATGTTGTTCCGGGCGCAGGCACCAGCGACAGCACGAGTCGCATTAGGATTTCCGATATCTCGCGCTATCTGTTGAATAATTGTTAATACAGTATTCTTTCAATTGAAACCCCTGATCACTTACTTCCGAATATGAACGAGTCTGTCCCTTCGGAATTCTCTGAATGGCGTTGTAAACCTGGATCCCAAATGCAGTGTCTCCCTTGTGCACCATGTTGACTTTGACAGTAGAATCCAAGGTGTTTATGGCTCGCACAATCTGAGAATCACTCAATTCTACAGAAATGGGTGCACCCCCTCACTTCGGCGGTCTGTGTCGGGCTGCCACTGATGAAATGAACAGTGGGGAAAGAATCGTGAAGCTCTTGTATTTGAATGTCGAGGTCATTGTTCAAAAAATAAACAGCTACAATTTTGAAGCTCGTCAGACACTCAGCAATCAGAACCTTAATAAATTCCCCGTCAAATCTGAGAAGTGCTTTCAACATACGTCTCCCTGATCTGTTTCAGCAACTTCATACACACACTCTCGAATTATCATGTCTGAATTAACAAGTCCCTATTTATTCGCACCGTGCAAACCTTTTCGGATTTGAAATATGCAATGTTCAAAACATGAACTTGAAATAGACCGGAGAACAATAACAATTTATTAACATACAAATTCTTTAGTCGAAAAGACCGAATCCCATGTCATCATCTGATTCCTCCTTTGGCTCCTCCTTCTTGGCTGGCTTGCTCTCGGCGGCTGGGGCAGCTCCTCCGGCAGCAGGGACGGCGGCGGCAGCTGGAGCAGCTCCTCCGGAAACCTGTAATACAATACATTTATTTAACAATCCATAACCAATTTGAGCTATATTGAACAAAACTATCTTAACTTTGATTTTTGCATATACAAGCAAAAATTTTGATAAGAGGAAGTTCAGGAGAACGAAGTGGAGTGGGGACACACCGCACGGTTCTCTCAGTGATCCCCACTCGATCACCTGGTTCATAAGTTCGAGAGCTGACAGGACAGGGCGACTAGTAGAAAAAAAACTTACAGAGACGAGTCCAGAAGATCCCTCGGCGATGAGCTCCTCAATTGTCTTTCCTTGAAGTCGGGAAACGACGAGCTTGGCGGTATCAGCATCAACATCAACACCGACAGCGCTGAGGATGTTCTTGAGGTCGTCAACCTGAAACCAGTTTGTTTTGTGATGTGACTATGTAGATGGGAACAAAAACTCACCTTAGGGTTGGCGTTTCCTCCGAGAACGGCGAGCAGGTAAGCCGAAACGTAACGCATATTACCTGAAAAACGCGATTTGAAGACTTTCAGCAAAAGTTCGAATTGACGAAAAACCGGTCAAACAGCATATGGAAAAATTCGCCACGGCTTTTAAAATCGAATGGTGAAATTTTCAGCTTAAAATTCCTTGAAATTCGCAAGAAATTACGTAGGAAAATCACAAAAAAGAAAAAAGAATAAAATTCTGTCAGTGAGAGTGTACTGTGAGGCGAGCGCGGCGAGACCCGTCGGCCGGGAAATGCTGTGTCCCTTTAAACATCCAACGAACAAATTTGCCACCCGACGCGTTCAAAATTTTTCGGATTTTTTTTTTGATTGATGAATGCATTCATGAATGGTAATCGTTAACAGTAATATTTTTTCAGAAAAGGCACCTTTTGTGGTTGCAATATTCGCAAAACTGGTACGTAAAATACTGAAAGTCGAAACATGAAAAGGGAAAAATAGTTTTCAGTCGGCAATCTTCAATTTCCAAAGCCTCATCTCAGTTATTCTTCTCCTTATTTGCACGTGTGCTTACGTCAGGGCTTTTGCGCCAAGAGTGATCGATAGAAACAAGGAAGGGTGAGTTGTCACGCACTTTTGGCGACTTTCCGAAAAACTACTTGTTTTCAGACTTCTCGGAGTATTCTGGAAGTGTGCCCGAATCGGCGAGCGTCTCAGTCCCTGGGTCTCGATCAGTTGTTTCTGCATGGCCTTTGTCGTGCTTTTCCTTTAAAGCGATGGCTATAAGAATGTCTTCCACGCCTACGAAAAGATTCGATGAGAAAACAAATGAAATGAGACGTCGACCGCCAACTAAACCGAGCAATGATCCAAATCATATTTATATCACAAGGTAAACCGACTTCTGTTTAATTTCAAAATTTTGCACCACAATTCATAGGTGCGGGATGTTTGAGAAATGTCAAAACATTTTTCCGACCGCCAATATGACCCCCCCCCCCCTGTGGAAAAGGATAAAAGAAATTTTCAAAACATGTTCAGGTATCCTAGTGGGTTCAAGTGAATAGAAACTGATCGAATATGACCTATAGAAGCTATTTAGACAGTTAGAACAACCTGACGCGTTACGGCTGCTAAATTTTTTCCAAGCCAGGCCCCTCCCACTCGCCTGCAGAGATGGGCGCGGTGTGGTCGAATGAGTCGCCTGTCCCGAACTGCCGGCGCGCAATTCAAAACACCTATGCCACAATTATTTTTAGAAAAACGAATGTCGAGTCGCAAGCGAAAACCACTGAGAAGATGCTGAACAACGAGTTCGACGAAGTGTTCATTCATGGAATGGGCGCATCAATCAACAAAGCCTTGGTTTTTGCGATGGAAGTGGAACGAAGATTCGCGGGAAGTGTGAAATCGGACGTTCAAACGTCTACAGTTCAATGCACGGATGACATTGTTTCCTTGCTGGAGCTAGACCAGAACGAAACAAGACATCGTTCAGTTTCCGCTGTGCACGTTCATCTCTACCGTTCTGCTTCATGATTCCGTTGTCTGCATTCCTTTCAAAATAACTCAACTGTTTGCTCCTTCTTCTACATGAATCCGTCAGCAACTTCATCGTTTCCAATTGTCTTTCTTCGGTTTATTCACCCAATATTTCTAACACAAAGAAAGAACTCTAGAAAAGTATCCAGTGTGTTGTAGATGTTCGGCAGAGTATTGATACAAAGGATAGAACTGTTTCACATTGCCGTCAAACCTAGGCGGTTATCCACAAAACCACGGCTCGCAATCGTAGGCTCCGGGCCGGCTGGAATGTTCGCGTGCAATGGAGTGCTGCGAAAAAGCGATTTCGCCGTCGACGTGTTCGAGTACTCGCCAGTTCCGTTCGGATTAGTACGGTACGGAGTAGCTCCCGATCATCAAGAAGTGAGTGATCGGAACATAAATCGGAGAGAAAACCAGTAATAATTCAGGTTAAAAATGTGATAAATACATTCGATTTGATGTTCGAAAGGAATAGAGACCGGCTACAATTATTCTGCAATGTGAAGTAATCAGAATCACTCTAAGTTGTTCATTTCACATCCTTTTCCCGTTTTCAGTATCGGAAAAGACGTCACATTCGACGAATTGACGCGTGCATACGATGCAGTTCTCCTTGCTTACGGTTCCTACAAAACACGACAACTGGATATTCCGGGAAAAGAATCGGCCAATGTGATATCCGGATCAGAATTCGTCGGATGGTACAACGGAGTTCCGAACGCCCCGCCTCCCAATTTGTCCGACGTTTCCAACGTTGTGATTGTCGGGAACGGAAACGTGGCTTTAGACTGTGCTCGGGTACTCTCCACAGCTGCCTCCGGCTCTCTGAAGGCCAGTGACATTCCATTAAAACGGCTGATGGTGCTGGAGAAAGCGCCGATCAAGGACATTAAGGTGCTTGGCCGAAGAGGTCCTGAACATGTGAGTGAATTCTTTTGAAAGGGTACAAAACGAGCAGATGTCCGCGAGAAGCCCTCTGCGTTCCTCCTCCTCCCCCTCCTCCGTCCTTATTGAGCCGCCGCCAGCCAGTATCGATTCTTTCCTCCGCTTTCCCTCAACACGTCTCTCATTTATTTAGCCTTCTTGTTTTAGGTCTCATTCACGATCAAAGAGCTTCGAGAGCAATTCAAACTCAAAGAATGGGACAGCAAATTGGAATTGTCGGAGGTAGACAAGGAGAAATTGATAGAAAGTATGCCAGGATTGGAGAGAAAAAAGAAACGGCTAACTGAGGTACTCGTGAAGAATACTGGAGTGGCGAGCGGGCAAAGACAGTGCCACTTCCTGTTTCATCGAGTTCCCGAGCGGATCGAATCCGACAGAGACGGAAGGATCGAGTCGGTGACTGTGAAGAACACGGAGAACGGAACGACGGAGAAGCTGCCGTGCGGACTGCTCATCTACTCGATCGGATACGAGACTCTCGTTCTCGACGGAGTGCCCCAGAACGCTCGAAAGATGATCGACATGAAGGACCACTGTCGGGTGAACATGAGCGACACTTGCACCGCCCTAGTCTATGCAACGGGCTGGTGTGCTTACGGACCTCGCGGTGTCATCGTGGACACCCAACAGCAGTCGATCTTCGTCGCCGATCAAATTGCTACGGATTTTAGTAATTCGAAAAAGAGCAGTGAGTTGTTCAGCAGAAGATTGTGGGAAAACGAACAATTTCAGCTGCTCCGGGAGTTGAATTACTTCTGAAAGAACGGGCGGTCCCATTCATTTCGTGGGATGCGTGGAAACTCATCGATCAGCAGGAGAAAAAACGAGGAGCTCTAAGTGGAAAGATCCGTGAAAAGTTCACAAAGTTTGATCGTTTTCTGACAAAGTAGGTTGCGGACGGAAATTTTTAAGAAAACTAAACCGTTTGCAGATAAACAAGTCATTGTGCCATCTGCTTCTTTCCGGGTTCTACTGGAAATTCAGTCAAATTAGTATTGTCTTTTGCACTCACTTAGAATAAATATTCAATTGATCTTCATCTGAATTCCCCATTGAATCACTGGTTTCAAACCTTCATTACCTTTGCTTTTTTTTCTTGTATCATTAATGTTAACCATATTTAAGTGGATTTGTTCAGAAACATGAATTTGGAATCGCGACTTCTTGACGGGAAACCAGCTGGATACTGTAGCAGCTCGGAAGGAGAAGAAGACGATTTCAAAGTGGTGAACGACGAGGACGAACATCAGGCAAACGTGATGAGACGGATGGGACCGACGGCGAACACGGGCGCCAAAGGAGTGCTAAACGAGTTCAAGCAGTTCAGAGAGCAAACCAGATTGTGAGTTAGAAAAATACGAAAATAGGAAGATGACAGAAACGAATTATAGAGCTGTCGAATCGAAGAATCAGAAGTTGATTGAGCAAGCAAAGCGTGGAATGTTAATGGGAACGAAGGCCGAACGGGAAGCCGCGCAGAGGGAAGCGGAGGAGGACGAAGACTTCGAAATGACGCTGGAAGGACTGAAAGCGAAGCGACTGAGGGAAATGCGGAAGATCGCCACTAGCAGACTAATCGAAATGACCGAAAAGAAGCAATACTCGGATGCGATCGATGGCAGCACCTCCTATCTTTTGTGCGTTCTCATTTACGAACCCAACTCCGATGAGTGCGGTCACGCGACTCGCGTCCTCAAGATTCTGGCCGCAGATCATCCGAAGACGAAGTTCGTTCGGGCAACGAGCACTCTTTTGGAAATGAGCCGAGCATTCGTAAGTCAAGAAAAGAAAGGGAAAGGGAGCAAAAGGTTGAATGGTTCAGAGAACGGACGGCGTGCCGACCCTTCAGTTCTATTCGAATGGGCATCTCATCGGGAACTTCGTGAAGCTCTCCTCAGTTCTCGGCCACGATTACGACGAGAAGAGACTGACAAAATTTCTGAGAAGGTACTGTCGATTGAGTAATCATCAGATTCATCATCTCCGTTTCAGTCAGCACATAGACTTGATCTCCGGAGGATACGCATCGGACTCGAATGACGAATCTGAAGACGATGATTGAATCGAAAAAGAACTTTACCATAAATGTATTTATCTGAATCATTATTCGACATTGCCCTTATTAAAAAGTCTGTATAAATAAACATGATAATCGAAAAAGAGCGAACAAGTGAAGGAGGAATCATGGAAACTACACGTTTAGAGAGCGAATTGGTGCTGGGTCATCTGGAGTGCCTCCCATTCTCCTTTGAAGGCGGCACGGGGATCCGCTTGAGGGTTGACTGCCGATCCGGTCATTGACATCTGATCTTCCATTGCCTTGCTCTGATCGGCGGCGTTCTCACTTCCGAGCACGAGGGTGTAGATGGAACGGAGTCCGAACATGCAGAGGAAGTACCATGAAGCAGAGGAAACCCAGGCGGAATCGAGGGAAACGAGGTCGACTCCTCTTTGGAGCATTGCTTTGAACTTGAGGGTCAGCGGGAACGGAACGCGAGTGGTCACGAATCCAGAGAACGTCCAGTTGATCCATCCTCCCACCACGATCATCGGGATCTAAATGTCTAATTCTCAGCGAAGCTTTCTCATTTTCTCTCACCATGTTCATCATATTTCCTTTCAGCATCTCGGTCATTTGAGTCGGGTCCATTGGATTCGGTCCTTTCGCCGGTCTCGCCATCGCCTTCGTCAGATATCCGGTTTCTTCGGCACACAAGTACTGTCGTCTCGCGTTGAATGACGTCTTCGGGAGGAATCGCCCATTTTCTCGCAGAAGCCGTGCGCGTAACAGATATTGACCGTCGGCTATGTTCTCGAGTTCTACCTGGAAATTATGAATTTGTGGAAATTATTCAAAAGAGACAGATCGCTTACCTTCTTTTTGGACATCAGAAGAAGAGAAACGTAGTGTCTGAGGATTCCGATAAAGAAGGTTATGACCACGATCGGCAGGAAAACCCATGTCCGGATGGCCGGATCCAATAACAAGTCGGTCATCTGAACGATGCATTTGGAAAAAAAAAGAACAAAAACAAGAAAAGATATCATACAGAAACAAGGACTGCAGATGTTTAAAGTCATCATCAAGACGGGACAGCAATTATTTATTGACGTAATTTACATGAAAATGTGGGAGAAGCAATATGGGAATGGGAAAAACATGATCGTCACGAGAGCTGGCAGCACCGTTGCCATGGAGAACCGAGCGCAGTGGTGCCGCCGGATCCCAGCTGGAAGGTGCCGCTGGTCCCCTGCTCGAGCACTCCCTGGTCGTACTGACGCTTCAGGATGGTGGCCAATTCGAGGAACGCATTTTCAACGTTCACGTTCTCTTTCGCACTTGTTTCGAGCATTGCAAACATGCCTGTTAATAAACCTTTTTTGACTGTTCTGAAATCCAATTAAGCCTACCATTTGCTCTTTGGAGCATCTCCGCTTCTTCTGCTTCTATGGATCTCTGATTTTCCAGGTCGCATTTTGTGCCTAAAGTTATTGCTCTGTTTGAGACTTCCAAGACATTTGATGTAATCACCGATGAGAAGCTTAACTACATTCGGAGCAGCAAACTTGGAAACGTCGTCGATCCACCTTTGGAGGCTTCCGAATGATTGTTTGCAGGTGATGTCGTAGCACAGAACAATGCCGTTTGCCGATCGATAATATGATTGTGTGATAGTGCGGAATCTCTCCTGGCCTCCCGTGTCCCAAATTTGGAGCTTCACACGTTTTCCATCTGAAAATCGATCAATGAAAAAAAAGAACAATGAGGATGAAAACCGACCAACGGTGAGAGTCTTCATCGTGAAATCGACGCCGATGGTGGTGCCTTGTCGGTCGACGAATGTTCCGTTTCGAAATCTTTGGACTACGCATCTGGAATATAATTGATAATATAAAAGAACGAGAACCACGAAAACGAACGTTTTTCCGACTCCCATATCGCCAACAAGCACAATTTTGAACAAATAATCAAATCCGTCATCGTTGTCCATAAATGCTCGATTCTGAAAAATGGGAATATCGAATTATTGAATGGAAGAGATATAAAGCTGTCTAGAAGCGGAGCAGTGCCGGCGAGCGTCAGTTGAAGCGGCGACACGAAGAGAGAGTGCTCCGAAGGGAGAGGGTCAGACGACGAGAGTGTCGAAAGATGTGCCGTTTTCTCCGTCTGCCCGCTTCGCGCGCTATTTCGGAGAGACGGCGTTTCGCATGCACAAAAAATCCATTTTATTCAGAACTAGTACGCAGAAGGGAGTGCTTTCTCTCATATGTGTCACCTACTTTATATACAGCCGCATTCGTTTCTACTTTAGAGGAAAAAGTTGGCACTTGTAACCTTCCAGACACCGAGAGGGTTCAGAACACGCGAGAATCTGTAAATTTGATTGAATTATCTTGAATTCTAGAAGCGCATTACGTTGCGTTGCAAACGAGAACATCTCCTTTATACTTTTTATTGAGCTGAGTGATGGAGGCGTTCTCTGGCACACGTTCAGATAAGCGGACGTAGGAGACAACTGTGAAGTAGATTCCGATGTTTCGGCTTTTACTCACTGAAAACATCGCTTATTTCAAAAGTGTCATTCGATTTGAGTGCTTACACTTGAGTACGTCTTTTCCGGAGATGACTGTTGAGTGAAGAAAAGAGAGGATAATGTCATTCGGCGAAAAGCGAAGAGCCTTTTCGAGTTTCTCGGAGATGCCAGCTCTGGCTATTCTCATTTCATCAACGGTATCCTTGACAGCCAAATTTTCCATTTGATCCCAATTCTCGTCGGCGAAGAAGTGAGCCATACTGTGGATTCCTTTATTTGCTCCGTGCACAAGGCTTTTCACAGAGAAATTACGTTCGTAGGCCAAAGTGTAGAATGATTGGGCGAAGATACTTCCAACTCTTCGGCTCAATTCGAACGTCGGAACGGACACTTGCGGGAAGTCGAGGACAAATGGGCGATTGATCAACTGGGAATGAACGGCCTGAAAAGATGATGACAATGACGTGCTTTATGAGAATCTGCTTACCGTGACAGGATTCGGACCAGTTGCTGCACTACTCAGCATTTTCACTGGTGTTGTTGTTGTTGCTTGAAGTACCCGTCGAATCATTTTACTGCAATTATAATTTTAACGAAATTTTTAGAACAAACAATTATTCGATTGAATAAATAGGAAAAAGGTGAAGCTGAAGGTGTTTTTGTGATAAGAAGATGTACTTTTTTGGGAAGCAACGTGCCGCAACGTTGCGAGATCGGCGTGCCAGGGTTGCGGAATGCAAGCGCGCTCTAACGCATTCTGTTCAAAATTATTCGTTCCCGATAAAATTCAATGTTCTGAATAGAATACATTTTTCGTTATTTCAGGGTCGTTATCCTCGGTTAATGAGCTCAACGCTTAAAGAAACGAGTAAACCAAGTGTTGAGAGCTGTCTAAACAAGCTATACGCCGATCTTTTCCATCTCGTCAGCTCGTAAGTTTCATTTTCTTTCAAATTTACTATTTCTTCTTTCACAATAAAGTTCGCATCGTTTTTCAGCGTGGAAAAAAGTAGTGGTTCTGAGCTGACTTTACGTCTCCGGAACGTCGAGGCAGATATCACGACCTTCAAAGATCTCATCAAAAACATTCCGGATATCGGAATTGAAGAAGACAAGCAGAGAAAGAAGATTGCCGCTCTCTACAAGCAGATTGAACAGAAGGATGAGCTCATCCAGTCCCTCGCAGCATTCAGCCTCGACGGTAATCTTTGAAATGTCTGCCGATAAGTCAATATTTTTTTCCAGATTATCTCAACCAACCAGCCGCAAAGTCCAGCAGAGAATCCCGCAACGGAAGTGAAGACAAATGAAAACACGTACATATGTACTGTCTGCAAAACTGTTATCATTTTGAAAAAGATGACCACCGAATGGCTCGACGAAGAGAGAGAACTACCGTTGCCAAGACAACAGAAAGGAATCGATCACACCCAAACAGAGCCGGTACGCGGATATTACGGCGTCAAGGACATGTTCGCTTTTGAGAATGTTGGTTTCACGAGGTCTTCAGAAGGGAAAAGAGTATGTTCATTGTGATGAAGTGTTCAAATCGTTCATTTCTGTAATTCAGTACTTGGTTTGTGGAGAGTGCGAGCAAGGACCAGTTGGATTCGTAGACTCAGAAACGCAGATGAACTATGTTGCTCCGGCGAGGCTCGATGTGGCACCACAATAAATTCGGTCATGGGTTTTGTATGAAATCATTCAATCACTTTCACTGTCAAATTAAATTATTCGGTATTCCAGTAACTCTTTGTCGACTGTTTACCAACTTTTGCGTTCTATCGCATTGTTATTTATTGTGCCATTAAACTGTTTTGTCTAATATTTAGAAGTAGTTAAGAAGTTGTGATGGCAACCGAAAAGAAGGAAGTAGCACTGACGGCGACAGTCGAGGAACCGCTCGATCTTCTGCGTCTCAGTCTGGACGAGAGAGTGTATGTGAAGATGAGAAACGACAGAGAGGTATGAAATAGTTATGCGCAGTTCGATTGATGTTAACTTTGGCTTTTCAGCTTCGTGGCCGTCTCCGTGCTTTCGACCAGCACTTGAACATGGTTCTGTCAGAAGTGGAGGAAACGATCACAACTCGCGAAGTCGACGAAGATACGTTCGAAGAGATCTACAGACAGACGAAGCGAGTCGTTCCGATGCTCTTCATTCGTGGAGACTCCGTCATTCTAGTGTCACCGCCCATCCGCGCTTCCTAATTCTTCCGATCAGCTCGTACTCCTTCCACTTTGCATCATTGATCTGTTCACATGAATCATAAATTATTCCAAACAACGAAAGACATCAAGTATTCTTGTGACGTGGCCAACTAGCATTCTCGTGGCACCTTCTGCCGGATTTCATCACAGATTTCCTTCCCGTTTTCACTTTCACAAAACGAATCAGTTTTGATTTTACTGCCGGTTTCGGAGAATTCAAAGGCGGCGAAATGTTTGTAAGTGAATGCGGAATTCGATATGAAAAGGCGAAGAGAGCTTCCAGCTCAATAGATCGATGCGGTCGAAGCGAAAGAAGAAGAGCAAAGCGAACGGAGAGCGCAGTGAACGGAAGAAGAAACCGGCGAAAAAGGAAAGAAGCCAACGGGTGCGGAAGGTGCGTGCTGAAAAGAAGGACGACGCGGAGAAGAACGAAGAACGAGGGACGGTGATGAGAGCGGTCAGCACGGGAACGACGGGCGGCACCACTGGCGGAACAACCGGAGGACTCCCGGAACCGGCGGACGACAAAGGCAGCAATTTCGAGAAGAAGAAAAAGAAGGAGGAGACGAAGCCGGAGCCGTGGACGGGAGAGGAAGTGGCGAAGAAGATGGTTGCCGCCGGACTTTTCAGTGAGCGAATCCAGTTGAGTTCAGCATCTTATCTGCTTCGTTTTAGACGCGGACAGCATCAGCAGTGCTTTCAAAGAGCTGCCATCCACGAAGCCTTCGCAGGACGACTGTCCTCGATTCAAGAGCAACCTCCCGAAGGTACGAGCTCCGGACTTCCCGATTCCCGACGATAAGCTCATCAAACTGAGCCACGCACCAGAAAATTTCATCTGCGCCGCCAAAGTGAGCGTTCCGGAGTTCAACCGGACGATGATTCTGACTCAAGTGCCGGACGTGACCAGTCCGGCGAACATCGAGGACTTCTGGCGGATGGTCTTCCAGGAGGAGATCATTTCGGTGGTGATTGCAGTGATGCCGCTCGAGTGCTCCGTCACACTCCAACAATTATTCCCGATTTCGAGCGGAACGTTCGCCAACCACGGAAAAATGTTTCTGAACAACAAGAAAGTGGAGTCGGCAGTCGCAATGACCTCCTACACTCTGGAATTGCTGCCCGACGGATGTTCGAACTCGATCAACACGACTGTTTACCACTTGCACAATTGGAAGCAGAAGAAAGGATTGGAGAATGTGAGAGAGCTTGTCACGACCATGGAAAAGATTGTGAAGACTAACGAGGTGAGAATGCATCGGAAGAGTGACGAGACCGTTCAGTTCTTCAGAATACAGTGTTGATGAGCATGAATGGGACGGGAAGAGCCGGCACGATGCTCACGATCTTCACGAGTATGCTGCACGTAAACAAGGAGAAGGAAGTCAAAGTGAAGGACATTCTGGAGAAATTGAGATTAGAGAGATGTGGACTCGTGGAGAATTCCGAGCAGTTCAGCACTGTGCACAAGGCGTTGGCTCTGTGGTTCAAGACCAAATCGACGGACGATGATATTCAGAAGAAGGTGCAGGAGTACGCGCCGTCCCTTTAGTGACGATCATCGAATAAAAGAGTTACTTGATCTCCGTTTGCATTCTATTCTATGATTCCCCCAAACCTCATAAGTAAAAATGTTTTTTATGACTAAAGTTTATTTAAGAGAAAGGAAAGTCATAATCGAACCGCTTGAATCGTTTCAGAAGGAGAGGTAAAGCCAACAGAGAATGTGTGGGTTATCGATATTTACAGACAAGAATTCGTTCATTCGTCGTCGGAGTCGTCGTGCTCCAAATCTTTTCGCAGAACATCAAAGTCCGTCACGTACCACTTGGCACGGGCTTTCACTCCTTCTCTCACGACATTTCCTCCGAATCCGATGAACGCGTCGGCGGGCGGAGCAGCCTCTGCGTCTGTGGCTCCGTCTCCAACCATCACTACCGTTTTGTAGTGGTATTTTTTCTTGAGCAGCGAAATGACCGCCGGTTTACCCGTCTGAAACTCATTCGTTCACCCGTCGTTCATCTTTTGGGTTTCTCACTTCTTTACTTCCGGAATCACTGGTCAGTTCGCGCGTGTCGAATCCATTGTAGTTTCCTAGTTTATCGAACAGAATCTCATTAGCATAAATGCGATTTTTATCGATTCCGAGCAGTTCGGCAACCGGCTGAATGAGTCTCCGGAAGCCTCCAGAGACGAGATAGACGTGTGTGCCGCGAGCGTGCAGCCGGCTGACGAGCTCTTTGATTCCTGGAGTGAGCTTCGGACGAGTGATGTTGACGAACTGCTCCAGTTGCTCCGTGTTTGGTTTCATTACCTGCAGACGGGCGGCAAGAGCATCTCTGAAAGAATAGTACGGATTAGAAGATGACGAATAAGAGAGGAGCAATGCGAATGAGAAAAGAAGGAAGAAAAACGAAAATCGAATCACTTGAGATCAAAAACAAGTGTCTGTTTCCCACTATTCTCCATACTTTTGTTCACAAACAACACTCCAAAGAGTAAAACACGGAAGGAATTACGGAAGGCAGCATTCAGTTAGAGGGAAACAAGTGAGAAAGCACGCACACTTCCAGATTCAAACCGTGCTTCCAGGTATTACCTATACCTGAAGCGAGCGTTGCCGTTCATCGCCGTCCGCGTCACATTGGCGACGGCCTCACCTACGCCCAGGTACGCAGCCAACTCGTCGATTCCTTCGTCCTGGCAAACTGTCGAGTCGACGTCGAAGCAGACGGCGTTGGCCTTCCGCCACACTCGCTTCGTCTCCTCTTCGTGGTTCTTGACGATGCTCTCCGTCGCTGATGTCATGATTGAGCGGGGCACGGCGGCCGCAGATGTTGGCAGTGCGACGCGGATCATTCTGAAATGTGGAACTGATTTGTGATGCGGATGAGGTGGAGAGAATGAGGGAATGCCGGTCACCAATCCCCATATTTATAGTAGCCTAAAAAAGGTTCAGTGACGTGAGATAGACTGGAAACAGAGGGCAAAGTGTCAAAGATCAGGATGATAGCGAAGGCCCCGATGGGCGCAAAAAAGAGGAGTCTGACGCGACGGAGAGGAGCGAACAAAGTACGGTTCGGAAGAATCGGGTGATTTATAGGCGGGCCGTGGAGAGACGTTCTGTGATCACGCGATCTTCAAAAATCGCGGAACTCTCAAGAGAATGTCGGAGAGGATTCCCCTCGAAGGAGTCTGATTACCTAGTTTCCTGTGGGCCATCACAATGAATTGAATGAGAAAAAACAGAACAATTTTCTATTGATTACGCATGAATTTTGTGAGCAAAAAATAGTTCACAGTAACAAAGAGTTACTTTAGAATTCATCTTTCGATCGACGGAATTAGAATGCCGATGTGTGGTCATGTACCTTTATAGCCAATATATATTTCCGGAAACGCAATGAAAGTTTCACGGAGCGTTGACAGCAGGCAAAGGAAAACGAAGGACTTCCCAGCGAAAAAGAGGGACCGAAAAGTGGCATGCACTCTGTCGACACATGCGCGAACGAATAATGAGGCGGAGGGAAGAGACGCGGTTGCGGCGCGTCGTGATGCGGAGGAAAGAGAGGAAGAGGGAGGAGGGGGAGGACAATGCTGATTTCTGGCCAGTGACGTCGATTATGAGAGCGAGAGAACGATACCACGTCTCATTCAGATACAGTTTGCAGAGGCAAGAAGAAAAAGAAGCGGAACATGCGGGTGTAAAGTGAAAGGGAGAGTCGAAAGGAATGACAGAAGACCAACTGGTACCACGCACACACACACATTGCTTTGTCAGCAGGAAGTTGGGAGAAACGCATGAGTAAACGTGCATTTGTGGAAGAATTTCTGACTGGGGATTACGGAGAAGCACATAGAAAAAAAGGCGCTTTCTTTCCGAGAAGTCGGAGAACTATCAGACTCCAAAGAACAGTGAGAGAAGTGATTACTGTAGTTATGAAACTATCATCTTCTATTTCCGTTTTATACTGATTACAGTATCAGGAGAGAGAGAGAGTGTACGTGCAGTTTGCAATAACTAATTTGTGTGAGGCGGGCGGGCGGGAAAAGGGAAGTCCCCGAAAGAGAAGTGAGGAGAAGACAGAGACTAGGCGGCGAGAGAGTGGGCGAAACGGAGAGACGCAAACACGTGCTCTTCACGTGCACTTTTTGATGCTTCTCCACTAGCCAGATTGCATCACATCGTCGTCGTCGTCTTCTTCGCCTTTTTCTCTTGAAAAATGAAACGGGTAGAAGCGGGCGAATCTACGATTCTGCCAAGTGTGAAACGGAAGCAAATTTGGGAAGTTGACATTGAAATAGAAATGAAGGCCGGATTTCCGAATTTCCCATAATGCATTTCACCCCAGATATTTATACGCTCCTTTTTTGTCCGCATCTAGCCATTGGTCTACGTGACTTTCTGCAAGTCACAATTGCTTCTGTAGTGTTTTGGATATCTATCAAACAGACAGTACAGTCACGTAGGAGACTTTGAACTGCTGATAGCGCTTATCATTCGGGAAGAGGGAGGGGAACTCACATCATGATAGCGATGAGGGGAGAGTGGCAAGGCATGGTACGATTAGGAACAAAGGGAGGCACTCTCTTATGTTAATATATAGTCGGTCTCCGTTTGAAAGATCATTGTCGTCGAAACATTCAAGTTTGATACTGGAGAGATCGGGCCATGTCAAAGACATCGAAATGGGACAAGAACCAGCAGATGCAGACTACTTTATAGTTCGAAAGTTCGGGATCTACTACTATGAAGTGTTTGTCATTTGAAATAATTTTTTTTTGTTTTCGGTTTCACCTCAAAACTTACATATAAAAGTAGAAAACAAAATGAGCCGAATCGAGCATCATGTGGGCGCGGAGCTTATGACCAAGACGGATTTTCGTGTGAAGAGAATGGCGCCCAGAGCTCTAGTCGATGAGATTTCAAGGCAGTTGTTGTTTGGTCACGAGACTGCGGGAGCCAGATGAATAGAGCAAAGGTAGGAAGCACGAGGAAAAAAAGGAACGAGGGACGGAACCGCATCAGACATCAGAAAGGTTCCGAACTCGTCAAAAGCGTATAAATTTTGCGCAAACACAACTTAAGGTTAACCAATTCATTTTGAGAGTGAAGTTTCAACTGATTACGATGGAATATTTCGTGAAGCTTTACAATGCGTACAACTATTATCTTTTTAAACTCGGAACTTACATTGTCAATGAAAGGAGATAAGATAGGGGCTTCGGCTGAATTGCGAGGTGGCAAACTATCAGCCATTTCCCAGTAGTTATAGTTATTCTGAAGATGATATGAATGTGTCGTCGAGTGATATAAAGAGTTCCGGGAAACCGTGATCCTCTGATAATCTTTGAACTGATCCGACAAGGAAAATGATGAGACGATGTTAAAGAATTTGCCTTATTGACAAACTTTAGCTACCGTAATTTTAAAGGAACATGTCCAATCATTCAGCGGGTCTTGCCACGAAAATGGAAAATAACTGCTACAGCCGCCGCCAATCTCCATTTTCTGTGGAAGAAAACTTTTTTCCCTTTTAGTTCATCATCAACTGAACATTTTTGTCAATTTCACTTTTTTCAGAAGTTTCAGAATGGGGGTCATCATTCCCGCCATTTTGATCGTTTCTACGACGCTTCTCACTTGGCTTCTCTTCAAACATCTTCTTATGCGCAATCGGCTTAAAGTACATACAAAGTCAAACCAAATGAACTCATTATTTCATTTTTAGGATCTAAACCAACCGAGGTCGTACCCGATTGTCGGACATGGCCTCATCACCAAGCCGGACCCCGAAGGATACATGAATCAAGTGATAGGAATGGGATATTTGTATCCGAACCCCCGAATGTGCCTTCTTTGGATTGGTCCTTTTCCGTGTCTGATGCTCTATTCCGCGGAGTTGGTTGAAGTCATTCTTTCTTCGAGCAAGCATCTCGACAAAGGATTCGCCTACAAATTACTGGAACCATGGCTCGGTCAGAGCATTCTGACAAGCCGCAAAGATCAGTGGCGTCCCAAGAGAAAGCTGCTGACGCCGACATTCCATTACGACATTCTCAAGAATTTTCTGCCGATATTCAATGAACAATCGAAAATTCTCATAAACAAAATGAATTCGTATGGCCAAGAGTGAGTGTTTGAATCTTACTGAAATTTAAATGAAACGAGGTTTCCAGAGATCACATTGATATTCTGACAGTCATTTCGCTGTGCACTCTCGACATTATTTGCGAAACTTCCATGGGAAAGTCAATCGGAGCACAACTTGAAGAGGTTCGATAAATCGGTTTATCTTCTGAAAAATTCATTCGTTTTCAGAACAATGAATACGTCTGGGCTGTGCACACTATCAACGAGCTGATACAGAGAAGAACGAACAATCCGCTCATTTGGAATCGTTTTTTGTACAACTGGTATTTCTAGATAACGAGTTAAAAGCACTTTAACCGTGTTCATTTAGGACCGAAGAAGGACAGACCCACGAGAAGTGTCTGAGAATTTTGCATACTTTCACTAAAAAGGTATATTATCTCCCCAGAGAAGTGAGAAATTCATAAATTTAGGTGATTGCTGAACGGAAACAAGCTTTGGAAGAGTCCGGATTCAAAGTGGAAGGACGTCTCGCATTCCTCGATCTTCTGCTCGACATGGTAAAGAGCGGACAAATGGACGATGACGACGTGCAGGCAGAAGTCGACACATTCATGTTCGAAGGCCACGACACCACCTCTTCGGGGCTCACGTGGGCTCTTCATCTTCTCGGAAACCATCCCCTTATCCAGAAGAGAGTACAGGCGGAGCTTGATGAAGTGATGGGGGACGAAGAAGACGTGACTACTGAGCACCTTTCTCGTCTCAAGTACCTCGAATGCGTGCTCAAGGAATCGCTGAGAATCCGTCCGTCTGTGCCGATCATCATGAGAGAGCTCAGTTCGGACCAAGTGATCGGAGGAGTTACCATCCCGAAAGGAGTGACTCTGCTTCTCAATCAGTTCCTCGTTCACAGAGATCCGACACAGTGGAAGGATCCGGAAGTTTTCGATCCGGATCGATTTCTTCCTGAGAATTCCACCGGCCGCAAACCATTCGCCTTCATCCCATTCTCTGCGGGAAGTCGTAACTGCATCGGGCAAAGATTCGCGCTTCTCGAGGAGAAAGTCATAATGTCGCACATTCTGAAACACTTTGACGTAACTGCCATCGAACCGATGCACGAGGTACTAGTTAAACAGTTGCCCAATGAGCATTATGAACGTTTTTAAGATTCGTCCGAAAATGGAAATCATCATGCGCCCAGTGTCCCCAATTCACATCAAAATCAGCAGACGCCAGCCGACTGTTTCTCCTTGAAAAATACACTTATCTATAGCCAGTTTTATAATTTATTTAAATTCGTATATTGCATGCTGAGTATTATATTGCACGAAAAACTCATGAAGTTAGTTTAAAATGAAACAAATGTGCTGAATGATATGTACTCGAGCCGTTGATGACGATCTTTTAACTACTCTCCTTTTCCTCTTTCAAAGATTCGAACGGCGGAAGTGGCAGAGAAATGACTGTGGGCTTCCGGAGATCCACGTGGCTGTACGGGTTGTTCGGGAGTCTGTCGGTCTTCCGAGCGCCCGTCTGCTCGGCGATCGCAATCCTGTGATCCAGATCCGCGTGCTCTTTCGCGAGCATTTCCATCGCCGGACTGATCGGCTCTTTCGGCTCTTCCTTTTTCCCCGCTTTCATTTCTTCTCGTACTTGCTCCGCCGCCTTATTCTCCCTTTCCCACGTGTCTTGCGCGTGATTCCGTAGTTTTTCATCGAATTCCGCCTTCTCCATCTCCAGATTCGGCAGTTTTACTGCTGACGATTCGTCATTTCTAGAAATGAAAGTCATAAGATAAATCTTAGAAGGAGCGGAGAACTCACGGTTTGGTCTTGATGATGTCGTCTCTGGTGAGGAATCCGTTCTTGCGGTACCTCCTCTTCTTCTTCTTGTTCTTCCTATTCCTATTCCTCAACTGCCTCATGCTCATCCAATCCTTCGGAGGCGACCTCGTCGCGATTTCTTCGAACGGATTCTCCGACTCAACAATAGCTTCCTTAGAATCTTCCTCTGTGTCTCGTTCTGAATTTCCGTACATTTGCTAGAAAGAGACTTGAACTGCTCACTCTTTAACTGAACCCTTCGGAACGGCTCCTTCTTCTTCTCGCCCTCCTCGTCCTTCTTCTCCACTTCAATTTTCTCGCCTTCTGCCGTGAACGCTGGCTTTCTGTCGAGATCTTTATCGTCTTCTTCTCGATCCCTCGCCAACTTTTCTGGACGGGGAAGCTGCTTACGGACGGCGTCCAGCTTGTCCAGTTCCTGAACAGTCTCTTATTCATTACGTCCGATAGGCAATCTCACCTCAAGTGTGACTCCTCCATATTCGAGATTCGACTGAGCCATCATGTTCAGTATAATCGCGTCTCGCGGGCGGAGATTCTTGCTCTCGAACCATCCGTGCGGGAAGAGCAGTGGCTGCGGAGCCGCCGCCCCGATCAGCAGAAAGAAGAAAGATAGTCGGATCATGTTCTTCAGTAGTTCATTACGACCGAGGTGATTGTGAGGTGGACAGCACGACGAATAATCGAAAGTTCGCCGCGTGAAGTCGTCAATATCAGGTTCTTGGGCAACTGAGAACTGGCCGAAACACAACAAAATAGTCATCTGAGGTTGAAAGTTGCCGGTTTGTAGTCGATTTTTATCTTTATTTCGAAACGACAGAGACCAGGTATACATACAGATAATCTTTCACTGAGTTTTCAAAATTATGTTCAGTAATATACAAAGCAAGGCTGATTATTAATGAGAGAAGGCCTTCTTATTCCGACTTCACTTGCTCCTCAAGGAACTTCTGTACAAACTGGGAACTGCTGACCGGAGAGTGAATGAGATATTGAAAGTGGACTGAAAGCGGAATAGTCGAGTCCTCCGGCAGACGGTAAATCGTCTTCACTTCATCCGGTCGCATCTCCCACGTCGTCTTTCCGCTGTCGAATATGATAGTGCCGGTGGAATCACAAATCACAATCCTGAACAGTTACTTTTCAATTAAATCAAGACTAGCACAATTGCCTGTAGTGCAGAACATGCTTCGAGCGCAGATTCACCGAGTACGGAGCCTTTTGGTTGAGACAATTCCTCTTGATACACAAAGTGTATTCGTTGACGTGCAGAAGAAGATCCACTCCGAAATTGAAGCCTATCCAACGCCAGCACTTCTGAAATAAAGCTGATTATGTGAATCGCTGAACAATCTGATTAATACCGGGTACGTATCGAGCGTCCTTCCCAACCGGATGCACTTGTTGAAGAACTCGTCATCGTCAACTTCCAGTGCCCTTAAACATCAATTAGAAAATTGCACAAATATGTTTCTCACTTTGGAGATTCCTCGTTTTCGAGAAGCGCTGACCACAGCGATGAAGTCATTTCGTCGATGATCTGAGTTGGAATCAAGCGATCCGATTTGACTGCTTTTATAGTTTCGGAACAAGTGAGAAAATTTTCTATCCGGAGACACGAAAATATTTCAACGTATTTCAAAAATATCGAGTTCGGTTCAGCATTTTTGTAGAACTGTTTTAAATTGTGCGCGAAAACCTCGTGTTGCTCATCGGTATCACAGTCTGGGCATTCTCGCATGAAGATCCACTAAAATCAAGATTTCTTAAATGTCCAGTACGTAAAAACACTTACCAGTTTCACAATTTTATAGAGATCGAATTCGCCTTCAGTGATAAGAACATCTGGTGAAGTGAGTAACTTCGTGAGCATCTGATGGTCGATCTCGCGAAGCTTGTTTTTATCGGTCATAATCTTCCAGAAATTGTGGAGCAGCAGCTGCATAGACTGCTCACGAACACTGTCTAATCCGTAATTGGTAGAAAGCTCATAATATCGGATCGCGTTGTCCGTACTCAAAGCGTCAATCATCATTTCCGCGCACCGATCCGTGACACTTTCGAGCATAAGATATGAAGCGGCGGCGACGGTCCCCTCGATTTTCTCCAGATCTATCTCTATTTCGTTGTGATAAAGACTCCCGAGGACGGCATTCAGTCCCTCTGCGTTAATGTTCGAGTCAGTTATTTTCAGTTTAACTCTGCCGCTTTTTGATTCCGCCCATTCGCGATCGAACATTGACTGCAAGTTTTGAATCGATTTTGAAAGTAAACTTGGGAACTCACTTCGAAAAACTTGGCCTGCTTCAGATAGAGCTTGTGAACCTTCCATTCTTTCCCGCATGCCACAATCGTTATGTCCGATTCTTCTCCCTGAAACTATGAACGTCATTTTCCACCATTTACACTGGGAAGCCTCCTAACCTGTACGAACAGTTTCTCGTAGACATAGGCGCATGTGTTCAATTTGGCCACTTTCTTCATTTCTTTTTCCGAATTCGCTGTCAATTTTCGCTTTCTGTTCCGTTTTGACGGTGAGCTCATCGGCTCGAAAACGTCCATCACCTGATGGTCGGGCGGATTCGGCAATGGATCCCTCGAGGGAGTTCGTGAATGAGACTGTGAAAGGCCCATTCTCTGCAAAAAGGGTTTCTGAATCGATGTATAAATTTTGAAAAATAAAAATGTGAGAAGAAGAAGCAGTAAACAGAGTGGACGTTGGGCCTCGCTTGTCCGTGTTCAAGCGAGAGTGCACGTGCCAGCGAGAGGCGCCGACGGGCAGACACTCTTCGTCGTTCATCGTTTTCCTCGGTCACATGGAAAGTTGCCGTCCGCTAACCAACTTGTTATTTACGCTTTGTTTACTAGAGTTACCCAAATATGCCTTTTCAAAATTGCATGTTTAAAATTTATTCACGGCGAAGTCAATGACGTGTTCAAGCAGTTTCTCGTCCCTGTTAACCTCATGCTTCCCTGTTTGCTCTTAGGACTTCTCCGTTCTATTAATTATTTCATCCTCTTTTCAAATTATAATTTTGCCATATGCATGTCATAGTCAGATTTGTGAGACAGCGAGAGAACTGTACAAGGCTCCATTGTTTTTTGTTTTTCACTTCGAATGCGTTTAAGTCAGGTTTTCCTTTTTTTAAATAAGTTTTCCAGTTTTACTTGATGTTTCTTCTGCAAAGTACCTAACTTAAGCTATCCGGCCTTGCAGAAAATGAGCGAGCTAATCGATTTATCCAAAATCACTTTAATCACACATATGAAAAGAGAAATTCTGAATCAAGTTTGCGAGATATTAGATACGGATAGCACTTGGGAAACCATTGGTGAGACAGTATTTCGCTAGAATCAATATCAATGTTTCAACAATTTAGCTCCTTACATGCCGGGCATACAGTTGAGAGATGTGGAAAGCTGTAAGCGTTATGCAAGTCCCACTAAAAGTCCAACCTTACTGCTCCTGAGAATCTGGTGTTCCAAAGGATACACTACCAATCATCTTTATCAACTATTTGCAAAAACAAAACTCGTTCGTCTGATGCGGCTTATCAAGCCTGAAGGTAGTTTTCTCGATCTATTCGTTCGTACCGAATTCAATGTTTTCAGTCAATGAAAAATATTATTATCTAGAAAATAGGATATTAAACCCATCAAAACGGTCGAGACCAAATATTCCAACTCCATCCCAAAGTGCGTCCCGTTTCAAAAAGACCGAGTCGAAAGAGGCGTCTCCGGCACCCACACAGTCTTCCGCGTGAGCATAGTGTACTTCATTCTGTGTTCCAATTCGTTTCTCAGGTCTTCGTCGCTTGATCCTCTCCGGGTTGTCATCGAGGGTACGTTGCCTGTCACTTATTTCGAACTTTTGGAAGCCACCAGTGGATTCTCGTCATCCATGGTGATTGGAAAAGGCGGATACGGAACAGTTTATAAGGGAGAGCTAAAAGCGACCGGTGGAATGGTAGCTGTCAAACGGATTCATGCAGGAAACGACGCTTCTCCTCATGGCTCCAGAGTAGAGAAAGAACGGCTTCGGCAGAGTTTAACAGAACTGCGTACGCTGGCTCGTTTCCGGCACGACAACATCCTTCCCATCTATGCATATTCTCTCGAAGGCCCAGAACCTTGCCTTGTTTATCAATTTATGGCTAATGGATCGTTGGAAGATAGGTTACTGTGCAGGGTGAGCTCTTGACCTTATATTTAGCCACTTCATCCACCTGTTCCAGAAAGGAACTTTCCCTTTGACATGGGCACAGAGGAGGGAAGTAAGCATCGGTGCAGCTCGTGGTCTCCTCTTTTTGCACTCTTTTGCCAAAACTCCAATCATTCACGGAGACGTGAAAACAGCAAACATTCTGCTCGATAAGCACATGGAGCCGAAACTTGGCGACTTTGGTCTGAGCAGAGACGGGCTTTCTGAAGCGGAGGCGAATGAGAAAAGTCCTTTGATTGCTTCGCACATCAAAGGAACACTAGCCTATCTTGCTCCCGAGTTCATTACTTCCAAGATTTTGACAACAAAGTTAGATGTGTACAGTTATGGAATTGTTCTCCTTGAAATTGGATCTGGTCTAAGAGCCTTTTCGGACAGCCGAGAGCCACGTGGACTAGTTGAATATTGTCATTCTCAAAAAGAGCAGGCCGCCAGTAAAGGCGTTCCCACCAGGGATCTTATCATCGACCGAAGAGCACCACCTCTAGCCAATGGTATTCATTTTTTTGTCCTATCTATTTTATCAATGCTTGTCAGAATCCGAACGTGTCTTTCTGGAAACACTAATTGAAGTCGGCCTTCTTGGAGCTCACAATGATCGGAAGCTTCGTCCTTCTATGGCGCAGATTGTGGAATCTCTGTGCCATTGTTCATTACCTCAGATCTCAAAGCTGTCACTGGGTTGAATCTTCGTCTCTCTAAAATTCTTCAATGACTGGCATATTTTCTGACATCTTAATGAACCTAGCACTCTTTGACACATGTTTGATATCTTTTTGGTGCACATATCGGCATTTGACCGTATTCAGTATCCTTCCCCACTTTGAAGTGATATCTAGAGTTCCCTTTTTGCAGGTCAGTTCCCCCGTAAATGGAGGGCGTGGTTCGGTTCGAGTGCAGAGACAACAACCTCGAGATCTATGTTGTCCAGCCTGGAGAACGGCTCACCATCTATGGATCGTGCTCTCTTCTTTGTTTAGGTACATTTCGAAAAGTTTCTTACTGACTACTAACTTCCTTTCAGCGGGTAATGCATCGATCAACGACTACATTTTGCCCACTGTCTCATGTGAACCGAGTAACTTTCTGAAAATCTCGGCCCCTGTAAAGATGGAAGTTCCGGTAATGCATTCATATAAAGATGTTTTGAATTATTCGTGGTTTCAGGCTATTCTGGCAGTGGGCGTCGCCGGTCCGAACTACAAGCACGCACGTCTGAAGTTCCGGCTGAAAGAGGTGGCGCCGAAAGGTCACGAGCAAATCATGGCCACCATCGGAGAGACACAACCGGCCGTGCTGATTTTCAACAAGATTCTGGATCCAGCCGAGGAAATTCTAACCGGAATCGTCGCTGTGAGTCCTGTGATTTCATTCGACAGTTTCAATTTGAGTTTTTCAGAACTTCTTGATTCAATCTTTTACGCAGAAGCAGATCATTATGCCTCCTCGGTATCATATCACTCGTGACGATTTTGCCATTATCCCGCTCGAGGACGCCGTCCAGTTGAGAGCGCAGTTAGAGCGTTTGAACACATTGAGAAGTGAGGGATAAGGTGAATCCATTCCACGATCCACTCAACTTTCAGAAGACGGACAGAGAACGTCGATACTTCCTTACGGACACAAAGGTGCAGGAAAGTCTCATCTGATGCGGAATCTCGTCAATCGCTGTCTTTCTGGGTAACTGCGCGAAAACTGAAATTGTATTCAAAAGAGGAATTTCAGCGGATACGACAGCGTTTATGTTCTGGATTGTGACATCGGACAGAGCGAATTCACGCCGGCTGGTTGTCTTTCTCTTCATAAAATCACGTCTCCGATTCTTGACAAACCGTACGGTCATCAGAAGGCAAAGTTCGAGAATGCCTACTTTTTTGGAGACAACACCGTTCGCAACACACATCTCTACATGGTCTGCTCTTTATTCGAGCGTTCTCACCAATATTCCCTTTGCAGGACATATTCGAGCGTCTCTGGAACAAGTTCAGAGAAGTCAGCGAGCCCGGATCCGTGTGCGTAATCAATACGATGGGATGGATCACTGACACTGGAGCTGAAATGCTCGCGCACATTATCAATGTGACCGAGCCGGATTTGTGCGTGGAAATCTTCAGAAGTCAGACAGAGCCACGCTTCTTATTTCCGGTACGTTCATGAATAATGCAGGAAACTGATTCGACTTTTTTTTCCAGAACAATTGTAAAGTGGCCCGGCTTTCCATCTTTGCGAACAATTCGACTGGAATCATCGGTCAACCAGCACAAAAACGGCTTCCGCCTGTTCTGATCCGAGAACTCACCGTCGTCGGATACTTCGCATCGCTGCTCTCGAGACCGTCTATTGCCAGCTTCCCTCAAGTCGCACCGTACAGCTTGAAATTTCAGTCGGTACCAATCCGTTCTTCTTCAATTCACTTACTGATTGCAGAAACACCACCATCTGCATTCCGCCCGATCTTCTCGTCCAGGATTGCCACGTTTTCTCGTCGATCAACACTCAATTAGTGGCACTTTGTTTCAATCATTCGGAACTGAGACCTCGGCGGTTGTGCGGAATGGCAGATATGCCCAATCTGTGCGTCATTGACAACAATTCGCCTGCCCTCCAGTGCATAGGGTTCGCAATTGTGCGAGGAGTAAGCGTCGAGCAGAGAACCGTCTACGTAGTATCCCCAATCGATCTGCGCCAGCTGGATGAGCCTCCGATCCTCGTGAGAGGCATGCGAATCCAAACGCCTGCCGTCTTCTTCACTGCTGATGTGAGCTATTCTAAAGTGAATTATACGGAATAAACATGGTTTGCAGCCTTACAATCGGTGCCCCTACGTTCTGAATCTTCCGAGCGCCGGAAATCGTTCCTCGAATCTCGAAGGTCTTTATCAGCCCGCCACAAACTCGACAAAGTTCAAAAGGAGTCGCAGGTTCTGATCTCGAAAAGCCATCTTGTTACCCGTTTGATTGTTGTTATGTGAAAGATTTATTATTATAAATTACTCCGTAAGTCTTGATTATCATGGCTCTCACAAGCACATCGGCTCGTCGTTCACGGTTCGCAGTTCCATAGATTTGATCACAAAAGAGGCAGGTCCAAATTCAATTGATTTGTCGTGCAAGAGAACGAGTGAGAAGGATCTGGCGCCGATGTCAAGAGGGAACATCACCTGGAATTAATAGTTATTCAGATTCGACGAATCAAATGCGTTCACCTTCTTCTCGGAGGAATCGAGAACTCGCGGACCCGCCAGTTCATGGCACAATGTGGGATCGCTAGTGACATCCGGACACAGAAGAACACGGGAACCGAAGGTCGACTGGGAGAGACTGATCGTCAGAATGGACGGATAGGCTAAGTCGAAAGTGGGACTGCGAAGGATCGCCCGGATTCCTCCGCCGCTCAGAGTGACCGTGGCGCCGTTCGGGGACTGCGCAACTGGAACATCTCCCGGCTTCTCGACGGATGTCTCGTAATTGCAGAAGGAACCTAAAGGGAACATTCTGAGGGGAAGGAGAGAGAGAGAACAGACCTTTGAAATCGCAGATTAACTGATCACAAACGGTTTGTTCGGCTGTTTTAAGTGGGCAGAACTGGCCGGACGAAGAGATTTTATTGATGATTACGACGGCGTCGTCGCGGGAAGAAGCCTCGATGGAAACGAAGAACGGAGCCGTCGATGAGACGCCGATTGACACGTTCCCACTCGATTCGTTCCCATCGACGCACTGATCCAGGGCACAGACACGGACTTGCGCGTCCTCAGATCTGAACGATGATTTGGATGGAAATCATGGATGCTCTTGTTGTGCCCACTTCATGTACTCCACGTGAATTTGTCCGTCGTAAGAGCACGGAACCATTCTGGATCTGAGACTGGAAACCGTTGCGTTCTGCATCAGAAACACGGCCACGTTGCCCTTGATGCCCTTCGGAACCGGAAAGACGTCCGAGTCGCGGGGCATCACACCGTACTTGACAATTCCGTCGTAGTTCACCCACTGAGAACAGTAGTCTTTTGTGAAATCGCAGTTTAGGGAAAGATCGTAAGGGACGTAGCGTCCGTTTCCAGGTTGCAATCCGAAAATGTGTTGAATCTGAAGAATGGAATTATTTCGGAAAGAGAGAACCGAAATGGTTCACAATTGGAGGACTGATGGTCGTGACGACCGGAGGAGTGGGTTCACTGCAAAGGAGTCCAGAGACTCGGAGCTCCGAAATGGCGAGGAGTCCGAACGAGCTCTCATCAAAAGCGATGATTCCGATGGTGAATTTGAACGCCTGCGAATAGGAATCCAGGTCGATCGTGATCGGTCCGGGACTGTCGTTGGGCTCGAGGTACGCACAACTGAGGGCCACTCCGTCCTCGTCGACCGCGCAGATTTCCGCTTGAGTTCCGGTTTTCATCCAATACCTGAATAAATCGGAATTCAGCCTGTGGATTAACGAACTATTTTCACTTTAAAGATAAACTTGTCGTTCTTTGCGAGCACGGAATCACTTGACTCGTGAGACTTGAATACGGGCGGGGAGAGAAAGAGTCGACGGCGAGGAAAAGGAACGAAGAGTTCGGGTGCGATTGGTTGGCCGACGTCTGAACAGGGGATGCGTTGGAATGGAAATGGAAGGATCGGCTGCCGACCTCGAACATGTCAATCCATCGGTCTATGGATCTTCCGACCCTCCACTCGCTCAGCTGTGACTTGGCCATGTTGCCCCATCGGCACGATCTCAACGGCCGCTCGCAACTGAGATCCGTCATCTTGTCCAGTGGGGTTTGTTCGTAAGGAGGGATCCGAAGTGAAGAGAACGAAGAGGGAAATGCTGGAAAGGTAGGGAGAGGTAGTGAAAGAGGGGATTGGGGGCTTACGGGACTGCTGACAGATCTTCCCGTGATATCTGATGTGATCAATGATTGCCAAACTTCCGACAGTGTTGTCTTTGAGGTCGAATGCTCGGATTCCGATTCGGAATGGCTCTTTGATCGGCGGAATCTCCACGTGGCATTCCTCGTTGGCTGCTCCCAAGAAATCGCATTTCATTTTCGGTCTGAGAAGAACTTGAAGATGCCTCCGACGGTTCATCGCTCTCAGAATTATCACTTCGATCTGAGCATTGTTGTACAGCCAGTACCTGTATTGATAAGTACAAGGTACGTGGAAATGAGAGAGCTTTTCACCCGAATGTCAGATTTGCGAATCCTTTTTGACAAGCGATCGGGGCGCTGCTGAGCACTGCTCCGTTCGGAGTCTTCGTCGTGTTTCCGGCTATCAAAAAATGTTCTCCCTTCGGGATTTTCGGGTTTCCTGGCTGAATCTGCACAGGAAACGTCTTCTCGTCACTTTTCTGAACCATCTGATTACGCGGCTATTTCAGAGAGGAACGCACCTTGAAGTACCACCAGTTACTGGTGTCCAACAGGTTATCGGTGGGTGCATTTCTCCACAAACACTCTGTTTCGAAGTCGCAGTTCAGTTCGTCCGGAGACTCGATGTACGTGGCGAAACCGACCGCTTCTGGAGTGATACACGTCTTCAGAACCGAGGAAATGACTCACCCTCTACGGGAATCTCTCCGTCATTGTCGGGCTTTATTCCCAGGTACAAATCGAGATATCGTAGTTCTTTTTGGAATTGGGCATGGCACGATTCGACGGAAGGAAGGAGGAAGAGCAAGAAAGAGAGCCTCCAGACGACAGATAAAGCCATTTCGGAAATCGATGCAAAAAGGAGGCGATCCGAAGAATGGCAAACGGAGATAAGGCAGGATGAAGAGGGCGAAATGAGGAGGCAAACCGGATCCAATTGCGACGACGATGACGAGAACAGGGACGGGTTCGACGCAAGAATCATCGGATGCCACAGTTCCTCTGCTGGATCACCTGTGGCCTTATCAATCCACGATCGGCTCCGACTTCTCGTTTTTTAAAGACATTCAATAATTTATTAACCACTACAAAAGAAGTTCTTTGATTCGGTATCACAGACAACAGTTAAACGATGGAGAGTCAATGGGGTCATGTGAAAACGATTATATGCGATAAATTAAAGTATTTTACATTATACCTAGGTTTTCGAATGACGGAAGCGTCACAGTTTTAGTTTCTCCCGTAGAACCCGATTCATAATCTCTACTCGTCTTCATCGTCCGTTACAGGCTGGCCGAGAGATTTTAGACGACGACGATACGTGGACATTTTGTTGTGCTGATCGGCCAGAAGCATGAGGAGCTCTTCTTGTTCTTGCTTCAGCTTCACAAGTTCATCAGTATTTTTCTGGAAAACAATTGATTTTGGAAACCGCGGTTGAAGACATACCTGTTCACCATTTTCGTGAACAACATCTTGAACTGGATTCCTAGCCACTTTCTCAATTGTTTTTTTTGCTTCTGCTAGAGAAGCCTCCGCTTTCCCAAGTCTTTCTCGAAGTTGTGCATTGTCAGAAGTGTAATGAAGAATCTGAATCATGAATGTACTATGAATACTGCTCTGAGTGTCTTACTGTCTGGGATTGTTGCTCGAACGCCTGATATCCGTATCCCAACTGCTGCTCAAGCTCCGTCACCTGCTGTTGCAGTTGCGCCACGCCCACTTCTGCCGCGTTGGGCAGCTGTGCCAGCTGATAGTTCTGCCATTGCTGTGCCCATTGCTTGTACCTCTCCGCTTCAGTGTACCATTGTTGCGTCAGTCGTTGTGATTCAGCCAATTGACTGTTCAGTACTTCATTGTGAGATTTGAAAGTCAAAGACTGTTCCAGTTTCCCTTTTAGCAATTCCACTTCTTCCTCTGCTGATTTGTTTTCAGCCTCGGCAGTCAGCCTTTCCACTTCCGCTTGAGCTTTTTTGGCTCCTTGTTTCAGCTGTGCAATTTCTTCATCTTGTCGTTTGATAAGCTCTTTGAATGATTGGATTATGCTGTCATTGTTAGTACCATTGAACTCTCCGTTGGGCTTCAGCTGTTTTGCCAAACTGCCTTCTAGAGTCTTGAACAACTTCACAAAATAGAAATCGAGGAAGAGATCGCTGCTGGGTTGCTGTTTCTGAGCCGCTCTTACAAACTGTTCCGTTCGAGAGAGACCTTCCAGTGCCGAGAGCACAACTTCCTTGCCAACTCTTCTTTCAATCAGCGCTTCCATCGACGATCTGGCGTCCTTGTTATCGAGATTTTTGAGACACGCGAGAAGAACGAACGCCATCAGACCACGAAGAGCCTGCTGTTCACTTTCCGTTCCTTCTCCGCATTCATCAACTAAATACAGATCATTTCTTCTAGTTTGAGACCATTTTCGCTTACCAATATGGGTAGTCAGATACTGAAGATTCTCATCTTTGGCCATGAATCCAGCAACTGCAGCTGGACAACTCTCGAGCCACACTCCGAGCAGCATGAGAAGACCAGCTCTCGACTGCGGGCGACGGTTTCCGTTAGAAACGAGCAACTGAGAAACATGTTCGAGCAGAGTCAGCGACGGTCTCTCGTTGACCAAACCGAGCTCGACACGGAGTAGTTGTTCGCTGCATAAAAGACTGTTTATAAAAAAAAGAACATCTGCGAACTCACCAAAGATGGTCAACTTGGTAGAGACAGTGCATGAGAGAGATACAGCCGAACCACGCCTGCACGGATTCTCCAGAAGAAATTGCTTGCAAAATGAGTGATCCGGTAGTGAGGGCAGGGACCGTTTGCGAGTTCGGAAGAAGCGTTTCGATAATTTTTGTTTTTCCGAATTCGTTATCAAATAGGTACGACAGGAAGCAATAAAAGACAGCACATCGCAGTTTGTATGGCTGTTTTTCGGAAATCATCGAGATCAGAAGCAAAAGAAGAGAGGAGCGAGGAGCTTCGTCGCCGGCAGCCAAAGTCGTGCTTGCGAAATACTCTTGATTCGTGTAATTTCCTCGAATGGCTTCAGCAACGACAATTGTTGACTCGGTGAGGACCTTGAAAAAAGGCGTTCGCACTGAGAGAAAACGATGCACTTACCTCAACAGAAACTCCTATTTCTGATAGAAGAACACGACAGAGTTCAGCAAGGATCTCTGAAAAGGGACGTATTTAATGAGACACTTTATTCTCAACGCACTTGTCTGGTAGAGGACTTTCTGTGCAGCATGTGTGTTCTGACTCGAGTTGTCCGGAGACACGAGAGTCCGAATGATTTGCAGCAGGAAGATGACGTTGGCAGTTCGTTGCTTCGCCCATTCCGTCGTGTCCACTTCAGCATCTTCCGCTTCCTCGGGGCCGTACAAAAACATGTGGAAAATAGCGCCGAGTCTTCCCACCAGTCTGAATTGTTTACAGACATTGTTAGATCAAGTTTATCTAAAAACTCACTGATTCTCGCGGAACAGCTGCTGGTTCATTGCATTTTTCCGAAGCAAGTTGAGAATAACAAAGAGACAGTCTTCGATGACAATGCCTGGAAAACAAGAAAGTAGGCAAATTGCATAATTTCAACTCACTATCATATGGTTCAGTTTCAATGATGTTGAGAAGCTCGTTGAAAATTCCATCGTACGCCAGAAGCTGTTGGATTTGCGAGTTGGCTCTGCTCAGTTCACAGATCATCAGGATAGCTTCGTTTCGAATAACTTCGCGGTTATCATGAACAATATCGACAAGTTTCGAAACTCCCATCGGTTGTTGCATCACGGCATTCTGCACTTCTGGTCCTCTATGGCGAAGCAAGTTGGATAGAAGCTGCACGGCCGTTCTGAAAGAAATAGCTTGTCTGACTGGAAAGATTCTGAAACTCGTTTACCTTCTAACGCCAAAATCAAACTGGTCGACAGCAGCGAGAACAGAAGGAATGAATCCGTTTTTCTTGATCATTACTTCGGCCAACCTCTCTCCCAACTCGTCAGACTCGGACGATTCGTCTTCCGTTGATAAGACTGTCGCCATCGTATCTAAAACGAGTGTCATGGCCTCCGAATTCATACGCTCTTTTTCTAGAATCTCGAGGAAGGCGTTCATTCCCATTGTACCGACAGCGAGCCGATATTTCTGAAGCTTTCTTATACGGTTATTTTGAAGTTAAATCAAAACCGAACCTTTGCCAGACCTCGAAGAGCTCTCAGGGCATCTCGACGGTCTTCTGGGGCACTGCACGTCTCTACTCTTTCGACGTACGTCTCCACAATCTCTGCTCCGTTCTCTTCCCCATCATCTGGTTCGCCGCCGCCGAAGAAACTTCGGAACATCGACATCTGCAATTGTACACGTGGCGAAATGAGTACTGAATTTACAATCGTGTGAAGCAGAAAACAAGAAAGAAGACAAGGATACCATTTTTGAATTGTGCTTGTTTTTCTTATGATAATTGAATTGATGCTAGAAATCTATAGGAAAATGAAAAGAAACGCAGAAAAGGAAAATGGAAAACCTGTCGTGGAATTGCTGCTGGTTGTGTTCTCAATGGAGCGCGCTTGCTGCTGCAGCGGTTAGACGCTGCCATGCTCCTCAATTTGGCATGTCTCGCGAGATGATGTCGTCGCGCATGCTTCTGGAAGCAAACAATACACTGTCATCAAAATGTTGAGCTCTAATGAATCATTATCTAATTCTTCTGAACCCACTTTCTGAGCGTCTAGTTATGAAACTCACCTGTGGCAGGTTGAAAAAGACATTGGAAATGGTGGTATCGCTTGAAAACGAGCGAACCGAAGGTGTGGAGCCTGTGATAGAAGACGTCGAGTAGGCGTACATTGCGAGTGAACCAAGGCAATGATCCTTCTGTCGGAGGGCTCGGGAAGAGTGTAAAGTGTAATGTAGGAGGGGCAGGAGTCAGCCGATGGAAGGGAGAGAGAAGAGGAAACGGCGGCGCTCCATCTGCATATGGCCAACTATCCGAACTGTTTTGATTACGGAAACGTATACATTCGGAAAGAAGAAGACGGAGGAGAGAGGAAGGAGAAACCGTCCGACGGTGCGAAGAATGCCATTCGTGGGAACATCTTTCATTCAAAATGAAACTGCATTGAAATATTTGCACATTTTGGGTGGCGAGCGACTTTCGTGCAGCATTCTTCCTAAAAGGATTACTGTACACTCCGATTGGCAGAAGCCCGCGCCCTCTCATTGTCCTCTTCGTTCGTTCCGCAGCTGCCTTCAGATTACTGTACTCGCTGACTGTCGAATGGGCGGAGTCGGTTTCGAATGCGCGCCAAAAGGCCTCCGTCCTCTCGCCACTTCGCCGACCGTCCGATGCTCAAGTTCTCCATCGACGTGCTCCTCTCTTCTTCTCCCTCTCCGTCCCCTCTTCCGTCCTCCCGATCTTCCGGCATCTTCCCATTCCCGGCTATTCCCTCCGGGTTTGCAGACTCTTCATCGGGTAACTGTTCTTTTTTATTGGAAATCAAACGGGAGCTCCTAGGAGACGACGAGAACAATCGGAAGAAGTTCCCGTGCGAAGTGTGCGGCAAACAATTCAATGCGCATTACAACCTGACCCGGCACATGCCCGTGCACACCGGAGAACGGCCGTTCGTCTGCAAGGTACTTATCATTCCGGACGACTCGAAGTACTTCTAATTCAGGTGTGCGGAAAGGCCTTCCGTCAGGCATCCACACTTTGCCGTCACAAAATCATTCACACAGACAGTAAACCGCACAAGGTAGGCGCCGATTCGCTCCATTCAGGGTGTCGTCCCTAATCCGTCGGAAAAGTGGCCAAAATGGATTAGAAGGGACCCGTTTCTCATCCGATTAGAGACTACCGTACTCAAGTCATTCAAATTGTTGCAGTGCAAAACATGTGGCAAGTGTTTCAACCGTTCCTCCACACTCAACACGCACGTCCGAATCCATCAAGGTTAGTGGAACAGAGCAAATACGAAAGGAGTTACGGATGGATTGCAGAGTTCAAGCCGTTCGTGTGTGAAGTGTGCGGGAAGGGATTCCATCAAAATGGCAACTACAAGAATCACAGACTGACGCATGAGGACACGAAGAAGTTCTCGTGCAGTATCTGTAAAAGAGTCAGTCTGCACTCTTCCAGTCCCTTCCGTACATTTCCTTCCAGGCTTTCCACCAATCCTACAATCTGGCATTCCACATGTTCACTCACGAAGAGCACAAACCGTTCACTTGCCACGTGTGTTCCAAAGGATTCTGCCGAAACTTTGATCTAAAGAAGCACCTCCGAAAGATGCATTCCGTCCCGACGCTCACTCCATAAACATTTGTTATTACCTTTTCTCCTTTTCATCCGCGCCGCCACAGTAATCCCAAAAAAATCAAGGCTGCATGCAACTTGGCGCGTCTCCCGTCCCCCTTCCTTTTATTAGTTTCGTGTTCACGCGTCGATGAGCATGGAGAAGTACGGACGGTACGGTAGGAGCAGTGCTTCCAAATGACATTAGTCGCGGCGCGTTAACCGCAAAAAAGTGACAAAGCAAAGAGAAGGGAGACCTTCTTCTCGACCCGTTCGCATGCTTCTCAGTCAATTCCATCGGGGCTTCATGGGGAAAACCAGGGAGTACGAGAAACAGACATTGTTCGTTTCATTTCATGAAGAGAGCAGGCCCAACTCGTTTGTCTTCTGATGACAAATGTATATGAGAGCTCGTAATCCTACGGTCATGCGATGAAGTCAATTTTTCAAAGTTAAAATTATTCTAATGCGAATTTTATGTGGGACACCGTATTTTAGACAACATGTGGATGTAACCTATTTACAATAGAATTATTATGCGGACACTTTTTTCCACAATATCACAATATTTACAGCATTTACAGGTTTTATCTTCTCGGTCTTTCTCAATTCACAGCGTCTGCTGAAAACCTTGTCTTGTAGTATCTGAAATAGGAATGATGAGCTGTAATTTCTTTATCTGGTTCTCACTTTTTGATGAGCGCATCTAGGGAGTACTTTTGTTCGAAGAAGTCAGCGAGGGGCGTTTCAGCCATGACCGATGCCAGAATCTGCTCCAGATTGACTCTCCATTCATCGTCCGCCATACTGCAACTATCCCAACTCTTCCGTAATCTCACTTTCTTTTCTTACCACGTCTGCATATCTCCTATCCGTTTCCTCTGAACCTCAATCGGATCTATCTTCCTGTCCTCTTCGAACTCGTCTTCCTCTTCTTGCTCTCCATCTTCTGCGGGAGCTTTCAGTGTTTCATCCAGATCTTGCATCGCATCTGCGATTTGTGCTTCCAACTTCGCCTGCAGTTCTCGGTGCGTCTCGCCAAGTTGCAGCAGAAGAGTGCCTGTGACTGCCAGCGAGTGGAACACCAATTGCTCCGTTTCCTTGCCGCTGAGCATGTCGTAAAACGTCTTCCAGAGTTGAATGAACTGAATCTGGCTCATTGCTGGCAACATTTTCATTTCGAGTTTAGTTGATGAGGAGTCTGGAGAGGACAACGCCTTTTTTCGCAGTTGTTTCATCTTCTCAATAGATTCGTCAACGACGGAGTAGGATTCTGGAAAATGAAGTTGGGCTAGTTTCACGAAGCATTCTGCTGATTGTCAGTGCTCTCACCCTCACTTGCGACATCGGCCACTTGAATCCGATCACTTTCATTTTCGGATGGACATGATCCAATTGACTTTGCAGCGATCAAATCAATCAATGATTCAGCGTCTGAAGCTCTTTCTTCTACGTTCGCGTTGACCAAAACGGCACTGGAAGTGCTGCATCTCGTCTGAAACAGAACCTGTTAGTGAATTTATTCAATTTCAAATGGCATACTCTTAAAGAATCGGCCAGATTTTGATCGGATGATTGTCGCGGAATATCAACGGAATTGGATCGAATTTCGTGTCGCAGAGCTGCTCCTTTCTTCGGCGTTCCGAGCAAATCAGCGGCTTCCATCGCCAGCTCCGGCTCTCCCTCTTTGCTTTCCGACGAGCTCTCGTCCGCTGCGTCGAGACCATCCAAGTCAGACATGTTGAACGCGGGCGGCAGATGACATTTATAGAAGAGTGCCAGTTTCTCCGTGGCTTCTCCTAGCAAAAGGACTGAGAGACTGATGGCAAGGTCCCGGAAGGTGAGAAGTCCGTTGTCGGAGATGTCGAGCAGACGGAATATACGGATCACAAAGATGCTTGTAACAGGCCAAGGCAGAAGACGTGGGAACACCTCCGAGAAGAGATCGTAGTCCAATCTGAAGAGAGATGAAAGTCCTAAAAAGCTAAGGAGGGTTTACCTGTACTGTGACTGAGCACAAGGATCCGGTCGTGGCCTCTCCGTCACGGCAGCAAGTTTTCCTCTCGCAGATACTCCCAATCTGTGTCTCCATGAGAGAAGATGCTCCTCCTGCAACAATGACGATATAGGGATGAAAGTTCAGGAGATCGGAGATAACATGCTTCTATTGTTCTTAGCTAACCGGTGCGGGTTAGCTTTCTCCTATTCGCACGACACTTTTCCCTTATCAATGCGCCTTCGTGGATTTCTTACCTTTTTATAATAAACGCTAAGGTTAACGAGGTCGGGAAGGGCCGTCTCCCGATATAAAAAGATTGAAAAGGAAGATAGCAGATTCTATTCTACATCGTTATCCACGAATTCAGATGAGTGTCTTCTATTTGGTTCACTTAATATATGTAATCCTTTCCCCTTAATCAATCCTCATTCTAATCTCTAAACGACCATTCCTTCTTTTTCGGGCTTCACTGTTTCTTGCTTTATTTTCTAATTATATCCTTCCTCACTGACCCATTTCTTCACTTCAGCCATCTCCAGAAAGTACATCCATCTGCTTATCATCTTATCAAAAAACTCGTGCCTCCAGTTTGACTGCTGTATCTCCTCTCCACACTTTCACTCCGAGTGACCCGTATTCTCGTCTCCAGCAATGCGTTCCCGTCACTTCATTCACTCCGTTCTCCTCATGCTGTGTTTCAACTCGCTTGTCCTACTCATTGCCGCCTGCATGAAGACTATTCCGGCGGAGACTGTCAATCTGGAAGGACGGCTAAGCAGAGCTCCTCTCCAAAAAATACCAGTGCTTCAGAATGATTACAGTTCTCATGTCGAACAGTTCCGTGCGGCAAAACTCTTCCGTGCGTCAGTTTCTACTGAATCCAAATCGGAGAAGGCGGAAGCATTTGCGTCAGCCGAGTCGGCGTCTCAATCAAGAGAAACGTCTACTGAAGTGCGAACTTTTGCAAGAAGAGAGGGAATTACGAAAAATGCCAAGATTTTCGCTGCGAAGATAGACGAAAGGAGTGAAACTCCGAACAAAGAAGAAGAAGAAGTCACTCAGCCAGAACCGGTCATCGTCCCAACCCGAGATGATAACAAAGTCCACGATGACAGGGATTTGTTCGAGGCCCTACAGGTTGAGAAACCAGGTATTAGAACAGGTAATTCCGGCAGATATAGATTATCAATTGTGCTTTCAGATATTTGTGGATCGTGCCCTCCAATTTGGATGAAAAACAATGCAGAAATGAAGGACGTTTGCTCGAATTATGAGTCCGTTTCTACGTTCTTTTCGATGACTATGGACAAACGCGACGCCAAGAATATCATCGACAGGAGTGACGTGAAGGAATGCACCAGAACTATCACTTGTTCGGAACCACACATGCTTGTCAAGTCAGTCCTCGCGCAGATCTTCTCCCAAAAACACTCATTTCTTTCAGATGGCACGAATCCGATCTTTGCGACGTGCACGCACCTTCTTCCGGCTCTCTCGTCACCGATTCCACCAATACATTCGTTTATAAATGCAACGGAACGCACTGGACATTGCACGGATTCCCGCTCTCCAGCGTCGTCTGTGCTGTCAGCGCTAACTAGACTTCTATTTAGATCATACACTCTCCCCTCACTCTTCAAACTCTGTGCTACACTTTCGGGTCCCTTTTTTGTTGCTCTGTATAAATATTTTCGTACCTTCACCACATTGTACAACGACTCCAACTCTTCGTTGCTGAACCGACAGTCCTTTCCAATGCTCTTGATGATACTCTTCATCTGGTTGTCTTCCAGATTCTGCACGACTTTTAGACGATTCTTAAGACGGAGAGACTCGATGTGTTCGTTGGTGAAACAGTATCCAAAGTTCTGATATGACTTAGTGAGCAAGTCTCCAATTGGAATCTACAAAAACCAAGTTTTCATAATATATTTTTTAAATTCACTTTTGGAAATGTTCTGGTAGTCTCCGTGCCCATGAAGCTGATCATTGTGGATGCTGCTTCTTCCAGATCGGAAAGGATCGTTGTTCCGAAAGATACCGCCGATGGGTTCCGTTCGATTCCGTTATCTCCTTCGTAGATGCTGTCCGTATATTTGGCGAGACTCATCAGAATCTCGCCGTCATCTCGTGATTCGCAAATCAGACTTTCATTCTGCTTCAACATCTCTAGCGCTACTTGGAACATTAGCTGGAATAGTGGGCGTTTTATCTATTTCTTGCTCACAAACATACCCGCGCTCCTTCGAAGAAGAACAAGTCAAGAATGCGAACGGCCGCATCAAACTTGATTGCAGAGAGGAAAATCGTGAGGAACCAAGAAAGAGCAACCATGTCATCCAAGCCGAGACGAGTCAGTTGAGCCCCAACAGAGGGAAGGAGCCGTTCCACGAGCTCCGAGAAGACACCTTGGTCAACCAGAGCACCGACCACTTTCGTGTTGTAATAGTCAGGAAGAAGGCGTTCACAGACAGCGACCAGCAGCCAGAACGCCTCCTCTTCTTTCGTGAACAACAAAAGCACTGATCCGACAATGTTCATGGCTTGGCAGTATCCGATATTCGGATTTCTGAATGCGTATGCCGTTAGAATGCGTCGGAGGGCGTCGATTCCAGGTCCCTGTTGGAAAGCGGGATGCTCCGGAAGGCTTCTGTGCAAGTCTCGCTCGATCTCTTCCAGTGCAACACTGTACACTCCCTGATTCTTGTGAAGAAGTTCACGGTAATATCCTGGATTGAGTGCCATCTCAGCTGCGGCACCCGAACAAATCATCCATATCTGCCCTCTCAACTGCAACGGCACCCCCTCCAACAGCAGACGATGAAGTTCGACGGTCCTGTACATACACACTCCGCTTCCGTACTCTTGTAGACATTTGCTCCATTTCTCCCTGCATTTGTCTGAAGCATCCGCTCCGAATGGATATTTTTCAATCAGTGGACAATCCCAGATGAGATTATCGAATGAGGAACTGGAGGAAGATGTGGACTGAAATTGTACTGATTGTAGTATAACTTTCTTGATATTCACTCACACTTCTGCTTCTCTCCGCATCCACTTTCGCTTTCTCCATGGTCCGCTCGATCTTACCTCGTTCCAGAAAAACAGTAATCTTAGACAGAACACGGTCCCGTTCTGGAACTGCCGAAAAAATGACTGTTGCACCATTGCGAAGACACAAAAGGATTCCTTGGGTTGTTTGGCTGGAGGAAACGGGGGAGCACTCTTCCACCGAAGTCACTTCGATCAAAGGGATTACAATGGAAACGAAGCGTTCGGTCTGAAAAAGAGAAGCTGTTGAGTGAAAGATGAAAAGATGACTGACTCTGCTGGCGAAACACACAAAGTTCGGAGAGAGGAACATCTTCCCGGGAACGTGGCGACGATCGTACGGGGTGAAGAGTCGACAGTCCGTGTCGCCGTCGAGTTTTTCCATGAGGGGAAGGTTGAACTGACATCTGAAACTATTCGTTCTTACGGATTCTTGTCAATTCACACAAATCTGAGTTCATTTATATGAAGGCGATTAACGATGTCACGTGGCCCCGCCCCCTTCCTCTTCCCTCAAATCACGTCTTCCAACCTTGAGTTGTATGCACTCTGTGTCTTCTTCTCCATTCTTTCTTTCGTTCATAGTATCTTTGTACTCATATTCAAATCGGGAATCTAATCTACAAACGTTCCTTCCGTTGCCAATTTAAGGTCATCTGATTCTGTCGCATCACATACATGCAATCCCGACGGGGGTCCTTCTCTTTTCCTGCGGGATCAGATCCCTTCACACGCTGCCCTCTCCGGATTTCGTGCGCTGTTTCGTTGCGATTAGCACTTCATCAAACCCATTCCTATCATGTGGCATGCGGCCGACCCGCTTCAACTCTGATTCCAATTTGTTTGTTTTTTTTCTCAACTCGAGTTCTCTTCAAAAATCAATAGACGCCCACAAACAACTAACAAGTTATATCTCCTTTTGTGATCGAACGCAGACCGGAAACTGCGCATTTCTTTTGCAATTTTCGGATTATATTCTTGGTTTTTAAGACTGCTTCAAATGCACGTACCGAAGTCATCGTCTGTCGAGGACTTCGCGGGACAAGTCGTCATTTACACGGAAGTGGGAAATGCGAAATGTGCGAAAGGAAGGGACCTGCTCCACCGGGAACGTATTCCCTACATGGACGTTTCTCTCGATTCGTTCCCTCAGGTGGGCGTCTTCTCATTGATGACAAAACAACGGCCGAGTCAATCGAACAAAGCAGAAGAACATTAGTAATCATACGGAAGGCAGAGATTCCTTTCTTTCAGCACGCAAAAGAAATATTCGACAGAACGGGAACAGACGTCTTGCCACAGATATTCTTCAACAAAATTTACATTGGGAACGAAGTGGAACTCGAAAGAGTCGTAAGTTCATTCGAATCGCTTCCACCGTAATCCAGGATACTGTAGATCAGTGAAAAGAACAAGTGGGAGAGTCTGATTGAGCACGTTCGCCGGGAGAAGTGTCGGGACGGACCGATAGTGCCTCATCCGATGAATGCGATCGGCTTCGAGGAGTACGACGCCGAAAACAACAACAAATGCGAAGAAGTGTTGTGGGTTCCCGACGAGTACAGCAAACTGGTTCGCGACATGAGGAACGCGCAACTCATCAAAAATAATCGCGTCGGTGATCTACGATTTGTCGAAAATAGAGTCGAACGTGCTGTGTTTACAGGTTAAACTGAAGGTCTACCGAAACTCGTTCAAAGGCGAGCAACTTGTCGAATGGCTCATGCGGCAGAGGGGAATCAGTGAGTCGGGCGGGTTGTTTTATGGACCATAAAGTTCCCGGAAACCGCACAGGATTACCACATAAAGTTGCTGAAATCGGCCGCAAAACGGAACGTTTTGTGTCCTTGAAGTCTTGCCTTCTCGCCTTCGCTCAGCTTTTCGTCTCTTTGAATTCTTTCTTTTATTTTAGAGGTTATTCGTCAGTAGAAGTTGAAGAGTAGAGAAACAAAACACACCAATCAGCAGTCAGTTTTATCATTCCGTCTCTCAGTCTCTCCTCACGCCTCCCCGGTTATTTCTTCCCCGTCATCAGAATCAGTTCGAATCAGTCGACTTGACTTGACTTGTTCTACTCTTCTTTTTTTATTCTATCGTTTTCTCCACCCGAAATGAACCCGATTCAACGCAAGAAGTCGTCGATGAATCAACGCAAAACTTCGAATCTCGACAACATCGACCGTTTTATTCTCGAGCAACTAGCAGAACGGCAATGGCATCTGGAGTACGAGTCAGATCCGGAAGGGACCGAATGGAACGAACTCTGTTTCGACGACTCCATCGCCACTCCATTCTTGAAATACTCCCCATTTCGCTTCGGTACATTTCCCTTGGGCTTAGTATTAGACAGAGAGAGAGTATTTGCATATTGGACGTGAGAAATAACCAAACAAAAATAAACAATAGGGGTGACACACGTCCCGAATGCCAACTGAATGCGTTTTCAGAGCGTAGCGAGGCGCTGGAGATTGGCCAAGAATTGATCGACAGGCACGTGGGACTGCAGACTTCGAAAGAAGCCGGCATGACATTCAGTCCGGACAGGTTGGCCAGACAATGAGAAAATAAACACATTCGGAATGTTGTAGGTACTATCAATTTGCGGAGGACGATGAAAACAAGCCATTGAACGCGCAGGCAAGTATCGACGAGAATGAGGAGAAGAAGCCGATTGTACCGGTGGCCGAGAGTAATGAGAAGTTGATCAGACTCATTAGACCGGTGTTCGACGAGATATTGACTGACAACAATCAGGTGAGTTAGAATGACCCTTAATTGAATTAACTGCATTATTCTAGTCGATCATCTACGGCGGACTATCCGCCAATGACAACTTCACTCGTTACCTACAGTACTCTCGGGAACTCAACCAGGTCTCGTTTGAAGAATCCACTGCAGATGAGCGTCTGACATTCTTCATTAATGTTTACAACATGATGCTCATCCATATCACTCTCAAAAATGGGCCGCCAATTGGCATTTGGCAGCGAAGAAAAGTTAGATTCCCACTGGATTCAACGTGACCAACACCTGATTTCAGCTTGTGAATGGTACGTATTATCTGATTGGAGGACACCGATATGCTCTCCACTCAATCATAAACGGCATTCTTCGTGGAAACAGAAAAGGCCCGGGAATGTTGTGGAAGGCATTCGGGAAGCAGGACGAACGACTGCCGGTTTCTCTGTCAACTTGCGACCCTCTCATCCATTTCGCTCTTTGCTCCGGATCCAAGACAACTCCTCCGCTAAGAGTCTATCATCCGAAGGTTGACATAGTTGACAATGGAAACATTAAACCCAATCATGCGATTTCAGACTATTCACCAAGATCTTCGAGCAAACGCGAGACAGACCCTGATCACTGGAGACAAGTTTTTGCGAGTTGACATTAAGAAGAACGTGATTCACTTGGGAAAGATATTCAAATGGTTTTCCGAAGACTTCGGAGGGTCGACCGAGAAGATTCTGCAGTGGATTTTGGAAGTGTTGGAGAACGACGAGAGTGACAAAAAGCAGAATTTGCAGAAACTATTCTTCACAGGAGAATACTGTGTTGAGTACATTCCATTTGACTGGTCGACGAACGGAAGAATGGAAGAGAAGGAGAAGGAGAAGACGGGAACGGAATCGACGAGCTCCGAGTGAGCAGAACACGCGTTTTTAAAGCTTGAAAATTTGTCTGATTTGAGCATAATTTTTCGGTCGAATAAAGTGTTGTAGCTATGATCCAATTGCTTTTTCTCACCTGTACGCATCACTGCGATGTCTGGCGTCCAGATCTCTTTTCAGGAATGACGCTTTCGTTTTGACCGTCCTCTTCTTCTCACTCTCCATGAGCATTTTCCGTCGGAGCGCGCTGTCTTCGCAGAATCCTTCCTCTTCAATCAGCCTGAAATTTTCATTTGACCATCAAAAACAACCCGCATTTCTTACTGTTTCATAGCGATGTTTGCTAATTGTGACGCCAACTGGAAAGTTTCCTCAAAGTTCAGGAACATTGAAAAACTGAACTTTTTGTCCTCCTTCGTCACGACAAGAATGCTCTGGGAGAAAAGGAGTGACGACACTCGTTCGAGTCTCTGAGAAGTTTCGGTTATTCATAGAACCTGTTTCACGAAAAAAATACCACGATATCAGTCCACTTCAACTTTATTTTTGTCTCATTGCCCATGATAAACGAGTAGAAACAAAGGAAATTGACAGACAGGAAAAGGTCTCCTTGTGTCGGAACTTTTCCTTTCCAGTGGCAACATTTATAGTCTGAAAACTTGATTTCAGATTGGATAATGACCGAAAGGAAAACGTACAATTAACTAGTTTCTCATCTGGAGGAATCTGAAATATCTTGTGAAATCGTTCGAGACACGACCGCGTGGAAACTGAGTCGAGTTCTTCTGAAAATTAAAATAAAGTCACAAAGGGTAAACATATTACTTTGAATACCTGAATAAGGTGTGATCACTTCTTCTGAATTGCTGGCCAATCCTTCCACTTTCGTCATTACGTACCTCCGTACATCCTTTTCCAATTGTAACGGTTCTGAACATCCAGCTTCAGAATGGACAGAAACGTTCCAAACAAACCTGTGGTGGGTATAAAATTCTCCTCAATATATTTCCAATGCTCGTCTATTTCTTTCCGCTCAACTGCTACTGCCAAAACTGAATTTGATAGTTTAAATTAATGTTTTTGACGTGCTCGTGAATAACCGACCCACTGAAATGTGCACGTCTTCATTGTCGAAGTCGTAGATAATGCGAAACGGCGGCGGTCTCGTATCGAACACGGAATCGATTGTTGCCACGAGAAGAGATGAAAACCCTCGAGTACCGTGACCTTTCCGTCTTTGCAATTTGAAATATTTGCTTGCTTTCTCACATGACCTGCAAAAAACTGGATAGCTCCGCATACTTCTGATTCGAATTACCAGAAAGATTGGGCAAGTATCAAGTGTTCCGGCTTGACCCAAACCATGAAACGCTGAAAGAATTGAGTAGATGAAAGACAACGATAGCGACGGGAATTGTTGAAGTTTAAAGTTTGACGGTCTATTGTCGGACGATCGATTTATCTATTACAGGGGGCGAGACAGTACAGTGACACCCGAGAGACGAGCAGACATTCAGAGGACAAACAAGGAGTGACGGCTGGAAAGCTGTTCAATTCAATGCTCATTGACGAATGAAAAAGAGAACATTCGACGGAGCGATTCAGAGAAACAGCACAAAACAAATTAATTCGACAGTGGCTAGCAGCAAGTGCGCTCTATTGACAATGCATTCGCATCCAGTCCGGCAGTTGCCAAAGAGACGGAGCTCATGAGTCCGAGAGAAACAAATATTTCGTCCGAACAATTTTTGTCTGAAAATGCTGTCAATTTCATGTCAGACAAGTTTTCGCGATATTCTGGAAGTTGATCAAGCCTCTGTTTGCTAGGTAGACAAATTCGTTCTGAAAAGTTCTCTGAACTGAGGCATTCGGTATATTATCAAATGAATTCTGTCGATCTTTTCAATTTCCAAAGACCGTAAAATTTTATTCGCAAAATTAACATTCCCGACTATGTAACGAAATGCACGTCTGTCTTCCTCTTGCCCTTTAGGAGTTACTGTACTCCTTGCGCATTGACTGTGAATTAGATCAGTTAACAAATGAATTCATTCACCAAATGAATAGATAAAGGATGAAGAGAACGGACCAGTTTCGAGAGAAACGAAAACTAAACAATGCCATTTATCGTTCATCTCCGTCCGATTCTCATCAACGTGCCCAGATTGCAACTCTCACACGGGACCTGTCCTTCGTTCGGGAACTGCAAAAAGTCCTGCTGCTGAGACATTTGTCTCTTCCCGATACGCATCATGTTCGACAAACTGCCGCGCTTAAGTGTCGAGTACGGGCGGATGGTGCTGAAATCGGAGAGTTTCGGATTTCCACTCTTTTTGGCGGCACTTACTCTTGCTCGAAAGCGGCTGCCATCGTAGAGAGTACGACGAGCAGAAGGCAGAATACAAATGTCGCCTTGCCGAGCATTCTGATGCCTGCAAAGTCGATCGTTGCGAGAAAAGCCTCGAAATGTCGCCACTTTGAGCTCATCCTCCTCTTTTATATCGCAATTATAACAGTTGGTCGGGCGCGAAAAAGTAAAATAAATTGAGTTCTTGGCACGTAATTGCTCGGCTATTATGTGACTTTTCTAATTAAGTTCAAGCCGAAACGTCATGATCATCCAATAATAACTGCCTTTGGAAATAATAAGTACTACTGATGTGAGTGAGCGACTCAGGGGAGTGAAACTGAAACAGAAAATAATGGATCATCCCCGAACCTCTTTCTCCTCCGACCATCGTTTTCTGTCTTCCAGTGAAACCGAAAAACAAAGAAACGTCATTTCAGATCGTCTGGAAGATGACCACTATTAACCGCATCGAACGCATTCTCGAGGGATTTGACCCTGTGAGCCATGGACTCGACGAGCAGTTCGTGTTGACAAAGTTGACAGCGATGAAGGGGTGCGGGTGCAAGGTTCCAAGGGACATCCTGCTCCAGCTGCTGCAGACATTCAAGACGGATCTGGTAATCAACAACGATGAAGTCGGTACGATAGACATAGGAGTAACGCATAGTCCCCACTAATTTCAGACATCGGACTGGACAGCTGTGTCGTTCCTCTCCGACATCCCGGTCTTCGATTGGTCCAGACCACCGACTTCTTCTACCCGCTCGTCGATGATCCGTACATCATGGGCCGAGTCACTTGTGCTAACGTTCTCTCCGATCTTTATGCGATGGGAGTTTCGGAGTGCGACAACATGCTCATGCTTCTCGGAGTTGCCATTGATCTAGACGAAAGCCAAAGGGACATCATTGTTCGTCTGTTTATTCAGGGATTCAAGGTAGCACTCTATTCAGTTTCCACTCTCTCAAACGATTCGTTCAGGATGCGGCGGATGAGGCGGACACGAAGATCCGAGGTGGTCAGACAGTCCGTTGTCCTTGGCTGCTTCTCGGAGGAGTTGCCACGTCAGTCGTTCATGAATCGGAGATCATCAAAGTGGACCAAGCTGTTCCTGGAGACGTTCTCGTGCTCACTAAGCCAATCGGAGGGCAGGTTGCCGTCAATTCTTACGAATGGATCAAGAAAAACAACGGTAAAGTCGAGGAGCTGGCCTTAGATCCGTCTCGCATCAAGAAGACGTTCAAACAGGTCTGTGAGCAGATGAGCCGTCTTAATCGAAACGCCGCCAAACTGCTGCACAAGTACGAGGCTCATGCATCGACTGACGTCACCGGATTCGGACTTCTTGGTCACGCAGAGAACCTGTCAAGAGTGCAGAAGGAACCCGTCGAGTTTGTGATCGAAACATTGCCAATCATTGAATACATGGACGAAATTTCTGCGAAGATGATTGAGAAGGGAGGTGAAGGATTCCGATTGTTCGAGGGAAGATCCGCAGAGACCAGTGGCGGACTGCTCATTTCGATGTCGGAGGCGAATGCGAAGGTGCGTTCAACATATTTCCGTGTCATTTCTGTGTTTACCTTCCCTGTTTACACTAACTGGAGGAATGAACAAAAACAAAAGTGGTTGCTTTCAGAAATACATCGAAGAGTTGTCAGCTCTTGATGGCGCTCCTGCCTGGTTAATCGGGCGAGTCGTGGTGAAACAGACCGATTCCATCGCCCGCATCGTTCCCGACGTCGCCCGAATCTCTGTTCCCTCTCCTATTTAACTTGTTTTCCATCGCTCTCCTTCTCTTATCATTCCCATTATCGATGTTATCGTCTCCATTCCTCTTTCCCCTTAAAATAAAAAATAAACGAATAACAATTCCCCATTACTTTTTTTGCAGTTGGCAATGTCGGATCTCGACCTGACTGATGAGTTCAGCTGCACGAAACACGCAAAGAATCCGGGCACTGTCGCCGATGAATACGACGCGAAAGTGGACAGAATCTATGAGGATCTGAAGGGATCGTCTATCGAAAGACGAGAAGACGTCGTCTACGATCCGAACGGTCAATTGACTCAGGTCGACATCTGGGGACCGCTTAATGCAGAGAAGTTGTTTGTGATGATACACGGAGGGTACTGGCTCGTGAGTCCCTCGTTCCATTATCATCTGTAGTGTGAATAATCATTAGATTGGTAATCGGAAGAAGTGTTTGGCTGTTGTCCACGTGGCAAAGAAGCTCGGCTACACCGTCGTCAGTGTGGGCTATGATTACGCGAACAAGGAGCATCCGTTGAGCAAAACAGTCCAAGAGACGTTGGACGGAGTTCAGGTGGGTTAACAAAATAATATTGATTGATTTTCTTACTTTCAGTTCACTCTGAACAAGTTCAAGGATGCGAAGCAGGTGGTGATCGGAGGGCATTCGGTCGGAGCGCATCTCGCCTTCCAAGGTCCTCTCATTCCCTCGACCTTCTCTGAATTCCCGGTCTCTTTCAGTTGTCACCCGTATCCATGATCCTCGCATCAGCGGAGTCTTCCTTTGCGCCGGAATTTATAAACTTCAAGAGCTGACGTTCTCGAAGTACGGGCGCGATTTGGCGTTGACTGCAGATGAAGCAGAGGCGTTCAGCTGTGACTACCAACTTCTGAGGACCGTCCGATTCCCCATCCTGATTGCGAATTGCAAACTCGAGTCTCCGAAGCTGTACGAACAGAATGTAGAGCTCTCAAAGGAGGTGCCGAATGCACAGTACAAGGTTCCGCTTCCACCCATGTCTCGGAGTGTAAATGAATATTATTATTATATTTCAGGAGTACGGGAACGAAGATCACTTCAGCATCCTGACCGAACTGACCAATGAGGAGAGCCCACTTTACGCTGACTTCTTCAACTTCCTTCATTCTCTTTAAATTGCACAGAGTATACGCATTTTCACATGGACACAAGAGACAGAATAAAATGAGTGATAGACTAGGGACGACCTCAAAGGCTAACAAATTTTTTAACGAGGCTCCTCGAGCAAAATATAGTTGGGTAATTATGATGAATCAAGTATTAGGGTTGAGAAATTGGGGAGGGGGTGAAGAAGTGAATATACGAAGATGTTGAGTGCTTACAGAAGAGCGGCAGTTGTCTAATTGTTTGAAACAGAGAACTGCTTCTTCCAGAAGGCCGCTGGGCCCGCGATGTACTCCACGTCCAGCTGAAAATGTTATGTGTATTATTTGCTATTACTATTCTTGCGAAATTCACCTGAATGCGCTTAGTCCACTGGTGGCACTTCGGAATGAAGTCGGTCCTTTGTTGATTTCCTGCTGATTCGTAGACTTGTTGCATGTAAATGTTGCGATCTTCGACTGGAGTGTCTCTGTTGATCATAGCGAGCTCCTGATTGGAAGCGGCGAGCGAAGAGATGCTCGTGCCGGCGGTGGTTCCCAGTTGCTCCCTGTACCACATGACTTCCCACATGCTCGCTTCGTCTCCATGCACAGAAGTTAAACCGCTTGAAGCGGGAGAAACCACCGAATGCAATAGATTGCGAGCCGCTTTTCGTGGTTCCGCTGGTCCACTCAACGACGACGAACGCGTCTTTTCGGCGGACGGCGGAGCGGTCGCCTTCGGAACGGAATGTTTCGGAGCGGAAATCGCTTTGAAGGCAGAGTTGTCACTCAGACTGATGCGCGAACTTTTTGGCTTCTCGGCACTTCCCATGGCAGTCGGCGTGGCAGCTTGCGGGAAAATCGCTTGCGGCTGGATCGGTTTGCCAATGAGATGACCGAGAACGGCAGTTGGAGTGGCTGGAGACGGAGAAGAAGGCATCTGAGTGTTCGGCGAGTGCATTATCGTGTTGACTAGTTGAGTATCAAGCCATCCTTGGTGAGACTCGATTGTTTGTGGCGGAGCCGAGTTTTCCTGAATCTTGTTGTGCCCTGAAAGAAATCTGAAAGTAACAGATTTCCGTAAAGTTCTGAGCTCACAAGGATGATCAGAAGTGACGAGTGGTTGTTTCAGATCCGTCGGCATCGCAAATCCGATCTCTTCAGCTTGGCCACTCGCGTAGTATTCCATCTGTCCGCCGGACTCTTCCGAGATCATGGGACAATTTTGTGGAGAGATGGAAAACTGATTGAGGTTGGCCCCTGGCTTCAGCGGAGTGCACAGTCCGAGTACTGCCAACGAGTCCATTCCATCGACTGACGGAGACATATCCGGAAGGGTTGGACGGCTAATTTCGGAGGTTCCAGTTGGCGGTGGAGGCTTGAAAGCAGTGAACAGCTCCTCGCTGGTAAGTCTTTTGTAGGCGGGCGGCAGAGGAGTGGGTTCCTCGGACGTGTTCGCTTTGAGAGGCACATTGGGAAATAGTTGAGATAGAATTGACGAAGTCGACGGAACAGGAGCAGGAGGCGCAGGCGCCGGAACCTTTTCCAAAGGTTTCTTCTTCATTTTTTCCTTTTCCTTCCGCGCGTATGTTCGGATATCGTTCACGAACGGCATCACCAGATAGAACTTGTATCCGCGAAGATGAGTGGGCACCTGGTCAGTTTTGTCCGTTGGCAGATCGTCAACTTTGAACCACTGAATCTTTCTGTAAGACTTTAACTCGTTTTCACACCGATGAAAATGAAATACCTGATTTCTTTCCTTGTTTGTGGCTGGAAATTGTAATCCTTCGGCACGTTTTTGACGATATAAAGGCGGACCATCGTTTCGTTCTGGAACTTCTGCAGCTTCTTCTCGTTTTCCGAATGACGCCCGAAATCGAATCCAGTTTCCTCGTAACATTCGCGGATCGCCGCGTCACGGGGCGGCTCATTCTGATTGATTTTTCCCTTCGGGAAGCCCCAAGAGTTTCCTTTTGCAAAGTACGACTGTACGAGCAGCACGTAATCTAGCGATTCGTCCATCAGAATGGCTCCGTACGTCGGCACAGTCGACTTGTAATCTCTGAACTGGGCGATGAACTGGAACAGAATATTTCGAATTCAGTTGGTCACTCTTCACATACTTCATCGGAATCGTGCGAATACTTGTGCAGTGCCTTGCAATGATACAACATTTGGGTGGTGAACTCGCGTAATCCGACGTTCGGGCATCCCGTGTAGTCTCCCTCCACCATATGATCTATGTAATACCAATGAGCCACTTCCAGATGAAAACAAGCACGGATTTTATTATTTATCTGAAATATGAGCTGAACGGACCGCCCTTTTGAGATTTCTCACTTCGTAGTCGACCATGTTGCTGACGAATCGGAATTCGAGTTCGTCGAGGACGTCGGTCGGAATGCGCGGTCCTCTGTACTGCTGATGGGACGACTGCGGCTGCGGCTGCTCGCCGATCGTCTGTGCTCGGCCCACTTTGGACGTGGACACGTGGCGCGGTCTCTTCGATTGCATTCGGGCGGACTCGGCCTGCTGCTGCATCCGTGCTCCCACACTCGGACCTTTCGGCTTTTTCTTCTCCTCTCCTCCCTTTTTCTTCTTCGGTTTTGTGCTCGATGATTCGCCGCTGGGCTCTACGCTCTTATTTTGAGCCTGTTGCAGGGAAGCAAGCAGTTTCTGCACATTCGACGGCTCTTCTGCCTTTTTGCTCATTTTCTGGAATCTTATCTATAAAATAATGTCGGTAGGAAAGCTAATGCACCTTTGAATTAGTTTGATTACTCGGCATTTGATCTGAATATATTGTCGTTACTCTCCAGAGCAAAACAACTTAAAAAAGATATGAGAGCGACAGTTGACGCAAAGAAAATGTGTGTTCCATTTTTTCCCAAGGTTTTATTAATTTCACGAAAGCATGCAAAAATAATAAAACTAAAACACAAGGTAATATATATTTAGATGGTAATGGAATGTGTCGGTGGTGCGCAAAGCTCGAATTAATTGAGGTGCTGGTCGGTCAACTGCAAAATTAAAGTAAATGGAAGTCGTGATTTTCGGAATCTCACTCTTTTAGAGTCGTGATTCGCTCTTTTCAAAAAGTCGAACAATTGCGGAAAAGTGGCCTGGATCTCGGGTCCCATTCTTGGATCGGTAATGAATTTGTACATCTCCCTTTGTTGATCAGCCAACAGTTTGATGCACTCCAATTTGTCCGATTGGAGGGCTCGTATTTCTCGATTTTTCTCAGCCATCTCATCATTCCTGCCGGTCAGAGTAGCAGCGTCGACTCTCTGCAAAAGGTTTTGTATTGAATGCCGCATTGGCGGGCTTACCTGATCCGGCGGTCCTCCATAAGATCTATTGTAACTCGAGGCCGGCGATTGAGAATGCGCTCCGAAATTACTTTCATTCGAATTGTACGCATTGTTTTTGTTTTGATATCCAGACGAAGACGATTGCGCGTATGGATCCGGCTGAGATCCGTAGCCGTCGCGTGCAGAATAGTAACTTTGCTGACTCTGTCCTCTGTAGGAAGGCGCATTATTGCCGAAATGATCCTGAGTGGTCTGATACGAAACCACAGAAGAAGCTCTGCTTTGGCCGTACGGGGAGGCGGCCGCCGAATTGGCACGCGACATATCTCCTTCTTTGTTTATTCTTTTTTGACGCGCAATGTCGTCCTCCTCTTCAAACTTTTCGCGATCTTTTCCAAGCTGAAATTGTTTTTTCTTATTCGAAAAATCATATTTCTTCGTCTCACATTTTTCGCAATACACTGATTCCGTCTTTCATCGAAATGAGCATAGTTTCCTGAGACTTCCTCCAACTCCCATACGTAAGTGGTATACACGGGATCGTCTTGCTTCTGCTTCGATGGATTATTATCAAACATTCGCTCTGGCACTGTCCGTTTAACGAAACGGAACCAGCCGACCATGTCACGTGCCTTCGGCTGTCCAATGTACATTTTCACAAGGGATTTATCTTGGACCACGTCGCCCGATGGAATTGTGACCTAGAATCAAGAATATTGGCAAGGATTGCAATGAAGTAAACATACATGTGGTGCTACTGTGTAGTAACCGATTTCTTCCGATTTCAGAATAGGACAGCCACCAATTTGGGTCCATCCTCTGAAATTTTTCTCTTCGTAACACAGGTCTACGTGGAACAGATTTGTGCACGATTCCTTCTCTTCGTGCACACGAACTTCATTTCGTGCATCAAGAATATCGCAAACCTCCTACAAACACACTTTATTTCGCTTTCTGAGATATTCCAGGACAAACCACAATTTCGTAGAAAGCATCGGCTCCAACTTCCAGTGGTACGATGTAGCAACTGAACAGCGATCCAAGCTTTACGGTTGGACCAGGGACTGTTTTGCTACTGAGAACATTGATGATAAATCGATTACAGCATCGTGTACTTACACGAAAGCAGCCCTTTGCACTTCTCCGAGATAGGCGATGTACCATCGATCAGTCACAGCGGCAATTTGAGCAGAACGCTCAAACATTTTCTGTGGACGGTTTCTCGGCTCACTGCGAACGGAAATGCTGCTTTGAGACATAGGAGACGGTTGCTGATAGATTGGCTGTCTGGAAAAAGAAGAGTGAAATGGTTGGAAAGTTAGTAATAGTGAGAGGGAAAGAGAAAAAGAGTGCTCAAGTAAAGAAAAGATAAGAAAGGGCTGTCGCGTCTACAAGCAATATCACGAAAGTAAGACACAGACACAGAAATGTCAGTATGCTGTTGTGCGGTGTACGCAGACTTGTGTTGTCAAACGTAACAACCAAGATTCCACGCGTTTTGTACCAATCTCGAAAAATCAGCAAAATTAGCACAAAACGCGTGTTTTCGGCTCCAGAGCTTGGCAGTTACGGTTGACAAGCGCAGTCTGCGTACACCGCGCGAGAGCACGTAAAAAGGAACAATAAATTGAAGGAAGATGCAGTTTTTATAGATAAATCTGAAAAGAAGTTGTAATTTTTCCGTCAACGTACTGTGGCTCTACACGTGTGTTGTTTGAATAGTCGACTGGCCGGCTATGTAAATGATCTTGGTTTGAGTAGTCCGCCGAACAATGGGGCCCGTCGTCACCATTGTATTGTCTATCAGATTGCCCTTTCAGGTGATCTGTAGCAATTATTTGAACGAAAACCCAGGATTTGACGAATACCTTTATGTGCTGGTAAGACAGTTTTTTGAGAATAATAGCCTTGGTTCAACTCTTTCGTGAATGGTGAAAGTTGGCTGGGTTGAATGATTCTTTGCAGTGCCCAATAGCTATGGAACTTTGATTCGAGATTTATATCGTGAAAAGAGTATTTCAGCAACACGTTTTCACTTAATAGAATCATTATTCGACTAAAATGCTGCATACAAGAGCTTACGTGAATTGTTGTTTTTGGCAAATTCCTCGATCTACTTCGATTGGGCCCAAAATTGCGTTTTGATAATACAATAACCCTCCAATAGCTACAGGATTATTAGCCGACAATTGACCTTCGAGCTAAAAAATGTTTTTTCGAATTGCATCAGTCACCGGTTGACTTACATATAGGTAATTTTCGCCTATTCTACATTGCAGTTCGATAGGTGCTATATCATATAACTTCTTGACGCACAGCTTACGATGGCGGTTTCTGTGGATAAATGGTATTTTTGGCACTTGCAATTTATTACTGAACTCACTCCAATCGAACTTGCACCCAATCGCCGGGCTTCGCTACCATTCCGGTCGTCTCGATGGTAGTGACGCCTTCGATGCGTGCGTTTCCGAATTTAGTCCACACTTTTCCGCTAACTCTCTTCGTACCGTCTATCTCCAATACTAGACCGTTCACATACGTGCCGAACTGTAATAACAGATAGTGAATAAGGTATTCAAAGGCAAAACAAACGTCAGTATTAAAGACTATATTGAATTTAACAAAATTCAGTTCAACGTGTTTCAACTTGTCTGCTTGGGGTCTGTTGTTCCGAACAACATCAACATCGGGAATTGTGTTGACTCCGTAGCCATTTTCGTTGTAAGTTTTGAAAAAATTCTCTTCGAACTTCTTCATAATTTCAATGAAAGATTCTGCTGCATTGAAATGTTTTTGATGCTCCAGTTCTGAAACGGCTTTAAAAAACGGCTGAGTGGGGTCGTTGATCTGATTGCTGAAAAATTTTAAAGTATAATTCAGTATAATTCAGTGCAACGACAGACTAACATCTTGATCGTCACTCGATAGACAGTCATCGCATCATAACGAATACTTGTTGGCGGCATCAGAATGTATCCATAGCTTTCAGAAACTGCTCGTTTTTGGTGGAACGAGGCGTACTTCACGTTGGAAGAGAAAATGACGAACGTCTCTAGCTGAGCAAGCTGACTTGTTTGTAAAAAGAAGATGATTAATTACCTCAGGCCCTGTGTTAGATATGATATCGCCAATAACATCTGCAGAATCGGAAACTGTCACACTTGAACCCTCTTGAATCTGGATAACACCGTCTGCTCCTCGTCCACCACTTATAAATCGCAGCTTTTTCCAAACTACTACTCTGAATCGATGTCGGTTACTTAATCGATGCAAATGAAATAGTTACTTACTTATTCTTATGATTCACGATGTTAATAGTGAGCAACTCGAGTTGTGATGTATCATACGCGATGCATGTCTGCTCATTGACTTTGAGTACAAACACATGGAGTTCGAGCTCTTTCTTCTGATTCAAATTCATTTGAATGTTCCTAGAAGCATAAACAAGTGAAAAATATGAATATTAAAAAATAAAAACAGAGAAGAGTTCCAACTAGGCACAACCAAACACACAGAGGAAGACGCGAGTGCAGTGCAAAGGGGAAAAATGTGGGTGAGAGGAGAAAAGAGACGCGGCGAGTGGAGAGATCACGAGAAGGGCGGAGACACAGACGGACACGCGGCGAGCGGACGGCCTGCAGTCTCTTTTTCGCGGCCGACCCGACGTCGGAGGACGGGCGATTTTACAGAACGAAACACCGAAAAGGACGGGCTCGACAGAAATATAGATAATCACGAATACAGAATAAATTGAATCCACTAATGACAATGCTCACCGATTGGTTGTCCGATCATCTTTGATTTTCGAAGGTGGCTGATTTTCTTTGAGTTGTTGAATTGGCGAGGCCCGCATTATTTGTTGGACTGGCTGGTACTCCGTGAAATTAGAATTTGGAGGACCCTCTGTCATTTGTCGAACTGACGGATTCGCAATAGCTTGTTCGGCTGGCTTTACCACAATCCCAGGCGGAGGATTCAAGGTGGTTGCAGTTTCGACTGTTTCACTCTTTGTTTTTGATTCCCGGTTCCACATTTCACGTAGTTCGACCTGATTCCACTCTTCCCAGCATTCCTGCCTTTCTTCGGATTCGAGCATTCCGCAGATGAATGGATCTCTCAGTTCTGGCGAAAGCTCTGCTCCTCTCTCGTATATCTTGAATAGTGGAACTCCGTTTGCCTCTGCGTCCAGGTCATTTCTGAAATATTTGTCTTCCTTGCTGACTGTTAGATTCATTTCTAGTAACACCAGAGGCACAAGCCTGTTCTTTGAAAGTTGTGGAAGGTGATTATCACATACACGGCAAGTAACACATAGAAGGCGGTTCCTCTGACCATCGAGATGCCGGCGACATTCACATATGAGAAGGCGCCTGCGTATGCCAAGCTCATCGGGTAAGTTTTATGAGTTTCATTGTCCGAGCAAGCTGCGACCGCTTTTATCTGTAGATGTTAGCGTTTTAAAAGGCATTCAACTAAGAGCGAACAGTCAACTCGTTTCCATGGAAGCTTGCTTTTTCTGAATCTTTGACGGTTATTTGTTGAGAAGACGGCGTGAACACGTTTCCGGAGCATTCAAAGTCAGCCAACACGATTGACTGACCTCGTTTAACACTGAAAAAGAGCATGAGAAAGCGTAGAAACCAAAATTTCTGGGAAACCATACTTGAATTCAGTTGGAAGTTTGACGGTGATGGCTGCTTCGATTCCTTCCGAGTAGCAGAATGCTGTGTTCGTGTTCTCGTCCACCGAAAGGACTAATCCTTCCAGTTGTGACATTAGTACTGAAAAATAACCGCGTCTGAATCACGAAGAGAGAGAGAGAGAAGAGCGAAGCGAGATAAGTAGAAACGAAAAAGGAGAGAGGCGCTGGTCAGTGAAGGACTCAGAGGCTCCGTTCGACGAGTCACATGCATGCACAACAGGACGCGCGAGTGAGAATGCAAAAGATTCGGTATCAAAAGTAATGAGAGAATCTTTCGCAAAGTCGCGGTTTCGAAACGTTTTCGTGTCTGCGTCTCTGTCTCGCTCACCGTCTTGTTACAGTAATTCAAAAGTTTGCCTGTCAGACTGACAAAACAAAGCAAGCTTTTCAAACACAAGTATTCGAAATCAGACTATTTGGTTTAACAAATGCTTCATTTCTGAAAAAACGAATTGAAAAAAGGAAAACATTTCAAAAATTTACATTTTTCTCGGCTCCCACTCAAAATTGTCAAACTAAGTACGAATGTTCATGTAATCGGTCAGATAAGATCAAGGGATTGCGAAACATCACCTAAAATAGTTTACGAGAAAAAGAACGTGGTTCATTTATTAAACAATTCGGAAAAACGAAAAAAAGAATATCATGAACATCGGGTCGAAACTTGTCTCCTTCCCACGTTGACGCCTGGTCAATAGTTGCGCACGATACTCTGAAAGTATTTCGTCTCCGTGGTACTCTAAGAACTAAATTTAATTTGAAAAACCCACTTCGACAACAAACTCTTTGTTGTATTGTCTGTTCACATCTTGGAACCGCGTGTCTCCAGTCGGAAGTCTCTCGACTGTCCGGCTCCAGTGTCTTCCTTCGTTCGGTCCGTCCCTCAGCAAAGTATCGAGTTCTCCCTGCAAAACAACACTCGCCTCAAAAATCCTTCTCATTCTAGAGCGGTTACCTTCCACGTGTTATTGTGCTTCTCATCAAGAAGTCTTCCGCTTTCATCCCTCCACTTCCAGTTCTCGTCCTTTTTCTTCTCGACAACTCCTGCAATCCATCTTTTGTTCTTCTCCTTCTCCTTCTACCGTCGTGTAACTCACTTCTGCACATGGTCATCACCAATCCATCGTCACTTTCCTCCACTCCCTTCATACTTCTTCCAACCCATTCATCTCGAGCATTCGTGGTTCCTGTCGCGTTGCTCACTGGAGGCCACTGTCTGGCTATCGTCTCGACTCCTCCGTCCGGCTCCGCATTTCTTATCGGAGTCTTGCTTCGACGTGCGGTGTGCGAAGCATATGGAGAGGATCTGAAGTGGACGGTAATCAGAAGAGGATTCTCAGGAAAAGCTCACTTGTAAGCGGCGCTTCCGAACGGGTTTCTCTGAGCTTGGTAGTCCTGGACTTGATCGTTCCTGCAACAATCAAATTACTGCGAACGTGGTCGAAAACAGCAGCAAAGAGGAGCCTCCTCCATCCAAATCTCTCCTATTCTTCCGTTTACCTAATCCGCCGCTCCGTCGTCTCTTCTTTTTTTGTCATCCCAACTGGTATATTATAGAACAGAACAATGTTTTATTTCCATGAATATTTGCAGTGTGATAGGGAGAGTCTCTTGTGTTCTCTGCGTGGCTTGCTCTCGCACGAATGCTCCTCGCCGAGTCAAATTATAATTAGCTTTTTGCCCCCTTCTCCTATTTCTTTATGTCCCCGCCGAAGCTGTCAATTATTCCGCGTCAGCGCTGAAAAAGTGTACATTCGCGGTTTTGCAAGCGTCAAAACTTTTAGTGTATTCCTGAAAGAGTTGCAACATCAAGTAGAGTAGAATCAATTAGGGATATTGAAGGGAAAGTCCCGCCCCGCGGCCTGCCTTCTGACGGACCTCCGCTTCCGTTTGTTCGAACGGATCAACCCGTAAGCCAATTGTACGGACATCCGAGTCTAATCTACAATCGATATAACCCAGTTGTCGCCTATTGTGGTGTAAGCATGTGTGCGAGTGTGCAAGAGCTCCGCCGTCTTTTCACCTATATAATACGGCTCGGCCAGCCGACGTGGAGAGAGTGAGAGCCGGCCGGTTATGTCACCTCTTTCCCAATTTTTAATTTTTCCGCCTCCCACTTCGTTTCATTCTTCTCCTTATTCTCATTCTCCACACGCTCGCAAATTGGTAGCATGCTTTAAAAACGCGAGTCGGCCCTTTTGTGGGCGGCCATAACCAGTTTCCGAGTCGAGTTGCCGGACGGCTCAAGTAGCCTTCTCACTCATAATCTACCGTACTCTCGACTGCGACGTGCTCTCAAGCACATTCAGAAGGCCCTCGAGGCGAAATTGGAGGGCGACGACACAGGAGCGCTGAGTCTCTTTTCCTTTTCTCCTCGTTTTCCTCATCGCACCAATGCGTTTCTTTACTTTTCTAATTCAATTTATCCGCTCCTATATGTGCATGTGTGCCTGCTCGTCTCATCGAAAAGAGCACTTATATCTAGACTGGAGTGACAGATTCATAAGACGACCGAGCGACAAGAAACAGACCATAAAACCCCCGGTCGTCTTTGTTTTTGTGCTTGTGTGTTGGCGCTTGCGGAATCGCCACCGAAAACAAGTATAACGCTCGAGAGCTCTCCAAGATACTGTACTTCCCAACATCTCCACAATCACCAACTCATTTTTCCCTTTCCAAACTGAATATGTCTCGTTCCTCTCTCTTTCTCTCCGTTCTGTTCTTTGTTTTTTCCGTAAATTCATTCACTACGTCGTGGCACCACGATGACGTGGCAACATTCTGACAATTAACAAGTGTGCTCAATTTGAAGTTCTCGTCTTATTCAACTGACATCATTGTCCAATTTGAGGCGATTCACTCACCCGCCGCACATCCCTCCGGCAATTGCTTGCCAATTCTTTCAGTTGTCTACACAACCCGTTTTCTGGCCCGACTCCTCTTCTTCCTCTCCCTCTCCTATTCAAAAATCCACCCCAATTTTTCGTCGTTTGGATCTCGGCAAGAAATTGAATAATATGGACGACGTGTGCCGCATCTCGCCGCTCTTGCCCTCCCGTCGTCGTCTCCTCTCATTGTTTGGTGATTCGAAATGAGCATCCTCGGGAGCCGGGGCTCTTCTTCGACGCAATTTTGTGTGCTCCTTCACGAAGAAATAGAGACAGCGTGGACGCGATAATTGCGGCTCTCGGGCCGTGCTTCTGACCGCTAGCGCCAAAAGTTCAACAAGTTTGCGCGTGTGTGTGTGAAAATGGAGCAGCCAGCAAGGAAGGAAAGAGCCGGCAATCGCAAAGCTCTCGCATTCCAATGCACTACCCTCTAATCGCTTATCTGTCGCGTACCTGCTGTGAATGTTTCTCGATCTTTGTCCCTCCATCCAGTTTCCGCTTTGATACTGAGGACTACTGTAGCTCTGTTGCTTGCTGAAAAACTTTCGATCTACAACGGAAAAGAGAGGAAAGGTGTCTGAAGAGTGAGCAGGGAGCCGCCCCCGAGATCGGGAGCCGGAGAGGAACAGCTGTCTGTTGCTCTCTTCCATCCTAATTGCTCTCTCTTTGGATGAAAATGATGAAATAATGAAGAGACCACAACGTGTCATCGCTTCCCGAAAACTCTCATTAAAGAAAATGGCGACACAAAAGAACAAACGGTGAGGAAGGCATGTCGGATCTCGTGAATAATGGAGCCGGACGCACCTGTTGATGTCCTTTCTCATTTGTTCGGCTTCCTCCACGGGCGAGAACACACTTCTGCCCATCACGAATCCGTTCTCGTTCGTCTGTTTGTTTCTGTTCTGATACTCTTCCGAAGAGTGAACAAGCTTCGGCGGCCTGCAAACGTGTGTTTTGTGAGCGTCTCTGCCCACTCTCTCACCTGAAAACAAAGTTTGCCTCCTTCTGGTCGTCGCCTTCTACTCTGCTGACTACGTGCTCCAAACGACGCATCGTCGGGCCGACAGAAGACGCTCTCCAGGGCGTGGAATTGGCGGATCGGTCAACTGTCTCGTTAGCCTTCCACTGGGCCATGTCGGGATGACAACTCTGAGTCATCTCTCGGTTCATGGACACTCTCTCCTGACGGACTCTTTGATGCTCTTCCAATTCGTCCATGATGTCTGACTTGAATCCTCCGATTCCCCCTTTCACTTCTCTTCTTTCTTTTCCTGGAGTCATCGATCGGGCACGGCTCGGTTCACGGGAAACAGGCTTTGGTGGCGGCGGCGGTGGAGGCGGAGGCGGAATCGACTTCTCTCTTAATCATTTTTATCATTCACCCATCATAGATAGACGTGCTCACCGTGGAGGCTCAGGAATGGATTGTTCCTGTTTAGCCTCCTCAAACACTCGCTCGTAATAGAATGATTCGGACGTATCTGGAACCTTCTTGGCAGGCTCTTCCTTCTTGGAAACATCCTCGTAAATAGTCGGATCTTCTTCCTCTTCCTCTTGAATCTCCTGTTTCGTCACCGATCTCAGTTCTGCTCCGTTGGGTTCTCCCAGTTTGTATTCGAAAGCAACCTGCATTTCTCTATTTCTAATGAGTCAAAAGTCATTATTGTACCTTGTTATAAGATGGAGAAGATGGAGTCGCCGTATAAGGTTTCGGAGTCGAAGGCAGCGTCTGTGACGGCACGTTGTTCGAGACGATGAATGCGTAAATGACTGCGAACACGCACTTCACAACTGTCCAAAGGAACGAAGCCACTGTTTTTATTCCTCTCCAAACTTTTCTTCCTGATGTTCTTCCGAATTCCCACACCTTTTTGGCTCCATTCTTGACAGAAGTCCAAACAGATTTAAAGAAGCCACGGATGCCAGAGTTAAATGTATAGAATGATTTTGGAGTCGCATTATGGTTGTCTTGCACGGGATTACTGTAGTTGTTCGTATGGCTCGTCGGGGCCTTTCTCAGTCTCACTCCGTTCTGTTGCTCGTGATGATCGGAGCACGGCACCCCGTCCACACAGCAGTACTGGATTACCGGACGGCCTGTCTTCTCACACTTCCATTCTTGCTTGCCCCTGAAAAAGTAAAACGTGAGCGAGAGCTGGAAAGGTCTCGTGATTCGCCGCCTTCTGCTGCGTTTTTTTTCCTGAGCTTCTCCTTCCCACCACTATCATTTAATTGATCTGCTCGCCCTACCGGGTCCGCTTTCTCATTTCTTTTCTTTGTTCGCTCGATATTTATAGGTTGTCCGGCTCTCTTTTTGTCTTTCTTTCCACGAAGGTCGGCTCGCCGAGCAACTGACTCTCTTTCTGCCGCCAACAACGCATGCATATCGATACGGATATCAAAGAGAAGAAATAGACGCCGCTAGTAATTTTGTTCGTTTTTGCAGTTGTTTACATACTTATTCATTCTCTACTTGCGCGTTTCGAAAGCTTGCGCGAAATAGAAGCGACAGAGCGATCACCTGCTGATTGACATTTCTCATTACTTCTCACACCGTCGCCATTTCCGTTTCTCGATCGCCACTTTCTTTATTTCGCTTTGCTCTTTCTGCGAGGGACTCACTTGAAAAGGAAGTAGACAAAGTAGAGGGCCGTCCAGAACACTGTACCGACGGCATTGGCGGCGCCCGCAACAGCCGAAGGCATCTCGAATAGTGCTAGTGAGTCCCGTAGGATCCTTCGACTCAACGCCGGAGGCTCTCGTTGTAAAAACGCGGCAGGAACGGAAATAGGTCGAAAATGATGGGAGGATTAGAGATAGGTTGGCCGCCGGCAATCCCTTCTGCTTCCCCCTCTCTCAGCTCAACTCAAAACATGTTGCGGGCACGAAATAATGAGTGAAAACAAAAAACGTGCAAAAGAATTTCAGGTGATGAAAAAATGTTCCGCGGAAAAGAATCGAAAGTGAGTACGGAGAAGAGTAGTAAGCGGCATCCACATGTCTCGACGGTGTTCGTCATTGGAAACAATGCAGAGGGTAGGAAGGGATCAAAGCGCCGGGTGTCAGAAAAAGTCATTTCAGAATTCATTATGGAGAGGAGGACGTTGTGGCAAGACGTGCTGCCAGATCTTCAGAACTTTGCGTTCCAGTCCAATTTCGATATCGAGTTCTGTGATGTTCCTCTGGAGAACGGAGAATTGACGAACAGTACGGTGGAGCATGTGCTCAGGGTGTGGAAGGAAAATCCTCGTAGTTGGATTGTGGTAGGTTCTGTGCAGTCCACTTTGCTTCAACTCTGTTTCAGTTGCTGTTGGGCAATCGCTATGGTCAAGTGTCAGTGCCGACTTACCTGCGCAAAGAAGAGTACGACTCCATCCGGTCGTCGATCTTCGAAGAGAATGGCAGTGAGTTCCCTTCGCCCGCATGCTAATTCCGCCGTGTTGAGGACTCTGTCCGGGCTCTCCCAAAACGTCCTTCTTCCTCTCCTTCTCTTCGATGACTTCAATTTCTCCTATTCCTCCTTCTTCATCCAATTCCCAAAACCTAAAATTTCTTCTTCATTTGTCACCACCTCGTGCTCGAAGAAAAGGGCATCTGCTTCCCTCTTCCGCTCTCTTTCCCTCCCGCTCTCAAATTATTAGTTTTGGGGTGCCACAAATTAGACATCGCCACAACAATTGTACTCGCTCTTTCAACACCAAATTTTCCTGTCTGAACGAGTGAAAAAGCATCCCTGCCATAGAAAAACGAATCATTTCTTTCGGTGACATTCGATTTCCGTCGCTTCGTCGCCGTTTTCCCACTCTTCTTTTTCTTCTTCTTCGCCTTTTTTCTTCTTCAAGTTTTGAGTTATCAAGGTTGAGCGAAAAGAAGAGAGGAAAGCGGGACGGACCGACAAAATCCAGTTAAACGGGGGTCCTCCCATGCAAGACACTTCACTTCTTGAGATGTTTGGTTCATTCTCTCTCCCAAATGGAAGCCAGATTGCAGCAGTTTCACCTGTTCCCTTCTGACCGCTCCCACTCCCTTCCTTCGTTTTCCCGTTTCTTTGCTCGGATTAATCTTCTCCGATGAGCCTCTTTCCTTTCTTCGTCGGCAAATTGCCTCCTTCAGAAATCAATCCAATCTGAGAAGGAGCACGAGTAGTTGCTCTTTGATAGCCGACTTCTCCCTTCCCCCTCTCACTTCCTTTGTCTACAGATGTTCGCGTCTTCGAGAAGGCGTACACAATAAACCGGAACGTCGCCGTCGAAGAGTATCGTCTTGTGCCGTCCGCTATCAAAGACAAGAAACAGTTGGCTGAAATCATAAAGGCGCTGCAAACGGGAGCAAAAGCCGTGAGTCCCTTTAGCCTAGGTTTTCCATTAATTCCCGTTCCCATCGGATTTTAGGCACACGAGGAAGGCGCAATCAACCAAGTGCACGTGCAGAGACAGAACCGCTTCTTCGCGTCGCCGCTCGAGTCGCTTGTCCGTTCAGTTCTGCAGACTTCGCCGTGTCGATGTCTGTTCCTTCTTCGAAAGTTCGATCAACTTGTCGCCGATCCGAATAATCCGAGTGTCTTTCTAGAGACAGACGAGGAGAGCAGCAAAAAGATTGAAGAGCTGAAAGTGCGGAATGAGCAGGTGCAGAGAAAGGTGTAATTGAGATTTCAGAACGAAGTAACTCTGAAAATGAACGACCGAGTGATGACGCACGTGCTGAGGCCGGAGAGCATCGACATCAACTACTTCTTCAATTCGCGCGACGGGGACAAGTACAGAGAGAAGATTGCCAGACAGGTGAGCCCTCTCAATGCCCTCTCACGGTGATTTTTCCTGGGGGTTGTGCGGAGGTTTCTAGTCCCTGGCCTCCGTGGCCATCGCCGTTCTATTAACCAAAACCGGCTTTTCGGATTTTTCTCAAAAACTGGAACATAAATTTCTTAATCACAAACGTACGTTTTCTTTCTTAATTATATAAGCTTTCTTAGAAAAAAGAAAACAGAAAAAAAGTTTGTCCCGACCGGTTTTTTTTGGTACCAAAAGATGGCCGAACGGCCGAACGGCGTCCACGAAGGCTCAGATGCAGCGTGACAGGGACTTATTATAGGGGCACCGGACAGAAAGGGCGCGCTGTTCGCAATCTGGCCGAATTTCTAGGCCGCGAAGTAATTTTTCACTGAAAATGTGGCCTAACTTTCAAACTCGGCCCCGAGGTCGCTCAATTTGCACTGCAAAAGGAGTTTCTCAACAGAGCGCCATTTCTGTGCAATGCCCCTATAATAAGATGTGTGCCGCCGGAGAAATATTGATTCATCTTATTTATTGTCATAGTGAATCTGTTGATTATGATCAAAATTAGCAAAGAGCAACAAGAAACTCGCAAGAATTTCTATAGGTCACTGGAAAAATATCTTTTTTCGAAATATGGCTATTTCGTGCGTGTTTTTTGTGACTCTTTGTTAGTTTACATTATAATGGACTAATTCACTATGACAATGAATAAGATGAATCAGTATTTCTAAATACGACGGCACGCATCTGACGTTTTGGCGCACAGAGGATGGCTTGGAGAGCGCGCCGCCGTCCCCCTCCTGCGCGCTTCTTGACTGTTCTGGGACTTCAGATGCGTGCTGTCGGACGAATACTTAAAAATTAGGAAAAATAAATCAGTATGCTTTGAACAGCACGCATCAGAAGTTTTGGCGCGCAGAAAAAGGCTTGGGAAGCGTGCAGCCGACAGTTCACGGGACGAGGGCCGAACTTTCTTCCTCTCTCCACTGCGTCCCCAGAAAAAATCACCGTGCCTCTCAAGGCAAGAATCTGATTCAGTTCAACGAAAAGCTGAAAAACCATATAGCCGAGCTGAATCCTCCTGTCCGTCCAGAAGTTCCAAAGTCTCCAATTGAAGTGGCAACTGCTGAGGCTCGAACTCACGTCGGTACGTTCTTGAATGCTCAAAATTCGAGTGTCCAATCTACGTTTACAGCATATCTGGAACACCAGCTTTCGATTGGAAACTTGCCGAGAAACTATGACCAAAGGTTGGACGAGCTGGCCGGAGTCAAAGTGAACCGAGGAGTCTTTCTGATTCAAGGGCCTGATCTTTGCGGGAAAACGCAGGCTTTGTGCAGACTTTACAGCAAAGTTTCAAGTGCAGACGCGTACAAAATAATTTTGTAAGATAAAGATATTAAACGTTTCACATACTTTCAGTTTCAGTTTCACAAACCTGACCTACTCGTCGAACTTTGCCCATGAAGCCTGGCGGAATATATGTCTCGCGATCTGTTCGGAAGCTAAGATCGACCCAAAGATTGTTCTGGATCACTTCAAACTCGGCGAAGTCCTCAAGTGTCTCGAGACTATTGTACAAAAAGCCGACAAGCCAGTTTGTCTATTCGTGGACGACGTGCACCTGCTCAAATGTGGACATCTTCTGAGTCAAGTCGGAAGAAGAACTGAGACTGTAAACTTGAATTCCCTTCATCTCGACCCTGATTACTTCATTTCAGGCTCCTGATAATCTGTCACTGTTCATGACTTCTTCTAATATTTCTCCGGTGAACTCTGTGTTTGCGGTCACTCAAACCGTGAACGTGGATGTGATTTCGGAGAATGAAGTGGTCGAAATGCTGCAGAAGATAGCTCAGCAGACTGAGAGAAAACTGACGAACGAGCAGACTTCAAGCCTGCGGCCACTTGTCACAGCCTCGAAGGATGGGATTCTGGTGGCGAAGAGTTATGCGCACGAGATTGTGCACACTGGACACAGTTCGATGAAGGGAGGGATCGAGGGGAGACTGAACCGGATAGAGAAGGAATTCGGAAAGTTGGCAGTCGGGAACGTCTGCATGTACATCTCCATTTCGGCTCACGGACTCACACGGCTTGAAGTTCACGATGTGATATCAGCAGATAAGGAAGTTTTGAAGGAAATGAACTTGACTACAGTGTTCCCTCTACTCTTACTCGACAGTATTCTGGAGGCACTTGGTCCCCTTCTCCGAAAAGTTGTGATTGATGACCGCGAAGTAATCAGCTTTTCCCATTCCATACTCACATTTTTCATCCGTTCTCGTTACGTGGCTAATCAAGCCGAAAGGAATGCAGCGAATCAACAGTTATCCGATCTCTTCGCTGATCTTTTGGTGGATAGCGAGCAGTCACCAAGACACGAAATATCATATCAGGTTGGTACTGAAAAAAGAAGGAGCAGTAGCAGTTGGCAGCTTTCAGAGTTTCCCGCAAAATGTGAAGCGGGAGAGCGGGTCGCCGAACATTCGCAGACTTCGGCTCCTTTGGTATCACTGCCTCAACTCGGGGAACCTTGACCGACTCAAGCAACTCGCTTTGTGCCAGTTCGACTATCTCGATTATGTGACTCGTTTCTTCGGAATCTCTAATTTGCTGTCAATGTTCGAAGAGTGTGCCACTCAGACCCTTCATCATGATTTGCAAGGTTAGGGAAGCGGCTGGGCTCACATCAAGTGAAACGTTTCATTTTCAGTGTTATCGGAGCAGGTGCTCGTCCCCGCACTGTCCACATTGGCAAGAGACAGTGAGCAGTTGGCGGCCGAAGTGATCGGAAGACTACGGTATACGAGACCGGACAACAGTCACTTCCTAAACAGTCTCGTGGAACAGGCGATGGCGTGGGTAGACATGTATAACAGACAGCCTCTGCTCGTTCCGCTCACTTGCTGGATCTCGCCTCCAGCTACAAAAGTGTGCCGCAGTTTCAACCTGAAAGACTGGAAACCCGGAAATACTGTACTGACCCCGTACAACAAGCAGCAGTTCCTGTTGATATCTGGAAATCAGACATATCCCGGAGTCATTTACGCCTACCACGTCGCTTCGGAACAACTTCTTCTGATCTTGAAAGGGCACACCGCAGCAGTGACTTGTCTTTGTGCGAGCCATGACGACTCGTTCTTCATCAGCACGTCTCTCGATAAAACAGTTAAGAAGTGGTCGTTGAATTCGGTGAGTTCTTATCAAAATTATTGAGGAAACATACCACTTCTAGGCTGAGCCATTGATGACATTTACCCATCATACTGCCAAAGTGACCTGCGCCATTTTAACTTCTGATGATCTATTTCTGATAACAGCCGGAGGAGATCACACTGCGCAAGTGATCAAATTGGAGACCGGAGAGGTGATTCGTCAGTTCTCTGAGCACACTGGAACCGTAGTTTCCCTCCAACTCACTTCCAACAACAACTTTCTCGTCACTGGATCCGGAGATTTCGTCGTTCAAATGTGGGATGTGTGGACCGGAAAGAGCATCTCGAGAATGGGCGGCCTCATGGCTCCAGTCAGTACGTTGGCCATCACTTCGTAAGTATCCCTTTTTCCTGAGGTCACCAACTGCACGGCGACCAAAAACGTAGAAAGGGACGTGGCCTAGCGTGCACGGTTTATCACCATTTTGGCGCGAAATTCAAAATTTAACCCCATTTTTCATGTTTTTCGTCAAAAATTACCCAAATTTAGTACGATTTCGACTTTCGATGTTTCGATGTTTCCTCTCTTTAATGTCTTCTTTCGTCGATATCAAACACAAAAATATCGGAAAAGTGCTGGAATTGCGGCAATTTTCAGAAAACGCGTCTCATATTAGGCCACGCCCCTTTCTACACTTTTGGTCGCCGTGAACTGTAGTTCTTTCCAGAAACGATGCATTCGTGGTTGTTGCGTGCGAAGACGAGACTCTGAAAGTGTTCAGTACGGTTGGCGGACAAGAACTGCACGAGCTGATGGGGCACGAGGGCAAAGTGAATTCGTTGGTGTGTGCCCAGGATGACTGCCAGTTGTTCGCCGCTACAAAGTCCAAAATCTTCTGTTACGATATACACAACGGACAAATGATCGACGTTTTGGACGTGGCGCAACCGTATCCCATTTGCAGTCTCAAGGTTTGCCATCGGAACGATTCTGTTTCATTTGAAGAAATGTTGTTCAGATCACAGCCGACAACTACTTTTTGATATCAGCCTGTGGACCGAAAGTTACCATCTTCAATGTGCAGAAAAGGAATCTGGATGCACACGAAATTCCAGCCGACAAAGAGGGATTCCTCACGATTCTAGCCCTTTCTAATGATGACAAGTACGCGGCATGTGGCACTTTCAACGGAATTGTGGCCCTGTGGGATCTGGAAGTTTGCCAGTGCATCTTCACGACTGTACAGGGAAGAGGGGATCCGATCACATGCCTCAAGTACTCAATTGATAGTCATCACTGTATTTCTGGTAATCGGAAAGGCAGCATGCTCGTCCTGGACGCACAGAACGGAGGAGTCATCCGAGAGCTTTTTGTAGGCGTCAACCACTGAATTCGTACGCATCCGTTCGGTTTTCAGATGCACAGCAGCGAAGTACAGTCGATAATGTCTCTGATAAACAACAAAATGATTTCGTGCGACATCGAAGGGAAGATGGTTGTTTGGGAGTTATTCCAGGAGGACGACACTCCCGATCTGATTGCTACGGGTGTCAAACCGCCGATCTACGTGCCGCCGAGTGGCCGAGTCATGATCGGATACACTGCAGCCGCGAACAACGAGTCAGTCCCAAAGCTGATGGAATTAATGGCATTAGAATATTTTTCAGACTAAAATTGTGGGAATTCCCGGAGGAAGGACCTCCTGTGCAACTCACCAAACTTAGCCACACGGATGATATCACGTGCTTCGCAGTCTCCCCGAAAGGAGGCGGACAGGTTCTAGTGACTGGCTCAAGGGACTCATGCCTCAAATTGTGGTCCCTCGAGAAGGGATTCCTGACTCAAGTGCTCGCGGGGCACGAGAACGTCGTCACTTGCTGCTGCATATCGTACGACGAAAAGATTGTCGTTTCGGGCGCTCTCGATGAGAAGATCTTTCTGTGGAACGTCCCGAAAGGCGAAATGATCTACTCGGTCAGTGCGAGTGCTCCCCTCACTTCCCTCTCAATGACCGGAGACTCTTCTGTATTCTTTTCCAGTAAGTCACGAGAACTGTGTTGATTGTGAAAGTGAACTGATTTCAGCCACCGAGGAAGGATGGGTAGAGACTTGGTCGACGTCGAAAGGGACTCTTCTCTCCGCGTTCAATGCTCACCGTCCCATCAAGAAACTCATCAACTCGTACGAATCCCACCGCATGCTTCTCCTCCTCGAGAACTGCGCCCAACTGCCCATTCTTTGTCTGCACAATACCCCGGCCTCTGGAATGGAAGCAACGAGACGGAGGAGTGCGCGAACTCACTCGGTCTCTAGTGCTTCCAACGAGATAACAACCACTCCGGCTTCTGGAGAAATCAAGAAGGAACCGTCCTCCAACTCGAACAACGGAGGGAACGGCTCGACGGTTTCTCGTCCGGCAGCTCCTAAACCCACTTTTGACATGCTGGAGAGGAGTAAAAGTAGGACATCCCTGATTGAAAAGGTACACAAAGCTTCCAATATCATCCATCCACAGAGTTTTTCAGGATCGGGCAACGACGCTCACACAATCCAACGCACCTCCTCCTCAGAAATCGAATATGTGTATTTTACTTTGACATTCCTATTTCCCTTCTTGTTTTTCTATGTTTCTGATATTGTCCGAAAATGTGTATTCTCTCAACTTTGGCACGATAATCATTTCTGATCCAACCATTCCGAATGACATATTCCGAGTACGCCCGAATATTTGATTATGCACCACATTTCAGGGAATTCAATTACAAAGAGCATGACGGAAAACTGAGAAGGAAATGGAAAAAAGATCTGATTCTGAGGGCTTTTCAGTTTGCAAAAAGACCAAACATAAATCTAGAAAATAGTTTATTAAGCCCTAAGCAGAAAAAAACAACTGAAAACATTAGAGCTCCCCGGTGATTTTCAACGCTTTCAATCTTTTCGTACAATCGGAAACCTAATCAACTTTCGACGCCGACTTGATGCTCTTTGGCTGCTCACTCTGATCATTCGCAATGGCGTCCGTGTACTGGTTCGTCATCGGAATTGTCGATGTTTTGGCCATCATCTTCAACGCATTCCTCATTTATTTGGCTCTCTACCATACTCCCAAAATGGTTCGCACCTATACAACACTCATTATCAACCTGGCCTTCACCGACTGTTGCTCGGCTTTTCTCAACTTTTTCGTTCAACAAAGAATGATTCCAGCCGGTTTCACAATTGGATATGTGTCGAATGGATGGTGCAGAGCCTTCGGATATCGAGTCTGTTTCATGAGGTTTGTGTGAAAAGAAAAGAAGTAACAGGAATGATATTTTCAGTCACAACATGATGGCCCACTTCATCGTGCACTCCAATTACTCTCTTCTTCTATCGTTCGCTTATCGCTATTACATACTCAGAAAGCCTGAACCTCAACGGAAAACTGTCCTCGCTCTCCTTCTCGTAGCCTATCTCCCTTCTTTCGTTCAGATGGTGAGAACACGAGAAGAAAATTGTTTTTCACTACCATCAGGAACTTGTCAGATTCTTTATCAACTCGCCGAATCGGATCCCTCCGAAATCATCTCCGTGCTCGCCTATTATCATCCCGAGTACAATTTTACTGGAATGACAGTCAGTGGAGTGGCAGACATCCGAAGCGTCTTCGCTCTTTTCAAAATCCTACAGATGACTGCCTTGACTGTTCCCGTATTCTCCACAATAATTTTATTACGGAAAAAGATCATTGACAGACTCGTCTACAGAGGAATCAACATTTCGTTGAGCACAAAGAGCCTCCATTCACAATTGCTAATGGTGATCACTTTCCTTGTTTCTCATTTCAATCAGATTCTTCTCAGGCGCTCACCTACCAAGCCCTCCTTCCCACTCTCTACTCAATCAGCGTCGTGATGTACGTCCTCGAGCAATCGGGAATCTACTCGACGCCGGCGATTGAGGACTACATAATGTCCGGACTCGTGCTCATTCCCTTCTGCTCTCCGTTCACTTCCTTCTTCTTTTTCACTCCCTACAAACGATTGATTCTGGGATTGTTCCTGAAGAGCTACATGAAAAAGCCGTCGACCACCTCGGAAAGTGGCGCCGTCTCCATTCCAATCTGAACAATCCATCATTGTCTTAACGGCAGATGTGTCGGAATAAATATGTTTGCCCTGGCGGTCTTAATCTGACGTATTACTTGAACCATCCCCTCTGCAAAGGCAAAAGGCCCCCATTTGAAGTACACTATGATAGAATCATATTCGGATTGTGAAGGTTGTTCGCACATTGTGTACGATGATTAGTCATTTTCTTTGTGCACAAAGGGGACATTCCTTCCTTTCCACTCTTTATTCCTCTTTTTCTTCTTCTTCTTCTTTTTATGCATCACCTGAATTTCATCAGAGTCAATTCCACCGAAACCTTTCTCCTCGCCCGCTCTTCCCTTTTACTCTGATCATGCTCGTCGCCTATTGGCAGACGTACTATCTAAGAGACGGAGAGAAAAGCAGGTTCACCGCACTAAGATAAGGGAATGGGGAGAGACGCAGCGGAACGTGGCCGGCAGTCGGCCTTCTCGGACGTTTCCCTTCTGCCTCCCTCTCTCTCTGTCTCTCTCTCTCCCTCCCATACACTCTTTCCTCCAATATTATCCCCCGTTCGCTTTCTTTCGTTACTTGTTTGAAATGTCCACTTGTTAAGATCCTGTATAGTTCAGAGAGATACAGTACACCATAGAAGTGAGCTCGAAGAGATTCGGAAGGATTTGGAGGCAGTAGGAGTGGAATTGTCAGTAGTATAATAGTGGCAAGTACCATCTTTTCATTCCGATCAAACTTTAACTCTCAGGTAGTAGTAGTAGAAATGACTCCTTCGTCAACATCGGGAAGCGGCCGACGGCACAATCGAATTGGGAGAGTTCGGAGCACTCGTGCTAAAGTCGTCTATGCGGGTAAGAATGGGAGGAAAGGCTGAAACCGAGAGTCATCTTAATCCCTTTTTGTTTGAATATGTGTCGGTCGTTAACTATTATCACGACTCATTATCAGTCACGGAACTGATAAACCTTTATATAATTTCAGCCCCAACCAGAGAGAGGCGTGCTAACAAGCTGGCGAATCAGTACGACATGAATGAGATCGAGAGTTTGAAAGAGATGAAGCCTGAAGATCGGACGTTCGAGCAAGATAAACTGCTTGCGAGCTACCTCGCGGAAACAGTTAAACTGAGACTCCGACGTAGGGCCAAGGATCTGAATGAGCTCGCGGAAAAAGTGGAGAAGATAGTCCGCCCAGTCAAGGATATTCGCAAAGAACAAGCGAAAAAGGGCCCCAGACTCAGCGCCGTCTCCAGAAGCGTTCTGGATGTGATGAAAGAACGCAAAGGCGTTTGCACAGGGAAGAACATCGTCCGCCTCCCGGTGAGAATTTGGCGAAGACAATAGAATATTTGAAATGTATCCGTTGCAGCGTCTTCCGTTCGTCAGAGATAACGACTCGATCGCAGTGGGCGATCTTATCAAGACGAAGGAAGCGTACAAATCGAACGCGAGCTTTTGCTCCGTCCGAGACGAGAAAACGTTCGTCGCCGCCGAGAACTTGCTCCGCGAGCAGATCTTCCTCGACAAAGAGCTCCGCGACTACATGAAGAGAACGTTCTCTCCGCACATTGACGAAGACTTGCTGGTCCATCAGACACAAAGAGTCCGCCTCTTCCTCGGCAACGGCAGGATGACCCACGACACGGATCCCATTGTGCACTCCAAGTGAGCACACTATCTCTGAATGTTTTTATTGATAATTGATTCTTCGACAGGGTCACTTTGGATTACGCAAAGAAAGAGGAATATTGTCCGTCTCGGAGCCGCATAAAAATCCTCTCAAACATCACGAGGAATAGGATTGACCCGATCGCGGTGTTCTCGGATGTGCCCGGAGAGACTCTGAGAAGCCTCGTCATTCCGGACACTCTTGTCTACACCTACGCCGATAGGAACGAACTCCCGGAGCACAGTTACCCGGGCTTGACGGAATTCATAAAAGAAGCTGAATCGAAGGAAAACATCGTAAGTTGCTTTGTCTTAGTGAAATTCCTTTCATTCCAACTCATTCAGATCAAATGCTCCTGCTGCTCTGGCAATGGAGCTCCGATAGTGCCCTGCTGGCAGAATCCTGATTGTGCGTGCTACCAGATGAACGCGAAGCTTCAAGTTCTGCAGGCTCAATCAAACAAGAATTTCCCGAAAACAAATTTTGTAAGTTCCATGAAACAATTGCAACAAAATACAATCATAAGTGTTTAAGTCGACGTTCGAGCCGATTCTGATCCCGCCGCGATCCGATTTCTACGATACGATCGGATTCGCGTGTTCGGAACGATGCGGATGTCACGGAAGATGCACGAACAACGTGACACTGCTCCCAGAAAAGAAGATCTTCATAACTGAGCTGTTCCGAGTGGACGCAAACATGGGATTCGGAGTCCGTTCGATGGCGGCCATCCCGGCAGGTAAACGACCGATTTCAGTCGAACAAATAATACATTGTTTCTGTTAAGGAACTCCCATTATGGAGTTTACCGGAAGACTTCGACGACGTGACGATTTGGATGAGAAAGACGAAAGTTACGCCTTTGACGTGGTCGTTGGAAACGAGGAAATGGCTCGATTCGTGCCGGAACTCGGCGGCTGGAGCGACGATTTCAAAAAGAAGCTCAAGAAAATTCTCCGCATTCCGTGGTGTGTGAATCCGAGGGAATACGGCAACGTCGGCCGCACGTGCTGCCACAGCTGCGTTCCGAATCTCCGCTTTGTGAGAGTGTTCCAGAAGGGATTCCTCCCCACTCACGCTCGCCTTCTCCTCGTCACTATGATCGACATCTTCCCGGGAGTCGAAGTAAGTTTTTCGCATCTTAATCATCGAAATGAACTCGTTTGCAGTTGACCCTCGACTACGGGGAATCTTACGCTGAAGAGCAACTCAAGACGTGCTTGTGCAAGGAGATAGTTTGCAAGCAGAATCCGCATTTCGATCAATTCAAACAGCTTTCAAAGGACGGGGTAAGAAATAGATCGGCAAGAATGCTTAAAATCAATTGTTCCCATTTTCAGTTCCGTCAATTCTACGCTCTCAAGCATCACAATCAATATAAACGGTTCGAGAACAAAGTCCTCAACTCTCCCGATCTTAAGTCTTTCCAGTAATTCAATGATTTCTAACTTTTCATAGACTTTTAATATCACTTTACTTTTACTTGTATTAAATCTCACTCATTTTGCTTTCAGTATCGATTTCATTGGTGTTTTTTATATGTCATTCAAATTCCGTTCTGCCTTTCTCTCTTTCCTCCTTTCTTTCTCTTCCCTTCCTCTCTTTCTCCTTCTCCCCAAACTGCCACCGATATCTTTACAGCTTGTATTTAATTTCCATTCGTTTCTCTTCAATATCTAATATTTCATCTCGAGATGGAACCAGCGGCAAGTATGTCAGCCAGCGCACTTTGAGAACAAGTCTAAAATAATAATAATAGTAAACGAACATTGTCACTTCAAAATACCTGTTGATCCACGTGGGCAATGCGAATCCATTGTGTTCCACGGGAATTCCGTCCTCTCCGTCTTCGTCGTCGCTTCTGAATCCTCGCTGTTCACGTGTGGCGCCTGAAGGATCAGATTGAAGTTGAAGGGAAGAATTCTTGTTTAAATACCAGGCGTGATGTTATCCAAAGTGAACGCAATAATGCCTCCAATGAGCATTCGGATAGTGAGAAGAGTTCCGAACACGTCGTCCACAGTCTTGTGTCCAGTTCTCAATGGGTTATTTTCGAAGTGCATCGCAACTGTCAATCCCATTATGATGGCAATTCCCACTATTGTCAAATTCCGTGAAAGTCGGAGGTCGACGGTCTGAAATCCGAAAAAGGGATTCACATCTTTGGCACTCCGAGCAGACCGTCAAGTTCCTCAGCATTACTCCGTTCACCATACAGATGCCAATTGCCAAAACGCCGCCGACGACAGGCTCGGGGATCATGGAAAGGACAGCTGAGATCTTGGGGAAGACCCCCGCAATGAGAAGGAATAACCCGGCGACCTGCATTGTGATACGACTGGCCACTTTGGTGACCGACATGATAGCGATGTTCTCTGCGTACGTAGTGATGCCGGTGCCGATTCCGAACGACGAAGAGAGCATACATCCGATGCCTTCGACGACGAACCCTCTGTTCAGATTGGAGGACGGGATCCTTCCTTGCTTCGATAGTTTTGCGCAGAGGTCTGAATACAAGAAACTGTACAATTTAAAGACGGAGGGAAGGTTTACTGTAGTCGCCGATGCTTTCAATCATTGCTACAAAGCTAGAAGCGATGAAGCCGCAAAGAAGAGAGACATCGACTGAAGGCTTTCCGTACTGTCCGGGAACGGGAACATGGAACCACGGAGTGCTCCGAAGCGTTTGAAGACTCAAGTTCTGGTCCGTTCGGGCGGGACTGTCCCTCGGAATCACATTGCTAACGGTTAGAATAAAGCAGATGAACCATCCGATTGCTATGCCGATTATGTACTGAAATTTGAGTTCGATTCATGGAAATCGATTATGAGCTTACTGGGAACTGACTCAGGATTCTTCGTTTCACAAAAAAGAACTTCTTCTTGCGGAAGGAATACGCGGGAAGAGGCATTTCCCACTCTTCCAGGAGTACAATGAACACCACGAGTATGAGAAACTCTCTGAAAGATTGCAGGTGACCGGAACGTCAGAAGAGGAAAAGTTACACAGAAGCCATCCAATGCAATGACATCTTCTGCTCGACGTCCGGAACGGCACTGATGGTCAGAAGACTCATGATCGGCACGATTGTTATCGGTCCGATGTAGCGGGAAAGCAGGCCGATGAGGCCCGTGAGACCCATCAAAGGCATTACGAGAACGGCGACGAGGCAACTTCCGGATATCTAGGGATCTTAGGATGAATTTAAAAGGAATCTAGAGGTACCATCTGCATTTTGTGCTGCCATTCACTCGTATCCGTGCTTGCGTTGCAAGGGTAAGTTGCCTGGAAAGTATTCAGAACGGGGAGATATGCGAATGAAGGACCGTGGAGGATTGCCAGTCTTCAAATCGGAACTTCTTGAGGAGAGCTCTTTCATAATGAAACTCTCACCGCATTCCGAACGTCGTCTGCAGAAGCGTCGCTATTCCAGAAGTGACGAAGGAGGCAGAAATCAAGTGGACTCTGAATGCAATTCGAGTGAACAAAAAGGATCATTCTGACGACGAACCGTATCTCGGTCTCCTTATCGCCGGGACAAACCATCTCCGAAATCAAGAAAGGAATGACGAGGAGCATCGAAAGGCAGATCATCATTTGCTGGAAGCCGAGCAGAAGAATAGTCGGAATGCTTGGCACATCGTTCACATGATGCACTAGGTCGTCTTTTTCTTCCCGTCGACTCATTGTGCAACTGATGAATTCTTATCGCAAAACGCATAAAAGTATGACGGAAAACCGGTTCACAATTTCAGCAGAATCAAGTTTCACACTTTATTTTTCGAAGAAAAAAGAGCACAAGTATGTAGGGGGAATCAGTTTAATCTTGGATGTGGATTGGAATCACTTTCGGAGCGTACCACTGAACATTTTTAAACTCCGTTTTCCCGCCAGTAACATTTAAAAAAGCTCACCTTGCTTGGTCCCTTTGCTTCGCGTAACACTTTGAATCCAGAGTGTTCCGCATCTGAAACAAACGTGTGATTCACTTTTTTCTAGAAATGATTAACCGAGTGAAATGGCTCTCATCGCTCCCTCAACTGCCGCTCGGCACGATCCAAAGTTGTCGACGAGAATGAGACTGGACTGATCGAGACATTCAATCACTTGGTCGACGCAGTCTTCGTAGGTGTGCGGGTATCGATCGGGAAGCATTTGCAAGTGACAGATCAGGTGATTGTAGGCACAGTTCGAAAGGGTCTCTGAAATCGGATCCACTGCATTTATGGTAACTCTTTGCAGACGAACTTTCTATGTCAGGGCACGCCGTGTACAATTTCATATAGTATTTCTTAGCAGTCTGATTGAGCGCCGGGGTGTACTGGATGTTGTTTTCCGGCTCCCCTGAACTTTCTGATTCTTCGCTCATCTTTCCTCAAAACTTACACGTCTCCTCATAAGCTTTGTGTCCATAGTTGACGACTATCATACAAGCGAAATTCTTCAAAGCGTCGAAACAGACAGAAACTTTCCATTGAGTTGCATCCTGCAAATGCTCAATTCCATCCTAATCCGTTCTCTTTCCCTCACATCCAGACATTTACAGAAGTGCTTGTCACAGTTGTCCTTGTCCCTATGCAACTTGTAACAATCATCGTGCACAGCACAACACATATTGTATAAAGCTGAAAAGGTTCGCAATTTCGACTTTCAGTAGAGCGAGCTTACTGACTCGCTTTGTCCCAGCAGAAACTTTCTGAAGCGACACGAGCAAGGCCCAGATTCCACGTGGTTCCGCATTGCCACTGCTCGCTGTTCATGTAGCGGTCCTTGTCATAATAGCTGAATAATTTCAAAAACGATTTGCGATCATCCTCTAACTATGGCCCCCTTACAAATCGCTATTGGTGAGTTTTGAAGATATGTTCCTTGACTTGCTGGGACTTTTGACTGGAATGAAGTTGAGAGAATGTCGGTTATTCCGAATTACCTCCGAAAACAGTGAAAGTGAAAAGGAAAGTCAACGCGATATTGAGAAAAATGCGTATTTTCGTATTCATTGCGAGAAACGAAATGTCCCAATCTTCTATAATTCGTCCTTTGTCCCTGCCCCCAACAATTCGTTCAACACGCGCGCGCGTAATCTCCATTTGAATTTCCGCCGTCCTCGTCTCTTTCGAGCGGGCTGGGGCCACACTGACCCATTTCTCTGCGTTTGCGCCCTCTGCTAGCGTTCTCGACGCACTCTCTCCTTCGCATTCATTTCAGACTGCAATCGATATGCCGAAAAAGAGAAACGATGTGCAAATTGTGGAAGTGGAGAAGAAAAAATTGGAGGAGGAGATCCACAAAAAGGTATTTGACAAAGGAAATCGATTCCGCTATTCATAACCGTTTCAGCTGCCAACAGTGAAAGCGAAGCAGGATACAATCAATGAGAATCTGGAACGACTGCAAGAGTTCCGCGACAACGAACCAAATCCGCTCGGAAAAGGAAAGGCGAGTTGGACCTTTTATTGTTTTCATCAGAACTAATGTTTTTCAGCAGAAGAATCAGGCCGCCGTCACCGCCGTTCATCGATCATGCGATTCACAATTGGTATTCACGCGGTGAGTTCGGAAAGCCAGGCGAGCAGACAATTACGACGATTATTTTTAGAAATCTCACCGAGTACATGTACAACATCGTGGAAATGGATTATCGCGCACAAATAGCATCAGGAGAGCTCAGTCGCAGAGATTTGATGGAATTAATCAAGCTTCGCGGAGACCTCCTTCCTCTCTGGATCAATTTCGATTCACCGTTCCCAGGAGAATACGTGGGAGCCATCGCCCCTGCTGACGGATCGAAATTGAACGAGCACGATTCTGTGGCGGCGTTCAACAAAGACGGCAATTGGATATTGGCCGATATCGTGTCATGCCACACGAACTCTCGCTACGAGTGCAGAGACGTCGACGACGACAAGAAGAAGCTAACAGTCTTCTCGCGAAGTCATCTGATTCCACTTCCGAAATGGAAGGCCAATCCGAAGACCGAGAGACATGCTCTTTTCGAAAAGAATGCCATCGTTCTCGCCCTTTACCCACAGACCACTTGCTTCTACAAAGGTATCAACCTTTCTCTTTTTTCTATATTTTTCATCGTTTTCAGGAATCGTTCACTCTGCACCGCTCGAGTTCCGTGAAGCGTATCAAATTGCCTTCGAAGATCTCAGCTACGCATCCGGCTTCTGTCCACCAATGCCAGTTTCCCAGAAATACGTCATCGCTTTCCGGGAAGTCGCCGGAGCCACCGCTTCCACTGCTCCCAGAAAAAACCACAAAAAGAAGTGAAACACTTCTTATAAAATGCACATAAAACCAATTTTCGCATTTGTCAATTACTGTATTTATTCCAGCTATGCGTACTATTCCTAACAACCCGGATGTTCTCTCTGTCCAGTTCCTGCTTATACAAAAAAACATTTAAATTATTGGTTTTTTATCCAGCCTCAATCTGATTTGCAACTTTTCAAGGTTTGCATTCGACTTTTGCAAATTGTCGATCCAACGAAGAGCCGTCGAGTTATCATTCTGGAACATGGCTCCCAAGGCGAAAACCGTTTCGTGCGGCTGTTCATGAACCGATCTGAACACATGCATTCTAAATTGTTTTATATTTTGAATTTACCTCTTGGTCTCCACTCGCTGCTTTTTCCAATCTTCGAACCAATTGGTGTAGTCGTCGTCCATCGACTCCTTCTTGAACTCATCTGCAGGCGCTTTTTTCGGTGTTCCCGTCAGAGTGATGAATTGGACCGAATGATCCTGCACATAAACTCTTCCGGCATCCACGAACACTTCATCGCCACGTGGTAACTCGGAGAGCAACTTCTGCTGAAAAGGGCTCTGTGACGTTGCCAGCCATTTAGGCACAAGGTCCATGGAGTCGGAGAACTTCAGAAGCGAAATCGAGGAAGCGGGATCTCTGCTCATCATTTTCAAAGCGATTCCTGCCAGCTCAGACGGCGAGAGATTCTTTCCTGAATTCAAAATGTACATTCTTTGAATGACCGAGAAAAACCTTCAACGTGCCGCCTGTCCAGATACTTGTTGGAATGTTTCAGTTTTGGCATCCAATACAACATCCGTTTCACTTTTTTTGTGGCGAAGTTCCATTCTCCAAACGCATTGACCATAATATCATGGATCTCTTTGTCTGGTTGCACACCTGAACTGTATCGAGTGATGCAAAAAGAGAAGCTCACTCCCAAACCATGCCATTCCATTTCGTCGAGCACTTTGACAGCACAATTCTGCTGCTGAGGATAATGAAGAAACACTTTCTGAAATGCGGTCTGCGGAATCATTTTTCCTTTCGGAAACACATCCAGCAAGTTCTTGTAGGTGTCCAAATCCTTGTGCACTCCGTAATCTTTTATGTATTTCAATGCTGTATTGATGAACTCGACATGTGTTCGGCCGCGCTTTTCTTTAAATATGGCTGAAAATAGACACGGTTTTCCAGTTTTAAATAACACGCTCAAAATTACCGATGGCTGCCATAAACGCTTCTTTGTCCCGTTTTTCTGGTTCAACTGCTTCAAATTGTTTTTCTACGTGCACTAGTCCGGTTTCTTGATTAACTGTTGATAAGTTAATGATCTGCTGGGTGAATACGCGCCGCGAAATCAGTGACAGAGTCATCATTTTCATAATCTGAAAAATCCAACTTTTATCACAAATATTGACTTCTGTATTTTTTTAATAAAACAGTTATTCTAGACTGCAAGTACAACATTTTTATGCTCTATCTCATAATTAATTCAAAATGACCTTTTCTTTCAATGATAATTTCTTTTTTTCAAGAAAAAACAACTATTTTAGTAAAATAATGCAAACGCGCTCTATCGCATCGCGTAAATCTACCCGGAGTGTATGGAGGTTACGGTAATAAAACACGCAACACAATTAGCACTGCGGCATACACTTCTGTGCGTCGAAATATTTTTGGGTATTTTTTTTTCATTTATACAATTTTCTGAGCTTCTTTCGCGATTTTTGCAGGTTGTTCGTTCACTAAAATTTTGCATAATTCTCTCGTCTTTATTTTCTTGCTCACATAATTTTGTACATCTATTTAATTCTCTATAATTATGTTTTTACAGGGTTACAACATGCCAACCAAGGCTCTTGGAGAGACTCTGAATGAGTACGTCGTCGTTGGACGCAAGATCCCGACCGAGAAGGAGCCAGTGACTCCAATCTGGAAGATGCAAATCTTCGCCACCAACCACGTTATCGCCAAGTCGCGATTCTGGTACTTCGTCTCCATGCTCCGTCGTGTGAAGAAGGCCAACGGAGAGATTCTCTCGATCAAGCAGGTTTTTACCATTATGATTAACTTATTCAAACGGCAAATGTTCAGGTCTTCGAGAAGAACCCAGGAACCGTCAAGAACTACGGAGTTTGGCTCAAGTACGATTCCCGTACTGGGCACCACAACATGTACCGCGAGTACCGTGACACCACTGTTGCTGGAGCCGTTACCCAGTGCTACCGTGACATGGGAGCTCGTCATCGCGCTCAGGCTGACCGCATCCACATCCTCAAGGTCCAGACCATCAAGGCTGAGGACACCAAGCGCGCCGGAATCAAGATGTTCCACGACTCCAAGATCCGCTTCCCACTCCCGCACCGTGTCACCAAGAGAAAGAACCTCAGCGTCTTCACCACGGCTCGCCAGAACACCCACTTCGCCTAAGTTGCGGATTGTTGTTATTTGTTACAATAAAATGTTACAAACACTTGTTGTTTTCAAAACTTCTGGGTTTAGCTCCCATGATTATTCGAATAGCCGATACCCTATCCGTTTTTTCAATTAAAAGGGGAAATACGAAAGTTAGTCCGACTAGAGTCAATCTAAAAAAAAAAAAAATTGTCGTTTCTGGTTCATTTCTGAATGTTGAAGCTGATGACTGATGATTTACGTTGTAGAATGTCGGTGCGCAATAAGTGATTTTACTAATTGATATTTGACCGATGGCATAATTTCTATTGTCTCATTCTCTGTCTGTCTCGAGCGTCTGCGAAACTTCGAGACCGAATGTTCTCTGGCCTTTTCGTCTGTCCGTCTGCGCCTCCTCACCGCCCACAGCTCGGCCCGTTTCTTTTCAATATTGCATCACGGGCGGTTCGCGAGAGGCGGCCGCGTTTTCCTTCTCCTATGGTCTTTTTCGTTTAGTTTCCCTGGCACTCTTAAAGTTAAATATTTTTCAGGGTTCATCATGGCCGATATTCCTGCTGGAGATTATGAGAAGGGAAAGAAGGTGTACAAGCAGAGATGCTTGCAATGCCACGTCGTTGACTCGACCGCCACCAAGACCGGGCCAACCCTCCACGGAGTCATTGGACGTACCTCGGGAACCGTCGCTGGATTCGACTACTCTGCTGCCAACAAGAGCAAGGTAAACTTAAAAAAAAGACACAAACATGTCAACGTTTGTCTTTCTTCAGGGAGTCGTCTGGACTCGCGAAACCCTTTTCGAGTACTTGCTCAACCCAAAGAAGTACATCCCAGGAACCAAGATGGTGTTCGCTGGACTCAAGAAGGCCGACGAGCGCGCTGACCTGATCAAGTACATCGAGGTCGAAAGCACGAAGCCACTCGCCTAAATATTTTCAATGCTCTCGCCTAGCTTGTCAATCGACCCTCTCACATAGTTAGGCAGTTTTGAATTGTTTTAATACGTTATATTGCACTATCTTTGTCAAGTTTCATCGTTAGTCGCAAGATTATACAAGAAATTGGAAAATAAATTTTCCGTCTATTCTCTTCCGAACACATCCCGACGGTGCTGCCCCGAATCGGAACTTCCCGAATCAGAACTATTTCCAGTGATAATTGATTCTGATTCGGGAAGTTCTAATTCGGGGCGGGACTATCCCGACAGGTGGGTGCGCACACATGCATGCTTCCATGGCAACGAGCCCAGGAGGGGCCACCACTGCTTCACAAGGCCAAGCCGCGTCGTCTAGCTTGATGTTCCTCTCAAGGATTCTTTGCATTCCAGTTTTATTCGCTTTAAACACGCCCGAAGTATGTTTTCCGTCCGTCGTCCGACATAGAATTGATTCGGTATTTCCCACTTCGCGTCTTTTTTGCGTTTCAAAGACGAATGGTGAGCAAATTGATCAAAATGGGAAACTGGAGGGAGAATTCAGATGATTTGGAGTATGAAAACGTGGAAATCGTGCAAAATGACGAGGAATGGAACGCAAATTCGAAATTGAAATGGGCGAACGAACGAGAGGAATCGGAAGGGAATGTGAGTATTAAATTGGTTATTTTCAAAGGTAAAACGGTTTCAGCCGGAACTTTTGACGTTCGGAAGGCCTTCCGGAGTACGGTTATTCAAACTTCCCGCTGCGATATCCGAGTCGGACTTCTGTACGGGCACGCAGAATGTGGAACTGAACCGGAATCTGACGATCCGATGCAAACCGCTGGCCACCTCGGACATGCTCTCCCAGTGCACAGAAAACGATTTCCTGAGTGCCCTGGCCATGTTCGGAAATGGAGAATTCACGGAGAGAAGGGAGAACGAGACGGTGGACGTGCGGAGAGTTTCCCCCGAACAACTGAGGGCACCCGTCTGGAACGGATCCGCGTGCATCGGAGTCATCAAATCCGCGAATGTGCTGTTCGAAGTGAACGGAACATGGCTCAGTTCGGTGCAAGTTAGGGTTCAGTACGACATTCTGCCCGCAAATGTTGACAACAAATGGTTCGAACAGACGTTTTCTGTGGCGTTCGTAAGGCTGAAACCTCCGAAAGTCGTTAGTGAAGAAGAGTTGGCAAGGAATGAGACCGATCGTGGGGAAGGGTACAGAAGTGGAGGACAGGTGTATCGGCTGCAAAGTCAGTGGGACCCCACCACTCTCATGCAGTCTTTTTTTCTTTTCAGATTCCATTGCCGTTCCGTTCGCAGTGCCCACTCTGGGACAGTGTTATTCGGGAGCCGTGCCCCCTTCCGCCGTCCTTTTCCTCCGTTCGATGACTGCCATTTGCACCGTTCCGAGCAGCAGTTGCGAAGATGCTCGTACAAAAGCCAAGTCTTTCTACGAGCAATTGTACCCGTCGGAGTTCGCATCGACGCCTTCTGAAGATCTGAATTCGGCTAAGGTGGCCAAGACCAACGTTACGTGGGAAGAAGTATTAATATATTGTACAAAAGATAATTTGATCTTCCGTTTTTCAGCTGAACCCGTCGACGTCGTCTTGCCGGCTGCCCGTCTCTTCCCTTCTTCAAATTTATCATGCTAAACAGGGATCAACCCATAACTTCAGGGAAGTCGTTGTAGCTGGAAATGTGCAATTGGAACTTGATGATGTTTGTGCCACTTTTTCTTTAAAGTATCATTAGAGCGTTCTTCCAGATAAACTATTTGCCCGGCCAAGAGATCCGACTTCCCTTCGCCATCACTTTCACAGATGTGACCCCTCCACCGAAATCTGTGTTCGCAGCTCTTCCGTACATTGATATCAGGCTTCCTCATGATTTCTTTTACCCTTTTGTGAGCAGTTTAACGTGTTCCCCGACCTTTCTCCTTACCTTTTTGTTCACAATGTTACTGTCGGTTCAATAAACTTATTGCTACTTTCAGTAATGAACAATTTCATGAGAAACAAAAATAACACAAGAAGGTAAAAATTTTACGTCGCGTAACTTCAGCTGAATTCAGAAATCAGACGTCTTCTATTCTCCGTTAAACAACGAGCGTTACGTGACTCCGAAATTCCGCTCAAATTCTCGAGTTTGCTGACGCATTTCTGTTGAAAATTGCGTGATGGCGCACTTTTGGTAGTTTTTAAGCTTTTTTTTCTTGAAAAATAGAATATATTAGTCTTTTTCTCTCCCTTTATCTCAAAACAAATCGAGAATATACAAAACAACGCCTCTTTTAGGTAATCTCCCCGCCCAAAATGGAAGAGTACACCAGAGAGCCGTGGTAGAGTCTTTCTCGTTTTTCTTGTTATCAAAAATTAACTTATTACAGCCCATATCGTATCGGAGACGATATTGGATCAGCCTTCGCAATGGGTCTTGTCGGAGGATCGATTTTCCAGACATTCGGAGGATATAAGAATGCGGCTAAGGGGCAGAAGTTAGTCGGAATGATGCGTGAGGTCAGAATGAAAAGCACAGTGACTGGGGTTCAATTCGCCGCTTGGGGAGGCATGTTCAGTACCATCGACTGCTGTCTCGTCGCCATCCGCAAGAAGGTAACTTAATATTTTCCACGGACTTGTCAAATCAGTAATTCAGGAGGATCCGATCAATTCCATTGTGTCTGGAGGCTTGACAGGAGCTCTTCTCGCTATCCGTTCGGGTCCTAAGGTAAAATCATTTCTTGCACAAGAGAAAAAGTATTTGTACTATTTCCAGGTGATGGCGGGCAGTGCAGTTCTCGGATCAGTAATTCTGGCAATGATCGAAGGAGTCGGTTTGGTTACCACTCGATGGATGGGTTCTATGATGGATCCGACGCAGCCACCGGTAACGTTTTACTGATGAACTAGTTCTAATGAACGGTTTTCCAGCCAGAAGCTCTCGATGATCCGCGAAGTCTGGGCCAGAAGAGCCAAGCCGAACCAGGAATCGATCAGTCAAGACCGTTCGGAATCCCAACGGGTCTGCCTAACCTTTCCTAGATATCTCATTTTATTCCATTTCCCCCTTTACATTTTCCCCTTCTTTCCACCCAAACCATCTTCGGTGATCAGCCGATCTAAAATCTTTCATAGGACTTTCTTTTACTTCCCTTAGTCAGTTAGTTTTGTTTGTTTTGTTGATGTTGTTCATGATACGAATCTCTCGGATTCGCTCAAACCGACCGATAACCAGAAAACAATCTTTTTGGCTTCATTGCAAAGCCCGTTTCAGATCCGTATGGGTGCCCGGCATCTCCATCCCCAGTTGTTTGACTCGTTTCCCCCGCTCTCTAATAACCTCCAAAAATTTCCATTTTCTGTGCATCATTTTTTTTCTCGATAAAATTGTTGTTTCATTTACTGAAATGCGATGTGCTGAATGTAAAGTGTAAAGTCAAAATGAGCTTCAAGTGTATATTAGTGAGGAAGAGATACAGATAGTAAAATGAGCAATTCCAGAAGTAATTGAGCTCTGAGCTGATGCGACGAGCAGTCTCAAAGATCACTGGAAATCGGATTCTGTAAGGGTTTGTGACTCAATTTGCCTGTCCATGAAGAACTCTTCATTTGCAATAACTAAACCTGTTAGAATATTTCGCAACGTTTCCCAATCTGATTCAGATTTACTCGGTTCATCTCCACAAGCAGTCCTTTCAAAGAGGAAATCAACAAAGAACTGCTAGAGAGCATCAAGCAGCGAATCGAACGGAATCGTCGAATTCTCCAGAAGCACTCTTCGTCCCATCTCAAGTAAATTTTGTCATTTTCTTTCTTTTTTCCATTTCATTTGCAGAGCCCGTGAACTGAACGCTTCTCTTTCGAATCTCCGTCAGTCGATGGCTTCGGTTCAGAAGAAGCAGAAGGCGGCCCATGAACCGCCGGCCAATTCTATCGTCAACATTCCCAGCCAGGTGTCCATCGAAGTGCTCGGCAATGGAACGGGCCTTCTCCGCGCGTGTTTCATTCTGAGAACTCCGCTCAAGACGTACATGTTCAACTGCCCGGAAAACGCGTGCCGCTTCCTGTGGCAACTTCGGATCCGCAGCTCCAGTGTAGTCGATCTGTTCATTACCTCGGCCAATTGGGATAACATTGCCGGCATCTCATCTATCCTCCTCTCGAAGGAAGCGAATGCGATGTCGACTCGGCTGCACGGAGCAATGAATATCAAACACTTTCTGGAGTGTATTCGTCCGTTTCAAGACTCGGATTACGGTAATTGCAAGTATCCGTCGCAAGTGGAAGAACGACCGTACACGATGGGAAACTATGAGGATGCGGGACTGAAAGTGTCGTATATTCCGCTCAGCCCTCCTTTGGATATGGGAAAGAAAGAGAAGGAGAGCAATGCGAACGACGTGGACATTGCCTTTCTCATCGAAATGAAAGAGGCGGCGAGACGAATCGACGCGGCCAAACTGATGGAATTGAAAGTGCCGAAAGGACCATTGATCGGGAAACTGAAGTCAGGAGAAGCAGTTACTCTTCCGGACGGACGGACGATCCAGCCGGATCAAGTATTCTCGAATCATACGGTCGAAGGGGAGAAGCCGATTCTTCTGGTGGCAGAATGCAGTTCGGAGGCTCACGTCAGAGCTCTTCTCGACTCGACAGCCATCCAACCATTTCTGAACGGAAAGAGAAAATTGGACTACGTAAGTACTTCTGAAGTGAAATGTTTTCTTTATCCATTTTACACATTTTCAGATGGTTCATCTTAGCGCTGATTCAGTCCTAAACACTCTAACTTACAAGGAATTGATGGGGAAACTGAAATCCACAAATACGACGCATCTTTTGATCAACGGAGGAAACCCAGTTATTCCGGCCGTCGAAAGTGTCTACAAGTGAGCATCCTTGTTGTTTTCTCCTTTGTAATCGTTTTGTTTCCTCCAGACATACTCGTCTGCTCCGTTCCATTTCTCCGTCACTATTTCCTGCTCTGCATCCTCTGGATTGGAGTGGAATCATCACTCAAAACGAAGAATTGGCTCGGAAAGATGGGCAGTTCATCCGCGTGGCACCTATGCAGCGATACTGGATGAGAAGGGGAAATTCGATGAATGAGGAACCACTCATCAATAACTTGCTGGCGGCCGAACCAGAAGTATCTGACAAAGCAAAAGAGCTCATAGCTGAATATCAGAACATTGAAGCCGGAATCTCGAAGGACTGCGAGTTTCCCAAGATTACTTTCTTCGGGACGTCGTCCGCGGTTCCATCCAAATACCGAAACGTGACTGGATATTTGGTTGAAGGATCCGAGGAAAGCGCCCTTTTAGTGGATGTCGGAGAGGGCACATACGGACAAATGAGAGCAGTTTTCGGGGAGGAAGGATGCAAACGACTGCTAGTGAGCCTGCATTGCGTATTGGTCACTCATGCCCATCAGGACCACATGAACGGACTCTACACAATTGTGGCGAGAAGAAAAGAGGCGTTCAAATCGCTTGGCATTCCGTACAGACCACTTGTTCTCGTGTGCAATCGAAATGTGCTGAAACCGTTGAAAACGTATTCAATCTGCTTCGAAGACATCGAATCCCTTTTGGATATTGTTGATATCTCCAGACATCCCCTGACTCCCCCGGCTAGTCCAAATGGACCGCCTGGAAAACGTCCAAGACTACCGAGTCCGCATCTTCCGCCGAGCAGAGACATTCTTTCTGATTTGCCAATCAGTTTTAATAAAGATCTGTGGAAACTGGAGGAGTTGAAGGCGGTTCAAGTGCATCACACTCGGATGGCCAATGGATTCGTGATGAAAGTGGCCGGAAAGAGAATCGTGTTCTCTGGAGATACGAAACCGTGTGATTTGCTCGTGGAGGAAGGACAGGGAGCAGATGTTCTCGTGCACGAATCCACTTTCGAAGACGGGCACGAGGCGGACGCAATGAGGAAACGGCACTCAACAATGGGGCAAGCAGTGGACGTCGGCAAGAGAATGAACGCGAAGAACGTGATTCTGACTCACTTCAGTGCGAGATATCCGAAGGTCCCAGTGCTTCCGGAGTACCTGGACGAGCTCAACATCGGCGTGGCGATGGACATGCTCAGAGTCCGATTCGACCACCTGCCGCTCGTCTCAAAACTTCTTCCAGTTTACAGGTAACACGAACAATACTGACTGACCCACCAAATTCATAATATTCAGGGAAGTATTCGTATCTGAGCTGTTCGAATTGACAATTAAGAAAGAGCAACGGGTTCTGAAAGACAAAGAATCGTCGGAAGGAGCGAAGAAAGGACAGAAGAGAGCACACTGAGCCAACTAGCTCTTCTCTCACACTTACCCACGTTTCAAGTTGTTATTTACGTTCTTCATTGTTGTTGTTTGTCCAAGTTTTCATATAATATAAAGGCTTTCCTCCCCTAAAAACACAATTCGGTCGCAACGAATTATCGTTTCTTTTCTTTCTCGCCAGCAGCCAACCTGCTATCGAATTACCACTTGTCTCATTGAGTCGCCAAAGTTTCGGTGCAGTTTTTCGAGTTTACTGCCTATTTACATGGAATGTGCTGTCAGCTGATTCGGAAGAACCGAATGGACCCGGAGAATTCATTCAATTAGACTAATTCAAACAGGTTCCGTCCGTTCTTCCAATTAGCTCTACACTTGTGTTCTTTTTAAGTTTGCATTGTGTTCTTTCGCCTTTTTTTCCTCTTCGTGGGCTGAATTAAGAAGTGAATCGTTAATCGGTTGATGTCATGTCATCGGATTCGTGCTCGGTTTGAAAAAAAATGAAATGAGTGCGGTGGAGCGCACTTGCAGCAAGCCTTCCGTTCGACTTCTCCGCTCTTTTTTCCCTCTTTCTGTTTGCCTTCCGCCGGCAGTGCGGACACGGTCTGTCAATTCAATTATGCTCGCCGCTCGAACTTGAGCTTTCACCTCTTATCAATCTGTCTTCGCATAATATCATTTCGTAAGCCTCAATTACACAGGAATCATGAGCGACGACGAGACGTTGGCCGATGTGCGAATAGTGCTTGTGGGAGACGAAGGATGCGGAAAGACTTCTTTGGTAATGAGTCTTCTGGAGGATGAATGGGTCGATACGGTGCCGCGGAGACTGGACAGGCAAGCTGTGACATTTCCAGTCTAATCCTTCATCCCGTTCACATTTCAGAGTGCTGATCCCGGCCGACGTGACTCCCGAGAACGTGACCACCAGTATTGTTGATCTGTCGGTAAAAGGAGAAGGTGCATGACGCAGACGTTCATCAATCGATAATGATAATAGTTTAGACGAGAATTGGTTGATATCAGAACTGCGCCATGCGAACGTCATCTGCGTTGTGTACTCTGTGACGGACGAGACCACCGTCGAAGGAATTCAGACGAAGTGAGCTATTCCGAAAAGGGAATTTGTTATTTTTTCGAATTCAGATGGCTTCCGTTGATTCGACAAGCATTCGGAGACTATCACGAGACGCCAGTCATTCTGGTCGGAAACAAGTCAGATGGGACTTCCAATAACACTGATAAGGTGTGCTCACGAGCTTCTCGAGCAAACTCAAATGACGATCTATTCAGATTCTCCCAATTATGGAGTCCAACACGGAAGTAGAAACATGTGTGGAATGCTCTGCTCGCACTATGAAAAACGTCTCCGAGATCTTCTATTATGCTCAAAAAGCGGTAATCTACCCGACAAGACCGTTGTACGATGCGGACACGAAACAATTGACGGACAGAGCGAGAAAAGCGCTCATACGGGTGTTTAAGGTGCGCCGAGCCGCTCACTCCTCTTCGAAACAAACCCCTTTTAGATTTGCGACCGTGACAATGACGGTTATTTGAGCGATACAGAGCTCAATGATTTCCAGAAGCTCTGTTTCGGAATACCGCTCACTTCTACAGCTCTTGAAGACGTGAAAAGAGCAGTGGCCGAGGGCTGCCCTGACGGCGTCGCTTGTGATGCTCTAATGCTCGCCGGTTTCCTCTACCTACATCTTCTGTTTATTGAAAGAGGAAGACACGAGACAACGTGGGCGGTTCTGCGTAAATTTGGCTACGAAACGAATCTAAAACTGGCGGAGGATTACTTGTACCCGAGAATTGGAGTTCCGGTCGGATGCTCGACAGAACTGTCTCCGGAAGGCGTGCAATTTGTGTCGGCTCTTTTCGAAAAGTATGACGAGGACAAGGACGGATGCCTATCTCCCAGTGAACTTCAGAATCTGTTCTCCGTGTGTCCTTCGCCAGTCATCACCAAAGATGTAAGAAGTCACAATCAATTTCACGAAAAACAAGCCTTATTCAGAATATTCTGGCCCTCGAGACTAATCAACGCGGCTGGCTCACTTATAATGGCTACATGGCCTACTGGAATATGACGACCCTCATCAATTTGACACAGACATTCGAGCAACTCGCGTATCTCGGTTTCCCCGTTGGAAGGAGTGGACCAGGTCCTTCGATCCCCCGCAAGACAATGATCATTCTAACTTTTCAGGTCGTGCTGGAAATACACTTGACTCGATCCGATTGACTCGCGAGAGAAAGAAGGATCTGGAAAACCACGGAACCGACCGGAAGGTGTTCCAGTGCCTGGTAGTCGGAGCCAAGGATGCAGGAAAGACAGTGTTCATGCAGTCCTTGGCCGGCCGCGGAATGACCGACGTGGCACAAATCGGACGGCGTCACTCTCCGTTCGTCATCAACAAAGTGAAGGTGAAAGAGGAGAGCAAGTACCTTCTGCTCCGTGAGGTCGACGTGCTCTCGCCCCAAGATGCTCTCGGATCCGGAGAGACTTCTGCCGATGTGGTCGCCTTCCTTTACGACGTCTCCAACCCTGATTCGTTTGCGTTCTGTGCAACGGTCTACCAGAAGTACTTCTACAGGTAACCCCCAGATCGTTTATAGAGAACGGTTTTGATATCTTTTCAGGACAAAGACGCCGTGCGTTATGATCGCCACAAAAGTGGAAAGAGAAGAAGTTGATCAGCGATGGGAGATTCCGCCAGAAGAGTTTTGCAAGCAGTTTGAACTGCCGAAGCCGATCCGATTCACCAGCAACAACGTGAGCGCCCATCCTTCCTTATCGTTCCCTCCAACTGATTGTTTCCAGATTGGTCAGTCGTCCTCCCCGATCTTCGAGCAACTCGCAATGATGGCTGTCTACCCTCACCTCCGTCGTCTCTTCTATCTTAATGACTCTAATCTCCTGTCCAAAATCACATTCGGCGCTGCCATCGTGGCACTTGCCGGTTTCTTAGTTCTCAAAAACTTGTAGACCCTTCCCTATAAAGTCTCGATCAGGTGCTCTCTATGTTTAATTATTCATTTTCGCCCGGGTCGCCCGCCAACTATCCGATTAGGATTCTTCTAGCTCTCCGCAACTTCTCCCCTGTGTACATCAGCAGCATCTTTTCTTTCTTCTCTGTGCTCATTTGTCTTTTGTACTCGTTTATCTCCATCTCCCTATAAATCTTGTGTTTATTTCGTCAAGTTTCGCTTTTTTCATGCATGATGTACACGCAGAATAGAACCGCGACACAATAGAACCGGCCACAATATAACTGTTTGGGGCGCCTTCTAAGCCTTTCTGTAGAATAATTGTTTCGTAGAAAAAGATAATTTTTGAATCTCGTGATCGATTTATTGCATTCATTAATTTCACTTCCGTCGTGATCCCTCTTCTCTACGGTAACGAAAACCCACAGAAAATAATTTTATTGTACTATCAAAAACGAAAGGAAACCAATTTTCTAGGTATAAACTGTGGTCTCCAGCTTAATTGTTCAAGAGACGAAACATTTTAGTTAAATGAAAAGAACGGACAAAATGCTCATATAAATACACAAAAACAGTTCTATTATGTCGCGGTTCTATTGTGTCGCGGTTCTATTCTGCCCTGTTCTATTATGTTGGACCGTCTCCAAAACTTGATATTTTCTGAGTAGACCTGCCTTTGGTATACGCACAGAAAGTGCGCTCCACTGAATGGCGAATCGCCATGGCGTTGCAGCGCCAATTTTAAATGTGACCTTCCACTCGGGCGCGATTCTCCAGGAGCGGAACAGCTGGCAGTTCGATCTCATTTGTCATTCATTTCATTTCGGTCTCTCATTCTCTCTTGCAATTCTCCAAAACTCCCGCTCTTTCAGGTTTTGGCACACACTTCTCCTCGACTTCCTTCGTCGCCATAATGCTCCGCTCGAAAGCCGAGAATGTGCAACCGCACCCGGCCCCAGGTATGCTCATCGAACATTTGTTTGGAAACGCCTTCTCCCCCCAGACGTCAAAAAGCGGAGACAGATAATGCTCGTCCAAAACGAGTCGGCTTCGGAGAAGTCGATCCCGGAGAACTCGGTGTTCGCCATCTGCCCAACAAGGTCCAACCGTCCGAAAGTCGGGAACAAGGCGCCAAAGAAAGCTGCCAACGCCGCTAACCTGAAAACGGGAGAGTACGATTTCGATAAAGAGGAAGGATACCAATTCGTGGAGCTTGCGACCGATATCTTTCACTACTACAGGTCGAGAGAAGTAAGCCGTCTGCTATAGAAATCTTGGAAACACTTTTTCTCTTTCAGGAAGTGTTCCGTCTCCATCCCTTCCTCCATCGTCATCCGGAAATCGACGTGAACCACCGGGCAATCGTCATTGACTGGCTCGTCACGGTGCAAGAGATCTTTGAGCTTTGTCATGAGACGCTGTACAACGCTATAAAGATCGTGGACATGTACCTCGCCAACACCACCTACTGCACGAAGGAAAAGCTCAGGCTCATGTCGGCAGTTGCCGTCTTGCTCGCCTCGAAGTTCGACGTCAGTCTTTGTTGCTGTTCGTGTTGTTTCTGAGACTTGTTTTGCAGGAAAAGGCGGTTCGGAAGGTGGACGAGTTCCTGTACCTGCTTGACTATTCGTTCAGTCGCGAGTTCTTTCTCGCTGGCGAACGTGAAATGTTCAAGGTCGTGGGATTCGACCTCGGAGCGCCGTCGAGCTACCGCTATCTGCGTCGTCTGGCCCGTGTCAATCGGGTCTCGATCGCCGACCTGACGGTGGCGCGCTACGTACTCGAGACGACACAGCTCGTCTACGAGTTCTGCATGGTCTCTTCTTCAAGATTAGCAGCTGCTAGTTTCGCCCTTGCCATGAAGATGATTGATCCCACTTTTGTCTGGGGCGAGGTGTCGAAGAACTATTCTGGCTACACGGCGGACCAGGTGGAACCCCTAGCCGAGCACATCAACCACGCACTGCACTACGTCACCAACAAGTGGAAGCAACTGAAGAACATCCGCAGAAAGTACTCCCATCCGTATGTGCTCTTTCTTCCTTGTCTCTCACAGTTACTCATTTCCAGAGTTTTCTACGAAGCCGCCCTTGTTCCCCTCCTACCGGACACTCTCGCCCACAAACGGGGACTGGCGCTCCCGAAATTCTCCTTCCCATAACCAAATTAATCACTGGTAATTATTTCGATCTCATTTTTCGTGAAACTGCTAATTTCTGTATTTTTCTTATCGTTCTCTGAGGCTGTAGAATCTCGGTTCGTCCGCTTTCAGAGAAACATCCATTCATTCTGTTCGAGTTCACCTTGTCCTCAGAATCAGTTTGTACCTTCTTTACCCATTGGAAATAATCTTGCATTTTTTGTTTTCTGTAACATGTTGTTGAATAAAGATCGATTGTCCACACCTTTGTTCCTTCAGCTTTCGCATTTTTTCTGAAGAACAAATTCAAACCACCTTAAAATGTTCTCCGTACACGCGTGGAATAACTTTATAGACGTGCGGCCGAGTCTTCTGATATGGCCGCGGACTAGAATTTGCACGGTCGCTCATTTCCTCGCAAATCTGACTTCCCTAAAAACGTCATTCGTTCGTTCTTTTGTGCTCGAACTGATCGATTTTCGCCCAGATTAACAGCAGAAAATGTTCTTCAGCAGGAATTTCAGCAATGCTGCATTAAAAACGGTACGTAAACAACGGTAAGAACGTAAAATATCCTAGATTACTCAAATACGCGTTTCAGAACAAAATACTCCTTCCCCGATTATTTGAAGGATTTGAACGCCAGAAAGCCTTTACAGCACTCGTATCCAGCTGATTTGCTGACGAAATTCGATGAAGAACTGAAGTAAGAGAGTTAATTTGAAATTAAAAATAATTTATTGTATTTGCAGAGGTCTGCGCCCCTATGTGTACGCAGGATTTGATCCGACAGCCGAAAGTCTTCACGTTGGAAATTTATTGATTCTTGTCAATCTTATTCGATCTCAACAGTTCGGAATTAAGCCGATTGCTCTGATTGGAGAGTTTACGGCTAGCATCGGCGATCCCAGCGGCAAGAAATCAGGTTTTATGGTATGACCGTTTCATTTTCAACATAGAATGTTTTCAGAACGCGATCTTCTCGCTGACGATGTTATCATACACAATTCGAAAATGGTTACCGAACAAATTCGGAACATCTTTTCCCATGCGTCCAGTTCCAGTGAGCCTCCAATTATTGTAAACAACAATGATTGGCTCGGAAAGGTAAAAAATAATCGATGTCGCAAGGTTTCTTTTTTTTCAGATTAGTCTTCGCGACTTCTACAGAGACTGCAAAAACATGCAAATGGGAAAGATGCTGCGGATGAGGACAATCAAAACTCGCTTAGAGTCAGGTCTGTCATACACCGAGTTCAGCTATCAGACGATGCAAGCGTACGACTGGTACACATTGTCTGAAAAGTTTGGATGCCGATTCCAACTCGGAGGATACGACCAGTTAGGACATCTAGATTTCGGAGCACATTACATCAAGAAAATGACAAATCCGTCCGGAAAAGACGCGTTCGCTGCAGGTGTTTGCTTCCCGATTCTCACGGATTCAGCCGGAAACAAACTCGGAAAGTCCGAGGGAGGAGGTGCACTTTGGCTCGACTCGAATAAGACGTCACCATTCCACTTCTATCAGTTCTTCGCTCAACTTCATGATGACAAGGCAGAGGAACTGCTGCTTCTCTTCAGCTTGAGAGAAATTGAAGACTTGGAGGATGTCTTAAAATCGCACAGAAACAATCTTGGAAAATGGATTGCACAGAAAGAACTTGCAGCTGAAATAACCCGAATTGTGCATGGAAATGATGGATTCGAAGTGGCCTTGCGATGTACGAACGCGATGTTCGGAAAGAAAAAAGCGGACTTGTGCGGTCTGACTAGAGATGAGATTCTCCAATTGTTCGAAAATCCAGTCGAGCTGAAAAGGGAGGAAGTGAGTTAAAAGAAATGTCTACTGTAATATAATCGACAAGACCAAAATAGCATCGATAATCTTGTTAGCATTTTTTGAACATTGACAGAACATCACATTTTTTGTTGGGTAATTTGAACGTATTCATTCACGATGAACGGACCAAATATCAGTGAACGTAAGAAAGTGAACTATTATTTAAGAAGACTTTTAAGACTGGGGCCCGCTGCGCAGGAAAGTTACGGACAGATCCCGTAAGCATTTTTTTAAAATAAGAATGATGATATTTCAGGTGAAAACATTAGGAGAATTGGCGGATAACACACGAAAGGACAAGGTGAAAGGACATATTTTAATGCAAAAAGGAGCGTTTTCGGTGAACGGAGAGAAAAAGAAGGATCCGTCCGAAGTAGCCGCCGATTTCTCTCTTCCAAATGCACCCGATCTCACTCTCGTCTGTTGGGGGAAACGGGACTATCAGTTGGTCCGATGGGTCTGAATTGATCAGGTAAGTTTAGGTAGCTAGGCTGTTGTTGTCGATTCAATAAAGTATCGTATTTGAATCTCATTCATACTGTTTTTACTCATGTTGCGTTCTGAACGCTATTCTATATCTCTTCCGTTCTATTGTTCTGTTCATTCTTTTTTGTTTTCGGTCTTCTCGTTTCTTTGCATGAGCGGAGGAGTGGTGCACAGCAAACTTCAAAAGCTCGTTCTCTCCACATACCGCGACTTTTTACGTGCCTCTCGTGGTCGAGATCCGAGCATTCGCACGCATATCCAGCAAGAGTTTCGCGCGGCGGCCACTCGATTCCAGCCGAGTGAAGTCCTTCTCATTGAACACCATTTGAGACGGAGCCAACGACAGTTGGAAGCCATTCGAAAGGGACACATTGAGAAGATTGCGACTGTTGAAAGCGCGAAATAAAGGTGAATGAGTGGAAGTTTGAAGTGCATCTCTCCTTTTGCTCTTTCCTTTCTTCTTGGGAATGGACGCTAACACTTCAGAATGGCTGACACTCGCGAACTCCCAGTTTTTGCCTACATCGATGATATCACGCAGCTCCAAGAGCTCCGTCAATACTTGAACAAGCAAGAGAATGTCAAGCTCGATCCAACTGGTTAGTATCGTCTAGATGCTCTCTCATTCAATTTTCTCCACTTCAGGCCCGAAAGAAACTGCCCAGAACTTGGTGGAGATCTGTTCGACCTTGCACGTTCTGCCAACTTGGTCCCAAGACGTGGACTTGGTGCTCAACTCAATATCTTCACTCATCGTCGTCGTTCCGGGCGAGAAGTGCGAGCCAGTCGTCGACGCCTTCATTGACAACGTTTCTCCAAAGTACTACAAGGGAACCGGATGGGGAAGCCCCGCTGGAATCGCCGTTCGTGTCCTCTCCAACCTGTTCAAAGGATATTCGAACTTCCACACCGTCCAAGAGAAGATATTCAAGGCTCTCGTCGACATGTGTGCCGAGTCGCGACTCATAGGAGAGCTTGACTGTGCTCTCGAGACCCTCCAAGACAGATTCAACACGTGGGAGACTCCAGTCGAAGGACAGCGAGAGATTCTGCGCGCAGTGCATCGTGCTCTGCTCGCAGACCACAGAGCCGACCAGGCTGCCAAGGTAGGCTTTAAAACGAACGGATTACGACTAAGACTTTTGAAAGGGATTCCAGATCATGACCGCTCTCCTCGGAACGTACACTGAGAAAGACGCCGCCGCCGCCCGTGCCGATGCGATGGAGTGTGTTCGCACCGCCGTCGTCGACCCGAAATCGTTCTCGTTCGACCATCTGGAGAGGCTCAGTGCTGTGAAAGCTCTGAAACTGTCCGACCCGCTCATGTTTACTGCCCTCGAGCTTTTCATTTCGGGAACCCTCAAGGACTACCAGGCTTTCGTCGCTAAGAATCCCAAGTTCGTGTCTGAGCACTTGCGCGTCGACGAGACCATCCTGCTCAAAAAGATCCGTCTTCTGACTCTGATGTCTCTTGCAGAGGAGAAGAACGTGAGTGGCAAACACAATTTTGATGTTGTGATAATGTATGCATTGCAGGAAATCAGCCTCGACGAACTGGCCAAACAACTCGACATCCTTGCCGATGAGACGCTCGAAGAGTTTGTGATCGACGCGATTCAGGTGAACGCCATCTCCGGAAAGATCAACGAAATGGCCCGAACTCTTGTCGTGAGCTCCTACCAGCACAGAAGATTCGGGTCGGAGCAATGGGTTCTTCTCGAGGTAAATCATTTTCTGCGAATCTTTCGCAAACAAACATTCATTCTCCAGAAGCGTCTCAAAGTTCTGATCGCCAACCTGAAACAAACGCACAACAACGTTCACGACGTCAACCAAAAGATCGAGGCCCTCTAAATAAATTCTCAGATAATATATTTGTTACTCTCTTGGCGGTCCTTTGTATTGTATTCCGTTTCTGTCCTCCTCTTGTTCCGTTCTAAAATTATCCATCCCCCTCTTTTTCCATCCTCCATTTCCTTTTCTTTGATGAGAAAATCTCTATAAACTGTTGGTTAAAGCAGGTTTATTTGAGAACTCCAAGGATTTCGTTCGATGCGAAACCGATTATTTCTCTCATGCATTTCTCTTTTTTTCTTGTTTTGAGGAAGCTCGACGCACGGGCGACCCACTTTACACCGGCTTTGACGGACAAGAGATTATCTTCTTCCGCCGGCTTGATCAGATGTTTGTCACCTGCCGAAAAGCCGTTTTTTATTCCCTTTTACTTTTTCCAACAACAATTTCAAACAAATTTGGCAATAAATTAAAAATTGAGATCCAGATCAAAAACTAAGAAGCTTTTTCGATTGATCGGAATCGCGTGTAGCCTCTTTGCTCTAACACACTGTACTTTGTGTATCCGAAGGGCCGCGCAAGCCGTGTTCATCAGCAGTCAATCGGTTCGTCCTCCGAAATGCGTCACATTCTCTTCTCTAGTTTCTCTCGCTTCGGTCTTTTGGGCGCCGCGGGTGCCTCTCGAAAGCGAGCCGCCCGTGTGTTGTGAAATAGCGAGACGCAGAGAAACGAGACTATAGGCACGACGAACAAGGGCTTCCCCGAACTGTGAAACAGTGCCTTCAAACAGAAAAACTCACTTTGCGTATTCCCCACGTCGTCTTTTTTGAGTTCTGGCGGTTCCTTCCTTTCCTCCCTCTCCAAATATTATGTCTCGCTCTGGCAAGTGTCTTCCAAATTTGCATCGTGCGACCCGCTTGCTCCGTCTGCTCTTCGTCTCCTTTCTTGTTGCAATCATTTCTCTCGTCCTCCTGACATCTTTATTTCTCAGTTGCATTTTCGTACTCAATTCAGCTCTTCCCGCCTTGGAATTTTATTGCCAGTTGTTTTCTTCAAAACAATAAAAACCTGTTCCATTCTTCTCAATTTTCCTAAATCATCGGATCAAATTAGAGATCATTCGATAAAGGTCCCACGTAGCTTTTCCAAACAGTTCATGAAAACATTGAGTGACACCAAAGTACGATTGACTTGACGTGAAACATCTCATCTGTGATCGCGTCATTTCTCAGTCCTGTCTGTCATAGGAAGGTATTTCCCTGCACTCCTGCCTTTCTCCAGGTCATCTCCTTTTAATCGGAAATTGAAAATTTTGGGGAATAGTTGCGATAAGGAGCAGAAACCGGGTGATCGATGACGCTTCTGATCAGTGATTTTCGTGCTGAACCGGCGCAAAAGTCTGGTTTCACCCACTCGGCTGTTTTTGATATCTTGTCCTGTGACTCTTTTTGATCTTTTATTCCGATTCCCGTTGACAATAGTCTAGTATCAATTTTTCAGTAACCCGGGAAACTTGGCCCACAATGCATCGGGCGAGTCTGATATGCCGTCTCGCGTCGCCTAGCCGCATCAATGCTATCAGAAGTGCTTCTGGCAAGAATTACGTCGCTGCTTCACCACTCACCCAGGTATGCCCGTATTCTCGAAATGTTTCGCAACGTGGCACGTTTCTCAGCAACGTCATCAATCGGTGGCTGCTTCCGTCAAGCATGAGCCATTCCTGAACGGCTCTTCGTCCGTGTACATCGAGCAGATGTACGAGGCGTGGCTCCAAGACCCGTCCTCCGTGCACACCTCGTGGGATGCGTACTTCCGCAACGTCGAAGCTGGCGCTGGACCCGGACAAGCTTTCCAGGCTCCGCCGTCCACCTCATATGCTGGAACTCTCGGAATTCCAGTCGCCCATGCTACGTCGTAAGTTTATTTTTCATAATATCGTAAGTCTCATCCTAGTAATCTGTTTCAGTGCCGCCCCGGCCGCCCGCCTTGACACGAACGCATCCGTTCAATCGATCTCGGATCACTTGAAGATCCAGCTGTTGATTCGCAGTTATCAGACTCGCGGGCACAACATCGCCGATCTCGATCCTCTCGGAATAAATAGTGCCGATTTAGACGACACGATTCCTCCAGAACTCGAACTTTCCTTTTACGGACTCGGAGAGCGCGATTTGGACCGCGAGTTTCTTCTTCCACCGACCACATTCATCAGCGAGAAGAAGAGCTTGACGTTGAGAGAAATTCTCCAAAGACTCAAGGTAACTTCTGTTCATTTCTTGCTTTCTTCAGTTGTACCATTTTCAGGAGATCTACTGTACCAGCACTGGAGTTGAGTACATGCATCTGAACAATTTGGAGCAGCAAGACTGGATCCGCCGTCGTTTCGAGGCTCCACGTGTCACCGAACTGTCGCACGATCAGAAGAAAGTGCTTTTCAAGCGCCTCATTCGTTCTACCAAATTCGAAGAGTTTCTTGCCAAGAAGTGGCCAAGTGAGAAGCGCTTCGGACTCGAGGGATGCGAAGTGCTCATTCCGGCTATCAAGCAGGTCATCGACTCCTCTTCCACTCTCGGAGTCGACTCGTTTGTGATCGGAATGCCGCATCGTGGAAGACTCAACGTGCTCGCCAACGTGTGCAGACAGCCACTCGCGACCATCCTCTCGCAATTCTCAACTCTCGAGCCGGCCGACGAAGGATCTGGAGATGTCAAATACCATTTGGGAGTTTGCATCGAAAGACTCAACAGACAATCGCAGAAGAACGTCAAAATTGCTGTCGTCGCCAATCCGTCTCACTTGGAAGCTGTCGACCCTGTCGTCATGGGAAAAGTCCGTGCGGAGGCGTTCTATGCCGGAGACGAGAAATGCGACCGTACAATGGCCATTCTTCTTCACGGAGACGCCGCTTTCGCCGGACAAGGAGTTGTGCTCGAGACTTTCAACTTGGACGATCTGCCGAGCTACACCACCCACGGAGCCATCCACATCGTTGTCAACAACCAGATCGGATTCACCACCGACCCAAGATCTTCTCGTTCTTCCCCCTACTGTACCGACGTTGGACGTGTTGTCGGATGCCCAATATTCCACGTCAATGTCGACGATCCGGAGGCTGTGATGCACGTGTGCAATGTGGCTGCTGACTGGAGAAAGACCTTCAAGAAGGACGTCATCGTCGATTTGGTCTGCTACAGACGTCACGGACACAACGAGTTGGACGAGCCAATGTTCACGCAGCCGCTCATGTACCAGCGTATCAAGCAGACGAAGACGGCATTGGAAAAGTATCAGGAGAAGATCTTGAACGAAGGAGTCGCCAACGAGCAATACGTCAAGGAAGAGCTCACCAAATACGGAGCTATCCTTGAAGACGCCTACGAGAACGCCCAGAAGGTGACGTACGTGAGAAACAGAGATTGGCTCGACTCGCCGTGGGACGACTTCTTCAAGAAGCGTGACCCACTGAAGCTGCCAGCCACTGGACTCGAGCAAGAGAACATTGACCACATCATCGGAAAGTTCGGATCGTACCCAGAAGGATTTAGTCTTCATCGTGGATTGGAGAGAACGTTGAAGGGAAGACAGCAGATGCTCAAGGACAACACGGCAAGTTTGAATCTGCCAGTACTCAATCTTATATTACTATTATTTTAGCTTGACTGGGCTTGCGGAGAGGCTCTCGCCTTCGGATCGCTTCTGAAGGAGGGAATTCACGTGAGATTGAGTGGACAAGACGTCGAGAGAGGAACGTTCTCCCATCGTCACCACGTCCTTCATGACCAGAAAGTTGATCAGAAAGTAAGTTGAAAATAAACCGACTATTCTGATGAAATGAGGGTTTGAAGGTGTACAATCCCCTGAACGATCTTGCCGAGGGACAAGCCGAGTACACTGTCTGCAACTCATCGCTCTCTGAATACGCCGTACTCGGATTCGAACTCGGATATTCCATGGTCGACCCGAACTCGCTCGTCATCTGGGAGGCTCAGTTCGGAGACTTCTCCAACACTGCCCAGTGCATCATTGATCAGTTCATTTCTTCGGGACAGTCGAAATGGATCCGTCAGTCCGGATTGGTGATGCTTCTGCCGCACGGATACGAAGGAATGGGACCGGAGCATTCTTCGGCCAGACCAGAACGATTCTTGCAAATGTGCAATGAAGACGATGAAATCGACCACGAGGTATTTTGAAAAGTAAAGGAAGCGATTGGAAAGTTGTTTTAATTACAGAAGGTCGCTTTCGGAGGAACGTTCGAGGCCCAGCAGCTTCACGACACCAACTGGATCGTTGCCAACTGCACGACACCAGCCAACATCTTCCATCTTCTGCGCCGACAAGTCACCATGCCGTTCCGCAAGCCAGCCATCGTTTTCTCGCCGAAATCGCTTCTCCGTCACCCACTGGCCCGCTCGCCAGTTGAAGACTTCCAGGCTGGATCCAACTTCCAGAGAGTCATACCAGAAACTGGAGCTCCATCACAGAACCCAGCCGGAGTGCAGAGGGTCGTTTTCTGCACCGGAAAGGTCTACTACGATATGGTTGCCGCTCGCAAGCACGTTGGAAAGGAGAACGACGTTGCGCTGGTGCGAGTGGAGCAACTTTCTCCGTTCCCGTACGATTTGGTGCAACAAGAGTGCAGGAAATACCAAGGAGCTGAGATCCTCTGGGCTCAGGAGGTTTGAATTTGCCGAAGAAGATAGGCGATTGAAGTAATGTTTTTCAGGAGCACAAGAACATGGGAGCTTGGTCGTTCGTTCAGCCAAGGTTCAACTCGCTTCTCTCGGTCGACGGTCGCTCGACCAAGTACGCTGGACGTCTTCCATCTTCATCGCCAGCCACCGGAAACAAGTACACGCATTTGCAAGAGCAGAAACACATGATGAGCAAAGTGTTCGGAGTGCCCAAGTCGCAGCTTGAAGGATTTAAAGCCTAATTCATAAATGTTTATCCTTCGTTCGTTGTGTTCACGTCTACCACCTTTTGCCCCTAATTTCTCCTATGAATCCTATCCTTTTCTCGAATCCTCGCAGGCTTTATGACTTGATTTTATTAGTATAGGGTAGTGTGAAGTTATAGGTCCAATCTGATCCGCCGCCCATCCTCTGTCGTGCCCCTCTCACTATCCCCGTTCTCTGCTACCTATTTCCTGTCTCCTCTCCTATTATTTTTCAAAATATACTTCTCATGCCGATTTAGCCGAGATGTAAAACATGAACGGATTCTTCATTCAGCAGTAATCAACCTGTGTCGAGTGAGTTCCAACCAGGTGCTCAAAGTCTTCCTCTCCGCTCAGATCGTCTTCGACATGCATCCGTATGTATCGAATGCACGCTTCGAACGGATTCTCCAATTGGATAACTTCTCCTTTGTCCGGAACTCCGAGTGTCGGCAAAAACACGTGTCTCCAAACTTTGTCGAACTTCTCGTACATTCCATTTTCCTCGTCCTTCTTGCTATAACAAGCAGTGATTTTCGGCTTATCGAATATCGCAGATGTCAGAATGGAACTGAAATGGATAAAATTGAATAGGTCCGTGTAGGAGGGAGTACCTGTGCAGACGGATTCCGTCGGTGTCAAAGGGCTTTCGATCGAACACTGTCTCCAGATTTCGGATCCACGAGTACAACGCCCTCTTTCCCATGTCCATAGATTCGATATTGATCGACCCTGTGCCTCTCACCAGATAGCAGTGCCCTTCCCGTCGCTTCGTCGGCTGATCCCCTTCGCACGAAGTCCACGCGTCCCATCTCAGTTCGATGTACAGGTCGATGCTGTTGTCGGGCGACACGAGACGGGCTCTGCTAGCGAGGCTCCATTCGTTCAATTTTTTCGCACTCCCCTCACCTGCATCTGTCCACTGAGCACTCCTCTCCGAAGTTCGTCGGCCAGCTCATCTTCTTCAGATACGGAAACTTCCGTTCACATCCTTCCGGATCCGAGTCGTCCAGTTGGCACGTCGCAGGAGGATTCAGGTCCCCCATCGGCAGAAAGTGATATCTCCAGTTGTGCGACGGAAATATCTTCGAGGAGTCTTCCCCCTGTTCGTGCCCACAGTGATCGGCTGTAAGAAAGTATATTATAAAAAGACGTTCTGTCCCAAACTGAAAGTGGTCGGTTCTTTGGAGGTGATACGAACGGGCGGGAGCATCGCCATGAGCACGAAGAACAGAACCGTCTGCTTGCGGGAGAACTCGTCATAGCAGAAGTAGACTCCCTGGGAACGGACGTCTGCCTGAAAAAGACGGTGACGAAAGAGGGATCGGAAAGACTGCTCACTAGGCTGGTCGAACAGGCGCCTGAAAAAACAGGAGCCTGCTTTTCAGGCTCCTGGTTTTTTTTGTTTTTTTCAACGCAGCGCTCCGTTTTTGCGTTGAAAAAAACAGGCGCAGGCGCCTAAAATCGCCTGTTCGACCAGCCTACTGCTCACTCCAAATATCGTCAGTTTGCCCTCATTCTGCCAATATCTCGGGGGAGTTTTCACTCTGCTCGTAAACGAATCCGTATCCTGAAAAGATGTGAAGAACAATCTCCCATTGAAACCAAATACTACATTCAGATCTCGGCTGTGAGGATACCAGATGACGTTTTCCTCATCAATTAACTCGTTTTCATCTCTCTCAAACTGTTCCGTATTCTGCACCTCTTCCCAGAGCTCGTTGACACGAACGAACTGTTTCGGATTGAGAAGAAACTCGTCGACGTCTTCAGAATATCCCCATCTTTTAATTCTTCCGTTCGTTATATATGCCATCTGACACATTCTGCACGGAAGATCCACTCGTTCTCCAGGCCAGAAATACACCGGAACAATCTGAAATCCACTTTCCAATCTCTTTGATGTTCATAGATAACCTTGAGGCTGTTTTCCTCCGAGCATCCTTTCAAATACGACGCTTTCGCCCATTTGTTCTCCCAATACACCTTCACATTTTGCGCGATTTCACTGTTTTTCCAGTCGTGTGCTCGCGGCGGAACCCACCGCAGATGGTCGTTTTTGTTAAACGACACCTCAATCGTTCAGTGTTTTTAACAAATAAAATGAGTGCTTGTGTTATTCTCACCGAAGATTTGTAGCATACATTTGCTAATAGAAATGAGAACCAGAAAAACATGGTTTTTTGTTGGGCGTGGAAAAATGAGAAATGAGAAAATTGTCCTGTGGAACATTTCTGGACATTTCTGGACATTTCGATTTTCTATTCTAAAGATGACTGATCTCTTAAATGCAACCGATTCCTTGATCTTAGAAGACGTCACACTATGATTTCTTCAATGTTCATTGGATTGAAAACGGGAACAGAAATGACTAGAAAAGTGAGAACGGAAAGAGAATGAGAACCTAAATAGTCGGAGGAGGAAGTGTGTCGTCCATCGACGTGGCGAGAGTCGTCGTCTCGTTCCGCACGTCGGTCAGGTCGTCCTGTTTCCAGATGCCACGGGCGATCGAGTAGAGCAATCCGTCAATGAGTCGGATCTCGTCGGGGTACAAATGGTGCATGCTGATCAGATTCTCGTGGTAAATTGCCGGGCCCTGAACGTTTCATTCAAAGAGAGTTATGAAGAAAGATAGAGAAATACCCAGATCTGGATAGGATCCATTTGGAAAGACCTCGTCAGATCGGCGTAAAAATGCTGTTCAGGTCTCCACGGAAGGAATCTCTGACGTCCTTTTTCGTCACGACTGTCGAGGGGAACGATGCCGACGGAAGCGAGACATCTGCAACGATCCGGTTCCCTTGCTCCGTTCAATTCTTTCCCAAGACTCACTGTGCAATCGCAAAGTCTTCCCACTCGTGATACGGACATCTGTCTTTGTCGTTGAACAGCTTCTCTGCAAATATCCGCATCGCCTCTCGACTCATAACGTAACCACTTCCGCCCGCATTGTATCCCGTTTCCTATAAAAAACGTTTCCGTCATTTCCATCGAGGTCGTCAAGATGGACGCTCCGATTGCTTACCGTCCGTCTACTCAGTCGGTATCCGATAAAGTACGGCTTCTTCGGATCCAGCGTCGCGAGATATCTCTGCAGGTTTTCGACGATCAAATAAGTGTCGTCGTCGCCTTTGAAGTACCTGCAACATGCGACCGATATGATCTGAACGCTCACGTTGGGGAGCACTCACCAGTCGAAATCGTTCGAGACGTAATTGTAGATGTAGAGGAGAGCGAGACGCGTCTTCCAGAACAGTTTGTAGTAACTCTCGGGCAGTCCGTCAAACACTGTGTGGTAGGGAGTGGAGACGTTGAGGAACCTATCGGAATTGGTGAAGAGATGGCCGGCATCGCAACGACGAAGCCATGTTTCTGCAATGGCAGGCACCTGAAGCACAGATGAAGGCCTTGGGGAGGGGAACGGAAGGGACTCACTCGTGTCTTGTGGTAGATGGACGTCGTCATTGCCCAGCAGAGAAGACTCCCGCTCTTCGGCTGATTCTTCGCACTCTCCGACATTTTGACTGATTTGAGAAGATGCTCATTGTACTTTCTGAAATGGATTGATAAGAAAGGGAAGCAGTGGAGGAAAACTGACTCGAATCCAGAATCATCGATGGGAAACAAAGGAATAATGTCGATGCCAGTCTTGTACTGCACCTGATAGAGGAAGTAGCCGCCAAGAAAGACGATGGCGAACACAATGACGGCACTGAATCGGTACTCATCGGCACAAAGACGCACGGATCGCAGACTCCGGATGTTCTTCTGCAAGTGTTCGGGTGTGGTGCGTTCACAGAGAAGCCGGGTATTCTCGGGAGACGAGGCGGGCTTAGAGGGGTAGTTTCCAAACAGATCCAGCATTTCGGGGAGTATTTTCTAGAAGTAAATACAGGGAAAAGTAAATGGAAAAGTGTGGCCGTCGAAAGAATGTTCGCAATAAATCACCGTTCGATCGGGTCGACGATTTGAATCGGCCCTAATATTTTACTCTGACGGCGTCGAAAACTTTCGGAGAGAAAGCGGAGAGGATTGTGTTCTGGATCCAGTGGTTACCTTCAAACGTTCTCTCCATTTCTTTTGAGTGTGAACGCATATCATCGTTTTTCGGTATCAGAGTATCATGACTTGGAGGCGAGAACGGAAGAGAAAGAAGACGGTCGGTGACTGGTTGGGTTGTCAGCTGAAGAACGGAACAACATTGAAGCAGAAACCAGAGACGAGTGTAATACTGGCAGATCGCAAAGCTTAAAGAAGGGCAAAACGGGGAGGATGAGAGAAGAGCGGACGAGTAGACCGACTCCACCCTGAGAATCCGATCGGTTTGGCCGATAGCGGAGAGGCGCGGCAGCAGGCGGTGAGGCCGCGCGGATGAAGACGACGGCGGCGCTGAGGAAAAGAAGGAGGAGGCGGAGAAGGAGGAGGACGACGCAATATTTAGACACAAATTGTAGCGGTTTTTGCGATGAAGAACAATGCAAATGGGTAAGGACAAACAGAGAAGCGTTGAGCAAAATGAGATGAGTTTGGAAGGAGAGGAGAAGAAGTGAAGTCAGGATGCGAGAGTCGGCTATGGCCCAGACAGATTGACCATCGAGATTTGGCAGAAAAGAGGACGATGACGACATTGCCGATCCACAATTTCTTGCCGATTCTTGCGTCCGTATCAGAATCTTCCCTTCTCCAATGAACATTTGTGAGTGAGTCATCCATATTTACCTTATGCTCTGTAATGCTCGGAGACATATACAGTATGATATACTTCCAGAATTGTAGACGTTGAGATCATCTGAATCGAAAAGAAGACATTGTTGAGATGCCACGTAGATCACGTTTGTGTCCGTAATAAAGAATTTGCCCTAAACATTTCAATAAAGACCTTCTCTTCCGTTTCCAAACGTCTTTTTACGCGATTTTCGAAAACAAGAATGACACGAGGTACTGCCGTCTCTGAATTTTAAATTCATTTCTTGCGCAATAAGCATCGAAGTGCAAAAAAAAAGTGTTCTGCAAGTTTTCAGTTATCTTGCGTGGCGCATCTTTTGGCATACCTGAAGAACCGGCAAAGCCGATGACGACGGCCGCTTTTTAGGTAGGACAGGAATGGGCAGAAGAAGAAGAAGAAGAAGAAGAAGAAGCAGAAGACACCTTACGCAACAAACACGCAAGACTTATTTATTCTCGGAAAAATCAACAAATTGTCAGAACGGGGAAGTGGGGAGGAGAGCATGAAACGGCAGAAAGAAAGGCAACGATTTACTCGACCTGCTGCTCCAATTGGGTCACGATCGGCAGGTAAGGGAAGTCTTCGCGGTAGCACAGATTGATCTGAGTCTGAAAATAAAAATGAGGAAAGCGGGATGATGGAGGAGGCTACTTTAGCATCGGCGGAAATGCATTCGAGTCGTTTGATGATCGTTCGGATGTCGCCTCTGGCTTCCGGAACATGAGAAGTACACGTGGCAAGCAGTTGGGTGACGGCTTCTCCGCAATAAGTGATTGGATCCAACTGAGCGGATCCGTCCCGCATCGCATCGATAAACGTCTGAACCTGCCGGAGAGAGGCGAACGGAGTGCCTCCGAGGGAGAAGATCTCCCAGAGAGTGACTCCCAACGGCCAAATGAGCGTCTGTTCATTGTGAATCATCTTGTGATCCCTTTTGAAGTATTCTGGAGGCATCCAGCGCATCTTCGTCGGAGCCTGAAAAAATTGAGGAGGGATTGAAAACGGATGCGCATACGCTTTCGGTGGTCATATCAAGGGCGTGGTGTTCGGCAAGACCGAATCCTCCAATCTTGACAATGCCTCTTTCGGCAAGAAGCACGTTCGAGGTGGAAAGGTGCGACGGGAAGACGTTTCTCTTCAGAAGATGTTCGACGCCATTGCAGCATCCGATGGCGATGGCGGCGAGTCGTTCGGAGGACAGGAAACTGGCCATGTTGAATGGGTCTGTTCCGAATCGAGCGCAACGGCTCTCTCGCAGGACACCTCGGAGGACGGACTGGTGGAGAGGCTCCCACATGAGCATCACGTCTGAAATTGATATTGTTCAGTGAAGGCGTCGTCCCAAAGAATGCACCTGGTCCGGTTTGAGAAATTCCGCAAAGGGAAACAACATTTTGGTGAGCGCCGGCGGAGATGTTCGCTTTCAAAAGAGATGTGAGCTTAAGGAGCTCTTCATCGGAAAGACGGTTGATATCTGAATGAATCTCCGTCGTTTTGTGCAGTTCCGAATGCTCACTTTTTAATAAATACACGTTCACATCATGGACGGATCCATTATACGAATTGAACATGGCTCTGTAGATCGGGCCGAACTTTCCCATTCCTAGAATACGGTTCATACGGCACTCGTCTGCGTTCTTCGCTTTACCGTACCTACAGTAATGCCTAGCTCTACTTTGTTCGGATTGAAAGTTGTGCCGCTTTTGACGACACTTTTGAAGTTTTCGATGGCTTCTCCTTCAGCCAGAAGACGTTGATCTTCGGGAGCAACTCCGGACGGAGCACGCGAAACTGACTTCTGAAAGTGGTCTCCGTTGAGAGCTTTTCCTCTGTGCAATCAGTTAGTTGTTGACTTATTTTCCGGTGACACGTGCGAAGAGTACTGCCATATAAAGATTTATTTAATTTATTCTCAAAAAAATAAATTTGTGGAAAAAATAAATGAGATATTTATACACAAAAAAGGAACAGACACACACACACACGGTCACCGAAAAAGTTGGGAAGGGAAATCTGGAAGAAAAGAGAGACAGAGAGGGGGAGGAAAGGAAAGGAAGAAGTCAAGGGGGAGTGGGTCATGTCAATCGGATTGGCACGTGGTTAGATGCGGGGTGGAGAGATAACCGTATTAGAGCATTAAGAGAAACGGAGCTAGTTGTGGACGGACGGAACGAATGGTGGGCGAACAGAAGGCCATTCTACTGCCGCAGCTGCTCTTTCTCACGACTCACCAGCTCCGTCGGCGGTTGGTTCGCTGACGTGTAACGGTAACCGTTCGCAGTCTTCGATTCCTTGGTCTGAAAAAACGAGAATGCACACTCGACGGAAAAGCTTGCCGACTAACCTTGCAGCAGCAACAATACTTGTTTCTGTAGAACAGGCACAGGATGATGAAGATAAAGCCGATGAAGAAGCCGAGAGAAGCGATGAAAACGGTGCGAACTCGCGGGAAGTCAAAGCTGGTCACGAAGCGATCCCAGAAGTTCTGCGGGGCTTCGGAGTCGCCCTCCACGAGCTCGACAGTTGTGCTCTCTTCCAAATCGTCTTCGCTTGATTCTTGCGAATCCTTCTCGAACTCATCATCTCCGATATTCGTGCTGTTTCCAACGAAACCTTCATCTTTGTTGTTCTTCTCCTCGTCACTCTCATCTTCTTCCTTCTTCTCCTCCTTCTCGTCATCGTCTGTCTCCTCGTCTTCCGTCTCCGACGTCGTCGTCTCCACATCGTCTTCCTTCTCTTCCTCATCGTCTCCTTCCTCCTCAGCCTTCTTCTTGGCTTCTTCTTGCGACTTCAGCTTCGTCGGCTCGATGTCTTCCAGGTTGACCTTCAGAACTCCATCCTCGTCCTTCTCCTCGCTGCCCTCCTTCTTCATCTCCTCTTCTCCCTTCTTCTCTTCCTCCTCGAAGAAGTTTGTACCTCCGGTTTCCTCGCTGACGTCTCCGTCATCGAGAGCATCCTTCACAACAGTCGTTGCCGATTCTTCAGTTGTGAATGGAAGGGCATCTTCCACTGGCGGTGCGGCAACAATATCCGAATCCCCGAGTCCGTACACCTCTGGTTTCAGATCAAACTTCAAGTGGTCCGACTCAATGACAGACTCTCCATCGTAAATTTGATGGCCTTTCGGAGCAGAAGCTTTGATTTGGCGGGTACGACGGACTGTGGCCTTCAAGATTTGAAATGTTCTGATCTGACTGTTTCTGATCTGTTTCACTTACAGTGTAATACGACTCGAGCTCCTTGGCTCCCGAAAACACGTCTCTGTCGAATTGGACCTCCGGGGGCAAGTCATCGTCGTACTGGTCATAGTTCTGTAATCCACACTTTCACTTTCGGTTCTCTTCCCTTCACTTACATCACTGTGATCGTACTCGTCGTCGTCCTTGCCCTGTGGGTGATCTTCCTTGCTCTCGGACAAGTCCACGAGCACGGAAGCAATGCAAGTGTGCGCTCCGCTTGCCGTTGATTCCACTTCTCCTTCACAATGCTCTGGTGCCTAAAATGAGACAATTTTGAACATCTTCATGGAATGAAAAAATCACCTTCACTTGGAATTTGTAGTGAAGTGTGACGTTCTCGATCTTGAGGTGTCTCCAGTACGGCTCCAGCCAGAACGGCTCGATCGTCACGACAACCGAAGAGTTCTCATTGACAGCAAGAGGTTGTGGCGGACGTTGGAGGGCTGAAAGAGCGAAATGAGACCGGTTCCTACGTGAACAACTGACCATCAGCGTAGCAAGCTTGGTACGTTTTCATGGTGAGATTGGCGGGATGACGGGTTTGAGTGAGGTCAGTGTGGCAGTTCTCGGCTAGTTGGTGGGCACAACTGCACGCTCCGACAGTCCGGGAAGCACGGGATTCCTTCTGACGGAGACAGACACTGTAGCCGTTCTCCGTGCACTGACTGCAGTCCGTGCAGACGTCAGTCTTGAGGGTGTCTTCGTTGACGAGACTTCGGATTCCATGGGTGTCAGCGGTGATCGGGCAGAGGAGGTCGATGCACCCTCCGCCGATCGCCTTCTTCTCCACCGAAAAGGTGCTGAAAAGAGAACGAGATAATCGGAAAGAAACGGGTGGGAAAGTACCTGACTGTCAGCAGCCATGTGCTGAGAGCTACAAGTTTGAAACCCATTGGCTGGGCTTTGGAATAGCAAAGAGATCTGGAAAAGAGCTAACGAATGGAAAGTATTTGCAGGTGAGCAAACAGAAACTGCGAGGGCAGGAAGAAAGCTGCTAAAATAAGATATAAAAAATGGATGAATCCCCCCGCCACGTCGCACATCCAGAGGAAATGGAGAGAAGGCGTGGCGTCACAAGTGGAAGAAGAAGAAGAAGAAAAAGAGGGCATGAAACCCGATAGGATGAAAATATATCTGCATGAGAGTGCCAAAAACGAGCAGAGAATTGTGTGCCGGATCAGAAAAGAGATTGGAAGAAAGGTTTCAGATGACAGCGGAAGTTTCAGAGGAAAGAGGAGATCGGAGAGCAACGTCAGGGTCAGGTTTAAGCAAAAACATTGACGAAAGGCAGCGAAAGCGCAAAAAAGTGTGGATGATGAGTGCGCGCGTCCGAGGGCAGGAGAGTAGGCTCCTGCTGGCTGCCGCTGCTCCCGCTGCTCTCGCGCGGGGAAGACACAGCGACACAATTCGTCTTGAGACGCCAGAACAAACAGAAGAAGAGCTCCCGCACGGGAGCAGAAGGGGAACAACATGACGACGATGGCCGGCATGAGCGCAACGAAATGGATAGGAAAAACGAGCATGCAAATTTTTGTGTCTGTCCGAGCATTTCTCAGCCGAAATCTGGATCCGCAAAAGATTGAGCACTTGGCGAGAAGCATCAGAAGGTCAGCCAAGTGGGCTCCCATCGGAAGAGTGGGCGGCGCCGCCTATCGATGGTGTGTTTTGGGCGGGAGCACACAGTACGACTCGAGTATAATCAGCGTTCGAGCTCAATTTCTGTTTGCCGACTGATGGGGCAAAAAATAGGGCTGCAGGATCACGTGGAATTAGAGGAGCAGAGGCAGTAACCGATCAGTGATCACGAAAAGTGGGCGACGAGGGATTACGGTAGGGAAGGCGAGAAGCGCCAATAATAAATAGTTGGCAGAGGGGGCGAACAGAGCTGGATAATGAATTCGGACGGTACGGAGCAGACTGTGATGGGATTCCATCAAGAAGTTGAGGAGAAGGGTATTGAAAAGGGATGAGTTCGAACCAGGAAGTATTATAGTTGAGTTAGAATCGCATCGATTTGGTTTAACTGTTCGACAGAGGTCTCCCCGTTCCCGAAATGTGTTGGTAAGCGGCAAAAATAAGATTTTTGTCCTCTCCCTCCCGGCTTCCTTCATTTCTCTCCCAACATCTCATTCGAGTGGTTTGTTAGCCTAACTGTAAAAACGTCGCGGACCGGGATTGTTTACCGAAAAAGTTAGTCATTTCGCCTCCTTATGTTTCAGAGAATGAGCCGCCCCAACTGTGCAGTAGGAGGCAACCGAAATGAGCGAAAAAATGAGGGAAAAGGGGAGAGGGAAGACGGTCCAATTTGATGGAGATGAACCAAATATTTGTTCAACTATTCGATTTCTGCTTCAATTGAGTTGGTATCTCTTAACAGTGGGAAGGGATTTCCGCTCAGAGAATCATGAGAAATGGTAATAGAACTGAAAGAAAGCGGGCAGATGTTCAAAGGACGCATAGTTTTTGAGCCCCTCCACAACGGCTGTTCAATCATTTTTGGGGGCCAGAAAAGAGAGGTCAAATGAAAGTTATTAGAAAGAGAAAACTAGTGACTCATGAGGCAATATCGGAGTGAAAGAACGGATGAATGGACGAGTCTGTGCGCCCGCAAATGAGTCCGCACAGCACACGCATGTTTGTACGTTTTTGAGCGAAAATGGTATGCGAGCTGGTGGTGTAAGTCCTAATGAGAAGTGGTCTGATATGTACATATTAAAGTACAAATAATAGGTGGTGGGGTGCGCGGGGGAGCTCACCGAGCTGAGCTTCATGTCGCTGTTGACACAGAAATACGATATCTTGGGGTTGCGACCAGGGCGCTGCACCCCCGAAAACGGGTGAAACGAAGGTTGCGTCAATTGCCGTTTATGGGCAAAAACCGAAGAAGTAGGCGAAGGAGGAGCAGAAAACGGTAGAGGGTAACCGGGCGGGGGATGCATATGCGAATTATAGAAGGACAAACAATGACTGGGCAGGAAGAGCTGCCGGCCAGAGGGGAGAGAGCTCGAAAAGCTTGAGTGGAATGTGGTCGGAAGCAGATTAGACGGAGGTGGGAGGGTCGGGGGACATTCTGATGGAATGTCATCATAAGATACCGAGAGAGGGAAGAGTTACTGTAGAACTCATTTGATAGAGGAGAGACGTCATTACAATGAAATAGGAAAGTTACATCTGGAACTGTTTATTGTAAAACTTTGAGCAACTCCGCGCGAGTGAGCACTAATGGAGGCCGCGAGCGGAAACTCTAAACTTGTGATCACAAATGGCATCCGTGGAACATTGACTTCTGGATGCTCAGAGTCCGGTTGAAACTTGATGCTCCTAATTGCGTGACCACTTGCACAATGCAAACAGACGGCTGAAATAGGCGGAAAGAGAAAAGAAGGGAGCATCACCTAAAACCGCCAACTGGGAGGTACTCTTCAAATAAACAGAAGCGCGCTAAAAGCAGCACACATATAGCCGGGGAGCACAGTCGTCTCGACGGTTAATCCGTATTTCACCCGCGGCTCTCTAAACCAACACGGCTGCGACTCTTCGTCCGATGCGCTCCCTTCCCTGCCCGCTACTGTACACTGCTTCCCTATCAATGTACACATACTACCCAACTACTAAATTGGACAACTTTGCCACGTCATCTTTCACTTATTCTCCATTTTCTTTCGTTTTTTCTTCCATTAGAGCATCAAAAATCCTAGAGAGGAAATATCGGAGCCAGGATCGGATTTCAATCCCCTCATTTTCGGGGGATGGTTTATTTTTCCCTCGTTTTGTGTTTTCTTCTGTTCAAACTACAACATCTTTCGCTTCACCGTAATCATTTTATTTCAAAGGTCTCGAAGCGAAGAAATCGACCCGCGAAGAATGGGAAAAACGAAAGAGAAATGGTCAGGCGACAAGGGATGACGTGGCAGAATACGGGGGCGGAGGCGTGTTGGATGTGGTCGACTGGCTCGCACGTTGGTACGAAGGGAGAAGTCTGGAAAGAAGAAGAAGGAACGGCGTTGGAAATCAAATAGAGAAACTGACGGAACATTCGAAGAAACCACCGAAACGCTGCTGTCTGGAGTCGTTGGTGTACGGCACATTGAGCGGAGCAGAAGAAGCATTGACGACCTGAATGAGATTACTGTAGTTCATGCTCAGCATCTTCAAAATTCTAACCTGTTCGTAGGATTACTCGACAGCCACATGAGAATGTCGTACGAAGAGTTGGAAGTATTGTACCGACTGATTGAGACCCTGCAACTTCTCCAATTACTTTCTCTCCCTTCTCCGCTTTCCCTCTCACTTCGGCTTTGTCATTTTGCTAAGTCCGATGGAGAATGCCAACGCAATAACCATTAGCATGAAGATTCCCACGAAGAATGTCAAGTGATCCTCCGATTCTTCGACTGGCTCCACCAAGTATATCGGCGGCTTCTGCAAAACCGGAACATTCTTTATTTCTTCCCGAGATGCTCATTCTCACACGACTAGTGGTGGACGGAAAAGAGGATGGGGAGCAAGGCGGCACCTGAAACACAAAAACAGCGTTAGGAAAACATCAATTATGATTGTCGGGGAGCATCGGCGCATTTTGAGTTCCCACGGGGGTTCCGTGACAGAAATCTCGCATGATAAATACTCTCTTATTCGGTGAGAGAGTGTGTGCTCCGATGAGGAAGCAGAAACGGCCCAAAAAGGGGCGCCCGGAAGAGATTTCGGAGGGCCTACAGTCGTTTGTTTGAGCAGCCCTAATTACAGTATCCCAAGAGAGTTTGAGAAGACGTGGAAATAGGAGACACTCGACTGACGTCAATGATGAAGGACTCACCCGTTCTGTGTCATTCAGGAAAAGAACAAGTTGGCAGCATGCACGGCGTGTCAGATTCATCGGCTGATCGCATAAGTGCGGCTTCATTTGTCGCCTGCAAGACGGGAGAATACGGCGAAAAGAGGGAGAGCCGAGTGACAGTAATTGAATTATTTTATTATGTTTTTGGGGCCCGGCTCAACCCGCCCTCTCAACAAATTGTCTTCTGGAGAAGACGAAGAAGACGTGCCGCCGACGGACGGAAAACAACAAAAATAAGCGGCCGAAACGGAGGCAAACTTATGCAAAAATGTTCGCGGTGCTCTTCTTGGCAGCCAAGCGAAAAACGGAGATGTGGCGGAGAAAAGGAAGGAAAAGAAGGGGGAGTCGGGCGAGGGAGCCACAATGAAATGAAATCAAACTTTTTGATGCCAATTAGCGACGGAAGGCATGCGGGGGAAAATGGACGGCGCGGGCTGATTATTGGATCATTCGGAAGCGAATTACGAGGAGAATCGGAATGGTTTCGGAACGATCGGAATGGACCCCAGAATGCGATTATTCAGAAAGCAGAATGATTGCGGCGAAGAATGCACTTTCGAACTCATTTTATTCAATTTCATTTCCCTGACATGTCTATCACAATTTCTAATTTATCTGCGAGGACGTTTTATTTTTTGACAAAAAAACATTCAGTCAGTGATCTTTTCTGGAAAGCAAGTTGGAAAAGAAGAAGAAATGTGTCAGACGGAGAGGGAACGCGTTGTACAGATTAAATGAATGATTAATGAGGCGGCAAAGAATGAGAGGAGGAAGAAGTCCGCAGGGCTCCCCAAGCCGAAAGTGAGCCTTCGGGTCACAAGCACCCCATCTCCTCCTCGGCCAAGCAGTCCCTGGAGACGTGGGCCCAAGAAGGCGCCGCCTATCAAACTCCCATTTTCTTTGAAAAGTAGTGTCTCGGCAGGAGCTCTCGCTCCCTCTCCCTCTCTAGACACATGCTGCCAGATAGCAGAAACACGGCTCGCGTCAAAATGATGATGCACCTGATTAGAGAGAACGAAAGAGAACAGCGGACGGACGGGAAAAGTGAGAGGATGACGGGAAGGAACTCTTTATGAGAAAGAGAGGAGGACGGCAGGCACAACAATAACAGAAGGTGTTTATTTCTTCCGGAAGACGGCGCCCGTCGAAGTGACACCTTGTTTGCCTCCGAAAGAGAAGCTATGCACCGCCGGCACTTCACACACCATATCCAGACTCGGATGACAGAATTGGGCACGCATTTCGTCTCTGGAAAAGGAAAACATGAAAAGATGCGAGGCGTAAAGAAGGAAACGACACTTACAGTGTGAAATTACAGGAGAAAATGACGAATCGTCCGTCGGCAGTCAATCCCTTCCGGAGGAAGTCAGCGTAGGCGGCAAGACGGGCATCTCGTTCGTCGGAAAGACTCATTGCATCCCAAGTGCCCTTGTCGAGGATCACATCGAACGGCGGCGAGAAGAAGTCGTTGCGGGGAGCTGTAATGTCCAGTTGCTGCAAAGGAATTCAGATGAAAATTGAAGTCCGTCTGGTCCCACCTCAAACTGAATATCCGGCAGTTCCTTTTCTTTTTCTTGTTCTTCCTGTTCCGCTCTCGATGCCGCCTCCGACAAATCGACGGCTTTCTGACAGTAATCCACGCCTTTCAGACTTCGGAACCCTTTCGATCTCTTTAATTTATCCTCGTTTTCCCCTTCCGTCCTTTGTTTTCACTCACTAATTTTCTAAGAACTGATCCATTTCCACATCCCAAATCGAGAATTCTCGCCTCTTTTTCCGTTTTCGACTCGATCAAATACTTCACAATTCTCGTTTCCGCGGAAATTCCGAACCACACTTCTCCCTCGTCCCCGTGCGCTTTGAAATTCTCCAGTTCCATTTTGTACCTTTTGTCCCAACTTAAAGTGAATTCCTTTTTTTCTCATTTAAATAATCAACTTACAAATCCTTCGTTCCTAGTTCAGAAGACGCAATTTTTACGTCTTCGTCGCTCATCTGAAACCATTTTTGAAAAAAGAGGTGAGAAGTCCCAGTATTCATTGAAAACGTCACACTTTCACCAACTTTCAACTGTATTTATTTACAAAAAAGAAGTCTTTATTATGCGTAGCAGACGCACTTTCCCGTAGTTATCTTTGTAGAAGCGGGAGATCGTCAGGTCAGTACTGCTTATCAAGTTGGGTAGCGAGAATTTACAAATCTTTGGGAGGGAGGCAGATAAACTATTGACATAGAAACATTGCAGACGTAAAAGTCTGTCAATCGCGCTCTACCGCTCTCCACATGAATTGGGGCTATTATAGGGGCACCGCACAGAAATGGCGCTCTGTTGAGAAACTCTTTTTGCAGTGCAAATTGAGCGACCTCGGGGCCGCGTTTGAAAAGTTAGGCCACATTTTCAGTGGAAAATTACTTCGCGGCCTAGAAATTCGGCCAGATTGCGAACAGCGCGCCCTTTCTGTCCGGTGCCCCTATAATACAACGTAATAGAACTCGCACGGAAAAGAACGAAGCTACAATGTAATAGAACTCGCACGTAAAAGAACTGTTACGATATAGAACTCGCAGTTGTTTTTGAACGTTGCGAGTTCTATATCGTAACAGTTATTTTCCGTGCCAGTTCTATTACGCTGTAGCCTCCATGAATTCAGTGGTAAGTTGGGAAAGGTCGCGGCCGCGGCCTGGTTTTCACGTGGGAGTGCGGTAGATTGCCACTCTTGAGGTGCTAATAAATATTTTGGTTATTCTAAAACAGACAAACGTCCAGACAGTCACAGATTCGTGGGGGATTTTAATGAGGTAAACGAGCATGAGGTAATTTAAAATTTGAGCTTCAGCGACCTTGCTATTCGTTGTTTTGCAGTCGTTTTCGGCGTCGCGCCTTCTACACCATCGTTCTTTTCGCCTGGAAAATCATCATTGCATGATTTCCTTCTCATTAAAAGTACCTGATAACATTTCTTTTGGTTCTTTCGGCTCTTTGGGCTTCTTCGGTCCCTTCGGCTTCTTCTTTTTTATCTTCTCTCCAGAATGCACTGCTTCGCACTTCTCCAACTGGTCGTTTAACTCTTCGAAGGACCTCGTTTTCCTCTCGGGTATTTCTTCCTTTCTTGCCTCTAAATGTCGTCCACAAAGATCAGCAACATCCTGTTTCAGCTTTATTTTTCTGCCCGAAGAAGTGCACGCACTGTTGAATATACCGACGACGTTCTTCTGATCTTCAGTTGGTTGTGTGATGATTTTCACTTTCATCGGCGCACTTTGAACGATTCCAGTCGGACAGAATTCATCCAAATCGTCATCCCTTTTCGGAATATCGAATGTAAACTTTGGAAATTCTTCGTCCTCTCTTCTCTGCTTCTTCGAGCACTTCTTCTTCGTCGGAGTCGGATTGTACTCGTCGTCCCTCTCCGCCGAATCTCGGCTCTTTCTCTTTATTTTCACCTTCATCGGTCCTTTCTTGCTCTCCTGTATCTTCCTTTGGATGTTAAACTGCTTATCGAACGAGTGTATCATTTTCTTCTTGTTCTCAATGTCAATGTCGAATCCGTACTTTTCCTTTCCGAATTCTTCCTCTTGTTCTCTTATCACCCACTCACGCATTTCGTCTGCAAGCATTATAGCTGCTTTCCACGTGCCGTGCTCCATTTCACGCATGTCATTTCCTTCGTCATTGGCTTCTGAAAAGTGGAATAGTGGAGTTGTCAGTTTTTAAGCGAAAAATTACCTCTCATCTTCTCCAGAAAAACGTTCCTCATGTACATCCAATGCAGATACTCAAAGTTTGGAAAATAGAACTTCGCCTCGCTGTTGATCTTTTTGCGGACTGAATTTTCCAGATGGTACACTCGCATTTGCGTGTCCAAGTTTCCCAGATGAAGGAAGTTTCCGCCGAAGACGAGAGAGTCGACCGGAGTGTAAACGGCGTGAATCCATCCAGCCGGGATCAAAAGGGTCTCTCCTTCATCGATAACCACTCGCTTCACGACACCCGGAACCAGGTCACCGAACCATTCAGTCGAAGTCGGCGAGCATTCGTGTCTCTCGTACGCCGCCAAATTCTCTTCCGTCGGTTTTATAATATAAAAGATCTTCTGACCCTGCAACAGGAAGTTCGATTGTTGACAAATGAACAAGAATGGAGGCTCACTTTGAAGATGTGATAGTAGACACTGCTTCCTCCGAAGTCAATGTGAAAATCAGTGTACGAGTGGGCCATTCCTGACAGACAGAACTGTTCAACTTTTGGACGTTGTTCTTCCGGAAGGAATTCTTCCTTCTGAAGCAGTCGAATGTATTCTTCTCCGCATTCGTCTGGCCAGAGACGGTTGACCATCGAGATGTCTTGCACAAATCGAGGCGGTTTCGCCTTTTCTTTCATACTGCAAGGGAACCTTCACAATTTCAAAGCACAAAAGAAAACGCACACTATATTGTCGGAAAATTCCAGAGACAAGAAGTTATAGAGATGCTTTCTGGGTGAATTGTCGCGGAACTTTTTGAGGAACGTGGACAGCTTCATCGAGTACGTATTCTGATTGTACACGTCAATCGTGTCCACTTCGTAATCAGGCCCCATCACGTCGACAACATCCTCCAGATCAAAGTCTTTCTCTGGCATCACCATCCCGAGTCCCTCTTTTTCCCGAACAAGGAACACTTTGTCCCACTTGTCAGGGCCTCCAAATTCACTGAATTTTTTTTGGAATTCGTAGCCGTCTTTCACAATGCAAACTTCGCTGTCGTCTCTGAAATTATTTTTCTATTTCAGAAAGAACGGAACTGAACTCACGGAGGCGGAATCTTTTCGGCCCAGTCCTGCATTCCGCGGATCCATTCTTCCGAACCCACTTCCGTCGGACGATTCTTCTCTGCGGCATCATACCAACGATGTCGATTCGGTGCGAGCTTTTGATATTCTATAAACTGAATTGAATAATTTTCGCAATGAAAAAAAAACGCATACCGATGCTTGGGCCAGCTGAGGCCACACAATTCGCACAGTGGAATTTTTCGTACAAGTAGTACTCGTACTGCTCCAGTCCAGAGCACAGCATATGATACCAGGCGCTGCATATTTCGCATCCTATCCACTGGAAGTCATTGTGCTTGTGTCGGTGCGACTTCTTCTTGCTCATCAGCGGTTTTTGCTCCGCTTTTCTTTTTGCTTCTTCAAGTGCGGCTAAGTCGTCTTCGTGCGTAAATCGACCACATCCATGACATTTGTCCGTGTCCTTCGGAGTTTTCTCACTGTCTTCGTAATCCGACTGAAAAAAAAAGATTGTACACTGGAAAGTGAAAAAATTGTTGTACGTCGTTGTCCGAATCTATTTCCACTTTGAGTTGCTCACTCATTCCGAAAAACCTGTCTTCTTCCCTTTTGATTTCTTCTTTGATTTCAGCTTTGGGAAAATTATCATGTAGCGACTGCAATAACAAAGGCTTATTTTTATTTTCTTGAGATTAACATACGCTCGGCCTTTTTCCTGTCGTTGGATCTGTTCTTGGCAGCTGATCGCTCGACACACATTCCTAAAGTAAACATAGTTACTTCTATTCAGAATAGTGAAATAACCCACATTTTTAATTGAACTTATTATTTTATTTATAGTTTCTTGGAAAACGACACATATTTTTCGAAGTTGCTTGATCAATCAACTCACTTTAATATTTTCATGGTTAGGATGCGCTGAACGTTGCTGGACACTTGGATCGGCCTGAAATAATGTATTTGCTTTCAAAATTCTTTTTATTGGTGATTATTGATTAGCAAATGTTCACCTCATATTGGTGCTGTTCCATTGTGTCATTAGTTTCTGTTTCATTTGCTGCCGAAGGCAAGCTTTGAAGAAATTGGTCAAGGTGTTGTTCAACTTCGTTACCACTCATTATGGAGAACTCTGTCTCTGCAAACACACAATTTTACTCAGGTCAGCAAGCTGAGGGAAGGTAACGCAATTCTTTTTTCGTTCAGACCAAGTTAAAATCATTTGACAATCAACAGAAATGTTTTGAAAATAATCAAAATTCGAATCTGAGAAAAAGCAATCGAGAGGAGCTCCGTAATCTTACATTTGGCACGTAGCCAACCGACGGGTCTCGCCGCGACTGGCCTATTTTCCTTCAGCCTTCTCTGCGCCTTTAATCTCTAACCGTCTGTGCCCGTGCGAATTTCCTTCTCTAACGTTTTGCTGCTTTTCCATTTTTTGTGACGGGGAACAGTTCAATTTCTGCGTTACGTTTTTCACGTTGATTGAACGTGATTTAGACATTCAATAACCGGTATTTATTGTCTTGTTGTTTTTCTTTGTGTGACACTTCCTTTTCCATTCGTAGTTGCTCTAAGATCGGTGCTCATCAACATTTTCAGGAAGATGAACCGTGCTATCCTTTCTTTGGCTAAAAACCAGCAATTCATCCGTCGCTCGCTCCACAAGGGTGTCGATTCGACCCCGCCTCTTCGCTTCACCTCGATCAGCGAGAAGGTATTGATCACAATCATTTCCGTAGATTTTAAGACAATCTCAGATCGCCCTCTACGGATTCATCTGTGTGGCGTTCTTGGGGTACCCGACTTCTGTGCTCTTCAGACTTGACAGTCTCCGCCCAAGACCGGACAACGCTCTTGCTCCAGAGGTCCAGGAAGAGATCGACGCTCGTGTCGCCGCCCGCAAACAGTAGAAGATCCATTATGTCGCGAACCAATGTGTAGACTTTTGAGAAAAATAAATCGATTCCTGTTTTCTGTGCACCACTCATTTCATTAACAATGGTTTGACCATAGAAAATAAATAATTGGCTTGGACTGATGTAACTTGAACATTTTCATTGTTAAAGATGGTTCGACAGTGGTCATGGAGAGGTACAATTGCTCAGCCATTCGCTATCAAGCTCTTCAAAGGAGTTTGGAATGCGCACCCGAGATTCGCGACGCGAACAGTTCTGGTTCAGAACAATGACGTCGATGGAGCATTCGGACTTCTCAATAGGTTTTCAGTTTGATTTTCTCATTGGTCAACCGACGAACTTATTAGATTAATGGACTCGGAAGGAATGCTGAAGATCATCCGCCGCACTCAGTTTTATCAAAAACCGTACATGCAACGTAAAGCGCTGTCAATGGAGGCGTCAAATGCGATTTTCAACGAAGACATGAATTGCAAGATGAAATTTCTCGTACGCAAAAACCGCCCGGACAAGCACCCTGGACAAGTGACCTCCTGATCCTCGAGTTCCTTCTCTAGTTGTTACGCTCTTCTCTTTTTTCATGGTTGATAAATATCTATAACATTAATTTTATTAAAAAATTATCACGAATTAGGGGTCAGTCGAGTGGAGTTTTCACTGGCTTCACATCATACGGATGAAGACGATGGCCATGGCACCTGCAAATGAAGTCATTGAGAAATAACTAACGAGCAACTAACCCATGGCGAGATGGGTCCAGTCTTGGGAATTGGCACCATCGGCAGGGCCTTCGGTTATATTAGCGGGGTTTTCTTCCGCTTCTCCGCGGTTTCCTTCCGGTCGCTCTTCAAAAGTCGGCTCTATCGATGTAACAGTTCCGTTAACGTCTTTCTCCGTCACGAGATTCTTCGTCGTTTTGGCAATGGCGGTCGAGGTTTCGTCTCCCGAAACCACGGCAATGGCGACGAGAACGAACAACGAGAGGAGGGTCAGCTTGTGGATCATTGTTGGCAGGCACGGTCCAGTTGATTGGATGGCAAATCAAAACGGATGTGATGTGGAGAGAGCGGCCGAACGCTCCTTTTATGCTGTCCGGTGGAATAGTGACCGGGTGACCGGAAGGCCGATGTCAGGCCGATTCTCGAAGATTCTGAGGCTTAGAAGATAGGACAGGGGGGTGATTTAGGGCTAGCAAAAACACTGCTTTTCAGATGTCCAGAGAACGAAAAAAATACAAAAAAATAATTATTGAAATCGAAGCAATCAAGTTTTCTTCTTCTTCTTCGCCGCCCTCTTCGTTCTGTCGGATTGCTCGATCCGCAGACTCGCGATCTTCTCGAGGGTGTCATCCTGGTCCGACTTCTCCTGATAAAATCCCTCCTTCACCTTCTTCTTTTTGTCGTCTTCCACTTCCTTCAACTTCTTGTTCCTCTTGCTCTCCGTCGGCATCTGCAAATAAATCGATCCGATCGGTTCGCCACCGAATTCTTACCACAAACTCGGGAAAGTTCTGCTCCGATTGATCCCCTTCCTCTTCCGCGCTCTTCTTTTTTTTCTTTTTCTTCTTCACTTCCTTCTAAATCATTTTTTCATATGTATTCCCTCTTCCACTAACTTTATTTGGTTTCACCGCGATGGACGCGGGCGGTACGGGCTTCGCAGTCTGTTTCCTGACCTGGCAGAATGCAATGATTCCCGACAAAAAGATCGAGAGGACTAACTGAAACTGTCAGATTCACTGGGGAACTGTGACTAGAATCCGACCTGGAATAGAATGAAAACTTCTGGAAAACGCATACCCAGGGAAATCAACAAATGATGGCCGTTCCGTTCCGTCAAAGCGTCGCTCTACAATCACACTTCCCCCGATCCTTTCCCGTGATCCCCTCACTGTACAAGTCTTTCTTCTTCTTCTTCGTCTTCTTCTTTTGCTTCTTCTTGCGTAACCGTCGTTATCCTTTTGCGGCCGAAACCCTCGTCGAACATGCCAAAACTGCTTCCACACCTCGTTAGCCAGAAGCCATTCCTCTTCGGAACCGGTTCCGTTTGTCTCCTTCTATAAAGGCGTCCCTCCGTCACTTCGCCGCCCTTCTCCGTAAACGAAATGCCCGTGGACGGTGCTTCAATTGCCACGTGGACGAGTGTGCTCGTCAGTGTCTCGTGCATCGCCTTCTGCGCTTTTTTCGCCGCCTCAGTCTGTGACGACATCAATCAGTTCCTCGATGATTCGCTTGTTCTGTTCAAAGAGGGACAAGGAAGAACCGATGACGCATGGAACGAGGTGATTTATTTGAGCGACAAACGATTCAAGCAAGATCTTGTCAGCAAATCGGTTCGACAGAAAAGATCCGATCTTCCGGCTCATTGCAGTTAGTTTTCATCTCTTTTTTTCCCAACTTTCTTTCGTTTCTCAGATTGCCTCACTCAAAACCAGTGTCCTCCCGGACCTCCCGGACCCCCAGGGCCAGCTGGAATGGACGGTAAGCCAGGAGAACCAGGAGCTGCCGGACCGCACGGAATGTCGGGGGCGGAGCTTGTGAAGATAATGAGAAACGACGATTCGTGCATCAAATGCCCCGCAGGACGTAAGCGCATAACATCAGGGACCGTCGTAATTCTCATTATTCAGCACCCGGACCGCGTGGACTGCCGGGATCAGTTGGAGAGCCAGGACCACAGGGAAGAGACGGCATGCCCGGAAGAGCCGGCAACATGGGAAGACCAGGACCGCCGGGAGCCGCAGGAGACTCGGGAGCTCCGGGACCGAAAGGATCACCAGGACAGCACGGAAGACAAGGAACGCCGGGAGTGCGTTATGTGCTCGGAGAGCCAGGACCAGTCGGATTCCCGGGACCGCGCGGAGCACCTGGAAAGGCTGGGCCACCCGGAGTGGCCGAGGAAGGACCAGACGGTCTGCCGGGACCGGCAGGACCGCCTGGAAAGCCTGGAATGCCGGGACCAATGGGATCTCCAGGCCAGCCGGGAGAGGCCGGGATCCCTGGAGCTGATGCCGCGTACTGTCCGTGTCCGCGGAGAGAGGCCCTTGTCGAATCTTCCGTCATTTCGGAGGAGACACCAGAAACCGGATACGGAGATGGAGGAGACAAGGCCAAGAGAGAGAAGACCGAGCAGCGTCATCAGGAAGAACAGACTTATGAGATTTTCAAATTCGAACAAGTTTGATTAATTTTTGCAAATAAATATGTTCATAGAACAAACAAACAATAGTATTCAAATTACAATAATCCGAGTGTAAGATCATCGTTGTACATTATCTCTGAACAAACGTTTGGCACACGTCAAACTCGTGCAAAACTTGTCAGGAAAACGGTATTTTCAACAGCGCCACAGCTAACGTGTACGTGGAGACGAGACGAAGAGGTTTTTACAGATTGAAAACGGTTTATTAGACTTGAAGGCTTTTCGTATAGTACATATTTGAAAGAATTTCAGGCTGAGTTTGAGAAAGGAATTGGAACAAAGTGTCTAGCGAAGTGGCTAACAGTAACTTTTCGAAAAATAACAAACGAAACGAGATATCAATGTAAAATTGGAAGAGGATCTAGTAGACGGCGGATCTCTTGTCGCGCTGCTTTCCGCGCACTTGCTTGCGTTGCTTGTCGGCCGCGTCGTGGATTGCCAGCTGAAAATAAACAAATTATTTCAAATAGAAAATGTTTGCCTAATGCTCCTTACCCTAGCCTGCTTATTCATCTTTCCTTCGACCTCTAGTGGAACAGGTCCCAGCTCGAAAACGTCACGAAGAACAGGGTTGTATTGCAATTGCTGGGCGAGTCCTCCGTGCAAAAGATCACAGGTGATGTCGTAGAACATTTTGATGGCACACGAATCCAATTCTAGAGTCTGCTGTCCGATCTTCACGCACACTTCCAGAGTATCGTTCTCGTCGGCAATGAACAAGCGAATGTCTCTGACTGCGTATCTCTGAGCTCTCCTGTCCTTTTTCGCCTTCTTCTTCGAGGAGTCGGCGGCCATTCTTCCGAGCAGTTCGAGCACGTGTTCCTTGTTCGGGAAACGGAATCCGGGACGAGTGTCCTGCATGAATTCGTGCAGGAAGGCGAGGGCTTCGGCGGCTGCCAATCTGACTTCAAGCTGATCCGAATCGAGAAGAGTCACGACCTTCGGCTGATCTGCGATCGCTCCGTTGATTGTGACCGCATCAGCATCAAGAAGCATGATGCACCATGCAGCCAACGATGTTCCGATGAGGCTAGCCGAAGCGCTAGTGGCCTTCGTTGTTGCCCATGCGAATCTGCACGCCTTCACATTGGCGGCCACCTCATCATCCTCGCTGCATGCGATCCTGGTCAGAATAACCAGGGAAATCGCGCAGGCGATTCGGAGGAAGACGCATCTCGATGCGTCCATCAGAATTGTTCTCATCTGATTCATTGGCTCGGCGATGAGATCCGAGATTTCTTCTCCGGCCTGAACGACGACAAGCCCGACGAGAGTGGCGAGCATGCGCGCCTCTCCGTCCGGCTTGTTTTCGATTCTTTCGCAGAGAGACATCAAAGTCTCTTTGTTTCTGCTGATGAACTCGGGCACTGGCTTGGCAGTCAACGCGAGATTCACCCGATGGAGCCCGTCTATTCTTATCTTCGTGCTGGAAAACAGAAAGTAATGAGGGGGATTCCTTCGATTACGCTTACTTTTTATCCTGGGCTCTATCCAAATTGTCTACCAGTTGATCGTATACATCATCCAAGTCTTCGACGGTCCCCATTATTGACTGCATGTCCTCGTCGTAGGTGAACGCCGACGACTCACTTTCATCCGAATCCGAATCATGTCGGCCGCTCTTTGCGGGGCCGCTGTACGGATCCTTGTCCTTGTTCTTGTTGCGATGATTTTTGCCCATATTTAACTGATTTCCGTTGAGACTGAAAATAATGAGTAGAAGAATGCGAAGACACAGAAAAGGAGAAAAGGGATTCCAGATGGCATAAAATAAATATATTTGCACAGAGAAGGGGGAAAGAAGAACGGTCTAACTTATTGATTTTTTCGAATTCAACTGAAACTTGCACTCAAGACACTCGCATTCGGAGTGTGATCTGACAAAAACGAAAACGCCAGGCGTCTCAATTTTTCACGTCATCGCCTGATCGGCTCTCTGTGCGCAATCTGAACGACGATCTGATGCAACTGACAACTTTTAACCACTGAAATACCCGAGCTAGAACGTGAGGAGCATATGACATAATTCCATAAGACTCTTGAAGGAAATTCGCTGGAATCACTAGGGAATAAACATAGCAAAATGAAGGGTTCACACAACGAAACGGGTTGCTTTCTAGTCTAGCCAATTTTTGTTACGAAATGAGAAAGAAAGATGCAGAGTGATGTCATTTGACGAGAAAAAACAGGGGGAAATGGAACGGAGAGAACGCAAAGGACCGTCGAGCTCGGGAGGACCGAGCAAGGACTGAATGAGGAATGGAGGCGTACCTGGTCTTTTATACTCTCCCTACGCGGCGCGTCTCGATCATTCGCTGAGGTCAGATATCGATCAGTGAATGTGTGCTCCCGGGAATCAAGACGAATCTGACGACGTGAGCGAGCGAGCAGCGAGGCAGAAATGACTTCGGAGGAGAGTCGTCCATCACTGTACAGTCTCCTAGGAGCTGCCGGACCGCACGGAATGTCGGGGGCGGAGCTTGTGAACCGTCATAATTCTCATTATTCAGCACCCGGACCGCGTGGACTGCCGGGATCAGTTGGAGAGCCAGGACCACAGGGAAGAGACGGCATGCCCGGAAGAGCCGGCAACATGGGAAGACCAGGACCGCCGGGAGCCGCAGGAGACTCGGGAGCTCCGGGACCGAAAGGATCACCAGGACAGCACGGAAGACAAGGAACGCCGGGAGTGCGTTATGTGCTCGGAGAGCCAGGACCAGTCGGATTCCCGGGACCGCGCGGAGCACCTGGAAAGGCTGGGTCACCCGGAGTGGCCGAGGAAGGACCAGACGGTCTTCCGGGACCGGCAGGACCGCCTGGAAAGCCTGGAATGCCGGGACCAATGGGAACTCCAGGCCAGCCGGGAGAGGCCGGGATCCCTGGAGCTGATGCCGCGTACTGTCCGTGTCCGCGGAGAGAGGCCCTTGTCGAATCTTCCGTCATTTCGGAGGAGACACCAGAAACCGGATACGGAGATGGAGGAGACAAGGCCAAGAGAGAGAAGACCGAGCAGCGTCATCAGGAAGAACAGACTTATGAGATTTTCAAATTCGAACAAGTTTGATTAATTTTTGCAAATAAATATGTTCATAGAACAAACAAACAATAGTATTCAAATTACAATAATCCGAGTGTAAGATCATCTTGCTGATAAATTCAGGCCATCGAGTAGTGCGAACAGTTTAATTTCATTTTCTCGGGGCAATCGCTACCGCCGTCGTTGATGTACCGTCTCTTGCGGTTGTTGATTGCACACGGACCTCCATCTTCTCTTTCCGATTCATCGGAAGACTGGTCAGAAGAGGAGGAGGAGCTGGAAGAATCACTCGAGGATTCATTTATGTCGTGAAGTGGCACTTCAGACGCCGATTTGATTATATGCATAACTTCGGGACGTTGCTCTGCCAACCTGGAAATTCGAGATCATTATCTGAATTGTATTGGTCATTCACAAACCGTTTGAGCCAATGCTTGCTCAACTTCGGTCTTCCTTTCACGGTTTTCGGCCAGACGAGATGAAGATTCTCGACGGAGCAGTAGTTGTGAGTGACAGCGACGGTCAGGTCTTCGTTGATGACGACGTGCCACCATCCGGCTGGCACGAACATCGTCTCTCCCGGTCCTTGCCGGCATTCGATCGGTGCATATTCCTTAGGCCAAGCGGGACTGCGGACCCGTTTGTAGACGGTCTGGAACCACGTGACACCCTCATCTGGATGTTTTCCTTTCTCGTGAGCCATCGGTTTGACCAGTTCGCGGGGCGCACTCGGAGGGATCAGCACCCATCGTTTGTGCCCGCGGAGTAGAGAATTCCACGCACTAGTGCCCAACGGATCGATGTGAATGGCAGTGCCGGAACGGGCGGGACCCATCACGAACCATCGGTGGGGCGGTCGTTTCTTGTCGTCGGCGTAGTGGAATAGGTCGTCGGCGAAGAACTTGGGAACCGTGTAGTCTTCTGACAATTTTTTCGTCTTGCGTCTCTGCAAAGGAAATAAATCGTAAAAAAAGGAAATTAATCTGACCTCGGCGAAGCTGCTGTCGAAGATGTAAAGAGGAGAATCATCTCGGTTGTTGAGCATGTAGTCGTGGTAATATTTCATTTTCATACGAACAGAATTTCCGTTATCATCTTCTCCGCATTTGAAGTTTTGATTGCGGTACTTTTTAGAGAGACGCTGAAAAGAGCCATGAACATCTTTTCAACTCAGGAAAGAACCTCGACGCTCCATTTCTCATTGGCAGCCCAATCCTCGGTCAACCCGGCCAAAATAACAGGAATGCGTGGTCTCTCGAAATCGCGTCGGAAGTCTTCGACTGAGATCGTTCTTCCGTCGATGCTGAAATCAGAAACTTCGTAGAATCAGTCTTCCTTTTCAGAATAACCGCTGGATGGTATCTTTAAGTGGCGGCAGGCTGAGATTGTCGGCGTATTCGAGAGTGTCCCATCCGAACTTCCGCAGTTCCGGCCTCGCTCTTCCCTTCGCACTCTCCACCCGTTTGTAAGTCCTAGCCAGTGAGTATCTGTCTTTTCCTAACGTCATTAGTTGTCTCTGAAATATTCTATCTAAAGCATTTTTCTTCTATCTAAAGCATTTTTTCTACAAAATAAGATCTGAATCCTCTTTTCCGACCTTCATATCGTCGAAGAAGTCAGCGGCGAACGAGAGCATTTTGGTTCGAATCGTACCGAAATGACCACGTTTTTTCGAGCCGCTCTACTCTATTTTGTTTTGCGTTCACGCTTAAAGTACTGAGTAGGGCGGACTAACCATGACTGATAAAACAAGGTTACGAAAACTAAGCAATACGTTTATTGAATCTGAATATAAATACGATCTGAAACTAGATAACTTCATTTGTTGCAGGCTTCTTCCCATTTGGCGAAAAGTCCCAATGGGTCGGCTTTCCCTTTGTCGACGACCTCCGATTTGGCATCGACGACGACCATCTTGCCGGCCGGATTGATCACCCGGAGCACCGGAATAGTTTTCACTTCGAACTTGGATTGGTACCGCCTGAAAAGAGGCACACTCGCCTTCCAATTCCGTCCCGTCCGTCTTACGTCAGAGTGTCGTCTCCGAACTTGACACACAGCCAGTCGCCATGCTTTTCGGTGAAGTTTTCCTCCAGATCGGCCTTCGAGCGATCACGAGAGAAGAAAATAACTTCGATCGGTTTTCCGGCTTTCTTCAAGTGGTGATAGAAGCGCTGAAACTAAATTTGTGTGACCCGGCAAGAACAACAGAACAAACCACCAGCTTTGGAGTGAATTGCTTGCACGGAGGACACCATCCAGCCGAGAAGTACAGAGCAACTACCTGAATAACTTGAGCCTACACCCTAAGAGCCAATCTAGCCGCGGAAACCTTTCCCTTGAGAGCTTCTTCCGCGGGAACTTCAGTTAAGTCTTGCTTCAGGAGCATAATCCCCTTCATCAATTCCGACATTGTTGTAGCAGAACTCTGACATATAGCAAAAATTCATAGACCAAGTTTTCAACAAAAATAAATATATAAGATGCGGTCTATTCAGAAATTAGAAATACGGAATTGCCAACAATTGAATTGCGCTTCTGATTTTTAGAAAATTGGAAGAGGATAGGGGACGGGAGAGGGAAATGAATGATTCGGAACTGGTGTAAATAGATGAAGATCGAAATGAGTTAGGTAAATGAAGAGTAGTTTCAACGAATCACGAGCAAAACTACTCAACACAACGTACCAGTGAAGGTTGATTGTGAATTTTTTAGACACAGAATGCCGAAAGCTGGACAAAAAGTCACTAGTTCTCGTATTTCATTAAACACGTAGAAGAGAGGCGGCGTCATCACGAAGCTTTCGTTTAGATTGAAATTAAAGATTTCAGAAAAAGTTTTGTTGTCGCTGCTCAAGTTTCGTGTTGTGTCAACAATCGCTACATTCATGAATTGTTATCTAAATGAGATGAAAAAAAAGGAAATTGAGGACGAGGGAATGAGTGGGGACGAAGTGACAGATGACTATCACGGGGCAGATCACTATCCGAGCATCTGCTTCTGCACAATTTCTGCCGAGTATTTCACGGCTTCCTTCTTCACACGCTTCTCGTACTCAGCTCTGGAATTGACTAGTTCAACTCACAGCATCACGCATAAGAATTACCTGTTCTGGCAGTAGATTTGGTAAGCCTCGGCTTGAGCCGGGTCCTCGATATTCGGATGGTTCAACAGGTCTTGGATACCGATCAGAAGCTGCTTGATAGAAATTGATGGCTTCCAGTCCTTGTTCTCATCGAGCAGAGACAGACAAACTGTTCCTGTAACGAGATAGTTTGGAAAACACACCATTAGTGCCGACTAACCAGACGGGTAGACGTTCGGATGGAAAAGTGGAGGCTCAAACTTGCACTTTGGTGGGGTCGATGGGAAATCATCCTTGAAGAGCATACGGATCTAAAAATGACACACAATTATTTGTTTTCATTCGAAATCTCACCCTGTAGAGTCCTCCCTCCCAAATTGTGTCTTTTCTTCCGGGAATGGCGCACTCCCAGTTGAAAAGATTTAATGTTCCATCGGGGTTTTTGACTGGCTTGGCGATGAATCCGAATGGATGGTCCTAAAAGTTGCAAATTGACAGTGAATTGTTAAAACATTTAAAATTTACCTTTCGCCAATGCTTTCTCTCTTCAGCAAGCCGTCCGGCAGCGATTCCTGACATTACTGCAAATAAGCTTTCTGAAAAAAAAAATTTGAAAATGAAGGTCGACGGAGAGACGAGGACAGAGACGATGATGACGCTAATTTCGAACACAAAATAAGCCAGAAATTGATTTCGCAACTCTCAACGTTATTGTGACAGGTTTTTGTGTCAAGACAGTGTGCTCTGTCGACGAAGAAAATTCAAATTTAGGACGTGGCGCCAAAAAAAAGAAAAAGGGGGCGTGGCAACCGCCCGTGTTTTCAATCGATAATGCAAAGTGCGGCACAGAATTTGGCAAAGAAGAGGCATGCGGCATGGCTTTCGTTCGTTTTACAAAACAAAGCAGTCAGCATGACGACGCGCACGGCCGCAGAAAGTTCGAGAACCGAGAGCGCGCGAAATTTGAAATGAGTTTATTTCAACAACACGAAAAAGAAGAAATCAATCGCCTTTTTTCAACTTTTCGTTGCTGCGCTTCTTTACCGGCGAACGACTCTCAGGGCTGCAATTATACGGTTCGGAAGGTATTCAAAATATACCAACTCATCAGGTGTCCTGTCCATATCTGGGTTCAGCTGTGGGCCCGTGCATCCATAATAGTACGGCTGATATTTGGAGCCAAAGAGCCATTCCATGTTGTAGCACGGAATGTATTCTCTGAATTATGCTTTCCTCGGTAGAATTTCGCGTGCAAATCCTACTTGTGCTCCCTCAGAATCGGCATATATCTCATGAAGCATTTTTGATGTGGTGTGAGCTGATTTCCGAAGACTCTGTTCCACTCTCTGAAACGATTGGGCTTCGATTGAGAATAGCTCTACATTTGATACGATGACCTCAATATCATAACTGTAACGAACGACAGTGCTGAGCCGAGGCAAGTAGAGAAACGAGTGAAAAAAGTAGCAAAAACCCTGAAAAATTAATTGTTCTCGAAATCGTCGCACGAATTTTACATTGAAAGCGCGACGGAAAGAACGAAGAACAGAGAAGCTCGGAACGGTTTGTTACGGGGCGGTCCTCCCGTCGTGCCCATCTCTTTTGGGATCGTTTTCTGATTCTCGAAGACCTCGGTAGCGTAATCGTCCAAGTTTGTTTGCACAATTCTGCTATACTCGGCCGATTTATGTCTGGAATCAAGATTTTGCACATACTGATCTTCCGGAAACTCGAAAACGTCATGCTTCGTAGGCATTATTAGGAATGAAATGAATTAATTCGAATTGATATTTATTGCGGTGCGACTGGAACGTGTAAAAACTCTAGTATCACAATTTCTGAATGCGGAAAAAATAAGAAAATCGAGTGAGCACCGGGAAAAAAGGCACTACTATTATGGCGGTTCGTGGGGGGCACAAGTGGTCAATAATTTACAGAAATCTAGAATGGACGTGACGCCGTTCAGTGCTTTCTGCAGCACGGACAGAAGAATTTCACGAAGCGACGACGGTACGGATTGAGGAGGAAAAGAGCCAGAACGAGGAAGACAAATGGGCGGAGCAGGAAGAAAGTGAGATGAAGAGGGAAGAGTTCGGAAGCGAAGTGCAGGGGAATGTACCAGTTGAAGCCGAGGAGATGTCCGACGTCGAAGGCAATCGTCAATCCAGACCAGACTGAAAAGGGGATGGATGAGACGAAGAGGGTGAGAATGGGAACTCACTGATATACGGGACGGTGAGTGAGTGGATGAGCAGGGTGAACAGCACGAAGAGGAGGAGCCGGAACTTGCTGTTGCGCACGTGTTCGTACGGGGACGTCTTCGTCATTTCATCTTTGCGACGGCAGAAGAGGAACAAAGACTGAAGAGGAAAGATAAAAAAAGAGATAAAGAACAGGTACTTACTGCGAAAAGTTGGGTGAAAATGATGAAGACGACTGTGCAGGCAGTGATTCGGAGGATGAACAGAACGGAGAGATAGACCCAGTGGGGGACTTCGAACAGGGAAATAAGCGTGTCGATAGCAGTGAAAAGGATCGGAAGGATCTGCACTTTCAAGAAGGAACGCCTGAAAATAATGATTAGAAAAGAGGTGAGAGATCAGAAAAAGGTACCCGATCGGATCGTAAGTGATTTGTTCTGGACGGACCACGGCTTTGTGAGCGTAGAAAAAAACGGTGGTGGTGGAGAAAAGAAGACTCCAGAAGATGAAGTCTCCGGCCACGTACGAGACGATCGAGAACAGCTGGTCCCTTCTGAACGTATTAAATTTGTTGAAGGCAAAAAGTAAGAATAGTTTACGTGTAGAGTTGATAAGTGGTGTACTTCTGGAGGATCTGACCATAGCTCTCAACGGCACGTCTGAAGAGCGTACTGTGATTGGAGGCGCTTTTAATTGACTCACTTCTGCCAGTCCGTGGCTGTGTCGTTCGTCGTTGGCGCCAGATTAAAGTACTCCAATTCGAACTGCCTGCAATCACGACTACAGTAACACTTCCCGTTTCCCGCACTCACTGAGTTCCGAAAATGGCGGTGCTCGCGTGAATTTCCGTGAAAATGTCGAATCCGGCCTCGATGAACAAGGGAACGACGAGGAAAAGGACGAAGAATTTGAAGTAGTCGCGACGGATCGTGCACGAGAGAGTGAACATAAGGATGATGAGAACGCACTTGAAGGCGAGCAGTCCGATGCGGAACGGATTCGGCTGGTATCCGGCGGTGAGCAGAGGAACTGCAGGGAAACGAAAACGCATTTTGGAAATGATTTTATTGTGAAACTGTGCTTACCGACGGTGGAAGTGATACTGTTGACCAGAGTGCTGGTCGCCATCGTAGTCGTCGTTGTTTCATTGAAAAGAAGTCCCGGCTCTTCTGAATCGGTCAGAAGAGTGTTCACTTCTTCCGGAATGTCTCCGCTGAAATCGAACGGTTCCTCCGCCATTCTGAAATACTGAAATTGGTGACTCATGAGTGAAATAACAGGGAAAGAAAGATCAGTTCGATGACTAGTGTTTGTTTCACTTTCCTCAATCAAAATGAATAATATTTGTGAATGGACCAATTGTGAAATACGAAGCAAAGTATCGGGTTTCCGGTTATCATCTGATTGAGAAACCGTTGGAAATGACACGCATTTCGTCGCGAGACCAAGAGACGGCGGAAAACAGAAAACAGTGAGGAGACGGAAAAATATCGAGAAGATGAAGAAAGGCGAAAAATTGGCATTCGACATGAGATAACACAAGAATCGAGTAGACAGTCAGACCATCATTCGATGCAGTAATTCGACTATTACCAGAAGTGGGAACGGAGAGACGGAGAGAGAGAGAGAGAGAGAGAGAGAGAGAGAGAGAGAGGGATCTACTGTAAACGGGTGTGTCCGGCGGGCATTTGGAGAGGGGAAAAGCGGCCGAAAAGGTCCCTTTTTGATATATGCAAATGTGGGAAAGCGTTTCGGAGAGGCCTTTGAAAGGGTAAAAAAGGCCAGGATTGGGTGGAGGATGGCTCCGGCGAGTTGTGTACTGCTAAGTGATTGCAAACCAAAAGCACATGTCGTCCGGTCGGATGGATTACACTGGGCAAGCAGGACCGACGACTGGGAAGCGGACCCTCGTTTTGATTAACGCGCCCTCCGGAGCACCGACATCCGACCCTGATTAACTGCCGTGTTGGCACTGCGCCAACTGATGGAACGATGCGAAACATTCAAAGCATGGCGAGGCGAAGGAAAGGGGAATAACAAACTGTGCGACGAACTGAGATGGATAGACTAATGTGAAAAAGGTGAGGATGGATGGAAATAGCGATAACGTCATCTAATTAATGAAAGAATTCGGCCACTTCCTCTGAAATGAATTTTCACGAGGTGGAATTGAGAAACAATGAAAAAAAAAACAAATGTGGATGTGGATGACTCATTGGTAAAAAAGAGGGCAGTACCCATCTCGGTGAGTGGGGGAGAAACTGAAAAGTGTCGGAAACAGATTCGGATCTAAACCTATCGAGAAAACACCAAAAAACAGTCGACGGGGGTCGGTGCCATCGCGCAGAGATTCCGCCGATTGCGATCTGGACAATATCTGTCCATCGGCTTTTTCTTCTGCGCGAAGAGGAAGAAGAAGAAGAAGAAGAAGAAAGACACAGCTGGTTAGGAATGGCGATTCTGAGGGGAGCTGTTGGCAACACATAAACATTTGGACACTTTCTGATGGGTCAGCGAGGAGCAGGCGGTGAGTAATCAATTGGGGAAAAGAGAAATGGAAGATGGGCGGAGGTGGGGGAGGTGGTGACGCACGGAAAAAAGGAAAAGAAGGCGTGTCGGTTTCAGAACTAAAATTTCAAAACATGACTCGTGATTGTCGTTTACAAGAGAAAACTGAAACGAGAGGAAGCGATTGAGAAGAAGAAGGAGAGCGACTTGCCGAATGGAACGGCTTCTGGTTTTGATATGATAACATTCGAAATCAAACAATGGAAGGCGCGGCATGATTGAGATGGAATTTTGATCCTCTCGACAACGACGACGACTTCATGTTTCTCTTTTATTGAGAACAAATTGATATTTAACGCCGTAACCATGTTGTCAGATAGAAACCTATCCGATTGAGAGTGAGAAGAAGAAAAAGAAGAAGAAGGACGCGGAAGCTGGTTGCTGGCGGAAGATGTAACTTCTTCTGTTTCTTCTCGTAACTCATGTTCTCCTTTCACTTTGCTTTTTGTTCGATTTCTTTGTCTCCCTGTGTATTACGGTGTTCATGAAAAATGAAAGAGAAAGATCTGAAGTTGCTGCAGGGTGGAAATCCTTCTGATAACACACTTACGACACCGATACTTTGTCTTCTTCTTATTCATCTTCTTCTATTGTGTTCCAACCGCCGTCTGTTGTTTTTCGTGTTTGTTTGTGTTTACAGCACCACACATTTTGACGAGACTTTAGCTGAAAGTGGCTGTGAAGCGATGAGAGATCAGTTCGGTCCCTTTGAATCAGAAGAAAGGTTCGAAACACACGGTCGGACAGGAAACAGAAGAAGAAGAAGAATAAGAGGAAAGGGGCAGCGTCTCATGTTTCATGTCACGTTCACAGAGACGGCTGTGCGATGATCCCGATCATTCGTGGGGAGTTCGTAAGTGCAAGTGCAAAAAAGTGACAGGAGGTCGATGGAGTTTGAGAAAAGACATGGAAGAATTGCAAAGCGTGGATGATGATGGACGACTTCCGAAATGACACGAGATACCAACGTTGCAGCTTCATATCAGCGGGTTCTTAGAACTTTCCAGATGGTTTCAGAAGTTTTGAATTGTCATGAAACGTGGCCAAATAGGACACTAGAATCAGTTGCATTACTATTGATTCGCGCGAAAACTGTTGATCCGAGCAAAACTCTCTTCCAATTCTGAAATTCCAATTCGTTCTGATCTTTATTCCATGCACCCGTTTCGTTCTTTTCAAAGTGTGAAACGTCGACGGAGCCCATCTCGGACCCCCACAAATCACGTCCTTCCTCATTTCATCCCCTTCATTTCAGGTGTAAAGTTGTGCAATGCTCCGAATTGTGCAATTCTAATCGCCCGATATAAAAATCCGCGTCAGGATAATGAGTTCTGTGAGCCGTCAGGGCGGTCAGCTGCTCTTCCGGATGTTCCCGCCGTAATCCTCCGCGCGGAACTCTTCCGGAAGTGCTTCCGGCGGGAAGATCATGCGTGACACGCGGACATGTTGTACGGAAGCACAATGGCAGCAGAAAAGACGACAGCCGCGTAAATTTCTTGCATTTTTTGTGCGTTTCTTTGCGAGTCGACTCACAGCTGATCTGCTTTACACTGCGACAGAACATCAAAAAGTGAGGGTGGAAGGGAGGCGCCAGAAGCAGATTGCAGCACACGGAGCAGCCGTCGAAAGCAAAGCGAAGAGCTCATTACGCCCTCCTCGCTTTTTGTGCTTTTACTTTCGTTTTTTTGGTGGCTCAGGGCAATAACCGATTAGCTTTATGAGTCTGAGAGCCAGTAGTCGGAAGAGAATTCGGATGAGTGGAAGAGGCTCTGATCAGCTGATAAACTCAATTCAGTCCGACTTTTGACCTTTTTCCCGTCCTGAATCGTCTGCCCTTTCGCTCCGAATTAGTAATCCAAGCCATTCTTGGCTCCTCAATTCTTCCGGTTTTCCCCGTCTTGTCGTCCATCCATCAACGCGTGCGCCCACTCCAATTTCTCGACCGCTTCCACTAAAAAGCGAAAAGACAATAAATCTTTGCAGGAAACAGAATGGAGTTTAAAGTATCATCAAGCAGTCGGTGTTCATCACTTCGCCACCTGACCGCCCTTCCACTCCGGCCGCCGCCTCCCCCATTGCATCACCGATCGCACTCTGCCTCCACCCCCACCAGTTCGTCCATCGCTCCGGCTCCCTTCCCGCTTCATCCGCATCACTTGCATCACATCCACAACCACCTCCCTCATCATCCCAATTGGCACAAAACCATGGCGACTGCTCTGGAGAAGTGTACGACGTCGCTGTCGGAAATCCACAGATTGCTGCGAGGTTAGTTCCGTTTACTTTGTACAGCTTTGTTTGTTTCGATACATCCGTACACCTGGAAACATGAGGCGGCAAACGTGGCGGTCCTCCGGGTCATCTGTCGCTTCGAAGCGGTCATCCGTCTTCGTTTTCCGCGTCTCTGCTCCCTCTCCCTCCGCACCTGGATACTAATAACAAACAACTTGTGCCGGGGCTCCGTCCCAACGTCCCCATTCCACTTTCCCATGCATGGGAATCCCTAAAGTTTCTGTTTCCTTTCGCTCCTTCATCCCGATTCCAAACAATTTTCGGTCAAACTTCGTCCCATTTTGTTTTCTTCTGACTCCCCTTTCCATTTGGAGCTCTTGTTTATGACTTTGCTCTCGTAATCGGAAAAGGCAAAGGCGTGTGGCCCTCCATACCCTTTCTGAGTGACTCATGATCTTCCCTAGTCATCCTTTATCAATTTTTAATTGCGTTTCGTGCCAATCGCATGTTTCACTCGCACCGCATTCATTCCGAATTCTTGCTCCCGAGATTTTTCGCTCATTCCTCGGTCTCGTTCTCAACCCTTGTTCTTTCTCGAAAACGCAACTATTCCTGCTCCACCACGTTTCCAAGAGCGTAATTGTATACAAATTCGAATCTTATTCTCCTAAATGATGTAGGAATATGTGTGAATACGATCAGAATGAGATATTATTGATAGAACGAAGTATTCCGGGGGAAAGAATGGGAAGAATGGGAGCGGAGGAGTCGTCGACTTATTGGATTTCGAGTCAGAGTCCAGCGTCCCACGGCCTGAATATCCAATGCACGGACGTGTTCTCGACTGCTTTCTCCTTCCGCTTCCCCCGTTATTTGCCGTTTCTCATTAGTTTTTCCGTGTTTTTTTCGGCCACGAGTCACCACTCTTTTCGGTTTTAAATTAGCTCGTTTCACATGAAACAAATGGCCTTTCACTTCGAGTTTCCTCCTTTGTTCTTTTCAGTTTTTTGCTCAACTCAACGACCAACTCTTTTCACATATTTTGGTGATGGACAAGTAAAGAGTGTCCGGAAGTTATGAAACACTCTGAGAGCACAGAACTGTGGAGTCGGAAGAGTTCGGTCTGAAATTTCAGCCGTGGCAGACGCGTCGGACCGTGTAATAACGGGAGAGAGCATCTGGCTCGCCGCCTCCTTTTTTTCCATCCGCTGACAAATCTCACTCATTTTTCAGCAACATTCTTTCGGGTGTGTAACCAAATATTCATCATCGTCCGATATTCTTATTCTTATTGGTTTCACATTACATTCCTATCCGAAGACACCAAATATTCATAAGAATATTAATAGCAGCAGGTGAATAACACTCTGTCCAATAACGGATATTCCGGTGTGTTTCCTGCGGTATCACTCCCGTTATCACGCTGATCGGCCACTCGAACCGCCCTGTCCATTCATGTGTTCGCGCTTTTCCTCTCCTTTTCTTTTGTTTGCTCACGGTCTGTACGAGGACGGATGAGGACGCTTTTGAGCATTGGATTCATTTTGGACCCTTTATTTCTGGCCTCATCTGCTTCTCCGAACAAGCATGATATCATTGGTTTCTCTCTATGAATAGGTGATGATTTGGATGACTACTCCTCCCTTCTTCTTCTATTTTTGGCCGTCAGATGACTGTGATAACCGAAGGGAGATCAGTCGTGTTTTTCAGAAGCACTCTCACTCAATTACGAGCCCCTATTCTACTCCATAAGTAGCCAGATTAGTAACAGCTCATTGCTCATCCACCAGTTTCCCCTTTTCTCCGTTCTTTTCCAATAAGTTATTCACTTCGTCACTTCGTCGTATATTGACGCTTCCTTCCGTTCGTCTTTCTAAATAATTCCAGTGTTTCCGTTCCATTGCACTCTTCTAGTCCGTTGAGCACATTCCCCCTCTGATCTCTCTCCGAATCACCTCGGGATCGCTTTCGGCAGCCCTCCTCCTACCTCCGAAAACCAGTTGAAACGGAGCCCTTCCTGCTCTGCTTACAAGTGTCAACTCGTTTCGTCTCAAGTGTCTCGAGTGCTATATCCCCCTAAATCATCAATTTCAAAAGTCTTCTTGTTGCCAGGCGATGGCTCTGAACCCTAATATGTGATCTTTCCAGAATCTTCCACCTCTTCCTACGGCACCATGAGCACCACTTCCTCCGTCGAATCGTCGCCGATCGAACAAGCGACTTCGAGATCCGCGCGGCGTAAATGGCATTCAGCGATGCGTTTCATTCAAGGCGTTCATCGTTTCAAGACTCCACAAGCCTCTCACAAGGTGAGTCCGAGATTACGGAAGGCGTTATTGCGGGGGCGGCTCAAGTAGATCAGTGTCCTTTCTGTGATCTCCCGACCACATCTCAAAGCAGTCATAAAGTTGGAAAACTGCCAACAATAAAATGCTAAAGTCTGTCACTTCGGTCTTAAAGGAAAAGCCGCCGACTGGTATCAAAAGAAGAGAATGATGAACAGAACAATTCATAGGCGACGTAGGTTTTGCCTGCTCGCATAATCCGGTTGGCATTGTGTTCCCCAAGATTAATTTGGCGACTAATGTTCGCAGAAAAATAAAGAAAAGCAAAGTGGATGACATAGGTGTCGCAGGAGGCTTTTTCAAGACGGAGAACTGCATTTCTGAGTTGGAATCGGCAGAAAATCAACGTTTGATTGACATTCTGCGGGCTTGACTCAGGTGGGAGCACTTGCAAGGAACGAGGACGTAGAATTCAATTCTGAAGCGGAAGATAAATGAATTCTGGAAGATGATGTCACGTGCGAGTGAATTGACAGCTAAGAGATGGATTGTGACCCATTTGTGTCCTCGCTGTTATTATACAGACTGTCCTTTATCGCTAATGAAATTGAAGCCTCTTGTTGACGGAGAGACTCAATCGCCTTTTGCGAAGACGTCGTCCAATTCTTCCAAAAAGTAATATCGTCAATAGTCACCGTGAGAATACGGGGGCCCTCTTTTCTGTTTCATCAGTCCACTGGCGAAACAAAAACTCGTACACGCAGCCGTCGTCGTCGTCTTCTTCTTCTTCTCCTTCCTCTTCTTCTTCTTGGCCGGCTGCTCGCCGCGAAGCCACACCCTTGCAACGGGAGCACGCCTCACTCACGATGTGCTCGCGCCGCGGACGCCGACTCAGTCTTCCCCAAACGCCCATGGCCACTCCGTCGAATCCGGTGACTGCCGGGGCGATGAACGGACACCCCTTCGCGTCGTCGCGTCCTCACTATGAACGACGCCAACTTCCGATGCAACAGCCCCTCCGGCACAACCATTCGATGGGCTCTCTGATGGCTGTTCGTGAGCTCCCCCCTCTGCCGAACTACCATAACCCACACGCCCGTCTCTCCCAGCCGGACATCCACTCAGCCATATACCGTCCTCATCACTACTATTCTCCTCCGGTCTCCTACGGCGGCGCAATTAATTATCCGTATCAGTACCAGTACCAGTCGGGAGCTCTTCCTTCTTCGCAACATTCCAGTCCGGTTTACACGCGGAGAATGTTGCCGACTCCCAAAAACAGCGGGGGAATCGCGCGAAAACTACTAAAAAGATGTACGAATCCTGATCTGATGAGGTTGCAGAGAACTACTGAAATACGAGAGCAATCGGTCGGACGAACGAGTTGTGGTGAGTCCGATTTCGTTTTTTTTTTCAACTAACACGGCAATAGATATGAATCGTGTCGAATCGAATTCTGAAAAGCTAATGTGAAATGTGAAATGCGAAAAGTGAAAAGTGCAATCCTTCTCGGGAATACTCTTGCTTTCTGCGAGTGCGGTGATCTGGAAAATCGAGAAGTGAAAAGAAAATTAGATGTGTGAGAGAGGCTCTTTTATAGGAAAACTTGAATCAGAAATCGAAGGTTTTCAACCAGAAATGACACGATAATTGCATTGAATTTTGGGATCCGGTGACAGAAATAACAAAGCAAACACCCCTCCCGATCGTCCATTCCCCCTCGCTTCCCGTGATCAGCTCCTCTCCGATCGCTGGTCCATTCCATACCCTCGGGCTCTTTTTCCGTACGAAGAAGCTTGATAAGGCGGTTGGGCGAACCCGTGTAACTCAATCTTTCGTCCTGCTCAGCGTCTCTTCATCTCCATCTTCCTTCCTTCCTTTCTCGAAAAAACCGGCAGAGGCCAATGTTTGTGTCGCCCCGTCGAGGCAAAAATTGTTTCCTGCGTGCCCTCATCGGCCAATCGAATAAGAAGAATAATTAACTGGGTGCGCCGGTTCGCCTCCTGAATAAGCATTGACTTGCATGCGAGCGGGCACGTGGCTCAGCGAGAGCATAAGTGCAATGCGAGCAAGGAACATTGGATAGGGAGAGTGATCGTAGTATCGGATTGTGCATATGCAATGTGCTCCATCTCATTCCTCACCCATTCAATAGCCGTTCTTCTCATTTCCCAATATTCAAACCTTGTTTTCAAAAAATGAGATCTTTGGGAAGACGAGAACGGAAGCAAAACAAGTCTGAATTGGGCGAGAAAGTTAGTTGAACCCAGTGAAAAAATAAGGAAATCAGGCTCGAAAACAGATGGTTTGAGACGCGATGTGACACAAATTAATGAGCGGAACAAAGATGAATTGCGGGCGGCCGGCAAGACAACAAATATCTCTCCTTCTCCGGAGGCGCCTTCTGTTTTGCGCTCTCGACCGTTTCATTTCCCGACGGGCGCCAATTTCCTGCTGTCGCTCCCAATTATACGACGTTGACGACGTCGACAATAACATCTGACGACAGCGTCTAATCTGCCCTTTATCGGCATGATTATATCCAATTCTTTCGCATATTTGTTCGCCATCTCTCCTGCTCTTCGATTCTTCTTTTTTTTGTGAGACATTGATCGGTGCACAGGATGAGTAGAAACGTGCTTTTGAGGAATCAGAAGAAGAAAATGGAATCGACAGAAGAGGGAGGGAGAGCCGGAACGCCGAGAGTTTTCAGTGAGCGAACGTGCACTTTTCACTTTTCAGAAACCTTTCAAACTTCAGAAAACGATCAAGTAGGATTGTTCAGTTAGAGTTTAACAATCATGACTTTGAAGGGAACTTTCAGTTGGAAACTACTGTAACAAACAAAAAACAATATACTTGTTGCTACAATAGTTTAGAGAAATCAAAAACAGTTCCAATGCCACCTAGTGATGGTTCCATATTGTCTGTCTTTCAGAATCCGCAATCGTCGATCCCGTTTATCTGGCTCTGAAGCAAGCGACCGGCCGTTACTCCCGTCGTGGCTCCACGAACTTCGAATCTGCGTCGCCGAGTCCTCGCAATCTCTCGCAAGTGTCTCTTCAGGTATATTAATATCCATACGAGCAATTAGACACAGCTACCCAGAGAATACCGCCCGTATTGTTTACAGGACTCTGGCTACGCCGAGATGGGCTCCTCGAAGGCAAATCCGTTGCTCGGCTCCACTCCGCAGCTCGACAACGCCGGTGAGTCAAGGCTGTTTCACCTGTCGCCGCGCCGGAATCGCTTATAATACATTGAATTTTCGCGGACGGAAGAGGCTCCAATTTGAGAGCCATTTCAGTTTCTATTACTCTTCCAGGTCTCCTTCGGTTCAATAAAAGTGAACACGGAAAGGGAAGCACTTAGGCTGCGCTCCTCCTTTCCTTCTTCTCCGCCGAGTTGTTCTTCCTTCGCCCTCCAATTTCGCAGTTTTGCGTGGGGGAGTAGTCGGTTGCATAAGCTTGCTTTTCTTTCGAAATCACCTGAAATCCAGTCACGGAAACGCCTTCTTTCGACACAAGACACGACTGTTTTGTAGTAGAATCGAATGAAATGAAATGGCGAATGAAAAACAGGCAATGTATCCTATCGCTTCTAGAAGACGTGCCTCTTCTGATTCTCCCATTTCGACGTTTCTGCTTCCTAACGCGGCTTGTAGGCTCAGCAGTCTGGGTGGTCTTTCTAACTGTAAATAGAAACGTTCTTGTATGACGTGGCATTTTGGATCCAAGGTTCAAGCTTCCTTAGTTGTTTTCATAAATAAACCTCTTTTCTATTCCTCAGCCCTTCCTGTTGTCTTTTTTTTCCTTTTCCACCGGTCAGATTAGCTGACTCATAGTCCACCCTCGCCCCCTTTCATGCTCCGTGCGGTCTTTCGCTGCGCCTGCTCTGCTGCTGTCAAAAAAGTTCAAACAACAGTTTCGAAATCTGCGGGCGACTTATGTAGGGTCAGTGTTGCCAAGGAGCCGGAGCACCGCACCTGCTCCTCGGACCCACTTTCATTCATTCTTTTGCTGCGCTCGCACAATGTGCATCTCTGCCTATTTCATGCTCAGAGAACTCCGAGGTAGGTGGGAGCGGAGGCGAGGGCGGTTGGCAGGAGAAAGTAGAAGAAGAAGAAGAAGAAGAAGGCACACACTTCCTCATGATGTCCATTAATTGCAAAACTCTCTGTCGTTTCTGTGCAAAACACATTATTCCGTCGCCAATTCGGACGACGACAGAAGGACTCCTCTGACGTTCTTCTCATTGCTTTTTGGTCATTTTATTCTTTCTTTTTGCTGGTCTATTCCTTTCGAAAACTTGATCAAATCGCTTACCAACCGACATTTACCCTAAAATAATAATAATCGGATAATCAGATCAAGCTCACTTAGTGATATCATTCCGATAAGCACCTGAGAGACCCAGTTTTCGAGCTGCATTTGCATTGAATTCCGGCCGAAACGGAAGTGTTTTCCTGCTTCTTTGGCTCTCGAACCCCAGCGGTTCAAAAGTTTCCATGTCAACATAAGCCTTTTTTTCTAATGAGAATCCCGGATAACCGGATTATCACGCCCTTATCACTTGTTGCGATAAAACTCTGATCTCGGAAGCGGGAGCTCTTTAAGGGGCGGCGCCTTCTTCGCTGCTCTTCGTATGTCTTCTTACCCCGTAATCCGTCGGCCGTCTCTTCGAGGCTCATCCTTTCCGGATATCGGCGCGTCTTCGGAGGAGAAGATGCACAGAACCGCGATCCAAGTGCTCGCAGTGCGCAAATTATTAGCCATGCTTTCTGCTAGAAGATCTCTCCGAATGTGTAAGTTTCTTCAGTAAAATTTGACTGTTATCTGCGAAATTGTCATTTCACGCTCTCAGACGCATTTAGTTGTTTATTCGATCAGTCTTGTTGACATTTCCGAATCACCTGTTTACGGGTCCAGGTGCTATTGAATCGAATGAAAAATGGATGTTATTCATTCCTCTTTCCAGCAATCAGTTTCACCCGCCGAGTCTTATTCTCCGTTCATAACTCTTTCGTTTTCAGGTCGTTCGGTCGGCCGCCGACGTGCTCCCAAACTGACTCAACAAATGAAGTCTCTGTCTTTGGACTGCCAGGATATGCCCCCGCGCATCAACCCGAACACCAGAAGTCCTTTGAGTGAGTTATCTGCTCGTTCTCCTCCGTCTAGTTCAAAGCAGTTGCAGGAACAAAACTGGCACCACGCGACTATCGAAAACCCGGAATCAACGGATCCTCCGACTTCTCCGACATCGAGAGATCGTGCTCTCCTGTTGTCAAGAGCCGCAGAAGCAGCTCTTCAGCCCGTGAGTGCATCCCTATTCCACCGTTCTTTGTATTTCTCCATCGTTCAGTGCATTCGGGAGGTTACATTGTGATCCACGAGTACACTCCGTCTCACGGAGCCACGCTGACTCTCGGCGAGAAAGTTCATGTGGTAGACAACGGGGATCCTGATTGGCTCCACGGATTCCGTTACAATGACAGGTACATCCGTTTCCGATTGATTCCTTTTAATGTGCTTGCTCAGGACGGAGCACATGATCACTTTTCCCGCCACTTGCGTGGCTCAGATGTTGGCCGGTGAGCAAGCGATGCGAATTCAGCAGAATGTTTTCGTTGCCGAGCAGAAATTGCGAATGTACAGGGATCAGGTGAGAAAACTGGCGTCATTCGGGCACGAAATCTCTCAAATCTTCGCTGCTCCTCTTTCTTTCTTCTAATCAACAGTTTATCCTAGCTGGCGAGTCGCCATTCGCGCCCACTAATCCCCACCTTTGGATTATGGGGATTACTGTAGGTCATCCCGGCGCAAACATGGTTCATTCGTTCGAAAATGATCTGAAAAAACAAACATCAATCCTATACTTATTACAGATTGTGTTCGTTCAGCCGGACAGTTTGGAAGAAGGAAAAGTGAGGGTGCGAACGGAGCACAACGCCCTTGCTCCGTGCCCGCTGGCTATGCTGGCTATGCTTTGATTGCACGTGGACCGCCAGTCGTTACGAGTACATTCTCTCCCATTTTACTCATATTTTGCTTCCGCTTCTTCTAGTTTTCGTATTCCGTCGTGCTTCCTTCTCCCCACTCGTTTTCAAGTTCCCAACCATATTTGTCATATCGACGTCTTCTCCATCACCTTACATTATTCGAACGGACTCTTCCTGTTCCTCTCCAAATTCCTTTTCATTCCACACGTTATTTTGAACGTATTCGTCTGCAATAAAGTCGTTAAATTTGGAAAAAAAAACCGAATAATCTTTCATCGGGGCGAAACAGACAAAACAATAAAGATTGGGATCTGCCGGATTTTCGCACTTTTTTGAGATGAGCGTTCCTTGTATAAAGTGTCTGCGGAACGGGTTGACGGAACACAACGAAAGGGATGGTTTGCAGTGAACGTGCCGCCCATCTCCGAATCCATCGGCTTGTCGCCTATTCCGTTGCCAGCGTGGCATTCGTTCTCTTGATCGGAGCAGTCGTCACTCTTCCGCTCGCGTATCGCTATGTTTCACAGTTGAGACAGTCTCTTGAGAGACAATTTGTGGTTGGTTGTTCCGTTTTTAGTCTGTTTGCAAGTTGTATTCAGGAATGTAATGACGTGGCAAAGACTATTTACGAAGGAGTCGACGAGCTCTCATCAGTGATCGTAAGTCCCAACAGGACAAGAGCTGCTCGAGCCGCAAAGCCGAGAAGACGATTTGATGAAGGTCTGTGGTGGATAAATTGTAGTTTCAACTGAAAACTCAACTTGCAGACGAATCGGAAGAAACCTGCGAAGGATGCTGCTTGCCTGGCGCACCCGGACCTTCTGGGCCACCCGGCCGTCACGGAAGACACGGATCTTCCGGAGCACCTGGAAAGCCTGGAAACCCTGGAGAGCCACCGAGAGGACCTTGCGATCCAGCAGTTGCCAACCCTTGTGACTGTCCAGCCGGAGAACCAGGAGAGCCAGGACCAAAGGGACCACCAGGAAACAATGGACTGCCAGGACTGAAGGGAAGAAGGGGATTCGATGGATTGGATGGAAGACCAGGACGGCCTGGAAAAACGGGAACTGATGGAGTTCCTGGACCGAAGGGAGAAGACGGAAGAGACGGAGAACCAGGGCCCATCGACACGACGGACGTGGGACCGCCGGGAGAGGATGGAGAGGAAGGAACCGCCGGAGAAGCAGGAACACCCGGAAATGCTGGTAGAGACGGGAAACCAGGACAGACGGGACCACCGGGACCTCCCGGAAAAGATGGAGTCGACGGAGAAAACGGAGATGACGGAGAGCAGGGAGAGTCCGGAATTCAAGGAAGACCGGGAGAGGAGGGAATCTGTCCAAAGTAAGATTGTATGGCAGAGACAGAACAGAAACATCGCTGATTTCAGATACTGCGCCATTGACGGTGGTGTCTTCTTCGACAGCGGATCTCGTCGGCGTAAGATTTAATAATATGCCATTGATATTAGTCACTGTATTGATTCAAAAACGAAAAGTGCAATAAATAGTTATCGGTTTTTTTTATCAAGCGACTCATAAAAAGAAAGTGTAGAACAGACGAGTATTTTATCTTACTCGGAAAGCCACGAAGCCTCTTCCAACAGCACGGCCTTGTTGTTAACGATTTGGTAGAACGGAACTAAAAAACAGAAACGCTTTATGGGCAGAAACACATTCACACATACTTGCTTGGTACTCGGTTTTTCCAGTCTGGGAATTGACTCTGGTGACGGCATCGATGGTGGTTGGCGCTGAAAACACTATTTGGAAGAATATTCAACTGCAGAAAACAAACATGCACATGTGGTCGTGTGCTGGCAATGTCTGAACTGAGCGTTCGACCATTCACGAGCAGATTGACATCCGAACCATCCGGCTTGAGCCGGGTTCACAGTGCGGCACGGTCCCTTCTGGTAGGTGCCCTGCCAGGAGTTCATGAAGGTCTGGGCATAGGTGCACGCGTTGTCCGGATGTTGGGTGACGGCGATCTGGTATGTGGCCAAGGCGGCAGAGATGTCTTGTTGGTAGTTGACGTAGGTGCTCTCGATGCACGTGGTCAGGGCCTTACGCTCGTAGATTGCTTAATATCTTTGTGCATTCAAGATCGGACGCACTGACTCACTCCAGAAGCCAACTCCGCACTTAAAGTCCCAATCGGCGAGGAATCCTTGGTAGGCGTAGGCGTCAGTAAGGGAACGTCCAGCTGCCACGAGTCCGACAGTTCCGAGGCAGTTACGGATCTGAGCCTGTCCGAGACATCCGTAGAAGGCGGAGAAGCCACTGTAAGGAAGATGATAAAAGGGGTGTCACACTTGAAACTAACTTGCAAACATTCACCCAGGAATCGATGGTGTACGGGGAAACGATGAGAGACTGAGTGATTCGGTCGAGGCTGCTCAGGTCTTTCCAAGCGGTAGACGTACTGGAATTGAGGAAGTCAAACAGATAACTATTTCAAAAGACTAACTCTGTTCTCCAGAAGTCGGAAAGCCTGCTGTTGCAAGCCAGGAACTGTGCGTCATTGCAGTTGTCAGTGCCGATTTGGGCGACTGCGACGCCACAAAGAGCTGAAAACAAAAAGAGTTCAGAAGAATAATCCCGAAGTTCAGAAGGACGTACCAACGAGAAAGACGGCAAACTTCATGCCGAAAGAGGTGACTGTGCGAGTGATTCGTCGGATTGATAAGCGCCGTCGCTGAATATTTGCCCGCTCTCTCTCTCTTGTGGGCACAATCTTTTTTATCACAATCCAACTCATTTTATTAGGCACCTCCTCCCTCCTTCTGCCATACAATCTTATTAGCGACGACGGCCGAAAGGGTGTGTTCACTGGGGAAAGTGCGAGACAAATCAGACGTCATTTCATGTGTCATCTTGGAAAAGTTGACGTTTTTTTTCGTTTTATTCAAAACAAAGTGTGGAGAATAACAATGCATGTAGCAATGAAAATAGAGAAGTTGCCGTAGGATCCATTGTCGTGCTGTCTCAGATCCTGAGCATCTGCGAGCCATTTCGCCAGGTGGTCATGAATTCTCTTCCTCGCGTCTTTTAGCGATTGTACGTCCGAATCTCTTGCCGGGTACATGTCAGCGCAATGTGCGGTGCCGTCAATCAGCCACGAATCCACGTCATTGTTTGTTATGTTCACTTTGTGTCCCAATCCCTGCCACGGATCGAACGATCCATTCGGGAAGCACACTTTCGTTCCTCTGTAGGCATCGGCTCCTCCGTACTTGGCGCGTACTTGGTCGACCAGCGTGAACGTGTTGTCGAGAGTGTATTCAGGACCAAACAGGTCAATGCACTGATCGGCGAAGAAACTGAATCGGGGAGTTATTGAGAGTAAAGAGGAACAGACACTCACTCGAGGGGCACAGTCGATCCGAAGATTCCTTGGTTCCCTCCGTCGGTCGTCTGATAATATCCAAGTTCTGTGCAAGTTTGCCAAATCCAACTACGAGTGCTGACTGAATAAAGTGCAGTTTTCACTTGTTAAATGTTCTACTTCACTTACTGACGTCATCGTTCGGCATAGTGGTATTTGAATAATATTCGATAAACGAAGAGTAGTTGTTGGGCCGGCAGTTGCCCGGTGGATTCCACGAGTCATAGAAGTCCATCTGACAGTCGAAGTCTGTACTTCACACATTTCACAAAGATCACTCACAACTGCGATGACTCTCTGGATTTCGTCTCCAATCGTTGCGTTGTTGAGAATGTTGCATGCAGCTGGAACTCCCAATCCAGAGCGGGTCGCATTGTTCTAAGCAAGAAAAGTGTTATAGACAGGAACTTTCTCGGATTATTGACTCTGTTGTCTCCAGTGTACTGGTTGATTCCTTGGAAATATCCGTAAATGTTCTGGAAGAAGAACTGCAGAGACTTGGAGAGATTGTTCTCATCGAAAGAATCACACAAACTGAAACCATTTGGGTCAAAATGAACTTTTTCTGATGCTCACTTGAACTGTTGCTTCAGAAGTGCTCTGCTGTCCGCCCCGTTGTAAGCCTTTGCCACGATCTTTTTGAAAGCTGCTCCAATGACGTCGGCGCATGAATCACTGACTGTTCGGTATGTCTTTTCGGTGTTGATGGCGTAGCCTATGATTCAGTTACTCTACGGTATTCTTGATTTCTCTCTCACCGTAATAGTCCACAAATACATGAACAGCAGACGAAGAGGAGACAGCTCCGGCCGTCATTTCTGGATAAGTCTCTCTGAACCAAGCAGAAAGACTTCCCGGATACGATCCTCCGAAAGTGATCCAAATAGGTTTGTCGTCTTTGAAGTAAAGAGCGTTCATTTGAGTGATGAACTCTTTGACATCCGCAAGTGCCTGGTCGATTGTCAGAAGTTTCAGGCTTGCAGTCGACTGATCCCCTAACGGCGAATATTCTTTCGATCCGTAGAATCTGTGCTCGACCTGGAAGGCGCCTGCTTGGAACTCTGCCGCCCACGTCATCATCGTTTCTCCCTCGTGTCGGACCCATTTGTCTCCGTTCGTCACATTGATGGATCCTTCTCCTCCGAGCATCAAGAACACGTACCCGACAGTTTTATTGTAGAACTTTGAGTTATATTGGTACCTCTGAAAGTGAATTGGTAAACTTGCTCCCATCTGCATGTTACCTGTCTCCAAGTGTCGCTATTGTTGCCGAAGTGGTCAACCTGTTGAGTGATTTCCGAGTAGACCATGTACTGATCCTCTGAAGTGGGCCCTTCGGCCGGATCTCCCCTCACCAATCCCTCTCTCGGTCTTCCGACAACCATCGGAGGTGACACGTGGCAAAGGATCGTTTCGACGGCCAAAGCGGCCACAAACAATACCCGAAACATCTGAAAATGAAGGGAATGAAATAGGGAACTTTCGATTTTATGGCAGTCACTCCTGAAAAAGTGAAAGGCAAGAAGTTTAAAAACCATTTGAATGGCGGAAGATAAGATGTAAATGCAGTGTGTCGGCGGCGGCTTTTCTGTTTCTGGTGATAAGAAAAGAGAAAGAATATTGTGACAAACTTTGTTTTACTACTTCAAGAACCGGTGGAATAGGTCAACTAATGGGCAGAAAAAAAGAAAACGGAGCGGACAATTCAGATCGGAACACCCAGAGCTGTGGTCTACAAAATAGAGATCGATTGGAGAGAATACTATGGAATAGTAATAAGAAAATGATAAGAATTATGTCGGCGGTTGAAGGATTGACTTCTTTAAGAAGAGACTGTCTGAGACTGCAGAGCCGCGATGGTGGCGTCCCTTTCCGCGAGCTCCCTCCTGAGCTTCTCATTTTCGTGACGGAGTCGTGCGAGCTCTTCTTCCCATCCGCTCACTCCCATCTCCTGCAATTTTAGTCATTTTCAATTGTAATCCTGTTGACGCCATTTCAATTCAAGTCATGTAGAAGGAAGTGATTATCATGTGAAGTATGATACGAAAGTGGCCCACATTCCAGCCCTATTCTAAAGAAAACCATTCATTCCCAGCATCGTAAACTTTCGTCATAAATTTGTCTACGGTAACATTGACTCTGACTCACATTCACTAATCGGTTCAATTTCTGCAGTTGCGTCTTAATGTCCTGTACTTCGGAGCGTCCGGCATCAATCTGTCTGTCCAGACTTGTCTCGATGTATGAATTTCTGTACAAAACAAACAAACGTTGCAAAGAATTGTCCACAAAAATTTACCTGTTCACATTGTTCTGGTTGTGTGCTCCGTGATTGCTGCTCCTTCTGAAAATGGAACACGATCAGATAACAGGCGGAATTTCAGTAGTTTTTGCCTGATGAAGGAGGAGAGAATGGGCGATAGAAAGCAATCAATCATGGAGAGATTGCAGCAGTCCGGCCGCAAGTTCGTTTCAATACATATGAGAAAGGTGTATGTTCGGGCGGCCCGGCCCCTTCCTACTCTCGTTTCCTCTCGCCTCTGACCGCGATACACGCGATCGGGTAACAATGGAAAGCAACGGGAACAGAGAAAGAGAGAGAGAGAGAGAAGAACCGAAACGTGTTTGCGCAGATGATTTTGTTCCTGCCGCAGCGTCTTGAGCAGGAAAAGAAAGGGAGCTTACGAGTCAGGTTGGACGATCGAGCGGTCGATGGAAATGATGGATTCGTTCATTCTCTGGTGAGCAGACAGACAGTCGATTGAGGAGGAATGCGAGAATGTGTCGCCTACGAGCATCGGCTGATCGCTGCAAATTGGGCCAATGATGATGGGAAAGAATGAAACAGAATTGGGGGAGAAGAGCCAGAAGGCGTGCTGTGTTTCGCATAGATTGAAATCGAGATAATGAAGAAATTCGAGACTCTTTCTTTGAGTGGAAGAAGAAGAAGAAGACAGATGCCCCGGAGGCATTTGAATTCTTTCAAATTGAAACTCACATAATATCATCGTCGATGAGGCCTGTGTTGTCTTGCACAGCATGCGCAGTCGGAATAACGCGGAGCTCGTGCTCTGCAAAGTTTCTCTTCTTTTCTCGCCTCGCTTCCTTCTGTTATTGTTGTGCGCGACAAAGTAATTGGATTTGGACGGCTCTTCTCGGCCGCCTCTCCTAATGAGGTTGTGTCTCAGCGGCTCAAGGATGCTTTTTGGAGCCCACACTACTTACGTGGTGACATTGCATTCGCATTAGCGTCGAGACCCTCTTCCATGATGGTCTCGCTGAAGTGTTTCACACTCAGCCGCGGACTCTTATTGCTCCATTTCTCGAATGTGATGGGCAGATTCTCGACGAGCGGGGAGTTGGCCACCACGGAGGACTCGCCTTCTGCCAGAGGCGCTTTTCTGAAAATATTATTTGAAGGAAGACGACGGCGCACTCGTCCAAATACCTTTCTAACTTCTCGGAAATATGTTGTCTACCAGTTGATGTAGTCTTTGCATACAATGGTTTCTTAGGACCCTGAAGTATCCAATTTCCATCTGCTCAACCCTTTTACGCTTACCTTCTTATCCTTTCGAAGGAATGACGGAGTGAGCATTTTTCCAGCATTTCGGAGAGACCTGAGAATGCTGAATATATACAATACAGAAGTGACTACAAGGGGAAAACAGGCAGAAAGAGACGGGAGAAGCACAAACAGAACAGAAAGAAGCCGTGCGGACGGACTACTCACTTCGCGGCCAGCGCCTCTTTCTTAGACTTGTGCTCCGGCTTTAATTGAACAATGTGCATCGGATCGATCACTTGAGTTGTCTTCTTGATCGGCAGTTGTGTCGGTTTCATAGCTCGCGAAGAAGACGTGGCAGCAGAATCGGAAGAAGACGTTGACGTGGACTTTGGAACAGTCATCACAGGGAACGGTTTCTCTTTCGGCGGGCTCGGCGGAGTGAAGACGGGAGCAGGCCTCTCGGAATCGCTGTCCCTCTTCTTCTCCGATGACTTGATGGACAAGTCGCGGATGGACGACGTGATGCCTTCCGGCTCTTCTTCGATCGGAGACGTCATTAGGCCTTCAATCCTCCGCGAGATAATGACCGCCTCCATAACTTCTTCTGTAGTCGGCGTCAGGTTCGTGTCCATCGGAATCTCTTCTTCCGGAGACGTCAGATCTCCCGACATTGTCGACTTTCGTTCTTCCAACAGTTCTGCTTTGTCAGATTGGCTTCTGTCCGTAGTGTCCAGTTTCAAATTTCTCGGGGGCTCAACCAAATGATCGGCTCGTCGTTCTTCCTTCGGGGTCGTCGATCGTCTTCCTCCCATTACGAATAAGTGACGTGGTTCAGGGGAAATGGCTCTCCGAGATGGACTTCCGACGGCTTCTTCGAGAGATAATTGTTGAACCGAAGACGTGATGCTCTCTGAAACATGAGGAATCATCAATTATAACATTTCATTTCCTGTTCTCTTACCATCCACGACCATTTTCCGTTTCGCAACGGGAGTAGTAGCAGTGATAGAATAGAAATCCGAAGTTCTGACGGGCGACGTTGTTTTCTCCTCTTCGTAAGACTGCTCTCTTTTGTAAGACGACGCGATGGACTCCAAGTTGGTTTGCTGTTCTTTTGACCTTCCGTCGACAATCGCAAACGTCTGGTACTTCCGCATCATTATCGGAGTTGTCGTCGAAAGGATGTACTTTTGTGCCGACTCGGGCTTCCGCTCATCCAGCGACTTCTGCCTCTTTTCCTGTTTCTCCGACTTTCGTTCTCTGCTTCTCCCGCGGAACAATTCGAACTGAAGGCGTCGCAAATAACTGTGCTTCTTGGAATCCGTCGATTCGGATCTCTGCACTTTTCCCTTCTTCGTCATCATCACTGCATCGGCACTCACGGACTGCGGCAACGGTTTCTCATCCTTTGTCTCCACCACGAAAGTCTGATACTTCCGAATAGCGAGAGGAGTCGTCGTTGTCAAAATGTACTTCTCTTTCGGCTTCTCGTACTCTTCCCACTCCTTTCGCTTCCGCTCCTTCTCCTCCTCCTTCTTCCGTCTGTCCGCAGGTGGTCCGATCGTCGCAATCGGTTCGGTGATCTCTCCCTCTTCGATGTACGGATAGTCCGGACTCTTCGGTCTGTCTCCGATCGTGAACGTGTGATGTCTTCTAAGGCATTCCGGCGTTTTCATTACCATCACAAACTTCGGCTGTGGCAGTAGATTCTCAGTCTCTTCCTTTAGCAGATCCTTCTCGATCGTCTTCCTCTCCGGCTCCGACGACTGTTTCACCAACTTCTTGCTCACGTGCACATCTGATTGGGATTTACAGATCTTCATCTCTTCCGGAGACTTGTCCCTGATCGTGAACGTGTGATGTCTTCTCAATGCTTCCGGAGTCTTGACAGTCAGAATGAACTTCTCCTTCGGAGGGGCCTCCTCCACCTTGATCTTCTCTTTGATCTCCTTGAACTTGACAGTTTCCAACTTCGAGTACTGAATCTGCTCTTCCATCAGAGGTGCTGGCTCTGCCTCTTTTTCTCCAATCGTCAAAGTGCGATGCTTCCGCAGTGCTTCAGGAGTTTTCACAAGAAGAACATATCTTTCAGGCGACGTGACTCGTTCTTTATGCGAATTCTGAACAGCTTCCTCAATGGGAATAGAATCGGGAACAGCAGAAGAGAGCTGTTCAACTTCCGGAACTTCTTCCTCGATCTCTTGCTTCTCTTCAATTTCAGCAGGAATTGGACTGAAGTCCGAGGAGGTTGTAGTAGTGACAGTTGTGGTTGTTTCCATAATCACTCTCCTGACGGGCCCGGGCGTCTTCTGATTTCCATTGCTGTCCAGTTTTGAGTCTTCCTCGCTGAATGCGTCAACTGTCTGTTCGGAGGGAAGCTGATCCAGTTCCGTCAATGTCTGACTCTCCTCCACAAGTGGAGCATCCGGGCTCGCCGATCTTTTCTGCCTGGAATACAACATCATATATTGCATCTGAAGTGCTTCAACCAACCCTGGATACCGTTCATCAAACTCCTTCGTGACCACGAGCACGTCTTCTTCTAGCTTCACACACACGTGTTCCATTGGTTTCGGAGGTGCCATTTCACTTTTCGAGATCAGGCCACCTTCAGAGATTTCTTCGATCTTGTCGTCAACAAGTGGGGTCGGATCCTGTGGAATACAGACCTTCGAAGTGGAAGGAACTTCCATAGACGAAGACTTGATCACTCTGTTCGCGTTCTGATCAATCCGCTTTGGCACTTGCTTCGGTTGTCGTATTCTGGAAACAAGACTTCAAAACTTGAAAGAGAGAGAGTGTGTCTATGTTTGTGTTGTTTGCTCGACAAACGAGTCAACAGGGGAGAAGAAAGAGGAAATACACAAAAATCTGGAGAAGGACGGAGCAGGAAACGGAGGGCTTATGGATGACACGCGTGCATAAGTCACAGCTCTTTCTCTCGAATATATCATTGGCGGCGGTGAGCTTAGCAGGCACCCTTCCTCTTTTGGCTCTCTTTGTCGGAACGAAAACAAAACGATGAGATGGGAGAAAGAGAACGAGGCGTGCTCGTTCCAGTTGTTCGTCAAAATGGACTAAAGGAAATGTTTTCGTGCGTCAAACTTTCCGGGTAATTGCTCTTTTCCGTGAGCCTGCAGGCATCATTATTACGAGAGCTACAGTTGAGGAGAGGTGCCATGAGGCAAGTGACGGAAACGAAAACGACTGGTCAGACCAATAAGAGCACAAAAAATGCATGGGGATGGGAAAGTTTTGAGCATGACGTGGCGATGGACTATCAGAGATCGGGGGAAATTAGTACACACGAGCTCACCCGGAGAAGCTTTGGCTTGTCTTGATACTCGACGATGAACTGCTCTCGGAGCTCCTTCCCAAATGGGTGATCTTGGTCAGTTTGCTCTTCACACTGTTCGCCATGCTCATCAAAGGACTTCTGGGTGTCGACGACATTTTGCCTTTCTTGTCTTTCGGATTTCTCGTAGCAATCTGAAATAAGTGCAAGTGGTGTAAAAGTCGAGGAGTCGAGTGGGGAGAAGGGTGGGACAATCAAGGAATGAAGGGGACAAACATGAAATTGAATGGTCCCTTGGGTGGGAAGCCGCGACACGCCTAAACTTATCTTGTGCCTGCGCAAAACGCCAAAATGCATACAGCAGCAGGAGACGGAATGCTACCACAAAAGAATCGGAAACCGAGATTCGGAAGGCGGAGCCGAATAGGGACACGACACGGATTCTAGGGGGGAACTGGCAAAAACGTCTTGGGTTGGGGTGTAATCGAATGCTAATTTATGCTCTCTTCGATCCAAAAATGCATTTCATCATTTTCATTCTCCGTGTCTTCCGTCAATAGGCAAACAGGAGAAGAAGCAGCGAGGAGCGTGTGAGCCAAAAACGTGCAGTCGACGAATTAATCATTGTGCAGTATTGATGGAAGAGACGAGAGAAAGGGGCTCACATTGGAATTCGAGTCGAGTCGATGAAGCACGTCGACGACGTTTCGGTTCTCGATTACCAGGTCCGCGGTGGTGTCGGAGGCGGCTGCTTTTTGTTGCTGAAAAGATGAAAAGAATGGGAGAGAATGGAAAGATCGGGCACTTACTTCGGATACTTTTGACGCGTGGCTCATTATGGACTCGTTACTTTTGCTCTCCGGAATGGGGGGACATGCCCGATTCAACGGAGGCCGTCGGCGAACACCCTGAAAAAATAGACCCTTGCAACGGAACGCGAGCACTCTATTACACCTGGAGAAACTTGAACGGCCATGCCAAAACGGGGGAATTCAGGAAAACCGCGGATGCCAAACTCGCCGAAACCAAAATCGCGGAAAAAAAGCCAAAATCGCGGATTCTTGCATGCGCCATACTTGACGCGCACGTGTCACTAACCAAACGGCTTTTCCATCAAAATCAAATTATGGGTTCTTGAATACAACTTTGTTTGGCCAAATATATTTTTCAAAGTTACTTTTGACGATTTTCGGTTTATTTTTCTTATTGTTCACTGTTTCTGACGTGATCGTCAGTTTAAAAACCGCAAGCTTACTGTACATGCGCGGTGAGTATGGTGCATGCAAGAATTCGTGATTTTGGCATCCGCGGTTTTCGCGAATTTCCCCCGTTTTGTCGCCTCGTTTGTCGTGGGAAACCCGTCGAGTGACGGGTGTCTAGTCAACAAAGAGAGCCTGCGGTTGCCTGGGCGACGGAGTCAAGTGTGATATAGAGAAAAAAAGAGAGCAAGAGAGTTACGTTTTCGTGTTCGAATTGGCTCGTCGAGCAAGCCGTACGCCATGAGAGGACTCGTAAAAAGAGCACTGCTTTATGACTTTGCCTTTCTTCGGAAATGTGTGCGTGTGTGGTGGGGAAAGGGACACTCACCGTAAACATTTTGACTGGCTGTGGCGGTGGAGGTGGTCGGTTCGAAGGGATGACCATCAGAGTAGTATGGGTCCGCGGATACGGATAAGAACCACTGGACGAAGAGCGAATAACTGATTTATTCCTGAAAAAGAGGGATGACGTCACGGATTGCAATGCCTTCGGGGAACCACTTGTTGATGGGAATTTCTGGGGAATTGGAAACGCCAGGCTATTCGGGCTGTGTCTTTGCATTTCAATAAAACGTTTGATTTTTTGAAGAATTTGAAGAGTTCTCTTCTAAGTTGAATCCTGTCCGGATTCTGCAAGTACGCGCTTCATTCTGCAGAACTTCTTCGTCCGGATTCTCTTTTCGAAAAGGGCTCAAGCCCTCAAGTTGAGCCCATGCACTATCACTTCTTTTTTTTCTCCGAAGACTCGGACGAAAAAAAGGGAACAAGTAAAAGTGGGCCGAGACAAGGGAGAAACTCGTTTCCGGAGGGACAACAAATTGACTGACAATTTGTCAAAATCTCGCGCGTTTTGCAGGCAAAGGCGGGGCTTTTTTCTCATTTGATATAGCCCACAAACCGACCGGGAGGACGGAGAAGAAGCCGAAGAAGGTCTCGGATCCATAGGCAACGAAGAATGAAACGAGCACGTTCAGAGCAACGAAGGGGACGAAAAGTTGCTTCTTATTCTTATTCTTCTCTCCGAAAAGTGTGACGGGTGTGGCTTTAAGCAAAGTCTTTGTCGTCGTCGTTTGAAGACGTCGACTCTCCGATTATTTCTTTTTGATGTGTGCAAAAGTGAAGAGGGAAAAGGGGGAGAATCGACGGACAGAAGCGGGCAGCGGAGGCGGCCGAGCATATATATTCTTATTATAAAAAGATAGTAGTGGATGTGTGCGGGTTGAGCATGTTGCACAAGCATTACTTGATGATGATGATGATACTTACCGCCGCCACGGGAAAATGAGAGTCGATAACACTTCCATTTTATACGTAAAACTGGAGAGTGAAGATGATATGTCAACACGAATATGGCATGTAACTGGGGGATTCTAAAACGGAAGTTGTTGGCGGTAATACAATACTCAGAGGACGATGAAGAGGAAGAAGAAGAAGACGGGAACATGGAACAACGATCAAAGAGGAAACGGACGGGTTTCTTGGCCTTTGACAGTTAGAAAAGGGGGTGTATTTCAGGGCACTCTGAACAAAAAATTCAAGTGTCAGAACACATTTTTCTCAGTGAATTCGAATTCGGGCGTTTCCAAAATGAGAAAATCGTCAAATTGGGTCAGTCAGTCTCTATGGAGAAAAAAAGGTCTTTGAGGCGTGTGTGGAGCTTTCCGGAAAATAATGAATCAATTGGTGTGAAAGCTGACGACGTCGTCCGAAAGTCTTCTCCAATTTCATATTCTCACACTTTCGGACCTTTTTTGGCCTGACAGCCCTCTTTCCCTCTTTCTCTTTCCCATTTCCATTCATAATTCTCCAATTTGTTCTCCTGCTCCTTCTTTTTCTTCTGTCACTTTTCCGCCGATGACGAAGAAGTGTCCGTTTTCTGCTCACGCATGTGCCACATAAATTAGCACTCGCTCTTCTTCAGAAATATCTGAGCGGAGGAGGAAAGCAGAAGAAGAAGAAGGAGAAGAAGGAGATGCTCGAGTGTGAATGCGTTGGCAATTAGCACGCCATTCAACGTACTGCTCCTCTTTTTGCAAGAGAATCCAGACGCAGAAGGATTAGTCGGATGAATTATCATTATGAAAGGAATTGAGAAGGATTACGATCCCATTGAAAATCATGAGATGTTTCATGGGAAGCGGAACTGGGTACTGAAGTATGTGGAGAGCCGCTGAATATCAAACAAAGAATAAGGGATTTACTAGGACATTGAAAATTGCGAAACACAGAAAGGCTCAATCGAAAGTCAATTCAGCTGAAATCCGCGAAAGAGGCGAGTCGAGCTCGTCAAATGCAGGTGAATTTGAGAATGAACGAAGAAGTAGAGGGCCTATAAACTGGGTCCGCAGAGCGAAAGGTATGTAAATATAGAGTATGGGCAAAGAAAAATGGGTTGGTAGGACTCTCCGAATGGGAGCTCGCAGCACGACGACGGCTCTCAGTTTTCGTGAATTATGCACAGACTCTCTGTGGTCCGACATAGCTCCCGGGGCTGCTGGGAGCCGGCCGCCCCGTCGGTCGGTCGGCCGAACAACTTGATAATCGGAAGACAAGTTGATGAAAAATCTCGAAAAGACTGAAGAACAGACACGGAGAAGGCTTGGCGGAGCTGTCCGTCCGTCTCCTGGGACCGAGCCTCTTTCATCTTCCGCGTACCCTTTTTGATGGATGCCACGTGGCGATCGCAGAAATAAAGGTAGAAAAAGAGGTGACTCACCGACTCATTTCGACCGCTGATTGGCGATTTCCCATGCACGGGACTCTCCGCTCCGATGATGATACTAGGTACGCATTGGGCTGAAAATAAATGAAAGTGAAAATGAGCTCGAGAACTGGCTCTAGAGAATCGAAGCAAAACGAAAGCAGAAATAGATTTCAAGAAGCCAGGAATGTACACCTTAGGTGATAAGCTGATAAGGCCTAGGATTAGATTGAGCCGATTTGCCCTTTCTCGCCCCAAATCTTTGCTTCGTTTTCCGAATTCTCTCACAACTTTCCCTTCTTCTTCTTCTTCTTCTTGCCCTTTCCGTTCTTCGCGTGTTTGTTGGTTTTTTGTCGAATCCAGAGTTTGACGATTTCCGGGAAAGGGCGGAATGTTCTAGGAAAGTCGGGAGCAACAGAAAAAGAAACAGAAGGAGGCGCACACAAATAAATATAGATGTATGGGGCGTATAAAAGGCATTCGGTAATCGGATCTCCCTCGGGGGTGCTTTCAGACTCACGAACTTCTAGATCACTTCCGCGGCAAAAAGAGATGCGGCGGTGAGAAAGAGCGCGGCGGCGGCGGCGGCGGCGGCGGCAAACGGAGAAGCAGGAGGAGGAGAAGGAAAAGAAGCAACTCTATTGAATTGCGACGAAGACGGGCGGAGTCCACGCACCACGCACATAAATCTTTCTTGAGCAGCATGTGCTAAAATGTCGCGAGCCCATAAACAGGAGATTGGAAATGAGCGGACGGCAGGAGGGCGCGCAGGCGGCGAGACAACCGGCACTGGATCTATATTCATGATTGACTCTGGAACGGACTGACAACTTGTTTGTCGTGTTGTCGTCCGACGGACTGCCGCCCGCCGCTAGTCGAGCTCTCGTGTTTTTGTTGTCGATGGAGGGCATGATAATGAGGAGGCGGAGGCGAATCCGAGCAACCAATTTCCGGTGTTCATGGCCGGAAACCGAGTGGTTTTTGAGGGAGAAGAAGGAAATTGACATGGAAAAGAGCACGATGATTCTGTCTGAGAAGGTCACACAACTTGAGCAGGCATCGGGTTTCAGAAGTATGGCTTCCGATAGATGCTCCATTCGTATACTTCTAGAAGTGAGGCCTGCTCTTTTCATGCTAGACCCTAGTTACAAGTGTCAAGTGAGGAAAACTTATGAGAAAACTAAATGAAGTTATTGGAAAGCTGAGAAATGGAACCTGGCGGCGAAGGTGTGTAGCGATGCGAAATGAAACTGGCACATTCGAATGCTCAGCTTGCTCACGCGCCGTAATGAGGAGACTGCTCGCGAAAAGAGAGGGAGAAAGGGAAAGAGGGAGCTCACCTACCTTGAAGTAATTACCAGTGTGGCGAGGAGCACGACGTTCATTCAGAAAACGCATTGTGCATTCAGCTGGCCGAGTAGCCGCTCTTTTCTCTTTATTATGCACTCGAATCTGCAATTGCGAGTAGTGAAGTGTCTGAATTCTGAAGGCGAAAGGTACGTGAAAGGAGTTGTGTGAAGGAGGCAGGCGGAGGAGGAAGGAGATAAGTTTGGAGGAGGCGGTGCTCCGCAAATCTTGGCTGGAGCGCCGGAAGAGGACCCATCGTGTAATTCAATCTCGACGACGTCGTGATTCTTCAATAGAGGCCACTTATGGCGACGAAAGTTTGAGAAGAGTAGATGTGTACGAGTTCGGAGGAATGCTTATCTCAACACGAAAACTACTTGTGTTCACTTTCTTTAACAGGCTATTTTAGTGCCGAAATCTTTGGAGTGTCCTGGAGTCTTCTTTTCACTGGGACCAAGGAATGAATAACAGTTTATCAGATGAAATGCACCGGGAGGAATCGTAATGTTATGCGGGTTAATAAGTTATCCGTTTTTGTCTATTTCGTATCGTTTGCACTGGTTCGATTGGTTGAGATCCTTCTGATTTCTGCTCGGTCTGTACACTTCATACACAGGATTGCCACGTCATTTCCAGGCGCTCACTTCACTTCTCAAGCAGTTTCGAATCAGATGTTCCATTGAGCCGGGCCTGCAAATGATGTGGTATTCGGGAGAGAAAGAGGGAGACAATTGGCGGAACAGACTGCGAACACTTATGTCCAAATTAGCGAGTTCTTCGGCCGTTTGCGTCAATTCAATCGGAACGCACATCAAGTGACTCCGACGGACCGAACGGAACACTTACTCTGTTCAGGGCCAGCCTCATCTTTCGGATACTGTTCCTAGCAAACGACGAGTTGCCCTCGGTGTTTTCGTTCAAACTGTTGTTCACTGTGGTTTCTGCAATACGTCACGATGCAAATATGTGTTTCATCTTTTATTGTTACCTCTGTAGATAGCGTCCACTTTCTCGCACTCCTCGTTTATTTCGACAAACTGTCTTCTGAGTCGGGTGGCCGATTTACGTTCTTTGAAGTAGAGAAGTGCGAACAAAAGGGCAATAATGATGCAGACGACGTTGAGGGAAGTAGTCGTCCCTCCGACCACTTTGAGAAGTTTGACTGAAACTACTATAATTTAACAGGTTACGACAAGTGAACTGTGATAAGAGTTAGTTGGGAATCAGATGTTAGCGAACAAAAAGAAGTGGTCGAAAGGAAGGCTCACTATGAAATTGCTCTAACTGCCTACCATCATAGGCCGCCATCAGAACCTTATCGCACGTCTCTCCCATGTAACCATCGTCACAACTGAAAACGGAATATGAAGGTGAAATCAGATGAGAAAAAGAGGACTTACTGGCAAACTTTCCGAGATCCATCCATAAGACAAACCCCGTGGACTCCACAGTAATCCTCGGGTTCCGTCGGGCAAGCCGGAAGTTTCGAGTTGTTCTAAAAATGACCAATTATAATCAAACGGATACGGGATTCCGGATCACTAATTAAAAGCACGTCTAATTAAGCGAATCTGATATTGGAAAGAATAACAACTCACATCTCTCTTCTGCTTTACTCTCATCTGCCGGGAATGGTACTTTCCGTCCGTTTTCCTCGTTGCTCCACACTCGTACATTCCAGTGTGTAGGCGGGAAAATGAGTCGATAGTCAGTGTTTTACTGAAATGACCCAATACTCTTCACACTCTCCATTTTACTGAGCTCACCTCTGTCCACCGTCTTCTCCGACTTCCACGTTGTTGGCTCTGAACACGAGGTTCTCAAAGTGCTCCTGAGCCATTGTGCATTTCAGCATGAGCCGGGAGCCCTTCTCGATGTTCTCGAGTGTCTTTGTGACTGCTCTCGCCTCTTCCTCCGGGTTAAGAACGAGTTCATAAGTCGGCAGAATGGTCTCTTCGACTTCACGACGAAAACGTTTTGCGCGCATTTTGAAAGAGAATAAAACTGAAAATGAGGAGGTGAAATCTGAGAATATCCGCAGACTGGAGGCAAAACAAAAAAAGGCGGCGCCGGGGATTTATTCATTGGAAAAAGAAGGAACAACGAAAAAGGAATAAAATGGGCAAGAACTAGAAAGACAATTCAGAGGAGGCGGAGCAATCGGAAAGGGAAAGAGAGAAATGAAGGATGACGTCGAAACATGAATATTCATCGGAACGAAACCAAAAAAGAGCCAGAAGAAAACCAGCAGACGTGGATAATCTCATGACGACGGGGAAAGCTGAACACTTTCAGATTACGGAGTGTTTACCGGAAATCTACTTTCTACGAGTGCGAATTTTAATGAAACCCTTCAGGGCAAAAAGAATGTGAAACGAAGGAAACGAAACGAACTATGATGACTATGATGTTTCGGGAGAGTTTCAGGAAAACAATTCCTGTCCGCACGTCACTCCTCTCACTAATTCTTATCAAAACCACAAAAAAGTGTAGACGGGCGGTCGGTCGGAGCCAAGTGCGTGGGCGGCGCGAGAGCATGGACATAAGGGATCATGTGAGCAGGGACACGTCATCCAATCACACTGATATGATCGCTTCCCACGAATCAATGGAGGACTGTGGCGGTTCGGCGGGTGTGCTCAAATATTTGACAGCCGCCCAAACTGTTCTGCCTTCTCTCAACTCAATGACTTTTTTGTGAGAGAAAGATAAGAATAAAAGTGCGTTTATCAATAAAACAGAACCGAAAATGGGCGTAAATCAGGCGGAAACAGGAGAGAGGAATGGTTGGCATTTGGTAGAAAAACAGAGAAACAGAAGTAGTTGGAGAATTATAAGGGAGAGAATTGGGCGGAACGAAGAAAGGAAGGATGCTTGTGGCAGACCGATTATGGACGAAAAGGTGACTAATGGAAGGGAGGAACGGACGGAGGAGGAGGAGGTGCGCGGGAGCATTCCCCGAGTATGGTCAACAACGAAAAAAGGAAAGGGAGGGAGGTCAGAAGAACTGCTCGATAAGGCAAGCAAAACAAGAAGGACAGTCTGAAAATAAGAGAGGATGGGAGGAGGAGATTACGGATGAGTGGAAATAGCTTCTATTGTATGATAAAATTGAGGGACAAATTGGATATATTTGGATCCGATCTGCGGACGGTATATATTGCAACTCTATTTCAAAGAGAGAGCCATTCAAAAATCAAGTTGTAAAACAATGCGAGCTTCCCGTAAACTTTGAAGCAAACACACGTTTTGCCCGCAAGAGGAGCAACACATTTGCGAGTTACACACGCCAACAACTGGCTACTGGGTACTGGATACCATTCCGTTCACACTTTCGAAACAATACGAAACGACAGCCCAAATCGCGCCGCCGCTCTTTTGTGATGGTCTTGTTGGAATGAGAATGGAATGCGTGCGGGACACAGATCCATCCGGTGATGAACAAAGACAGAGGTCGGCATCTCGAACGACGGAACGACCATTTGGAATCGGGGGAATACGGGCGTGGTCGTCGATGACGTAATGAATTCAGCTTCTTCTTCTTCTTCTTCTGCTTCTTCTGCTTATTCGTCGTCGTTTTCTCTTGAGAATCTAGTTTCGGACCGCAAGAGGGTGACGCAGCACGGCTGCAAACAATCAGGTGGAGGTCGTTTGTGGGTCGATTTATTTGACTTTCGATTCGGTTCTCTACTCGACTTAAGTGAGAACCAGGCGTGCGTAAGGGGATCGGGACCGAATTGATTTACGAGCATATCAAGAATCGAGCGACACGTCATGCGAATTGGCGATTGTTTGGACGACCTTTGAAGTGCGCGACGGGATGATCATTGTGCAAAAATTGCGAAATCAAGGAGAGAGAACAACTTGCATGCATGAAAAGTGGAGAGAAAAGGACCGAAAAGACGTAACTTGAGAATGGAACCCTTCAAATGTCTGCCGCGTGGGTGGAAGAAAAATCTGAGAATGAAGACAAGTGGGTGCAACAGAACAGATCGGAAAGAGCAATTGCGGCCGAGGCTCCGTGATGGCACGATTGCCCTCCAAACGATTTCCCATTCATTTTCATTTCTTCAAAACGGAATGAGTACTCACATAAACCCAGTTTTTTTCTCGGCGATTCAAAGCAATCTAACGTCTGTGTGCTACTGCTACAGGTGAAATAAATCCAGTTCGGAGCGATCGGGACCGAATGTTCAGATCGGTTCACTCGGTGTCCAATTTCTACTTGTTCACCGCTGTTCTCTTTTCCATAAATGTGACGATATCGGCTGCTTTTTTCATTTTTGGAGACCGATTCTTTGAATCAAAATATATAAAGGGTAGAGGCTTCGGAAGTCGAATCACAGATCATTGGCCACTTTCAGAGTTCTCAACGGAATCAGGGAACCATGATCGCGGCTTGGATACTGTTGAATAAAGTGATTTTTAAGAACTCCCATTTACTTCATGCATCGCAACATTTATTAGCATTAGACAGGTGATGGATCTTGGAAGAGAGCCCTGCGGAAGGTTCCTTTCTTCCCTTCTCCCTCAATTCCTTCCTTTTCGTCCTGTTCGTTCGCTCCACCTTCTTCTGATTCCGTGGAAACCATACAATGAGTATAACCAGGCGGCGGAGTGTCATCAGTAGCTGGTTTCAGACTCTGTAACTGGACAAATTAAAAGTAAAGCGGATGCCGACTGACCGAGTACTTCGGAGGACTGTCCACGTTAATCGCAGTCACCGGCTGCTCCGAAGTGCTCAATCTGACAAGGCGTTCGTAGATTCTCGCGTTGTGAGCAATTATATCTCGGCGTCGTTGCTCGGCCAGAATCTGAATGTGATTCACTTTCGGAAGCAGTTAACTGAGGACTCACTCGCTTTGTTTCGAAGTTCATGCCGACGTGTGTCATTGAGGCGAAACAGAGCAAGTTGTAAACGAGAAAAGCGCAGGAAACGATCAGAACAGGCACGTACTTGGTTTCGAAAATGAGTTTCGGTGCGTCTGAACAAAATGAATTGTGCAATGTTGAATTTAGATTTAAATTCATTAAACCTGCGAGTCTGAGAAGCCCTGCAATTTGAACGTAAGAAGAGTTGCAGAAGACGATGATATTGGCGATTGTGACGACTGCCTGAACCGTAAGTGAGCAGCGGACACAATCGGGAATCTTACCAGAATGACGGCATAGGGAACAAAGAGCATCTGTGCTTTGAAGATAACTGCTAACAGACCGGAGACCTGAGATAGCAGGTAGATGGAAAAGAGAGCGACCAGCAAAAAGTCTTCTTCTGAAAGTGCGCAGGTTTTCTGTTCAGCAGAATGGAAAACCAACTCTCTTCTTCTTTAGTAGGATGTGGCTTCTGAAGACTCATGAGCCCCCATAGTCCGATGCACCAAGCGACGAGGAGATACAGCTGGAAGGCCGGAGACCCGAGAAACACTCTGGCCAGGCATTCCAAACAGAAGACGTGGCAACCATGAGGAACGCGTGTTTGAGGGATTCCCTGGTAGTTACGGTGGTTTCTGGTCACAGCCTGCTGACGGTACGGTATCTGAAAACATGTGGAATGAGGTGATGAAGGCAGATCATGCAAAGACGTTCAGGTGGAAATCGTGCTGCATCGACGCTGGATTGGCGGTGAAAGTTACAAAGTTTCGAGTAGTTATCAAATGAAGAAAGAGTAGAAATGAACGGAAAACGAGCAGGAACTGACGGAGCTGGGCTCACGCGGTCCACAAAGAAAAAATTGGAGAACACAGAAACGCAAATCGGAAAGTGTATATAATTAGGTGAAGCTCGCTGTTCAGATGGGAGTAGAACGTGACTGAACACTTGGATCGCATTCTGATGAGATAGTAATTTTGGCTCTATCTGAGGAATAAACAGGTCCGAAATATCAAGAAAAGGCAGGTTCTAAAGAATATACAGGTAGACGGCATTTTCTGAAAATTGGCATCGACTGGTGACGGTCAATCATAGACGGCATTTTCTGGAAATTGGAACCTGTATATTCTTTGCAACCAGCCTTTTCTTGATATTTGGGACCTGTTTATTTGTGAAACCTGTTTATTATTATGGAACCTGTAAATCGATCTTGGCTCATGATTATTATTATGAACCTGATATTATTATGAACCTGATTACTCAGATAGAGCCGTAATTTTTCAAATTTCGAGACTAAACGCCTACATCAAAAGCTTATCTACTGCTACGTGAACCGTACAAGATTACGTGTCTAAACGGGAACTTTTCGAGTGAGAATCGCATCTACATTCATTCCTAGCTAACGGTTATCAAGAAGAAAGGTTCATCGCAGAATGACCAGTGAGGAGAAGCTGCCAAGTCTCAAACTCGACATGGATGCCGTGAGTTCATCTCGCTCTCTTCGGCTTCATCATTTCTTTTCAGATAGTGAGGAAGAAATGGATTCCAGTTCGTGTACTTGGGTCAGGAGCATTTGGCAAAGTAGTGCACGTTATGAACATTCTTGACGGAACGGAGGCGGCGATGAAAATAGAGCGTCTGGAGGATGGAAAGGACTCGATGTTGAAAATCGAGAGGGAAGTGATGACTGCGCTCAAAGGACACCACCCGGCCATCCAGTTGTACGACAGCGGCAAAGAGGGCGATTACCGCTTCGTGATAATGACGTTGTGCGGGATGGATCTGCAGAAGGCGAGCTCACTTCTCAAAACGAGATTCACGGAATCAACCATAATACGAATTGCAATTCGAAGTCTACTCGCTATAAAAACAGTGAGTTGAGTAGCAAACTTCATTTTAAAATGAGAAGTGTAGATTCACGAAGCTGCTTACATTCATCGGGATCTCAAACCGACAAATGTGACGCTCGATTACAAAGAAGAGTCTCCGGTGATCTACTTGATCGATTTCGGGATGGGGCGGCAGTTTGCTATGAAAGACGAAAACAAATGGATCATCCGCCATCCGAGAGAAACCGTGAGGCAGAGAAGGAGCAGCTCGGCCGAATGCCATCCCTCTTTCAGTGTCGCTTTCGAGGGACCGTCCGTTATTGTTCCCCTCGGATGCATCTCCGTCGTGAGCAAGGAAGAGTCGACGATCTGTTTGCGTGGCTCTACATGATCATCGAGCTGAAAGTGGACCTTCCGTGGGCAGAAGTCGTACATCCGGAAAGGATCGAAATGCTCAAACAGGAGACGTTCGACAAGTTAATCGCCAGTAATACGTCAGTGACAGTTCTTCATCCACGTTGATCTCGATCGATATTATTCAGATTCACCAAGTCGTTCGAGCCGATCCTGGCGCATATAAAACTCTTGGGGTACTCGGAGCGTCCGAACTACTGGATGATCTACGAGACTCTGACGGCAAAAATGAACGAGTTGAACGTGAAACACTCCGATCCGATGGATTATGACCGTCTGCGGAAAAGATGTGAAGAGCTGGATGCCGTTCAAAAAAAGTACATGAGGAAGCCGCGGTCAAAGGAGAAATTGATGGATGAGAAGGCGACTATGACGATGCTGGATGAGAAGTTCCTGCCGAACGAAGAGTTGGATGTGCCCGGGGGAGATCAGTACGTCGTGCGTCCTCTTTTGAAGTTGCCCTGGGGATCTGTCGGGGAGCCGGTCAGTGCGATCTTTTGAAGAATGAAAATATTGAACATTTCAGGATCCCATAGATGAAGAAGCACAAGAAGAAGAGAAGAAAAAGGAGAAGAGGGAAGAAGAGAGGCTGAAGAAAGAGGAAGAGAAGGCGAAAAGGGAGAAGGAGGAGAAGAAGAAGAAAGAGGAGAAGGAGAAAGAAAATCGCAAGTCGAAGGATAAGGAGAAGAAAACGGACAGATCAAAAGAGTCTAAGCGTCGTGGCAAAGAGAAGGAGCCGAGCACTCAGAAAGGATCGGAACGACGCTCGAAGGAGGGGAAAGAGGCGGAACCGAAGACGACGAAGAACGGCAGCGAAACGGCGAAGAAGGTGAAGAAGGCTTCGAATAACACGAAGAAAACGAAAAAGAAGGATGTGAAGGATCAGAAAGAACGTCCGGAGGTGTCGGTCACTTCGAAGAGGATGCCACTGACGCCAGCGACGACTCCAGGGAGCACGAAGAGAAAGTCAAAGTGAACTGAGATCCCGTGACTAATAAACAACTTTGAGTTAATCTGTAGCTTCTACTCTTAAAAAAACATTTACTTCGTGAAAATCAAACAAATTCAATAGGCGTTTCTGGAATGAAATGTTAGATGAGTGGGAAGAGTAATTTTTTGTTGTTTTGGAAGTTTTGTTCCGAAAAATGACAACAAATGAAACAAAGAAAATGTGTGAAAATCGGGAAACGAGAATGATTGAGCTTTACTAATACGAATGAGCAAAGTAGCACCCGTCACAGTGAACTGACAAATCGATTTGGGCGGATAGGGTCTATGTGCTGGTTTCCTTCTTCTTCTTTTTGACAAGTTCCGCAGGTGGTTTGTACGTAGTTCTCCGTTTTCCTTCACTTGGAACCATGAAGTTGGAAGTGAGCGACGAGATGAGCTTCTTCTCCTCGGCAGTCATCAGCTGGCCGTCCGCTTTGATACTGTTCGAATAAACATTGCTGCAAAACGAACTAACGACAATCAGTACCGATTCTGTGCAGGATACTTACTTCAACTCATCGTGCTTCGATTTCATTTCCTTCACTTTCTTCGCAATCTCTTCGTAAGAACACGTGACGGGAAGACCGAGTGCCTTCGTGAGAACTCTCGTTTCCTCCGGCGTTCTCGTCTTTTTGAAAGCGACGTCGTTCTGCGCAATCCATGCTCTGTCACACTGTGATTCCAACTCTCTCAGTCTTCTGTAACAAACTAATTCACTATTCACTAGGAGGACTGTCCGGAACGCATACCTTTCTAGAGCTTTCTTCTCTTGAATTTTGCTGATCCTACGACGGATTCTTTCGATTTTTTGGAACGTAAAGATGACAGTGTAGCTGGTGTCGGCCATCTTAGACTTGTGAACTGGTAAGTCAACGCATATGCACTGAGACTTCTTACCTGCATTTTCAGAGAGATTCCTTCTGCTACGGTGAGTGGCACCTCATCCAGGTACACTTGCAGATGTCTCATTAACAAAAACGGAGTGAGCGGCGAATCGGCCGGGCAGACAAGCAAGTCATTCGAGTTTTCAAACTTTCTGAACATATGGGCTGTTTGTCTAGTTCTCTCAAGGTCCACTCACTTCTTCACGTAACTGCTCGACGATTGCACCTCGATGGCCGACTCCATCATCTTTTTGATCTCCTTCCCGACAGTTCTGAATTCGGCGTACCAGTTCTTGTCCTGCTCCTTTCCGTGACTTTCGACGAGATGATTCAGCAATGCTCTCGTGTGTTCCGCCTTTGCATCGCATTTCGGGCACGCGAGTTTCTGCCACTGAAAAAAATACATTTTCATTTTCATCCGCCCATTTCACTTTAAATTACCTCAACCCTCGTGTCGTTCTCCTCAATTTCAGTCCCATCTTCGTCAAACTGCTTTTCCATACTGTCCGCTCGTCCCTCAATGCCCAGATTTTGCTGGCACTCCGCCAATGTCGTCAGAAATTCGTTACGGCCGTAATTTTTGTGTTCCGCGAGCGTGGCGCCGTACCGTCGCAAATGGGATGCAAACCCGTACGGTCGACCCGTCGGCACCTCATTTCTCCCGGTTTCCATGCCTGAAATAAACGTTTTCACTCGAAAAACCACGTTTTTTGTATGAATATTATAATATAATTGATACTTTTGAAGAGGAAAAAGAGCGGAAAAACGGAGCGTCGTATTGCGAATTTGGGGATGCACCGGAACCAGTGAATAAGGTTGGGATGGACTATAAACAGGGTTATGTTGGAAATGCTTGACAGAAAACGCGTTGGGAAAAGAGAAAAGTGTGGGGAATTGGCAGTAGTGTTCAAATGTCGGAGAGACGCAGGCGGAGAATAAGAGACGCTGACTTGGATACATCGCATGTAAGCAAGTGCTTGCCGAACCGAGTAATTCCCAGACTAAACGAGTGATAAATTAATGGAAGACAAAAGTCAAAAGAAGAAACGCTAAAAGGTCTGCTGGTGTTCAAGTAGAGCGTGATTGCTGCGGGCGCATGCAAATACCATTCTTACGGTCTAACAGGTAGTCTAACACACGATTGGGTTCCCCATGTTGTCTGCTATGACATGGCAGCAGTCCATATCGAGTTGTCGCACGGGTCTGGTCTTGCCACGAATGTCTCTTGCCGGCCGACCGGTCTTTCGTGTCGAGACCCATCAAGTGCGGCTCAACGCAGATTTCTTAGGTTGCACTCGGAACATGAAAATCCGTTTAAAATGGCTGAATTGGTAGATATCAAAGATGAACCGTATCTTTGAGAAGGATGATAGGAATCATATTTTAGTTGCGAATTTACACATTTAGTTCTAACGTTGCCATCTAGAGTTATGAACTTCCAAAGCCAATGTTCTCTGGAAAGGTCCAATTACTGCGAACACTTCTCAGATGCTCCTCTAACAAGTTTGCCCTTACCGCACTAAGATATCTGAGGAGAGAAGTGCTCAAACTATTTTAACTAAAAAGGCAGTGGCATAAGTCACAGGCGGTCTGTAGACGCAACCCAAGTCTATCAAAAACAGGGCTGATAAGAGAAACATCTCATTCGACAGAGCACCGCTCGTCATCGTCTCCAATTATAATCACCTGAATTACCCTTTCGGTCATGAAAGATTCTGAAACTCTTCCACTGATCACACGGAAACCTAAGGTGAAGTACTATCACAATGGGAATGTATCCCGATTCGAGAGGCGAAGAAGGGAAAAGTGCAAGAAAGAAGTGAGTTCGACCAATCTTAGTTAATTCAATCTTTAGCACATGTTCAAAATGTAAATAAGGGGAGAAATTATTTGGACACTTTGAAATCATTATTGTTTCTTAATTCAAAAGAGTCTCACATTTGCATGCAGATCAATACCGAAGATCGATCTCGAGCTAATGAATTGGGACAGAATTCTGACAGAATGCGTTGATTGCAAATAAGTTAGCCAGCGTTTTCTAATTTAGCATTCATAACTAAATTTCCATAAGTATTGCGAAAGAATGCACTTTGAAACGTGTTGAAAGTGTTCAAGCACGAACGGAGGGCGGCCGCAATGCGAAACGAAATCGCGTCGAGACCCGCGGCGGCAAAATATAGTGTTTCGGTGTGCGGACAAAAGAGAAATTGGCTGGCAATGAGTCACAAACTGGCAAGAAGAGAAGAGCGAAAGAAAGGGGGAGAGAGAGAGAGAGAGAAATCGCTTCTGAATCTGTAAACGTTTTCTTTTCTATTAAGAATAATAATGCGACGTGGAAGAAATGAGTCGAGTTGCGGCTCTGTTTACTCTAAAAACAGCAACCAAGAAGAGCAAACGCGTGAGAGAAAAAAGAGAGCGATTGGATGAGAGCACCAGTATCGATTGATAACTCATCTGAATTGAGGGCGGGAAATTTTAAAAGTGAGGAAATCAGCGGGAACATTTGAATTCCCGCCCTCCGGTACTTTTGATCGACGGTTTCAAATAAATAGCTTCCTTGAAAACCATAGGCCCCTCCAGTCTGCGATATTGTCAAAAGGATTTCCATCCATAGCTTACAATCGGCATAGTTCAATTCCCAAGCGCAGATTATCAGCGAGCACGTAGCAGACAACACAAAAAACACGTAGCCGTCTCTCTTATCACTATTTCTTATCAGATAATGTCTCATTGATTTTCAGTATTACTCTCGACTCGACAAACTCAATGAATTGTACGAAGAAGATCAGAAACTCATGGAGGGGATCACACAACCGTCGGAGGTCCGTTTGAAATGGACAACGTAGGGCTAATCGGGCGAGGTTCAGCACGAGCAGTCAACGGATAGACTCCTGGCCAACTTGTCAGTCGGTCTGAATCTGACCCTTCTCTTCACTAACTTTTTGGCTTCGATTCTTTCCGGAAGTCTGTCTATTGTGAGTACATTCGTTGATTCTATGATGGATGTGACCAGTGGACTGATCATTGGAATCTGTCTGAAATTGATAAAAAACACAAACATGTTCAATTACCCAAGAGGACGAAACAGGTGAGATATTGGAAAGGAAGGAAATAGAAAGAGATGAGGTTCAGACTGGAGTTGGTCGGAGTTATTATCTGTTCAATTCTGATGGGTATAGCCAACACACTTCTCGTCATGGAGTCGATCCGTTCAATTCTGGAGGGAGACGTTAGTGTCACGCATTCGCCAGTTCACGCCATGCACACGTTCAGATCAATCCGGTCATGGATTTCCCCACGCTTGCCATAATGCTTGGCGGATCCACTATCAAAATCTTCTTGTGCCTTGTTTGTTATCGTCGTGGATCTAATTCCACTAAAGTTCTCGCGATGGACATGCGAAATGATATTGCCACGTCTATCGTTGCGATAGTCTGCGCAACCGTAGGGGACCGCTACTGGTCTTATGCAGATCCGCTCGGAGCAATTCTCGTCTGGTGAGCAGTCACTCTGAGAGTTGCTTCATGATTTCTCTGTTCAGTGGAGTTATTGCCACGTCATGGTATCGGCACGCGTTGGAGCACGTGCCGAATCTGGTGGGGAGGAGGGCGGAAAGTGAGCATTTGTCGAGAATTCTCAAGATTGTTATTGAGCACGATCCTCGTATAAAGTAAGTGTAGGGAGAAGTACTTCAAGTCTCGCAGAGCTTTTGATTGACGGCATCCGCACTTATCCACGTCACTTATTGCTGCTTTTCAGATACGTGGATCATGTGATGGTGTACCACACAACACAAGAAGCACTGGCCGAAGTGCACATTGTGATGGACGAGAATCTGCCTTTGAAGATCACTCACGACGTCGCACAAGGTCTCGAGCGGAAGTTGATGCTCCTCGATTTCGTGGAAAGGAGTTTTGTGCATTGCGATTACGAATGCGACGGAGACAAATGAATGCGAGACTGCTTTATTGGAATGAAATAACCCGTATTTATTTGAATTTTAATCACTTTCATCCTAATGACCGAATTTGTGTCCAGTGTACTGATCGGCGGATACCGGAAGACCAAAATATTTCCACTGACTCCAGAAGCAAAGAATTAACAGAAGGGATCCGAAGAGGTCTCCGAGGGCAGTGAGGAACGGAATTGCCGAGTTGTCCGGGTCGATTCGCAAGATCCACATGGCGCGGACGAGAATCTGGCAGATGAAAAGGAGGATGATCACCTGAAAAGAAAGTATAAAAAGGACCGCAAGGAGAGAGCACCTGGATTGCACAGACTAGAACGAACGAAACGGTAAAGGGAGCAGTGTTGTGGAAACCGACGCCGAACAGGAAGATGATGAAGATGAAGAGCACGTTGGACGGCATCGAGATCCCCAGCAGAATCTGTGCTGCTGACGCGTCTTCAGCTGCAAGCACTCAATTAGTTCCAAGCTCCCTTTTCAAGATCAACTTTTCCCAAAAAACGCTCGGAATGGGTTCAAGTAGTGATGAAGTGCTCTCACTTCGACCTCCCGATTCTTCCGCGCCCTGTGCAATTGGGTCGATATGCGACTGGCCTGAACGGCCACCAGATTCCCTCCGAGGCCGTTGATGAGAGGCTGGAAGGCGGCAAGAGGAGGGTATGTCTGCATTGACTTCTTGAGCACGAGCCCACTGATCGTTGTGATGACCATCGCGCACAGAATGGGCCACCATCCATTCTTCAACACCTGAACTTCAAAGGCATTTCATTTCAGTACTTGCTATTCCGCTACCTCCAAAGTGAATCTATCCTCGGCCGCTATGACTGCTCCGATGATGCCGATGGCGTAAAAAAAGAGCAAGATGACAATGAGTAATGTGATATGTAAGTCCCTCATGTGACACACAAGGGTGCCCACGCTCAACTGCAAGACAAGAAGGATGGTCTATTTCCGAGGGAATGCCCGAAACGAACCAGGATGTAAAGAGTGGAAACGTCACCGAGCGAAGCTGCCACCGGCGTCGAGATGTTGTCCGGATTGAGCTTCCAGCGACGAGCAGCAATCACAACGGCGACCATGAGAAGAGAAAGAACGAGGGAGGCAAGGGAAGCGGTGACGACGGCCGAGAGCAGCAGGCATAACGTGTCGTCGAAAGAAATCTGGAAGGAAGGGAGGGACTCGAAGTGCTTGGGAGGGAACGAACCTTCTGTTCACCGATGAACAGAACGGGAATAACTGCGAGGGAGGAGACCGCGATGGCTTGGCACTGAATGAGTGCCATATTCGAGAGCGCCACGTTCATCTTGTCCCTTCTGGTCTCCATGAAACCAAGATTTGCCTGAACCGTTCGATCAGAACCCAGTTTAGTTAGTTTCTCACTCACCAACGTAGACAACCTGGACGAAAGGGTCATTTCCAGGTTGCCCTTCAACCCCACCAGAGTGGGCACCATAATGACTGCGTCCGGGAGCACACTGAAAAACTCGGATCCTTCTGCCGATTCCAGCATGACCCCGGCTAAAATGAGACCGAATCCGGCGAAGAGGAAGGGAATGAGAGCCTGAAGAATAAAGAATCGAAACCGTTCAATTCGGTTGTCTCACTTCAAATAGGAATTGTGTCTTTGTCTCTTTCTCTGCCAAATGGAACACTTGCGTTGTTTTGGTAACGTTCATTTTCTGAATTGTGACTGCGATCGGCGCGAAGATCCAATTCTCAACGATCACATTCGACAGTGTGTCACCCGTGCTTTTGTTATTCTCGACGATCCTGCAACTGGATCGTTCACAATGCAAAGTATAGCGTAGGGCGCAAGTAGTGAGATGTCGGATGCTTGGTTATGCCACGATAGGAAGGGCTTCCGCGCGCCGCACGGCGTTCGTGGGGTCCGGAGACAGGAGCGCCTGCAGCTCCCTGTTTGCAGGCTCGTGGTGCTCTGATCGGCGCAATCTAGCGGTTATTCTCGGTGAATTTGGCACTCTTTCCGGTTTTGAATGTGCCTTATTCGTACCCCGTTGAGTTATCTGCGGTTACTCTATAGTATACTTAACTCCACAATAATCTCTCCATGTCGATGGAAAAAAATGCAATGATCAGAGCAGAGTCATTGACCCCCGCCTTTTTGAAAACTATTCAAAACACCTTTTTGGTTAGTCGAACATAAAAGTAGGAGACGCAGCAGGAAAAGAGAGTGTTGGAAAGTGACTGCGGAGACTAGTAGGCCGCACAAAAGCGGAGGAAACGAAACAAAACGGCGCGCCGCGATAAGCAGCTATGCGGTGCGTACACCTTTTCTGGAGTTTCGAGGCTTCCAGAAGTACTTTTGAACTTTTAGAAATGAATAGGAACTCACAATTGATCAGTCGTAGTTGATTGTGGAATCTGAGTGGTGGCCACTCCGTCGATGGGTTCAATATCCTCCATGCCATTAGACATCTGTTGGCTGAAATACTGAAATATGCAGAAGAAATAGATGCCCTGCGAGCACACGGATTAGTTGTGAAATTTTGAAATAAGGCTTCATTTCATTATTTGAGTGTTTCCGGAATGGAAAAGTTCGCAACAAGGTGACAAGCACGCTACATTGAGCAAAAGGGACTGGAAATGGAAGGGAGGGACGGACGGATGCAAGGAATGTATAATTAGAGATCCGGGGAGGGGAAGAAGCACAAAAAAGCAAGGAAATAATAGAGGCATCTATTCTTTTCTTTTTTCTCCTCCAGAGATATGCGCTTCCGTGAGAAGAAAGGAAGAAGCCCGCCATAAATTAGAAAACAGGGATAGTGCCAGATTGGCTCGGGCAGGAGCCGGAGTAAGGTTATCCGAGGGGGGCCGCCCTGAATTGGTGATCACTTTGAGGGACGAGAGTCTCGAGAGAGCAGGCAAAGAGATATTCATTTGAGGGATTAGACGGGCGGGTCTTTGCAACCAACTTGGAAGAAGGGACCGAGCACTTTGAATGGCTCGTCACGGCCCGATGGCGTGCCGTTTTTTTGGCAGATTCTGATGGATACCTGTCAAACAGCAAGAGCTTTGTGCTCGCAGTTATTCATTATTCAATCCAACGAATATACGGTACTACAACCGAGTACAAACAACTGGAAAAGATGTATTTGGGAGAGGATCTGGTAAACGAAAGAGGGCGAGAAGATGGATTACTTCCAGAAAAACTAATTAAACTATTTTAGACAGCTTCCGATCGGTTGTAGAAGAAAGAAAGAGAGAGAGAGAGAGAGAGAGAGAGAGAGAGAGAGAGAGAAAGAAAGAAAGAAAGAGCAAGAAGACTCTATAAAACCTTTATTCGTTTTGCCGTTTCGTTTCACTTAAAATCCGCTTTTTAGAGGGATTGGCCATAAATGGAGAGAAGGAAATTGGAAGATTTGCATGAACTTGGCCAGCACAAAAACAATATGGAAGCAGTCGGGAAAAGCAAGTAAGGAGCCAAAAACGGGAAAGGAGACGTGGGAGGACGGCGAATTTCGCAAAGCGACACAGAGTCCCGGCTAATGAAGCGTGATTCCGAAGGAAAAGAGAGATGGTTATGACACTCTGTTTTCGAATTGAAAAAGATGAAAAACAGACAAACGTTCCCTTTGTTGCACATGAATCATCCATCGGTTGAAAAGACGAGAGTCCTGGGGCCGTTTCTGACATGTAATACGCTCTGTGTCTCGTGATTTTAAGCAGTTTTTATGAAGAAATCCATAGACGGCCACAAATATTTCTAAGAATACAACTACCGAGAAAGAGAGAAGAAAACGTTGACTGGTGCATTGAGAACCGGCACGAAGAAACCATAAACTTGTTCGAAAAAGGAAAGAAGATGCGTGGCGAACACCAAAAACACCTTGCGCTTTGTAGTCCGTCGTGTTTTGCCTCCACGGCTCCTCCTCCACCTCCTTCTCCGACCGCGGCCTACAATTTTCTGCTCATTCGTCGTTTCCTAAACCGAAAAGACAGAAAAGAGGGAAGGGAGAAAAAGAGAAAGAAGTTGAAGGTGGGCGAGCTGTCGAGTGGGAGCAATCCGATCCGGAAGACGTTCGAGCACTTGACACAGCCAATCTGGAACACATCAGTCCCGCATAAATGTGCGGGAACGAATCAAACTTGTTCTCCTCCTCCTTCTCTCCATCTCCCTCCCTCTTTCTTGTCGGCATCATTAAGCTTGTCCTACTTTCTACTGTCCGAATTGCGCAGTTTGTTGCATTCTTCACTGTCTGTCCACTATGCTGATCGAAAAACGTTTCGAGAGTTTGCATAAAAAGAAACCTCGTGCAGTGGTTCGTACCTTTCATATCATCTCATTTTGAACGACAATTGTCATACCAGGAACTGTTCCGTCTGAATACAACTATCCTCTTCTGGATCGGCTTCGTTCCCCCGTTGTTTGCCGCCTCGTTCTCTATCCTCACAGCCATTATCTTTCACCAAGAGAAGATAACAAACTACGTCTGGATATGTGGAGTATGTTCTGCAGTTCCTTCTTCTCCAATTCGAATCATTTCAGAGGGCATTCCTACCATCTCTCTCCAGAATAATCAATCTAACACTGGAAGGCCTCGTCTGGCAACTCTGCATATTCTTCCACATTCCTTTCCGACTTCTCGAATTGTCCGTTGGTTGTGAGTCATTTCTTTTCTTTCTCTCTCTCTCTCTCTCTCTCTATGCTCCATCAGAATACTCGTATAGGGGTGAGATATGGTCGTCTGGAGAGCAAAAACAACAAATGGCGTGTTTGGTATAAAATGCATAGACATCTGTATGCGGTTGTCGGCGTGCTCGAGCTCGTTCTTCTCACCGGATTATCGGCTGTCGGAGAGAAAGAGCACGGAGGTGAGGGGCTCGTAGAGCAGCTGAAAACGGCCTTCCGATTGCTTCAGTCGTGCACGTCTGCATGTTCTACAGCTTTGGCGTATTCGCCCTTCTCTTCTTCATTTCCAACACGGTCTGTCACTCACAGTCACTCTACTTTCTGAACCCTTATGTGAGCGTTGTTTGCGTCAGAATGACCAATTTCTTTCCAATTTAGGGACGGGTATCGTATTACATGAAGATCGCAATCAGTCTCGCTTACTTCTTCTCGGCTCCAGCCATTGCCACATTCTACACTCTTTACTGGAAAGCCTGTTTCACTTGGGGTGAGTATTCACATTCACATAAAATAGAGAGCATCTCGAATTTTCAGCCTACGAACTGTTTGCCCTTATTGAATATCTCGACGTCTTCATGGTGATCTTCTATCATGGGTGCTGTGTATACTGGGATATACAGCATAAGGTGGGACTTCCGGTGAATCTCCCTCCCAATTACCCCTTTCCAGGTGATATTCAGTGTCCGATACAACAAACCGCCGAAACGTGTCGCCGAGGAAATGGAATTCACAGAAATGCCTATCAAAATCTGAATTGTTTTCTGATACCTGATTCTTTGAACTCTGATCTAGACAGTGATTACGTTTTAAAAAAAGAGATTCAGAGAAACACACAAACTCTGAGAAATCGATAAGATGACAATGCCGTTTGTGCCCATTCATCATTAATAATTCTCCCGTCTTATCACTGTCATTCTCGCCCACAATGTTCTCCAAACTTTCTCTTCCGCAGATTTCCGCTCTCATTCCCTTTTTTCGTGCTCGCCCAAAGTTCTCTCTGTTTGCGAACGCAGCAAAGTTCGAAGTGGACAGAACAATTCCGAACCATCCGTGTGACTTTTACTCCCTGGAATCTCGAGATGCACAATACTTCTATTGCTTCCGTCATAATCGGCTGCCAGATGCCAACCGGTAGGGATTTCTCCGAGTTCTTCTGATCGGCAGGGATTTCAGACCGATTCTTATGATAGGAAGTGAAGGAAAAGTGAACGAGGACGATATCGTTAAGGGCCTGGAACAAGTGAAGTTGCTCGAACCTGAATTCGACCAAATATGTCTCCTGCTGGCTGTTCACAATCTCGCCACTCCTGTAATTAATACTCCTTTACTTTCGCATTAAAGTGATATCATTCAGGCCAGAAAGTATCTCACAACAGTGTGTAATCTCAAGGAGACCAGCTACGTTCCCTGTCATAACTTCTATGTCACTTCTTCAGTTTACCCTCAAATCCAGGCAAAAGTAAACCAAATCAGTCTTCCGTCCTCATTTTCCATCGGTTCCACTCGACTGTCCGACGCCGAAGTTGTCAATTCGACGTGGAAGTTTGCCACTCCAGAAGATATTCTGCAACAAAAGTGAGAAAATGATATAACGACGCAATCCTAATGTTTGCCTTCAGAGAAAAGATCACACGGCTTCCGACTGCTTGCATATTCCATGAGGATCGTCCAATTGCCTTCGAAATGATCGGATTGCACGGTCAACTGTCGCATCAGTACACTTTCCCCGAGTACAGAAACAAAGGATTCGGGGCTATCATTGAGAACACGATAGTCAGTAAATGTATCAGGTAATTGAATTATATCGAAGAGAATTTTGAAGTGAACAATTACAGCCATGGAATAATTCCTCTGAAATCAGTAGAACTCACGAATACTTCGGTTCTGAAGCGGAGCTACGAGCATCCATTGTGGCAAGTGGTGGCCGACGACGACGGGCACGTTCTCATTGGAGATTATGTTACTTTTGCATAAAGAATTCTGCGTGTCGTATGTTATTACACATTACTTTGAAAAGAAACCCCTCTATGGAAGTTGCGGAGACAACTTTTGGTGCAGTATTGATATGGTACTAATGACCTGAAGAAACATAGACAGGACAACCCCTCGAATGAAAGTGAGAGGATGACCTTCATTCTTTGACATTTTCTCTTATCTTTCTCTTTGTTCGTCACGTAGTTCGTAGCAGTCTGTCTGTATTCAATGTTTTCCAAACTCTCAACCGAACAGTTAACTATCCTTTTCCCCTTTTTCTCGTCACATCCGAAGTTTGCTCTGTTCGCCAATGCAGTCAAGTTCGAGTTGGAGCGAACAATTCCCAGCCACCCGTGTGATTTCTATCTTTTGAAAACGAAGAACGCCCAATACTTTTACTGTTTCCGACATGATAACATTCCTGATCATAATAGGTATGTATTTGATTCGTTTCTAAAGTCAATGATGTCATTCAGACCGATTCTGATGATAGGAAGTGACGGAGAAGTGAGTGAGAAGGACGTCGTCTATGGATTGAAGCAAGTGAGAGCTGCGGAGCCAATTTTTCAAAGTATTTGGATCTTGGCGGCCTTCTCCGAATTAGCGGCCCCGGCAAGGGACTATCTGATTTCCGTGTGCAAGATGGAGCAATGCAGTCACGAGCCTTGCTTCAATTTCTACGTTGCTCCGTCAAAGTTAAAGTTGATCGAGGATAAAATGAACAAAATCAGTCTTTCGTCCTCATTTTCCATTGGTTCCACTCGATTGTCCGACGCCGAAGTTGTCAATTCCACATGGAAGTTTGCCACTCCGGAAGATATTCTGCAACAAAAGTGAGAGGGGAAATGGAATAGTCCTAACGTATCAATGTTTGCCTTCAGAGAAAAGATCGAAAGGCTTCCGACTGCTTGCATATTCCACGAGGATCGTCCAATTGCCTTTGAAATGATTGGAGTTCACGGGCAACTGTCGCATCAGTTCACTTTCCCCGAGTACAGGAACCGAGGGTTCGGAACGATGGTCGAATGCGCCATAATAAGCAAGTGTATCAGGTGAACCAAAGAATGATAACTTCTAAAAATAAGACGAACATTCCAGATCGGGAATCACTCCAGTCAAATCAGTCGAGATCATTAACGAATCAGTTGTCCGTCGCAGTCTAGAGAACCCAATTTGGCACGTTGTTTCGGATGAGAAAGGAGATCCTGCAGTTCACGATTACTTTGTTTTTGCCTGAAATTTGTCAAGTTTTCCTTCTATTATCATTTCTGTGAGACCAAGTCGTTCGACTGAATGAATAGTTCCACCCCAACTGGATCTTCATGTCCAGTCCGTTTACTCTCAACAAAAGAATCCCGAGGACTTATTAGAAAGTGATGAAGTGAACAATCAATCAAGTTTCGCTCTTTTTGCTAGCTTTTTCTTCTTCTCCTCCTTCTTCTTTTTCTTCTTCTTGGTCTTCATTTTGCAACATCATGATCGTTCGGATTGTCATGAATCAATCATTGTTGCGGCTAGGAAAGTCTGGAGGCGTAGGCGTATGCGCGCGTCAAAAATTGCGTAAGCGCGAATAAGAATTGCGTTGGTTGTTCCAATTAAAACTTGTTACGGTACGAGACTTTTTGACTTAGCGTTGGTGGTGCGCGACAACGCCAAAAACTACATACGAAACGCATACGATTATATACGATTCGGGTTACGCAATCGCCGATGGAAATGGCAGTGGGAGGGGAGGCGGGAGGAAGGGAGAGTTGATATGATAATGCTGTCGGGCAAATCGGTGTGGCTGGGATAATGAGACAAACAACGAGTAACGCTGAAAGGGCATTGATGTGTCCGATGACATTCGGAGGCTCGGTCATTTCAGTAGCCAAGGATCCTCTAGTTGTGAGTAGAGGCAGCAGCATTTCCAGCTGAGATCTCTCCTTGACTCGCATTGACACCACACAAGCTTCATGCTTCAGTGACTGTCCAAACAACGAATTCGAGTGATAAGCAAAGCAGCGGACATCCCCTTTCCCCTTGCTTGCGCAATCCGAAATCCGCCTAATTTTCGCAGTGTAACCAGGAAGGGAAGCCAGGAACTGGACTGACACACGGGGCACAACACCTCTGCGGTTTCCGATCATTATGATATAAACAATCCCCTCGCTATCATTTGTGTGTTGCATTGTGGTCATTGAAGTAACACTGGTGGGTGGAGAGACACAGACTTCACCGGCCCATTGAACCCGAAGCCGAACGCGCTCTGGTTTTTTGGGAAGAAGCTGGAGAAAAGGCTGGAGACGGAGGAGGCGGGTGTCCAGCGCGGCGACGACGAATGGGATTTCGAACCTGAAGGAGGTGTGGCTACGGTACGTGGACGTCGGCAGAAGCTCCTCGCATAAAAGGCTTGCGTGCCGACGGTCTCCGACTTTCTTGTCATCTATTGTCGTCTGCTGCCATGAATTGCGCCTCCAGACTGTCTCTGGTGAGTACTTTTTATTATATGAACATTTGGGACGGAGATTCATTGCGATGATAATAAATACAATACCATTTGAAAAACGACTTGAATCCTCATATCTGACTAAGAAATCGAGTACGGATCTATTCGATACCTCCTATGAGAACTTCTCAAAAACTTGAACAAATTTTTATGAATACGTATGTCCATCATTCTCATCCGATGCTAACTTATCCAGCGCATACTTTGATTACGTCAGGTGTATCTAGTCGTCTTTCTCCTAAAACCCATCATCTTTTCCTCATTTCCATCCCATTCGTCACTTTGATTACAGCTATTCGCTTTGTTCGGCACCGCCATCGGATGTCTACCGGGTCTTCCTGGGGCCGGTGGAGGTGGAGGGGGATGTTGCAGTCCTGCACAACCTGCTTGCGGCTCTCCGTGCGGTGGCTTAGCACCGGCGCCTGCTCCAGTCTATGCGGCAGCTCCATTAGCTCCTGCTCCTTTCGCGGCCTATCCCCAAGCTCCTCCACCTCTACCGCCACAAGCCCTTTTCCCACAACAACAATTCGGAGGAGGAGTCTTCCAACCGCAACTGCCAGTTCAAGGTGGATACGTGGCATCTGCTCAGGGCGGAAACTTCCAAACGGGAGCCGTCCAGTCGGGAGGAGCTGTTGCCGCAGGAGGTGCTTACCTTGCCGAACCAGTCCACCAAGTACAGCCGTTGCCATTGCTAGGACAGCCCGTGGCTTACGAGGTAAGGTTCCGCGTCGTTGACTTCCGAATGGGTGATAACCGGTAATCGGTTTGCAGAAAACAGTAGTTGTTGCGCCGACGCAGGAGGAACAAGCATTGAACACGGCCCAGGTTCTGACTAAAGTCTTGCCAGCTAGCGCCGTTCTCGATGAGCACTTCGTTGAGCCGGCTTCTGCCAACAACGTGAGTAGAAGAAGACGTAGCGGTTGGGTTGAGATGGGTGCTTTTAGATTGTGTCCTCGATCATCTCACAGACGTCATACGGAGACGAAAGCCAGCAGGGAACAGTGTTCAATGCTCAGCCAGCTCACGGATCCTCTTCCTCTTCGTCCGCTTCTTCTTCTGCTTCCACTTCTGCCGAACATCACGCTGCTCACCAAGTGAGAGTTCCATCTGCCTCCTCCTCGATCGAAGCGAGCGAGCGTGTCCTTCCGGACGTGGTTGCCGTGAAGCAGGTCATCCAGACTCTCGAGACCACCCCATACCCGGAACAAGTTGCCCTCCAAACTGCTGCTCCATACGTCCCGCAACCAGCTCAACCAAAACAGTCCAGCTACTTGGCTCCAGAGACCCCGACAGTTCAGCAAACCATTGTCGAGACAGTGCAGCCAGTTGAAACGATCGAGACAGTCCGCACAGTCGAGCCAGTCCTCACAATCCAACCAATCCAACCAGCTCCTCTTCAGGCAGCTCAACATGTCCCAGTTGCTGTCCAACAAGCCACTCAGGCTCCAGTAGCCCATATCGTCCCAGAAACAGTTCGTAAGAGCGAAAAACAAAAATGACATAGCCCATTTCAGAAGGTCGTGGCTGTGGAAGATCGCATTGAAACCCCAGTTGGATCTGACTATGACCAACCGACAAACATTGCCACCAACGAGCAAGCAACTGTGAACGAGCTTCTGGCTACCGTATGTCCTCCTGGAGTCATCGCATTTCATCGTCCTTTTTAGCTCGACACTGTCAACCCTACCGTCGCCAGCAACCTGGATTTCAACCAAGTCACCGTTGAGCCACTGCCCAACCAGCCGGCCATCATTCAAACCGAAGGAGACGACTACGATGCTCCATTGAACGAGGACCGCAAAGATGTTCCAACTCCGGAACCAGCTCGCAGCGCCGTCGTCACATCGGCTCCGCAGCCAGTGGCCGTTGTTCCAGAGGAGACTGCTCCCATCATTCCACAGCCGATTCAACAGATTCGGCCAGTGCAAACCTACCAGCCAAGTACTGCTGCGCCAGCCGTCCAGACTACCGTCGGATACGTCGAGCCACCGAAGCAGCAAGTGCATCTGCAGCCAGTCGCTCCAGCGGTCCGTGTAGAGATTACAACTGCTGTGCCGGCTCCAACGCCAGCTTTCGAACTGCCAGTGGAAGTGCACGAGGTTGTGACCCCGCAAGTTGCTCTACAGCCGGAGCAAGCGACCATTCAAACTATCACCGAGCAGCCAGTGGCCGAAGTCACCGTCGAAGTGCTGCCGACGTCCGCCGCTCCAGTCTCGCAATTCTTCGAGAACATCACTTCTCGCGAAGAAACCAAGGAAATTCCATCTCAGGTAAGCGTTCGTCGGTTCAGTTTGCATGGTTAAGTTCCACCTCTCACAGCCTGAGCCAGCTGCGGCACAGACTGCAGCTCCAGCACAAGTCATCAGTGGAAACGACTACGACGAGGAGAAGTCGGTTGAAAATAAGGTAAATTGAGGAAAGAGCACACACACTTATTCACTTTGAACTTTGCAGGTTTCCACGGAAACCGAAGTTGTGCCAAGCCTCGCAGGAGGGGAATACGGCAGCAAGTTTGCGAAGGTAAGTTTCACCGAACGCATTCAGTTCAGGAGAAATGTCACAGAACACGTTCGTGACGTAGTCACAGTTACACCGTTGTTTTATGAAACAGATGTATTCTTTCTTTACAATCACAATCACCAAGTTAAGATAGGAAAACCAATTTTGAGTTCACATTCCATCCAGCACATCCAGAAGAACCCAGGCGACAATAAATTGGTTTCAGGTGCAGGGAGCTGGAACCAAGCAGGTCAGCGAGCCGATCGAAATCGAAACGATCGAGAATGCGAACCCGTACGGAAGGAAGTACTGGATCTTCTAAATGCTCCGAACCCTGAAGCCATGTCATGTTTTCATCTCATCTCCACGTGCAAATAGGCGCCAATTCATCCCCTTCCAAAGTGTAATAACCAGTGAAATGCAAAGCATTCCTTCTTTTTTCTTTTCCTCTGTTTTCTGTATATTTCGTTTCTTCTCCCGCCGCTCAATCCGTTTGTCCTCGTTTTTCCAGTCGATTCTTAATAATAAATAACTTATTTTCCTCTCCCTCTGAACCGTTTTTCCCTCGAATGCTAAGCTGACGAAAGATATAATCATGGAGGAGAATCTGGCTTTTGCCAAGGTCAACCGAGGTATGATAGGCGTCGATGAACGACAAAAACTCGTCGCAAAAATGCGTAATGACGGATTTTGGCGACACGGAGAGACGGCGGCTGCCGCGCGGAGGATCCAACCGAGCGATAAAACGAATTTCATTGCGATGGCGTCAATGAAAAAAGGAAAAGAGGATTGCGTAATTGGCAGAATTTTTGGCGATGCTGCTTAACAACGCGTGCCGTTTGTACATAGAGTCACTCCGAAGGTCTCCTGGAGGAGGAGGAAGAAAAAGAAGAAGGAACCGGAAAAGTGGCAACGATCATGGAGGTACCTGGTGTTTGGTGAGACAGAGACCGAAGGACCGAAGGGCATCGGCCAGATCACAGGCCGGTATCACTAGACTAACGGAGAAGCCGGCCGAGCACACTGGTTCAGTAGTCTTCAAGGAAGTAAAGTTCTTCTCAACAAGTTGTAAATCCTTCCTTTACTGTTATTTCAGATAACAGTAATGAAAGCACTCGAAACCATTTCGGAAGTGACAACTCATCACGACCGACTGCATTGACGCTTCGAACTTCATCATGATGACGTCCGATCCTCTCGCTGCTGAATAACTTAACAGCATCAGCAGAGATTCACGCTTTACCGGCGCCAAACATCTCGCCTTCGTGATAGATCAGGTATCTTGGCGCCTAAGAAAAGGTTTGGTTTAAAGAGGGAACAGTTCAGGTGTCTCTTCTTCAGCTCAGGTATTTATTTCTCTTCTCTTCACAACGAACCTTTTTCTCTTTATACCTTGCTGGTCTCCTCTTTTTTCCGCGTGTCACTTCACCCGTTTTGCCTCATTACACTCGCTTATTGGAAACGAAAGCGAAAAAGCTTAGCCTGATCGGGACGGATGTCAATTAATCAAGTGAATCGCTTATCAATCGAAACGTTTCCCCGTTTTGCGCAACAATCGGTTACGCAATAGACCGACATTGGATAAGAGAATGAAACAAATGAAAGAGAAGAATAAAGACGGAATGTGCCGACATGACTGGATCCACGAAATGAGTAACGGGATGGGGAAAAAAAAGAAGAAAGAGGCTTGACGGATGGGAAGTGGATCCGCTAGTTGGTACTCAAACATTCAGTGTGGAAATCAGCTTACTTTAGAAAGGAAATGGGGGTGTCTTGGAAATGAAAAAGAGAGGGCTGTAATCTAGGAGAGTTCTCCCAGAATGCCAATTGAATATCTTTGATCTGTCGTTTATCCTTTTTTTCATGTATCTTCTCACATTCTTCAAAAATATACCGGTCCTTCTCATTGTGGCACTGGTCACCCGTGCGACGGTCGCCGGGTGTTAGCTGCTTGCTGCCCCAATAGTACACCGCATTCCGAGGCGAGAGATAGTGCCATTCGCGGAGATATATCTGGGTTCGATTTCAGAAAACTGTTTTAGGCGGCGACTTGCCCCGCGCACGCACCTTGTTGCGCCAGCGCCTTTCTCTTTCGGCGGCCGGACGGCGGAGGAGGAGGTGGGAGGAGTGACAAGGCGGCGGTGGAAGGGCACTACTTAAGCTGATCTAAGCCTTCATTTCACGCTACACACCAACACATCGTGTCGTCGTCATGGCTAGTGTGAGTTCTTCCGTTCTTTATTGCCCTTCTCACCTTTTCGTTCCAGTTCTTTTTGATTACCCTGCTTGCTTCCCCCGCTCTCGGATGCATCGGAGGCCTCGGAGGAGGTGGTGGCTGCTGCCAACCAACTCAGCCCGCCTGCTCTAACCCATGCGGTGGAGCTGCCGCTTCCGCGTGAGTTCTTCCTTTCTTTTCGTCTTCTATTCTTAGCTTCCTTCAGTTATGCTGCCCCAGCCGCTGGATACCCAAGAGCTCCAGTCGGATACGCTGCCCCACCTCCACCACCGCCACCAGCCTCGTTCCCGGCCCCCGCCCTTCCAGGATTCGGAGGAGCTTACCCATCTGCCGGAGCTGGAGGAGTTTACGCTGATGCTGGAGTTCAAGGAGGAGCCCTGGGAGGATATGCCGGAGCCGGCCAGGCTGCCGGAGGATACGCCGGAGCCGGACAAGCCGCCGGAGGATACGCCGGAGCTGTTGCCCCATCCGCCGGAGGATATGCTGGAGCTGCTGCCCCATCTGGATACGCCGGAGCCGGAGCTCCAATTGCCCCAGTCATCGGAGGAGCTTACAACCAGGGACCAGCAGCCATCAACGGAGGATTTGTCTCCCAGCAACAAGGAGGAGCTGTCGCCCCAGCTACCGGTTACGAACAGGGAGGAGCCGTCGCCCCAGCCGCCGTCCACGTCGATGCCACCGCCGCCACTTCCGAGGGAGCCATCTCCCAGCAAGGAGGATCCTTTGCCGCCGGAGGATACGGAGAGGAGACCTCTGCTGGCATCGCCCCAGCCGGAGAGCAGACCAACACCATTGTCCAAACCGGAGAGACTGACGAGGGATACGGATCTCAGGGAGGAGCCACCGGAACCGAAGCGACCCATGTCGAGGAGACCGAGATCGTTGCCGTCGCCACCGCTGCTCCAGCTGCTCCAGCTCCAACCTACGAGAACGTGCAGCCATCCCCAGTCGTTCCAGCAGAAATCCCAGCAGAGATCCCAGCTGAGATCCCAGCAGAGATCCCAGCTGAGATTCCAGCTGAGATCCCAACTATCGAGGAGACCCATGTCGAGGAGACTCACGAAGAAATCGCCCCAGCTCCAGCTGCCACCTCCGCCCCATTCGTCGAGCCGGTTACCGAGGTTGTTACTGAAGTGATTGAGGAAGTTGTGGAGCCGGAAGAGCCACAAGTTGTCGAACCGGCCCCACAGCCGCACGTTGACCCAGTTCAGCCAGCACCACAAGTCATTGAGCCGGCACCAGTTGTTGAGCCAATCCCACAAGCACCAGAGACCGTTGAGACGGAAGCTCCAGTTGCACCACAAGTCACTGAGTACCCAATTCAGCCAACTGAGGCCCCAGAAGAGGTATATGAAGAGGAGACGGCGGCTCCAGTTGCACCGGTTCAGCCGACCGAATCCTCTTTCGAGGAGGTGACCGCGGAGGAGACGGCTGCTCCACCAGCACCTTACGTTCCACCAGCACCGACCTTCATTGTATGTTTCTGAGTTTTCTAACACTTGAGCACATTCCCAGACCGTGCCGGAGTGCACTCACTTCTCTGTGACACGTGGCATTAACTATTCGATGCAAAGTACCAACTATTTCTTTTCCAGGAGCAGAAGCCAGGATACGAGCAGACCGCCCCGGCTGCCGAGACCAAGGAGGAGTCGTACGATGATGTCGAGCCAGAGGAGACCCACGAGCAGCCAGCCACGTCCGGATACCAGGCGACCGAGGCCCCAGCCAAGGCTGACGGTGGATACCGCACCCACTAAGCGATAGATCGATAGGTGCTCATTCACTATGATCTCGTTTTGATTGCTCGCCGACATTCTGCTCAGAACATCAAGTTTTTGTCCTCGCATTGTCTGTATATACTGTTGACCTCAATTTTTTATTTTATTTCTCTTATGATTTAAGCGTTTTTTTCATAGTGGAGCTGATTTCACTGACTGAAGTTTCATAATTTCAAATGAATAATGATTATGGTACTTACGAAGTCTGACTGTATTTGGATTCAATCAAACCCGATCAGTACTGCAGGAAACATTCATTTGCTAAAGTCCTCTTTTAAATTTACCACGACTTCTCAAAACGTCACACTTGAAAATTTAGCTGTTTTTATTTGCAAAACCTGGAATCCTATTACATCTTCATTGTTGAATCCCGGCTAGCGGTTTTATTTCCGCGGTCTGATCCAAATTCCTGATTTTTGTGAATTCTTCGACATTATTCACGTGTGAAAATCGAATTGCACTTCCTGAATCGCCAGTGACACAATATAATTCTAAATTTGACACCAGAATGCATGGCGCTCACTCGCCGAGGATGACGTCCTGAGATTCTGATGGGCTAGGTTTCAGAGAAGCCTGAAGAATGCAGCAGAATCTTGCTGGAAACAGCAGGAGCGCGTAGAAGGCAGGGAGAGGACGGCGAAGTGGAAGGATCGCACGCAAGTGGCTCCTCTCGCTTCCAGTGGCCGAGGATGGCGTCGTAAGATTCTGATGGGGAGGGATTCTGAGACACCTGGAGAAGTCGTGTCTCAAAACTCTGAACCTTTTTCAAGCGAACCCCTCCCTATCAGAATCTCCCGACGCCATCTTCGGACGTTCGAACAGCTGGCACTCGAAGCGAGCGGAGCCACTTGCGTGCGATCCTTCTCGCGTCGCCGTCCCCTCTTTGCCTTCTGCGCACTTCTACTGCTTCCAGCATGCTTCTATTGCCTTCTACATTATTTTTTTTTTAAATTAACGGAAAATTGAGAACAAGTCCAAGTAGTCAAAGGACATGAATGATATCGCAGTGTTTTGCCTTTGCAGTCACAAAAAATTCACCCAGTTGAGTTTATATGCATTTTCAAGTAATCGGACAGTGATTCCTCAGTTTTTAGCGTCCCCTTCAGTGACTGTTCACTGGCAGATTACTGGTTTTTGGCTAATCAGCGTCTGCTCGGTGATCGCTCGGTAATTCCCGAGTGTAGCCGTTGCAGTTTCGCATACTCCGAGAGCAGGCTCTCCGGTAACAGCTCCACTTTATGCTCTTAGGCTGTTTTACATCAATTCTTTCTTCGTTTTTGTTGAAATCTCTGTCTTAATCCGACAAATGCCATTTTCTGCTAAAGGCGCAGTACAATTCTTCAAAAACCGTGGCGGGTGTCCGCCGTGCCTCCAGAAACGCTAGCTGAGCGCGCCGCACAGCTTATGCGCCATGCTTGAATCTGTTGGCGCACTAGCCGCCGCTGACGCGCTTTCCGCGATTTTTTCGGCTTTGGACACGTCAGCGCGCTTCAGAATCCATATTTTCGGCATTTTCAGATTCCTTTTCGCGGCGTTTTGCGATTGAATATATTCTGTCAGTGTCTGCGTCTGCCTGCCCCGATCGGTACACGTGGAACCACATGTCACCACCGATGCCACAGTTGAGACACGATTCACAACCTGTTGCCTTCCCCCTCACGCCCTTTTTGTTCATCTTTTATCAAATCTCAAAGCTTTATTATAGAACTTGATAGTTCTTCTCAGTTAAACCTACCTCATTCTAGTTTAATTGTTTTCAGATTCATAATGTCCTTCCTTTGGGACTGGTTGAACGGAGTGCTCAACATGCTGGGTAAAAAGCGTTTTCTCTTATTTAAAACTTAGTTTTCTGTTTCAGGATTGGCCAATAAGAAGGGCAAGTTGGTTTTCCTGGGACTCGATAACGCCGGAAAGACGACGCTGCTCCACATGCTGAAAGATGATCGGATTGCGCAGCACGTGCCTACTCTTCATCCGAGTATGTTTTTTACAAAAAAATTATTCACTTCTCTAAATAATGTTCATGCGTAGACCTTCCCAAATTATTTGCTTTCTAAATAGCAATTCTTTAATGCAGGAAACATCACGAAGAAAGTAACAAAAGTAACAAAAGAAAGTTCCCTTTCATCAGCTGATTAACCGGTTTTGCTTATCTTTCAACATTTGATGACGCTGCATTCTTGTCTAGTTAATGTGTGAAAACAAATGTATTTCAGCATCGGAGCAGATGTCTCTCGGAGGAATCTCCTTCACCACATATGATCTCGGTGGTCACGCTCAAGGTTTGCACAAGCCATCAAGTGGACACTATCTCACTGCTGATTTCAGCTCGACGGGTCTGGAAAGATTACTTCCCTGCAGTTGATGCCGTCGTCTTTCTGATCGATGTGGCTGATGCTGAAAGGATGCAAGAGAGCCGCGTCGAGCTCGAATCGCTGCTTCAGGACGAGCAGATTGCCAACGTTCCCGTTCTTGTGCTCGGAAACAAGATCGACAAACCAGGAGCATTAAGCGAGGATCAGCTCAAGTGGCAGCTGAATATTCAGCATCTGTGCACTGGGAAGGGTTAGTAATTTGTTGTGGCTAAACATTCTAATTCTTATGTCGATTCAGGTGACGTTTCTCGCAATGAAATGCAAAACCGACCAATGGAAGTTTTCATGTGCTCAGTGCTTCAAAGACAAGGATACGGAGAAGGAATTCGCTGGTTGGGACAGTACCTCTAAAGTTCATCAGGATCACTCCGTCTGCTTATCTCTTATTCCTCTGCGAAAATCCATGCGTACCATTCTCTTACATATTGCGCCCTCAACATTTCCCAGTTGACTTGTTGTACGTACTTTATCCAGTCTTTTTCTCCCTATGGGAACTGAGCTCCATTGGCAGAAACGGTTTCTTTCTCCCCGTAGAGCTTCCCTCTTCAAACTCATGCCTTGCAAGCGTCGTTTGTGCAACAAAACCAGTCGCCACCTATTTATGAAATTCGACTTTTTCGAACTTGTAAAAACTCCACGGCGTCCTCGTTTTCTTTTTCACACTTTCACAACCTCTCCTATTAAATACCCACTATTTATAGAAAATGTTATATGACCGCGCATTATCACCCCAACCTTACTTTTTTTCAGATTTTTATAAGTTTTGTATTTCGGTTAGTTCGATGTGAATGAAACATATTCGGAACATTCGAATTGGGATAGCATGTGTTTCAAGTACACCAAAAACCTATCGAACACCATGACATGGCAAATCAAATATCATTTTGTCTTTTTTTTAATTTTCGCAGGCGATGCATTCAGCTTCACCGTCTACTTGTCCAGGTCAACCGATTCTCGCAATGAGTACCTTTGTCCAACTCAGTGTGAGTAAATTTGGCAGTTAAACATCGTGATGTTCCAAAAAGAAATTTACATCCCAATGCACAGAAATTACTGCAAGAACAGTTTCTGTTTGAATTGTGAATCACTTCTGCTCCCCTTGTCGCTTCTGCGTCTCTTCGGGCCACGTGCGCACACGTGGAAGCGCTTTGACCGTCGTTCGTTCGGCCACAGTTCCCTCCGTTCGTTCGTCGCCTCCGCTTCCTTCCCCCGTTTCCTCCCTATCACGATAGCGCCATTCGAAAGTGCGTGCCCAAACGTCACGCCATAATTCCTCCGTTATCGATTGTTCCCGTTTCAGTTCAGTTTCCCTCATTTCGCGCTTTCAGAATCGTCATGTCTTTTCTCTGGGGCTGGTTCAATGGAATGCTCAATTTTCTGGGTAAGCAAAACAATTAGGAAATTAACCTCCATAATTGAGAAATTTACAGGACTGTCCAATAAAAAAGGGAAACTGGTGTTCTTGGGACTCGATAACGCTGGAAAGACGACTCTGCTGCACATGCTGAAGGACGATCGACTCGCGCAGCACGTGCCGACGCTCCATCCGAGTAAGATCACATGGAGGCTACAATCACACTTGTAGTTACATCACACTTCCATCAAACCACACATTTATCAGACATGCTAGTCATTTTTGCCGCGTAAGAAATTCTATCCTTCCGCCAACCGGTTTCCTTGCAAAGCGGACACATTCCCATCTGCAAACAATATCCATGTACTTTCAGCGTCAGAGCAGCTCGCACTTGGAGGAATCTCGTTCACCACGTACGATCTCGGTGGTCACGCTCAAGGTCCGTTGCTGTCTTAATTTCACTGAATTCGTGCCTTTTTCAGCTCGGCGTGTCTGGAAAGACTATTTCCCTGCTGTTGACGCCGTCGTTTTCCTACTCGATGTGGCTGATGCTGAAAGGATGCAAGAGAGCTGTGTGGAGCTCGAGTCGCTGCTCCAAGACGAGCAAATTGCTAACGTACCCGTTCTTGTGCTCGGAAACAAAATCGATAAACCGGGAGCCGTGGGGGAAGAGCAGCTCAAGTGGCACATGAACATTCAGCACATTTGCACAGGCAAAGGCCAGTTGTTCTCACAATATCTTCGTTATTTCTCGCTCTTTCAGGTCAAGTATCGCGCAACGATTTTTCGACTCGCCCGTTGGAAGTGTTCATGTGCTCGGTGCTCCAGAGACAAGGCTACGGAGAAGGCTTCCGCTGGCTCTCGCAATACATTTGAGTGTCCCGTCCAATTACCCTTCTCTCAGTCTCTATTCCTCTCTCCCTCTCCACTCCCCCCCCCCCCATGCAAGTCGTTTGTTTAAGAAGACAGATCATTCGACACAATGAACTTGTAAATTTCATGTCCATCCCGAATTCGGTTTCGCTCGTTCCTCTCGCCCGTTCCTTTCTGTGTGTAATCCTGACAACCCATGTGAATAAAAGAGTTTGCTCAGTTTGAAGTATGAGAATTGATATCATCTAACACAGTTCAAATCAATTCACTATTTGTCTTTTTAAAATCATCCAGAATCAAACTCATCTAAATATGTCAGATCGTAAAACCATGTCGTCCCTATTCCAATCTTTGGGTCACAACATAGTAGCACAGGTAAATAATTTCCCTTTCTCTTTCTACCGGAACTTTCATGAATTCAGCTACTCGGTCGAGTAATGTCATTCGGAATCAACATGTATCTCCTACGGCGGATCGACAATGATGTTCTCGGATTGGTTAATGTCAGGTATATTCTGAACCTTTCCATCAGATGAACGACGTGCCAATTGTTCAGATTGACACTTCTCTACACGACAATTCTGTTCTTGACTCGAGAACCGTTGCGAAAAGCGGATATCATCCGAGGTTCCATTCCGAAGTTCGTCAATTTGCTCTGGCTCAGTCCGATCATCGCCACACTAGTTAGCATCGGATGTGTGTTGCTCTGGTCCCTTTTCTCTTCCACCTTCAACAACGTCTCCTGGCTAGTTCTTCTCTCGTTCCCCATTTCCGCTATTATCGAAGCGATCGCTGAGCCGTTCACGGTCATCGCTCTCAGGCAGGACATCCGTTCCATTTCGTTCCAAATTTATTTATTTCCAGGTTAGAATCAACATCCGGGAAACTCGGACGGCACTTTGCAATCGGCCAAGGCATTCTAATATGTGTCAAACGGGTGTTTGTTCTCGCCGGACTTTTCGTTTTTCCTGAGATGTACCATCTGGATCTTTTCGCATACTCCCAGTACTTTGGAGCCATCGTCTATCTTTTCTACAACTTTGTTGCATTCTACATCTACGTCCGAAATAAGTCAGTTCCTGAACTCGAAAGGTTTGCCGACTTCTCCGATCTGCTGCCGAAGAGAAGCGAGGGAATCGACGGAGAATCTGTGAGAGCAATCTCCACGATGTTCGGCCACTCATTCCTCAAACAACTACTGACCGACGGGAGCGCATATGTGATGACCTTTACTGAATTGCTCAGTTTGAAGAATCAAGGTAATAATTAAGTAGAATCATTTGATGAAGATCCATGTTTCAGGCGTTTATGATGCCATTGAAAGAGTCGGAAGCATCGTTGTTCGGACGGTTCTCTCCCCAATAGACGAGAACTTCAATGCGCACTTCTCGAATGCAATCCGCAAAGAAAGCAGTGTCTTCAACAAAAATAGCGACGGTCACGATGATCTTGTTCGTCGTTTCTCAACCATCATGCACGTCGTCGGAGTCCTCGGATTTGTCGTTTGCACGTTCGGAGCTCCGTATTCCCCTACGGCCGTGCACTTGTACGGTGGCCAGTTGCTTTCGGAGAACGGCGGAGCATTGCTTCTCTCGCTCTACTCCGGATACATTCTGGTCACGGCAATCAACGGAATCACCGAAGGTTTCGCCATGGCCACGATGAACAACGTCCAGATTCTGTCGCACGGAAAGTTCCTTTTCCTCGCTTCTGTTCTCCATTTGGCCTCCAATTACATCCTCTGTTTCTACTTGGACTCGGCTGGATTCATTGTTGCCAATATTCTGAACATGACAATTCGGATTGTGTACAAGTAAGCGAATGTTCCGAATTCGTTCAAACCGCGCATCATTGCAGCTGGCGACGCATCCGTGAATATCTGGGCTCACGGTGTCCGCCCTTCACGACCGTCCTTCCAACGATGTCAACTTTGGTCTTTCTGTTCGCATCACTCTTCGCCACTTCGTTCTCGTATCTGGTTTGTTCTCTCTTCTTACTCCAGACTATGCCCAGTTCTTCCAGATCTTTGCGACTACCCCCGGCCTTTCGCACATCCTCGCCCACTTCTTCATAGGAGGTATCTGTCTGGTTCTTGTTGCCCAAAACACAGCCCAGCACGATCCTATCTTCTCCGAAATCGTCAATTCTCTGGCAAGAAAACATCAGGACTGATCTACTACTCATGTCAATATCTCTCTCTCTCACCTTCGCTTTACTCTTTCTCGGGTTGTCTCTTTTCCATTTCTTTCATATTTCAATTCTGTTTCAATTACTTCTTGTCGCATACTTTTATTTATTAAATCAAAAATTCGGTGCTCAAGAGCAAGAGTCTTTTGATTGTTTATTCTTTAATATGTTTTCTGCCACAGCTGGCGTCAAGTTAGGCACCCGCAAATTGAGAGATTCGACATGAAACGGCACGCGAAATGCACCTGTTTCATCGTTTCGCAGTCGGGAGATGTTTCTTTTTTGCTCCTCGTTTTCTCTTTTCTTCTGCCGCCGTCTCACCCCCTTCCGCCACGCCCCGCCCTTTTCGATAGTATGAAGAGCCCTCGGGCGACGGAGCAAAGGAGCAGCTGACGGGCTCGAGCCGCCATCGTCTCCAACTGCCTCTTTTACACTTTCTTGGTTTTCTGTTCCGATCGAAAGTATTTCAGGTGGCCAGAACAGAACGGTGAGTTCGATGAGTCGGAGCAACGGATCATGAGCAGAAGAGGCGGGCTCCTGCTGCTGCTGCTCTTCGTCACCGGAGCAGTCGAGAGCTATGATGCCGGAGAGGAGTCCAGTTGTAAGGTGAGCACTTGAATTGAAGATAACTGGATTATGACAGTCCACATTCAAAGAGCATTCTGGGCCCCCGTTTGGAATCAGTCTTCCTCCAGAGACTGTATCGCTTCCACCATTCTTATTCCCTACTGGTCCCAGAACCCAAATCAAAATATTCTGTTTCCAGAGACGACACGGTGGAATTCCTCTCCCGTTGGGAGTGTTCACAGTACAGAAGGAAGGTTTTCCGGATGCCCTGCCTGCCATCCGCACCGCCCTTTCCCACGTACACAACCGTTCGTGCATCCTCCAAGGATATCGTCTCGAAATGATAGTCAAGGACACCCATGTGAGTCTTCTTCGTCGCTTCCACTCGATATTGAACAAATTCAATTTGCGACCGGACCCGCATCTCTTCAATTGAGTCAATTTTGGCGCTCCGTCCGCGCTCGCACGTTTTTTACTGCGCTGCCTTCACTTGCTCCTTGTGCTCTGTCTCGGTCCGTCCTTCTGTCGGTTACCTCATCCTTTGTGTCAGAATTCATGCACGACGTCGTCCGACGACTAAAATAATGGGCGCCGAGCAGTGCACCATGTTAAACGCATGAATGCGTTAACTAAATGGGTTAGACGAGACGGGACGGGAGGAGTGACGACGGAATGAGTTCTGCAACATGCTGAAAGAGAATTGGGAGGATGACTGAATAGGGAGTGTGTTTCAGTGTAAAACGTCGCAGGGAATGAAGGCGTTGTTCGATTTGATAGCTTCGAGACCCCGACCTGTGGCCATTCTCGGAGGACAATGCACAGAAGTAGGCTTCTCCTTTTATCAATTTTCAGCTGGAACTGTTCCTGTTTCTGCAGGTAAATGAACCGATTGCAATGGCGCTCAAGTACTGGCAGATCGTGCAATTGTCCTATGCGGAGACTCATGCCAAATTCGCCTCTTCTGATTCCCATGAAGTTAGTTTGGGGAAACGAAGCGCAGGCCAAAATAGAGAGGCCGAATTCATGAAAGTCTTCCGGTGTGGGAAAGAAAAATTGGCCTCGGGCGACATTTCGAGCTCTCTCTCTCTCTCCCCCTTTTGAGAAGGCGCCTCTCTTGCTCGAGCTCATTTTGAAATGAAAGGGCGCTCGAAACAATGAATGAGCAATTGCAGTTGTTCCCCACTTTCTTCCGAATCGTACCTGGAAGCCGCAACACGAACATGGCCAAGTGCAAGTTCGTGAATCACTTCGGATGGAAGCGGGTCGGCACGGTGAAGCAAAACGATCAACCAAGATATGCGTTGGTAAGGAAACGCTCCGAATTATTCATTTTTCCGACAAAAACTGGAGCCGAGAGGGGTCTTGACACGCGACGGACAAGGGTTTTGATGGAAATGAGAGTGACACACTGCTTGCGGATTCAGCAAGAAAACGGGATTAATGTCACTGACACCTTGTGTTCCATTCGAAGCGAAATATGGAGGAATAGTAGATGGGGTGGTTGCGAGCACTCCATTCTATGTTCCGATACTCATAAGTAAATCCCACTCTTCTTCAGCCCCACGAAGCACTGACAACTCGTCTGGAGCACGGATTCGGAGTGAAGATCGTCCACACGGCAGGAGTCAACTGGGAACAGATTGAAACTGTCGGAGCGGAACTCGACGAGCTCAAGGTCTGTGATCGTTTCCGTCTCTTTTTTGCTTCTCGCGCCCCCGGTTTGTGTCGTGTCGCCAAAGGAGGAGAAGAAGAAGCCGAAGAAGAAGATAAATAATGAGCGGGAAGGCGGGCGTGTCGCGAGAGAGTCACACAATGTCCTCTCGATTGGCTTTCCAGATAACCGGGGGCGAGCTCTCCCGGGGGACGTTCCCCCCGGCGCTTACATGTACAACATCTTATTATTCGAGAGAAATGACTGGGATTTTGAGACCGGAAAAGGGATTTTCAGGAACGAGACGTCCGAATCATTCTCGTCGACGTCGACGAGAAAATGGCGGCTACAGTACTCTGCGCCGGATATCACCGAGGAATGTACGGAGACAATTACGTGTGGATTCTACCTGGATATCACTCGAACAAGTAAACACACTAAACAATCCAAAAAAGTCCTGATTACGATTGCAGATGGCTGAACAGCCCGCATGACAACTGCACGGCCGAGGAAATGCAGGTAGCCATGCACAATCACTTTTCCGTCGAATTCGCGCTGACTAGGAGAGACGTGGACACGAAGATTGTCGGGAATACGGTAGGAATCATCTAGGTTTCATAAAACCAGAAGTATGTTTCAGAGGGCGGGCGATGTGTGGGAAGAGATCAGTCGGCTGAATCCGAACAACACGTGGCGCGGATATCTTTACGACGGTTTGTGGACGCTTGCCATTGCTCTGAGCCATTCTATGGGGGAGAATGCGGAATTCTCGCATCACAAAATGATCGAAGCCATTGACAATTCTTCGTTCCAGGGACTGACGGTAGGAACAGACCAACAGCGAAACTGAAAGAGATCGAATTTAGGGTAAAGTGAAGTTCGCAAATAACGAACGGCTTGGACTGGTGGACATTATGCAATGGTCCGATGGACAATACGTCCCGTTTGCGATGTACGACGGGGCCGAAGACGAATTCAAAATCATAGACATCTTAACGAAAGGATGGTCTCCCCCGCTGGATTCAACTATCACGGAAAGGCGTCGCGAGCACATTTCCTCTTTGCTCTTTCTGGCAATGTCACTTCTGGCTCTCATCGGCATCTTCCTAGCTCTTATCTTTCTGTTAATCAACTTCAGATACCGTAATCACAGGTACACAAAAAAGTGGTTCATCTATCAATTCGGAATTCATTCAGATTCATTAAAATGTCCTCTCCCAACCTGAACAACATCATTATTGCCGGTTCAATTTGCACTTTTGCTTCTGTCATTTTGCTCGGATTAGATACTCGGATAGTCAGTTCGGAAGTGTTCGTTTGGCTGTGTTATGTGAAGACGTGGACGCTCTGTCTCGGATTCACCCTCGCATTCGGAGCAATGTTCTCCAAGACGTGGAGAGTCCATTCGATATTCACGAACATTCGCATGGATCGGAAAGCGATAAAAGTGAAAAAGATGATACAATTTCAAGTGTACATAAGCAATTCAGGATTCGAAGCTGTTCCTTATCCTCGGAATTCTCCTGTTCATCGATGTCTGCGTCCTCGTCGTCTGGGCTTTCATTTCCCCGTTCTCTTATACTGTCACCGAGCTTCCACACATTGTAATCAGTTTATCACCACTGCCTCTTACTAATTATCCATGTTTCAGCCAGAAGACAACATTGTGATAGTTCCCGAAGTTGAAAAGTGTCACTCTCCAAACTCTGGAGTCTTCCAAGCAGTTCTTTATGCAGTCAAGGGAGTCCTTATGGTATGTTCGGCCTCCTCTTCTGATCCTTCCCTTCTTTAAGATCCTCGGATGCTTCCTCGCGTGGGAGACCCGCCACGTGAACGTTCCCGCTTTGAACGATAGCAAGTACATCGGGACCAGTGTGTACTGTGTGGTTGTAATGAGTGTGCTCGGACTGTCCACTAGTGTCATTCTGCAAGAACGGGTCAACGAGATGTTTAGTCTCGCTTCTTTCTTCGTCATTTTCTCCACCACTCTCACTCTCTGTCTCGTCTTCGTCCCGAAGGTTCGCTCGCATTTCATATTTCCTTTTAGCTAGAAAACACAAAAAATAAGACGATGTGTGTGTACTCTGTGGTCGGCCATCAAATCTCTTTTAATCTGCTCTCGAAGACCACACTTTTAATAGTGCGAGAAAGAGATATTCAAGGATTACCATTGCTCATTTCCTCCCTTATTCCAGAACAATTTAAATGTTCCAGGTAATTGAATTGGCTCGGAATCCAGTTGGCAACGAGCCGAGAGCTTATCGACGCGGACTCATGAAGAGTGTCGTGGCGAAGACGTCCCAACCGATGTCACCGCAGCCGAGATCGTGAGTGCCATCTTCTCAGTTCAATGAGCTCTGAACCGTTTCAGAGAGAGCACTGGTGACCTTCTCGGAAAAGCGGAGAGCGAAAACAAGTTGCGTAGGCGATACCTGCATCAGGTGAGGGAAAACACCGGGAAACTTCTGATTGAAGGGTTTCAGAAATCAACTCAATTATGGGATTTGGTGGAGAAGCTGAGAGCGAGAGGAGACACTCAGTTCTTACAACAAGGTGAGCGAGAGAAGGGGCGGATTGAGGAAGGTTTATGAGCCCGTTTCAAAAATATCAGAGTGAGAAGAGGGATGATAGATGAGAGACGTCAAAAATAGAAAACCAAATAAAATGAGATGCAAATGAGGAAGAGAAGGGAGGTGATGTTCGATCGGCTGCAAGAGGCGTCCGTGAACACGTTGTCGGCGAATGTGATCTGCAGGCCATACTTATCGTACACCTGAAAACAAGATCTTCTGATGTCGGTAATCAGATCGGATAATATTCGTTTCCCCCGGATATCCTGATCAGAAAGAGCGCCGCCGGACGTGCGTCTTCGGCTGTCGAACATCTTCCGATGCATTTATGATCATCGCTCACCCTTTTGTGGTTGACGTCGTTGCAGAGGTTCGTGGAGCAACAGCAAAACTCGGAAAAGCGAATCGAATGAACGTTGCTTTTGGCGTGATGTTTTGTGAAAAGACTCTGAAAATGGGGCGTTCTCTCTCTTAAATTGTCATGTTTTCCCCTAATTCTCGCACCTGCATTTTATGGTCGAGTTGCCCCAAAGTGGGACACGACACGTCGATTCCCCGGTAGAGACAGTGCGATTCGTGCACACAGAATCGGTCGTAGTACTGTCGGATGGCTCCGCTTCGATTGACTGCGTAGTACTCGGAGTAGCACATCTGAAAGTTGCCGTTCCATGAATGGTTTAGCCAGTGTGGATTAAAATGAGTGAAAAGTAATCCCTCCCTGCGGCCCAACTCGTTTTTCTTTTCTATTTTGTTTAGTTCCGACCAGCACTGGGCATACGGTACCTTCCGCTTTCGTCAAATTTTCGGATATTAAGTTACGAGGCAATGTGCGAATTGGTCCCTCGCGAGCAAGAAATATGACACTTGACTGAAACAGAGAACTTGGAAGCGGGATGCGGGAAGAGCCCAAGGATTCGAGTGGTCCTCGAGGCGGTTGCTAAGTTTCTTTCTTTTTCCTTTTGGCCACAAGGACATCTCAGATGATGTGTACCCAATGATTATCGAGAAAGTTGAAGGCAGAAAGCATTGAAGGAGACGTTTTTGACATGAAAGCTGACATGCTATGCATTTCTGAGCCCTTCCCTTTGTGTTTGTGTGACCCGGTGTGGTTCGCAAAACATCGGAGACAGACAGAGAGGAGAAAAAGTGATTATAAATGCAAATCTCATTCAATTATTGGCCCTCTTCCTCTCAATTCGCCCCGCTCTCAAAAAAAAGAAACGACGAAGAAGATGAACGATCGCATTTCCGAATGTAACATAATTTCCCTTCTGTCAAACACTTCCGCACTTGAAAGCCCCCGTTTTCGGATGAAGTTTCATCTCCGCTCCGTTCTCTTTGCCTTTCCCTAATTATTCAGAAGATGGCTGACTTTCGAGTCGAAAACGTCGTCTCCCTTGTGAGGTATACAGCACACGGGGCTAGTCGAGCCGTGTCTAATGTAAGGCTCGTTGGGGCGAAATCTCGAGAAAAAGTTGTCGAGCCGAATTAGACCTGATGAGAGAAGAGAGGGATCTTTGCAGAGACGCAGACGCATCTGTTCCTGAAGGTTTACACTTTACGGGGCTTCCCAATGATCTATAACCTTCTCGTAAATGACTCAGATCTCTGCAATTCAATTCGGCCTAAGAGGGGGGTTGTTGACGGTGTGATATGGCCAATCGGGGATGTCAGGTAGAGGGCTAAACGGGTCAAACTACGTGAACAATACAAACAAACGGCTTTCGAAAAGTCACGGAGTTATTTATGAACTGGGACAAAAGGGCGGGAAACGAAAGGGCAACGAAGGCTTACCATATTCGGTCCGCATTCGGTTCTCCGATGAGGCACTGGATATGAAGAGTCATAGCATTCGAGAGAAACTGTCGATTGTACTCCCATCCACAATAGAATCAATTGCAGAATGGTGTCTTTCCTCGGCGTCTCCATCGTCGCAGGAGCGCGAGACGTCGCTTCTTCTGCGGCAGCCGTCGAGTAGCAATAACAGGTATGTGGCGGAGTCGTCTGCCCGCCGCCTCGGCTTCTGCCCCGCCCCTTTTGGCGACTTGCCAAGCTGACGGCTCGTAGAGCAGAAGCCGTAATGTGCGGCGAGACGAGTCGAGTAGAGCACGAGTTTCCGGTTTTGATGTTGCCAATTTTTAGAGAGGAAACGAGTTTGACCGCTGCAGGTGCCACTGGTGAGTTGAACGGGGAAATTGAAAAGAGCGGAAGATCAGGCAGAAGGAGGGGAAAAGGGCGTGGTTCATCGAAGATTATTCACTTCTGAGAATGAATTCATAGCATTCCATTCAAGAACACACTTCATTGCACTCTACTTTCTTCTGAAACGGAAACGAAAACGAAATCGAAGCAAGTAAAGTTCGGCGCGTGATTCTGATTCACACTTGTTTGGCCACATCCCTTCCCCTAATTATCCAGTTTGCCTTCTTCTTCTCCCCCTTCCTCTTCTTGCTCCTTTTTGTCCGATGAACTTTCGTTTTCTGAAACGAAAGTTTTTTTCTGAAACGAAAGTCCTTCATTTCAGGCGAGAGATCTTCTGATTGGCCGTGGGTTGATCCGGATGAGCCGAGCACGAAGCTGTGAATTGTGAGATACGAATCTGCCGGAGAACGTGCTTTTTTACTGACTTTATTGCAAGTATTGAAACAATAAACGAGATTATTTGAGTGAAAGACAGATCAGGAGTACACATATATGGAAAGACAAAAAGGGAATCACGCACGGAGTGGCTGCAGTTGACGACGCCATTTATCGAAGAGCTCGGTCATCTGGCGCTTCTCTCGGTTGCAGGTCTCCACGTGATGGCGGGCATCCTCGTCAATACAGTTGCCGAATTCGTCGACGACGCGGCAGGACGGAAGAGCAGTCACGTTGTACTTCTCAATGCACTTCTCGACGATCGGATCCCGGAGAGGGACGACTCCCCACGAGCATCCGTGCTGTTCGTAGTACTCGTCCAACTGGAAGCGCATGTAATCTCGCGAGAGCAGAATAACCTCGATCGGCTGGTTTGTGGCGGCGATCTGCTGGTAGAGCTCCTGCAAAGTCAGCTTGCCACTCGGAAATGATAACGTTATCTGTGTTCCGTTTGCAACTCGGCGTTTCGGACAGTTGGCAGACATGTTAATTGATAAGGGAAGTGGTCAGACGATGGCGAAAAGAAAGAGATATTACCTTCATGATAGGAGTGAATTGACGGCATGGACCGCACCAACTGGCGGAGAAATAGAGGACGACAATCTTAAAATGGAGACTGGATTGTAGTGAAAGGCCTGGATATCAAAGAGTGCCCAGTAACACCGAGAATCAAAAGAAATCGACCGAAAAGGATTTTCTTTCCTAAATGGTATTCACTCACTTTTCCTTTCAAATGATTTCCAGCATCGACGACTGTTCCGTCCTTAAGTCTCAAGCTGGTTCCGCTGAAGAAGTTCGGCGACATGGCTGCTCTGAAATGAAAGAGCGTTTGAAACAAACTTGGAAAAGCCTCGAATGATCGCAGCAGACTGGGCGCTTTCGTCAGACCGCACCCCTTTTGTACGCCCGATTCGACTGATAAGTAACAATGGACTATAGTGGCCGTTTACGAGCAATTTGTGCTTATCGTCGAACAAAGACATACGAAAGTTGTTGACGGCGGAAAGTGAAAGAAGCAAGTAAACTATCAGCAAGAGCACATTTGAATCTCGGAAAGTGGGCGCGCGAGGATCGGAGCGAGCACGGATTATCAGGCAACGAGTCGTTGGTCTCTGGAACCGATCTTTCGGTGCCGGAACAAGTTTGCACGGAAAGCGCCTTATCAACTACACTAGCGACTTAAAGAGTGCTCTTCACCTAAAACGAGGACACACAATGAGCTGTTCCCCAAATGGAAGAGGGCTCTTTATAGAAATGGGCAAGCTGAAACGTTTGTTAGTCATATGTGGGTGTCCGGAACAAATAGACTTATCAATTTTGAAGTCAGGTGGCTGAAAAAAGCTGGAAGTGATTTGATTAGGAAAGGCAGGAAGTTTTCAATTTGAATTGACAGGAGAAGGAAATCGTTAAGCGGACTGTACTAACCGGAAGCGGATAGTACCGACCGTCGACATAGCTTTCATGCTTTATAAAAACAAAAACATGTTTGTTGTTCAGCTTAGATTTTGACTGATACTCGTCAATTTGTGATGAGAATGAGAAAAACGACTTGACAAGCCTAGAAAACAAGCTCATCAAACGTTTTTCGGTGCAGAACTGCTTGAATAACACTGATCCTTAACCTTATGCTGTCCTTAGTCCAAAACTTGCGCCTACCAGCTTGCCCTGTCTGACCGGAGCATCACGGTGTCCCGATTCCCCAAGAAACGCGGCACGACCATCTGAAAACGTGGCACCCTAATCCAGTGATCCCGTGAGATCTAGAGCAGTGATAAACGATGGGTATAAAGCGAAAAAACGTGAAGAGCGGAGCTCAGTTCGAAATTCACACTCGATTCAAGCACACCGTATAAACTCGACGAACGACGGAAAGACGATGAGCCCTCTCGACTATCTGAACGTTGGCATGCTGCTCACCGGCGCTCTTGTCCTGCTGCTCGGCTGTGGAGGCAAGAAGAAGGCCCCGTGAGGTTCTCTCACTTCTTCGAGATCCTAAGAACACTTTCCAGACCATCAAAGACTCCGTCCAAAATGACGCCACCACCACCGGCTCCTGCTCCGCCCGCACCTCCTGCGCCCGCAGCTGATCCCGCTGCTCCAGCAGCTGATGCCGCTGCGCCCGCAGCTCCGGATGCTCCAGCTGCGGAAGGAGAGAAGAAGGAAGAAAAGAAGGACGAAGAGAAGAAGGACGAAGAGAAGAAGGACGACAAGGAGAAGAAGAGTGAGAAGAAGGCGGAAGACAAGGATAAGAAGAGCGAAAAGAAGGATGACGAGAAGAAGAGCGAAGTGAAGGATGCGGACAAGAAGGACGACGAAAAGAAGGACGACGAAAAGAAGGACGACGAAAAGAAGGATGAAAAGAAGGAAGAAAAGAAGGAGGAAAAGAAGGAAGACAAGAAGGAGGAAAAGAAGGACGAAAAGAAGGACGAAAAGAAGGACGAAAAGAAGGAGGAAAAAAAGGAGGAAAAGAAAGAAAAGTCGAAGAAATCGAAGAAGTCGAAGAAGTCTTCGAAGTCCAAGAAGTCCAAGAGGGAAAAGAAGGAAGAAAAGAAGGATGACGACAAGAAAGAGGAAGAGAAAAAGGAAGATGAGAAGAAGGATGACGTGAGTTTGAATGGATCCTTTCTCCCAGGCTGATATTGTCTGTTTTCAGGACAAGAAAGAGGACGACAAGGAGGACAAGAAGGAGTGAGCGGTCGGAACTCGTAACTCTCAATAAACCCTTGTGTATTTATCTTTTTTTCCCTTTCTTTTCTCTGACTTCGGTCGTTTTGACTTCAAACAGAAATGTCGTTTTGCTCGACTTCTATCCCTCGCGTCTGCCTTCTAATTGTCTGTCTTTCGTACACATTGGGGAGTGTTGAATTAAAAATGGGTCGCGTAGAAATGAATAAATAACGAAATGAAAAATGAACGTTGGCCATCACAAATTCATTTCATTCATATATAATTCTTAGGCACTCGGCGCCCCGGACCCCTCACTTTTTCCTCGTTTTCTTTTCCAATTTTGTGGGGCTCCGCGACTATCGTGGACCAAAAAAGAGCGTTATTCGCATCCTTCGTTATCGAATTATTTGTAAAACGTCACCTTCGGTTATCGTTCCGTCCGTTTATCAATGCTTTTGTTATCAGCGGAATGAGCTCACTCGCCTGACTAACTTTTACCCACTCCCAATCGATCGATTCAATTCGAAAGAGTGAGATGACTGAAGCCGTGACCTTGAAACGACCTCGTTCTCCGACGAATCGGGTAAGATTCGCACTCAGAGAAACAGAAAAAGAAAAAGTTGAGCTGATTCAGTCAGAGGAACCCGATGAAAAGTACATGCACATGGCGCCCGCACCGATCATGCTGAATCCGGTGGCAGGAAGTGAGTTGGTCGATTCTGCTACTCGCGGAGCCCCTGCTCCTCCCCCGCCCTTTTCCCACCTGTACTGGCAAATGCTTCATCAAATGCAGCAGCATCAGCAGATGGAACTGCCGATGGTCCGGAAGGAACGGGAAGACGGTCAGTCCTCTCTCCCCCTCTTCATCTCATTTTCCTCACTTTCAGAGTCCACGTCGACGCCGTCTTCCCGCCGACAGACTGTCAACGCGCAGTTCGTTCCGCGTCCGATCCGCGTGCCGACGCAACCGTTCCTCAATCCGCTTCCGTTCGGAATTCTCCCCCAGCACTTGGCTCTGCCGCCCTCCGAAGTTCCCGCTCAAAGTCCGCCGCCTGCCCGTCCGATTTCTCCCCAACACATTTACAATGTTCCCAGTTTTCAAAGGGCTGACGAGGAAATTTACAGTGTAACGCGGCGAAATGGGAGCCAATTAACGATTGAGTCGACTTTCAGAAATTCGTGGAATCGGTGCGGAAACTGGCGGCGAAACTGACGGCCACAGAGAAGAGTTGAAAATAACCATTAAAAACGTTTAATTTTATTCGCATTTTCACTTGTTCCCTCTCTTATTTCGGATCTCGCATAAACGATCATTCCTCAAAAACTTTAAACTCGAAATGTTCGGTTATTCGGAAAGGACAAATCAATGGATCGTCGGCGTTTTCTCCTTGAATGCCTTCGTGCTCGTCTACGTTTATTTGTTCGTTCCTCCATTCCATCTCAATTTCGATTATTTCCCTTCAGGTTCTTCCACCAGGAATGGATCAGCACAATTTGTTCCATCCTTCTTCCTCTTTTGGTTTGGCAAATTCTGATCTTCGGAGTCTTCGCCCCAGATGAGGTGTTCATGGATCTGATCGGAGAAAACCACCCAACTAACCAGTCTTCTGATGTACTCGTTCAAACGTTTCTTTCACAAAACCTTGCCACTTCAGCGACTCCAATCTCCCACTGCACCGTCGATTCGAGCAGTCATCGTTTCCTCTGGCGACCATTGAATTGAAGCTGCTTTTCAATTTATCATAGATTCATAAAATAATCGGGGAATACTCGAATAAAGTTAAAGAACGGACTGTGCTTTCGGGGAACACACTTCAATTTAAACCGAGATCAGAAGACCGGATACATCCGAGGGAACTGAAGGTGCAATAAGTGATGGGAAAAGTGGATTATACAGTCAATCGAAACATATCATAGCACAAATATCAAGTTGCAATAAAAAAAATGGCTGGCGATAGTTAGTCAATGCGCTCGAAGTATTCGATGACTCTTTCTATGGCACGGAACCCCGACTTGGACTCTACCCGTTTCGCCTGAAATGAGATCATTTTTATGATGTTGAGGGAAAACTCTTACGATGGTGGTCTTTGTAAATTCGTATAGACGTTTCAATTGCGATATCATGTTTTCAAAATTCCCTCCGGGCAAGTGTTTTCGAACGTCGCCTAGGTGTTCTTCGTTCTGCTGCAGAACAAATCCAAGAAGCAGCGCGTGGTACGAGGCAATGACACTGTCCTCCATGTGCGCAGACGCTTTGTTCATGACTTGCTGGAGAGCATGAACAACGTCCACCTGATCCATTCTGTCCATTTTGTTGCGATCGAGACGCCCATCCTTGCGAACACCGTCCTCGTCACTGCTGCTCTCTCCTTCTTCTTCTTCGTCTTCATCTCCGTACCCTCCTTCCTGAAAATTCAAAGTTCAACGCTGAATCTCCGCTGGATAACTTACATCGAACGCTAATTCTCGATCTAGGTCGGCGTCTACAATCTGAGCTTGAGATTCGTGATGGACGAAAAGCTGAATAACAAATTTTATTCTCATGTAATTGATAGCCTAGTCTCACCCTTGTTATGGCTTCCAAAGCGGAAACTTCTTCTTCTTCCTTTCCTGGAATGACCATCTGAACAGTTATCATTAGCTTAGAATTCTCAATTCAAGCACACCTTTACAGTCTGAGAAATCAAAACTTTGCGATTTGTGTTGCATTTTTCGACGAGATTTGTCAGGAGAGAAGTCATCTGTGAATTTAGAGGTTTTGATTACGAAAAAAAGTTGATTTTACCATAACATTGATATCGTATCTGTCCTCTTTTCCGAACTTCGGAGCAAGATAAGTGAACGTGGTAAGCGCGTTCGGCAAGAATCCATCGATTTGGCCAAGCTTTGAGCAGCAAAGTTCATTGTCATGTGAGATATTGATGAGTAAACGGCACATAAGAGCCAGGCAAGACATGTATTTTTTGAGAGTTTCTTCAGGCAAACCGTCTGCTTTGTCGTGAACTATTTGTAAGAATCTGCAAAATGAAATTATTGGAAGTGTAGAAATGGTTCAGAGCGTACTTAGCTAAACTGGCGATGAGAGCATTGGAACGATGTGATATCAAGAATGCCTGATTCTTTTTGTGAAAAACCGAGCTCTAGAAATAATATCATGTTTAGAGACAAACATATCAACACAGATTACCGATTCCAGAATTCTGAAGCACCGGTTGAGAATTAGGACGTGGAAGAGATCTTCGCTTCCCTCCGCAATCGCATTCACTTCAGTTTCAACTGAAATGCCCGAAATATTTATAACTGGGGTCAGTCGAACTCACTTTTCGCCACTACAAACTGCAAGATTCCGAGATTCAGAAGCTCATTTTTGAACGCTTCGTCGGAAACCGCACGACTACAGATGAACACTAGTGCTTCGATAATGAGCGCCGAGGGAGTGAGATTCTCTTTTCGCATATCGAACGAGACCTTCTGACCGCCAATTTCCTGCTTTTCAATATACGAACTGAACACTTCCCAGATCATATTCACAACACGTTCTTTGTCTTCTGGCCGTTGCTCCATTCTTTCGATTTTCAGCAGTTGACCCACTAAGCGCAGCGTAATGTAGTCAATTTTGATAGAATTGAAATCCCGAGTGAGAAGATAAATCACGGTGGATGCTGCCAATGCGAAAAGCTGAAACGAAAGGTGGTCTACTAGAAAGGTGTTTTGCTATTAAGTACTTCATCTTCGGGCGAATTCAGTAGAGATTTCATGATGCATTTTGTCATGTTCTCACTCTTGATGAACTGGCGGAAATCAGGCGAGACACATTTCTTAGCAAGAGAAATAGCGCTAAAACGTCGACTTTGTAACTACAGGAGAAATTTTTGAGACCTGAGGCATTTAACTTTCTCGGAAGCAGTAGCCGATTGAAGACTGCTGAGAATGTAGACGACATCTTGTTTAAAGTCATCGTACTCGCCAGATTCGCGCAACTCGTTAGCCTCCTTGATGTGCTTTACTCGAGACCTCTGTCCGGCTGCCATAGCAGAATTTCTAACATCGGGAGCTTGTTTTTGCTGTAAATTATCACAAATTATGCAAAAAACGTCGAAGTGACGACCTGTTTTCCCGCAATGGCTGACGACTGAGCCGGCCTGGAAAAATGTCTGTTTGAGGACGAAGAGGAAGCCATTTCATCGTCATCAGCGTCTTCATCATTCCTCCATGTGTGTCTGTACACATGTTTTTTTTCTTGCTTCGGAATGAACTTTGCGCCTTTCACTGAAATCATAGCTAATTTTCTCGTCGTCTGCCTTTTCATTCTTACTGTCCACTTCTTCTTTCTTTTTCTTCTGAGCAGGCGCTGTTGCAATATCTTCAGCATCGTAATCGAAACCACGGCTTGACGATTTTTTTGTGAGACGTGGGGCTGTCCCTTGACCAATTCCAGATGCCTCTACAGTGTTCGTGACAGTCGATGTCGATGATTGACTCAACGCTTGCTGGTTGATTTCCGGCTCACTGTCATCACTTGAGAGATTCTGTAAGTTTCTCTCCTAACAAGAATAAAAAACTGTAACTAATAAATCTTACAATGTCCGGATTTCCTTCTGACAATGTTTCCGGGAGACTCAGAGGAGGAGATGACAAATTGTTACCAGCAGCACTAGGAGAGTCGGCGTTTCCAACTGAAATAATTTTCAGTTAACCGTATTCTCTCCAATTTTGGTACCAGTAGGAAGTAGATCTTCTTCCATCCCTTGATTGGCAACCTGTTGCGCTAAAGTAGCTTGGAATCTCCGTCTGACGAACCTATATTTCAGATTTCTTTGAAAGTTCTTTCAAAAATCTACTTACGGTTTGGAAAACGGATCGTCCTGGTCAGATTGTGACGACATTTTTTCCAATCCTAATTTTTCGTAGCCAAACCCCTTACAATTGCGAATTAAGTACACTGCGCAAACTGGTAATAACACACTGGTTGCAGCGTTGAGAAATGGTTGGCAGCTCTCGCCGTAAATCTACACCACCTACCGTACTTACACTCGCGGCGAGGCCTCTGCGTATCTAACCCGCTGGCCTGCTGCCAAATGGGCGGAGTCATCGTTTGCGCGCGCTTTTGAGCGTCGATTTATTCGTTCAAACGATGCATTGTTCATTTGTGCACAAATCACTATTCATGTGCGGCGCTTTGTTGCTCCCAGAGTTCTCTGAATGAGTTTTCAGTTGCCAGGAACTGGGCCTGACCTTAGAAACCGTTTTTCCCACTTTTAATGCCTATTGTGAGCATCTCTCACTTTTCCGCATTGAAATACGAATTGTTTGATATTTTCCTATTCTTCGGATGTTTTGAATTTCAATCTCATTTTCATTTTTTCCATTATGTTCCGCGACTAATTTTTGAATTTTTATTTTGCCGTTTTACAGAAACTTCTACTTCGTCGAGAATGGCTGGTGGAAAAGGAAAGGCTGGAAAGGACTCCGGAAAGTCCAAGTCGAAAGTCGTGTCGAGGAGCGCTCGCGCTGGTCTCCAGTTTCCTGTCGGAAGAATACATCGCTTCCTGAAGCAGAGAACTACCTCGAGCGGACGTGTCGGAGCCACCGCCGCAGTGTACAGGTACACTTAAGATTTAGTTCAACATTCCCAATGAAATCATAACTTCAGCGCTGCTATTCTGGAGTACCTCACCGCCGAAGTGCTCGAGTTGGCCGGTAACGCCTCCAAGGATCTCAAGGTGAAGCGTATCACGCCGAGACATCTCCACCTCGCCATCCGAGGAGACGAGGAGCTCGACACTCTCATCAAGGCCACCATTGCCGGAGGAGGTTTGTTCACAGGAACTACTGAGCCGGATTTTATTTAAATCGTTTCAGGAGTCATCCCACACATCCATCGCTACCTGATGAACAAGAAGGGCGCCCCACAGCCGGGACAGAAGCCGCCAGGAGCTCCAGGACAAGGTCCACAATAAACGGCCAAATAATCATCACACATTGAATAATTTATTCTAATAATTCATCCACCCTCAAAATTAATCTCCTATGTTTAGGCGACGATATTATTTTATCACTGCCTCGAAAGTATTCATACCTATTACTGTCTCATCCCCTCCATTCACTTTTTAAATGTTTTAAACCAGATACTCGGCCGCAACTCGGTCCGTTTCGCGTAGGGCGTCTGTTGTAATCTGCAAGTCGACTTCAAGTTGAACATGTTTATCACTCGTATATCCCACATTTAAAATGTCTTTTTTAATTGAATAAAGATCTCGAATGGAAATGTCGGTAAGTTTTTCTGAAAAGTGAAACCAACGTTTCAAATCGCTGTATCGATTCGCGTCTCGAGAGGACACAGAGAAATAGAGGGCCAGTAGACACAGCCGTCGTCGGCATGACGCATAGTCAGTTGTTTGCGATCGAACTGCTCTCATTCGTTTCGAACCTTTTTCATTTCTTCTTTTCCTTAACAAAACTCGAATGTTGGTACAAATAAAGGATTGGTTCAGGATGCCGCCGAGAGACGCCGTTGCGACGTCCACTCAGCTGAGCACGACCGCATCGGATAGTGTGCAAAATGACACGAAAACACTCAAAAATCGACCGAAAGGTACTTTTACTACACGATTTCGAAATATTTATTGAATTGCGACGCATCAAGTAAAATACTCTGTCGCTGATTCTTTTCGTAATGTTTTTCAGAAAAGTTTTTCATGAAAACTTGGTCTTCTTCGAAAGTAAACAGCAAATTTCGGAGTGAGTACCTTAAAATGATTTGTTTAAGCCAGTGCACTCCGACAACAGAAGCTTCCCGCATGGCAACCGATTCTGACGGCGTCAACAGTGATTCCGACGGTTATAGCCATCGGAGTAATTTTTATTCCGATCGGAGTCGCTCTCTATCTGGCTGCAAACTCCGTTCAAGAGTTCAAAACGGAGTACACCAATTGTGGATCAACCTGCGAATTACACATTTCACTCGACAGGAACTTCGACGGAGACGTTTATTTGTACTATAATCTGGATAACTACTATCAGAATCATCGAAGATACGTCAAAAGCAGAAACGATCAACAATATCTGGGTGATCTGACGGTAAGACGGCGGCTTCAAACTCGGAAAGAAAAAGTTTTGTATCAGAATGTGAAAGATTGTGGCCCTTTCGATTACGATCCGACGACGAAGAAGCCGATCGCCCCTTGTGGAGCCATTGCCAACTCCATATTCAATGGTCAGTCACTTTCCCATTCTATTCTCTCGGTTACGTTGCCCCACGCATTCCGAATGGCCTGTTAATACGGCAGCTCGTGATGGAGAGCAGCTGTGCCGGTGCGCGCGATCTCCTGTGTGCCCCGAACAGCTCCCGCTGTCGTTGTGACCCGCATCGATCGATGATTCATTGCAGACACATTCACATTGGACTACCAGCCAGCAATCGGTCTCGCAGAAGCTGTGCCTGTGACAACTGAAGGAGTCATTTGGAATGTGGACCGAGATCGCAAATTCAAGAACCCGGCTATACCGGCTGGAGGAAATCTGTGCGACGCATTCAAGGTGGGTCGAGTGTGGCGTCATCGGGGTCACGTGTGCGCAGCATGCAACAGCTGTTGTGCAGCGAGTGCTCTTTGTGTTCATAGCAACAAGAGGGATAGGATAAACGGCGGAGAATATGAGGGGAAGGGACCGACAGTATAGACCGGAGTGGACAAAGAAATGGAAGTATTGCAGGACACTGTTCGACCTCCAAACTGGAACAAAGATCCGTGCGAGATGGGAGGCTTCGAGAACGTTGATTTCATCGTTTGGATGCGAACCGCAGCACTCCCGTACTTCAGAAAATTGTGGAGAATTGTGAACAGAAGCGAATCGCAGACCTTCGCTAACGGATTACCGAAGGGAAACTACGTTCTGAAAATTCAGAATAGTGAGTTTCAGACCTGAACAGTAATTTGAGCGAATTTTATTACAGACTATCCAGTTCAATCGTTCGGCGGTAAAAAGGAATTCGTAATCTCGACAACGAGCTGGGCGGGCGGCAAAAATTCATTCCTCGGAATCGCCTATCTTGTGGTCGGCTCACTCGCCATCGTACTCGGAGTCGTCTTCATCATTATTCATATGAAATACGGTCATTCGTGAGTGGATAATCACATTCCTTCTATCATAATAACATCCAATTTCAGAATGGACGACTTGAGCAACGTAAACGGACTCCAGCACTGATGATCCGCGCTGTCTTTCGATCGTGTACATTCGGAGCCGTGCATGCTTCCTGCTCCATTCCTTTTTCTTCAATTTCGCCATTTTCGCACTTTTCGATAACCGACAAAAGCTACTCTAGATCGGGTACTGACCGTTGTTTCCCCTGTTCACTGTGAGTGCGTTGTGATATAATGAGAAACATTTGAATAAATATTATATACCTCTCCCGGACGGTCAGTTGCAAAGATCGTGCGACGATGACGTCACGTCGGCTCAGAAGAAGGGGGCGAACAACATAAAACCATGAGAAGGAGTCTCGTTTGCCTCTCGAAATTAGGCGATAACGGCCGCTTTATCAGACGAAGCGGCCTACGACCCGCGGGTTTTTTGACTGATAACCATTACATTCCAAATATTTTGCATCGCTTCGTCCGACCATTTCCCCTCTGCCCGAAATGGCTTCTCACTCGGAAAACGACGTCGTGCCCGAAATGATCGACCATCGACATATGCAGATGTGGAGGTTTGTGTTTTTGGAACGAAAAGGAGAACGGTTTAAACGATGACACCATTGTGAATCAGAAGGGCGGAATGGAATGCGGAGAAGCGATAAGAAGTGAGAGAGTGACACGTGGAAATTACATCAGAATCATTGAGCTCATGGCTCAATGGTAATGTAATTGAGCTCAGAGCCACCTAGTTATCAGGCTCTAATTTCAATTCCCAACATCACGGTAATGTCTTTTCCTCTTCTGATCCCTCCTCAATCCCGCTCCGTCTCCAGTTCTCTTCCTAATGCCAACAGTTGGCTTGGTGCCAACTCTTGCATGTTTTGCAACAAAAGAAGCAGGTGACACTAAAAATAAGAAGAATGAGATAAAGAGCGAGACGTTTGAAATGATTACAGATGGCTGCACAGTCGGAATGGAGTCCGCACGAACACTTCGGAGACGTCGTTCGAGTCTTCCATTTCCGTCTCGACCAGCAGCTTCGACTTTAGGTACGTCATTTTCTTCTTCTTCTTTTCCTTCTTCTTCTTTTCCTTCTTCTTCTTCTTCTTCTTCTCCTTCATCCATTTCTTATTCGCTTCGCTTCCGACCAGTCCTCGTCTCTGCGCCCTCCACGTCTTCCGTTCTCTTCGATAAATTGGCCTACATTGGGAATGTAAGCGATTCGTTCGTCGGCCGGCGCCTTCTTGTATTCTCCCAAGATTCGACTGTTTTCTGCACTCTATTCTCTTCCGATGGGTCCGCTGGCGTTCGTGCTCATGTGCCAGTACTCGGGAAATCTGCTCGTCCAATTCGTTTACTACATCCTCTCCGAATACGTCCTCGAACATTTCGAACGTCCACTTCCGGAGCAGGAGCTTTTCCTTGATTGACAGCTGAGGACACCTGGTCGCGACGAAAATAAACGATGTTTGATGTTGTGTTGATGGAATTACACACTGAAATTCGCGAGCGATAACGGATCTCCCGAATAGTTTATCACATTCGAAAAGAGCGGAGAAAGTGGGCGATTTGTCACCTGAACAAGCTGGAATTCCACACTTTTGCATTGTTTTTCTTGAAAAGAATTAGATAAAGAATAGCACTGAATTGAAAGAATTGAACAAAACATGAAATGGTTCACATTCTTCACAGACCTCTGGAATGGAAGGAATGGTTGCAAAGTACGAAGCATTCTCTCTCTTTTTTCCAGAATACAAACGTGTTTGTCGTTGTTTCACTGCACTCCGCTCTCAAAAAGTTCTTGTGTGTGTGTGTTCCAAATGAACAAACGTACTGCTTCGTACTATTTGAGTTGCTCCGAGAGACTTATGCTCCATCTCTCGCTCCTCTCGGTTCCAAACCCGATCCATTTCTTTCTCCGTCTGTGTCTCTGTTCCTCGAGACAACGTGCAAATAATAACGCAGCGATCACGGAGAGCGTCAAGAATGTGAGGAATTCGAAAATCGGCCCAGGGTGTCGTGGCTGAGGCCCAGCCGCTCCCGCCCGGCCGCCTGCGTCCACCTGATCATTCGGATGAAATGTTCCTGTGCAACGCGACGACCGTGGCGCCGTTCGACGTCTCCTGGAAGTGTCCAAGTTGGGAGGCGGCGACTCCGTCGAGATGGTAAGTGCCGAGATCCACCGTCCGTCTGTTTGTCCATGTTTTGTCGGCTGCGTCTTGCAATCTCGTTCCCGCGCAGGCGCAACATACACACGAGAAATCAGTGCGAATTCGCAGACCCAGACGATACGGGCAGTCTGTAGCAAACGGGAAGACGAAGAAGACGAAGTAGAAGAAGACCGTCATTTTTCGAATTTTCCGAATTTCTACTGTCGCGCCTTCTTCGTTTCTAGTTTCAGATCGATTTATCTCTTTCTCTCCGCCTCACGAGCGGATGCGACTAATTGGTCAAGTTGCCCGTCTCCGTCCGGCCGAAGACGTCGTCGTCGTCGTTCGTCTTTTTCGCGACGACGGCAGCGACGACGAGACGTTAATGTTGTTTTGGTGTGCCGTAGTTGGCCCTCTTATCATATCACTTTGATGGCAAACTGTTTAGCACTCGCTTCTTTCGGTTTTGTCCCCCCACTCCACCTCCCTCTTCTGCCAAGACGACCTCGGTGTAAAGTGATCGTCTGGAAGAGGGTGAATGCCAACCTGATCCTCCTCACACGGCCTATAAATTCGCCCCCAGAAAGTCTGCGAACATCACGTGCGTCTCTCTTATCATTATTCGTCGTGAAGAATCGCAGATTTGTCCTTCGCTTTCGTGTACGTTTCATCAAATTTTCTTATCCGCTGTGACAACCAAATCTGGCTGGATGTTCGATTGTAAACATTTCGGCGCTTATGTTTCCCCATTGCCGCCTGCCATTCTTTTTTTCCGAAATAGAAGCTATTCACTGCGAATTTCTGTCTCCAAAGTATAGTTGATAACGGAAGAATTCGCTCATCTCCCACTGGCAGCTCGTCTCACAAAGACCGGTTGATTCAAAAGAATTCTCCAAGAGATGACAACGTCTTCGTTTTCTTGAAAAGTCGTTATGAGGTGATTGATGATAATTACCCAGATTTCATGAAACCCCCAATCAATGTTGTGATAGTGACATCTCATCGGTTACTGTAGTCCTATTTTGCCGTATCAATCGAATTCCAACTACCGTATTCCTGCCAGAAACACCTCTGACATCGTACGAAAAGCTCCATAAAATCTAACGGCGTTCGTGGGCTTTCGCGAGTCTAACCTATAATTAGGATTGCGTGACGCGTCAGCCACTTTCTGTCCATCCGCCCTTTCCTTCGTTCATTCTCCAGTTTTCAGCGCCGACATGTCCCGTTCCATCGACTCGTCCAGCTCGCGAATGCTCCCTTCTCCGATCACCAACTTCGTCACTCCGTCCTCTTCGTTCTCCAGCCACCAAATCCATGGTAACCCGTCCCTTTCCCCAACTTCGAACTATTCATGCCTTTCAGACATTTACTCCTTGGCTGCTAGTTACCTCCAGGCCCCTCCACCTCCGTACACTCCGACGACAGCCTTCCATCCGCACAATGCTTCCCAGCTCCTTCTACTTCACAACATGGCCGCTGCCGCTCAGGTGAGCCCTTTCGTTATGTCGCTCATACCTCATCTCAATGTTTCAGACGCCCGATGATGCTGACGTCGACGTCGTCGGTTTGGCTGACACAACCAATCTGGTGTCATTGAATGACAAGGAGGAGGAGGAGAAACTTAATCAGACCGTTTCGGAAGAATCCGATCGGATAAGCATATCCACTACAGAGGATAACGTGAGTTTGACCGATCCACGGAGATTTCCATTCGATTCCATTTTCAGCCACTCGATCTGAGCTGCAAGCCAACTTCTTTGGACTCTCCAACTTCCTCTTTCGCCGCTTTACGGCCATCGGTCATCATCGACCATCACGCACAAAGTCAGTTCCCACTCGGAGTCTCCCTCCAATGTATTCCATTTCAGAATCTCACACATCAGTCCGACGCTCCATGTCATCTGTATCCTCTTCGGCGTCCTCAACGCAAGAAGAAGTGGCCGCCCATTTCCGCAGATCACTCTCTGGTAAATGGCCGAAAAGATGCAAAGTGAATGCAGACGAGGTGAGAAATAAACGGAATGCGTTGGTGAACCGAGACGTGCTGCAGGCCCGGAACTCTCCGCTCCGCCGTCGTCCCTCATTCAACACCCACACATCCGTGTCTTCCCTTTCGGCCCATTCCGTCTCTCCTACTCCGCTGAACGTGCCGTCTCAGACGATTATTGTGAACAATCACTGTTCAGGTGAGTCTCCTTTTCCTCCTCTTCCCGCTCATTTCTGCTTTTCTTCCAGACACTTCCCTCTCGGTCGCTGATCATTTCCGTCGTGCGCTCTTCGGAAAAGGAATCTTCGATTGGCAAAAGAAGTCCAACCAGTGAATGTTCCGATTGTATATTTTCTATTCTATTCTATTCTCTAATCATTATGTACTCCATGACCGCCTATTTCCTTTCCTGAAGATCCATTATTTGTGATACCCAATTCATTTAATCTGAGCCCACATTCCCCGGTTAGATGTCTATGTCATTTCGTTTCGCATTTCTCCGCATTTTATTCGGAACAGTAGAAGTAGTAACATTGAATACAATAAATTATCAAGAGATCCATCGTTTGAGCACTTTTTTGTCCGCAGCCTATTCCTTTCATCCCAAAAATCGATCTCTTCTGTTCAGAGAGTTCTTCAGCAATTTTCGTGTCGAGACAACGTTGGCCATGAGCGGAGAGTCGGAAAAGTAAAACTGTGGTCGTTTGCAGAATCCGCAGCTCTTTGCGCAATACAATCTGAGCGCCGACTTGCTGAAAACTTGCTTTGAGCAGGGCTCCGTCTACTCAAAATGTACCTGAACTCGTGCTGACATGCTCCGCTCTCCGCCAGCTGCTCGCACGTTTCCAACTCGTCCTTGCAGTCGGACATGTTCTGCGCCAAATCGTTCGGAGGATTGCAGTACTCGCAAGTCCGCGGACAGTATTCACTCGCCACCGACAGCTTGCACGCTCCTTGAGATTTCACTTCTTCACAGTCAATCTTTATCGAATCGATGCATTGAAAACCTGGAAGACGACGATTGATTCGGTTGGGGTTCGTTTGGAAATACCACTGCAGTTCTTGCAAGTGACTGGACACAGTTTCAGATAGTAACCGGGGCGAGAAAGACACGTGTCAGCTGTTATGTGCTTGCAAATCATGTCGTCTTTGTCCTTGCATCCCAACAAATTTATGAGAGAAGACATGGACTTGGGGTTGGGATCAGACTGCCCCGGAGTGAGGAACGGCTCGACCAACTGCATTGTGCTCTCGTAAGCGGGAGGTCTGGACGGAGCGATCGAGTTCATCTTCTCGTCGGGGTACTGTGGATACTGAGAGTAAGACGAGTAGTAGGTGGGAGGAGAACGACGGGACGAATCGAGAGAAGATGAGAGACCGAGCGGAGGGGACCAGGGAGAGCTGAAAGGGAAGATCGGGCCGTGGGAAACATCAGGGAAGGACTCACTACTGGGAAGGAATCTGCTGATGAATCGGGGTGAAGGAGTACGGACTGTACACGTTTATTGGCTGGATTCGAATAGGCTCCGGCTCGGGCCAAATCCTCTGCGGCTCCGGAATGAGCTCTTCCATGTGCGCGATCGGATACTCGATTACGGCAGGAGCTTCTGGTATGGAGTAGATGGTATCGTCTAACTTTTCATATTTTGGCAGTGGTGGGCTTATGAAAGTGCCGTTGGGCAACATTCTCGCCTTTTTGAGACGAATCTGCAACAGGAGAAGTCGAAATGGGCAATCGTTTAATGGGGTACCGTTGGGCTTCTGGTGGTTGTGGCTGTTGGATTCTTCAGAAATTGAGTAACAGGGATCGTTTCTGAAACACTATTTGTTAGTTTGCAGAAAATAAGTTTGCGTAACTGGTTCTCTTCGCTTCAATTTTGGCTTTCGAATAACACTTTCCGCACAGTTTGGGACAGTAATCGGAGAGCATGTCATCGCAGTCTTTCTTCCGTTCCTGGCTGCAAGTGATGAACTTCGAATCGTCGCAGAAGTCTGAATGCTCGGAAGAGTGAGTCATTTACATGAGAGCTACTCACCGATGCATCCTCCGCACGTCTTTCTACAGTAAACCATCGCGTATCCTGGACGGACTCCGCAGTCATTCGGGTTGCAATACGGACTTTTGTCCTCACAAGATGCTTGAACTGAGGACAGAAGACTGCTCAGCAGCAAGAGCAGGAACATATTGTACACTTGTGAGAAGATGCGTAACTGTGAAGAAGCGAGTTTACGCGGCGTGACCAAATAGGCGACAAATTGTTTGCAGGGCAACCAATTAACGAGAAACTGAACAAGAAACTCGATATCGTCCAGTTGGGTATTGTGTGGGCTCTGCTCACTCGGGGAGGGCTCTCCGCCGCTTCTTGAGCCCTCGCATGTCTTCTTGATCAGCCGACACGAGTGGCCGTGTCGGAAGGTTTGCGTGAAAACGTGTAAACTCGGGCATGGATGTCCTGCGGACTTACCGTCGGCGCTGGAGTGTGTCCCCGGAAACGGCGGAGACTGTTTGCCCACTCCATGATGATTTGATTGAGCAAACAAACGAACGTCACTTCGGATCAGCACTAATTACTCGGCAGTTCGGGAAGGAGACAACGACGAACACGCAAAACAGAGTAGAATCGGACAGTTTGATACCGGGAGCAAGGAGCACACAGACGAGAGCAGAATCTTGTTTTTCACTTGCAGAACACGACTACACAACGGTGCATTTTGAGCTGCGAACTTGCAAAGAAAATGGGAAAAGTGATCGGGGAAGAATCGGATGACACGTGCTCATTGAACCGTTATCAGTAGTCATCAAAACATAAAAAAGGTCAAAAAGGAATAGGGAGTTGAATTGGAAGGAAGTACAAAAACAGTCAAATGGGGGCGGAAAAGTGCTGTGAACCAGACAAGAATTATGAAGATGAATGAACAGTTTGGAAGGAGAAGAAAAACGGGTTCGATCTCATTTCAAGGTGGTCAGGATGGAAAGCGAACAAATGCGTACTGGAGTGGTGTGCTCCTTCTTCCTTTTCTAATCTTTTGTCCGTTCAGACCAACAAAACAGTAGGGATTGTAGCCGCTAATTCTTGATCAAGAGGGGCGAGCACGTGTGTCCGAAGAGGGCACGCCGTCTGTTTCTATCCGTATCGTCGTAGTAAACTTGTACGTCTCTTCTTATCACCTTGTTTTCTCGTTGACGACGAAATTGACGAAAAATAAACTACAGTAAAAGGGGAAGCACATTTTCAACTTCTTCTCACTCCTTCTCTCGCATTCGCTTTTTTTCTGATTTTGTTCTCACACAGCGAGTACAATGTGAGAGAACAAGTTGATTGTTTTGGCACCACATGGGTGTTATAATAAGCTTCTCATGGTCTTCCATTCTTGGACTTTTCCACGTTTTCGTTTTCGACGACATCGTCATTGGCACGTTCCTCACTACGCCGTGAGATCTCACGGCCCGGCTTTTCATACATAGGACTTTCGGTTTTTTCCATATATCTCCAAAAATCGAACATAGGGACCTCTGATTTTTTGATAAGAGTTCAATTTTACTGGGTTCTTCAAAATGAGCCAGGTCATTGGTAGATGTAAGGTTTCTGAGAGAAGTTACAGCTTCACAACTTCCACTCCTCCGTATGCTTTGCCGGCCCGTGAGATCTGTGAATGCGTGAGTTTCTCCCAATATCTGTACTCATTTCATATTATTCCTGCTCCTGGCTCAACACGTTTTTATGCCCGTTTCGAGGTGTTCGCTCGCCACCTGATTGTCCCTGATCTCTCCTCCGCGGCCGTATTCTCTGGCCGATTCGCGGAAGCGCCGGACTCATTGTGTGCTTTCGTTCATATCATCACGTTTCGGTTCGGTTTTCCGTGTTTCTGCCAACCTAAACACCGCCTTTCCACGTAAAACGGATCGGGGAGTTAGCGCTGAGAGCGAGGAGAGCGCAGAAAACGGTTCTCTAGGATCGGAACCGGTGGACCGGGTATAAAACGGTTGAAAATGAAGAAGGAATAGTCATTGTTTCTTCTTCTCGTTCCCTTCCATTCAATCCTCATCCGACGCCCTCCTACAGTTTTTCGTTCAGTTATTCCTAGTAGGCAGTGCTCGTTTCCGGCCCGAAAAGGCAAACATCTATTGTCGCGCGGAGCTTCTAACCATATACTGAAGGGAATAAGGAAGAGAGAGAGAGAGAGAGAAGGAGAAGGGAGAAGGAGAAGGGGGAAGGCATGGTAAGCGCGATCTTACTGGTTCGGTAACAGATTCCGTCTGGTTTTTGTTTGTGATTTCGAAAAAAGAAATGATGGAACCAAGTGTTTGTGTTTGAACTTTTGGGTGAAAAAGTGACAAAGTTGACGGAAGAGCATGTTCCAGGAATTGCTATTTCCGTGATTCTGAAGGCTCACTCTCACAAACCCGAAGCGTACTCGTTCCTTTCTACCGTACACCTTGCCCGTATCCCTGTTCATCCCATCATCTCCTTCTCCTCCTCCTGCTTCCTGTTTTGTTCTGATCCTCAGTTCCTGCTCCGTTTCACGTGATCATCCATCCTAATCGCCACTAGACCCTCCAACAAAAAATTGCCGAATCGGGCAAGAAGCTCACAGTGTTCGGTTGTTTGCGTTGGCCCGATGCCCATATTCCGAGTGTTTTTGCTGGCTTCCAATCAGCTGACTGATCGGCGGTGGCGGCCGAGCGGGCAGCTCCTTCCGCGCATCACATCACTCCGCATCATCAGTGCTCCGACACAAAAAAGAACGAGCAAACCGTGTGTTTCTGTGTTCTCCGGAAAGAGCTCTCTTCCGTGGAGCCTCCGCGCGTCGCGTGCTCTTTCGGTCCGGCTCACTAGTTCAGGTTCAGCACCGCCGTCCTCCCTCGAATCCAGCCCCTTCGTGATTGTTTATGCGCCACTCGGCTGCACCGCAATCAAACTGATCCTCCATCGTTCCAGAAATGAGACGGCTCATTCTCGTGCTCACCACCTGCGCGTTCGCAGAGTCCATTGGAACTATGCTTGTACAAGGACACGCCGACACAATACGGACCCTCAGAGACATCGTGAAGCACTCTTACCAGCCGTGAGTTATCATTCTTTCTTTTTCGAAGAGCGGGATATTGCTTGACATCATAACAGGCTCTAATTTGTGTGTGAACACGAACGAATGAGTCAGAGCCCTTTGAAAGACCACAAGGAAACCGTCTTTGTTGTCCTCTTTCCCTCAACTTTTCCTTTATTCAGAGCTCTCCCCGAATGGCTGCCGCCTCCAGAAATGCCGACGCCTTCAGAAGTCGTTCTCAGCGAAAGGAAGACGAAGACGTCACCTGCGTCAAAGACGAGAAAAGTTCAGTTTGTCGGCAAAGGCCGTGCTCGTCGTCACATCGGAAATGTCGTCGTGGAGTCAGGTACCGTTCCGAAGACGTTATTTTTCAATTCGCTTCGGTTCCAGGACAGTGTGACCACGTGGATCTGATGGACTGTTCGGACTTCGAAACGGACGAGATGACGTGCATGCTGACTGCAACGGGGATGACGTGTTGCGTGTGCACGGGACTGCTCCGAGCAGCCAAACGGAGTCTGTTCTGAATAGAAAACAATAGTAATGAGTAGGTGAGTGAGCGAGAAAACGTCGTCGCCGGGCGGAGAGATTCTGAATTCCCACATGGAATTAGTTTTCGCAGGAGGCAAAACAGCCCCGGAAAAATTGGTCCCCGATCAGACACTTTCTGCAATCCGGAATCAAACGTTATTTCCCCCTTTTCGTCTTGTTTTCGCGTCTCTCTCTCAGACGAAAATATGATTTCTATTTTTTGTCTTTTCAATGACCAGTTTTCATTTTCAGAACCACTGTAAATAGGCCCTTCTGTCGAGTACGAGTACGATCTCCTTCTCCGTTTTCTCCCATCCGCTTGAGCTTCCAATCCTGCCTTTTCGTCTTCGATCGACTCGCCGATCTCACTGAATGAATCGTATTCCCGTGTGAACTTTATTTACATGCCGCATCATAGTATAGAAAACAGGAGGGACAGAAGCAGCCGCTTCAGCATTGGGGACAACGAACAATCAACGAACCATGGGGGACTTTCCTCAACTGAACAATCGGAAATCGGGAAATTCTGGGGGAAAGCGGGAAACGAAAAGGCGAAGTATATACAATCCATGGTTGAGAAACCAGTATGGGGAAAAGCGTGAGCTACTCTACAACGGTTGCAGTCCGAGAGAACTGCACGATTGGGTCAATTCAGATGATATTTACAGAGGGTCGGGATGGGTTGAGAGAAGTAACAGAACAATAATCAAAGGGGAACCCTCTACATCCGATATGGGTGCAGAAGGGACATGGTATAGGGGTAAATAGGCATAAATTATCACATCCACAAATGAATGTTCTCGTTTGTTTTTAGTTTGACGGCCTGGAGATTCTCGTACATGGAGTACTTAGTCCTTCATGTAGTTGCTTTTCTTGAAACCGGCACCTGAAATGCCGTCGTCACCGAGAATCTTGCTCTGATGTTTCATGAAGTCTTTGAAGCGTGGATCCTGCAATAATAACAACTGTGATCTTTGTCATTCTCTCGTATCAGTTATGATCTTCAGTCTCGCACATTCCCTTGTTTGTCCATCACTACTATCACCGTCTACAGTAATACTTACATCGGTGATAGACATCTTTCTCTCGCCGAGCTCAGAGCTTCCAGCAGTGGTAGTAGTTGGGGATGCATTCGAATCCATTCCCCACGAGAAGCTCTTCGGGGAAGAGCCGAACAGCATCTCCGAGATGGACATGCGACGAGCACGCGGCTGAGTCTCGATTGGCGAAGTTGGAACCGGGCTGTAAGATGCCAATCGTGTTAAAAACGAGAGAAACGAGTATGTACCCCAACCTGGAGCCTTCGTTTGTGGAGAACTTGCGGCCTGCGAGACCTCCGACCTCCGAATCAGTCGAATCCATCGAAATAGTTCTTTCTTTCTGAGCACGTCCAGAGCGAGTCGGTGGCTTCCAGAGACAGTCGGTGTCGAAATCTGGACGAATCTGGAACGAATGATTGAGGAAAAAAATAAACAGTGGCTCATTATTCTTCACAGGAAAGTCTTCTATGTATTCTACTTACAGAGTCATCTGCTCCAGCAATTGGAATGCTGGCGCTGGTGGCATGAGCCGAAGCTCCAGTCACCGCTTTGAATGTGACATTTGGTTGAACGACAAGATCACTTACTTGTGGAGCCTTAGACATCCTGAAATAGAGTTGCTTGTGCTGATAGAAGTCGGCAGTTGCGAATATTTTGAATCCGGACCCACCCACCGGTCTATTTATACCCGGCCCGTCAACAGCCATCTGCGTCTGCGTCTTCGCGCGAGAAAGTGCACACTTGGCCTATCGTATTCGACTTGTTTTTAAGGCGACCGGGAGAGAGAAGAGAAGCTGAGAGAGGCATGTGACCACGTGAATTTGCACATGCGGCCCAGCGTCGCGCGCGAGCCTCTACCCGTAAACATCGTGCCCATTCGGTCGGTCTTCGGTCCGCTGCTGAAGACGGACGACCGGACGACGGGGACAAAGAGATACTCAGGGAATCGGTCGATCATGTGGTTCACGGGGAGCCTAACACATGGAAACGAACAATTACGGACGGTTTGCACCGCATCTGATGTTTGGCTTCCGTCTCGAAAACGACGTTACGACACCAACAATTTTTTGATAAACAATCAATTGTGGCTGTTGCGAAACCGTTTTGCCATAATTTTCGAAAACAACTATAATCTCTTCAGTTAAAAACGCAGACATTTATATATTTTTTTTTCTGCATCCTTTCTTTACCTTTCGGTCATCCAAGAACGTCTTTGTAATTATTCTCATCTATACCATTTATACCCCAAATTTCTTTCATCATCGCGTTTCTTTGTCCTCTTCGTTCTTTTCTTGCAAGTTGCAACCGCCGATCTGCTCGAAGCGTCATGGGTTTCAACATGTTTACTTCGCACATGCTTCTTCTCTCTCTCTCTTACTCGATCTCTCAAAAGAGTCACTCGTCAATAATCAATTTGCTGCTATTTTCAGCTTCTCCATCTAATCTCATGTTCACCAATCACTGAACTATAATCTCCTATTTATATCCTAGGAAAGCGCGGCGTACGGCAGATGACAATGGGTTTTTGCAGGGACTCACCACAGAGAATCCATCGGGTCGAGCGGCATTTTCGAGTTTGCTGTGTTTTTGTTTTCGTTTTCAGACGGTACAACTGACGTTGAGACTGGGCTTCCGAACAGTCCTGAAATAAAGTTTTGAGAACGGCCTTTTGAGCGAAAGAGAAAAAAAGCTGAAAAGCGAAGAGAATTTCAGACCTGGCGACACATTCGATGCTTTATAAACAGCGGAAGACGCACTTTTTGACGCCCCCTACAAGAAATCAACAGATCGCGAAAGCCGTCGCGGAAATGGAAAAAAGGAATGGGATGGGAAGAGAAGAGCCTATGGCGCCAGGAGAGAGTGTGCGAGTACCGGAGGGCGCAGAGAAGAAGCGCTGCGATCGAGCGAACTTGCATCCCTCCAAAAAAAGCGGGAATTTGGAAAAATGTCTGCCATAATAAATTGCGAAAGGAATCGAACACCACATCAAGGGGGTTAACGTTAGGGTCGCCAATTATTTTTCTATGCTGTCTCTCTTTATCTCGTCTTGCAAAATGGAATCAAAATAGATGACTGGCTTGAGAATTCGAACAAATTGCAACACAACACAACACAAGCGACTTCATGGGAGGAATGAGTGTGCAAACAAGTTTTCAGTGGAGAAGGGGGTAGGAGCCAATGACTATTTTCAGAGAGATGAAGCGAGAGGAAAACAGACAAAGACGAAAACAGAAAGGACACGGCTCGGATTAATGGGGACGGCCGAAAATGAGAGGCGACTGGAAGAGGCTTTCGGAAACGGTCGAATTGTGGCCGGCAAGAGATGTTAACAGCCAGACAGGCAGTATTGAGAAGGGCAGAGTGGGCACGTGCTCGGCCGGCAGGCCTGGCGCCCGCCAAGAGAGTTGAGACGCCGACAGAGGAGGCAGTCGGAAGAGCGGGGAGGCGCAGACGGCCTCTGAGCACTGTTTGACCCTTATTTAGAGAGAAGATGGGAGCAGCACTCTCTCCCAGTTCGAATGGGAGAGGCAAACAGAAAAGGCGATAGGAACTGACGACGGACGGGCACTCGCCGGGAGAGACGAACTTTTGTTTTTGCGAAACTTTCGCGTTCACATCACGAGAGTCAATGCACTTTGCTTCGAGATTCGAAAGGACGGCGTCAACAATTCGTTTTGCTCATTTCGCAGACAAAAATAGCACGCGGGATCCGGCCGGAGAGTACGGCAGTCTGCACACTTGCCGCATGTGAAAAAGACCAAAAGTCACCAACATTATATCGGTCTTGAATTGTTTTTATGCGTATCTTTTTGATATCGGCACGTGACTAAGCCGTAGCAATGGCGGGTGAACATCAAAGATTACGGCGATTACGGTAGAAAGAGAGACGGAAAACTGGACAGCCAAAGGTCACAAACAACGTCGTCCGCACGTTTCGGCACATTTTGGAAGGCGGCGGAGAAGGCGGGAGAGATGGTTGGTCGCGAATTTCGAAAAAAAAAACTCAATGCGATTTGCTAGTCCTTCATGGACGAGGCGGGACACGCGAGAGGCGACACAATCAAGGACAGCTGACTCCGAAATGGAAAAAGGAACAGAGACGGACGGAATTGCGGGAAGGGATTCGTTTGGCATTTTTGAATGTTTTGAGGACAGGTTGGCAGACTGGGAACACTTCTGACCAGAGACCAACTAGAAATGCGTCGTAATGTGTATCCGACGGGTCCAGAAAGAATGAAAACAGGGTCAGAGTTCCCCGACGGTCGGCACTAAAGTCGTCAGTTGTCTTTCCCCTTCGTTTCAACGTCGTCGTTGGGTGCAGTATTCCGTCGGATGGTGTACTAAATGACGTCATCGGGCCGAGCGGTTCGACCCTTCCCCGCCACCCAGATAGTTTCTCTGTGTCTCTCGTCTCCACATACTCTCTCGTTATCTGTCGGGGACCGTGTCGTTGACAGACCATCGGATGGCGTCGCAGCTCTCGCGACAAGCGGAGAACATTGAGAGAGAAGCGGATTATCGGAGAAAAGTTATTGCCTTCGAATACGGTACAAAGTGGGAAACACGTGGTCGAACCCTATTTGAAGGCTTTGGTTATCAGTTGTAAGCGCATAAAACGCCAAGTGCCCATCCGACTTTTGACCGTTTTTATTTGGAATGGCTTAGTGAAGAAGATAAGGGAAAAGAAGAGGAAACTCACGGGCCACAAACATTCTCGGCGTTTGCTCCACCGAAGGCGACTCGTCGAAGAATGTGTGAAGAAGAATTTTGAAAGCGGGATGGAGGTGAGAAACCTGTAATACTGAACTGGTCAAAAGAGGGAGGGTCCCGGGGCAGAAGAACTGAGAGACAAGCAGGACGATCACCGCCTTTATATAGGGGTTAAAACGCAACGAGTGCGATGGAACGTGACATGTAGTCTAGGAGAAATACGGGAGAAGAGAGTAGTGGTCTGAGGGCGAAACATAGCGACTGACTGGAGGGATGCGCTCGTTCTCTGCGGCCAGACTCACGTGGCGCCTTTCCTCCGCGACACTCAATTCGTGGAGCAAAAGCTGTCCGATTGGGAGCTCTTTGGAGTCTCGATGAGCCACGAGCACGTGGTAACCGAGCAGAGAACAAAGTATGGCATACTGTGTGTGAAAGAAGGGAAATGGACGGATCGAACGGCGGTGGCAGATACTCACAAATGATCGTTCTCGGTCTGAGTACACAGGCAACTCGGACAGCGATGATCACAAAAAATAGTGGGAATTTGCGCGTTCCGGGGGGGGGGGGAATAACATCAAAGAACTGATGGAATTCTGAGACAATGAGGAAAGAGTTGGCACGTCTTCACCCACCCAAAAAACAGTGATAGGCAACAAAATGAAGAACTGATTCTCTTAAAAGAAATCTTATCAATGTTACGCTGCCGCCCACAACAAAGTACCTCCACTTGCCTGCACTTCAAACACTTGCCTCCCTCGTTTTCACAAGAATTTCGTTGCGCTGTGCCGTCTTGGAAAGATCCAAGACGCAGATTGAAATCTGCATTCAGAGGATAGACGCTTGCCTGCAGATGTGTAGTATTTGTCCGAATGGAAAGAAACAGAAATTTTCATTGAAAGGCATAGACCCGTAAAAAAATGAGAGAAAAATGGAATAGAATGGAATGGAGGGAAGTCGTCATTCGTACTTGAACTTGCAGTCGAGAAGGTTTCTGCTGAACGCGTTGAATATCCAGTCGGGAATCTCTTCGCACCTGATCATCCTCTGATCGTACACGTACTTTACTCTCTTCTGAACCGCCGTCACCAGCTCCTGCTCGAATGTCTTTTCCAGTCGTGTCGCATGAAAATCGCCATTGTAGAACTGCTTCCAGTTTCCGTTCAATGCAGATCCATCCGTGCTCCGATAGTGTCTGATATGCCCGAATCTTTTCGGAACTGACATCACTCGCGTGTCTTCCAACTGCCGATAAGACCAGTGATAGAAGAGGAGAGCGACGAGTTCAGGACGGATCACTCCCTTCAGGTTGTACCAGCTGATCTCCGTCGTTTGGTTGTACTTCAAGAAGAGCATTTCGGAAACGAGGTCCGTTTCCTTCTCGTATTTTCTCGGCATCTCTTCAGTCTTCAGAACTCGGTTCGTACTAAAGCTTACTTCTGAAATGTACGCCGGCATTGACCTGAAAACAAAAACATCGTCACGTGTTGACGGCGGATAGCACCTCAGGTAATGTATCAAGTTGCCTGGCCCAGTGTACACAAGTCGCTCGTCAATATCCATGTTGATGACCCACTTGGAGTGGTACCTGCTTCTGTGATGACATTCCTGAAGTGAAAATGCACTCAGCTATTTAGACAGGAGAGTTCTGCACTCACATGAGTCTGAATCAAGTGGAATTGCCATCCGAGCTTCTCGTATTCCGTCACATAACTTGTCGATTCGCCCAATCCCAACCTAGAGTAGTCATCGATCACTTTCCGATCGTACTCGTTCACATAGAAAAGGGTGAAATAGAAGTATGAAGCTCCCAGAAGCTTGTAATGTTCGACGTACTCGATCACTTCCAGCCACTTGCTTTCGTTGCCGTACAGAGGTCCCACGCAGACAGAAAGCTCATGAATCGGTTCTGCAAAATGACCCCGTGACTTTTCCGTCGGCCAGCTGTCGAATGGGCTCCTTAAGTGCAACTGGCTCACGTTCGAATGCTCGGAAAATCAAAGGGATCGGCTCGTGCGGCTGACGATTGTCATCGAGCGAAATGCTGACGTACTCGGCTCCGTACCTCCTTGGACAGGAAATGACAGTCATCGGAATGACAAGAGAAACGAATTCAGAAGCGGGAATTTCATTGCGATTGCAGTCAAAGTACAAGCAAGTCGCATTCCTTCCGTACGTGTACATCGCAGTCGTCACGATTGAGATTTGGTCGGGATAGACAAATGCGGAGAGGAGACGTGGCTCCGCATCCAGAATATTGTTCTGGAATTCGCTTTGAGATCGAGTAGTTGATAGAAAGTTACATACGTGTTTCCCAAAGCCCCCTTCAACCCATTCTTTGAACTGTTCGGAGTGGGGAACTTCGCTCGTTACATTCTGATTCCACTCGGGAACTACACACTCTTTGACCACTACCGGACTGAAACGGATCAGAATTGGGAAACTAAAAGATAGGCACAAACCTCTGGGTAGATGTCTCGAACTCCACAGCGGAGCCCTTCCTATCCGTCTCGAGCATCCTCTTTTGCTCGTTCAGAAGCCATGCGCCGAGAAGTAGAATTGCGAGAACAAGCAATTTGAAACGGTTCTCTTGATCCATCCTTGTCTGCCAATGAACAATAGCTTCCATTCTTTCCCTCGGCGAGATTTCATCTCCGCAGTCGCCAGAGACTACGTTCCCAGATTTGTTCCTTTTTGAACTGGCATCTTGTTTCTTTCCCCGAAGTATTCATATCTGATCTTGAAATGCCCAAAACCCAAAAAGACCCTCTTCTGTATCAGAGAAACACAACATCTCAAAAATCTCTTTATTTTCATCATTTATCATCATACAAAAAACATCTTCGCTATCTTTTCATATTGTTGGACGTGTCGATTAGTGAAGGACGTGGGCAGCCGGTCCTCCGTTCTCCCAGTCGTACGGCGCCTGCTCGCTCGATCCGCAAGCTCCGTACGCCTGACGCATAATCTGAAGCACCTCCAGTTAGTCCCTGCTCATTCGTACTCTCAACATACTCCGTAGATGGCCGCGTAGTTCGGAGCGTCGTAGTACTTGAGCGAATCGACCATTCGCATGATGTCCTGGAACTGCGGAGGGCACGGCGGCGGGAACAGCTGGGCGAGGTTGCTGCGGATCCCCTGCTTCTGCTGTCCGACCTGGTTCATATCGTTAATGTGGTGCCAGGGGAGCTGTCCGTAGGAGAGCTCCACCTGCATGTACATCCACGTCTCCAAGTCGTCCTTGCTGCAAATACCTCTTCTCTTTTTGTCTCTCCGCCCGTCTCTCACCGGCAAAGCTCTCGCTGCAAGTGGCAACTGATCGGAGCGTAACGGACGGTTCCACGGAATCCGGCCGCCTGTCTCGGTTTTCTGATCGTTCCCTAAAATTCAAATGCATTCCCTTCCCACCGTCATCCCTCCCTCACATCATTTCCGGTGAACTTTCTGCACATTCCGAAGTCGAGGATGTAGACCTTGCGGATCTCGTTCAACTCCGGACGGCCGATCGTGTAGTTACCCGGCTTGACGTCACGATGCAAATATCCAATGTTGTGAAGGTCCTCGAGCGCCTCGAGCGACTGGATTCCGATTCCGATCGAGCATCCCATCGTCATGTGGCCTCCCGGTCCCGCCTTGTTCAGGTCTTGCAAAGACTTTCCGACGAGCGTCATGACGACGTAGTTGAAGTTTCCGAAGCGGCCCTTGTCCTCGATCTTGCAGAAGTGACGGTTTCCACGCTTCGAGAGCTCGTTGAGCACGGAGACCTCCAGCTTGAGGACTTGGATCTGCTCGTTGGCGCCTTCCACTTTCATCGCGTACTTTCCGGTAGAGTCGAACACGCGGTAGACGGCTCCGAATCCTCCCTCTCCGAGTTTTTTCTCAATGTTCCATCTCTCCACTTGTTGTCCGGGATTCAATTGAACGAGCTCGGCGGCCATGGCAAAAGCAGGAAGAAGTCGTTTGGTTTTAGTGAGACTTCGAGGGCACTTTTGATGAATAAATTCAGAGTTGTGAGAGGGAGAGGCGGGCGAACAGAGATCGTTCCAACTGATAAAGTGTCACGTGGATAATCAAGAGTGTCAAGGAAAGGGAACAAGAGAAACGAGAGGGCGGGAAACGTCGTTTTGTTTGAAAAACTAAATGATTTTTTAGAGAAGGCAGTGTTGAAACTGAAAAAAAACAAAATCTAAGCTTAACAATATGAATTTACAAGATTATAATTGTACACGAGTGACTACTACTATACAGTGCAATACTTATTCATTGGGCAGAAGATTTATTGATGCTGCTCTCACCGCTCATGTAGATTTCCAATGACTTTTCGCTCTCCAGAAAGCTGTTCAGAAATTCTTCGTCCTCGTCGTCCGACTTCATGAACTCGAAATCTGGACTGTTTCTCGCCTTCTTCTTTCCATAAATCGGATCGTCGTCTGTAGGATTAAACTCGAACTCTTCGTCGTCCAGTCGGTCCCCGAGAGGAAGCGGAGTTTTTTCGTCGTCCCCACGAAGCAGCTCTCCCAAAATCACACTGCTCGGAGAGATTGTTTGTCTGGATGCTTGCACTTTCTGCTGCTGGAATGATCTAAGAGCTTTATGTTGGAAGTGGAAACAACCGATTACAGTGAACCTCTGTTTCTCTGACATTTTGCTGGTAGGCGTCTGGCTGCTTATGTCGGATTTTTGAATTCGGCTCGGTTTGTAAGCTTTGCTTCTCAACGATTCCTGTGCCGCTGACTTATCAGCAGAAGAATGGCGTGGGTTTTTTGTAGAATTGCTGGCTTGTGACTGTTGGCTCTTGAAGATTGACAACTGGGAATTCGCACGAGAGAATATACTGGAATGATAAAAATGAAATGGGCAAAGAAAGGTATTCTCTTACTCCCACTGCCCTCCGGGAGATTTGTCTTCTTCTCTTATTCCTCTTCGAGAAGATGATCTTTGCGAAGAATCCGGATCACATGGTTTTTGAGTACTCTGAACTGTCGATTGGGTGTCACCGAAAAGGATGGAATGATTGCTGACGGATCTGGAAAAAAGTATGAGAAGGGGCAATGGGAAACTTCTCTACCTTTTACTAGTCGGGGACGTGTTGAATATGGCGTCCAGTTGGGAATCACTCAGTGATTGAGGCGGTTTGCTCTTTTGACTGAATGAAGAGTTTCATCTGAAGGTTTACTTGAAACTAACCTCGGAGTCCGCAGGATTGATTTCTCTGAAGAATTATTCTTCGAATAGAGGGACGGGTTCATCGGCGTTTTGAACTGGGAGTTCTCAATTGACTTGTCAGTTACACCTCTTCTAGCGGATGATTGTCGTGGCTCGACGGAAGAAGAGCTGAACGCAAGAATTGTAAACTTTGCGAAGAGATCCCTCACTTATTCCGTCGTTCGTTGATCGGAGTATTGAACATGGACTGTTTGAACGATTTGTTTACGGTTTCTCTTGTTTTCTGCTTCTCAACTGGATTCGAAATGGAAGGAGAACGGGCCCGTTTCAGTCCGATCCGCTCTTCTGGGACTTTCTTCTTCAGTGCTGTCGCATGATTCACATTGTCCTTGCGAGTTCTGAACGATCAGGTGTTTTCAGGTCTCATTCGTTCAACTAACGACTCGGATTTTTTCTCTTCACTCGAGAGTCTCTGCATCAGAGGGATCAATTTGTTCGATGTCACCTGATGTTCCTCTTCTCCGTCAATTGAGAACGGATCGGGCGAGCGCGGAGGCGTGTCCGTTTCTTGTGTTTTAATTTTTCTTTCCTGAACTTCAGCATCTTTCCGTTTTTTTTTCACTGGCAACAGAGCATCGAAAATGGAGAGCTGATCCATGGAAGAGAGAGGTTTTGTTGATAGGATGGTGGCGACACTGCTCGTTCTGAGAATCACAAGATGAACTATTTACGTTCGTTCTTCGTTTATCTTTAACAAACTTCGTTTATTAACTAGTCTAACCTCGTCTTTTCCTCACTGATTTTTAGCTGCTCCGAGCTGGGAGGTTCTTCTTCGACTCTTTCTCTCGATCTCAGTCTGCTCGTATCTTCTCTGCACTGTTCCTCTAGAAGTGCAGCCTTTTCTCTTTTCACGAACGACTCCACAGCATCCATGAATCCCTGTTCATTCTCTCTGAATCCAGACAGTCATTTCAGCCACCCAATTCCACTCACAGCACAGCTTCCATGTCGCTCACGTGTGTCTCTTCGTCCGTGTTAATAACTTCTGCCCGCACATCGCTCAACGGAGTGCCTGACTTCAGTGCTTTGTAAATTCGGCAAGCTCTTCCAATCACGCTCATCGGAATGCCTTCTTCTTTGGCGACCGCCATTGCAAAAGAGCAGTCAACCATTCCGTGAGCCAGTTGAAATAGATGTTTCACTTTTCCACCAGGTTCGCGAAGAACTGTGAATGTCTGCAAAAAAAAAATAGAAATTACTAAAATGATAATTTGTGACAAACCAGAAAAGTGGCCAAATTGGTCTCAAGTGGAATGTATCTCGGTAGGGCGTGGAAGTGCGAGGAGAGAAAGACGTGCGGGCATCGGTCGACGCACCTCTGCATCCAGTGATTCATGCACGACGCCAGCAGAGACAGTCCCACTTCCGTCATTGTTCCCTTTCCGAACTCGTCAATGATCACAAGAGAGTTGGCTGTCGCCTTTCTGAGCGCAAGGGCGACCTGCTCCACGTCCTTTGCGAACGTCGACATCCCATCAAGCACCGAATCCACAGTGAACATTCTCGTCACAATACGATCAATAGTTCCCACTTTCGCGTGTCTCGCCGGAACAAAGCTACCGATGTGGGTAAGGAATGCGAGGATTCCGATTGATTTCATATAAACACTCTTTCCGCATGCATTCGGTCCCGTAATGATGCTTACTTTCACCTCGTCTCGCCCGCTGCTCACTGCATTGGGCACGAAATGCTTCTTGACGACGAGGGCGCTGATTGGATGAAACAGTTCGGCCGCCTCGATCACTGGTTCTTCCACCAGGGTCGGGCAGTTCCATCCGTTCACTGCTGCCACAATCCCGAGGGAAATGAGCGCGTCGATCTTCGCAATCGTCGCCAGAACTTTGTTGATGCTTCTCTTCCTTTTCATAACTCTGGTCTTCAACGAGAGCATGATGGCCGTCTGATTGTCGATCAGCTTCATCAGAATGTCTCCGAACTCTTCCTCCAACTTCTCGGTCGTCGTATTTTTCACCCGCAATTCATCACTTGTTGCATAAACTAGAGACATACTAAAACCGGCCTATTATCATGATTTCCGCTCTTTTCCCTCCTTACTCTGGATGGTTTTCAACCGGAAAATCTCTGGGAAGCGACAAAATAAATCCAACGAGAGGGACATACACGCATGTTGCATTTCCGAATTGGCCGAGACCCAGCCGCTCCGCTTCTTGCTTCGCAACCTCCGTCAGGACCATCGGCATATTCTCATACGTCACTCTCACTGAAATTTTCATAGATATTCCGCTTTTGACAGTTTCTTTCACGTTGATCCAATTCTGCGTCGACACCCGGCATGACAGTCACTTTTCCTTTGATTTTGGATTCTTCGAAGTTGATCTTGAAAGAAACGGATAGACTGCAAAGAAAAATGAAACGAACAATGGATCCAGCGATGACGGCGATTTCAGAAACGTCCTTCAGAACGTCTTCTTCTACTTTCAACTCTGCGGAAATCTAGAAAACAGAATGTGTTTCGGATTGGATTCGAGAGCTCTCACGGATGTCTGTTTGATGATGGTCGTAATTTCGACAAGGGCATTTACGGTGGAAACGAAGCCTTCCCAGTGAATAAGTTGAGCAGAACCACTTTGGAAGCGAACAAAAATACTCTAAAAGCAAAGCTGTTTTCATACGACTACTCCATCTTTCTGCTTACAGTCATTGGCTTTATTTTTCCCAGAACAGACATCAGTTTTGCCGTCACTTCCGCATTCCAATCCTTAATTCTAAGTTGTTAACTGAAAACCATTTATAAAAACCTGCTTGAAAAAATGAACGCATTTCTGGCGGAAAAGGAGTTCTTCTCTGTCTGTCGTCGGATTCCGGAACCATTTGCGCAGGCACCTTTTGCCGACCATCGACCGGCAGCCGTCCATGAGTTCGAACAGGGATTTCCGTTGTCCGGCAGTTTTCTAGGCGGTTTAGGGTTGTTCAGTCCGTTTTCCAGCTTACTCACTTTGCTGTCAGATTCTTTCGGCAATATGTCGAGAGCTTGAATCGAGTTGAAATCAATGTCCACGAGATTTTGTCTGAAATGGAGCAAAAATGGAAAAAAGAAATGAAAAAGATAGCTTACAAGGTCAGAGTTTTGATTGATTTCACAGGGGTTCTGAGAGTCAATGGCTCGGATTCTACGCCCAAACGAGCCTCGTCGAGAAAGAGAAGAAGAGCACCGAGAGCTCTCATCTGAAAGCTATTAATTGAAAACAATAAGGGTATCAGAAGCGAACGACACCATGTTGACTGCTTCAATGTCGAATCTCATCGTCACGATTGTGTACTTGTCCTCATCGCTCATTGCAGCATTTTCAGACCCAACCAATACTTTCAGCCGGTCTAGCGCTTTCGTCATTTCTAAAAACAATAAGAGGTAATCTAAATATTTTATTAGGATTCGATACGTACTGAAAAAGTGGTTTGGCAACTTGAAGAGCTTTGCCTTGTGCTCCTCCAACGCTTCATCCTCGTCGTCTTTATCATTTTGTACTGTGGTCTAGATAATTAATTGCTTCTGTGTTTTTGTTATTCAATATGATGATCAACCTCTTCTCTCGAATACGCAAGTGAAGCATCGAATTGCGGAATGGTCTCTATTGTTGTATCCGTTGTTTCAGCATCCACGCTCTCCCGCACTTCATCTGTCAATCGAGATTCATCTAAATTTTTCAAACATTTCCTATACTCACAGCGTGAGCTCAAAAAATTTATGAAATTGAGATCTTGACTTCTATTTGCGAGAATCATAGTTGGTTTCACGTCGTCAATCACTGAAATTTGCCTGAAATTGTTGTATTGTCTGTTTCGCCTACATCTCTTTATATATTTAAACTCTTCGTCTTCTGAAATGTCGTTCATTATCTTCAGAAGCTTGGGCGACTGCTCGTAGAGTGCCGCTCCCAGAACATTTCGTCTGCAATTTTTAGCGTTTGTCTGACTTTCGACTGAAATCACCCGAACGAAATGCTCAAAACGGTCTCATCTCGATACGCGCTGGGGTCCATCGCCCTGTCTGTAATTAAAAATTTTTAATCTATCAAACTCGTTCTCCACCTCGATAAAGTTCTCCATTTTGATAAGGGTCGTCGCGAGGCAAGGAAACGGCGGTGAGACTTGTTCCGCGCCCCCTTCCGCGTCCGCGTCCTCTGAATCCGCTTCGCTTCGAATTGTAATAACGCCATCGGTTTGACATTTTGGAAGACCGATCACGGCACCATAAAAGGAATCTGTAGTGTGTTCTGTTGAATTTCAACAAAACATTGTTTCGGGCGAGGCAGCAGCGGATAATGTTGTGCGCCTTTAAATTGCTCAGTCTTACTGTAAATTTCGAATAATTTGAGATGCGCGTCAAAAGAAAATGGATTGTAGAGATGTGCGAAAAATGCGATTTAACCTGTGTTAATTTGAGAGAAAAGGGGAGAAGACTACCTAAATTTCGCTTTCATGTCCTGAGTTCATTTGTCTGTGACGCACTCACTCTGTTGATTGTGCTCCCCGTCATCATGATGTTATTCCCTCCCTCAACGTTGATGTCATTTGACTTTTGCTCGAGGCTACCCTAAATCAGAACTGTCCAGAATCAGAACTTTCCCTGATGAGAAGCTATCTGCATGTGGTCGTTGTTACGAAAAGTCGTGTTGTGACGGGTTCTGATTCGGGAAAGCCTCCTTTGCTCGATTTAAAAACCAGAATTGCAACATATTTGTTCCTATTATTAACAATTTCATGAGAATCGTTGCTCTGAAATTCCAGAATAAACTCAGAGTGTTCGTTGATGCCTTCACTCCAGCGGGGATCCCGGAAGACCCGAGTCCTCCGTCTGCACACACGTCAACTGCAATTCTGATCCACCACTGCTCATCCGGGATTTCACTACAACCGCTTCTTTTCGCTTCTCATCTTTATTCTCCACAATATACTCATCTGTATTGTTTTTAAAAGACTTGGCTTCCCTTGGGTTTCTCGCTTTCATTCCGAGAACTAGAGCCTCCATTCCACTTCGTCTCCAGCCACTATAAAAGAGTTCTTCCGAGAGAAAAGGTGCTGTTCGGACCGGAATGGAGCTCTCCGAGTTCTGGAACAGCTTGCTGAAGACCGTTCAGTACCTGTCTGCCTTCACGTCCGTCTCTCTCAACTGTATTCTCATCTTTCTGATCCTGGCGCATTCGCCTAAAAAGTTAGGACTTTACAAGTACCTCATGATCTACATCTCCAGTTTCGAAGGTCTCTACTCCCTTTGGGACGTCACCACCGAGCCGGTAACCCTTTATTTCCTCTCCGACAGAAGCAAATGACTCGATTCTCCAGATGGTTCACTCCTACAAGGCCGCTTTCGTCGTTTTCCGCAACTTCAAGCACTCGGACTTTGACCGCGAGCAGAGTTTCATTCTGATTGTCGTCTACTGCGGATGCTTCGGATTCTCTCTCGCCATCTTCGGAGTCCACTTCGTCTACCGTTACGGAGCGGTCGTCAAAGATTTCCGGGACCGTTGGCTCGGAGGAAAGAAGATCTGCATTCTATTTTTTATACCAATATTCTACGGGGCATGGTGGTCCGTTCTCTGCTATCTCTACTTCCATTTCGACCAATCAACAGACAATTATATGAGGTTGGTGCTCAATGAATGAAAACAATTTACGTCTCGAAGGAGCGAGCTTATGGTGATGTACTTTGAGAACTCCCGGAATAGTGACGGATGCGTGGGAAATTAATAGCGCCCCTATCTGAAATTAATAGCGCCCCTAAGCAGTAGGGGTTTAACTTGCAGGAGGACAATCTTCGACGGCTATGACACTCAAATCGAGGACATTTCCTACATAATAGTCCTTTTCTACCCGCAGGACGAGTTCGGAGTCGCTCATCCGGACTATGCCATGTTCGCTTCGATCGCTTGCATGTGGTTCATGATCGTCAGTTCCCCTACCAGTTTCCTCATAATAACTCTTTCATTTCAGCTCAGTTCGGTCTTTTGCGTCTTCTTCTTCGGAGTCAAGTGCTATCTCCAGATCTCTCACGCTCTCGCCAAGACGAACACGGCCTCTTCCGTCACGAAAAGTCTGCAACAGCAGTTGTTCCAGGCGCTCGTCGTCCAGGTATCCGTTCTCGTTCGATCTCCCGAGGCCACCCCTCTCCGCAGACGTTCATCCCCCTTATCCTCATGTACATTCCCATCGCCGTCCTTTTCATTTTCCCGATGATCGCCGTCGACATCGGCTTCGCGAGCAGCTTTATCGCCATGACCATCGCCGTCTACCCTGCCATCGACCCTCTTCCCAACATGTTCATCATCAAGAACTACCGCAAAGCGGTGCTCGGTCCGTTCCGCCTATTTTTTTGCTCAATCTCTCTGCTCTTAGAGTTCTTCAAATGCGTCTTCAATAATCAGTGCTCCTCTCTGCGCCGTGCTCAACGTACTCAAATAGAGTTGGCCGGCAAAAGCGAAACTGTTCAGAACATCGGAATCCTTTGACAATACTCGCTTTTCCCACATGATAAACTGTCTAAATATCGAGTACGAATAAGTACAGTAGCGTAGACAGAAAATATCTCGGAGAAAAACAAAGTTTTTTTTTTCAAAATGCCATTCGTCTATATTATTCTTTCCCCTCGAGATCCATTTGCCGACAATTCGCTGTTTACAAAAGTAATATGGAAAAATAACATTCATTAACATTAAAAAACGATAGGTAAAAAAATGAACGTGCAATGAAAAAGTAAAGGATAGCCGAAAAAGAGAAGACTATAGAAAAACTATGCCACAAAAGTCAGTTCCCGGCTAAATGGCAACAACCGCGATGAAAAGAGAGGAGGAACAGGAGGGGGAAAAGCTAGACACAAAGAGACAGTCCATCTAAAGGACTCTACCGAAAATGGGGAGGAGGAGGCAAAAAAGATTAAGAAAAATGAGAAAAAAAAGAGGAGAAAACAAAAAAGAAATCCGTGAGTTGTATCTTTTTATCACCGGCCTTTGACAAGTGTGGGTTGGTGGGTTTTCGATTTTTTCGCTATCCAAAAAGTGGGTATTGTTGTGTGTGTGTGTGTGTGTGTATGATGGGGAACGGACAATCACATGAGGCGAGGCTAAACCATGGCATCAGAAGAATCACAAATCACTATCACGAGCACAACGAGAACTAAATATATATATATATATATATGTATGCTTTAAAACAAGAATCTTAAGAAGAAACGCGAAGAAACGAGATATTTTGAGAAGAGAAAAGACGGGAGTAGATCGCTAAATTAGATAATTAGGTTTTGGTGGGAAAAAAGGAGAAGACGCCGTAGTGAACGCTCTCTTTGGACTATTTTAGAATTGTTTGAAACCACAGTTTTTGAATTTGAACCAGCAATTGAGAACGAAAAGGAGAGAAGAGAGGAAAAAGAGATTGAGAAAAGGTATTGGTTTGATCGTTACACGGGAGAGAAGAACAGCGGAGCAGAGAAGGCGGGAAAGCGAACAGGAACCGTCGTGTTTCATGGGGGGAAAGTGGAAGGAAGGGAGAGGAGGAGCAGGAGCATTGGACAAAAATGGGTACCTTCATTGAGAGAGAGAGAGAAACGGATAAACTAGAGGACACTTCAGCTGGCGTCTTCATGCATTTGACGTCTGCCTTCTGTGCGTTTCCCAGTTCCCAATTCGGGTCTTCAACACATTCAGTTTGGATCGGAGATCGGTGTGACGTTGGCGAGCCTGTCAATAAGCAAATGAACAGTTTGCACGTGAAATTGGTTTACTCACTCTTAAAAATACCGGATCTTTTTCGAAGAACGCATATCTCTTTTGAATTTGTCGTTCGATGTTCTTCACTTCTTGGATGTTGGCCGGTGAAGGAGAAGCCTTTCTTTGGGCAGAAGCTTTCGCCAAGCGCACCTCAAGATTACGGAACTCGGCCGACACTTCCGTCAGTTTTCTGTGGCACTCCATGTACTGCGGATATTCCTTATGGAACATGTTGAAGTACTGTTCGGCCTCACTATGAGTCTTGATGTCGCCGAACTGTTTCTCCCAATTACACGACGGTTGACTCGGCGATGAAAGTGACGAAGCCGGCGACGAGATCCTGCTCGAAGCCGTCGATCCTCCGCCGTTCGCAACCGAAGACGTTATTTGATGGTGCTCTCGTGGCTGCTCGAACTTTGGCACCGGCTGAGCTGACACCATCGCCGCCATCTTGGCCGGATTGATCTAAAACAATAATCATGTCATTTTCATCACATTCATCAAATAAATACCTTCGGCTCTGAGGCCTGCTGAGGTGGATCCACCAGAGGACTCGTGGATTCGTTTCTCTTCGGCCGTTTCGTTGGAGGACCTTCCGTCTGAGATGACGTCGTCTGCGGAGCCGCAACTGGGGGCGGCGCCAAGTTGTGTGCTCTCCGTTTGACGGCCGGTTCCGGTGCCGCGTAGTAGTCATCGTCACTTTCAACACGCTTCTCTTCTTTCGGCGGACTTGGAGTCTCCACTTTCTCTTTCTTTTCCTTATCTCTGTCCGAACTGCTCTTCGACGCCGTCATCCTTTCCATTCCCTTCTTCCTTGTCGGAGCAAAGTTTGTGGATTCAGCCGGGGCAGCTCGTGATCCAGACTGACTGGCTTGAAGTCTTCGTACATGCGCCTTTTCGTCCTGATTGAAGAACTTCCAGCGGGCGTCAACCTCCGAAAGTAAGCTCGTTCGGAGGGAGAGCGTCGACGTTCCTGATCGTGGCTCCGAAACTTCCTCGACCAAAGACTGTATCGTTTCCGCGTCGGCCTTTTCTTTCGGGACTCCATCAGCTTGGAACTTCTTGAAAACCTCTTCCCAAGTTTTGTACTTTTGCGTCACAACTAGATGAATAATGCGTTTTCTGATGGACTGGCGCATGAGCTCGGGTTTCAAAATGTCGACTTTTCGGTTGTCAGATCCGTTGGGCGTGCCTCTCGGGTTCGGAACGTGACTCGTCGAAGCCTTTGAGGAAATGAAAGGTGGGCTGACTCGGGATGAGCTAGATCCAGTCACAGATGAACCCATGTTGCGAGGCGTCGAGGAGGAGGAAGAGTTCAGATATCGAGAAGAGGATGAAGGCACTCCTTTTCTGCAAAAATGTGACGTGCGCAACAGGAAATACTCAAACAAATACTCACTTCATCTCCTTTGTTCCCCGACTTTTCTCTACTTCCGCCCGCATTTCAGCTCGTTTTTTCGTTTCTTCGAAAGATCGATCAGTCGCTTGTATCTGCGATGATGATATAAGAAAGAAGACATAAAATGACGAAATCTCACTTGATATCTCGTCTTGTATGTTCCGACGTTTCGAACGACTCCACCCGTTTGAACAAGAGTATCCGTTTGGTCCTAAACTTTTCGACGTTCAATCGCATTAGTGCTAAAACAACACTAACCGGTAGCGATTGCTTCTGGAAGTAGAAGGTATTGTTGGTTTTGGAAGAAGCGGTGCCGTCGCCAATTTCGACACGACCTTCCCGTTCGTCGACATGTATCCGCAGCTTCTTGCCATTCCGTTGTCCTGCCTCGAGAGCCGCGAACATCTCGTCTGTCAACTTCAGCATTACTACAGTCGATCGTTCCGAGGAGTCGATCCTGAAAAAAGGGATGTTTCTAGAATGTTCTGCAATCGTCTCTTTCTCTCACCTTTGCAGGTCCAGGTTGACAGGCATTGGCGGTGATGTCGTGGCTCCAGTCGTCGTTACGGCTGCTCCGGTGAGCAAGTCGCGAGGGGAATGGCCGTATCCGTTGGAGGAGGAGGAGAAGTGCATACTTGTCGACGACTTCATCATTTTTCAGCAAACCGTGCGTGTGTTCGTCCAGCGACAACACAACAATACAAAATGGACCCGTAATAGAAGATGTGTGGAGAGGCACGAAACGAGCGTGTAGCCGTGGTCTCTCGATACTCGATTTCAGCAACCGATTCGACAGACGGTGTCCCACTCCTTCAGTCTGCAATAATGGCTTATTTAGGGGCAGAGTGGAATGAGAAATGAAACAAAGAGCATGAAGTTATCAAGGGTGTCTGAGCGTGAAACGTTTTTTGAAAGCGTGAATGCTCTGTATCGTTGCAATATTGCACAAACGAAATGAGATTGCGGCAAAAAATCGAAAAATGACTGGCCGCGGATCAATAGGCGAGAGTCGTCCATCCTCGCCCGCATGAGTGTTTTAATAGAGCAGCAGGAAGAGACACACATCAGGCGTTGCCACGTTTTTATCATTTCAAGGAATCGAGTAAGGAAGTGAGCAAAAGAATGACTGTGAAGGAGAACGAGACGCAGAGTCAGAGGCGTGTTAGTCAAGGAGAGCAGAGCGAAATTCCAGCAGCAGCCAGAGAAAGACGACTCTCGAACGGAGAAAACTGGAGAAAAACAAGACCAAGAAAAAGAAGAAGAAGAAGAAAGAGTAGTATTGAATATGTCTGAAAAACAGCAGCAGTGGTAAGGGGGAGGGCTTCAGAACTCTTCTTTTTTTGGGGGCTGGCGTATAATTACATAGAACTTTAACGCCCGCTGTTATTATTTGGACCATAATCAGTTCTATGTCATTAATATTACAATGATGAAAACCATGGAAAAACGAAGCGGGCGCAGCAGCTGGATCAACACCCGACAAGAATCGACGGTACCAAATATGTGCACACAGACACCATCGACAACCAGGCACTATTCGCATTCTTCTCCTAAACATTTCGCCGCGCTGCGAGCGCGGAGAGCACCAGAAAAAATCCAAAGTCGGAGGGTAAAGATCATTCGAATCGGAGAGTCGCAGAATGAAAGAGTCAAAGAGAGCCGGTTGGGGAGGAAGAAGAAGGGGTTGCTCGGCGCAGTATGTTTGCCAAACTGTTTACCGTATTGCTTTTTCTTCGTCACTCTTTTTCTTTTTCTTATCATACACGACAGACAGTCAGTTGGCGACGAGGCACAGATGGAAAACTGGTAATGTCAAAATGATAAGTCTGTAAACTGAAAAAAGTGGGAGGTGTTCGACTTTGGACGGATGAGTAGCAGCTCTCTCGATTGTTACTTGACTAATTGGAGGAGAAAGTGTCTGATTGAGTGGTCAATTCACTGTACACTCGTCACATGACCTTTTTCATAATCCCTCTCACTGCACGATGATGCCTCCCCGAGGAATGCAACGTCGCCAGGTTCAGCAGCAAAAAAGAGAGGAGCATTTCGGAATCGAAGTCATTTACTGAGCGGATTGAGCCCAAATGCCATTCAAATCGAGAGCCAAGCGAACGCGTAATAACCTGTGATCTAACTGACAGATTACATTGAAACCGGAAGTTAGCCGGAAAAGCGTATAGAGCTCTTCAATTATTGCGTCAGTCGGTCAGTGTTGAGTAGGGGGAAAGAGTTGGCCGAGACGCAGAAGACGTCCAAACGGAACCCGCACAGACGAATAATTTTGATAACATCGGCATCGAGGTTGGCTGGTTCGGTTCAACTCGCATGATACGTGCGGAGGGCAGATGACTGACTGACTGACTTACTCGATGAGACAGTGTTGTCCGGAGAGAAACTCAGAGACACAAAGTGTCATTAAACAGGCGCCAAACGGCGCTAGGTTGTCGAGACGCAGGCGCGTCAAACAAAAAGAAGAAGCAATCACGAAAAATCAGAGACTTGTGACCCTCAACTACGGGAGCCTCAGTTTCAAATTCAAAACAACCGCCTTCAAAGGGAGTGCACTAGGGCGCACTTGCACACATCTGTCAGTCATCGAGAATAAAGCGGCGTGAAGAGATGAGGGAGGCAGGAAGCAAGCTGCCAACTGCGCGGGGGACGACGTCATCTAACTAGTTATGCCTCTACTAGTCTCTTTTTGTCTGTGCAGACAGAGCGAGGTGTAATGTTACTGCACTTAGAAAAATCTTCCCTCCCTTTCTCTCCCTTTGCGTTTCAAGCACATAATTAACCACGCGTTGGGTGTGACGTCATCCACCCATCCGGGTCATCCTCACACAGGAGCCATTTTGAAATGGGCTCTAGAACCACAAATAAGCCCGAATTTATGTGACAGCGGTTCCATAAATATGTTAATTTGGAATGAACAATGTCTCACACGGAAGGTTACGAAATAAAAAGAAAGTTGGTTCTTTCCTAAAGTGGATAGGGATAGAGGGATAGAGAGAGAGAGAGAGAGAGAGAGAGAGAGAGAGAGAGAGAGAGAGAGAAATGTTGGAGCGAGTTGAACGGGTAGGGTGGGAGAGTAAAGTGATTAACAGGAAACATGGGTCCCGCTGGTAACTTGTCCGAATGATGTCACTTTGACGGGCGGAATTGGCAAAGAAAGAAAGTAAACGGAAGAAAAGAAATTTCGCTTATTGGTCGTTTTTGAGTAGAAATGAATCAATTATTATGTAGTCACGCACTGATCAGTTCTGTGAAAATGAAAAGAGCTCTGCTGATGTCATGAAAAAAAGGACAAATATGTTATCTATCTGGGAGTATGTTTACAGCAGACAGTCACGTCGACTCGGGAGGATAGTGTCTGTTTCATGGAAAACAAAAAGGACGAGACAAAGGAGGTAGTGGGGTGAAGGGTTGCCGAGAGCGAACAAGGGGGAGGGCTGGTGATGGGACTACTTGCGAGCGACTGCCAATGCGAGGATTACCACCTGTGGCATTAAAACAAAAAGTAATTTCCGGTTGGGGACTCTTTTACGAAAGGTTTCGTGACAAACTTTGGCTTCCTATTTGCTCTTTCGCAAAGGTTGTGCAGCATTTTCAGGGATCGACTGTCAATCAGTATGATGGGGAAAGAGAACCGAGCCCAAGAAAGTGGCGTCTTGGGATGGAGCGGTCTACAGAATGACCTCTCCCGACGGTCATCATCCATCGCTTGATGATCAAATATAAAATGAATGCGGAAAAAGAGAGGGGAAGATACATGACTTGGTCGAAGCGACAAGCGGCAACCCGTTTCCCTTAAACGAAGAGTCGTCTCCTGCGACGCCTTCGAATGGCTGAGCGAAGGCTGTTCAAACAAACCGCTCCGTCCGCTCCATTCCATTCCACTGGTGTCTCCACTAGCCCCGGGCGCTCGGATTCTTCCATGTTTTGTCTCGATCAATATTCATGAATATTGCAGTACGCGACCGACCGTGGTCAATCGATCAACAGGCGCACAGTCCAGCACGAAGTACAGTGTGAAGAGTAAAAAACGGAAAGACAAACACAGAAAGGAAACATCTTTTTAGTTTCTGATCCAGTTTCATCTTCCTATAAATATAAAATTGAAACGCTCTCCATCGCTCCCTCTCTTCTCGCATCTGGTCATTGTGGAACCGCTCGTTTCCTGCCTACCACACTTAATGGCCGTTAGCTCACGGGACCCAGCAGAGGCTCTCGAAGAAACACGGAACCCGTGACGGCAGTCGCCACATTCTTTTTGCAAGCTCCGAGTTTGGAGTGAACATCCTGCCAATCACATTGGTCATAGAGCAATTGTTTCATGCTCACATCTCTAGAACCATAGGATGTTATCAAATTTCTCGGAGAACATTGCAAAATGAGCCTTTAAAAGGGCTCTTGCAAAGGGAAGCCCCGCGTTTTGAAGGCCGTTCCGAACATTTACTAATCTGAGTGTGAAGGCCAATCGAGAAAAGTAGAGTGGTATAGAGCGCCCGGCCAGTTGAAAACACAAATTCGTAACGTTGTAGGCGGACTGAGAGAGTCAGGCAGAAACACGTCTGGAACACTGCTTCCAGAGTATTTTTGGCAATTCTAACTGATGCATGCATAAACAGAAGATGAGAGAAGAAAGAGAGCGATGAAGAGGAAAGAGCTCGATCCGTAACCTTGCAAAATGAGTGTGGCGAGTGCAATCGAGTGCTTAAACTTGTTAATTTTGGGCCCGACACAACACAACCCGAAATTAGATTTCGAAAGAAGAAAGGGGCGACGGGAGAGCCCCTCTCTCTCACTATCAAGTGGAGAGCTCTGAAAGAAAGAGATGGAGATAGAGAGATAGAAAGAGAAAAAGAGAGAAAGAGCACCAAGGCGAAGATGAGCCGAGCAGCGGGAGGACCTCCAAAAAACCATCCCGAGAAATGACCAAAGTGCGTCCCGAAAGGACAGTCCTGTCGGGCGGCCAGGTGATCACGAGTAGGAAGGAGAGACTAGACGGTTGAAATGTCCGTCCCCGACCCGGCGCCGATCAGCACTCGTACTAGTACAGAAATGCGCGGCGCCAACTGAAATTCTTTCTCTCTTTTCCTTGTACCAATTAGTCACCGCGACAAAAAGTGACAGAGGACGCCTATTCAAAATCGATTTCAATAGAATAGAGATATGTGTGTGTGTTGTGTGTGTGTGTTATTTGCTCGTCGATAGGAGGCGACAACGAGTGCGAAGGTGGCTGCCGGGCACACCTATTTTTTGATATCAACATTCCGAGAGCAGAGCAGAGCTACTAATACGGATCCGAGGGAGCCAGTGTGTTGACACAACCTTCGGCTGATTCGCGCTCCCTTGCCATTCACAATCAACTTCGGCTGAATTCATTGAATTCAAGACATCGTGATCAGAATTCGATTGATTCGTAGCATCTTCCGACGGCGTCACATGATGCCGTCGATCAACAAAGACACGGAAGGTGAAGGTAGCGGCGAAGGCGAAGGAGGGGTACTGTACGAAAATAAATTGGGAGGCGGCACAAGTAATAACACCCACGAAACCTGACAGGTGCCCAAAATAAAATCGAGGGTCATGAAATATTGTGGTTGAGAGCGACAACGTGAGGACGTGAAAACACAACTGTCAGTTCAGATAGC